TTTTTTTACCGTTACTATTTTATTCTCCACCCCCCCCCCCCCCCCCCTCCCCCCCGGTGCTGACTGCATTTTTATTTCGCTCCGCCTTAGTGGGCTTTTACTTTCCATGCTCTGAAGTATGTTTTGCGCTCGTATTCCTTCATCCCTTCAAACTCGAATCGGATACCTCGAGCCGTTAGAGCATTGCCCACCCGCTCTAGCACCCAGCTGTGGATGTGCCGCCACGGGGTTTGGAGTTTTGTCTCGTACCTGCGGCGCAAATCGGGGTTCGGATTGGGACACAACAGCTCCAATCGTGGATCCTCCCCGTGAAGGTACACTTCCTCCAGATCAGGGAAGTCTCCTATAGATGTGGAGAGACGAAGCAGACTTCGAGTAAGATCCTCGTTGATGTGGTTAATGCGGAGTGATTTGATTGTTCTTGGAAGCATGTTCACAAGTTTGCCGCCATCTTGGTCGCTCACAAGCAGGCCCCTGATAGCAACCACGGGGTAGTTGCCGGGGGAAAATCTCAGACAGTAAGGTCCAAGAATTGCGTCTTGAGAAAGATGAATGTTCTCAAGCTTGTCAAAGTCTCGAAGGCTGGCAATGACCTCAGCCCCGACAGCAGTGGTGAAGGAGTTGTGGCAAATTCGGTTGAGTGCGACCCCAGTTTGTGCCTCCCAATTGTAGAAAGGCCCCAGTTCAAATCTCTTCAAACCTTCCCGGTGGTGTTTCCTCAGCTGTTCTGCAGCTTCGTTCGGCGTGAATTGCTCATCGCGACTATGGTCCGCTGCGCCAAGAGGATGTTCGGCCCTGGTTTGCCCTTCTCGAACTCTGCCGCGCGCGAACACAAACGTCTCCAGCTTTGAAAATTGAGCCAAAAAAGTTTCAAGCTGCTGTAGACGGAGTCTGCAGTTGGTCAATCTCAGGGTGACGACGTTGCGGAAAGTCTGAGACTCGACGTGAATGTTGTCTACCCCGTGTATGTGCAAGTCAGTGAGGTTCGTGCACATGTCCAGCAAAGACATCCTGGTTTCCACCAGTGAGCCAAGGCTACGGGACACGGGAGAAGAGTTGAGATATACTAGAGCGAGCGTTCTGATCGATTGGAACATGTTGGGACGTTCAAAGACTGGATCGTAGAACAGGTTCATGTGTTGTCTACTGATAAGCTCTAGGTGCTGGACCCCAGGAGAAGATTCGAGGAGTTGCGATACAAGGCCTGCTCCGTGAATCCGAGAAGACGGCGTATCTCCAAAGTTGAGCTGGATATGTCGGACGGCTCCCGCAATATCAAGTGTCTCCGTTCCGAAGACGCGTTCCCCGAGTTTGTTTTCTATAAAAGATTAACTTCCCGTCTTTACCGCATGAACTTACATCGACATACCATCGTCTCCATTGCCGACATGTGAGACCTTCTGGCGAAGTGCCTTCGAATCGAGAAGAGTTTTGGCGCACTGTTGTAGTCTCTTTTCGATGCCCTCGTGATAAGTCGGTTGACTTGGATTATGTTCGGCAAGAGTAAGCTCATCGAAGCCAAGATATATGCTGTGGTATACAACGGCTCGTGCAACCCGGTGGATTCTGTTGCAGGTCTGGGCAAAATTCATCAAAGCCTCCTGGTCGGTCTTCCAGTCCTTCTCGTCGTATGGGACAGAGTTCTCGCCGCGCCTTTTGTGACAGTGCGCACAAAGCTCGCGGCTGATTAGGTCTAGGATGTCATCATTGAGGTCTGTGATGATTGTTCTTTTTTGATCTTCGTCGTCGCGGGTGCTGTTGGCTTTGGTGTTGCTGTTGGTTTCGTTCATCTTCCTCTTTGCTCGTCGTCTACACTCGTTTAATTGCCGTGATATTGTATTGCCGGTAGGGATGACTAGTAAAGATAGCTGAGTGTTTGTCGGATAGACGTCGTGGCGATGGAGGATGGAGGAGGAGAAGTTCTTACGAGGTGGAGGAGGGTTTGGGAAGAAAGCATATACGATCAAGGCAAGTTCAACTGCGAAGTGGAAAGTTCTCGGCAGGAAAGGGTGTCCTTCGCTCTGTCCAAACATCACCTCTCCATTTTCTTTTTGGATAAAGTCCCATGATTGAACCTTCCTCCCTTACGAACAGTTAACGAGTTGACGTTTTAGGGAGGTGCCTACGATGTTTTTCACCTTCTTTGGATTTCATGCTTTTGTAACGTGATTCTGCCTTCCTGCATGTACTAACAACCGTCGATCGTGGGCCTTGGCTCATTGAGACAGCTCAAAAGCTGAGGTATCTAACTTCCAGCTTGATCTGTCGTATTAGAATTTGCTCGTTCATACCAGTCTTCGGGTATTTCGACCTCGCCCCGTTCCAGTAGACAACAAGCCATCACATCATGCACTGGGCGCATTTCATGATACCTGTCTTCCAAACTACAATTTGATCCCGGCACAGGTCCCTCAAGCTTCATTTCTCTCTGTGCAGCCGACTTTCGCGAAGATACTCGAGGTATCTTTACTGGCAGCGAGACTCGACACGCGGGAGCCATTGCGGAAGCACTCGACCGGCTTACTACCTGCCATATACCCTGATAGATCCTGCCTGGAAAGAACAACGGCTACGCCTATCACGAAGGAGGCAAGGATGATCAAGAGCGGTACGGGAAGCGGCGATGTCCCGAGATTAATACCACATTTGGCAGCAGATTCATAGGATCTCCCTTGGTACCTTGACTGAAATCCGTAGGCAGAGACTTCTTTCCCCCTCAAAAACATTCGTTAGTTCAGTTCATGTACCTGTTTCTCTGATAACAAAACTTTCGACTGCTCTAAGCATTGTTTTGCCGAAAATGGAAATCTAAAAGGCATCAATAGGATTACCGTCCTTCGTAAATGTTTTATCATCTGAGTTCGTAGTTGATTTTATAAGCAACATGTTAAATTGAGTATGCTGTGTGTTGTGTTGGGTTTGTGACCCGACGGCATACCGGTTGCAATTTCTCTATAGGCCTTCATAGTCGAATGATGCCTTATCAACATATACATAGAAGTGGTGAACAGCTCCTGAATGCCGTCCTGAAAGGAAAGACTTAACAGTCCGCCAGTGATGTTGAAATCACATATCTGGTCCCATTTCAGCTTTCATGTTTATGCAGGATTAACGGCTGCTTGAGGATTATGTTGTCAAAGTTTCTGAGACGCAAGTCCAATCCTCTAGGAATCGTTTGGGACGGTCTATCTCGTTGCTGAGGAAGGACTAGACTAGAAAGCTTTCGTCTGGTCTGGACGCAGAATCATTCAACGTGGGCGTCAGATTGGGATCGATACTTGTTGTTCCTGAGCCAGTAATCCTACCTTATCAATCCTCAATACATGCTATACAACTCGGGATGACGACCGACTCATTCCATGCTTGAAAGCGACCAGACAAGCCATGAAACCTCTGCCCTTCGGAGCCGCCGACGATGCTATCTCCCTGAATCAGCACAAACGTTGCTGCCCGATCTGCCCCAACCCAACACGCTACTGTCCGAACACGTGTTTGGAAAGATCGCCTGCCCTGTGCAATAACACTCTCTGAAGCGACGAACCATGCCACAGATGGCTCATGGACCCGTGTCACGAAATCTCTAAACCCACTTCCACAAAACGACAGCCGTGCTGAACGCAGCAAGACAACCTCAAATTCGCAAATAAGGGGTCCGTTCTCGAGAAGTTCTCGCCTTCCGCCCGTGCTATAGCTGCTCAGCTCGAAGGATGTAACGACCGTGACCCGGCAGAGCGGTGCTCTGACGGCAATGCACATGATGCGTCCATGAATCGCGTGGTCATGTCGACGTGACATGCGCATCTACGCGCAGTGACAGTTTTCTCCCGTTCATCTAGAAGGCGGCACAAGCATGAAGAGGTTCCATCGCTTGGGAATGGAACGCTATGGAACGTTGTTCGGTGCATCAAGAGTGAGGTCGAGAGTAGTATCAAGTGCGTCATGGCGGCTGCGCAAGAGCGGAGCGTCTGATGAGTGCAGCGTAAGCAACGCCACGGCCTGACTGACCGCTCGCACGTTCACGAAGACAAGAGGAAAAGTCTTCAGTTCTGGCATCTTGTACTGCTCAATGGCAGATGATTGACGCGTGTTACTCAGCCATCATCATCATCATCATCATCGACCTGAGGGAGGTACACACCTTCCAGGTCCTGGAAGGGGTAACATCTGACAACATAAATGTTAAGCGCGGCGGCTAGAGTGGCGCCAGACAAGCGACCATGATGGGAATCCTTACCCAGGTTATCCATCCTTCAACATCCTCGAAAGTCCCCGTAAGTCAGAAGGACGCGAGCGCCCGTAAGGCAGACAGCGATCAAGCCAAAACTCCCGAGCCCCCTCCTTTAGCGGAGTCCCTGGAGGCCGCGGGACACCCGTCAATGTTTGACCAACGGTGAATCCCGGGCCATGTACTTGTCACCGGGAGCCCTAGACCGGCGGTGTGCGATTCGAAACGGCTCTCCTCGTGACTGACCGAAGGGAAAAGGGGGGACGAGATGGCCTTTGGGATGACAGGCAGAGTCATGCTGCTTCTCCTGTATCATCGCGACATCAGTTCCTAGTTGACATCGACTCGGGATATGCGTGGTTTCTACGGGGGCGATAGGTCTTGGCCGTCTTCATAGCATCGGTCCACGGGATCTTCATTCACGGTTGCGCGGTGGGATGCCACGGCCCAGCGGGCAGAGCGGACACTCGGGAGGAAGATCAGTGTTTCTCTCCGAAATTCTGCCCGAATGTCCATCTTCGCGCGTTCTTGTAAACCTTTGATTCGGCAACTGTTTGATCCAAGGCTGTAGCGTAGCTTTGGCTGCATTAGAACTTCCGAACTTGGCCCCCAGTCCTGGACCGGAACGTGGGAAACCAGGTGGGCATGAGGAGCAGATCGAGGGTCTTGGCCGGGTTCATGGGTGAGCGGCAAGTAAACACCAGGTAAGTAAGATATATACTCTCCCCGAAAGGTCAGACCATTGACTGCTGCGACTTGCTTGGTTGCAGGCAGCTTAGACGTAAGCGGCGCAGGGCACAACCTTGGCGGAAGACATGGCATGCCTGGCATAGATGGGGGGAGGGAAAGATGGGAGAGTCTTCGCAGGATGGGAAATGCAGAATCGGGGTAAAGTGGGCAATCAACGGTGGGAAAGGGGAGAGACGTGAGCGGGCTGCTTGACATTTGGCATACAGGACGGACTTGAGCAAGCTCTGTGGTCGGTTCTTCTGGATGGCATAGCTTCTGCTCAGCTCGTCGCCTCACGGGTACGTACGTCTATGCCAGAGCTCCCGTCAGGCTTTCTCATCCCGGCCTGTTCAGTTGAACTCGAGTTGCTTGGTCTCTTCCGCGCTCTGTTCTGGCCTTTGTTTGCTGGTGAGTTCGAGTTGTGCTCTGATGTCCGGACTTGACTCCGCACTAGCGTTTGACGCTAGATACCAACACGGCCGAGCAGGGACTGGAAGAGAACATGGAAGCCCCGGGCTCGCCGTCACCTGTGTTCTGGTGTTGAGAGTCCCAGCAGCCAATTGCTGCGGCCGGATGGTGTGTGGTGTTGCGCCGGGGCTGGGCCAAAGCAGGAGGCCAGGGTCGGCCCCTGGATCGGGAGCTAATCGATGTTCCGCAACGGAGTCCGGTGCCGATCGTGGAGAGGCAAATACCCCGAGAGTTCAGGCTCCGGCTGTGGCTGGATCCCGGGGAAACCAACGTTCAACTTGTTGAGAGACCTTGGCTGGCTATTTGGTCCAGGGAACGGCATACGATCTGTAGCGTCTTGTCGTTTAGACGCTGCGCCCCTTTCTCTTTTGACTGGCCATCTCGTCCTCCTTCACACCATCAAAGGGGGCGGCAAACGCTGCTAACGAACAGAGCCCGGGGCATTGCTGGTGCTGATTGAGACGAGGCTCTGGGTTTATGCCGGCCAGAGTTTGCTCGCAAGGGGCAGAAACCATCCCACAGCAGACACCACTTCCTGCGCAGTGCCAATCACGCGACGAAGACGCTCTCCCCTCGCGACATGGAGGTGTTGAGGCATCCGAGGACACCGCTGCGAAGTGTGCTGCTCGGGGGCGCGCTCGAATGGAACATCCCATGGAACATGGGCTCAGATACTACCTGGGCACGTTTTCGAAACCAGGGACCGGCCGGTCAGGCATCCGTCTGATGTCGCGAATGCATTCATGCCCTCCTCATGATTCGTGCTTGCGACGGCGGGCGGACGTGCGCTTTGGATCTGCGCCCTTACTCCCGTCCAGTGAACACCTTTCCATATGAAGTAGTCGACGTCTCTCATCCTAGGTCGGTTTGGCGTAGTAAGGTGAGCTCAGGTTCTGCTGCCGTCACACAATACCCGAGCTGAGCTGAGCTGTCTAATCTTTGTTGTCGTCGTCGTTGCGGTTCGTCTAGCGCGCGCGTACAAGACGTCTTCAGTCATTCTTTCCAGACTTGATACCCCATTGTCGTTCTAACCCCCTTTCTTCTCTTTTCCACATTCTACGCAAGAACAGCAGCAGCATCGCCTCGATGTCAGGAAGTAACGACCCGGCTGCGGCTGCGGCTGCCGACATCACGAGTGACAATGAAGAGCACGTCACCTCGTCGAGGAACAGCTACGAGGATGCTCCTCAAGAACAACCACCCAGCACCTCGCATTCCAAAGAACTCACCTCGAGCGAGCAAAAGCCACCCAGCCCGAAGCAGTCTGGGGAGCAGAGCAGAGCAGCCGTTCCGGCGGGAACAGGCTCACAACAAGGCAGTAGAGCCCCGTCGCAGAAAGCGGCTTCGCAGTCCGGCAGCCGAGCAGGATCACAGCAGGGAAGCAGACGAGGATCCAATGAAGCCGCGGCGGGCCAGGCCGATGCTCCTCAAGCCGCCGTCGCCCGTGAGCGACAACCCGGAGACGAAAACCGCGAGGCGTTCCGCGACTCTACCATCACGGCCGTCAGCGAGGACACGGCGCAAGTACTCGGACGTGTTGGCCTTCCCAAGACAACATCGACGGATCCTGCCGCTGCGGGAGTCCTGGCAGGTACAACCGGCAACAGAGGAGGCGATGGCGGCGACGACGATGATGACGAACTTGAGCCGCTGACCAAGTACGTCGACTGGAAAGAGCACATTTCCATCTCCATCGGCCCCTTCATCATTCTCTTCTTCGATCTGGCTCTCCCGGTCTGTATCTACTACAGTTGGCTGCGTGCGCAGCGTAACCGTCGTCGCGAGGCATGCGCGCCTGCGTATGAAGCCGGAGTAGAGTGCGGACTCCCCGCCGTCGAGACAGTCGAGAGTCGTATCTTGGGTTTCGCCATTATCGCCTTCGGCTTCGGTGAGGTGTACATCCTCATCGTCCGCGTCTACCGACTCATTGCCAAGTTCGATCAATGCGCGCCGTTGCTGTCCAAGCACTGGTGGGAGCTTGATGCCACGACGTGGGTGTACGCGCTCGGTCTGATCGCTGCTTTGGTCCCGTTCGTATGCTCGACCACCGTCTACGACCCCTTCGTGGTTGAGTGGCTCTACCTGTACTCTCCCGGCTTCATGTTCATGATCCTGGACGCGATCGCCCTCATGACGTTGATTCCGATCAGGATGCCGTTCAAAATCAACTCGGACCCGGCAGGCGAGCGGCTGAAGCCCATCGTGTACTACGCCGCGGAGGACTTCTTCGCCGTCGACGGCGCGCAGAACCGCGAGTTCCGCAAGAAGTACGTGGAGCGGTACAAGAAGTCGATGATGTTCCGGAAGATGATTCTCGAGTTGACGCTGTTCTGGATCGGCGGGTGCAGTTGTTACCTGGGCTACGTGGCCGCCATCATTTGGGACCTGGAGTTCGAGCGTGCGTTCGGCACGTCGTTGGGCGTTTTGTTCGGATGGATTATCGTTTGGGGTGTGACTGCGAGAATTTGGATTCACTACGCGATCAGGCGCGAAAAGAAATGGTGGAGAGAAAACAAGGCGGAGAGAGAAGCGGCAAAGATTCAATGAGCCTAGTGTATAATTACAGTCCCTCTCTCTTCCGGGGAGGGATGAGCAAGAAGACGACCGCATCAAGGAGCAAAGCGGCGCGTTGATTGTAACCTAGTGTTAATAGTGGCTGGTAAGACATTTGTACTTATGGCGGACAGATGGAAAGACGGAGGATTCAGGGCCTGGTCAACCCAGGAAAGATACCGAGAGGGCGGATTTCTGGAATTAATAAGTAAACCATTTGTTTCTCGTGATCCTCCGTTGCAGACAGGATTGTGTGTGAGCTATGTCGCCTCAGAACAACACGCGTGGCATTTGACGCGTATCGTGACGGCCTCACTGAGCTCGCCTCACTCCAGGTGACACGCCTCAGCTGCCGTCAATCAGCGAGTGAGCGACTCACCTCCAGGCGTTCCCAACTGAAGGGCCGACCTTCCCGGAAAGCCAAGAACGGCCAAGAATGGCTTGAGCTTCAGGTTCGTACAGCATGGACCGCAAGACGCGCTCTCGAAAAAAATAAGTTTGAGAAGATGATCGTGATGGTGGGAGGGTGCGATTTGTCTTGGGGCTGCAGCACGAGATGGTCGAGGCGGCCCCCCGGATCCGGCGTAATATTGGCTGGTCGCTTTGGGAAGCTCAGAGCTGGCGTTCGGAGAATCGAGATGAAAAGGTAAACGAGCTGTCAAGGGAGCTGGGGACGGAATCAGGCAACTCATTCGCGTTTGAGTCCGCTCGCTCGAAGGACTTGGCGGTAATAGAATGCTAATGGAGCGCGGGTCGAAGAGTGAGACGTGTTGGTGAGCACGCATCTCATTCATCATGCCCTCTTCGCATTTTTCTCAATGCCAATGAGAGCGGACGGACTCACTCGCATGAGCACAATGACACTCACTCGAGATTACCATCTAAGCAAACGGCGTAAGAGCCCTCGCATCTCAGTAACTCGCCGATGAGACTGGCAATTGCTACTCACCAGATTCCAAGGCATATGCTTCAAACGCAACTCGCTCCTTCAGATCTGTCTCACCAAATGCCGCCACCACTCATCAAGATCCGAAGGCTGAATCTCACTCAGCACCCCGTACACATCCCGGGCGGCCCCCCGATTCCTCCCCTCGTCCTAAGATGCCGTCTGCTTTCCCAGTCGAGACTCTGACATGTCATATCCGGTTCCAATATAGTTCAAAACTCTACACAAAACAGCCTCATCCCATCAACATCTCAACCCAGAATCAAACCACCGCTCGCCCGGCAAATCACACATCTCACCGTTCACTCCCCACCAGAAAGGACCCCCGAACTCGGCCCCCCATCTCCGATTGTACCCGCGGCCCAGGCCAAGTGAATCCCGGTGTCCAATCGAAGCCTCTCTGGAAGCTCCTCTTTTTACTAAAGCGAGACATGGAAGCTGCAGATTTTTTGCCAATCCACCATGCCCAGATCCTCTTAGCGGGCCGTGAAAACTGGGAAAGATTGGTCCGGTTGTGATGGCTCTTTCGGCTCGTCAATCCATCGAGCGGAACGGATCACTCCCCCTCGTCTCGTTACCCTTCACTCGGGAACCAACAGTCCTCGAAACCAAATGAATGTGACGTTGGGGTGACAGTGACAAGAAAACGCCGAGAGTATCTGACAGTTCGCGTGATGTGAACCAGGGAGACGGAACTGTCCTCGTTCCAATTATCCATGCCAACATGATTTGTCGATGAAAATTTGCGCTCACCTGTGTCCCCAGCCAACAATCCCGAGAGGAGTTTTCCACGCCTTAAAACCACGCACAGCGAAGCCCTTGCGACAAGCAGAGTGACCAAGGGCTCAGCGAGACTCATCCGCCCTTCGCCAAGAACCGCGCCTCTGAATCCGAAACTGCCAAAAGAAAGCCCGGATTCCTACTTCCGGCGACCAGATCCCGAGACGCTCGTCAATCATGGCCCCCGAGAAGGATACCCCCGCCACCTCCGGCCCCGAGACGGTCGCCGGGCCCCTGACGTCCGGAGCGGACGGCGACGTCGAGGCCTCCGGACATTCGCCCCGGGTCGGCGATGACGATGCTCTCGCGATGGTCGGCACGCACACGCAAGACTTCGACCCGGCCGTCGCAGCTCGCGCGGTCCGCAAGATTGACTGGTTCCTCATTCCCGCCATGATCTTTGGCTGTACGCTCATCTCCTCCATCTCACCTCATCTCATCTGACATCTCAACAGACGGCCTGGTCTACTACGACAAAGCAATCCTCGGATCGGCGGTCCTCTTCGGAATGACCACAGACCTCCACCTCTCCGTCCCAACCCCCGCAGGCGGCGTCGACACCTCCCGCCTCTCCTGGGCCACATCCCTCTTCTACTTCGGCATGCTCGCCGGCCTGTACCCGATGACCTACGCCCTCCAACGCTTCGACATCGGCCGCATCCTCGGCGCCGTCGTCATCCTCTGGTCCGGCATCTGCATGCTCACCGCCGCCGTGACGACCCACCAGGGCCTCTACGCCCAGCGCTTCTTCCTCGGCTTCGTCGAGAGCATCATCCCCACCGGCTTCATGTGCATCATCGCCGGCTACTACACCCAGCTCGAGCAGTCCCTGCGCCAGAGCTGGTGGTTCAGCTCCACGGGTCTCTTCACCATCGTCGGCGGCGCCCTCAACTACGCCTTCGCCCAGATCCGCTCCGGCGACCTCCGCCCCTGGCAGTACATCTACCTCCTCGCGGGGTGCCTGACGTTCCTGTTCGGGTGCTTCTGCTTCGTCATGCCCAACTCCCCCGTCTCGGCCTGGTTCCTGTCCCCGGACGAGCGCTTCGCGGCCGTCGAGCGCCTGCGCTACGGCCAGACCGGCGTGCGCTGCACAAAGTTCAAGACGTCGCAGCTCCGCGAGTCCGTCCTCGACGTCAAGGTCTGGCTCGTCGCGCTGATGATGGCCTCCGCGTATACCATGAACGGCGCCGTCTCCGGCTTCGGCCCGCTGATCGTGTCGACTTTCGGGTGGACCTCCCTCGAGTCGATCCTGTTCCAGTTCCCGCTCGGCGGCATCTGCTTCATCGTGATCCTTTTGACGGGGTACATCGGCTCCCGGGTTCCGAATGTCCGGATTCTGATGCTGGTCGTCTGCTGCCTGCCCGTCATCGCCGGCTGCGCGTTAATATGGCGTTCCGAGTGGACGCACCACGCCGCGGCGCCCGTGGTGGGATACTCGCTGACCGGCTTCTTCGGCGGCGTCGTCAGCCTTATCATCACGTTGGGCATGTCCAACGTCGCCGGCCATACGAAGAAGAGCTTCATGGCGGCGACCATTTTCGTGGCGTACTGCGTTGGAAACATCGTCGGGCCACAGCTCGTCAAGTCGCAGAGCAAAGCAGACCACTACCCAGAGCTTTGGTTGGGACTCATCATTTGCTACATCATCTGCATCTTCGCCTCAGTGGCGCTGTACTATGTGCTCTGGAGGGAGAACAAGAAGCGCGAAGCTTTGCCTGTCGACGAGGAAGAACGGGCAAAGCTCGCCTTTCAAGACTTGACGGATAAGGAGAACCCTTACTTCCGCTATGTCTACTGAAGGAATCGGGTGCCACTGCATTAGATGCAAACAAGATACCCTTACATTGTAATTCGGTGACCAATAATCATAGTCATAATCAGACATCTCTCCCCACCTCTCACACAATTCATGAGCACAGCCTCGGCATCACTGAGTCCTAATACACAATTAAACGAAGCGTCATAATAATAGTATGAATCCTCTATCAGAAGATGGTCTTCCCGATCGGTCATACATCGGGGGTATCATGAATTAAGCAGCATGAACCACGCATCCCCCAAAGGGGACGCCCATCTAAGCTAAAAATACAACGAAAGCAAAAACCGCCGAATATCTCGCGCAGAAATATCGAGGAGGCCCCCCTTCCCTTTATTTTGTGCCGTCGTCAAGTGGATTGGATTGCTCTGTCCTGTTCGTCGTCGTAGGAGTAGTAGCCCGTTGCCCGGGGCCAAGAAGAAAAGGTTGATAAAAGTCGAAAAAATAAGTCTCGATCCAAAAAAGTGTTCGGTCAAACTCCATAGCCAGATGAATCCGCTTTGCGTGCGGAGCTTGTTGCGCCGGTTGTTTCCCCCTCCCTTAACCCAGAACTCCGTTTCTCTATGCATTTGTATGTTGCCGCGCCCAAAGAAAAGTTACGAAATATGCGCCGTAGAATCGTGTCCCCAAAAGTTCGTTCGTGCCGCTTCTCACACGCCGTGAGAAGCGGGTGCTCCCTCCTCTTTTTCATTCGCCGCAATTACAACCGTTCATTCATCACCTGGGTGATCTGGGCGGGTTATTCGGCAACTCGGCAGGCATGTTCTCCTCCCCCAGACCGTCGTTCAGTTCGACCGGCGACTGCGCCGATCCGGGAGCCGGCGGCGGCGGCGGTGGCGGCTGTGGTGCTGGCGGCGCCATGTATCCCGAGTGAGAGTGAGCCCCCGTCGTCGTGCTTCCCGGCGGCGGCGTCGGGTAGACGCCTTGGAGGTCGGACTTGGTGGCCGTCACGGGGCTCACCATTGGGAACTGGGGCGTGCCGAGGTCGGTCCCGGACTGACCCGTGTGCTGAGAGGCGATGGGCACTTGTTGCTGGTACATGCCGTAGTTCTGCTGCGGCCAGACGCCGCCCTCGGGAGGCGGTTGTTGTTGAGGTGGTTGAGGCGGCCACTGGGCGCCGGGGTAGTATGCCGGTTGGAATCCTTGTGGTGGCGGTACGGAGGTCGGAGGTGAGGGGTTCGATTGCGAGTGCGGCGACTGGGCGTACGGTTGGGCGTAGTAAGGGTACATTTGAGGGTGCTGCTGCGGGTGATATTGGTTCATGGTGTTGTTGTTGTGGTGCCAGTGAATGTAAGTCGGCACCGCGGAGGTCATTTGTGGCGAGGCCACCATCTTGTCACCCTCGGCCTGGATCGTCTTCTGCGAGTCGGTCGTGCTGGGAGCCTTTTCCAAGTTTGCTTTCCGGTAAGCATGTAGAGCGCGGCCTGAGATTGTTAGCTTGAGATCTACGCTTCATGATGCCTAGACGACAGCTGTCTTGGGTGTGTGAGAATGACGCACCAAAGATGGCGATAGAAACGATGAACAGCACAAAGTTGACGGTCGAGAGTGCTGTTCCGGTATAAGTCGCGGCTACGAAGCCCTCGGCAAACGGCTCGACATTCATCTTGTAGTAAACTTCATATTTGGGCCCGAACGTAACAATGAAAGCATCGAGGGAGTCCAGGTCGTCGGCATGGCTGGCCAACAGCGCCATCGTGATGAGCCAAAAAACAATGGTGAGAACTTCAAGTCCACTGCGGCATGTTAGCATTAGTTGAGAACATCGCGGAGAGAACGACGTACAGATGCACCCAGCAGTTGTACATCATCGGGATGAACATGACGGCGACTCCTAGCCATGTCAAGTAGGAAAAGGTCCACGCGAAAGCGAACCATGAGAATGCTATCATGAGCAACGTCAGTATCGTGAGACAGAAGAGGGGTCGGTAGTGGTGTGACATACGGAAGCCTTCAGTGCCGCTGAAGGACTGTTTTGCGAATGACAAAGTCAGCAAATTCCCCGATTGCGCAGCAAATCCCCCTGCGCCCAGGAAGGATTCATGAGAGATTCCAGCGTACCGTTATCCTGCGATAGTTTGTCGCTTTTTGCATGGTGGTGAGACCATAGACGGTGACTGCTAACGTCGCGATCGAGAGAACCTGCAATTCCACAACCGTCAACAATCATTCCCCAAAACATCTCGCAACCTCCACGACATGCGAACATCCTTGCCCAATCCTAAGTTGCGCGCGGCATCGCATCGTGGGGTCTCGTTGGTGGTGGCGGCGGCGGTGTTCCTTACGAGCTGTGCTATCCTGACGCCTGCAATCCACACCGGCATGGCCGGGATATGCGATCGGTTCCTCCCATCTTTGGGCCAAATGTTCTTGGTCAAAAAAGCCATCGACGAGGAGATATGAGGTGTGTAAAACCCCTAGGGTTCGGAGGGGGGAGAGTCCTCGTCTCGTCTGGCCCGATCCCTCGCGAGATGGTGCGTTTTCGTGGGCGGGCACTTGTGTGTGTATGTTTTTTTTGTCGAACCAGCGGAGGAGAGGGAGAGAGGGCTGAGTATCGATCGAAGGTCGTCGGCAAGTTCGGCGGCGGCTACGCGGGGTGGTGTGGGCTCTATCGGAGAGGACTCGAAGCCACGGGCAAAGCTGTGTCAGCTAGGGACAGCTACTGGTTCGATGTCGTCGCGTTGGTGATGCTCGTGGACGTGTTCGCGATGCGGTCGACGCGGGATACGGATGAGAGTATTCGAGGTGAGCCGGGGGTGCTGCGTCTCGTAAAGCCGGTAATGGACTGGCGGTGGTGTTGAATGTTTCTCTCTCTTTTTTTTCCCTTTCTCGCCAGTCGACGTCACAAAGGGCAGGGCAGCGGAGCTGGAGCGCACTGAGCAGAGGTTTTCCCAATGCAACGTTTTGGCGGGAAGACCAGACGTGGGTGCTGGGAGTAGGCTTGTCGGGAGCTTCAAAGAAAGTTGGCACCGGTCGCAAGGGCGGGTTCGGTTTCGTCTGGAGGGTTTGGATTGAATTTCAACAAGGTTGGGATGTTCCCTTTTCCGTTCCCCGTCCGTCGGTTTGGGCTGAGCGTTGCCGTTTTCTTGGGACGAAGCTGGTCTGGTCCTTCGGTTCTGTTCAGTTTGGGGCGGTGGTCGGTCGGTCGGGTTGGTGGGAGGGCGGAGGGCGGAGAGCGTTCCTTCAGGTCAATGTGTATCGGAAGATACGGTTGGAATGATGGACATGGGACAAGGACCTGGTTATGGGCGGGATGGGATTATGATGGATGGATGGGAATGGGGACCCGGTGGATTGAATGGATGGATGGATGGATGGACAGATGGATGGTTGAATGGGGAGACTGGCAGACAAGCTATTCCATTTCCAACACACAGCAAACAAGGGCGGGAGAACAGAACAGAAACGAAACAGAATGCAGCGAGCCGAGAACCTGTTCTGACGGTTGACGGTCTGTTATGCTGGGCGTATTATTGTTGGCTGGCAGGTTTGTCCACAGGGCCATTGAGGTGACAGCAGCGGCAGCGGCAGCGGCAGAGGCGAAGACGGACGGGACAGAACGCACGCACAGCAGAAGGAAGACCAAGACCAGGGACGATGGGGGCAAAAGCAAAAGCAAAAGGCGAAGGGGCCAACCTTGTCTGGAATCCATCGGTGGTGACCGGGGGGGAGGGGGAGAGGGAAATCCTGGGCATCTGGAGCCAGAATGGAGTCACGATGCCCAATCACGACGGACCTGTTAGCTGGGCCGTCCAACCTTTTCCCACACATTGCGCCAAGGGAAGCTGCCAAGCTTCAATGAGGGCCAAGAGTTGAAGAGAAGGATCAAAAGCTCAAGGAAGAGACTGACTGGCTTGCCTGTGGAGAATGTAGACTAGAGAAACTAGCAGATGGAGTTCGAACAGCAGCAGTAGCAGTAACGAGAAAGACACTGGTGGTATGTCTACGAGCGAGAGACTCTTCTGCTTCTTCCTGTTCTTCTTCTTCTTCCTCTTCTCATATTGTCTCGACGCCGTTGTCATTACATCGGGCTAAGGTGGCCAGACCGACCCGCACCGCCAAGTGGAAGGCTGATTTAGGACGTCATGATTCGATGGAAGCTATGGAGAAGAACGGGATGAAGTATCTCTTGGTTGCGTTTGTGTGACGGAGTACATGGCGGTGGGATCGTGGAAGGGTGGAAGGGAAGCCGGACGGGACGCTACTATGCATGGAGTCTAGCGGATGCACACCTGGAAAGTCTGTGGCTTTTTGACAAGAGAAGACCTTGATATTTGCGTTCGATGATGGCGAATGCCAGCAATGTTGAATACCCTCCTGAGTTCAGGGGATTCTGCTTATCAAAATCTCAAAGTTGGGGTTGTGCCTTGGAAGAAACCTTGAGTGAGCGAACAGAAAGGTAATGTCCTCAACTCAACAGATCATCATCACCGCTCCAAATGATGCTTTCCCTCGTTCTTGGCCCCTGTCCATCACCAAAACCACTCACAATTCACCACTCACCGGAGTCCCTCTTCTGCAATGAGATGCGCATGGATTGGAATTTGGAGGGCGCCGCCCAGCGCGATAGGGTCCGCGATTCCTGGTCCTCAGTCCTGCCCCCAAGCCCAAGACTCGTCCAATCACCAGATACACACATCGCAGCCGACATGCCCCAAAGAACACCGCGCCGGGAGAGGCAGAAGGATTGCATGGGGTGGGATAACGACGGGTCATGGATCTATGGGGACCAAGAGATGGAGGAGAGATGTCCCCCGGGCTCCATTCCGACCTGTCAGGCCTGCGCGAACACACACACGCACACACACTGCCGCCGGCTGCGTGAGTTCCTGGACGGTGAAACGGTGCAACCTATGCAGACCGGCGATTTTTCCTCGGATTTTCTCTGTCGCACTCACCTTTCGCATCGTTTCCGATACGGTGTCTTTCGGGGATTTCGATCGAAACGACACCGCACGTAGACGACGTGGAGAAGGGCGTCCGAATTGACGAGCAGAGATGTCATTTCATTCTTGTGCGGCTCGCAATTAATGCCGAGACACTCGCATCGACACACAAACATCCCAGGCCGGACCACTAACAGCAACAGTCACGTCTTGGCAATGTCACGATGCGCGCTTCGAACAGGCAGTTCTCACCTTCACCAAGGCGGTGGAGAGACCCAGATACCTTCTTAGCTGGTATATGTGTGTGTGTGGCGCCGAGAGGTTGGGGGTGGTGCCCATCATCAGCGGCTTCACTCAACGTCTGAGACATGCCTGCCAAGCGGAGAGAGGGAATGCTGCGATGAGGGTCTGGCCTTTTTCTTTCATCCCGCAACGTCTGCCACGAGAAAGACTCGCCATGTTCCCCTTCCGCTTGCAGCCTGAAGTTGGGGAAGAGGCGGGCGCCAGAATGATGCTCACCGTTGCCTGGCATTCACGGTATCTGACCGATCGTCCCTCGCTCGATCCTTCGAACAAGCTTGACTTCGTCGATGCTTGTCTCGTCTCGTCTCGTCTGTCACCCATCGTCGTCCGACCAGCAACAGCCGCCAAATCGGTCTTTACCCGGCCGTCCATCGGAGTCTCACGCCCGTGTGGCGGCTGCGGGTGCTTCTTCTTTTTGCTCCTCCTCCTCATCCTCTCTCTTCATTCTCGTTCCGTACGTGCATCGGTGGACCCCTCAACCCACAAAACGGACGTTGTGCCGCCCCAGCGAGTGACGACCATTCGCCGGGAGTCTTCCGGATTGTGCTCCAGCGGGTGACGGGGACTGACTTGAAGAGGCGAGACTGAATACACAAGAGACTCGGGCGCCGCTGTGGTGAAGCTGAATGAAGTGAGGGAGGCCGGTTTAGGGCAGCCTGCCGCATCAATAGAGCAATGAAGGTACTGATTGATGAACATACAAGGAGACATGGAACGAGCTGCAGATGCAGGACACTGAAGCCGCAGGACGCAGATGCAGGTCGTAGTAGCCTGCAACACACACACACGACCCATGGAACACAACTCACTCGAAGCCAAGCACAACTCAGAAGTCACTCTCCTCCCTCGTCCGGCGAGATGGTGACTTTGGTGACTCGACCGCCAAGTTCGAGCGTCTGCCAAGAGCAAGAAAAACCAGAGCCACCGATGAAAAAGAAAAGCGGGGGTTGGGTCGTCCAAGAAGCGTGCAAGATCTTCCTCATTCTCCGCCAGAGGCCTCCGCTTGACAAGGCGCTTGAAGTCACTCGTCCTCGGGCACTCCGTTCCCCTCTCTCTCTCTTCCTCTCTCACCAGTCTCCAGTCTCCGGTCTCCAGTCCAAAGTGCCCCTCCAAAGGGCCAAGACCTGCTCGTTTTCCTCGCTCCTCGGGACTCTAGCCTCCAGATACTTCGTACACCAAGTACTTGTCCTCCCAACATCCTCTCTCTCCACGTTGTTCACGTTCAAACCTCTTGGCGTCTTGGTCCCTTGGCTCACTCTCTTTGAGAGTTTGTCTCCAACGTCTTGGGGTCCCTCCGATGCCCCCATTCTTGGTCACCGTCTTGTCCCTCCGTCTTGTCACTCCCATCTCGCCTGGGCCTCCCCTGACTCGGAACCCCGGATACCCCTCCCACGGCGCCGGAGGACGTTCAATCGAGCCCGGCCCTGTCAGCAGTCCACAGGCAACAGGTCGCGGCGATGTCAATCACCAACGCCTGCCGATCCAACGGCCCTGGGCGCATCCATCCATCGGAGGAGGTCCGGTCCTGTCCTGTGCCTCCCTCGCGTTTGCTGACGGTGTGTTGTGTGGTGGACGTGAGAACGGTTGCCACCTTTAATTCCCGCAAGCCCGTGTTCCCGTCCCGCCGCCATCCAGCCAGCCAGCCATCCCTCCCACGCTGGGAACACACAGACAATCTGTCCAAATTTTCTCCCCGTCCGTTGTTGGTTTGCCCTGTCATAATGACGACAGACTCATTTCTGGCCCGGTACACGAACGCTGGGTGATGATGTGAAACGGTCACCTCACAAACAGCCCAACGGCTACGGATATTCTGTCCACCGCCAGATGTTTGCTGCGACCTCTCTGCGCAGCAACGCACAGCCAAATCACACTATCACCCCGCGCGCCAAGACGCTTCGCGATAGCTCCGACCGGCCACTTCTGCGGCACTTAGGAATTCTCTCAACGCTGCTCTCAACCAGTCTCGTCCGTGTCAGTCCATCCGCCCAGCCACCGGTTCAACTCTAATCCGTTTCCTGCACTTACGGTTCATCAAAGGCCCTGGTAAAGTATGATATTGCACGCCTGGGACGAGGGAATTAATCACCAGACGTGGGCGTCGCCGAGATCGCCCGGTTCAGCCTAATAAGCTTAAGGGCCCCGGCTCAGAGTTCATGAGACTCACCTGCACCAGCCCACTTCGATATCTAAGTCCTGGCCGTATGGGCTCCAGTCTTCGGCGATTTGTGTCTCTTGGCATTGTTTCTGTGGAAGGGTGATGCGGTCAACTTACTCGTCGTCGCCCAATTCGTTTTCGGGCCTGGCGACGTTCCACCCGCTAGTTTCACCACGGGCAAACATGAGATCGTCAGTGCTGTGTGAAGAGCCGTCATGATTACCGTAGGTAGCTGTGGGAGTTGTTTTGTTAGTGATAGTTGTTCAGCCGCTCATCGAGTGTGAGCCAGTAGCCAGTAAGTCAGTAAGTCTCATGGCATCTGAGGTTTTGGTACGCTCATTATAAACTGGGCGTGCTTTTACATAATCGTGATATGAGATGAGGGCTTTGCTTTGTGGAAATGATTGATGAAGACGATCAGCAAGGTTGAAAGCCCACCGCAATGAATCTATCTCATTCCATAATCCTTCATCTCAATTCAGGTTTGTTTCTCGAGTGATCTCACCTGAACAGGGCGTGTCGGGATGTGGGCAGTGGCCCCAGATGTTGCCATTCTATGCTTGTGACTGCCAGAATTTTCGCGCCGCCCCATTCTGTGTGACTGATGCTTCTAATCTCTCAAGAAGTAGACGGCTTGATTTGGTGCAATTCAGAACATTACGTTGCGTGAGGTACTTTCACGATTAAGAGACTGTCGTGAAGGAATTCAAATGCTACGTTGACTTCTGATTGAAATGAGTTTTCAAGAAAGTTTGCGTTCTCATGGATCTCATCGCACCCGGTCTTGCCAGTGTGATACATGAAGGAGTCATGGCACCAAGACAGGAACGTAATTGCCGGCTTATCCTCTGACCTGAGTGCAAGTGCAGACGCTCAAAGGTTCCTGTTATGTACGGATTGGCACAACCTCGATTTTTTCGCGGTGAGAAGTTCTCACATACCTCAGCCTCTTACCGACTCTGAATAGACATTCTGTTGTTCAGGGAAACACGTGCAATTTACTTTGAAATACTCGTTTCATAAGATGTACCGAGAAAAGACGGACACTTTTATTGTGTGTCCTCATTCCATTCAAATAATGTTCTTAATAATGCTTCATGTTGTTTTGGAGGCAATAGCACAAGATCCAGGTCATAATATCCTGCAGCATGAGCCTACGTCTCACTTGGTCACTATATTGAGGACATATTGAGCGTTGAGATCTCCATCAGATTGTTCTCATATTCGAGCAAGAAATATAATACTTCAGCGGTCTGTCTAGAATATTGGTACATGACATTCTTTGCGCCATTCTCGACTTGAGGAATTGGATTCTGAGCAGCTCAAGTCATCAAATATAATACTCGAGCCTCTGGAAGACGGTGTGGGCAAGTTTTCTCCATCTCAAAATCCGGACAGAGTTTCTGGGGTCTAGATTCAGCCACAAGCCGGTTGCGAAGAGTATGCAAAAACCATTCCAAGCCTTGCTTGCTCAGCTGAGGCTTTCATGCTTGATGTCTCAGATCTCACAAGTTCACACGCCAGACGGGCTACCCGAGATCACAATAAGCAGGATAATTTCGCAGATGTAAGTCTTCAAATGTAGTATCATGTGATAATGCTTCATTCCCTAATAACTACTCCGACAGTATGCTTACATAGCCAAATGCAGTCGCTCAGACGCCCACCCTAAACAAATGCATCATGACAACGTATCCCCGTTTCCGGATTGAAGAGACTCCCAAGCACCACCAAGACTTTTATGTGACAATGTCGTCCGCCTGAGACTCTTGTCTCATTTAGGGTGTCGGGGTGTAGGTCGCGATGGTCGTGGTCAAGAGATTCTTGATGTCGTCCAGGACCTTCTTGGCATCGGCCTGAGATCCCGCGTCGAGATACTGCTGCAGCTCCGAGCTGAAGGTATCATACTCGCCGACGACAACGTTGAGATACGGCAACACCGCATACGTCGTGGCGAGGGTGGTCAACAGGTTCTTCGTCTTCGCATCGCCCAAAAGCTTGAGCGCCGTCTGCGCGTGGGGGTAGATGTCGTTCTTGAGCTTGTTCACAATGGAGGCGGAATCGCTGGGGGAGAAGACGGAATCGATCTCCTTTGCATCCAGCATGGCCTGTCGGTTGGCGGACTGCAGTCCAATCGTGTGGGAGATGACGCTGGGGATGTCGAGAGAAGACTTGAGCACGCCGGTTACGGTGTCTCCGTCGGTGTTTGAGAGGGTGGCGATGAGTTTCGTGGCCGCGTTGTCGACGTTGGTCAGATCGATAGTGATTGTGTCTATAGTGGGAGTAATCTGCGGCAAGGTGCCCATTGGGACGTCGAAGGCGGTGACTATGCGAGGAATCACCAAAGCTGAGCCCGTGGCCCAGAAGGCGAGGAAGGTGACGATGTTGGCGATATGCATCATGGTGAATTGCTAACTCGAAGCCAATGGCCGGTGACAGTGTCTCAAGTGAGATAAGATAGGAAGATGGCTTTTGAAGTGCTCTCGACCTGTTGGGTCTGCGGGTTGGTTGGCTGAACTTCTCTCATCTCCAGACAGAGAGGACCGGCCGGGCCGTATTTATCATTCTACGCAGACGCCGATTCCACGCAAGAGTCGTCTTCAGCTAGTCGAAAAGCCCTGATCGTCCACCGACCTCGAGCAACAAGCCTTTCCGAGACATCCTCCCCTACTGTGGTGTCTCAAACCGTCACGTTCAGCACCCTGGACTCCTCTTTTCCCCCGGTGCGCCAATCCGCGAGGCCGCGAGGAGCCCCATGGCCAGAACGGCCATAAGCCTACGTTGACGAAAGTTCGTCACCTTTCCCTTACGAGCGCTACGCAAGAGGCGGGCTTGATCCGCAGCGAGAGGCACCGAATCCGGGAGCTACGGCCTGGCCGCATCCGGCCTGATCTCAAAGGTGGTGGTTGATTTCCGGTGGTCGATTGGTCAGGAGCTAGTACCACTTCGAACGGGCAGCTGATTACGGATGAAGAGTCTAGAGCTTTCCGAGAAGGTGAGGGCGATGATCGGGGGCTCGGGATGAGGGAGATCCATCGCATTTGGCTTGGTGGACGTTGAGTTGTAGTGGGGGGCGGCTGACTGGTTGCGGTCCAGACTGTTGAAACTTGACCACTCGGGTATCGTGATTCCGTCGGTTGTGAGAGATGGGATCTTCGGGGTTTAAGCGATGTGATGTCTATCACTTTTGCGTCACTCCATCGCGGAGAAAGTGCTCTGGATCTTGAATCATCATCGGGCCGTGGGAGATCCAGCCCGCGGGCCGAATGACGGTTGAGGAAGACTTGAGGAATGTTGCTTCGTAAGACGTTAGAAACGCTGGCGAGTGTCTCAGATATTCTGTCATCATATCGATCAATGCATTGTGCAGACGGATCTTGCTGAGGATAAGTAGCATGATGCTCCTGATGGGATTTCAAATGTTTCATGTGTCTGGGAAACAGAAAAGTCTGGCCACTTCGTTCATCCATATTCGTCTATTGACGACTGCTTTGAGTTGGATTCTCCCACAATGAGAATTCCAGAGCATCCGAGTAAGACGATTGATCATCATGGTCAACATTCGATTGGATTGTTCGATCAACCGGGGTCCGCAGTGGATGAAGCTTGCTTGTATTGGTCTTAGAAGTACATGGACTTTCACAAGGCTGCAGTTTTCCCACGTATATCGGCTTCTTTTTCTCCTTCATCGATATAGTATGCTTCGAAACGAAAGGACTTTATGATGGCACCTCTCGCTCAGCAGACTTGGCGACTCCTAAAGTAGTTGGCCGTGCCGCAGATATCTGTAGGCTGTATTGCGCGGTGGATTGCAGATGACAGAGTATCCTGAAGGCAGAGATAATGCTCAGCATGTAGAACAGATCGAGCCAAAACATGAATCATAACGTCTTCTGACTACAGACTACACTTACTAATGACAACGGAGAGAATAACAACTCGGAGACACGGACTGCCCGAACCATCACGCTATCATAAGTTCAAGGCTGGAGTCGTGGCTTACCCAAGCTGGAATATGAATACGCCAGCTGGCGTTGTGGCGTCCGGCCGTAGCTAGTTTATAGACCTTCGTTGTTACTCAAATCGTTCAAACGGCGAGAAAGACCCAAAGTCGGTGTAGTATTGACATGGAGCGAATATTCCAGTCCACGTTTTTGGTTGACAAGTTGTCGTCCTTGGTTGAGCCGCATTTGCCGAGTCCGTTGCTGCTTAAGTTCGTGAAAGGCACGAGTGACATGCCTCTCAATTGAGGCCCACTGCGCTTCCTTATAATCTGGTTTTCTGGGGTTGAATCCCCTCGGAAAGGTTAGCTGTTCGTGCTTCGCTTAACCTGCCTTATTCGCAACCCTGTACGGCGTGTCCATCGACACATGTGTAAAGCGGTCAACGGTATTTTGGGGCAGCTGGCCAGCTTCAGTGGGTTGGAGACCTTGACAGGGGACGAAATCAATTGCCCAATGTTCTGTCGTTTTCGTGCAGACCTTTTCGGCATGCTCGGATGCGACACCAATGGCCGCAGCCTAGGTCTCCTCGGCCAGCGTTATCCTTCAGTCAAGAATATCAAGTTCAAATTACTTTGAAGCTGGTGGCGAGCTGCGAAGCTCACGGCGTACGATATTCTACGTTGTCCATCTGACGGATGAAATAAAGAGGAAACGTTGGAACCGGAAAAGATGCCCGCGTATCTTCATGAAGCAAAAGAAATCTCAGCGCCAATAGCAGCGAAGTGAACTGACTTACCCCTCCTTCCGTTATCTCAATCTGGCATGGACTTGACAGCAAAACTATCTTGGCTGCATGCCGGATCTGCAGGTTGGTCATACTCGTAGCCTGTTGGTCGAATATTTGCCTAGTTGGTGACAGAAACATGGGCTTCATCGCGCTATTGCAAGACCCTGGGACTTTTGCTACCCCCATGTCGAACCACTTCCAATCTCCACTCTCACGTTTTTGTGTTTCCCCTCTTCCATTGAAGAATCGCCGGCTGCTCAGGAGATCTCCTTCGCAACATCAACTGGCAACATCCTCGCCACAGATTATTACAAACCGGATCCCCAAACCATTGCCTGGACAAGCCTTGGTACAAGATGTCTCAGCTACCCGCACCTCATGCGGCCGCCCAGGAACCCGAACCGCCTGCGGTGAGCCCGGAACGCCAACTGCCTCCGGTCACCCAGGAGCCTGAGCCGCCTGCGATTGCTCTTGTAGGTGTTCCGTTTTTGTAGCAGGCCTCATACGGCTTCTCTGCTCTTTGCTGAATGTACTCGAATCCCACTGACGACATGTCAGGACCAACAACTCGTCGCTGCCCATCAAGATGACGATAGTGAGATTGAGACAAACAGGTAAGCCATTCTTTGACAGAGATGCAAAGCTTTCAATGAACTAACTCGCTGGTTTAGTCTTCGGGAATCAACTGCTTCCCTTAGTTCCAGCGTTCGCGAATACCGAACGATCAAGGGGCGAACGTACCAGACATCCAACACGATTGATTACTGGTGAGTGAGATGCTTGCCAGACAGTCTGAAGCACATTGTTCCAGGGTTTGGGGAGTGGTATTGTTCACTGATATTTGACCTGTAGGGCCCCGAACGACGATAAGCACATTGAAACTTTTGATGTTACGTATGTTGCCCTGAGTTACATTCAGAAGCAAATTCTGAGCTAATCATGTTGGTTTCTCTATGCAGCCATCACTACACTTTGATGATCATGGACGATAACCTGTTCGAGGCTCCTGTTCCGGTTGAAAAGGGGAATCTAGTCAGTTCGACTCAGCATCACATCAATCAGAGCAATCTCTTAATGTTACTGAAATGCTGCAGAAAATTCTCGATGTCGGTACTGGAACGGGGATTTGGGCCCTGTGAGTATTGCCCAAGCTGTCGAATCCGAGTCGCCTATCTAACACCATCAGTGACGTCGCCGACGAGTTCCCGTCATTTGAGGTCCTCGGAACGGACATATCTCCAGTGCAGCCAGGATGGGTCCCGCCCAATTGCTCCTTTCAGATCGATGACGCTCAACAGGAGTGGACATTTAAAACAGACTTCTTTGATATGATCCACGCCCGCAACCTGTACGGCGGCATCGACGACTGGCAACGTCTTTATGATCAGGCGTTCACGCACTTGAAGCCTGGGGGTTGGTTTGAAAGCCAGGAGTTCGACATTTGCGCTGGGTCTGAGGATCCTAAAATCCAGGCTGATCCGGACCATGTTTTCAAACAGTGGGCGCGTCTCTTCTGGGAAGCTGGTGATATCACTGGGCGCACGTTCCGTCAGGCCGAGGACAAGGGCCCGGATGAAGAGATCATGATGGTCAAGTGCATGAGAAATGCTGGATTTGTGAACATCGTTCACAAAAAGTGGAAGGTTCCTATTGGCGGCTGGGCCAAGGACCAGCATCTCAAGCAAGTTGGGTACTACAGTGGTCTTTTCATGGACCAGTCGCTCGACGGATGGGCGCTGAAGCCCCTCGGGGAGATTCTGGGATGGTCGTATGAGGAAATCTTGATTCTCGTAATGCACATGCGTCAAGCTCTCAAGGATCCGAAGCAGATGCCTTACTTCAACTAGTGAGTATTTGTCTTTGGCCGTCGCGGTATTAACTCAGGCTAATTGTTTGACAGTCACATGGTTTACGGCCAGAAGCCTTAGACGCCCGCGACCCCAGCGGCGACCAACTGAGTAGATGAAATGCGGTTTCCTTGAGACTGTTTCAGCTTACTAGGTGTCAGTCACATGGTATTGGCGAAAACTGCTGTGCAGATAGTGCGGAAAGTTGAATAGCCATTGGCGGTGTATTCTTGGAGGGATAACTGCCACAGTATGAATGCTTTAAGGAAGATAGGGTCTGGAAAAAATGCTATCCATGATATTTACCAAGTCCTCCGGCTGTAGATTCTCATTCATGCCGCAACAAACCATTTACCGGAGGTGACTGACATATGTTACGCGTTATCCTATGTACGCCTCAACGTGGTTTATACAACAGTGAATCCTTTGTTGATAGTCCAGGCCATGATGGGAGAAAGTGAAGACAGCTGTTTACCTTTAGTTGCGAGCTGCTAATCGGCAAATCCTTCCCTCGAAGAAGTCTGCAGCATCATATCATGTTCAATCCGCACTTTTCGACGTCATTGTTTTGATTCATTTTGTCGGAAAGTGAAGACGTCGTCTGGGTTGTGCGGTTACGGCCAGTGTCAAATCACAAGCAAATAAATTGAAACTGCAAGATGTATATATAAGCCCTAAGTAAACAAGTCTCACATCATGAAACAAGATGTAAGAACCACGCGTTTGCTCGTTGAACCTGACTACTTGGTATCTTTTAGCGGTCTCCGGGCATGAATCACCCACCTAATTTAAGTTAGAACCAACTGGAAAGAGACAAACTCATGTTCCCAAGACAAAATGGAGACCAAAGCGGGCGTAAAAAGAAAAGCGGGCAAGACTCACAAGGGACAGTAATGATGTATGTTCCTGTTGTTCAGGTCCTTTCGAACATCGACCAGCATGACCTGGACCTCTTCACTGGTCCATTCAAGAGCTCTCGTGAGTGCAGCCATCAACCAGGCTTCAAGACCTTCTGCGGCATTTCTGTGAGCCCATTCTCCAAGCAGCTTGTAATGTGGATCTTTGGCCCAAGGACCGATAGGCCACTTGTACGGGACGATTGCCACGTCCACAAAGCCAGCCTCTTCCAACATGGGAGCAAGCGAAGGGACATGGACGAATGGGCGGCCGAGAATCTCACTAGATTTACTGAGCAGATCCCAGCATTTCGACCATGCATGGTCTGGCGTTAGGGATCCATCATCGGACTGGGTGTGAGCATGGCCTTCAAACAGCTCAATGTATCCTCCAGGTGCAAGTCCACTAAGCAAGACTGTCAGCTCACATGCAACATTAGAAATATTGAGCCCAACCTACTTGTACATCTTCTTGAAGAAGTCAGGCCAGTCAGAGATACTAGAAGTCATGCCACGGATGTGGATGTAGTCGAACGGTTGAGTGTATGACCACGGCTGCTCAATGTCGTCGATTTCGAATCTGCAATTGGGCGGGATACTTCAACATGTTAGCAGAAATAGAATCTAATGAGGAAGAAAACTCATACAAAGTGGTTTGCACTGGAGAAAGATCAACTCCAATAACCTAGACGTAAATTAGTAGTGGTTTCACGGAATACTAATGAAAAGCTAAAGAACCTCGGCTTCTGGATGCTCTTCGGCAAACTCAATAGCCCAGAGTCCAGTACCAGTGCCGACGTCGAGCACACGTTTAACACCAGAATTCCCGTCATTGGGCGGAGCAAGGCCGAGTCGGTAGTCCAGAGTCAGAAGATACAAGTTGTGTTGCAAATCTGTACATTGTGTCAGCTATCAAGGCTGGGTTGAGAACCGATCTCGCCGTACCTAATCTGTCATTCTCTCTTTCGTCATTGGGAAACAGATATTCTGATATGCGTTAGAATCTGCACCAGGACGAAATGGATAGATCAAGCGAAGACTTACTCCCTTCCATGTATCTATGGTATGTTCTTCCATTCTCCATTCGGCTTTCTTGGATAGAGCTGGTCAAGCTCGCGGTGGAAGACGCTAAACTCTATAAAAATGTGCCTGTTAGGAGATTTGGCTGTGATTGGGAAGAGAAAGAGAGGCTCTCTTGCTTACAGGAGCTCTGTCGGAGGCAGCATCGTCTGTGAGCTACAGAGACGAGTCAATCGGATGCCTGCTGTTATGTTCATGATTTGATGCCCTACATTATCGTCCTCGGCAACCAGAATAGGGCCATGAGGATTGCCGGCCGGAGCAGGGCTACCAGCAGACGAGGGGCTCTTGTGACCCTTTGCTGCAGTCTCAGTGTCGGCCATTGTGGAAAAGGCGAGGATGTGAAAGATCACCTCAGGCAAGCAGTGCGCTTGTGAAATAGCAGCCAGGCCTTGAACTCTTTATCAGCGTATGGGACGTTAGGGACTACCCCTCTTCTTGACCGAAGGTAATTATGCAGGTTGGTGGCGGTGGAGCAGTTTGCTCGCCAGCCTGTCAATATTTGCTTGCTTCCGACGAGCAAGGATTCTGTGTGGCCTTATGAGGAAGGCTGCCCGAATTGCCTAACCGGATGATTCGAGAGGAACTGACGGGGGGGTGATAACTGGGAACCGTTTGCTCGAATGTCCAATCGCTTCGTGGTCATGCACCGCGGATTGCAGCCGTTGCATCGAGGCCAACAATGACCGGGGCGAAGCTGGAAGAGCATGCCGAATCGCGTCGTACGATTGGGTTGGAGAAAAGACCCTGGTCGCGAGACAATTTGGTGACATGGCCTGGGTGCCAGTACTGGCTAATCAAGACAGCTCAACCAACAAGTAGCACTGAAGAATGGACGTTTTCGTTCGGGGTAACTCACATTCCAGTTGCGAACGGAGTTATCCCATTCTCCAATCCTGTTAAGCAAGAACTATCCAGCGTAGGGAGCCGGACGGGCCGAAAATCATGTCCCCACCTCTCCGTACTTGCTTCGGCGGTTCGGGCCGAAGTGTGGAGCACCGCCCGCGATCTTTTTTCGGCAACTACCATTCATGGCGGGAGAATTAGAGCGAAATGATGCCGACGCAAGAATCGCTACTGCTTTTGATCTGGCTTCTCCCAACACAACTTATTTCTCACCGGAGATCGAGCTTTTTGGCACAATTTGAGTTTCTCCATAGGCTTGAGTTCGGTATGTCAAAGCTGTCCAGAGCTAGTCATCTCCGTATCATTCGGACAATGAACGGCAGCTTCCTATTGACTGTCCTCGTGTTTAGTCTAATCACGATCCGGTTTTTACGATTTACGTGTCTCATTTGTCCTCTACACCCGAAATGACGCTGGCACATGTACATGTAATCTGGCTGCTCCCTTCGGTATCCCTCGTAAATGTAGAGGCACTCCTCCTGCTTGGTCGTTACTCTATTTCATACCCACACAAGTAACATCTCTATTAGGCCTTCTTGCCAAACCTCTCCTTGATCTCTGATACCACCGCAGCAGTGACCTCCTTGGTCGTTGCCTTACCGCCCAGATCAGCAGTCACCACACCCTTGCCGGTGACGTTCTCGACGGCCTCCATCAATTTGTCGGCGGCATCCTTCTCGCCGAGCCAAGCGAGCATCTCGGCAGCGGTCCAGAACGTCGCGACAGGGTTAGCCACGCCCTTACCAGTGATATCGAAGGCAGAGCCGTGGATGGGCTCGAACATGGAAGGGTTCTTGCGGGTAGGATCAAGGTTGGACGTAGGGGCGATACCGATGGAGCCGGCAAGAGCGGCGGCCAGGTCAGAGAGGATATCGGCGTGCTTGATTTTATCAGTCTGAGCTCGGCCGTGATTCTTGAGGTAGCATGCTTCAACTCACCAGGTTAGTTGCGACAATGGTGTCCAGGCTCTTGGGGTTGAGGACCATCCGTGTCGTCATTGCATCAACGAGCATCTTGTCAAGGGTGACGTCGGGGAAGTCCTTGGCGACATCGTACACAACCTCGTCCCAGAGAACCATGCCATTACGCTGGGCATTGCTCTTGGTGACGAAGGTTAGGAGCTTGCGGGGACGGCTCTGGGCAGTTTCGAAGGCGAAGCGGATGATGCGCTCAACACCGTGACGGGTGAAGATGGCAGTCTCGGTGGCAGTCTCCCACGGAAGACCGCGGTGGGAGCGGCCGCCCTGGCCAGCGTACTCGCCCTCGCTGTTCTCGCGGATAATGACCCAGTCCAAGTCTCCCTCGCCGCAGTTGCGGAGAGGAGATTGGGTGCCGCGGAGGACGCGCGTGGGACGGACGTTTGCGTACTGTTGGAAGGGTTGGCAGATGGCCAGGCGGAGACCCCAGAGTGAAATGTGGTCAGGGACGTCTATGGATAATTAGCCAGGGCCTCCGATGAGGTAGAATAAGATAGGGTAGACGTACCGGGAGCACCGACGGCGCCGAACAGAATGGCATCATGCTTCTTGAGCTGTTCAAGACCGCCATCAGGGATGTACTTGCCCGTCTTCTTGTAGGTGTCGGAACTCCAGTCGTAGTCGGTGAAATCCAGATCGAAGGTTCCCAGCGTCTCGGTAAGAGCCTTGAGGACCTCCACGCCGGCGTCGATGACCTCGGGCCCAATACCATCAGCACCCATCGAGGCGATGCTGTAGGCCTTCTTCGCCTGTAACGCACTTGGCGACATTGTGATGGTATGTGAGGGGTAAAAATGAAGATCTGATGCTTCAAGTCTTGCTGTTCGAATATGCAAGTTGGCAGAAGGACTTTGCTGCTGATGAACTTGAGTTGATTTCGGTGATGAATGAGGCTAGGGTAATGGCGTTTGGGTAGCCTGGCCACGCCGTGAAGCTGGTTTCTTTTGTATGACACAAGTGAAGCCGACAACGGCTAGATCTTCAACGTGAACGCGAAACATCTTCGGGATTGGTGCCGCCAACATCGGGAGATTGTGGAGAGTTGGGGTTATGGTGGAGGCCCCGATCTGGGGTCTCCGCGCGGCATTGAGATTGTCCGCGGAGGAAATGACCTTCGCGGACAAAGTCAACTCCGGCGCGTCGTGTACGGCATTGACATGGTGATTTTCTCTTCCATCACACTAGGGAATGGCGTATTTGATACTATGACCGCCGGTGATTAGATTTGACATCGAATTTTGGGTGTCTCAAAAGACGCTCAAAGTCGTCCATCGATTTTCGACAAGACCTGCGAATCGGCGGGGAAGGTTCTGCTGCGTCTTTCCTTCTGGAACAGACTCATTCACAATGATTGAGCCATCAGCAATCCAAGACGTTTTGCAGTACCTGCTGCCAGTTATTCAGTCCCACAGAGCACGCTCATCGACCCCTTTCATTCTTGGCTTGTCGGGACTCCAAGGAAGTGGCAAGTCGACATGGGCAGCGGCTCTTACGGAGACCCTCAACGCCAAGCACGGAATCAACACTAGGACTCTCTCGCTGGACGACCTTTACCACGACCATGACCAACTCGTAGCCTTGCGAGAGTCTAATCCTGACAACGGCCTCCTTCGAACACGCGGCCAACCCGGAACTCACGATGAAGACCTCGCGCGGCGCTTCTTCGACGACGTTTTTCAAATTCCTGAAGACAGTTCAGAAGACATCAGATGGCCTGCATTCGATAAGAGCCTATTCGATGGTGAGGGTGGCCGGGTGCCTGTATCACAGTGGGACACCGTCCCACGGAACCCACCACTCGAGGTTCTCGTCTTCGAGGGTTGGTGTCTTGGCTTCCAGCCACTGTCACCCGAGGAGGTGAAGGAGAAGTGGGAGAAAGCTAAGGCAGCCTCAAACAGCATCTCTTCCGATGGATCCCCGCTATCCACGACTACACTGGCAAATCATCGCTTGGAGCACCTTCTGCTCGTCAACGAGAACCTGGCAAGATATTGCGAGTCCTTCATGGGCCCCTGGCGCTTCGACGCATTTCTTCACCTCAGCACCGACCAGTTGGTGAATGTCTACCACTGGCGCCTAGATCAGGAAAGGGCGTTGCGGGATAAGAAAGGTGCGGGTATGACGGACGAGGGTGTCATAAGTTTTGTTCAAGGCTACATGCCTGCTTATGAGTTGTATCTAGAAAGGCTCGCTAATGAGCCGCTCTTCCCATCAGGGGACAAGCCTCACATTCGTGTCATTTTAGACTCGAAGAGACAAGTTCTAGCAGTTAATAAAGCATGAATGATTCAGCTGCGGGTATCGTTTTGTTGTTCTAGTAACGAAACTGTGCTTCATTTTCGCATTTGACGAACCGGCCTCAAGGCGTCCTGTCAACTCATGGATTTCCAATCATCCCGTAGACTTACCCCGGATTACTCCTATTTGTTTGGTCATCCACTCACCGCATCTACTTTGGCCCAAGATCAACAAAACCCCACGCATCAACTAACTTAGACTACAGATGCTGTCCTTGATCCGGGGTAAGTCAGGCCCACGCCTCGGTTTCGGCCCCGCCTCCACACACCCATACCACCGGTTCATGACATGATAGACCCATTGGGTCATACAGACTGAGCCAATGTCAACAAACAGATGGTGGCAGCGTAGCAGCAGACCCTTACGAAGCTGCGTGAAGAGACCTGGAGCTGGGTCATTCCCCCGCATCCCCCGCAAAGTTACCCCAAATGCCCCGGTAGTTTCTATGTCCGCTGGGACCAATCTGGGGATGGACGACTGGGATAACTGGTTGGGTTTTGGAAGAGACAGAATTGTAACATCCTGGCAAGAGAGAGAGGGAGCCAGAGGAAACCCCCCAGTCCCCGAGAACCATAGCACCGGTCATGCCATTTTCTCGAACTGCTCCGGATTGCACGACTGGACTGGGGCGCAACAGGTTGATCCAAGTATAAGAGTTTGGGCAATCTCCTTTCGATGTCAACTTTCGCCTACGGACCAACACCTTTAGTTCTTTCACTATCAGAGCATTCCTCCAAATCTCTTCCCTCGTTGACTTGAAATCTCTGAATCTCTTTTCTTCAGTTTCAAGATGGTCTCGGAGAAGAAGACGTTGGACGACCTCGAGTCCAAGCCCAACGACAACTTCGTCGAAGTTTCTGGGGAGGACGAGAAGGGAGGCGTCCTTCAACCGGGCGCCGACTACTCCGGCGCCGTCAAGAAGACCAGTGCTGAGGAAATCGCTCTCGTGCGCAAGCTTGACTGGCGAATCATGCCAACATTGTGTGAGTAGATGTCTGGTCCTCATCCAAGAATCATCGCCCCCCAGAACTAACTTTGTCAATTTAGGGTGCATGTACTTCCTCAACTACGTCCGTAACCCCGTCTCAAGCATCTTGTCACTACCTAGACAACTGACAGCGAAAACAGCTCGACCGGAACGCGATCGCCCAGGCCCGTCTCGATGGTCTAGAAGAAGACTTGAAACTGGAAGGATCTCAGTACAATACCTGCATCTCAATTCTCTTCGTCGGGTAAGTTTCCACCGCCCCAGCACAAGTCAGCACCAGACTAAACTCGTCTCTTCAGTTATCTCCTGATGCAGATTCCCTCCAATATGCTCATGTCATCGAAATACATCCGACCTTCCATCTACATGGGAATCTGCATGATGGCATGGGCCGTCGTTTCCGCCTGCACAGCCCTCGCAAAAGACTACGTCGGTCTCGTAGTTGTCCGTTTTTTTCTCGGAATCACTGAGGCCCCGTTCTACCCCGGGGCTATCTACATGCTCTCCATATTTTACACCCGCAAGGAAATTGCCACGCGTCTGTCGATCCTATACTCCGGCAATATCTTCGCGACTTCCTTCTCCGGCCTCATCGCCGCAGCCGTTTTCAACACCATTGATGGAAATCACGGTCTGAAGGGCTGGCAGTGGCTCTTCATCATCGAGGGCTGCCTCACCTTCGGAATCGCCCTCATCGGCATGTTCACTCTGGCCGACAGCCCTCTTACAACGCGCTGGCTGAAGCCTGAAGAGCGCCAGCTAGCTCATGATCGTATGCTGCGGGACACCGTCGGCCTTGAGGAGAGCAAGGGCGCCAGAGCAGGTTTCAAGCAAGCCGTCCGCGACCCGCGTCTCTGGCTGCTGTGCTTCATCCAGAACATGCATCTGTCCGCCTGCTCGTTCAACAACTTCTTTCCTACTGTGGTTGGGTCCTTGGGTTTCAACCCCACGATTACCTTGGTGCTCACTTGCCCGCCATACCTCGTCTCCGGATTCTTCGGATACGTCGCAGGTCTCTCCTCTGGTAAGTACAATGAGAGGACATGGCACATCACTATCTGCATGGGTATGGCCATCGTGGGCTTTGTCATCTCCTGCGCTACTCTGAACACTGCTGCGCGTTACGTCGCGTGCTTCCTTTTCGCTTCAGGTGAGTTATTGTCCTCAAATTACAGATGACGTTTCTAACATCTGGCAGGCGCGTATGCCGTCAACTCTCCGATCTTGGGATGGGTTTCAGCGACGCTGGGGTCCACCCAAGAGAAGAAAGCCGTCAGTCTGTCGATCGTGAACGTGGTAGCAAACGCTTCGTATGTGTACACGGCATACCTCTACCCGAAGAGCGATGGGCCCCGCTACCTGACGGCTATGGCCAGCAACGCCGCCTTTGCCTTCGCTTGCATTGCGGGCACCTGGGTCCTGCGGATCTGGCTGATTCAGACGAACAAGAAGCTGGGATCGAGCACAACCAAATACGCGTACTGATTGGAGGGAAAGAACAAACTGTGTCTTATAATCCTGGCCAAGTCATCTCACTCTGGCGAGCTGAAACTTATGTACATAAAGACCATCTTGCGGAATGCCTTTAAGGCAGATGCATAGTTTCTATCCCATGTTTCCGCCACATAGCATCCGCAGAATGCTGTCGTTTTTCATGTGTACCACTTCCAAGCTAGCTGCATAACGTGTTTTCTTGACAGGAGCTTTCCAGTGCTTCATCGAAGATATGCCCAAGTAGGATCAACGGATGGATCGAACTGTGCGGCAGCAAGAAACGGGTAGTCGATCGCCCCGAACGAGTTGGCGAACAGCTGATCATACCAAACCATCGACTCTTGCCCTTCCCCGGGCGCCGTCTCGGAGTTATTCGCCGATGGGAACGATGCTGCAGCAAGCGGTATGCAGAAGTGCTGATTGTCGAAGCTAGGAGAGTCCTGCGTGGCCGTCGCTTGAAACGACTGCGCGTCTGGAGTACTCGTCGACCAGGTCGCATTCATAGAAGGGCCCGAGGCTGGTGAGGTGTTGGTCGGCCATCGGTTCATGGGGTCTTCTGTTGCAGAAAGTCCGTCACTAGCGGGCTGTGTCCACGGAACGTTGTCCGCTGCAGCAGAGACTTGTTCATCGTAACGGCCAGTAGAGGCCGCGACTGAAGGAGAAAATCTGGTCCTTGGCTGGGACGTGCCGGCTTGTGCATTTGACCTCAAAACCCTCGACCTGTTGGGGCTGCTCCCAGGCCGGTTCCCGTTCGCAACATCGTTTGGACGTGTCTGGCGAAGCGTGGAGTGTTGTTGGCTACTCGGCTGCCTCCGAAGTAGATTCGGCGGGACGGATAATTCTCGTACTGCTGCTGTGAGCTCGTCGATTGCAGACAAGCAGTATTCTGGCCACGAGGTGTCGCGGGAGGCTATGTGGCGAAGTATGTCTTTCCCAGACTCGACATGCCTGCAGAGAACAACATTAGCATCGTATGTCGGCCGGATAAATACAACATGACTTACTTCAAGGCGCTTGATAGGGGCAGCTGTCTTTCGAAGGCAGCATAGATGAGAATGAAAGCGCTGATCCAGACTGCCCAAGTAAACGAGGGCTGAAGCATCGGCTCAGACAGACACGCGCTGGTTGGGTCACCCGACATTTTGTGTTGGTTGAGGTACCTCTTCAGTGCAATGAAGATTGACTTTGCGGCAAAGATGCAGTTCTGCAGCCCTGCCGAGTACGCGGGACTCGCGGGATCCGACGTCATCATCGGTCGGTTGAGGGAAATCATGGATTCGTACTTCAGCAGCAACAGGAAGATGCGATGTCCTGCGGATATCGGCGGCGGCTGAGTTGTATTCTCTTCTGGTGCATCGACCATGCTCGGCTCGTCCTCGACCGCGTCGTGGATTTCGTTGGACCACTTTGCCAGCTCGGCCTGAACGTAGCTTGACGTCTCTGCGGTGTCGTCTCGGACGTGAATCGACTTATTCCGCAGCTCTAGAATGAGGCCTCGTATCCTTGCGTGTTTGACGAGGTAGGTCAATAGCTGCAAGCGGTTATCGTCTGCGTCAGATGAAGGCCCGTGTTTTTCTTCTCCTGGATAACAAACATCAACGTCGTCGTCTCGGATATCCAGAGGTAAACCGAGCGCTTGACACAGAAACCTTTCCGTGGAATAGATACACCAGAACACCCGTCGGCGCATGTGGGCTTCTTCTTTCGTGAAAAATGGGTATCTTGAGGGACATCTGTGCAGGCCCAGATGAAACGCCATGCGAACAATTAGGCCGCCTAGTCGCGAGGCCGAGTTGAGCCGCAGCATCGAGACCAGGAAGAGTTGTATCGCGAGTGCGGCTTGGGTGGCTTGAATGGATGCTGGTTGGTAGAGAGCGAACTGCGAAGCAGACATAGCCTCCTCGACTGTTCGAAAGACGAGAGAGTCCGGAACCGGCTGGGAAAAGGGGGCTTTTTGGCGGCTGTCGGCGAGCGATATCGACAAGATGGACTTGACGATGGATCGCTCGAGACGTCCAAGGGCAGTTATGCCAGTCGAGCTGACTTCTTCAAAGAAACCCAACACATCGGGTGCACTGAGGAAAGGAAGTGTCGGATGCCAGGCTTCGAAGTAGCTCTTGGACCACTCAACAAGCTGCTCGAAGGAAGGATTGCCATTATCGCCCTCAGTCTCAGGCGCAAGCTCGTGAGGCCTCCATAGGCTCAAGTCGTCACCATCTCGGGACGAAGTCTCCCGTTGCAGCTGGTCGTCTTCTCCGGGGACAAGGTCGTTGATGTTGTTGGACTGCGATGTGCGAAGGGCAGACTTGCGCGCGAGCCTCACGTAGACGCCCCGGATGAAGTGAATCCCGCTTCCACTGCCGACAAATCGGGCGGTGTCATGCTTGCCCGTGTCTCGCATCAACCCATACTCGCGGGTGGGACGGTCGGTAGACCCGGAATGCTTCCGCTTGCGTGAGTGATTGAAGTGCGCTGGGCTGAGGGTACCAGATTCGGAGGTGGCATTGGGCGACTCGACGGCGTCCATTCGGAAGGAGCCTGAGCGACGGTCGATCCTGGAGCGAGCTAGGCCTTCGAAAAGTGAGAATAAAGTCTAAGACGAAGATGACGGGGCAGAGCCGTCTTCAGTGGACGACGCGAGGGAGCGTGGGTAGCCGGAGCATGATGCGGTGTGGAGTTGGTTTGAAATGGACAACCGCAGGTCGCTTGAGCGCGCCAGGTAGACAAAGCGGTCTTGAATATCTGTTCGGAGTCCGATGACAATGCAGGACCAAGTATGGAGTCGCGTTGATACACGTTAGGCCCGTTGTTGCATAGGGGAAAAAGCGAGAGCATCGGTGGCCGGTGCGACGTCGGCCGAAGTGGATCCTCGGAATCGGCATCTTCCGGAGAGTGGGGCTACGCGGACAAAGAAAACCCCGCATGGTGAATGGAGTTTTGTTCTTCAACTCGATCTTTTTACACGTAGATCCTCGACCAGGGACATAGGGAGTCGATAGCATTGGAGGCTTGAGTGTCTGAGATCGAAGGTAAGAATTGGCAAAAACCAAGACGAAGTAATGTCTCGGAACAGCAGCGAGAGAGACGGCGACAACAATGCTTTTCAGAGTCCAATCGCTTGCGAGAGTTGTCGACAACGGAAGAGAAGGGTGAGTCGGTTTCTACTGAACTCGAATTAATCAACTAACACAGCTTATAGTGCGACAGGAAGTTGTAAGTAGCAATGAGAGCAGCCGTGGGCCCCTGGCTGGCCAAGACCCTGACGACCCCCGCAGGCCATTCTGTCTCCAATGCAGCCACGAACCCGGCAGGTGTCAGTATCCTGAGCAGAGCAAGAGGTGCGTTGTTTTGTTGTTCTAAAAAGCATTGTGATAATTGTCGAAACTAAAAGACAACAACAGAGGAATTCCTAATGGATATCTGAACAAACTCGAGACTCGTCTGGCAGAAACCGAGGCTGCCCTGTTCAAGGTCCTTTCCGGGCATCTAGACAGCCAGACGTATGAATCAGCTTCATCGCCCGCTTTGTTATCACAAGCAGCATGGACGCCTAGGCAGAACAAGGTCGACCGCGTCAAGGAGTGGGATGGTCTTCCCTTGCAGACTCCCAACGACATCCAAGCTTGGTATCGGGCCAAAGCCACCGAAACCAATGATGTGATTACGGACTTGCCGGCCGCAAGCCCTCAGTCGCTCATCTCATCGGTTTCTGACCAGCTCGTGATTCCTCCGTCTTCTCAACGGTCGATGTCGAATCCGCATGTTGCCAACGACATACCAATCGAGCCACAGTTCATGGAGCCCATGACTCCCGTCAACACAAGCCGTGGTGCTAATGGAGGAGTTTCCGAAAGCCACAGCAAGGCCAAGGAGCTGTCGAAGTCGCAGCACAACATCTACTTCTGAGTCGAGGTGAAGTTGTCAAAATTCTTAGCACTCAAGCACCCAAGACGGGACAAGACGCGCCGAGAAGCCAAGTTTCGAGGACAGCATGCATGTCATCATGGCGGAAACTTGACCTCCGCGCATACTCGCGGCTTTGCCCCAACAATTCGTACCCCGCTCCGGGCCCGAGCTACCCCTCAGCGCCCATTCCGCGGCGGCCCGGCTTCCTCGCCTTTCCGCTCGGCTTGCGCCGGAATTGGAATTGCGGAATGCCGTCTCTCAGCCAGCGCCCCCAAACAAAGATGACCTCACACCTGGAGAGCTTCAAAGCTACAACCCAGAAAGTGTCGCTTCCTAGGCATTTTTCGTTTTCAATTGGAACATCATAGATACTGCAGCCGTCACGATGTCTACTTCCTGGGTCAACGTCTCGCCGAAAAGCCACTTCTCCCTGGCGAATATTCCTTTCGGCATCATCTCAACAAAATCAGACCCGACTCATCGTCCTGCGGTCGCGATTGGAGACCATGCCCTCGATCTGAAGGCATTCGCCAAAGCAGGCGGCTTCCACGCCCTGCCCTCGATCCAAGAGCGCATCTCCGTCTTCTCCTCGACAACGCTGAACGACTTCGCGGCTCTCGGTAGACCAGTCCACAAGGAAGTCCGGTCGTACCTCCAGTCCATCCTCAGCGAGAACACCCCGCACGCAGGTCTTCTGAAAGACAATGCGGAGCTGCGCAAGACGGCACTGATCCCCTTCGCCGAGATCCAGAACCACATGCCGCTTGCCATTGGCGATTACACCGACTTCTACGCCGGCAAGAACCACGCCTACAACGTGGGTTGTCTCTTCCGAGGCCCGGCGAACGCCCTGCAGCCCAATTACGTGCATCTGCCTGTCGCGTACCACGGTCGCGCGAGCAGCGTCGTCGTCTCCGGGACCCCGATCCGCAGACCATGGGGCCAGATCTTGAAGAATCCCGCAGCGGATCCCAAGGTCCCCGTGCTGACGCCGTGCGAGCGTCTGGATCTCGAGCTGGAGATGGGCATGTTCCTCTGCCGCGAGAACAAGCTCGGAGAACCGGTGCCTGTGGACGAGGCGGAGAACCACATCTTTGGCTACATCCTGATGAACGACTGGAGCGCCCGCGACATTCAGGCCTGGGAATACGTCCCCCTCGGCCCCTTCACGTCCAAGAACATGGGCACCAGCATCAGCGCCTGGGTTGTCCTGGCCGACGCGCTTGAGGGTACCAAGACGGCTGGCATCGAAAACTCGACGGAGCTGCAGCCGTACCTTCGCGAAAGCAAGAAGAACAACGTTCTCGGCATTGAGCTGGAAGTCGATCTGATCAGTAAGTTATTTCGAGCCAAAGCGGCTGCCTCCTTTACAAGCTAACGTGTGACTTTCCAGCTGCCAACGGAAACAAGACTACAATCAGCCGGACCAACTCCAAGAACCTCCTGTGGTCGTGGCCGCAGATGATTGCCCACCACACCATCACCGGCTGCAACCTGCGACCGGGCGACTTGCTGGGTTCTGGCACGATCTCGGGCACCGAGTCCGGCACTGAGGGCAGCATTCTTGAGCAGACACAGGGCGGAAAGCAGCCGGTGAAGCTCAACGGGGGAGAGGAGCGCAAGTTCCTGCAGGACGGCGATACCTTGATCATCCGTGGCTGGAGCGGACAAGATGGCGCACTGGTTGGCTTTGGTGAGGTTTCTGGCAAGATTGAGGCTGCATTGCCCCTATTCTAGGCAAATGTGCACTTTTACGAGATCATCAGGTGTCTAGTAGTAGAAAAAAAAGCAGCTATGAAATAACTTCAATGCCAGCTACGAATTGTCTTCTCTAAATTGCGCTATTTGATCCGTAGCTCAGCAGGAGTATCAGGCTGATTGAAATAATGCGCCTTCACGACCGCCGGATGATCCTTCAAATGCTCAACCACCTTGCCAATCGTCGGGTATTTACTCAAATCAACACCAAATCTCTCAGCATTCCAGTATGCGGGGAGCAGGCACGCGTCAGCCATCGTCATCTCGTCCCCAACAGAACACTTCCCCGCCCACTGCTTCGCAACGGCCTCGTACGCGGCCAGCCCGTCCGTCATGAGCTCGCAGTTCCACTGCTCGGCGTTTCCTCCCAATGCCCTGACTCTTCGCATGATGCGCATGTTGGTCACTGGCTGTGTGTCACAGCAGATGATGTTGACCAGGCTCCGGACCGCCGCGCGTGTCTTGGGGTCTTTGGGGAGGAGGGGGTTGCTGTCGGGATGCGCCTCTTCGAGATACTCGAGCGCGGCGACCGATTGAGTGACTTTGAAGTCATCGTCGGAGCGATTGACGAGGAGGGGGACAGTGGCGGAGGGGTTCAAGGCCCGGTGGTCTGAGGAGAGGTGTTCATCTTTGAGCAGGTTGATTGGAACCGTGTCATAGGGGATGGATTTCAGGTTGAGTGCAATCCGCAGGCGAGCTGAGCAGGAGGAACGGAAGTAGGAGTACAGAGTGTAGTCGGGGTTGGACATCTTGAGTGGTCGTTTCAATGTTGCGATCTTGAAAACGGAGGATGCCATGCGGGAGGGGAGCTCGCCAGGCTTGACCTCGTCTTATGTGAGGAGATCCTAGCCGAGACATTCCTTAGTATCAGCCATCACTGACCGACGCCCTTCCGATCGCATGCCCAAGAGTAACACCTCCAGATTGCTTGACCTGCTGTGGCAGGACACGCTACGCGGAAGTGCAACAGAAGAACCGCTCCTAGCCTTCCTCTGCCGACGGGCCAACCCTGAACTCTGATTCCGAGGGAGGTTCATGCGGGGAAATCGGATGTCAGCGGCTTGATTTCTGCAGGAAATCGAGATGGGAAATCAAGCCACAGTTTGCCAGCTGAGCCAATTGAAAAGTTTGATTGGTTGGTGCTGATTTCTTGCGAAATTCCATGTTCATGATCCAAGCGCGGAACTTCGGAATTGAGAGTCTCATCTCACCAACCTGGGCCAACTTTGCCAGTCAATACAGTGAATTCATTCTCCATTACCTTTATTTGCTTGCCCCCCTGGCAAGAAATGATATGAGTTCAAGCTGCTCGTGGCGGCGCAACGCTTCCTCGAATGTCGGCAAGTCAGGTGAGCCAGCAGCAAACCGTTCATACAGCACCGCAACGCTCCTCGCAGCAATAGGCAGTTCCTCTTGCCAGTCTTCCCAACTCCAGTCAATGTCTTCAACTCTGTCGTCACCGTAATCGTGGACCTTCAACAATACGGGCTCGTCGTATCCCTTGGCTTGAAGGAGCGAGCTCCCAGCTGTAAGCCGGATTTCGCCTTTCTCCCCGTAAATGGACCACACCAGACGAGGTTCTCCTGGAAATGGTTTGCCGAGGTGGAAGCTTCCCAGAATTGAAGCGCCCTTCACAGCGACGTCAGAGTCTGGGCCTATCGACCCGGAGACGGTGATAAGATCGGGGACGTCAGACCGAACTTCCTCGATGACGTTTCCAGTCGACGAATCCACGAGACCGATCTCGGGGCGTTGGATTTGAAAACGCGACGAAAGATTCTCGGCATCGCCGAGAACATGCTGAACCTGGTCCCAGACTTCGCCTAACCCTTAGTAATGACTCAAAAGCATCGGATCGAATGGTTGAACTTACGGTGAGCAAAGAAGATGGTGTAAAGATTACCCCCCATCTCATTCCGCGTGAAGTACTTCAAGTCCACCGGCAACGTATCTCTTCCTCCAGGGCCATCCACAGCTCTGAACTCGCTGCCGAGTACCTTCCCGACACGCCCTTGTTCCAGAAGCTCCCGAATCTTCACAAGAACCGGCGCAAAGCGCCCCTGGATCCCGACGACGGTCTTACTACCGCTCTGACGGGCCGCCTCGACAAGCTCGCGGGAAGGTTGTATATCGTGAGCAAGCGGCCACTCAAGATAGATGGACTTTCCGGCGCGGATGCTGGGGAGCACAGTCTTGAAGTGGACGTCAACGCGCGTGCTGCAAACTACGAGGTCGACATCTTCATCCCGGGCGAGAGCCTCTGGGTCTCCATGTGCTTTGGTGTGGTTGGGGAGGTTGTAGATTTTGATGGCGCGATGAGCTGCTTCCTCGGTGGAGTTGCAGAGAGCGACTATGATGTACTTCTCGCGGCCTCGAGGGGAAAGAAGGTACGGTAGATGAGCATTGCTGGCCCACGAGGTTTTGTCGGAGGACGCAAGGCCGATGATTGCAACTCGTGTGGGCGTCATGGTGTTGATCGGCGAGCAGGGGAGGTCGACGAATGCGAGATATGATGGGGTTTAAATGCGCCACAAGTTCAGTGCTAATAGCTAGAACACTCCTCTTCAATATTTTGGAATGATTTCCATTAACTTGCACCTTCATTGGGGTTTAAGTAAGGTTATACCACGTTTCGTGGCAGTGTGTCAACGCTCATGAGAATGTCGCCGCTAATGCAGCCTGCTGACACTCCGGTCTTTTTTCGGGGGTGGTGGATCTTCACCTATGAATAGCATTGTGCATCAACCATCAGGTCGAGCAGTGTCGCTTCTTGATTCCCAGCTCAACCATTTTGTTGTGGTAAATTAGGTTTGAGAATATTTGCTGTTAGAAAATGAGTGAAAGTTTGTGTGAAGTCATCTTCAAATCCGTCGCCATAGATCTGCAACTTGGTTGGAATCTCTCACTTCATCCGCATGTTGTCTTTCGCTGGTGAACATGGATATCAAACTTGAGAGAACGGCGACTGGCGATGAGTCGAAAGAAGAAAGAGCAGATGTCTATCCGCCAGCCCCATCCAACCTCAAAACAGAACTAGATCAACACCGGTTTGCTCCGCAAAAGCATCCCATCTCATGTCGCCTCCTTTATCCCAGTACTCGGTCATAAATCGATAAACAAATCTGCAATTGCCCAGGCCATGTGAGGACATGGCCATCATTCTTCCAGCAATGACGTCTCGCTGGTCTTGCGTGACCGCTTCACACCCGGCTGCGAGGAGCGGCCAAAGTAATGGTATGTTTGCTTGCGAGTACTGGTCAATTTGCTGAAGTGACGCGATGATCGATTCGACGGCAGCTCGGACCTTTTCATGTTGTTTAGGCAGGCTATCGACGCGTCGATATAGAGTCAAGAGTGTTGCATCGACAAACATGTCGTGGCTGCAATTGAGCTCCAGCTCGGATGGCGATTCGCCAAGAGCCGAAGGGACGTTGTTTTTCAGGCCGAGTAGAATCATTTCAAGAGATCGAGCTCGAGAATTTCCGGCATCGAGAACAACATCCGGAGTACTGTTGTCCTCACATATTGGCTCTGTTGGCTTGGATGAGCTTTCCTCAGCTAGATCGCAGACTTCATCCAGTATTGTGACCACGTCTAGAGATAGACCCGTTGTAGTATCGACTTGACCAGGATCTGGCATACTACTGAGCAGCTGCGTCCAATCGAGTCGTCTATTCTTTTGATGTGTTGGTAACGGTAGGCCAGAGACTCTGTTCATGAGAACCAGATGCGTAAGCCATTTGAGATCGAGCGACCAAAGCGCGTCTGAACCATGTCGACCACCATCTCGCTGAACGATGTGAATCGCCCCGTTAAGGTGCTGTCGGTATGTTGCTGTGTCTCCAGCACATAGACTCGTCGTCGCCAGCATCAACGAGGTGGCGAGCAATGGTGCACTCTCGCCTCCTACGTGACTGGTTGTGATGGCTTTGCGAAGACTCGACAAACTTTGGACTGTTGCTGCTGTCGCGGCAGTGTGAGATTCTGGCTTGCCCTTCAATCTGAAGTAATGACCGCAGCTAGCGGCGAGGATGGCCGCCAGCATCGGAGGGCTGGTCTCTGCCACGGGGATCGCGAAGCTGAGTAAGGCATCTGGTTGAAGGGGGAAGTAGATGGATGCGGTGTGTGAGATGAAGTGATGGAAATAGAATCGATGTTGATTGGACTGCACCATGGGAAAGAGAGTTAATCGATAATCTGATAGATCTGAGCCGGGTGACTTGATGCTGGTGGGAGAACATGATGGAGTTCTGGTGATGAGTTGAAGAGACTCGGAATCAGTGCTCTCAGGTGATTTCGACCCCTGCTGGAGTTGTTAAAGATTGCTCTTATCAGGTATAGGTACTGTATGTCGGCGTACTCACCCGCTTGGGGGACGACTTCGGTGTCTTGAACTGTGTCGTTTTTATGCTCAACTCGTATGAACAAAGCTTTGGATACTTCGTACAACGTGTACAGACGGGTTTCTTCTCGTCACACTGGTGGTCTTGTCAGTACTGCGTTCGACCACGAGTGCTGATCCATGTAGCCCGCTAACAATTTACCCACCTTTGACTTCTTCCGCCGACACTCGGTACAGCCGGTGCGTCTCCTTTTGGAGGGCTCCATGTCTGCGGATGACCTTCAGATGATGTGGTATAATATGAGATGAAAACTATGCCGGGGCCTCTGCATTCACAACTGGGCTGAGGAAGCGATTTGCGATAGCGAGGAACATGTCATGGTCTCAGGATGAACTTTTCTGCTGTCAAAGAAAGACCGGAACGGCATTCAGGAGGGGCATTGCGCTAAACCGAGTTCGGCAGCCTATGCGTCCTCGCCAATCAAGTTCATCTGTTCTCACATCGCCGGCGCAGCTGAGACCCTCGACAGGGCATCCTTGGCGAAGTTGAGGGAACAGAGAGACCGTAGACATTGTTCGGGCGGCGAGTTGAGCGTGGGAGAACTGCCACGGGGACAAGAAACATATATAATACCTGGGACATCTTTCAAAGTATACCTCGATCGGCTTATAAACAACACAATCAGGTCGACCGCTCTGGTGTTGAATCGGTATCGCGGAGCCAAGATGACCCTGGTGTCTGTCCATGTGTCTCTGTGCGGACCTGCAATGATGGCAGAGGCAACTTCGCAATGCCTTTCTGGAATTTCGCACCATTCTTTTGTGAGTAAGGCACAATTGTAATGAGGATGGTTTTCTTTTCAACTGATCATTGAATAAAAATCCGGTTGCTTGCACCAGACGTGTTCAAGGCTCAGCGATGAAGCTAATCTCATTCAAATCTCCATGCATGAATTCAATGAAGTAAGTCAGCCCCGAATCAACCAAAATACGTATGTCTGCGGTAAAATACTTACACTGAGTGACTTTTAAGTTTTTACCTTGAACATAGTCTCAATTTTGAGACGAAGATCACAATCGTGAGGCTTCTCTTGATCATCAACTCAATCAGGAAAGGTGGAACCACCGCCCGCCGTAGGCCATCGCCGGCGGTCCGCTTCAAATGCGGGGCAGATAAGTCAAGAAAATTGAGGCCGGCGTGGTTTTCTGACATATTTCCACGAGTATTTATCCCAACTCCTCTCTTCCAACCAGGATCAATCACTAATGAATAGACACCGGAACGCAGATCATCAAAACAGAGACTCATGTCGCATGCAACCATGGCGATAGTTATCCGCCCTGCCGAATCGGACGACATCCCGGCCATCATAGCCTTCATCAAAGCGGCCCGCGCCGTCATGTTCCCGATGCTCGACAAGGAGTCCCATGATCAGCAGGCCGAGCTCGAACTATCGAAGTTCCAAAAGACTTATTTGGATCATCCCCACGGGGCGTTTCTCACCGCACGCGTGAACAACCAGCTGATCGCAACCATTGGGTATCTCCCGTACGACGATCAATTTCCCGAACTCGACTTGGGCCGCCAGGGTATCGTCGAAATTGTGAGGCTGTACGTGGACCCAGCTTGGCGCCGCGCGGGACTCGCGTCGAAATTGGTTGCCGTCGCCGAACAAACTGCCAAAAACGCGGGAATCCAGCAGATATATCTTCACACTCACCCGTTCCTCGACGGAGCTGTCACATTCTGGGAACAACAGGGTTTCTCGGTCTTGCAGGTTGACGATGACCCGCTGTGGCGAACGACTCACATGAAGAAACTCATCTCGATTTGACAAACCCGGCTCTTGGGATGGGAACAGACGGACTTCAATCATTTTCTCGGAGTCCGAACAAAACTCCAGGCTGCATTGTGATCACTGCGATGTGAATTGCAATGCATAGCCCCAAGTCACCAAGCTAGATCTGGCAGCTCGGTCACGGCTGCGTTGGCTGTGCCGCACACGTACATGGTGCAGCATTACCTCCATCTGGTTAGCAGTATCAGTTGGCAGTGGGCCTCATCTGATACGTCATATTCAGCCCATCAGATATCTCGGCTTATTCCCTCGGTTATCTCCCAAGCACCTTCGGACTCTGTCGTCTTCGAAACTCTTCAAAAACACCTGCAAAACTACACGATGGCTTCGAAAACGCCCCGGCAACAAACTCTGTATATCCCACCGGAGGTCTTGGAAATCATCATCGGCAGCATCGACGACTCACATTATCTGCCCCGAGTATGGCTCAACTTTCGACAAGTATCGCGAGTCTTCAAAAACATCACCGAGCGCGTCTTTGTCCAAGAGCACCTCCGATATAGTCGAATTACGAACGTTCGACTCGACTTCTTCTTCTTTACCCCTCGAGGATCCTTAATAAGCGCTAAAGACGAAAGATTCGACTTGGATTTTGATCATCTCGTGGAGGATGGAGATCGAGCTGTTTACACCGAAAAGTTCTTCTCCGCCGATCTCGAGAAGAGACACACTGTTGGCCAGTTGAGAGGAAAAGCCACAGCCGGAGACCTGCTCGACGGCCTCCGCGGCGGTTGGGCAGCCTCTCACAAGCGCGCGACGGTATCGAACACATCCTGCCATAAACTGGCCGAACGCCCACTACCCCACGTCTTCTCACTGAGGGGTATTGCCAATGATACCGAATTGCCCGGTGTTAACCACGATTTCGAAGGGCTGGAGATGTCATTTCTCTGGAAACCAGCTTTGAGCAAGCTTTTCGGGGAGGAAGAGCATATCAGGCGACTGGAAGAGCCCATGTTTCGGAACATTCCTCGTGGGAAGCAAGAAGAAGCGTATAATACCAGGAAGAGTCACCACTCGATCTTTGTTTGCCAATCGAACAGCAATATCGGAGCGTTGAACGAGGCGCGGAGACTCCGCAGGATATCAGGATTACAAAAGAATGACTTGACGGTCATGGAGCGTAAGATATTGTTTGGAGGCAGGCCTTGGTTAGCGAAGGAGTCTGAAGTGCTGGCCATAAGAAATGGCTTCAGCAAGTCCGATTTGACAAACGTGAAGCTCACGGCTCTCCTCGGGACGGGAATGGAAAATTTCAGCGGTGATATTGAGTTTCCCGCAGGCAAAGATACTGGCGGCGAGAGCGTGGTCGAAGACGGGAACCACAAAGTTTACCCGTGTCGTGTTATCATCAACAACGAACGTCATTTCATTTTTGATCAAATATCTAGCACCAAAGGTTAAGCTACTTCTACTCTCTTCAAATTCTGCAAATTATTAATCATAAGTACGCATGAAAAACCAAACCTTTCTGAGTCATCACAGGATTACTCGGGCTGAGCCTGTGTGACGTGGGGATAAACCGGAAGCCACTCCGGACCGGCTCCCGTTCCCGATGGCCGTGCGGGGATCATGCCGACCTCCGGAGTCAGTGCATCAGCCATGCGGAGACTCCGACTAGTCATCCACGAAGAACTTACCTCGTGTCTTTCCATCGTCTTTACAAGCTGACAGCCACCGGCGGCTTCGATTCGTGTTCTCAACAACTTTCTACCAGATTCAGCACCTTGTCCCTGTTCTATCCAAACCTCCTCAGGCCGTAACCGCGTCGCCTTCACCGCTATGGACGATCGGGACAGCAACGGCCTCAGCGTCATTCAAGGCGAAGCAGAGGGTCGGCTTGTGTTCTCCGATGTTCCTCTGAGCTTCATGATGGGAGTTGATCCGAAAACTGGCATCGTAGCCGATACCCATCATCCGCTCCACGGCACACCCCTCAAAGACTCAATCCTGGCAATACCATGCGGCCGCGGCTCTTGCTCTGGAAGCGGCGCTCTTCTCGAACTCATTCTTACAGATAACGCCCCTTTGGCGTTGATATTTCGAGACACGGAGATGATACTCACGCTGGGGGTTATGGTTGCAGAGGCCCTGTTCGGCCGCCGCATACCGATCGTTTTCTTGCGAGACCGTGACAAATTCGAACTCTTGCGCGACGCATCGCATGTCAAGATCGCCGAAAGAAGCTTGACAATCACTCCAGGAAACATGCAAATATCCCTTGAACCTCAGAGCACAAAGGGTATCAACCTGACTCCACTAGATCAAGAGTTCCTCTCGGGTCAGCATGGGGAAGCAAGCAAAATCGCCATGGAAATCATCGTTGCTTTTGCCGCTACACAAGAAGCAGAGCGGCTAGTCGACGTCTCACAAGTGCACATTGACGCCTGTGCCTACAACGGAAACAGCAGTCTCCACGTACCTGAGCATCTCCTCTCTCTTGGTGGGAGGTTTGTCGTTCCATCCACGTGCAACTCGCTCAACGTCGACAGACTACGATGGAGGGAACTAGGCACCACTTCGGAAGCCGCGATGATAGGAGACAAGATCGGCGAAGCTTATCTCAAGCTGGGAGCCAAGTTGAGCTTCACCTGCGCGCCATACCTCCTCGACAGCAAACCCAAGGCTGGAGAGCAGGTCGGCTGGTCCGAGTCAAATGCAGTCGTGTTCGCAAACAGCGTTCTGGGAGCCCATACGCAAAAGTACCCCGACTACTTCGACGTCTTCATCGCTCTCACCGGCAGAGCCCCTTACGCCGGGTGTCACACTCCGGAAGGACGGAAGCCAGACGTCGTCATTCAAGTTCCCCAGCTTCAAGATTACGACCAGTCGCTTTTTCCTCTTCTCGGATACCACGTTGGAAACATCGTGGGTGGAAGAATCCCATTCATTGTCGGAATAGACGAGACTCGTCCCACTATTTCGGACTTGAAAGCATTCGGGGCAGGTTTTGCAACGACTTCGTCAGCACCGATGTTCCATATCAGAGGGGTCACACCGGAAGCATCGTCATTCGAAGCAGGAACTGCGGGCCTCGAGCATGTCAACCTTGAATTCGATGGCCTCCAACAGTCCTGGAGACAACTCAACACAGCATCGGAGCACTCCGTGGACATGGTGTCGTTGGGCAACCCCCATTTCTCCGTGGAAGAGTTCGCCCAACTCGCTGATCTCTGCCGAAACAGGAGGAAATCGCCAAGCGTGGGGTTCGTCATAACAACAAGCCGAGACGTCTACCAACAAGCCCTCAAGTCGGGCTACCTCGACACGCTGGAGGTGTTTGGTGCCCAGTTTATCACGGATACCTGCTGGTGCATGATAGAGGAGCCTATTGTTCCGGTCAAGGCGAGACATATCATGACGAACTCTGCGAAGTATGCGCATTATGGGCCTGGGATGCTGGGAAGGAGCTTTCATTTCGGAGACGTGGTTGCGTGCGTCAACGCGGGGTGCACGGGATTTCGATCGGAGCAGGAATCTGCACCGTCGTGGTTGTTTAGTTCAATCTTTGCAGGCGTCACGTAACGACCAGTTAGAAAAAGTCTTGGTTCCTTGAGATCTGAGCCGAGCCGACTGAACTGAGAGATCGGATGCATCGCATTTGGATGGTCTCTTTCATCGGCATTGGAGTGTTACCCATACGTCCAGTTCCGGCTACTCACTCATCTCATCGGGCAGGATGGATGGTGCAAAGTCCTGGGGAGGATTCTTCCGTCCAGGGATCCAAATCCAGCCACCTCGTCCGTTGATATGACGAGAAAGGCGAAAGCAGAACGGAGGGTTACATTGCAGCAGCCAGATTACCGAAGACCTCTGACCTGAAACACGACGTATTCTTTTACACCTATCCGCATGTTCAATGCTACACTGCATTACGTCCGCTTGAATGGTCGAGGTTTCGTTGAATTCGAGATTGGATGGATGCAATGTGACGTAACAAGCTTAACAAGTACATGTTTATTCAGCTTCAATCTCAGCCACAGCCAGAGATTGATTTGACGACATAACTTGAAGTCAGGGTTGGAGCGAGATTTAGTAATTGTTGATATTGAACACATTCTCAAACCTGAGCAGTCTCAGTGAACATATACTGCTGCTGAAATCCGTCAGCCCATGTTTCTCACCATCGAGCTTGTGGAATCATGGATTATGAAGTAGCCGTGATCGGCGAAGCATTGGCACATCAGTCAACTCCATCATGATGATAGAGTTCAGCTTTGCATGGTATAAAGATCAAAATAGAATCTTCCGAGTGCCCTCTGAGATCGCCCGAAGCTATCTGATCCAGAGAGGAGCGCAGCAGCATGACGATGATCTTTCGCTATTCTGGAGCTCGTTGGCCATCTTTCAGCCACCAAAGCTCTTTCGGTGGCCGGAGTAACTTGACGCGTACCTCTGCGTGTAGCCACACTTGAGGACGCCTCCTTAGGCCCGGTCACAATCTGGCATGGCCGCATCCATGGCCTTCTGCGTGTCTTACGGTGGCCTATGGGAAGCTTCAATCTTTTACCTTACCGCCTCTTCTCCAACAATAGTGGCCCAAGCCCCGTTCCCCAACATGTTGCTTGTCGACCGGGAACATGGAAGGGAACGGGTTGTGGGGTAACATACCAGGGTGAGCGAGTTTGCGTATCTCATATCTTGATCTCAAAGGCGCGTCATTGGATCAGTGATGTTGTTGCCTACAGGGGCGGACATACCCGTGTGACAGGTCACAGTCGAAGGTGCGATCGCGCGCTTCCCCCGCATTGCCCCATTTCCGGTGGGAATACTGACTTCGTCCAGCTAATATGAACGTCAACGTTTCGTTTCGATCTGCCTGCATTCGTGGGGTCATGCATTGCCGGGCATCTAGGCTAAACATGCTTTTCGCATCCTCGACCACTAAGGTAAGTAATGTCCGTAGAGAATAGGCCGGCTTTCACTTCGAAATTGTTCTCGTGACAAGGGGGCAATATGCAAGAGTTCTCTTGACGCATGGCATTACGAATTAGTTGACCGTCTCTCCGGGTTTGACTGCCCAGATATATCAGAGTAGGAAACAGCCGCCCGCATTGGTAACACCAGCTTCTCCTGATCGAGCCCAAGTCTGGGAAGCCAACGTCGATCTTAACCAGGATTCAAAACTTCGAGCCAACGCATGCATGCTCATCCTAATTTGGGGAGGAGAAGGAGGGGTAAGCTGTGATCTCCGTCCCATGTCAAGTTCATCTGAGCTTGCCACATGGCGTCCACATGGCGTCTATAGTATTCGCAATAAGGAGCCCCGAGCTTGCCTGATGAATACTGAGACCCACTGCTCTGCTGCGTTGTGACTCCATGTTCCCGACTACAACGTTCCTCTTGTGTATCCATCTATTCGATAAGTTCCGGGGAGGTTCCTGAATAAATGACTTCTAGCTTAGCCCTCAGCCACGTTCTTCTCGTCGTGGCTTGGACATGGATTGAGATCTGGATTCATGCCATCTACTCTAGTTAGAGGAGTCTCGGCATGACTATCAATATGAAGCCACTTTCATCAAATCTCCGCATGCAGCGAACAAAGACAGGTAAGCATACAACAAACCCGAGGCTTTTCCTAAATCAGGCACATGAAGACTAATATTTTGGGAAACAGGTTGCGTTTCATGGTAAGCTCATGAGTCGCGACGTGATAGGCCAATTAGTAACACTCATCTAGCAGAGAAGCCCGCAAGAAGTGCTGCGAGAGGAAACCCCAATGCACAAGATGTTCTCTCAAGAACCTGACATGTGTCTACGAAGAGAAGCGGGAGACAAAATCCGACAAGCGAGCGTCCCGAGCTCCGCGAAGAGGTCGAAAGCCTTTTCCTGGGAAACAACCAAGACCTGAAGAGGGCTTCATCCACACCTTCGCCATTGCCAAGTCGACATCCAGCGTCTCATCTGAGTCCAGTATTGACTGCCGAGACAATCATCAAATCGACATGAGCCAGTTCTTGATGGACTTGGATGAGCCGATGGACTTCTCGGATTACTGCGGAGACGGCATCGGATCCGAATCCTGTTCGACCTTCACCAACAGCATTTTCGAAGACTCAAGATCGACACGATCTAGCTCGGCTGAGCTTATGTCACTTGAACTTGAGCTAGCTTTCCCAACATTCTCCGAGATGACTACCGACCCCCAAAGTCGAAAGCTTTTGCACCATTTCTGCAGCACCTTATGTCGTCTCATCGTGTTCGAGGAGCAGCCGAAAAGCTCATTTCGCGACCTCATATTGCCCCTCGCGTACGACAATTCACCAGTTTTGTATGCAATATGCGCTTTTGCAGGAGGCCATCTTGAATACATGGGGGTTCAGACTACAACACACTCGTCGCAGTACCGAGCAATGGCAGCGAAAGGAGCATTTGAGCTGGTTCAGTGGAAGTCTCAGCAAGAGGAAGTGCTGGCAACGGTCATGTTTCTTGCTTACTATGAGTCTGTGAGTACACAACAAGAGCTTCTCAAGGTGACTATGGCTGACTATATATGAAGCTCACAATGTCAAATGCACCGAATATGGTGATCGGGCACTTGAAAGCTGCCTTTCTCATCATAAGCTCAGCTCCGGAGTCAGAACGGAGTTTAACCATGAGATTTCTTGAGAAGGTACGATGAAGACCCTGCAGACTTTGGCCTCAGAGCTCACACAGTACGTAGGCTTTTCATTACATGGACGTGATATCAGCATTGTCACTTGGAATCAGCCCTGTTTCCGCAATGCCGGTCTCCGATTACACCTACCCGCTAGCTGTAATGTCACCCCCGAAGCCGAATGCTCCGACGTATGCAGACCCATTCATTGGAGTCTCGGGAGATCTCTGGCCAATCCTTTATCGTCTCGGCCTTGTTACGGCTCTCAAGGGCGATCTCGACAATGCAATGGCTACGCAGCAGAGCACCAAAGCAGCTGTTCTCCGAGTCGAATACGAGTCCATGACGAAGGCAACGGAGAAGGCCCTTCGAGATTGGCAACCCGCAGTCATGCCAAACAGTATGATGTCTTCGATGGAAGATGAGACAAGCGCCCAACAGCAGCTGGAGGCAATGGTCCACAGCTCTCAATCTTACCGTCACAGTGCGTTAGTTTACTTGCATCGTGTCATCTATAGCCACCCGACTAGTCATCCCGAGGTCCAAAGCAACTCTCATCTATCCTTGGAGAGCTGCGCGGCAGTTGCTGCGTCTGGAGGCTCATTGTACGCATTGTTATGGCCTCTCTTTGTGGCTGCTTGCGAGGCTATCACAGACCATGACCGAAGCTTGGCAAAGCTGGTGCTGGAGGAGATATCTCGGCGGCAGGGCATGGTGAATGTTGAGAGAGCAGAATCTGCGATCATGCAACGCTGGACAGAGACGGACATGCAAAATGGCGATCAATACGGACACGACGAATGGACTTTCGGACCGGACGTGGTATTGGCCTAGAATTCGCCCATAGATGATGACAATATGTAATATTAAGAGCTCGACTGCAGTGTGATGCCGCCGGGCAAGTGTCCTCTTGTAAGAAAACTCATATCGGTCGAAGGGCGCACCTATTCACATGCCTGTCTATCACTTCGTGGTTTTCGACGATTGTTACATAGAAACTTATCTGGAAAATTGCATTTAGTGGAGAATTGTACATGTAGGGGCTCTCTAATGATGTGCTGCGATCTACGAATCATATTCATCCACATGTACGAGGCGTTTCTGTCGACAGTCTCAGTAATTTGACGAATCGGAGACGCCGTTGGGTGCTTAGCGTCTACCAACTTGTGCAACAGTCAGTCTGCCTAGGATTTCTTCCATGTCAGCCTGTCAGCCTATGATGCGCCAGCCTGATTTCGACTCGTTGGGACAGGATCACCTCCAGCTGCGTGATCTCAAGCTACCCCTCATCTCTCTTTCTCTCTTTCTTCATCCCATGCAGTAGTTGTAGGCCGCTGAGATGAAGTGAGCATTGATGCTCTTCCTCATGCAGATGAACCTGGACGCGACGTCGATCATCAACTCAACAAACCTTCTCTTCAACGGGCACAATGGCTGAGCTTGGCACCATCGTCGGCGTCATTTCACTTGCCCTGCAAGTTACCTCAAGCGCTAACAAGTACATCGACGGCGTCCGAAGCCACGGAGAGGAAATCGACACCACGGTTCGACATTGCAAGACGATGGAGACATTGCTGGCCCAGTTACAAGCCTTGCGACCGCACCTTTCCTCGTCAACCGTCATCAGCAGCGTGGCTTTAACTCAAGCTGTGACGTCCGCGACAGCTGAGCTGGAATTACTTCGTGAGCTGGTCGCAAAGCTCACCGAAGGTCCTTCGCCGACGAACACCCTGCCGGATAAGATCAGAAAGCAGAAACACAAACTGGTCTATCCTTTTCGCCGAGACCATCTGCAGAGTCTTGATACACGGCTAGCGAGAGCAAATGAAACGCTCCAGACCGCGATTCAGACCGCAGGACTGTATGTACTTTTCTATATCTTTGTTCATAGCCAAAAGGGCAGAAGCTTAATGTTCAATGCAGAGAAATCTCAGCCAACAATGGCACTGTCATCCGCGATGTACAGACGGTTCTTAGCACAGCGAGATCCGAAACTATCAAGATGCTCGATGAGATCCGAGAGATTTCGAGAGAGGGAGTTACTGAGATCAAACTCTTGACTCAACAACACTCGGTGACTACTACTGAGTTAGTTCAGTCCATCCCTGAATCAAGACAACAAGCAGCCGTTTCTGTCACCTTGCCGCATGCAATCGACAGATCAACTCAGAATAGTGCCTCTATGCTCTCAGCCGTTCAATATGAACATCAGTCTGTGAGAAACGAACTTGTGGAGCTCAAGGAAATGCTGAGAGACTTGCGATCACCTAATTCTGGGGTCCTCTGCCAGAAGCTCATTTCAAACCCTTCAGCGCTTCGCATGATTTCCGATGAGATGAGCGGGAAGAACCACTTGAAATCAACGAATTATGCAACGAGGCCCGATCATGGAAAGGTCATTCACCACAAGGATGAACCTAGAAAGTCCTCTTACTCAAGGACATTTCAGTGTCCATGTAAGCCCCGCAAGAAGCTTGAACGACAGAAACACAGATTTGGCCCTACCTTTTTTGCGCAAGAGGTGATATCAGAAAACGCACATTCTGATGGATGTCCGTTTTCAGACTTCAACAGACCGACCAACAGTTGGTCCTTTGGGCTGACCATAGAAGTTCTCCGACGGGTTATCTCAACAGCAATCACAGTTACTTCGTCATCGTCCCTTGGGGCAGGCGGATTTAGCATTGCACCTTCCTTTACATATCTGCCCAGAGTTCACAGCAGTCCGGTTTACGGGATTATCAATCACCTTATAGAAGCTGTTCTGCGGTTAGATGACAATGGCTTTGACCTGGTGCTCCAACGAGGTTTGCTCAATCTCAAACAGTTGTTCAGAGCCGGCAAAGCTTCACCTTTGTCCATTGGCACGGACGACGAAACACTTTTACACTCAGCTATGCGCCCAATCATGAATGCAATGACTCTCGAGAGGATACACCCCCTACTGAAATTTCTGATAGCTGCTGGTGTCTCGCCAGGCCGTTTGGCTACCGGTGGATATCTTGGCGGCAGGTATGCAAGATGTTCTACCTGCATGTGTTGGGACTAGCTATTGATCGTTCACAGTTTGGCCATGCACCATGTTCTGTCACCAATGTTGCGTTTTGCGGCACCGCTAACTGAAATCTTCGAAACGATTTGCCCTGACGAAGGAGCAGTACCCCCACCACACCCTGAATGGGGTTTGGACAAAGCCCAACTCCAGGAGAAATTGGTTTTCACTTCTCCGAGGCTGTTCAATGGTGGGTATTCAATCCTTGAGATTACCGGCATCGGTCCATTGACTTCCTCATAGCATCATGTTTCGACCCCTTCAGAGAGGCCATTCATCGTCGTGATGGTGGGATGTTGTATGGAGTTCTCCAAAGAGGGTTAAGTGGGCTAGATACATTGACGCCTGATGTTTTTGGTCACACGCCTCTTCAACTTGTGATGGGCTGGCCTAAAGGTGTCCGTATGCTTCTTTCGCAATTCGGCGGTTCACTGTTCGAACAGCATGATCAGGTTTCGATGACTACGACCCTGGAGTGCGCCATGATCCTGAGTGGCGAAGTTTGCAGGCCAAATTCAAATTGCATAGGCCTAGAAGCATGCACCTGCGACGAGGTTGTCTCCATGCTTGTACAGACTGGCTGCCTAATTCGTATGCGAGATGTTTGGCCAATTGCTCTCATGCAAGCCTCGCCAAGGTCCCGGCGCTCGGTCATTGCTTATCTCAAAGATTGCCGCCATCAACTCAAAAAGCTTGCTTTGATCAACCTTACGCTTAGAAACATTGAGAGACTGCGACTGTTGGAAACAAAAGTTATCGATCTAACTGTCAATGGGGTTATTAGGGCTCTGGAGTGCCTCAACGTCGAAATCCCTGTGACACTCCGCACAGGATGGATTGAAAGACCTTCGATGTCGCGCTCCCTATATCACGAGATAGTATTCCGTTCTGGGTACAATGGGTATATTTCTCCACTGGACGACATTTATTCTCAAGGATTTCGAGATTTTGATGCCCGAAGCTCTTCTGGCGAAACGCCACTGATGATATCTCACAGCCCTGGCATCAGTCTTTGGCTGATCGAACACGGGGCGAGGATCGACATTCAAGCGCCTCGATGCGTTCCCGGATTTACAGCCGTACACAGCGCGCTAGCTTCAGTGGCACTCCCAAAGATAACAGACCGCTTCTTGAGAGATTCACACCTTCAACTTGTCCTGAGAATCTTCTCGATGACGGCGAAAGCTCAACCTACGGATTGCTGTGTCTGCAGCTGCTCAAGAAACGGCTGCGATCTATACAAGATTTTATGGGAGGAGTTCTTCTTTGATAACCTCTACCTTTACCCGCCTGATCCCTGGAGGCTCCTCGAAGATGAACAGGATAGATTTGGCCTCAAGCAGAGATCTCTCCGCATGTGGCATCTCTTAGAGAAAAGCGAGAGCCTTCCGCGGTCTTTCTCACTAAGCGCGATCAGAGCTTGGACGTTTGCATTACTCCCATGCCGACACACATGCTGTTGGAGGAGTCATGAACCCTGGGGGATACGCTTAATAGTACCCTCTCGCGAAGAGGTACTGGAGATAAGAGACGAAGATTCGGAACATCTGGATCTTCTGGAGGATCTCATTGAAGAGTTTGAGGATGAATTCGTGGGTATGGGTTGTTCCGTTGCAAATTTCTTGGAAACGTACTGGAAGGACCGCATGATGGAAGTTCTTCGTGAAATGGAAGATCGAGACCTGACGGAAGAGAACCTGAGAGAAGTTGGGAAACTTGGTATTTCTTTACAAGTTCAAGGATGTCCCAAAGCACAGACAGAGACAGAGAAGTGCCATAGGCAATATGATGCCGCCGACCCAAGATGGTGGCTTGAAAGGCTCGACCAGGTACTTGAGTAACGGGCAGGGGCTACCAAATAAAGATTTGAAGGTGGCTACGTGCTGGATGAGCCTTAAGTGTCCTGAGACCTTCTGTTATAATTTGGTTTCACTATCGATATTTGTTCCCGCGTTCAGCTAATTTGCACGTGAAATTCATCGATGCCGGATTCTCAACGTTTATCTTTGGTCCAAGCCGTGATATATCAACACATGACGGGCCGTACCCATTTCCCTTTACCTCTCCCGCAGACTCAGGCACACCATGCTCCTGCAACTTTCAACTTTGTAAGGCGTTGTTTGTTTCCAGCAATGAGTTGCTCGAGTAGCAGATACGTTTTATGAGCTGCTCAGTACAGCATCTAGAGATGGCATCTTTCTATATTGCCTTTATCCAGAACTGTGTCCGTCTCAACTCAACTATCGAATGTTCTTTGTATTTTATGCCAAAGCTGTGTCCATGGGGGTCAGCTATTGCCCCGTCACTGACTCGTGAGTCGAGGCGGAACTTTAGCAAGCTAAACACCCTTGACTGGCTACGCGTTCTAATAAGTAGGAGAGAGTGAGGCATATAATTTTGGGTTATTATTCTAGTTCATAAATATGTTGATTCTTGCGTACAATAACGCACCCTTTCTAAGTGGTCGAAATGTTCAGTTTTTGAATGCCCCCCCCCATTCACCGAGCTATAGCGTCCGGTGTAGGCGATATCTAGCTCTTGCGGTATGTGAAAACTGACGGTGACTCTGATTCTCCACCTCAAGCCATACGTGTTCATGACACGAGTGGACAAAATCATGTTCTCTGGTCCCCAAGACTTCCTCTCCCGGATGCGCCGGTGACGCCGTTCACTGCACCTCAAATAATTATCATGAACTGATTTGATACTGTTTGGAATATAACGGGACGCATATCCATGTGCGTAGATGCAAATGTCCAGCGGGCAGTCGATGCCAAGGTCCTCTTCCTTCACAAAACGACGAATACATTTGATACAGCAACTCGGGTGAGCCATCACGCACTTCGGCGTCACCAATCGCTCCACCTCCACACTGAGTCCCCCTGCCTATATAAAGCCATCATCCAACTCTAAACCAACCAGCCAGGCAAGTGACATGCAAACCCCAGTCTCTCTCATATCCTCTCAACGACCTGATGATACCTCCACCGCGACTCCCACGGTACCCAAAAACCCCGATCCACACCCAACATGAGCGCCACTCCCGCGACGACACCCTCATCCGTCACTATCCCCCATCGCCATCACCCAAGTATTCACCTCGAACATCTATAGCGAGACGCGTGCGTCGGGATCACGGCTGGCATCTGAATGGGCATCTGGACGAACGTGGCACAGGCATGTCGGGTCGAGAGCTGCAGACGCCTTGCCTGGTCGCATCAAAACTTTGGGTGGCGGCGATCAACCTGTGGTCTGGGGAATTGGTAGTTGCGGGTTAGCTGTATTTATACGGCGCCTGGCGTTGTTTGCTCGGTGTCTCTGGATACGAAGTTTGAGTGCTGCACCTCGGTTCGGCAAAGGGATTATCATCACCTGTCAGCTTGCTGCAGTGAGCAGGAATGGGCTATCAAGTCTCCACCAGAACCTCAAGGACACCTTCTCAGAGTTTAGGTACGGGGGCTCGGGTCAGTGGCATTAGTCCTGCCAAGTTTCATATCACGCAGCAATAAGAAAATTCAAACCTCACAGATACGATACGTGGTCGAAGAACGCAGTTGAACGTGAAATAGGGGGACGCATAGCATCCGTATTTTTGATTTCGTCATATCTGGTCATTACTCCCTCCTCATAAGGGGGGATTTGGTTTTTGATTTGTTGTAGAACATTCGCCGGAAAGTCGTCACCGGTGCGAAGTCTTCTGATGTCTCACGTCCGATGGCGACGTTTTTCATCAGTCAAGGCCTTTTTTTGAATCATCAAAACCATCAGTCATTCATTCAGCAACCACAAGCAAAAGAAAGAGAGGTCAAGCTCTTTCCCTTTCCTGCCTACGCACCTCCTCCTGAAAAACGTTCCGCCCCGGTGATTGGGGCGGCGGACTCGTCGGTTCGAGCAAGATGTTGGCGTTGCCCTTGGGGTTGCGGTGCTTGGGGGGACCGGAGACGGTCTCGTGGTATTTCGCGGCGGCGGCGGCCGCCGCTGCTGCGTGGCGGCGACGGCGGCGGTAGCAGAGCCAGAGCATGACGGCGACGATGGCCATGCTGATGAGGATGACGGGGAGGAGGATGGCGACGAGGTTCGGGCTCGAGCTGGAGCTGCCGTCGAGGTCGATGGCGGGGCGGATGGTGAAGACGGGGCCGGTGACGTTCTTCTGCTCGTCGGTGATGGGGTCGTTGTACATGAGGATGAGGGTCATGTTGTTCGAGTTCTTCTCCTCGAGGTCGCCGACGCGGGGGGTCCAGGGCGCCCATCCGACGCCGCCGCGGATGTTGGTTACGGAGAATGCGGGCGCCGCGTCCATGCTGCCCGTGTTGCTGACATCGTAGCCTACGATTCCAATTGGTGTGGACGGATCCTCGAAGAAGGTCGTGTCCCAAGTGACTGCAGAAAAGAAAAAGAAGGTTAGTTGGGGGGAGGGTCCCGCGATTCAGCGTCAATTTAAGCTTACTGTAGTACGTCGTCTCCACGTGCAGAGTGCTACCCCGTCGGGGCTGGCAGAAAGGACCATCGGGACCCGGGTTATTATTGCATACTGAGAAAACACCGCCGTATCCTAACGTGTTGCTGGCTTGCGGCGGCGGGGGCACGCCTGTGCTGGTCGTCAAGGCGCCGTTGGTTGCGGTAACTGTGAAGACGCTGCCGGTGAGCGCGTAGGGCGGCGGGCTGATTGTTGTGCGGGCGCCATTGCTGGTGACGATTGATGGAGTAATGGTTTCGGGGTGGCCGTTTTGATCAACGGTGATCCAGTCGTTGACGGGGCCGGGGCCTTGTCGTTGTTCGATGGCGAGGGCGGATGATGTTGCGAAAAGCGTTGTTGTCGCTGCCAGTGCCGACAGGAAGAGGCGCGTATTTGAGAACATTGTCTGATACTGCGCGGGTCAACGGCTGGAGGAGCTCAGACGTCGTGGTCGGTGAGGAGGCATTCGGCTTCCGTCCGAGTGTACGCGTATGCCGTATTACAGCCTCTCTATCTATTCGCCGTAGATGGGTATCGGAGAGGTGAAGAAGCCGCCGTGCAGCTGTCGTCGTTCAAGCAGACGGAGGGCGGACCGAAGAGTAAAAAAAAAAAAAGATCGACTGATGGATTACAATCGTGCACCCTTACAGCGAAACGCAGCCGTACCTTGCCGGGCCTGAAGTAATAAACGGCAGCAAGGGAGAGAGAAGAAGGGACCCAGCAGAAGCGGATAGATGCCGGCTGGGGGTCTCGCAACGCGTCATACGAAATAGAAATGGAGGGGCATTTGTCGTATGTCGTCGGTAACAGCACCAGAAAAGGCTCTCTTGGCTCTCTGGGCTTTCGGTGCTCGGGTGGCTGGCAGCAGGAGGGAAAAAAGCTGGCAAAACTCCGTAAGATGAACAACGACGACGGCGGTGGGCGCGCAGCGCTGAAATGGATCTTGGGAGTGAATCAGGTGGAATGGGCTTGCTTCTTGTGCTCCGCCTGTCCCGCTCCCAAGGTCATTGGCGAGGCGCGGCGCTGGCATCGGCACCAATGAGGGTGATTCTGGGCGTGAGGGCGCATGCTTGGCGAGAGACAATCGCGGGCATGGCACGGCATCGTGGCAACCGGTTGATAATGGGCGGAGACCGCCAAGGAAGCTGGTGATAGGTTGCGTCGAGGGCTCAGAGGGTCGTTGGGGTCTTGTGGTGGGAGCTTGGACGGCTTGGACGAGTCGACAAAGTCTCGGCAAGCTCCAGAATTCGCTCTTGGGGAGTCTTGGAGGGGGGGTCAGAGACTGAGTGACTGCGTCGTGACGGTGCTGGCAACTCGGAGTGCCCCTGTCGATGCGGTATTGGCGTTTCTGGGCACATGTCTCACGGCATGTCGACGGTTGGACATGGACGAATAAAGGAGAGCCGTTGCGTCGCGATACCGTACTGCGTACTGCGGTATCCGTAAGGTGGTCGGTAGCCGTTTGCCGTATCGTCCGTCTTCCGCCTTGTCGATGGGGTCCATCATTCTGATTCTGATGGGTCTTCGACGGTGCCTCGTCCGGTCTTGATGTTGTGTTCGTGTCTTGACGTCTGGCAGCTCAAACCAGAGCCTGTGCGCCCATTTTAGCTCAGTCAGGGCGCAAGACGAACAGCAGTCGCATGTTTTCTGGGCGGCGACAGAAACAGCACCAAGGCCAAGGACCAAAGGACCCAAAGCTGGGACTGGAGACGGGCGATGGAACGCCAAGGATTGCTTCTTGGGACCTGGGATGGAGGGGTGATACGACGGCGACAGGGAACATGGCGATAGAGCCCCCAAGCCTCAAGCCTCAAGAAGATGGCTCGAATGCGGGGGTGGCCAGCGAGCAGCCAATGTCTTGCATCCAAGGCGGCGAGGATGACCAGGTGTTTGCGCGAGTCGAGTGCTTCGAGGGCGCCGTTTCTGGCATCGTAGGCGTTGGACGCCGTCCTCGGGATGCGATCGCCTAACTCTAACGCAATGTGACCGATGACATGGGGGACCGACGCCGCTCCGTTCCGTCGAATGTGGCTTCTGGAAGGGTTTCGTCTCGGGATATTTCGAGATGGCAGGCAGTTGAAGCTGCGGGGAGGCGATCTTGACGACCGTGTGCTCGGTTTGATGATTCAATGATGCTCGAGGATTGATTCATCTCGTACTCTCTCTGTAGTCCGTGTCTTGTCCCTCGATCGAATGCCGTGGGTGCCCTGGTGTGCTATTTTGCGCAGACATGGTGGTGTAACCGCCCAGGAAAGTCTAGCCGGCTCGCATTTTCGCATTCTCTTGGCATCGTGGGAGTTGTGTCAGAAGCAGAGCAAGAATGGCCGAAGAGGTGCGACAGCAATCCCGAGCTGTATGACGGCGCCAGCAAAGGCGAAGGAAAATCGAGAAGAAGCACCGGCTCTGCTTCCTCGTTCTTTGGTGCGCAAGTCAGGCTTAGGCTTGGCTTGCCCCGGCAGAAAGTGTCGATGCGGCTCAGCAGCTCGCTTAGTCGAGAGTAGGTGGAGATTTTCACCGTGCCGGTTTGCCGTGAGCGATTTCGTAAGATTACTTGCTGAGTATCCGCAGATCTGGTGATGTTCAATCTTGGTGTTGCGGTGATGTTTTTTGGAAAAAATGCAGTGGGAAGATGGAGGAAGGCGCCGACCGGGATAGTGGGCTCCTGTTCGCTCCTGCCTTCTTTCTCCAACTGCATTTTTCAAAGAATTAATTCTCATCTTATTTTTATTTTCTGCTTCGACTTCTTCCCGACATCATCATCATCGTCATTTTGCCAGCAACGACACTTCCATCAACATCCCGCATCCTTGCCGGCTGAGACATCCTTCAGGAACCATCAAGCGGTATCCGGAGCTAGGATCGGGCAGCGGTGAACCTCTGCGATGCTGCGGCGGCTGGAATCATCGACATCCTACGACGATAGAGACAGGCGATTATGTCCACCAAGAATCTTCTCTCCCACCGGTTGACGATGTTTTCGACGCTCCTAAATGTGCTTTGACGCCAGGAACATGCTTTGAGGGCTTTTACCATCCCGGCAGCCTTGCCTTCGACATCGAAATGGATCCCAATCGCCCCTCCTCGCACCCAGCAATCGACTCGACTCGACCGACAACCTGCATCCTTTGGCAGCCTGGATCTCGTCTGTTTCCACCGAACAAGATGCAACTAGACTGTCTTACTTGCCTACTACCCCACATCGAACCAGTCAGTAGCTCCCCGCCCACGAGGATGCGGCTTTTCGCCTCCCTCTGACAGCTTCTGGACAGCTTTCCTGCAACCACAACGCCATCCCCTGCACCGATCAGGCCAGTTATCCAACGGCCTGCAGCCACGCCGAATCCACCCCAGTGCCATCACGATGCTCCGCGCGACGTAACGGCCATGTTCCGCTCCGGATGCGTCCCTTTTGGGTCTCTCGCAGCACCGCGCTGCTGTCCCAAATGCACGAGCTTCAAGTTGCATTCCGTTCTCTTGGCGCACTTCACGATGGCATCAACGACTGCGGCGACGGCGGACCATCATTGCCCCAATTGCCACCCTTGAGGTGACTCTCAGCAAACGCAATTCTCATGCGCGGAATGGGCAGATGTGCACAATAGAGGAACAACCTCCCCCGTCAACCGTCCGCCGCCGCCCGCCATCCACCAACAGACCCGACAGTCCAGTCCGCCAACGCCGTGGGTCATGGCCTGTTCTCCGCCGACCATCCGCCGTCCCTTGATGGCACTAGGGAAGCTCTAAACTTGAAAGAGGTTTTCAGGATCACCCCTCGCAGGCATCTCGGCCACTCGCTGAGCGTCGACGGTCGCATCTGCAGCTGCGAACCAGTCTCTCTTTTGCCAAGTGGGGTTGAATTTGCGACCTTGAAGGTCCCCGATGTGAGGCCTCGCTACCCGTCGCGCGGGACTGCTCGCGATAACCGCCTCATCCTGCATCCAAGCACCAAATGCTTAGGTCTTTTCCCATCAGAACCTACAAAATCAGAGCCTCTCTGAAGGCTCCAGTACGCAGGGCCAAATCTGGTCTTCGATAGTCAATTGATACGAATCCGCGACCATGAGAGGTATTCAGACTACGGTCCTCGCGGCCATCGCAACAGTCGTTGTCGCCAAGGAATGCGCCGATATCCTCGTCCCCAGCTACACCCCTCCTCAAGTCGCCGCTGGCTGGGAGGCCCAGCTTGTCGCCAATGGCTTCAAGAAACCTCGGACCATACACGTCGACAGTGAAGGCGCTCTGCTCGTTCTCGATGCTGCTGTCGGCGTGTACCATGTCACCTTCGAAGAGAATGGCGGCACATGTCTGACGCTTACCGAGAGCAAGCTCATGATCAACAATACCCGAGTAGGATCTCACACCTTGGACGCATTGCAGCTGGATGGCCTAACATCTCTTTATCTAGTTGACCCATGGCATGGCCCTCTCTGAAGACGGCAAGACCCTCTACGCGTCCTCAGTTGACAAAGTTCTCGCCTGGGCCTACGACCAAGAGGCCGGTTCCGTCAATGCCGACCCTGCCGTCGTCATTGACAACATGGCGAACAATGACCAGACAACGCGTACTCTGATCATGTCCCAGGCCTCTGAGAACTGGCTGGTCGTCTCGCGTGGCGTCGACGAGAACTTCGACATCGACGCTCTCGATTCATCTTCGGGCCACGCCCAAGTCAAAGCTTTTGACCTCAGCAAGGTCGGCAGCAACCCATACGATTTCAACACCGACGGAAAACTTCTAGGATGGGGTATCCGCAATGCTGTCGCCGTCGCAGAGGATCCCTCGACCGGGAACATTTGGGCCATGGACAACTCGATTGACGACATCACGCGTAACGGCGTCGATATCCACAACAACAACCCCGGCGAGGAACTGAACCTGCTTGGCACTGTTGCCAAAGAGACCGATGCCGGAAATTACGGTTACCCGCGCTGCTTCGCCGTGTGGGATACAAGCATCCCCCTCAACGACTCCCTCAAGGTCGGCGACCAGTTCTCGATGGAACAGAACAACACCATGAACGACACCCGGTGCCACGATGACTACGTTGCCCCGCGTCTTACCTTCCAGTCGCACACATCCCCGGTCTTCCTCAAGTTCGACAAGGACGGCTCCCACGCCCTCATGTCTTTTCGCGGTAGCTGTGAGTTGACTTTTGGATCAGGTCTTGGGTGACAAGCTGACAACATGCAGACAACCGCCCCGACCCTGTTGGCTACGCCTTGACTTCGACCGAGTTCAGCAATGGCGAGCCTGTTGTCAGCAGCGACTCGACTAGCGCTCTCAAGAACATCATGTTCAACAAAGACCTCAGCAAATGTCCCGATCAGTGCTTTCGCCCGGTCGGCCTCGCCTGGGATTCGCAGAATAGGTTGTTCATGACTTCTGACAGTACTGGTGAGATCTATGTCCTCAGACAGAACGATGCGACGCCCACTTCTACATCACCAGGCACCATCGTGACCTCGACCGCCAAGCCTGATGCCGCCAACGGTATTTCGCCGTCGATCGGCTTGGTCTTTAGTGCCATCTGCGCTGTGTTATGGGCAGTAATTTAATATTCTAAGATGATACTCGGCCATTGTGATGAGAAGAGACTTGCAATGACGCCGGCACTGATGGAGAGTAGCACATGCAGGCCTTTCACGATTTAATGAACTGTTACACTATCGATACTCGCCGCTTCATGTGTAACGCAGTAGCCTTTCTTCTGTAGCTCTGACCGGTTCGGTATATTCTTCACGATGTAATGAATTCACTGTATACGAGAGTTGCCTCAGCCGCCATGGAATTCGCATTTGCCTTCGTTCTCAACAACAGTAAGTCTCGAATTCGATGGCTTCGAACAGTCGGCGAACCGACGTTCGTAGCATTACACTCCACACGTTGCTCTTTCCAGGCCGTCGCAAACACCTTCGCATCTGGTGATCCTGATCGAGTGTGGTTGAGACAACAAGAAAACCTGGAATCGCGACTTATTGTCGACTTGCTTGCGAGATATACCCAGCTCTAAGTAAATTTGCAAACTACTAAGGAACTTTGTCTAGTAGCAGGATTTTGTGTTTTTTCCGACCTTGGAATGGAGGTGACAAAGCATGATGCCCTCAGTACCGAGAGCGGCTTATTGGGAACAGAGACGGAGGTGTGGCTGAAATTCTACGAGTCTCGTCGTCTTTCCCTGATGCGTCGTCATAAGGGTCAGAGAGTACGTGACCTTTGAGAACTTCGTCGCGAATCGACGTCGATACACCGCGTCATCTGACATGATCGGCGTGAGGATTCTTTAGATGATACCGCGATGGTATTGACAAATTGAGACGCGATCGCGGTGGTCCTCCTGGTGGGCTTATCCCGTTTTGATGAGCTAGACGTAGAACGGGGTCGAAGGGAGTCCGGGAGAGCGAGATATCGGCGTGCTCGGGACGGGATAGAGGCAAGCAATAGCAGTCGCAGGCCGAGCATCATTATATAAATTTGTGATCTAGGTCGAGCCTGGACGATTTGCAGGCTTCTTTTGCTTCTCGATGTCATCTTCAGAGGTCGACGTGAGCTTGCGCTCTGTCATCTCTTACCCGAACCCTTGCATTCCTCTCGCCGACTCCCACAAGCCATCACGAAATAGCCTCACACTCCTTCCGAATGCCCTCAGAACATAGTATCCAACCATCCCGGCATCTACCAACACCACCGACGCAGCCATGAAGGACCCCTGCTGCCGGATGCCCACCACACATCCACCTCCGCTTCCCTACCTCCCACACACACGTGAATCACGCCGTAATCATGGTTTTCGCGGGTGCATGGCACAAGGTTCGAAGCTGCACTTCGGCACAGCGCAAGCTTTGACGGACCGAAGTGGTGGTGGTTGCAGAACACACCACCACACCAACTCCCAAAGAGTACACCGAAGACGAACTTAATTCTGGAGGGAAAAGAATCCGCACGGTGTCGGTACCGCAGTACTTCCATAGCCGTTGTCACCAACAGGAAAAGATACATGCTGAGATGTTTTGACTTCGATTCGTCGTCTGATGTAGGCCGAGTGCTGCGTCCCGGAAGTTCGTACTCGGGCAGCTAGCTGGCTTTGGCCGCTCGTCTCCTGCTTAGGCGTGCGCTGCGGGTTCCGGGTCTTCCTGGAAGTGCCTTTTTCTCTTTCCTGGAGTGGGGTGGTAGAAAACGTTTCTTCGTCTCTCCGCCGACACCTTTCGACTTCTTCCTCCTGCAACTCCTCCCACGACTTGCCATCACCAGTCCATCACCACAACCACCACCGACGACACCGATCTACCCTCCGACGATTGTTCCCATCTTCGCAGCAGATCATTTTTGGAAGCGAACATTGGTGCAAGCAGCCATGGTTCGGAAACGTCATCACCACCACGCCAGATCACGTGGCCTTGGCTGAACACACACATTCCACCTCTCTCCCGTTTCCAGCTCCCCTAACATATTCTCTCTCTCGCTTATCTCTTATCAGAAAGGTCAGTTCCAGGTCTTTTTTTTCCATCTGCGCTCCTCCCAATAGCCCATCGCTCTTTCCCCATCGTCTCTGCCCAGCAAACGTATCCATCTTCACAACACCATCATTTTCTTTTGCCAACGGGCAGCATTTTTTCTTGTTTCCTGGCTGCTGCTCTTGCCTCAAAGACTCTGGTTGCTCTCGCTTAAAAAGTGGGTTGGTGATTTTTCTGCGTTCGCTGTTGCCCGTCCTCATTGACCTCTGGGTTTGTTTACACCCTCCCTTTGCTCACATCTTCACAACCGCACTCAGCCTTGAATTCATCCACCACTGCCATTTTTATGTCATCAACAGCGCTGTTAGGTGCTCTGCCCTCTTCCCACCTTCAAAAAAAAAAACACGCTGCCTTGTTCTGCTCAATCCTGCTGCATAAAGGCCTCCAGACTGATATTCATCAAGCATCAAAAAGAGGCATCAAAGAAAAGCTAGGACAGCACGGCAAAGCTGCCCGTTGCACCTGCCCATTCCATAACAAAGGTCAGGAACAAATCAGATGCTTTCTTCCAAACATGGCATTTCTTGCTGACAATTCGCTTCTGTTCAGGCACCTCAGAGACCTCCATAAACACTGGGTGCACTCAGCCCAGCACTCCTGCAGGCGAGACGATCCATCATGCAAACACCATGAGCTACGTTCCTGGAGGAGCTAGGCGCTCCGACCTCACCACATGAAACAATCCGCACAAGCTGGCTGAGCGTTGCTTGAAACATCCAAGCGGTAAGTGTATATATGTGGCTACTGCTCCCTGGTTCAGAAGTTCTAACAACCCGATAAAGACAGCTGTCGCATGGCTTTCGAAGTCGAGTCAACAAGCAAGTTGAATGTTTGCCGCTCAATACAATGCAGCCATTCTCAAGTTATCAAGAGAAGACTTGATGGAGTCGGCACTACAACTTGAGTATTGTCCCCAAGGACACTGGTCTCAACAATGCCTGCCTGAGTCTCGCGGCCTCACAATCACAGGACTGGGGCGTGGACCCTGAGTCTCTGCAAGTCTTGATAACGGCGATGCCTTCAATTCCGGCCTCGACGATCGAGCTGTCGTCACAATGCGATTACCAAGGATTTCGCCCTGCTTTCACATCAGCCTTACTATGATTCAAGAGATGACGGGCTTGTCGGCCACTACACGATATCGGATTGCCTGCAGATATCCATGACAGCACAAGTTTGACATCGAAGGCACATCCAACAGGTTGGAGGTTGGTGGCAACACCCATCTTGCACTCCCTGCCTTCAACAACGGCGGAGCGGGCTCTGCCACCCTCCTCACCGTGCTAGTCATTCTTGGTGCCGGTCACCACCCACGGCGCCATTCGCCTTCGTTCAATTCAATGGCGCCGGCCGCCGCGTGCAGTTCAAGGAGTTCGATCCTGGTATGTTATTCTCCCTCTGTTATCCCTCCGATATCACAAGTTATCTTCGAGTGTGGTTTCACATGGTCTCCCATCTCGTCGCTCCATCCATGACCCAAGATCACGTCAACTGACATGAGACACAGTTCGAACTTGGACCACAAGATTGACATACTCTCCGGAGGCTGGTTCATTAACCTCCAGCCTCTGTCAAGCCATTCGCAAGCCTCAACAACACCCTTTGCTCGTCGTATTGCGCGGCGAATTGCTACTGCTCACCAGTATGTGATTGATTGACCTCAGCCTCACGCATTCAACAATTTCTACCAGTCAACATGTTTGCGTCCGCGGGCTTGCCCGGCGCGAGCCTCGCGGTACGGGCAACCATCTCCGCCGGCGGAGGCACATCCAAGCCTCACTCAAATCGCCGCGTGGAAAGCTCACCATCCCGATCAAATGGCGGCAGTTGGTTCCCCTGCGTAATTGCACCAACATGACATCGATTCATGCGGGAGCTAACTGCCAGCCAAAAATTCCAGACGCACCTGGTAATTTGAAATGTTGTTCAAATTATCGCGGCGGGCAGTATGAACCTTAACGAACAATGTTCCGGCGTCTGGCTCCCTCTGTAAAGAGATTTCATGAACATCGCGATTCATGCGGGGGAGTCAGGCGTCGCTCGGCAAGGGCTTTCGAAAGAGGATGTTTGATGAAACTTAACGAACATATTTCGGCGTCTGGCTCCCTCTCCCAAAAGCAAACCCTTCGACGGGGAGTCAGGTGTCGCACCGCCAGACGACTTTCCGGAGGCCATGACCCTTAACGAACATATTCCGGCGTCTGGCTCTCTCTGTAAAGAGACTTCATGAACACCGCGATTCATGCGGGGGAGTCAGGCGTCGCCAACCAAATTCTCTCGAAAGTGTATGTTTGACGAAGTCTCCCAAACATATTTCAGCGTCTGGCCCCTTCCTCAAAACCACAGCGCAACAGTGGGGGTCAGAAGTCGCACATCAAAAAGCTTCCCAAAAGAAGATGTTGTTTTGCCTCCCAAGCGATGGCATTTCTGTGGGAGAGTGGACGGGATCCCGAGTTTTCCAATGGGTGTGGTCGTATGAAGTCTCACGAACATATTTCGGCGTCCGGCTCCCTCCCCCAGCACACGGCTTTCATGATTCACGATCCATGGGGGGGCTGGACGTCGCCCATTGCACTGCGGCTTGGAATCTGAACGAGCGTTCAGATTATGTTCGTCTGCTGAACCTTAACGAACATACTGCGGTGGTTGGGTCGCCCGGGTCGATTGCCGGACAGTCTTCCCGGGTCCAGCCACCGTCAGTATGTTACTCGACAGTTCGGGTTTACTAATCTGAAATTTCGTTCAAATTACGGTCTTCGAATGTATGAACCTTAACGAACATTGGCGGCGGCGGGTGTCTCGGGACAATGGCAATTCATTCGCCCGGGCTAACCGCCCGAGGTTGATGCCTCACGGCAACTCTTGAATCATTCGTCTCGGAGCCTGCCGTCGTCAATGTTCAAACACTTCGATAGAACATTAATAATGATTATCGGCCATCGACATCAGCATCAATGCACACCAACACTGGGGTGCCTTCCGCTTCACACCCGACGATTGGACACCTCTGCCATTGAGCAAATCAACCGTGTTCCTTGCGTTTTCTTACCGACACCTTACTGGAGCATTCCCACAGAATTATGAGATGCTCGAGCCACTGAGACCCCTGTCCCAGTGGCCCGCCCGGCGCGGGCCAGCAAGACGCAGGCGGCGCCGGCGCCGTCGGCCTCATTTCAGTCTTCGAGACCGAGGTCTGATGGCGGTGCTGCGGCGCGTCTTTCCCACACGAAGCGGTCACTGTTGCATCAAGGTTCAGTTCTCGTCGGAGATTTCATGGCCTCTCACTCTGCCGCGCATTGGTTTGTCTCCCTTCTCTACCCTTCACCACAGCTGCTAACTCCTTCATGCTCAGGTCCCCTGGCTGACCTGATCTACAATGGCCCGGCTCGTCTGCTCTCTCAAGCTTGTCTCTCGCTGGGTATGTCGAGATTTCGAACAGAGTCAACACACGCGGATTGCTGCATTGTGCTGCGCAGCGAATTGCTATGCTTGCTCGACCAGACTCAGGTGCATCTACAAGACTTGAATTAACTCCGGCCCTCTTTGGCCGCTGCTCGCATCTCAGGTGGCCGCCCACGGCGTACGATACTTGGAAGACGGGTTGCTGCATTATGTTAAGTCTGAGCCACTGGATTTCTTGCACCACTGCCGGTAGGTCCTGTCCCATCATCATCAAGCTATGGCCTCTAACTCCGGACAACAGAAACATGCCTCTGTCGCACCCGAAGCAGTTCCCGAAGAATATTGCATTGAACATCAGAATTCGAAGGAGGAAAATAACACTGGTCTTTGTCGACAACATGAACACATGTCAACCCTTCAAACGTCGATAGCATTCTACCATCGTTGCACAGGCTTCAAGACTCGTCATTCTGTTTCCGGGTTCCCCTTCGAGGCGATCGCACGACCTGGCTGTTCGAGGAGATATGTGTGACTGTGATTTAGCATTTGTCTGCGGCTCTCACTCCTCATGTGTTGGTGCGTTGTGTTGTGCGGCGAGTTGTTGTTCTTACCGAAAGACAAGACCCACCGTTCTCATGCTGATTCACGAGGAAGTTCCGCGCGTCGTTCCATTGCCCGAAATAGCTGTCACAGTCGAACATACAGCATCACCCATCTCACGAGAAACGGGACAGGAAAAGCTCTACCTCGCCGACACTCATGGCGTTCCTCTCCGTGGCAGCATCCTTTGCTTATCACTGTCATCGACCAGCTTGTTCAGATTGTGTCTATGGAGGCAAAACACCGCGTCACAATAGGAGCCAGATTGAGAATCAACACTGTCCTCGACGGGTAAGTCGAGGATCTGAGGACATGTACACATGAGGGCTGACAATGTTCATCTATAGCTTCTCAACATCACAATCCAGATGATGAATAGATCTGTTCCATGTTATGAGTGCGGACCCGAACGCTTCGGAAGAGAAACAATGGATTCAGCAGGTTCGTACATGCCCCTGCTCTTCCATGGCAAAGCTGACACATACCCCAGACATTGCAGCTACATTGCAGCTAGACAGCGACGAGACAAGGTTAGCAAAGCGCAGCAAGCAGGAACTTTCGCCGTCTATGCATAAGAGAGTGTCGTTGAGCGTCTCACGCGACCCGCCCAGAAATCGATTCGTACGAAGCCGGCGATCTCCGCGATTCATCCTGCGAGATTCGAACGCTCAAGGCGACCTCCGTATACTGCGAACACCGGCCGGTTTGCGCCTCGATATCGAGCCAGGCAAGATTCAGGTGCTACGATACAGCGTCGATGGAAATGAAGAGGTATTTTGCTAGGATTCGGGAATGGCGAGTTGATCAGAGCCAGAGAGGATTTAGGGTGCGTTGTAGACAGAAGGAACACTTGCAGAGCGGGATACGGGCAGATATTACTTCTGAGTAGTCCAGGAGACCCAAAATTGCGTTCCTACATTAGGCGTCCTTATTCCATTTTTAAATCGTGACGGCAGGAACTGTTGACAAAAAGCTCGTGACGGTGCTTTCTCGTGATAATCATGCCGTCCTCTCCATAACTTGCACCCACATGTCAGAGATGACGAAGAGCCCCATGACATTGTGAGCCTTCCACGGACGCGCGGGATCGATGAGCGCCAGCTCGAAGTTGCGTAGTAGCTGCTCGTAAACACCTGGTTAGTATCGCGTCTTCGAGAAGGAGGATAGATGCCAGCTCACCTCGAAGATCGTCTTTGCCATCTCAAGCTGCGCAACCGGCTTGCCCAAGCACACAAACCTCCCATACCCAAAGACCATGTCATTCACACTCTTCATAACCGCAAGCTTCTCCTCATCCTCCTCAAACCACCTCTCAGGACGAAACGCCTTCGCGTCCTCCCCATACGTCTCCTCGCTACGATGCATCGCGTTGGCAGAGTACGCAATACAAGCCCCCTCCGGCACAAACACGCTCTCCCCACCAACCGTAATCGTGTCCCCTCCAGCCGGCACATCCCGCGGGAAAGGACACACGACCGGCGGCCTCACCCTCAACGCCTCGCGAATCACGGCCTGGAGATACGGCATCTTCCTCGTCTGCTCTAACGACACCAGCCCCTCGCCCTGCCCTGGCGCAAGCCCGTCCCTCACAGCCTCGTCAATCTCGCGCCTGAGCTTCGTATACACCCGCGCGTTCGTCATAATCGCAAGCAAAGCCCCCCGCATCGCCGCCGCCGTCGTATCCGACCCGGCAATGATCTGCTCCAGCGCCTCGGACCGCAACTCGTCCCCGCTCAGCCCGTGCCGGATGAAGGACGCGAGCATATCCGACCTCTTCTCCGTCTCGCCCTCCGCGCGCGCATCCACCGCGCGGAAACACGCCGCCATCATCTTCCCGAAGCCGGTGCCGTCAGCCGGCGAAGGGGCGATGAGGCGGCCGACGACGGGCGCCTGCGCGAGCCAGCTCCCGCCGAGGGCGAGGGCCACGTTGGCGGCCGTGAGGCCCTGGTCGTTGGAGGCGATGTAGGCGTCGACGTCGGCGTCGTGGCGGAGCATGCCGAAGGTCTTGCCGAGCCCGACGCCGGAGATGACGTCGAGGGTGAGGTACTGGATTTTCTTGGCCAGGTCCATGGGGACGATGTGGGATGGGGTGGAGAGGTGGTTTTGGCGGATTAGGGCGAGGAGTTCGGCTACGCGGGCGTCGATGGCGGGTTCGAGGTCGAGGTTTTCTCGGCCTGAGTACTGCGGTGTTTTTGGTTAGTAATAGCTGAGGAGGGAGGAGGGAGGTGAGGCATACGCCTGGGGCCATTTGTTTTCGTCTCTTGTCGTGCTTTGCGTTGTCAGTCTGCGTGAAGACGTTGTCTCGGCGGTGTTCGACGCGGGCGGCGTGGTAGAACCAGTCGGTGCGCTTGTAGCCGGGGTGTTTGTTCACGTGTGTCCAGACCTCCGGGGAGGATGTCATCAGGATGCCTGGTGCTATGCGAGCGATTGGGCCTGGGGGTTGTCAGGAAGGTGGATCAAGGGATCGAGGGAGGAGGATCGTGTACCGTATTTCTCGTTCACCTCTGCGTACCACTCGTGAACATTGTTTCCCAGGATCTGCTTGCTGTGTGGCCAGTGGGTGATGCCCGTCCACCGCGGTCCGCCGAACTTGCGCAACTTGACGAAGACGATGAGACGGTTGACGACGAAGTAGAGGCACAGCAGCCCGCCGAGGATGGGCAGAGTTGCCAGGCCTGATATCGAGCTTAGGAGCGCCATTGTAAAAGATTCTAATGTGAACAGATTCACCTTCGACATACCCGTCATCCAGAGAAATGTGAGGACTCTCTGCCTTTTGTAAATCATCCATCTGAGGCCCCGCACGACGATGATTCGTCTGCTCGGTTACGAGGCGTGCCAAGTACATACCGGTTCCCCATCGCCCCAATCAGGACGGGGGGATACATCAGCAGTCATCATCGGGATGCTACGCTGGTAGATGCGGGATGTGCATTAGTCTGGTTTGTAGCGGGTATGGTTCCGATGCCCCCCTGCACTGATGATGCGGATGACGGCGGCGGGGGTGTGCGTGTTTCTCGGTCGAGAGTAGCCTTGGTGGGAATGGCTTGCTGTACTCGGCTGCGAAGTTGGGAGATCTCGATTTTCTGCTCTCCGATTATGGGATTCAAGATATTTGGCAAGCCGGGGTTGGAACCAGCTCGTTACGGTTCAGATTCGGTACCCTGAGGCACCTGAGCGATATTCACCTCCTGGCTGCATGGCTACAATACTTCCAGAGTTACATTTTATCTCGGCCGATGATGTCTCTGTTGTGACCCTCGACTACCTTGTTCCGCTAGTTTTGTTTGTTGCAATTCTCTATATCCTTTGATGATCTCCAAGCTGCTGACTGTGAAGAACAACGGGTATTTGTTTTGTCCAACTCGAGTATAACATGAAAGACTTGCGGTTGAGCTCAAACAGTGGTTCCCGCTGTGGTCGACTTTCCAGATTTCTTTCAGCCTCCATATGATACAGCAAACTTGATAAGGAAGGTTTTGGAGAGAATAGGGGGGAGGTGTCAAAGTTTGTTTGGTAGAGTCGTGAAGTTTGAGGCATTAGTTTGAAATTTCCCTTGCTCCGTCATCGTGACTTTATTGTTCCACATATCCGGCATCCTCGAAATTTGGCTGGCTTCGTTTTCCTGCCAGTCTCCCATTTCGTTCATCATCGAAATGCAACAGTATGGGATGAAAAGAAGCACTCCCTGGAATAGGATACTGTATCACACATCACACCTTCATGCCGTCGATGGTTATGTACCACGGCGGCAGGAGGCGTTCTCAGATATTCATGACGAAGTGCAACATTGATACAATATTATCCATATCTTGGTCGAGAATTGTTAAGCCAGGGAATCATGGCTTTGCCAGCCAGGACTCTACCTAACTTCGGAAAAGAACATTTTCCCCTGAGATGCTATCTGAGGGATCTTTTCTTCCGAGGGCCTTCTCTCATTGGAAGAAAACAAACAAGTCTTGATTTAAGATGAAAACGAAGGCTCGTTCTTGATTGGCCGATAAATCATCACCATTCACCACGCGACTTCCTTTTCGAAACTGATAATACACCAGAGCCGCACACGTGACTGAAGCCCTTCGAGGCAGAAGTGAGGTAAAGTCGGTCTTCGAGCTCCTGCCTTCAGAGATCGATCCAATTCACCATTAAAGCCCACCGTTAAATCCCTTCCCTCTCTCTCTTCCCTACACCCTCTTCCTCCTTCTCTCTCTATCCCACACCACCACCATCATCACAACCTCTCCACAAACACTCTTATCTCTCCTCTCCGCCACCCAACCGAACTTCATCTCACCTATTCTTCTATCCCTTCCCATCATCACCATGAAGTTCACCACTGCCATCGCTTCTGCCATCCTTGGCTTCGTCGCCGGCTCCGCCACCGCGGCTGCTGTCCCTCGTGGCGCCGAGACCAACGGTATCATCGAGGTGCTGTCTGCTGACAAGGCCGACAATGGCATCAAGGGCAATGGCATCATCGAGGTTCTCTCCACTGGCGAGGCCAACAACGACATCAAGGGCAACGGCATCATTGAGGTCCTGTCTGCCGACAAGTCCAACGATACCATCAAGGGCAACGGCATCATTGAGGTCCTTTCCGCCGACAAGAAGGGCGGCTTCGGCGAGACTTGCCACAACCCCCGCCTCGACTCGCGCATCATCAACGAGAACCAGCACATCTACTCCATCCACGCCACTTGCGCCGACAACAAGGACCAGTGGGTCAAGACTCACATCCAGCTTAACCGCTGCTTGAAGAATGACGACGGCGATCTTGCCTGGGCCAACGTGTAAGTACACCATCGACCATCTCCTGCTCACGCGATCTTGAAAAAAGTCTAACCTCTTCTCTTCCCAGTGGCTACTTCGACGATTCCTGCAAGGACTGCATCCTCACCACCAGCAACGAGGACGAGTCGGAGATCCTCCTCACCTGCACCTGCATTGGCGCTCGCGACAACCGTCCCACCCCCTCTACCATCAACCTCAGTATGTTTCCTCCCTGTTTCATGTTTCCCCAGATCTCGCGCTGACACTATTCTCCAGACGATGGCATCCGCAACAGCTTTGGTGTCATCTGGTGCGGCGAGCAGACTGGCTACATTGAGGAGTAAGTCTGGGCATCACACGTCTTGGCTCTTCATTGAGAGAGTGGCTCTTTTCTTGGACGGCTAGGATGGATGGTCCTTGGAATTCTACACGCGATAGACGGCTTTCTTCATAGATCTGGGATGGACAGGCGTTTTGGACGATGATACCACTTGGAACCTGTGCCTTATTGCACCTGTTCAGGAAGAAGGGATTCTGCCCCTAGAGGCTTTCATCACAGACAATGATAATACTTTCACCGCTTTGTGACTTCTTTTTGTGACTTCTCTTCTTTCATGCGTGAAAAGTCTGCGCGACGCGTCTTCTATCTCCTTCCTGCTTTGTGCTGTTGTTCTGCTTCACGTGATGTCACTTCACCTTCAACCTCAGCCAGCCTCAGGCTTGCCTGGCAAGATCTCGCTTAGCTGGCTGGCGGTCTCTTGATTTTTCTTTTCCTGAGGCAGAACAGACCTATCACCCTGACAACCCTCCGTCTCCGAGGTAGGCCTCTTTTTTCCTCAGCCTCCCTTCCACCAGCGCTACACCAGCCTTCTACTTGACATCATTGCTCAGGCTCGTCTTCGCTGCATACATAATCAAAATACCCAAGAAACGGAAATTCTCAGCTCATGCAGAGTGCAAATCATCTCCTTGGGCACTCAGTGGAATCTCGCCAGTGCCAGGGGAAAATTGAGCATCACCTTCTTCACGTCCTCCCCCAAAAGCTTTCATCTTTCTCAAAAAAGATTTCCTCACGGGAGGCATGTTTCTGCCTTGTTATTTTTTCAAGGCAGCCCTTGGGAGGAACACAAGCGAGCCCTTTTTCACCTGCCAAAATCCCATCCACAACTTCCTCCACCCATCATCACCACCAACGTCATTTTTTCAACCATCAAAATATTCCATCACCTCCATCCATCATCATCCATCATCAAAACAACAAGATGCAACAGGCCGCCCGCCTGTAGTGCCTCAATAGGCTTTGTTACGCAGCGCGTTATGGCCAGGCTGTGCTCTGGCAGTCTTTGTCACGCGCGTGAAAAGATTTCTCCTCCAAGAGAAGATTCACAGACCCAAATCTTGGTACGGACTCCCTTGTTTTGCTTGTTCCCAGGTTCACGTCTTGATTCCTTCCTCTGTCCAGCTTGGCTGACCTTTCTTTTGCAGGTTTGACGCCGGCGTCGCGCATTCCTCGCCATCTCCAGTTCAAACAAATGGGAATACTCAGACGCGCTGCACCAAGCTCTCATGCTACAGAGCTGCCGGCAGCTCACCAATTCGAGTTCAAGCTGCCACCCCCACGCCAGACTCTGTCTCAAGGTTCGTTTCATCCCCCTAATCTGCATACTGTTCTTCTCTAACTTGGAGCAGCTGCCCAATTCGACATCTCTGGCTTTCCAGGAGCATTTGCCTCCATCGGCTCGACATGAGGACTATGGCAAAAGCTCTCGAAAGAGCTTGTTCTACTCTTCGAGGCAGTAATGAGTTGCCGCGTCTCATGCCCAGGCATGTTTCACGACCTTCTGCAAGAGCAGAGTGTCTTCGTCGAGTCTCGATGACTCGACAAGACCGAGGGCGGGACCCCTTGAAGTAAGTACTCGACTTGTCCATTCCCCGACATGCATGTTGCTGACGATGAGCTTGCAGACCGCCTCTGCACAGAGATGAACAACCATCACCGGTCAGGGGCATGCGGGTCCTCTCAGCCCTGACACGCTTCCTCTCCCTCTTTTCCCTCCTCCAATGGGGCTCAGAGGCTCAACTTCCTTCTATCTTCCGCTTCGAGGGCCAGGTCTTGCGAGCTCATCAAAGGCAAACCATGGCGTCCAGTTCCTTTTTCAAAAGCCCGCCCCAGCTATCCGTCGCTGCGAAAGAGTGGCCTGTATTACAAACGACCATGCTCGGACGGTCCAAATTGTCGCTGGCGACATCAACAAGATTCGATCCAAGGTAAGCAAGCTCCTCCAACCCCATCTCTTCTTCAGTCAGCACAGTCTCTGATACCAGCTCGCAGTTCGGATCCCTACGCTTCATCAAAGAAAAGCCATGTGCCAGTCACATCAGGCACTGAAGCGTGGGAAGAAGTCCTGCATGCGTCCCGGTGACGCATGCAGGATTTGGTAGACATCAAGTTCCTGTCCCGACCAAGTCGAAACTCGACTTGACTTTCCGCCTTTCGACTCGGCGGTCTGTCGCATCGCCTCCCATCGCGGCCGGCCCGCAACATCCTCAACGGCGTTACCAGCGCCGCGGCTGCCGGCAGCTGCGATGGCGGCTAGGTGACAGGATTGTTTGCCTCCGTCGGTTCTTGACGATGGCATTCATCAGCCATGTGCTGCTTTTGTTTTCTGTTCCAAAGAGTTTCAGTCTCGAGAAACGAAAGCAACCTCGGACTGATTCCTCAAGCACAGTGGCTCGTTGTCCTCGGCAATACAGCCTGACCTTTCCGAGAAGTACAACTGGATGTCGTCACAAGTCGACTACCAAGAATTCTGCGCATTCTCTCTCTTTTCGAAAAGAATGAGCAAGCTGAAGCTCAGTCGGCGGCCCCGCTGCTGGCACCGGTGCCACAGTTGGGGTCGTCGTTTTCGTCGCTGTCATTGCCTTTCGCTGCCCTCCCATCGATGATCCTTTCTGGGGCATCCGCGGCATTACGTGTCGGCTCTGTTCCAAGCACCCATCTGCTCCCCATCGGCGTTCAACACCAAGCCTTCAGTCAGCTCAAATGAAGAAATGGGCTTCATCTTCACAACGAAGACGACCGTTTCTCGGCTCCTGCCGGCAGGAGCCGAGAAACACAATTGCCATGTCCAAGCCACGACCTCTGGCATCAACAACGTTGGTCCTTGCCCGCCCTCATTCTTGACAAGGCGTTGAGCCGGGGTCTCCGGGATGTTTTGGAGAATGGGGTTGTGGTGTTCGCACTACCAAGATCGTGCACCGTAAGTTGCCAATCTTTGGAACGGAAAAGTGCAGAGGCTAACTCGTCTACCAGACTACTCCAACCAGAACCAACGCCCCGGGCCCTCCCGCCATCTTTCAAACTCGTCACCGCAGAGCTCAACAAAACTGCGCCGGCCGCAGGCCCCTCAGACCCTCTGGCCGAATTCTACCAAAAGGCACTTGAGATCTAGGGTCATCGTGTCACCGACAGAACTTTGAAGCAGCTCTCTTTTGTTGGTGAACACGCGATAGTCGACGTGCCTTGTTTCTCAATCTCATGGAACTGTTTGAGTCAAAAAGACGGATTGCTGTTGTTGTCGACTTGCCTCTCGAAGGAAACGAGGTTTTCTTCGACGACTATCCTGGTTCTCGGACCTTTACCGTCTCGGGTCCAAGAATCATTATCGACTGCTTCGATGGTCGTTTTCTCCCGGGGTCTCCAGATCGATGATCACAGTCAACAAAGACACAGGCGCCTACTCGGTCATCGTGACTAGCACTTACGTTTCGTTTCTCGCTCCCGACGAATTGAAACGGGGGCGTCGCCGGCGGCGTCCGCCGTTCCAATTTTCGGCGCCGGCGCCCTCAACCTGCCTTCGCCGGCGGTTCTCGCCAGTCAGCTGCACCGTCCAGCATTGTCCGGTGCAATGCTAAGGACATGTATCACCCTTTCTCGTATCTTCCGTCTCGGTCTCGGCGAAGAAAGCTTGGGTGCCCGTGCCGGAGCATCACGTCAGCGCCGGCGCCGGCGCCGGCGCTGACCATGGAGGCACACCTCTGTGGACTCGGGGGGCCGCCTTCCTGAGCCGAAGCTCACCGGTGCGTTCTCCCCAGACTTCGTTCCCAACGCGTCTTTGGCCTACACTGCTAATACCTCGCCCAGTTGCTCCGCCTTCTTCAAGTTTAAATTCCTTGAATTTGAGGCTCAACACACACATGAGAGTCATAATATTGGCCATCGTCCACAGCCAGCCATGGCTGTTGAAGCCGATGGGTCTCAGGCCGGCCCTTCTACAGCCAGCGAACAGTATCTGCACTACTTGTGGTTTCGCCTTCGACAGACATCTCATGGTGGTGGTGGCTCGCCACGGATCGACGGGGGGTGCCGGTCACCCTTCGGAGGCTGGCTCCGAACAGAACCGCATCGATCAGGATGGATGGCGGGCGCCGGCGCCCGCATCCAACGTGTAAGTTTCCCTCCTGCATCCTGGCTGCTGTTTCTCTGTCTGACCCTTCCAGGCAAACATGCGCGTCACCATGAACACTGCGTGTGGTGTCCGGCCTGGTATCTACAACGGGGACCGAGGGCGACGTCGAGCAATTCAAAAGGGCTTTCTCGGAGACAGCAGAGTGTGGCAGGGAATGAATGGTGAGGGGCAGTCAAAAAGGATTACTGTGTCGGATTGAGAGGCAGAAATTGAACATCTATGGATGTTGATTCGTATTGTTGGCGAAAGGGCTGGGTACAACAGGGCAAATTCAATCAAACAAGTTTACACAACATGAAAGATACCACGTGAAACATGGCGGTCTGATTGCATTGGCATGAACAATCTCAAGTGCGACCTGTTCGTCTCCGCTTCGTTTTGCAGAACTGGCAGCGATCCAACTGCGGATGGCATCCTTCGATAAATAAGCGACCATTCACATCACTCAACTAAGAGACACATTCTCAGAAGACATATGAGATTTGTATTCAAGGGCCAAGTGGCCGTCACCTCATCAAAGAGGGAAGAAATAGGTATTCTAGACATAAAAGAGCCGTTCCATCGTACTTCTCAATCTCCGAAGAGACATGAGGGGAGACCTCTGGGAATCATTTCGTAATTCTTGTTGCGTTTTCATCATTTTTTTGTGTTCGTTCCTTGTTTCATTCGTTTCATAAAAAGTCGTGTCGTTGATGTTGTATAACAAGACCGCGCGCTTTCCGCGGCCGAGGTTTCGGGACTTGCTCAGCGTAACTTCGTCATGTTACGCTCAGCACACCCCGACATAAGTAGGTGTGTGTCGGAGATTTCTTCGCAGGGAGATTTTTCCAACACGGATGATTCTTCTTTCGTATCTTCTCGTGCCGGCGGTTTGATGTTGTGCAAACCGCCGCCGGGGTTACATGTAGCTGGCCCACGTCTGGACGGTACGCAGGTGCAGACCGGCGAGACTGACGGGCAGCTCGAGCGGCGCTTTGTTGTTGTTGTTGTTCTTGTTGGGTCCGTTGAGACACGAGGCCGGGATCTTGACGGTGGAGTCGCCGTCGTCGAAGCCGGAGCGGGCGCCCGTGCCGTGCAGGCCGGTCGCCTCGAGCATCGCGAACTCCTCCTTCAGGCTTTCGACGTACGAGCTCTCGCTGTGGGCTGTTTCCTTCGTTAGTCTCGGGGTTCCTCGGGTTATGTAGGAGAGATGCCGCTTACTCTCAGATACGTCGGTCCTGTTGTCGAAGTCGACGGACCAGGTGTTCTCCGACGCCGAAGCGATCTCGGCGGGGCACCCGGCGGCGGCGGCGCCGTGGTTCTCGGTCGAGAGGCCGAGGAACAGCGCCAGCAGCACCGAGAGGAGCCCTATCAGCCTCTGCCACGAAGGCGAGGCCTGGGCCATGTTGGTCTGTTGGTTGGGTTGGGTGTTTCGAGGGTGACCTCGGAAGAGGGTGTCTTCAAAAGAAGAAAATTCAATAATCAACGCGGGTTCTGGTTGTCTTTAATAGCCGTTGTTTCTTTCCTCAACGCACACCCCGGCGGCGGACACCCGGCCAACGGAAGCTGGAGCCGGGGTGCAATGAGCGGTGGGCGTTCGGTCAGCCCCCTCGATTTTCCGCATGTTCGCCTCGCGATTCTCGCCCCGCCGGTTCTCTCTCTTTGAGTTTTTTTTCGGTCCCCGTGAAGCAAGAAATCCCTCGATGGGGACTGGTCCAACTGCGCTGGCCATGCATCTGTGGGCTGGGCTTCCGGCGGTAAAGGATTTCGCAATTGGGCGGGTGGTTCGTCTGGAGGCCGGATCGAGACTGGAAAGCTGGGCGGTGCATGGGTTTGCTCCGTTGAGGTTTCCACCGCGACGAACCGGATTGCGTCGAGGGATGTTTGACCCCGGCGCGGTGTCGGGGTCGTGATTGGGGCGAGAAGCGGTTGGACAAGGGTGCGTGATCACACCGCAAGAACGGAATGCGAACGAGCAGGCGAACGGGCTCCACCGGTTGACGGAATCCAGGCCCAGCGTTGGCGTGAGGGGGTCCGGGGATGGGCCGGGCCTGGTTCGTGTCCAACCCTTTTGCTCGTCCGTCCGGCGGCTCCGGCCGTGTTCGGAGTCTGTGCCGGCCGAGTCGGGGGAGGCCGGGCTTTGCTCTCGGAGCTGAGTCAACGAATGTGGCCTCAGGCCAAGGTGGGAGTGGAGGAAATGCGAGAAATTGGATGCGGATATCAGATCATCTGATAAGATGCCAATAGCCAATCATGTGTGATGCCGAGATCTTGGGTCTTCTTCGTCGGCATGGCATCCCTGCTGGAGAAGCGAAGTCTCGTTGCTGCTCATCGAGACTTAAATCTCAACTCTGCGGTGATCGCACGGTGGTTAGCGATGGTTTTTTGTTTTCAAATCTCTGGTGTATAGAGAGTGGAAGAAGGCAACATCATCCTCAAGATGCCATTCTCCAATATGTTCACCGATGTACAAATGTGCAAGTTTCTCTTTAAATTTGTATTGCGCTGAAATGTCCACAAAATATCTGGCGATGCTCTTCTTGGTTCCTCGGCATCCTCGGCCGATGTAACGTGATTCGCCCTTCGGCTCGTGGCACTCGGCCCAGTCTTCCTATCCTGCCAGTCATCGGCCCGCAAAGAGGATCCCTAGAAGTCATTGCGTATGCATTTGGTTCTTGGGAGTCATCGTGTATAAATCCAGGTCTTCTCTTTGATGATCGTCGGAGTCTCTCTGTGCTACTCGACAGTTTTCAATCACGACCGTACCAGTTACAAGCTTCCCATAGACTACATCACCGTAATAATGAAGCTGATCACCCTCATCGCCGTCTCCACCTCAGTGGTCTCTGCTCTCGAATGGCTCCCCGTCGTTCCGCTTCACGCGCGACAGTTGACCAGTGGCCCCAAATATGACTGCCACGCCGACTGCGGTACGAAGTTCCCTACCCTTAGCATAATCCCGAATCGCCACATGTACTAACTCGAGCAGGCTATGCGATCCTCGACGCCAAGCAGGGGAACTACTGCACGAACGAGACGTGGACTGGATTTCTACAAGACTGCCTCGAGTGCGCCGAGCAGTACGATATCTGGCAGTACTACGGCGACGGCGTGACGGAGGCCGCTGAGGGATGTAACCTTGACGCCACGCCTGTTTCTGCTTCCAACAGCACGAGCAATGCGACTGCCACGACCGGAACGAGTGCAACGGGATCTACAACTTCACCAACTGCTACCGGGGTAAGTGTTTCAAATTCATATGTGTCGTGTTCGTGAAGTAGCTGACTGAATGCCTCGGACAGACTGCCGCTTCGACCGATGAGTCGAGTGCCGCAAATTTGAACAGACCGGCAATCGTTGTGTTTTCAGCTGCCATACTTGTGGCTGCTCATCTTCTGTGAATATTTTTAAAAGACATTTGATTTAGATTCAGCTTTGTGTTGAATAATTGATTGATGGAAGGACTCATGTGTACATACTTCGTCAAGTGATCTTCGAAGGACGATTCATCTTCGTAACTGAGTCAGAAGTCTGAAAAATCACTATTTATCAAGAATTTCGCCATTCTCAACAGGTTACTGAGACTCGAATCATATACTCCTCCTAGTATAGTTTGATTATGTCTTCAAAAGAACTGCAGCTCACTAGACCTCTGTCATGTGATGTTCTCTCAATGCGTACTTGGCTCTTTGTTCACAAACATGTCAACACTCAAAAGGACCCAGCAGTTAGAAAACGACGAATGCTCTTATTGATAATGTTACAAAACAGCAAACGCCCATGCAATGTACCAGCCAGCTACTCCAAGCGGCTTTGTTATTTGTACAGAGAAAGCTCCGCGCGGAGTAGTAAGAAAAGAAAAAGAAACATCTTCCATCACCAAAAGTTTTTTCATCCAAGCACGCTCCTGATAAAGCCCGATTGCCAGACCAAGTGGTCCATCAAATCCCAAGAACCTCGTCGTCGCACTCGTTTAAGCAGAGCCGGTGGGCTCAGCGGCGGGGGCGCCGGAGGGAGCACCGGAGGGGCGCTCGCCGCCGAAGCCGGGGAAACCGCCGCCGAAGCCGCCGGAGGGCTGGGCAGCGCCGGGGACCTGGGTGGGGAAGCCGGAGGGGAAGCCGGAGGGAATGCCGGTGCCGTGGTTCTTGCCCTTGCCGCGGCCCTTGCCCTTGCCCTTGCCGGTGGGACGGGCACCAGCGGCGCCAGTGCCGGTAGGGGCGCCGGTCTCAGCGGCAGCGGCGCCGAAGCCGGCGGCCTCGTTGGAGCGGCTGTGGACGCGGGTCTCGAAGCCGGAGGGGCGCTCGCCGCCGAAGCCGGGGAAGCCGTGGCCGAAACCGCCGGAGGGCTGGGCGGCGCCGGGGACCTGAGTAGGGAAGCCGGAGGGGAGGCCGGTGGGGAAGCCGCCGCCGAAACCGGGGAAGCCACCACCGAAGCCGCCGGAGGGCTGGGCGGCACCGGGGACCTGGGTGGGGCGCTCGCCGGTAGGGAAGCCGGTGGGGAAGCCGGTGGGAACGGCGGTAGGGAAGTTGTCCTCACCGTCCTGGGCGAAGGCGCCGGCCGAGAAGGCGGCGAGGATGGTAGCAGCGAAAACGTTGGCCTTCATTTTGATGGTTGTTGGTTTGTTGTGGGAAGGACTGGGAGATCGGTTTGTTTGAGTTGGAAAGTTCGAAAGGAATGTGTCGAAGAACGAATGAAAGCTTGGTATCAAGAACGGAACAGAAGACTAGCTTCAATGCTGTGAATGAAAGTGATGGAGATGGTGTGGGATGAGGAGAGAAAGAAGGTTATTTCTTGGAAGGAGAAAAGCCCGATCTTTATATCAAGATGGACTTGCCACGGCCGCTCCACGTTTCCGGCTCCTGGACCGCCAATATGGCGTCAACTGGTTGAACAACTTGGCCAACATGGCGAACCGTTGCGCCATCGGACGAGATGCATCGACAAGGGGGCTGACCCAGAAGTGCGGGATGTGGGCGTTTAGCTCAGAAAACCCAGGTCAGACCCCGGAAGAGTTGCCACTGTTCGGTAGTTGAGGCAGCTTTCCTGCGGCTCAAGTGAAGCTTGGATAGGTCGATGGTCCGACTTTCCCGCATTCGATCAAGACAGAACAGTGGTGAGAAGCATGGGTGTCAAATTGTTGTCAATTTCCAACGGGTGTCCATCAGGGGTAAAGGGGGGAGGAGGAGACTTTCCTTCCGCGGCGGGATATGGATGCTGCGTGGGTGTGGATGGTGCGGATGGTGGAGCTGCGCTCACGGAGGATTGCAGAGAGGCAGATTGACGGGCAGAGGTCTAGACCAGGGCAAGGAACGACCGATCTTCTCCAGGATTGGACTCTTGACTGCTCCTGTTTGTGTGGCTGGCCGCTGGGCGTGCTCGGTTTTGGCCATTTCGTGATCCATCCGGTGGGAGGTCAACGGGGATCTCTGCGTGTGTTTCAACGGAAAACCGGGCCTAGCAACTCCACCTGTCCCTTATTTTCCGACCGTGGCCAGTTTGCCGTAAATGAAGAGACGTCGTCGTCGTCGTTTCATCTTTACACTTTAGGGCCAGATGAGCAGCGTCGTGGTTCCCAGTTCGGGGGTTTTCTCTTGATTTCTTCGGGGTTGGATGGTTGCATAGTCCCATCTCCACCGGGGACGGACCATGTCTTACTTACGCGTCCATCGGATGGCAGACGTCGCGCTTAAATGAAGCCAGGGGTCATGCCTGCGTCGGACGGGCCAGTTGGGCCAGCCTTAACAAACATCACGGCGGCAACTGAAGGGTTGCACCCGTTGAAGGTCTTGCGAGATTGGAATTTCAGGAAGTCATATCCGTGGTGTTGACGAATGGTCTGGTCCTGCAACATCGATCGGTGAGACATCTCCGAGATTTGCTTCTCTTCTCTCGGTTTAGACGAAGTTCAGACGCAATAACCATAATGTTGTCCACCGCCTCGGGAATCCGGCTTCGGACATGGTGAAGCGCTTAAAGCCAAATTGCTTCCACGTCATTCTGCAATTTTCCACTTATCGCTCGAGGAGGTCTGGTATTGGTCATGAACAGCCTGAATGTCGCGATGTGATGATATGTCGTTGCGCATCATTAGCAGAACTCTCGCTAATGCATAATTCTCTACCTGAAATTCGGTCTAATATGGAACTCGACGAGATCTCGTGTGGTGCAGCTGGAGCATGATGCTCCAGACAGACGAACACCCATTTTTAGGGCAGACCCTTTGAGTTTGTTGCTATCTATCCACAGTACATATAACTGCCGCTGCCCAGCCAGTATTTCACGGTCTAGCCAGTATCGAATGTCATCATTGATGATAATAGATGCGTGACTATCACTCGCAAGTTGCCCCTGAACAGCCTTTGTCAGCGGCGACAGGGAGGAATACTCCAAACAACTCGTCTGTGCTTGTTTGACACAAAGCGGTTGACGATGCCGGAGTGGGGTGACATTGTTTTTTAGGAAACGTCAGCGAGGGACCCCTGGTCCAAGACTCCAATTCCGGCTTCGCAAGTGGTTCGCTATCGCTCAATTTGCTTTTGTCGCTTTTGTCTGGGGCACACCCTCGTTCCAAGCCATTGTAGTTTTGGTATCATAATATTCGAGACAGACTTCTACAGAATTTTGCGTCTACGGGGAGATAGGGTTCCCTCATGTCTCTGATGCCGAAGCCGAAGAAGACCTCGCAAGACTCCTAGACTTATGATTCTCAACCGAGGCTCAGAATGGGCCACTCAGCACATCCAAAACTCGCTTGGCAATCCACGAGTGCGTGAGTGTTGTCGGGCTGCTATACGTCAGACAACATCCCAGGAGCATTACGTCTGCGAAGGTTGGAAAAAAGGAAATAAAACTCACTGATACTCGTCCCAGTAAACCCGTCTCTCGGCGTCCCCGCAGATCGTCACGTTGGGCGTCTCGCCATACGCTCCAACTAGACAGCTTCCGTATTTGCCGAGGGCCGTGAAGCCGTACGATTCGGGGGCCGCATAGTACTCGAAATCATCGAACAGAGGACGCAAGTCGATGTTGACAGCGCCGGTTTTTGACGTGGCCAGGAGTTCCCCCAGGTGGTTTGTGTAGGTTTCCAGCTGTTGCTTGGCCACGCCGTCCACGAAAAAGCCGTAAGGAAGCCTAGCCAAGTCCGGTGGTGAGATAGTCAGGATCTCGGAAGTCGGATGGGCGTCGCGCAGCTGAGTCTCGACTTGTGCGAGAGCCTGGTATGACTGAGAAGCACTGATGTTTGCGTTGAACAGGATGTCGTTGGCACCCGCGAACAGCACGAAAAGGGGCGTTGCCATCGCCGCCGAGTCGGTCGTCGAGAATCCTTCCCCTTGAGGTGTCGTCTTGCCGAGGAAGGAAACAGACTGGTCGACGACTGACGGCACCGCAATCGAACTCTTTGGCCCAGTGTATCCTTGGATGAGAGAGTTGGATGTTGTCGCCCCTCCAACAGCGTAGTCGTACAGCGGGATAGACAAGCTGCCTGCTACATACTCGGACCAGACGATGCCATTCGAGAAGCGTCCGTTGTAGCTGCCCAGAAGTAAGTACAAAACATCCAACCATCATACCTGGAGTAGGATACTAACTATTCGTCCGAAGGCCATGAACCATTTGACACTCTAGCCGAACCATTTCCTATCTCGTTTATTACTACCGTCCTTCCGTCGATCCAAGTCATATCATCGAAGTCAACGTACCGTTATCGCTGAATGAATCCCCGAATACCACAATACTAGAGAACTTTGGCGCTGTCGCCCGACGCTGCCGGGGAATTGCGGAGGCGTAGGCCGAAGCCAAGAACACCAATGACAAAGTCAAACTACGAATCGACATTATGCTGAATACCGGAGAAGCGTTACAAGTTTTGTGTCGCGTAACAGCTTGTATGCACCCACGAAAATTCGTCCTAAGTGTAGGACAACATGGGCCGTTTCGTTGATTTTATGTCTTCTCACTGCGTCGAAAACAGTACGTACATGACATCACATCCCAACTCTATTTCAACCATTTCAAGGCCGTTTCCGCGGAGCCGAGAGCATGTTTGCCTAGCATTCCATCGTGTCTAAACCGGAATCCCGACGGCTTCAATTGAGACCACTCATTGGCTTGGCGCGAGTAAGACATTCGGAGCGTCAGCCCTAGTTGAAGCCAGCGTACCGGCGCTACAGCCATGACCATGCTCTGTCAGACCTAAGGATGAACAACCAATTGTGATGTGACAAAGAAACACAGTTATCGTTTTTCTTTCTTAGGACCGCTATGTTAGGGGATTCTAAACTTCAAAATTCGCAATATGTTGTATGACAGGCCAGATCTCCAGTCGCTCGGCCCATGGCAAGAAGCGGCTCATCGGTAGACTAGCTGCGAGCGGCCACTTACCGCACATCCGTTTTCATCAGCATCATTCCGGCTGGGTTCGAGATATTCACACTCTAGAAAGCGAGACGAAACTTGTGGTCCTCGGGCTTTCTCATCGAGGTGGAGGCCGAGGCTGCTTTTGAAGCACCGCGGTAGAGAAATGCGTTTACGCATTAATACTCGGCCAGGCTCTACGAGAACATCGTCGTTTAAGTCGTACTAATCTATGCGAGTGGAGGTTTACTGGGTGAACTGCGCCGGTCATCTTCAGGGAGCTTGAATTCCATCATGTCAAGTGTGATTTATGTTAGTTTAAAACAGAAATGTTGAAGAGGCTTTAGTATCGTGAAGGCAAGCGCCACGACGCCTGAGTTGCTTCGGCTGCCCGGCATTGTGGACACCGGTACCGGTCCCGGGTTCCACTCCGCCGAGCGCCGGAACGGCCCGGTTTTTGGCCGAGTGATGTTTCGACCGGGCTGCCGATTGGCTCGCGGCGTTTGGGCTCTTCCCCGTGTTGCATTTCCATCAGGCTCTGATGCATCTTTGCGGCGTACACGTCGCTCATACGCTTCCATGCACGGGGGGCGATTTTACCCCTCTTATTGGATGACTAGAGCCGCATAATCACGCATCAGCAATCACTCTTTCGCAATCACTCGTTTGCAATCACTCGCTTGCCATCACGCATGTCTCTCCGGGTTAGAAACCGCTTACGGGCCAAACCGCAGCATGCCTAACCGTCAGGGATCTTGGAACTTGAGTCGGCGTTCTACTGCCTACAGCGATGAGGATTACGGAGGCTTCAGCCGCCGTTCCACGCTGGATCGTTGCGGCCCAGACGCAGACGGAGACAGCGCTCTAAAGCCTGGCGAGGGCCCAGGTGGACGAGGCGCCGGTGACCAGAGGTAAGAACAGATCAAGTGGTTACGAGGGGTCGTATGTTAATCAAACATGAAAAAGTAGTCAGGCGGCACTCGAGTCTTGGACGTCCGAGGTGAAGAAGCTCACGCCTGACCAGCTGGCCCTGTTCTTGCGAAACTCTCCACCCGAAGACTTCCACGACTACGCAGACACCTTGCAGCAAGCCATAAAGAAGCGAGTAGATCACGGCAAGATTTTCGGGTTGGCGAGGAAGGTTAGGCCTATCTACGACCTGGTCAAGAACTTCGGTCCCATCGCTTCCGCCGGGTCCGAATTTTCTCCCATGCCATTCTCGGGCATACTTGGCGGCATCACATCCATTCTATCCATCAGCGTTCGCGTCGACGACTACCAGACGAAACTGGTTGAGATGTTGACCTCCATGGCGTCGGAGTTAAAGATCCTCGACAAGTATAGAAAAGAATCATTGTTCGAACATGATCCAGATGTACGAGCGTCGCAGATCGAGGTTACCACAGATATCCTCCGGTTCTGCGTAGCCGCGACGCAGATCTTCTTCAACGACCGCGGCAAGGAGAGGAACGGTCTTTTGTTTGCACTGAAGTCCCAGTGGAAAGATTTCGACGCCAGGTTCGGCGAGATCAAGACTCAGTTCCAACGACACCTTGCGGAACTAGAAAAATGGAGGAACTTGGCCAATAGTCAACAACTACACTCGGTTGTGCGAGGCGTTGCTGCCATCGACAAGGCTCTCGAACACGACCGTGGCGAACGACGGCAGGCGGCCACAGAGCAGGAAGAGGCCGAGAGGCGACGTGAAACAGGTGCGTCCCGACGATGTGGTATAACAATCATGACTCAAGAGCAGTCGGAGCTGACCGTCCCGCAGAAAAGAAGCGTCGTCGTGTCGTATCATGGCTGCCGTCGATTTCCTTCATAAAAATCCAAGAGGATAACTATGACAGGCGCGTTCCTGGGACGGGCGACTGGCTGATGGAGCATTCCAGCTTCAACGCCTGGAAAGAGAGCACCGAGTCTGCGTCTCTCTGGGTCCATGGGAAGTCAGGAAGTGGAAAATCCCATCTGGCGTCCCGCGTCATTCACGACCTGAGCCAACCCGACGACGGCGGGGTTGCTGTCGCTTACGCATACTGCAGCTCCACGCAGTTGTCGGACAAGCTGAATTTTAACAACATCCTTGGCTCGCTGCTGGGGCAGCTTTACGCTCGACTACCCCCGTCCCAAGACATGGAGTCACTAGAGACGAAATCTATCTCGGCTACCAAGGAGAGTGCCTCGAGAAGCGAGATGAAGGAATGGATTCAGGACACGATAGGAAAACTTCGGTCGTGCTTCATCATCATCGACGGTCTGGACGAATGCAGTTTTTTCGAAGAGAATCAGTTCACTGATCTTTGCAACTTTATCGCTTCTCTTACGAAACCCAAGGAGTCCTCATCGATAGCCAAAGTCATTGTTTTCAGCCGTCCGAGTTACGACACTATCTCCCGCGCTCTGTCGTCATTCCCACAGATCCCAATCGACAAGGGTGCCAACATCGACGATATCAAGCGCTATATCTCCAAAAAGATTGATGAGATCGACCCCGACCCGTCAGACGACCAGCGAGAAGGTTTCGAGGACATCAAAGACATGATGCTCGGCAGTGCGGACGGCATGTTCCTGTGGGTACAGCTCAAAGTCAAGGACTTCAGAGAAATCGGAAACGTCGAGGAGATCAAGGAAGCCCTTCAGGACACGTCAGAAGGCCTTGACGAGCTGTACCAGCAGCAAATTCGCAAGATCCTTACACGCACCAAATTCGTCCGCGACCGAGCGTTGAAGGCCATTTTGTGGGTGGCAAACTCGTACAAATCTTTATCCAAGCCCGAGCTGCTGGAAGCACTCTCAGTGAAGAACAATCGCCGCGGACTCACTGGTAGTCAGAGGCTCTCTCGGAATCTACCGCTGTGCACAGAGTGCGCCGATCTCCTAGTCGAGGTGGACGGGCAATATCGTCTCATCCATGCCTCCGTGAAGGATTTCCTGCTGGATCAGTCCCATAACATCCCCGAGTATTGGGTTCTTCAATCAAAAGCTCATAGCATTCTGGCCGAGGTTTGCCTGAATACTTGATGTTCGACGACCTACGATCCGCATCTGTTTCAACGCCGGATGAGCTGCTTGACTTGGTAGACGGATACCCGTTGCTCGCGTATTCCTCTCTGTACTGGGGCGACCATATGCACTTTTCATCCTCGAAGGGCACGACAAATGAAGGTCTGAGCAATCTTTGCAACCAATTTCTTCAGGAACCACTCGCCCTCGATCTCTCAATCAAGATATTTGAGTTTGAAGAGTTCCAGATGCATCCTTTCCGGCACCATGGACATCCTTCAGCTCTCCATATCCTCTCTATTTTCAACCTCTCTGGTCTCGCCGAGACTTCACCAGGCCTCAAGCTTTCTATAAATGGGCACGATTACTTTAACCACCTTCCAATCGATTACGCCATGATTTATGGCTCCCGGGAGATGGTAATCTGGCTTCTGGATGTCTACCGCGAAGACAGCACCAAAGGCGGCGCTCTATTTCAGAGCGCGACGGGATGCTTCCAAGTACACCCGCTGGCCTCTGCGGCTGCGATGAACTGGACAGACGTGGCTCGGTCACTTATCGGGCTTGGGTTCGACAAGAACCTGGCCTTCTTCGGGATTAGACCGGAGAGTGCAATTGCTGCGGCTGCCGAAGCGGGCAGCCTTGACGCTCTGAAGATGCTGATCGATGTCGGGGCGGACGCTGATCTCCCGTGTCGGGAGTCTAATGCAACGGATTGCGAAAGCCCACTCATGAGAGCCGTCCAGCTCGGAAATGTTGAAGCGGTGGAGTTGCTACTGGAAGCAGGTGCCACCGTCAACTTCCACCACGATTTCGATGGATCAGCTTTACATATTGCGATTCGCGAAGGCGCATCGGACATTGTCTTCAAGCTTCTGAAAGCAGGCGCCGATGCAAATTTGAGGAACCTTTCTGAAAACACGGCTCTGCATCAAGCCGCTAAGAAACTGGGCGCAGGGGGTCTCGTTTGCATGCTTCTTGAAGCGGGCGCCGATATACACAGCCGAGACTTGTGGGGTGCAACAGCTTTACATCTCGCGGTCATGCGCGAGCGGAACGCAGACGACACTGTTTCCATTCTTTTGAAAGCAGGTGCCGATGTAAACATCAAGACCAATAGGCAGCAAACGGCTCTACACTTAGCTGCTCAGTACAGTACAGCGGACATCGTTTGTATGCTTTTGGAAGCGGGTGCCGACATAAACAGCCGGGATAATGAAAATAGCACGGCTCTACATATCGCGGCTATTCGCGGCGCAGCGGACATAACCCGCCTCCTACTCAACAGCGGCGCAGACTTCAACGTTGTAGCGAGCATACATTATCTTGACCTTTTTCCATTCTCTGGTTGCAGGACACCATTGTCTCTTGCTGTCAGCAGCGAGTCTCTCGAAGTTGCCAAGATCCTGCTTGATGCGGGTGCTTCTATTGGTTACACCGGCAGCGGTTCGTGCAACCCAATACTCCTGGCAGCGGAGAAGAACCTACTAGAGATACTGAACTTGCTTCTCGAACAATGCCCGGACATTAGGGGTTCATCTGGGCGAGACGACTATTGTGAAAATGCTCTGCACATCGCTGCGAAGAGAAATCATTTTGAAGTCACTGACCTCCTACTAAGGCGTTTCAACGATCCTTCGTTCATCGATGAAGAGAATGGAGAAGGAGAGACTCCTCTCACGATGTCATTGGAATCAGGACGTGAGCTCAATGCGTGGGTGTTGCTGGAACACGGGGCTGGGAACAACCTCCTAAAGCGGGTTGATTACCTACCAACAGCATTCTTCTTGGGACTCCTTCATGAAGTCATGCGACAGGTGCGCCACGGTAACACAGACTCGAATCTAGAGGCCGCGTTTGAACAGTTAGCCATTGCTGATTTCTCTGGCCCACAACTTCCGGCACATGATTCAGCTTCTGGGTTAGCTTCAGGGACTCAAAAATGTTATCCGCCGACCCCGCTGAGAATGTCCGACATTGGCGACATGATTCTTACGGGCGTGCAGTCTGCTTCTCTCGACGCTTTAAACATGGAGATAGATCATTCCGGCGACCGAACGACCCTACGCGAAAGGTTCCTCATACACCGGTTGGCCTGGTGGTTGATTTCCGCTGTCCTGGGTAATCGTGTGGATGAACTCGTCGACGCCAATACGGCCGATGAAATCAAACGGCACTTGGACGCAGAAGCCATATCCGTCGATGTCGCCCACTCTCCGCCGACTTACCTGTACAATCCGACTGTGCCTAAATCACTCGAACCACTATACAACCCCCCGTCCCCGCCCACCACGGAGGGAAGTTCGTCAGCGGAAGTCAACGTAAGTCTCGATGTGTGAAACAAAGAGCACTTTCTCCCTTCAATTTGAACAAGCCAGGCATCCGGATGGTGTCCACACTGGGTGCTGAAAAGAGTCAATGTACTGAGAAATCTCCACAGTTTGAATACTACGTGGGTCATGAATGGCTGTACAAGAAGTTCCATCACAGAGCGCCAGTAAGCGACAGTCGTCGATACGATTTCGAAAGAAGAATAGAGGAAAGACTGGGAAAAGTAGGCCATCGGAATCAAAAAGAGGTGAGCACGGGAGCCGTTGACAACTCAGAGTGCTATCTAACAATTGCGGTAGCATGAAGATAGGTGGGAGAGTTGACGAGAGTATTGTCAAGAGTATCATGCCCGGAATGCCAGCCTTATGGTCTGAATCGTGCAAACAAGGACATCCACAAGATGACCAGCGTTCGTGGTATTCCCGCTCGCGACTTGAGGTTGGCGTAAGACGTGTTGCTGGCGAGGAGTGGACCGAATCTGCATGCACGACTGACAACGGGGGTCTCAGTCGGATAACCTAATCCGGAAAATGGAGCTATTCGGGGACTCGGTGTAACGCAGAACGAGAGGGAGCTAATCGAACTCACGAAGCACGCGATCTGTGAGGCTCTTAACATTGAACGAACTACATAGCACGACGATACGAATTTCATCACTCTGTTATCTGGTGACATGTCAGATGAGTCTGAGAGGAAATCGTCGTACGATGCGACTAGATGCCCCGCCTCAGCTGAGGAAACCTGATCCTGATCAGGGATCGTGATCCGGCCGCCCGGCGAGTTCCCCGCATGGGCAATCCGAGGTGAGCTCGGAGAAGCTTCAAACCCCCGCACGCCTGACGTTATGTGTATCTGGAGGACCAACAGGGCGGGGGTTGGTATTGAACTTTTATTGAATCAGTTCATTCGTGGTGGAAGCATTTGTTGTGTCATTCTTCCAGCTGACATTCTTCCACACGCCCACTGGAATAATTGCAGCTGGAATAATTGCATCAACAACCTCAAAGAGACCAACACAGACATAAATAGACGTCTCTCTGAAGTCTCATATCCAAAACATCATGAGCGCGTTTGTAGGAGCATTCCGACCGACTGCTCGTCTGAGGTTCGCCCCAACCAGCTTCATCAACGGCCACGTGGACGTACTCGCTAACATCCAACGCAGCAACCGCGTTGCAATCGTCACAGGCGCTTCTCGCGGTATCGGTAAAGCCATCGCTCTACGGATCGCCCGAGATGGCTACGACGTCTGCATCAACGACATCGCCGCCAACCAGGCCGGCTCCGAGGAGGTAGCCGACGAGATCCGCGGCATGGGCCGCAAGTCGGTCGTCGCGTCGGCAGACGTGCGGAAACTCAACGAGGTCCAAGCAATGGTTCAGACCGCCGTCAAGAAGCTTGGCCCCCTCAACACCATGTCCGTCTCCCCTTACCCACGAGCCAGGAGCGCGAGCTAAAGAAACGGACAGGATCGCCAACGCGGGAATCGCGCAGGTCAAGCCGCTCCTCGAGCTGACGGAGGAGGACTTTGAGAACATGTTCCGCGTTAATGTCTTTGGAGTTCAGCACTGCTACCAGACCGCGGCGAAGCAGTTGATCGAGCAGGGAAACTGCACGCCCGAAGCGCCGGGAAAACTCATCGGGTGTTCTTCTATCGTGGGCTTCAAGCCCTTCGCACTTCTGTCGCACTACTCCGCGTCTAAATGGGCCGTTCGAGGCTTGACGCAGGCGTCAGCCATGGAATATGCCGAGCACAACATCACTGTTAACGCGTATGCTCCTGGTATCGTGGGCACTGCCATGTGGGATCTCATTGATGAGAAACTGGGAGAGAAGACGGGGGCTAAGAAGGGCGACACGATCAAGAAGTTCACGAATGATTTGATTGCGTTGAAGAGAACTAGTGTGCCGGAGGACGTGGCTAAGTTTGTGTCGTTCTTGGCCGGTCCGGATAGCGATTATGTGACGGGACAGACTCAGATTGTGGACGGAGGCATCAACTTCACTTGAGTCAAGACATCTATGTTTCGTATCTTACATAGGCCAAAACACATTCATCACGAAGAACAAAGAACTTGTCTTCGGAGAAGGAACTCTTTATCCTTGGCCTCGGCATATTCATGCCTAAAAAGGGAAACTGTCGTCGACTGTTTTGAGACGCTTATCCGGCCGAGTTTTCCTGATCAAGATGCCCGAGGAGAATCTCACATCCACAAGCTTTCTTCACAGCGACGCCTTGTAACAAGATTCCTTCCACTCAATGCATCTACGGAGTGTGTGCGGGTCCCTCCAGGCCGGGAGCAGGCCAAAGTCGGCGCCGTGCCCGGTGCATCAACGAGCGGCACGCTCGGGAGTCAGAGCGACTGCACCTGATCCTTTGCACAGACTCTGACGCAAAATGAAATTTTTTATCCCGGGATAATTCGACAAGTTAATTACTGAATCGGAATGATCCCGTCGGCATCGTGTGACGTGTCAAGCGCGAAGCAAAGCTGCAAAGAATATCCAGACTTCCAACAACGCGCGCTCACTTCCTTTCGAATTCCACATCCCACAACGTATCGATGGCGTTGGAAAACGAGTCCCACGAACACAGTCCCACGGCGCCCGCCATAGCCATCCCCTGCGGCGATTCGTACTTTGATTCCACCCGCCGCTTCCACGGAAGCTGGGCGGTTGGGACCCCGCGCGAGAGGGTCAAAGAGTGTGAACGATGGACGTTCTGCACGACACACCACTCGGCAAGATCATACAGCTTTGCGCCGGCGGGAGAATTCGACAGCTTCAGTATTACGAGGAAAGGAATCCATGGGTATGGCGCAGGTATGTCGAGCAGGCGGAGGAGGAGCAGGGCAGTCCCACGACGGCTTCCGTGACGACGGCGCCGAGCGGGAGCCAGGAGGAAGGACCTTCGGAGGCGTCAGAGGTGAGCGACGTCAGAGTCGACTCGGAGAAGGGAGCGGATATGCGCCTGGTCGAGTTCCTTCCCAATGACCCGGAGGTATGTTTGAAGTCGATCCGTGGGGATGGTGTGCGCGGCTGACGGACGGCGCGACAGAATCCCCAGAACTGGTCGCTGAACAAGAAGTTGTTCGTCACCTTTCAAATATGTCTCCTCACGACGGCCATTTACATCGGCTCGGCCATCTACGCTGCGGGTGTTGCGGACGTCGCGCGCACATTCGGCGTCAGTCCAGTCGCCGGCGTCTTGGGACTTACGTTGTTCGTCGCTGGGTACGGACTTGGGCCGGTAACTGCTCATTTCTGTAATATCGTGTTTTGCTCCTTGCTGATCTGTTTATACAGATGTTCTGGAGTCCAATCTCCGAGACCCCGAACATCGGCCGGAACCCCGTCTACATCGGCACTCTCGCCCTCTTCATCCTGCTCCAGATTCCGACTGTTCTGGCCGTCAACTTCGGCATGCTTCTCGCTTTTCGCTTCCTCACGGGGTTCGTCGGATCGCCGGTCTTAGCAGTTGGGGGCGCTTCACTGGCAGAGATTTGGTCGCCGAAGAAACGAGCGTATGCAATTTGTATTTGGGGTGCGTTTTCCTCGGAATCACCCATCCACCAGTCGAGACCAAGTCTAACACGAACATCGCAGGTATCGCTGCTGTCTGCGGTCCGACGGTAGGACCCATCGTCAGCGGCTTCGCGGTCGACGCCAACGGATGGACCTGGACCATCCTGGAACTGATCTGGATCAGCAGTTTCGCCTTCGTGCTGCTCTTCATTTTCCTCCCGGAGACAAGCTCCAGCAACATCCTGTACCGTCGCGTACGGCGCATCCGCAAGCTGACCGGTAACGACAAGCTCATCAGCAGACCCGAGCTCGTCGCCGAGACCATGACCAGACGGGACATCGTGCAGATGCTCCTCGTGCGCCCCTTCACCCTCAACTTCACCGAGCCGATGGTCTTCCTCCTCAACCTCTACACGGCCCTGATCTACGGGCTGCTGTACATCTGGTTCGAGTCCTTCGCCGTCGTCTTCCGCGGCATCTACGGCTTCAACACGGGGCTGGTGGGGCTGTCGTTCCTTGGCATCTTCGTCGGCGCCATCATCGTGATCCCCCCGTTCTTCTGGTACCTGCACAGGTACCTCGAGCCCGAGTTCGACGACAACGGCTTCATCCAGCCGGAGAAGCGTCTCCCGCCGGCCTTTGTCGGCGGCGTCGCGATTCCCATCTGCCTCTTCTGGTTCGGGTGGTCGTCGCGCCAGAGCATCAACTGGATCATGCCCATTATTGGGTCTGCCTGGTTCAGCATCGGGTCCTTCTTGCTCTTCAACCCCGTGCTGAACTATCTGACCGACGCCTATCCCGAATACGCCGCGTCCGTGCTTGCTGGCAACGACTTGTTCCGGAGCGCGTTCGGCGCCGGGTTTCCCATGTTCGCGACGGCCATGTACACCAGGCTCGGTGTCGGGTGGGCTAGTTCGCTGCTGGCCTTTCTTGCGATTATCTTCATACCCATTCCGATCATCTTGTGGAGGGTATGTGCCTTCACTGTGTTGTCATGGTGAATGAATGCTAATGATGTTTTAGATTGGCCCCAAGTTGCGTCATGAGTATAGCAGGCATGCTAGGAAAGACGATGCTCGTCCGAAATGATGCTGGCTCTTTGCCCTCTGTAGTAGAAACCACGACGCGCGCGTTGGGGCGTTGGGCTCAACGGTGTTATGTAAAAAGTCTTTGTCCCATACGAGTTCATGTCCATAATATAGAGTAGAAAGTATAGCCATTTTTTCTTCAATCACTGAAGGTGATGTGAATTATGAGATCTCAGAAAAAGGGTGGTCATCGCGTGGTCAGTTTCTACTCCTAGTACAAGCCGGGGACCGAGCTTCCCTGTAATCCCCTAGCCTTTAACCACTCCCTCAATATTCTAAGCCCGCGGTTGACATTGACTGGCCTGCTTCATAACACAAGCTACTGGATGATTTGAGAAGTCAGGATGCTTGAAGACTCCGAGGTCTGGAAACTCGGCTGCTTGAAGACGCCGTCAAACATCAGCTCCGGCGGCCGGACAAGGTCCTGCGCAGGGAGGAGAAGCGCTGGGGCAGAGGCGCGCCCAACAAGAGCACTAAAATCACTGCCCCGCAGCAACAAGAGCTCGACGCGAGTACTTGCGCCCTGATGGTCTAGCGGTATGATTCTCCCTTAGGGTTGTCTCTGACATCTCAAGATTGGGAGAGGTCCCAGGTTCGATCCCTGGTTAGGGCCTAGATCTTTTGCCTTTTAATTACTTTACGCGGCTCGGCTTTTTTTTCTATCAATTTTATTTCATCAGCTGAGATGTAGGTAGTAGTAGTAATTAATGTTGCTGTTGGTTGACCCTTTATAATACTCTTTGAAAGTCGTTTCTTTCATTTAGTTCCATTAGGAAACCAATCTCGGACCTTCAACAAAGCATCTCGCCATCCTCGTTCGAATTTCGGGCTTCGCTGGTTGAACACTCAGAACCACCGCACCGGCTGATAACAACACCCTTGTCCGCGAACGAGGTCGAAGTGGACTCGATATGCAGAGTATCGCACACCATGTCACGCTGCGTTGGTTGACACGCGGGATCTGCCATACGAGAAAAACACGTTCAGCCAATCGAGACGCGCACAAAGCACGATGGGCGCGGATGCGCTGCTCGTCTTTCCCCGTACGCTAATTCCACCACGACTTGTTTTCCGTTGCTGGCTGCGTCCGAGATCCGGCCCCTCCTCTAATCGGCAGGGTCTTCATGCGCATTCCTCGAAGAGTAAGGTCGCCGCCGCTCTATGCCCATGTTCCGAAGCTACTAGCCCCTCAGCAACGTCTGCGTGGACCGCGGCATGTTGATGCATCTTCTGGGATGATACGCCGTGAGGGTGACGGGGATCGTCGTCTGCGAGGCCAATGATTGCCTGCTTATTCTGCATCGTACCGGGGGTCTCTTGGCGGGAGGAAAGATAAAAGAAACCACCGTCCCTTGCGACGGCTTCGAAGTCCGGATAACAGCACGTCAACCGATTGATCACGGCCCAGACGATGGCCATCACGTACATTGACGGGGCCGATGGCTTCGCGAGGACTGTCCTCAGAGGCTGCCTGCTCCTGGTGGCTCTTGGCGTCTTGTACACCCTGGCTCAAGGAGTGAGGGTTCGATATCTGTTCTGGCGATTGAAGACGAACGGCGTCGTAAGTGGAAGCCCCGAAGCAGTCATGGAGATGTGCTCATCGCGAAACAGCCGATCATGCCACACTCACTCCTCTTCGGCCATTTCCCCGTCCTCGCCAAGCTCACCGCCGGCCTCCCGAAAGACATCCACATCAACTACATCTCCCAGCTGGTGTACGAGAACTGGCAAACCTACTTCCCCGACCGGAAGACGTGCCCGGCCTTCGCCTACATCGACCTCTGGCCGCTGGCGCCGCCGATGATCCACATTATTGACCCCGAGGTGGGCTGGCAGATCATCGGCGACCCGACGGTCAGGCGGAGCGACAACACCATGCTGTTCCTGGGGCCGCTCACGGAGAACCTCGACATGGCCAGTATGGAAGGCGCCGAGTGGAAAATGTGGCGCTCGCGGTTCAACCCGGCGTTCAGCCCCAAGAACGTCCTGTCCCTCGTCCCCGGCATGATCGACGACGTCGAGATCTTCGCCGGCCTCGTCCGGAAACACGCCGGCGCCGTCGACGGGGAATGGGGCGGCGTCTTCACGCTCGAGGACCTGACGACGAACCTGACCATCGACATCATCGCGCGCGCGGCCCTCGGCATCGAGCTGCGCGAGCAGACCGACGGGCCGAGCAAGTTGAAGTCCAGCCTCCTGGCGCAGATGAAACTGATGCGGGTCAAGGTCAACATCTTCGAGAACGTGTGGTCGTACAACCCCGTCCGCCAGTGGAAGCTGGCGCGGAACAGGAGACATCTGAAGGAGGAGCTCTACGGGCCCGTCGTGGCGTGCCTGAACAGAGACGGCGGCGGCGGGGGGTCGAGGACGTTGGTCGACCAGGCGATGCAGCCCCTGAAGGAGCTCGCCGACGAGGGGAAGACGCCGCCGCCCGACGCCAGGTTCATCACGACCGTCATCAGCCAGATGAAGATCTTCATGTTCGCCGGGCACGACACGACGGCGACGTCGATCTGCTGGATCCTCCACAACGTGGCCAAGAACCCCGAGGTCGCCCGGAAGATGCGGGCCGAGCACGACGAGGTGCTGGGGAGGGACTTGTCCGGGGCGAGGGCGCGCCTCGTCGAGGCCCCGCACCTGCTCAACTCGCTGGTGTACACGTCGGCCGTCGTCAAGGAGACGCTGCGGCTGTACCCGGTCGTCGGGTCGCTCCGCGAGGGTAGCTCTCGGTACTCGATCGTGGACCGGGAGACGGGAGTGGTTTGTCCGACGGAGGACTTCGCGATGTGGGACGGTCCCAAGGCGGTTTCTCGTGAGGATAAGCTGTGGCTGCGGGCCAATGAGTTCATTCCGGAGCGGTGGTTGACTACGGACCCGACGGATCCGTTGTACCCGCCCAAGAGTGCATGGAGGCCTTTCGGGAACGGTCCGCGAGTGTGTATCGGGATGGAGCTTGCCAATACGGAGATGAAACTGGCGTGTGTGTTTTTGGTGAGGGAGTTTGATATCGACTGTGCCTGGGATGAATGGGACGCGCTGAGGTGAGTTTCGAGCCCTTCCTTCTGAGAAGTGCCCAAGGCAGGACTGATGACCAACGTGTACAGGAATTTCACAGGCCCGAAGGAGACGATGGAGGGCCATCGGTGCTATCAGATGGGACCGGGCACCCCGCATGTCAAGGACGGGATGCCCATCCACGTCCGCCGCCGCCGGGAGGCTACGAGCTAAGAGTTCAGTCGGGGAAAGGTTAAGCAGGTCGGACTCAGGCCGGCTCGGTCTCGGGGTCGTCATCGGGTGCGGAGGAGATGGGTCCCCGCTTTGGACGGTTGCTACCGGGGATCCCAGGATATCCCCCGATGTTCGACCAATTTGAAGAGCGTGGAGTATTTCAAGCTTCGAGCTTGCTGGGGGGTACGAATACGGGACTTGTCAGTTGTGATATGCTTTTCTAGAACCCGGATATGTGAACCCAAGTGGTTTATTTTAAGAAGGCATACCCGAAGCGACGTGAGAGCCCTTCGCGGCGTTCGCATGGTGAACTCGAAGTATTCAATGGTCAGATGTGAATGCTCCAGGCGATAGTCCACAAATTGGAACAGGTGGCCAGGCTTGGTCTTGGAAGATGACCGTTGGGCAGGAGGGAGATGATCATATCAGGTCCAAAATCCGAGGTGATTGCCAAAGGCTGTCCACAATCATCCGATGAAACGGGCGTCTTCCGAGTGATCCGCCGGAAACGATGTCCGAAGAGAGGTCTTCCTCTCTGTGCTGTGCGATATCCAACAGCAGTATCGTTCCCGCCGACAGTTAACGCCGCGCGCACACGGAGGTCCGAGGTGTCCATTTAATCAGTAAGGAAACTTACCGTACGGACTAGTCCGTCGGCGGAGATGTCGACGACCGGGTCCGACGATCTCGGCCATTCGCACTCGCAATGAAGCATCGCAGCTTCTGGCCATGTAAGCGCGCGCCAGTCCAGACTCCAGCCCGGCAGAGTGGTAAGTTTCTTGGGACGCATCATCATGTGCCCCGTCTGCTCGTCTGGCGAGATCTGTCATTTGCACCACCACGACTCAAAGTTCGCGGGCGATCGGACGAAGGTGACGATGATGGTGATGGTGGTTAAGAATGAAGAAATTCATGAGATGACACTGAAAGTCTAAGCGAGAGACGAGCTGACATAAGCATACCACCGAGTCGTCATCTAAGGCCTCTCATTGGCCCGCTCGCGAATGCCCCGCACATAAGCGAGGGTATCCCCTGAAGCGGATTCTCCCAGCGACCGCAGCACGCTAAAGAGCGCCGTGGCGGCTGAGCTGGGCTAAGCTAAGGTAAGCTCCATGGGCGGACGCCTCTTCGTTTACCTCGACACCTCCTGAAACCGACACTTTCTCCTCCTTCTCCCTCGACTTGCTCCTTTTGATTTTTTCATCTGATGGACAGAAAACACCACGTCAATTGCTGCGGCTGACATCGACTCATTTCCCCCCTCCATCCCCGATGGCGTTCCCACGCGTACTTATGAGGCTCGTCCCCTGCGGTGCCTGAAAGCCTGTCACCGAATGCCAGTCTCTCGATAGGTCGCCTCGGATCTTGACCAAACCATCGGCAACGGCATCGGCATCGGCGTCTCTTAGGGCGTGAATGTTCGTGTACATCCTCAACACACCATCCATCCATCCTTCCATCCATCCATCATCCGGCTTGATTCAGAGTATGCCTATGGCGCGCCATGGACTGTCCAAGGTGAAGACCGGGTGTATCACCTGCAAGTAAGAGACACCAACACCTCACCTCCACAGGATTACGTCGCTGATCACCTCCACAGAATCCGCAGAGTCAAGTGCGACGAGGCCAGGCCGGCATGTAACCGCTGCGTGAGCACCGGCAGGAAATGCGACGGCTACGTCGCGCCGCCCAACGGCACCTACTCCTGGGCCCAGCTCCTCCGCGTGTGCCCGCCTCCGCCGCCGTCCCAGTCGGCCTCGGAGCCGGAACTGCGCGCCATGTCCTTCTTCCGCACCGTCGTCGCCCCCGTCATCGCCGGGCCCCTCGACGGCTACTTCTGGACCCATCTCGCCACCCAGCTCTCCCACCAGGAACTCGCCGCCAAGCACGCCGTCCTCGCCATCAGCTCCCTCTACGAGAAGTTCAAGGAGAACCCCATGGACCGTCTCGTCCCGGAGAAGAACCTCTTCGCCGTCTCCAACTACAACGAGGCCATCCGCCACCTGAGGACCACCGACAACCCGGAGACCGTCCTCTTCGTGTGTATCCTCTTCGTGTGCATCGACATGCTGCGCGGCGAGTGCAAGGGCGCGATCGATCACTGCCGCCACGGCGTCAACATCCTCAACGGCTCGCGGCCCAAGTCGAGGTTCATCCGCCAGTACCTCGAACCCGCCTTCTGCCGCCTCGGCGTCTTCCCCTTCTTCTTCGGCGTCCGCCCCGAGACGTTCCCCGAGATGGAGGGCGGGAGACCACCCCCGAGCCCGCCCTTCGACACCCTCGCCGAGGTCCAGGCCGCCCTCGATCCCTTACTCGTGCGCACCATCCGCTTCGTCCGGACCGCGGACGAGTACCGCCTCGGCGACGACCTCACCCCGAAACCCGACGCGTCGGTGATGCAGCGGAGGAAAGACCTCGACTTGGAGCTCGACGCCTGGCACTCTGAACTCACGACATTCCTCGCAAAAAAGACAGCCAAGAACGCCTCCTCCTCGTCGTCGTCCTCGTCCAAGCGGGACGAACTGGTAATGCTCCTCCTCGAGATGAAGTTCCTCGTCGGCAAGATCTGGATCGACACGTGCCTCTCGCGCGGCGAGACCATCTTCGACCTCCACCTCGACAAGTTCCGCCGCATCATCGACGTCGCCCGCGACGCCGACGCCCTCCTCCGCTCCACCCCGCGCCACCAGCCCCGCGCCAAGTTCACCTTCGAGATGGGCTTCAGCCCGCTCCTCGGCTTCGTCGTCGTCAAGTGCCGCTCCCTGCGCCTGCGGACCGCCGCCCTGGGCCTCATGAGGACGCTGTCCCACGAGAGGGAGAGTCTGTGGGACAACAGCACCGTGCTGGCGTTCGGGCGGAAGCTGGTCGCGGTCGAGCACGAACTGGATCTCGGGCCGGACGAGGACGTGGAGGCGGTCGTCGACGACGGTACCTTGCCGCCGGAGGGGAGGCGGATCAAGGACTCGGCTATGCAGAAGGAGGCGACCGTCGTGCCGCGGGGCGACGGCGGGGTGACGGTCTGGAAGAAGGTCGCCCTCTTGATGAGGGAGATTGGAGGTCCTATCACGGTTAGAGAGGAGTGGTTTGAGGTTCAATTGAGGCGCAAGCCATGAGTTACGTCCATTTTGCTATTTCCAGGCTTGTTGTCCGTGCCGCTGGTTTGATGTGCTTACGCCTCCCCTTGCGAATCCTTCCCGTGGGGGTTGTTATCGTCCATCGTCGAGCTAGTGTCTTACACGCGATTGGTCGGCTCGCTATTTTATGTAAACCTCGCGAGCGTCGTGGCTGTGCATCGCCAGGTCCTCTTAGGATGGCTTCAGTCGTTGTTGGACATGCTTGATATAAAGATGGACGGTTCGGACGGGGAGAAAGGGTATTGATCAAACACAACATCATCACAATCACCTTCCTCCTGCCATCCTAACTTTGAGTTCGAATCATGACCTTCACCACCTGGATCATCCTGGCCATCGCCGCCGCCGCAGCAGCTCTGCCATCAGGCCCATCGCCAACACCAACGCTCACTCTTGTCTTACAACACCGTCAAGCGTCATTGACGACATCCTCCCTCGCAAGCCCCGTCCCCACGGGTGACTTCATCACGACAAAACACATCACCATCCCCGGCGTCACGGACAGCCACCTTACGATCCCGGCCAAGACGATCGACATCGCCCTCCCCACGTGCGTCCAGACCATCCAGCCGGACGCCAACGGCTACGTCCCCCCCAGAGAATGCGGCGCGCTGTGGAACTACTACCCGAGTTTCCCGGCGGCCGTGGTGTTTGCCGTGATATTCGGGATTCTCACCGGCGTTCACATCTGGCAGGCCGCCAAGCACAAGAAGGTCCGTACGTCCACTTACATACTACCTGAGAGCTTCTTCCTGGTACTAACGCGTGAGGCAGAGATGGTGCTGGGTCATCATCATGGCGGGTATCTGGGAGACGCTCGCCTTCGTCTTCCGCTCCGTCAGTAGCAAGCACCAACAAGACACCGGCATCTACCTCGTCTTCCAGATCTTCATCCTCCTCGCACCATTATGCAAGTCCCGTCCCATCCCATCTCACCCTCGCTCCCGTCACGCAAAGACTAACACAACCCAGGGGTCAACGCCTTCGCGTACATGACCCTCGGCCGCATGATCCACACCTTCCACCCGACCCGCGCCCTCCTCCGCATCCCGGCCCCGGCCTTCGCCGCCCTCTTCGTCGCCCTCGACGTCGTCTCCTTCATGATCCAGCTCGTCGGCGGTAGCATGGCCGGCCCGACCGCACCGCCCGAGGAACAGATGCGCGCGATCCACATCTACATGGGCGGCATCGGGCTGCAGGAGTTCTTCATCCTCGTCTTCGTCGGGCTTGCCGTCGTGTTCCAGCGCGACATGCGGCGCGCGGAGAGGAGCGTAAGCCTAGCCGCCGCGCCTACGAAGAGGACAGATGCGGCGTGGAGGCCGTTGATGTGGGCTTTGTACTTTTCGCTGGGGAGCATCACGGTCCGGATCGTGTATCGGCTGGTGGAGTTCTCGTCGGGCCAGGGGGCGGGGAATCGCTTGATTGCGAACGAGGCGTATTTCTTCGTCTTGGAGGCCGTGCCGATGGTGTGTGCTGTTGCTGTGTTTAATGTCGTGCATCCGGGGGCTGTTATGTCTGGGCCCGGGTCGGAGATGCCGGGGCTGGTGAGGACGGTCAAGGATGCTTTGGCGAGGAGGAGGGGGAGGGTTTCTTTGGAGGAAGAGGGGGAGGGGCATGAGCTTACGAGAAGGAGATCCTCGAGTTCTTGAGAGGGAGGGACTATGATGATCGGCTTTTGGGCCGGTCTGTGGGGCATCGGTCTCGGGTTGGGAGGTCCGGTTATCGGGTGGCGGCGGGGCCGGCATCGGCCCGGAGACCGGGTGAACCTTGATTTCTCATTGCCTTTATTCAGTTTTCACTTCAGAGAACTTGCTTTCACATTGTTCTTGTATAAACAAACACACTTACAAACGTAACAAAGACTCAACACTCAAGAAACACAACACAAAAGACCTATCTCATATCTCGAATCCATCAACCCCGGACCCCTGCAATCAGCGGACCCCCCCTGAACCATCGCCAACCTTCAAAAGTGCGGAGAAATCCCAACATCGACAACCTCCCGAGGACTCCGCCTCCGTGAACACTCACATCCAATACCTAACGCGACTCGCTCATTATGACTCCCGCCGACACATGGGCTCAACCCACCCGCCAATGGAGTCCGCCGCAGTCCTCCGCCGGCGCCGCCGCCGCAGGGTCCCGGACGCCGACCGCAAACGCGCCCCGCGCGCCTGCGACCGCTGCAAGGCTCGCAAGAACAAGTGCGTCGAGACCGCCTCCGGCGTCTGCGTGAGGTGCATCGAGGGTTCTCACCCCTGTCGCTTCGAGCGTGAGAGGAGTCCCCTGCAGGTAGAGCAATCGGCCTTCGCCGCGGAGAGGAGACCCGGGTCTGGAGGGAGCGAGACTGTCGACGTCGACACTTCGTTAAGACAGAGCATTATCAAAGATGATTTCTCCCCCGGCGGCGGCGCTCCGACGGAGGCCTTCATGTGGCCCAGGTTCCTCTCTCGACTCCGCGAGGCGTTCTGTCTAGACTCGGAGTCGCAGCCAATGTCCGGTGAAGAGACAGACACAACGAGATTGCAGACTGGTGGTGGTCCATCCCGCACCCCGCCCATCGAGCCGGCCGAGCTCCGCCGTCTGAGGAAAGCAGTCCGCAACTTCCCGCCCCGCCCCGTCGCCGAGTTCCTCCTCTCCGTCTGCATCACCTACGGCACCGACATCTTCTTCTACTTCGACCAGGCCCAGCTCACCCACGACCTCGCCCTCTTCTATGCCGACGAGCACGCTCGGCTGCGGACCGACGCCGGGTTCGTCTGTCTCGTGCTCGCGGTGTTCGCGCTGGGAAGCCACTGGACGAGCCTGGCGAGGCCGACGGAGGAGGTGGCGGGCGAGGAAGGTCTGCCGGGGGACGTAGACCCGGGCCGCGTGTTTTATAATCAGGCTCGGATTCTGATGGCGGATCTGATCGATCGGCCGTGTTTGCGCTCGGTGCAGGCTGCGTATGTGCTCGGGGTGTATCTGATGCCGGCGAGTGCGATTAGTGCTTCGTATGTGTATATGGGTCTCGCGTTGAGGAAGGGGTTGGCTATTGGGCTTCATCTGGAGCCTGATGATCCGGCGATGAGTGAGGATGAGAAGGAGATGAGAAGGCGGCTTTGGTGGTCTATTTATTCGCTTGAGAGGTGGGTTGGCAGTTGCGCCGCTTGGTTGACGATTTGAGCTGTCTACTGACTTGATCAAAGGACCGTCACGATCAAACTCAACCGGCCTAGATCCATCAGCCAAGACATCATCACGGCGCGTCTGCCGCGACCAACATCCCGAGACCGATCCCAGAGATTCGACAACGTACAGCACCAGATCGCCAACGCCCAGCTCGTGCGAATCATCGATAACCTCTCCGAGCCGGCGTAAGACCCCGTTCCTTTCGATGTCAAAACATTTCTAACTCCATCCCCAGGTCCTGGCCCGACAACACTAGCCCTAACTCAACCAACAAATACGAAGACTCCCTCAAGTCCTGGAAGAGATCCCTCCCCGCCTCCCTCAAACTCCAAAACACCAACCCCTCGTCCCCCAGCTACCGCGCCGTCTTCCACCTGCACCTGAACTACTACTTCGCCCGTATCGACATGGGCAAAGTCCCCGTCGTGACCGTCGTCCGCGCCCGCCTGCGCGCCCTCTTCCGCCCCGACGAGACCCCGCCCCAGCCCACGCCGGCCATCCAAAACGCCGCCGACGCCTGCATCGGGGCCGCCAAGAAGATGCTCGAGCTCTTCGAGGGGTTGAGCCGCAGCGGCAACATGGCCCGCTTCTCCTTCACGGACCTCCAGGGCTGCAGCATCGCCACCATCGTCGTCCTCCTCGCCGGCATCCTCGATCGTGATTCTGGGTACGAGGGGCGCGTGGCGTTCGGGCTGGATTGTCTGAGGAGGATGGCTGGCGGTGGGAACGCGACGGCCGGGATGGGGGTGAGGTTTGTCGAGGCTTTGAGGGGGATTACGGAGGAGGCTAGGGCGAAGTTGCTACGCTCGCAGGGTGATGGTGGTGGTGGTGGTGGTCGGTTGGATTTGAAGGATGGGCGCGCTGCTGGATATGGGCAGTGGGCTGAATGGATTGCGAATGCCGAGGTTGCGGAGGATACTTCGGACGAGGAGGGCTCGGAGGTGGAGGAGCTTGAGGGACGGTCGATCGAGGTGGGCGGCCGTGAGGAGGAGAGGAGTACGTTGTCTCCGGCTTGGGATGCGGCGGCGGCGCTTCAGCTCCAGGAACTCTCGGCGTCGGCGTTCGAGATGCCGTTGGAAGAGCCGCCAAGTGTTGATGTCCAAGACACGATGGCCCTTCCACCCATGGACGAGAGCTGGCTGAATTCGTTTGCGTGGAACGATGATCAGATGTACTTGATGGGGCTCACGGGGATGGATGTTTTTGATTTCACGGGTGGTTTTGAGTAACCGGTGAACACCAGAGAGACTCATTTGTATTAAATGTCGACGACTAAAGGGCCGGTCTAACCTTGATCGGGACAGCCGCATCTTCCGCAATACCACTCCATCTACTCTTATACACCCTCCCCTCCTTAATAACCGCAGAGACGTGCCTCTCAGGATCATCGAATATCGCCACGTTCTCCAGAGGATTCACATCCGTGATGAGAACATCCGCCTCAAACCCCTCCTTCACCTGACCCAACGAATCCTCCCTCCCAAACATCCGCGCCGGGTTAATCGTCGCGCTCTGCAACACCGCCAGCGGCGGCAGCGCCCTCGACCTCAACGAGAACTCAAACGACTGCGCGGCCCCCAGCGGACCGAGCAGATCCGTCCCGAAACAAATCGTCACGCCCGCATCGTACGCCGTCTTCAACGCCACCAGCCCCGCCGTCAGCACCTCCTCGTTCTTCGACCTCGACTCGGGCGGGAGATAGCCCTTCCACTTCTCCGACGCCATCTCCGCGTACGTGATGAGCGTCGGCGTCAGGAACACCCCCTTCTCCGCGAGCAGCTCCGCCGTCGGCCTATCTATGAAGTTCCCGTGCTCGATCCCGCGCACCCCGTTGTCGACGCAGTGCCGGATCGCCCTGGTCGTGTACGCGTGCGCCGTCACGTACGTCCCCGCGTTCGCCGCGCACTCCACCATCGCCCGGATCTCGGCCCCCGTGAACTGCAGGTGGTCGATCTTGTCCGTCGGGCTCGACACCCCGCCGGAGCCCATGATCTTGATGAAGTCGGCCCCCGTGCGGATCTCCTCGCGGACGGCCGTCATGCACTCCGGCACGCCGTTGCAGAGCCGTCCCAGCCCCGTGGTGGAGCCACCGCAGCACTCGGAGTGGTCGTGCGGGCCGCGGAAGTCGGCGTGGCCCCCGGCCTGGGAGAGCGCGTGGCCGGCGATGAAGAGGCGCGGGCCGGGGAAGACGCCGTCGTCGACGGCCTCCTTGAGGGCGAGGAGGGCGCCGCCGCAGTCGCGGATGCTGGTGAAGCCGCGGTGGAGCATCTGGGCGCAGACGTAGGGCTGGCGGAGGAGGGAGACGTCGTTGGGGTTGCCGAAGGCCTTGGAGAGGTCGCCGAAGCCGGGGACGGCCATGACGTGGACGTGGGAGTCGATCAGGCCCGGGCAGAGGAACTTGCCGGCGCAGTCGACCACTTCGAAGCCGTCGTTGCGGGCGGTCGTGATGGCGGCGTCTGTTGAGTCGAGGACGGCGGCGATGAGGCCGTCTTTGAGCTGGACTGCCGCGTTTGGTCGTAGTGAGCCGCCTGTTACGTCGACGACGGTCGCGTTGGTGAGGATGTATTTGCGCGGCGGCGCCCGCAGCCAGGGCTTCAAGTCGGCTTCGGAAACCATTGTGAATGAATGATGTTCAGTTGGAGTTGCGTCTCAGTTGCAGTAAGAAGAGAGACAAGATGAATGAGGGGAAGCTTGGAGGCGTTGAGTTTGGCTTCATAAACACTCGATTACACTAACAATTGATCATCGATGTATCCTGCAAATACGTTTGACATACTCATCTGATTGGCTTCCTTCAGACGGTTAACGTAATCCCCAATAAGCCCTTCACCGAGTCAAATCAACAAACAGAAACTCGTCACACATCCTATCATCGGAGCAGCACTGGCACAACACAACGAAAGGCCATATTGCCGATACCCGCGTCGGATATCCGTCAACCCGTCGGCAACATGGCTCGCCCCACCCCCCGTATCACCCCTATCAACGCTACCGGAGATATCGTAGGATCAATTGATATGACTGTGATATGCGTCTCTGAGTGCGGGGGAAGAGGTGGACATGTATACTACCCGGGATTCGAGATATGCAAGCATGTCCAAGTGGGTACGAGCCAGCGGTCTTTTCTTTTTTCTTATTAAACCCCCGGCAGACGTCTTAGTCGGTCGGAGAGTCTTCGACGGTTGGTGATCTTCAGCGTTCCACCATGACTCCTTCCTCGATCGAATCGAAACCCGACGCGATGGCGAAGCCGCGAGATGACGAACCACGGCCGGAGGGCGTCGACGAGAAGAATGGGGAGATTGTCGAGTTGAACGAGACCTACACGGCTGAGGAGGAGAGGGCCGTTCTCCGGAAGATTGACTGCACCATCTTGCCAATAGTAATTCGGACTTTTGTGCGGCACAAGCTGGCATCAGTGTAGCTAACTCGGTTCACCAGATGTGTCTCGTGTTTTTCCTGCAGTATCTGGACAAGCAGAGTCTGAGTTACGCCAGTGTACGTTTTCGAGCTGTGTGCAGGGAACGTTTCAATTAATTGGCGCAGGTGTTTGGTCTCATCACGGACTTGAAGTTGACCAGCACGCAATACTCGTGGTGTTCATCGATCTTCTACGTCGGTAAGCGGTGTTTCTTCTCGCTTCTACAACATAATTCTCACCATGTGAATTAGGCCAACTCGTTTCCGAATACCCCTTCATCTACTTGATGAGCAGACTACACCTGACCAAGTTTGTGGGAGTCACCGTGTAAGCAACCTCCATCTCTCTCGCCGGACAATTGCTGACATCTCCAGCGTCATGTGGGGCATCGTCTGCATGTGTCTTGCAGCTCCCAACAACTACGCCGGCTTCGCTGCTGTCCGATTCCTCCTCGGCTTCGCCGAAGGCGCCGTCAGTCCGGCCTTCATCACCATCACAAGCATCTGGTACCGAAAAGACGAGCACGCCCTCCGCACAGCGTACGCCCCCTCCCTATAACTCTCCACAAACCACCGCCGCCAACTAACTCCCATGCAGCTTATGGATCACCATGAACGGCCTGGCTCAAATCTGCGGCTGCCTCCTCATGTATGGCATCGCCAAGAACGAAGCCCTCGCCCTGGCCCCCTGGCGCACCCTCTTCCTCGTCTGCGGCGCCATCACCTCGGCCTCCGGCGTCGTCTTCTACCTCTTCATGCCCAACGGCCCCAAGGACGCGTGGTTCCTGACGCCGCGCCAGAAGCAGGTCCTCTCGATGCGCATGGCCAAGGACCGCGAGGGCGGCGACAAGACGTCGTTCTCGCTGCGTCAGCTCAAGGAGGCGCTGCTGGATGTCAAGACGTGGTTTGTGTTCTGGTTCGGCGTGCTTGTTACCATGCAGTCTCCCGTGCTCACGGTAAGTTTCTGCTTGAGGGGTTGCCTTGTGTTGCTGGCGCTGACGTTTGTGAAGTTTGCTTCTTTGGTGATTAATACCATCGGATACAACAAGTTCGAGACGATGTTATACACAGCTCCGTCAGGTGAGCCCATCTTGGCGCTCTTTTCAACTACGGAAAACTAACGCTTCTTAGGCGCCGTGCAGATTGGAATGCTTTGGATTGGCGTCTGTGGATGCATGATGTTTCCCAAGCACAGAACCCTAGTAGCACTCGTCCTTATCCTGCCGCCGCTGGCCGGAAACATCCTCCTCCTGAAGCTATCAACAGATGCAGGCTGGGGCATGATCGGGGCATCTTGGCTCGTAAGTCCCTTTGTCAACCAACCACCAAAGCGCTTCCTTTGACTAACATCTCTCCAGGCATCCTGCATCACAGCGGTCTGGTCGATCCTACTCTCCCTCACGGCCTCCAACGTCAAGGGCAACACGAAGCGCGCCATTGTCAACGCCATGTTCTTCATCGGCTACTGTGCCGGCTGCATCGGGGCGCCGCAGCTCTGGACCGAGAAGCCGCGCTACTTTAACGGCGTCGTCACCGCCATCGTGACGTGGTGTCTGCTCTTCACCGTCATCGTCGCGTATCGATACCTCTGCACCAGGGATAATGCCAAGAGACAGGCTGCGGCGGATGGTGGTATTGGTGGTATTGGTGGCGAGAGTGGCAATGGAGAGGTCGTTCTCGACGCTGCGGGCGCACCGGAGAGTGATTTGACGGATAAGGAGGATAAGCAGTTTCGGTACAGCGTGTAATCGGAGTTGGAAGAGGATATTGTCTTCCGTGGACTTGATATCTTGGAATAGATATTTTTGGACAACGGTTCTGCTTTGAAAGGTGTTCGAGTCTGCGCCTGTGCGGAATACCAAACTCTTAGCCACTTTCGCATAATGAAGATGATGAGAGATACCGCCGGTTTGCCTTCTGTTCAATGCGAAGGTCCCAAACCAGCAAATACCAGATCAAAGGCTTGCCACTGTCCTCGACAAACAATGTCTACTTGTCTGACGCCCCTTGTGTCTCGCGTACTTGTTCCGTACCATACCTCGTCACTCCTCTTTGTACGCATTATCCTCTTCAATCTGCAACAAGTGCGCCAATACCCAGTCCTGATCATTCGCATAGGGATCTTTGTAGTTGCCATTACGCCCATTGACAGAGGTCGGGTAGATGTACGCGCAAGAAGCTCGACCATTCACCTCAAACAGCGCCAGATTATTCCGAATGATCCCATCAGCAGTCCTCATCCAACTCTCCCCGTCCGTCTCATTCTTCTCCTGCAGGCCTTTTCCATAGTGATGAAGAGCAATGGTGTTAAGCGTGCTCCAGTGGTGAGGAAACGTATCCCCCCACATCCGGTCCTTGCCAAACCAATACCCGTCCCAGTGCCGGATGGAGACATCGTGAAGCCGATAATCCGGCTGCTTACCCGCGAATCGGAGCAGCGTGTCGAGGTGCAGCTTGCCGGCGTCCAGCCACTTCTCTTCGCCCGTGTACCGCCAGAGCTCGAGCAGCATCACGGCCGCGGGCGCGACGATGGATTGCTCGAAGTTGACCTCGAATTCGGGGTAGTCCAGGCCCCTCTCCGCGATCTTCTCTCCGTGGGCGATGAAGAGTTCTCGGGCCCGTACCAGCCACTCTTCGTTGCCGTGTTTCTCGAGTGCTCGCAGACCTTCGAGGATGGGGAGACCAATAGCGTATAGCCCGTCGCCGCCTTCAGCGTAAAAATTCTCCAGCGTCATCATAAACCTCTCCATCGGCGTCTTCTCCGCGACGGCACCCGTGAGGTTGAGATCAAGAGCAGCGACGGTGATGTGGAACTGCAGAACCCAGGGCCAGTTATACAACCGCTTCTTACTACCATCCATCCCAATCGGCCTATCCCTTACAAAGCCGTTCTCCTCTTGCAGCTTGGTTGACACGAAGGTGTAATACTTCTCCAGCGACTCGCGCACCTCCTCGTTCTCGGGATTCTTCTTCAGCCAGCGCGCCATGAGGATACCCATACCCACGCGCTCGCGGCCGGGGTTGCGGTCGGTCGAGGTGTCCCACGTCGCGATAACGTTGGCCTGGTTGTCGAAGACGCGGTAGGCGCCCTCTGCGGGCGTGTTCGACGTCGCGTCCTGCTGGTTCTCGACGATGAATTTCGTCCGGGCGGAGAGGAGGTCGGAGGTCGCGGGGACGGTGTTGAGGAAAACGGTCGAGTTGCGCCCTGCGTCGGTGGAGATGGTGAGGGTTGTTCTGGTTGTTCGGCCGGCTGTGAAGTTGTATCGGCACGCGTCGTCGTCGCAGGTGATGGTTTGGCCGTTGACCTTCGTATCGGAGTTGATCGATGCGCCAGAGAGGCGTAAGGTGCCCGTCTCCCCAGTGACGAAGGTGAAGTAATCGGTCTCGACCCTCACGAACTGCTTCGATCGAGCCGCGCTCTGCTTGAAAAAGTCTTCCCAGTCGGTATGCCAGAACCACGTCCACTCAACCACACTCTCTTCGCCAGGCTGGAGGGTCGGTATAGAAGGATGGAGCAGGAAGACGCCTCTCGTATTGGATAACGTCACCGCGTCGCGCGACTCGACACTATACCCAGCCAGTGAGCCCTTCGTCAGCACGAGGCCGAGGTTGCGATACTTCCCACCCATCTGATCCAGCTTAACCCACGACGAGCTCCCTCCATGCGCCCAGATATGCGCGTGCGAGCGCGCCTCGATGCAATCGGTCGTATTCGTGTAGTGATCGTTGAAAGGGGCGTAGATGGCCAACGCCGTTGTTCCGCGGCTCGCGAGGTTCAAAGCCTCGGCGCCTTTGTTCTTGAATGTGTACGTCTCGGTAAAGGAGCCGTCCTTATCGTCTATGCGTCTGTTGACAGCGAGTTCGAGGGATCCGGTGGTGTAGACGGCCTCGACGGCGTCGTCGCGCTTCGAGATTTGGGGGAAGTTCCAGAAGCTGCGGTGAAGCGAGTCCTGGCCTAGGTCTGCGTAGCCGAGACCCCAGCGGCTTCCGGTCGGTATCCAGGGCGCGTTGGAGCCGGTGCTCACCCAGTTCATGGCGTTTCTCGAGCGGGGGTCGGTGATTTTGTCGATGGCGCCGGTCTTGTCGTTGATGTTGATGCGGAAACCTTGGCTGGCGAGGTCGGCGGCGGCAGCGAAGACCGCGAGGAGGGGGAGGGTCGTGATTTTCATTTTTGCAGGGCACGGTGGAAGATGAACCCACTGTCTCTCGAGTTCATCAGGACGATACTACATCAATTTCCCATCTCTTCTTTTACAGACGTCGTCCTCGCGTCTTGCTTACCCGAGGACGAGGGATCGTGACAACATCAGGGTGGAAAGATACGTTCAAGACGCCAGAGCTGGAACATTCCGAGATCTTCTCACAGCTGCGGACAAGTCCGACGTATTAGCTTCAAGAGATCTACGACATCAGAAGCAGTTCTTGAACAATACAGCTTGGCTCGGTTGGCCAACAAGGATGATTATGCACCCCGCATGCACGTCACTCGCACTTTGTGCTTGGCATGTTGATGGACCATGTTCCATTGCTTCTTGTACCGATATTCGTCCTATCTAGAGACGAGGTGCTCTCGAAGTAGAGCGATCATTCATCCCACCAGAACCGAAAAGCCACCCAAACTCCACCAACACCATGTCCACGCAAGTTCCTCGTATCCTCCCTACCTAGAACCAGAGTCGCGTAACGGCGTGATCATGCTACAAGAGCTGGTCAGAATGAATCAAACAACATGAAGAAGAACAAGAGTCAAACAAACCTTGAGTCGGCGCTTAGGGGGCGTCAACGTGAGACTTGGCCGTGCGGCCGTCGTGGTCGAGGTGGGGGAACAGCACCGGGTACTCGTCGAGGACGAGGTGACGCCGACACTCATCGTTTTCGAAATGACGCTTGTAGCAGTAAATGCAGATTTTCGTGGTGCCTTTCCGAAACTTTCGGGCCTTATGTCTGTTCCTCTGCGAGTACGCCTCGCTGAGACGGCCGTTCTCCGCGGCCATGGCGGCGGCCTGGGCAGCCATCTCACAAGTCTGCTCCCACTGCGCGAGGCGGATGCGCTCGGCGACGTCGGCATCCGCCAGAATCGTGGCCTTGCGCGCCTTGTTGGCCTTGGCTGCGTTCTGGCGCATCTCCTGAATTTGCTCCTTGAGGTACTCGTTCATGAAACCCATGGTCTCCATGGTTTCGTCAATGTTTGCCTTGTTGTCGACGACTGCCTCGTCGTGGGCTTCGGGGTTGGTAGCAGGGTACTTGTAGGAGGACATTGTTGCAAGTTGCGATGTTGGTGGCTAGGCTGTGTTAAAATATTATTCGGGTGGAATAAGACGACGACAGAAGAAACCAGTGACTTACTCTGATGACGATTGTATGGATAGAGTCGATCTTGTGTTGAAATTGGTTGGGGTTTGCGATGGGAGAGCGTTGTGATGTCGTTGTTGTGGTGGTTGCTCTGGGGAGAGATTTAGACGAGGAAGAGGAGGAGGGAAAAGGGAGACCGAGAGGCAGCACCACGACCAGGCAGAAAAAAAATAAATAATTCAGACCACCGTCAGCCGGTGAAAGGTCTTCAGAGAGAGCACGGGGCAGATTTATTCGAATTATTTCCCAGCCGGCCGGTCTTCTGGGTGCGTGGACAAGGCCTTTGTTTACTTTCTCCCACCCCCTTGCCCTCCTCCTCGAGCCTTCAACTTCTTCGCCGGCTCCTCAGAATATCCCGTCTCGGTTATTCCTAGCGCACAAATCTTGGTCTTGCCAAAATTTTCCTTTCCTACTCTGCTCACGGTCGGTTTATCATTCTTCTCCCCTCGGACCGGTCTTCACCTCTCTTTTGTCTATTCTCCCTCCTCCAGAATCGACAAAGTCGGAGAGGTTATCGGGTAAAGGAGCATTTATCAAGACCGTTGCCCTGTCTTACGATACGGTATCTAAAATCAAGACCCGTCGTCACATAACATACGTTCTCGCCTACCTTAAATCAGCATCCCTACATCAAGGCTTCTGAGCTGCGAGTCCTCAACCTTTCGGAAAAAAGAGCTATCCAATCGCCCCCTTACCTGACGGTATGATTGCATTTACTTTCCTCTTTCATCTCAATGGCAGTGGAACTGATCACGAACAGGCAAAATGGACTCCTTCGGACAGCCTACTACCGGAGTCAATGGCACTGACAAGCCCATCGCTGTGTTGAAGAAATACGACAACGGATCCTATGGCCTTCTAGTTTACGGCTCCGACTTCCTCATCCGAGGAGGTGAACTGGCTTCGTCTTCCATGACATCGGCACTCTTCATGTCTCGAATTATTGACGATGTTGTTGCTTTGGGAGTCAACACCATCTTTGGCGTCGTGTCGTGGAAGAACATCGAGCCCATTGAAGGCGTGTTTGACTTCACCGAGTTGGACGCAATCATCGCTCTCTTCCGGGAGAAAGGTCTCTATCTCTCCCTTCGATGGAACGGTACCCTTGTGGGACATGGCACTGATAGTGAGTTTTTCTTTTCCTCTGTCCTGGACGCAGAACATCTTCCCGGCATCCTGCGTCGTCGCCCTTACCTCGTTCATTACTATTTCTCTTCCGCTTCCTCCTCAAAACAAACATAACCAGTCATTTTGAGACTTCAATACCGCTGTTCTCTCTGTTTCAATAATTGTATCTTGATCAGCGTCATGCTTGAAGACAATCCTGACATACTCCTCCATAGACTTGTCGGACTCAGTCCCTTCGTGGGTCAAGACCAACGCCCAACGTTTCCCGAAGGTGAAGCGCACAGAAGACGTATACGATGCCCAGCAAGATGAAATTGTTGGCAAGACTCGGCGAACCACCGAGGCGATCTCTCTCTTCGGAGACGAGATCGCCGAGGCCGAGCAAAACGCCTTCCATGCACTCATTGGCCACATCAAGCTCGTTAACAAGTCCCAACACACGATCGTAATGGTTCAAGTCGGGTCCCTCATCGGATTCAAGCGGAACACCCGCGACTACTCAGTCGCCGCTGATGCCAAGTTCGACAGCCCGGTACCCACCGAATTGCTCTCCTACTATCAGGCCAAAGGATCCGCGGTAGAGCCCGGTGCTTTACGTTACGGCTGGGATAGCTTCGGTCAGGAGGATGGCGAAGCAGAAACTCTGTTTTCTGCCTATTACTTCGCCACATACGTCGAGGCTCTCGCAACGATCTGCAAGCGAGAATGTGGCCTGCCCGTCTTTACAGATGTGGCGGTCAACCGCCAGGGCCCTGCCCTTCATGGTTCCGCCGAGGGCAAGATGATGAGATTCTGGAGGTTCTTCACCCCCAGCCTAAGCTTCTTTGCGGCCAGGCTGTTGCCCGGTCCTTCGTCCAAAAGTATTGCAGATTTTGTCGCACGCAACAATCAGCCGCTACTTATTCTTGGCCAGAACAATACCGACATCGAGAAAATCTGGGTCAAGTTTGGCAACTGCAACGCCCTCGGAGTGGCCCTCACACGGATCGAGGCCATCGACCTAGCCACTTCTCCGGCTCCGGCTCACTTCTGTCTGCTCCGGGACCTGACTCCAACGATCCTTACCGCACGGAACAGCGATAAGAAGACGGTAGGCTTCGCTCTCACCGCGGTTAATCGAGTCGACCCGGACTGTGTCTCGTCCACGAACACGACTATGTGCGGCATGGACGTCAAGTGCCAGCATCTTGACAACCAATCGCACCGTAATGGTGGTTGGGGTATCGTGGTTGAGCAAGAGGATGGAACGCTGCTCGTCGCTGGCCAAGCATTTCAAGTCAAGGCCAAGTCGCTTTCGCCAAAGGCCACCGTGACCCGGGTTCTGGACTTCGTTAAGAAGGAAGTCGAGGGCGAGGGCGGCGGCAGTCTCCGAAGCCTTCGTCGCTTTACCGCAGAAGATACCAACGGCGGCCGAGCTGCGCAGATGCCCGCGGACACGCCTATGATCGCGGAGATCGCTTTCTACGCGTTTGAGGAGTAGTCAAGGAGGATGTCAGGTTGAGTTTACATCGGTGGAGGAAGGGGTTTCTTTTGTAGTTTTACGCGTCGCTCGTTTTCCTTTTCTTCCCGTTGCTCAGGCACGCATTCCCTGCCATCATACTGGCTTTGTGTCCGCCGCTTAACGTCGAGAACTGGGGCAAAGAGACACCCGGTTTCCGGGACAGGTTTTGTCCCTAATTTCTATTTTCGCCGCACACATCCAAGTGCCCTTCTTCAGTTCTTGGACTTTGAGTCTTTGAAGGCAAGGCGTTCTATCGATTCTGAATGCTCGGAATCAGGTTTCAAGAATTAGTGTCGCTTCGAATTCATTTCTGGAGACACACCTGCCAGTATCGAGGGACACCATGCTGGCAGAACTTAGAAGATCCAGACGGTAGCCGTGGAGAATTCTATATGTGTCCACACCAACATTAACGCATCAGCAAGAGCGTCAAGCTCTGCTAAGTCGCTGCTATAATATTGCCTAGTGATCGTACGAAGCTCATACCCAGGAAAGAAAATTGGACTTGTCCGTCTGAATACCGCTACGTTTGAGCTTGGGTCACGGTGTTCTATATGTTTCGTTGAAGCGGGTACGGAGTATCTCTTCTTTTTGCCACTTCTTGACAACAATCCTGTTAGTTATAAGCCAGTAAGTATCACTGGCTTCTTGGATAAATCTGCTAATAACTTACTTACTGGCAGCAAAACGGGCAGAAGACTTGTGATGTTTAGATTATATTTTCCAACATCAGGTTGAGAGCTTCGAGGGAGCTTGAGCCAATATTACTAGTACCTGACATTTATTAACTATCCTTAGGTATAGCGTGATTTGGAATAGAGCCAAAACAAAAAGAACAAGAAGGGTTGCTGCATTGTGTTGCGTGGCGAACTGCTGTTGCTAATGTTGTGACGATTCTTTCTACAACAAGAAAAGATCAGGTGGGAGTGAAACATCAGCCTCTGGAGCGATTTCTTCCAGTTCTTTCATCCAGTCCTCCAAAGAGTACGATCCGTAATCCTTCTCCGAAAATTCAGACTCCGAGTCCCATATAACTCCCAGTTCTTCTGCTGCTTGACGCTCAGCCATCTCAAAACTGCGCGATTCTAACTCTTCGACTACACCGCGCATTCGAGGACTCCAAACATTTCTTAAGAACGGCACAAGATCCTCATTGCAGCTACAGCATTCCTCGAACTCTGCAATGAGATTCTCAAACACGCGGAGTCTCTCTAGCTGCTCTTGGTTGATTTCTTCAACGTCCTCCTGACTAAAGATTGTCCCCTTTCGTTGTATGCTGTATTTGCAAGAAAAGCAACAGCAGGTATGTCGGAGATTCAACGCTGAAAACGTGAAATATCTCAGAATGATGCGATACACTCCAATGTGATCTTGAGGGTAGCCGTTGTCTCGAGGTATTAAACCTAAGATCATTCGACCAAGATGTGACTTTTCTTCCAGCTTCAATGGCTCATCCACGTCTTCGTAAGAGGACCGATAATCATAGCTGTTCATCAGCAACGTATTCAAAGGAGTACATCCTTTCTCCAAAAGGCAAAAGCAGGAGCAAGAATCCAAAAGACATCGAGAGAAAACTGCGTCGGAGACCTTTCGGGGCAGGGTCGGCGTCGCGCCTTTCCGAGTTCGCCCATATCGATACAAGCTTTTCCCCAAACGATACATAAAATAATGTGCCCATGTCATCCCTTTACTGTAGGTAAGCTCTTGCCACATACCTCCCTCTATTGTTGACCTCAGATCAACTCCGTGATCTAGCAGCCAACTAACATGGGATGCCATGGTGGTGGCGTTTTGAAGTTCGTCGGAATTCCAACATGTATCCTCTATCAACGTGTGGAAACCGTCAGCAAGGCCTTGACCGAAGTCTTTAAAGCCCAGTTCCCATGCTTCCTGAGCCATTGTCTTATTGCGGATGTAAGCATGAACAGTCTTGTTGAACCCTGGCATCTCTGCTGCTGCACTTGAGCCACTGCGAACTTTCAAATAGTTTGGTAACTGAAATGCCCGGCTCTCAAGCTCCTGTTGAAATTTCAAAGCGTCTCGGTCCAAGATGTAGTCTCTTTCAATATCGACAATTCGCAACACATTCTCCGGGTGGACGTCCCTTGCGATAGCTTCCAGTTTGATTCTTCTTTTTTGCAGGTGTTGAAGAACCTGCTTTTGCGCTGCTTCTGGAGTACTCTCGAAAAAGTAACGACGGAGATCCATGGCTCGTCGAAGGGTATTCGAATAGATAGCCGACTCTGAGTCCAGCAGTCTCTGCAACACAGCAAAACAACTGCATTCTCTTTGGGATTTGGTACTTCGTACCGGGCAGGTATGAGTTGTTCCCGAGATGGCGTAATCGATTGGATACAAGCCAGCACTATCGCAGGTCTCCACGACGCGATTGTCGTCAGTGTCGAGGAGGGCTTCTACGGCCTGGATGTTGCCGAAAAGAATGGCCACATGTAATGGAGTTTGGCCAAAGTCATTTCTCTCCTGGTATGAGTATGAATACTTTCTGGAACACCATTTCGTGTTGCTTTTGTGCACGATGGCACTCGTGAGTGGCCCACCAATGAAGACTAGAGAGATCATTATCAGGTCGTCTGCATACAGCCTGACTTCTTCGAGGAATCACTCACGACTTTCCATATTTGGGTATTCTGCGATGATTGAGGAAATCGTATGCTTAGTGTTCAAAAAGTTGTACCAATGCTTCTTGCCAGCAGTTTCAGCGCCCATTGCGCAACAACATGTTGATACATCTGGGGACAGAATCAGATGGACTCCATGCAAGGAACCAATCTGCCGCATACTCTAAAGCTGACCTGTCATTCTTTGTTAGCCACCATACGAATTGAACGTTTCCTTCAATGCGTGGCTGCAACATCATGACAAGCTCGACACACAGTTGCTGCTGAAAACCCATTCTGCGCACCCAGCCTGCACGCGCAGTGGATCACAACTGTTGAAATGAGCTTAGTATGTTCATTAGACTTACATTTCAATGTCATTGCATGCGTTTTTTGGTACACCTAGCTTAATGAGGGCACTCGCCAGTCGGAGTTCGGGCAGTGGATCTATGTACACATGCTTGTCCGTGCATGGGGAAACCTTACAAGAGCCATATTAGTACGTTTTCATAAATGCTTTCTACTTTTTATTTTTTTTCTTCCTAGTGGTCGTTGTTCCTTACGAGTATTCTTGAAATCGACCTCAGAAGTAATGTTTCAGAGTCACGAATAGTGACATCCTTTGGATTGGATTTGTTGTGGCTGAAACACCAGAACAGTCGCTTTATGCTTGATTCGAGAATCCGTTGCATCTTCATGTCTTTTGACGAATCGATGTGTATCCGACAATTTGCCTCAAGAAGAATGTCAACAATTCTAAATGCCGGAGAATGATACTCATTCACTTGCATCATCCAAGTAAGGTTTTGGCTAATGGATGTTCCTCCCGCGCCAGTCTTCAGAGAAACAGACAGCCGGACGGCAGCTCGGAGTAGATTGTGTACTGCCGGGAGCGTTACTCCGACTAGCCGGCTTTGATTGTGCTCGGGTGTCGTAAGTGATGATAGCGGGCAACCAGGCATATGATGGGAGGTTTCAATGCTTTCTACATTGTAAAACAGAGGGCCCCAGCTACGTCGGTTCTGCCTCTGGGATTGGCCTCTCGTGCAATAACATATTTGAGCACTTTGATAGCGACTGTATTGTTTGATGGTGTTACAGATGCCGGCTGACTGCGAGATGGTCGAGGTTACTGACTCTGAACAAAGAAGTCCGTCGGACAAGGCCGAAAGATCGGAAGGCCGTGAAACAAGCCTCATGATTTGACAGTTTCTGCTGTAGTTGTCTCCCATGCTCGTAGCTACTTCTGCAAGAAGTTCGTGAAATCTCTCCATCTTTTGATTCACCTGTGAGACCTCTTGAAGCATCGTCTCTGTGTTCTGCTCGACATGTACCGATATCTGGGTTCCGCGTATCAAGGCTTCTGTCTGTCGACTGACAGTCATCAACGTTGTCGCAGCCTGCGCATGTGTCTCCTGGATGAGGTGCTCAGATCGACTGGTGACGGCATGTATCTCTTCGACCGTATCTGCCACTTCTGATACCTTTTCGATCGTGTTGTCTGCTGTAGTAGCGATGGCGCTCAGGTCCGAGGAAAAGCCAGCAACAGCGTTGTGCGTGTTGACTGAGAGATGCCTGTAGTAAATGAGACATCATGGCGTTAGCATTCTCAATCCCGACAAGTCCAAAGATGCGATGTGATTACTTACACACCGGCAGAGTTCAGTGCAGTCTGAAGCACTCGATTTGAGGTGTCGAGCCGCCTCTCAAGCTCGCGAATGTCATCCCGGTGGAAAGGGTAGGCCAGCTCTCTTGCCTTTTGCTTCAACCTCTCCGATAACGTGCCTGCGCTTGCTTCAGGGCCTCGTAGCTTGACGACAAGTTCGTCAAGCGCCTTCAACTCGTTCCGGCATGAATCAAGGCAGCCAGCGATGGCTTCATTCGTGCTCGTATGGGTAGTACTTGGGAACGAAACGTTGTCGAGTGCAAGCAGGCATTTCTGGAGATTCTCCGTCTGCTCTCTCGCGAAGTCGAGGTCTCGTTTTCTCCCCTTGACGGCATCGATGTACTTCGAGATCTCGCCGTAAAGCTGCAATCCCAAAGACACCAAGCCGGCTGCGGTGCCGGTGATGCCAACGGGCTCGGCCATGGCGTGAGGTCCTCTCAGAGCAAAATTCCGGATGAGTGACTGAGGTTCGATGAAGAGGGGAAGATCAAGGTGTTGGGGGAAGAGCGAGAAGCGACAGATCAGGCTGGTCCAAGAACATGGCCGCAGCATGCGAGTGTCCACGTGTCACGCACATCTGCACAATGGCTGTGCCACTGCGAGGCAGACTGGAGGAGAACTGAAGCGATTTTTACTGGCTAGTTTGAGGTGACAAAAGTAGGCTCAGCTGAGAGCCGGCCAATTGGGACTGTTCGAGATTCCAGGTGCTGACAAGCTGCATATCAGAGAGCCATCATGTTCCGAATGAAGGCCCGATTTACTAACAATTATAATCGACGCTGGTTGGTTGAACATTCTTCGAGTTCTACTTTTCAAGATACCCTCACGGAACAGTCCAACATTGATGGTCACCTTACACCTTTCACCTTACACTGGCCCGAAGCCCAAATTCCTCCCTCCCTCCACCTCTTCATCTACGTCATACCCCATCCCCATCCATCCCCATCTCCATCTCCATCTCCATCCCCATCCTCCAGCATAAACACTCCCTCCAAGGACCTCCCCTCCGTCCCCCAAAGATCATCGACGTCTGATGTGAGTGGTCCCCAATGCCATCTACCCCTCTGTCCCCATCCCAAAAAGACCGGCCATCGTCCGTAAAACGGCCCCACAGCGGATCCGGAATCCAAACCCCACACCGCCGAGGTAAATCTCTTCATCCGGGACGTTTCACCACGGCACGGGGGGGCCCTTCTTCATCTCCCTCCCCGTCTTCCCTTCCCTTCCCTTTCCTTCCCTCACCTCCCTTGTATCCTTCCTTTTTCCCCGTCACTTCCTCCCCGTCGCGATAATCATTCCGTCTCCGATATCCAACATCCATATCTAAATCCGTCCCATCCGCCAAGCCTCGCATCTCCATCTCCCATCATCCACCCCCCACGGGGTCTTCCTCGGGTGCGTGCCCGGATGGATGGGCTTGGCGGGAGCTGAAGAGGGAGGGGTGCTCCTTGTTGGAGAAGGTTGAGAGGTCTTGGGGGGTATTGCGTTCCCGGTCATGATGATGAATTGAGAGTTGGTGACGGGTTTATCTCGGGATGACGATTGAGGACCGTATAGAGACACTGATAACGTCCAACGGTCACCTCTCCATTAGTATGATTCCCAGCAGGTGTTGGTGGTTAAACAAAGATTCCAAAATTGCAAGCGAGAACAGTCACAGAACATCATACGCGCATTTGCTTCATGAATTGAATTAAGCACTTGGGTATCATGGTATATACAAAACCGCCCCCTTCTCTCCTTTCTCCATTCCGTCTCTCCGTTTTTTTTATGCAAACCGTTGCCTTGATTGCGCCCAAAGCCCGCGAGCGCCTCTATGCGGTAGAACAAATTCGACAATCGATCAGGTTTTTTAACGTTCCACTGTTCTGAGTGACAATGAAAAAACGTTGTGTGTACGTTTTTTGCGCCGGGTCTTTTGACGCGCCGGCTGTTTGTGTGTTTTGGGGAACTCGAGGGAGCTGCGGACAAAGCTGGAAGACATTTCGGCCGTTCCAGTGTAGCGGTGTTCCCTTGAGCGGTTTCGGTGTTTTTGTTTTGTGGGTGGTGAGATCTTAGTAGGTTACCTCCTCGGACGGGGGTCCGGCGTAGTTCTTGCGGCCCCAGACGATGTACCACAGGCCGGAGACCAAGCAGGCGAAGACGAAGACGGCGGGGGCGTAGTTGATGGTCGTGGGGGTGACGGGGACGAAGGTGGGCATGCAGAAGAGAGGCATGGCGAGGGCGGACCAGGCTGGGAATTTGTTAGCGACATTTTTACTACGGAATATCATGACTTCACTCACCAAGAGAGACGACGTTGGCGAAGGTGCCGAAGGCGCCGAGGTTGAAGCTGGCACCCTCCAAAGCCTTGCGGCCGGTGAAAAGGCTGATGGCGATGGGGCAGGCGTAGGAGGCGGTCAGGCAGATGACACCGACGCCGGAGAAGGCGTTGAAGGCAGCGCTGGAGCCGAAGTAGATGACGCCGAGGATGATCTGGACAGCCATGCTGAGCATCATGGCGTTCAGGGGGACGTCCAGCTTGTGGTTGACCTGCTTCCACCAGCGGGAGCCGGGGATGGCGCCGTCACGAGCGAAGGCCCAGGTGCAGCGAGAGGCGGCCGTGGTGCAGCCGATACCGCAGAGAAGGGCGAGGACCATCAGAGGGAAGAGGAGGCCGAAGGCGCCGCCGGAGTTGCCGATGGCGTCCTTGATGATGGCGGGGACGGGCTGGCCAGAGGCCAAGCCGACGAGGTAGGGGATGTCGGGGAGGACGAAGACGAGGGGGATGAGGAAGACGAGGCCGGCGATGGTGTTAAGGCAGACGGTGAAAACCAGAGCCTTCGGGACCTGCTTGGAGGGGTTCTTGACTTCTTCGCACATGCTGACAAGGGGTTAGCACTTGGGCGAAGAATTTTCCACTTCAGGGGCGGACTCACGAAATGACCATGCCGGTCGAGGAAGTGGCGTATCCGGCATGAAGCAGACCGACCATGAAAGACCAGCCCTTGGGCCAGCCGGAGTTGGCCTCGAAGTGGGTGAAGACATAGGCGGCATCGTGACGGCCGTTCTTGGCAACGACGAGGACGGCCACGATGATGGCAATGACACCGGCGAAGGTCCAGTAGATGGCAGCAGTCTAAATCACGACAACTTAGTACAATTTTCACCACCAATCACCAGATGCGAGGCAGAGTTTTCTTACGTCAAGAAGAGGCAGCCAGCGGTTACCGAGCGAGGAGACGGCGTTGCAGAGAATGGTGATGGCGAGGAAGATCAGGAAGACCTGGTAGGGCTCGCCGGCGAAGATACCGACACCCGGCTCGGACTCGAAAACGTTGATGCACGCGACGTAGAAAAGAGCGGTCCCGAAGTTCACGGCAAGAGTGATTGTGATATTTCCAACGACGTAGAGCCAGCCGCAGATCCAACTGGCGACGCGGCGCCAGCTAGGGGGCGCGAGCATGAAGGCCTGGTAGTAGACTCCTATTCAACGGTCAGCACGTGGAGTCCCGGGAACGGCGCGGTCGGCGAGCCAGGAAAATATCGGGGAACGGCCGGGCGGAACGGAGCGAGCACAAAGAAAGAGTCGGTAAGTACCTCCGGCAGTAGGGTAGACACTGGTGATTTCACCAAGCGAAGCGGCAACACAGATGATGATCAGAGACACGCCGAGCCAGCCCCAAATGATATCGACGGGACCACCGCCAGCCAAGGGGTAGATCATCGTGGTGGACAGGCCGTAGGGAATGGATGCGAGGACGAATGACATGAAGGCGACCTGCAGCGTCGAGCGGTTGCGCTCGAGCTCAGGCTTGTAGCCGAGCGACTCGAGCATGTTGTCGGCGCCATCGTCTGAGCGGGAAGGACGGGCAGTGAAGCCGTCCTTGACATCGTCCTTGGCGAAGCCGAGGTCGTGCTCGCGAGCACCGGGGTCTTGAGAGACGAAGTGCGCCATGATGGACGACTTGATATAAACCCTATGAGAAAGTCGAGTTGCAAGAGCCTGGATGGCTCAGGGGGCGAGAGAGGAGGAAGTTAAAAGAGAGATGGGCTGATGATTCCAAATGACATGAGGGTTGGTGGTCCAGTGCGTCGAAGCCAAAGCCTAAGTCAAAGGGATGAATTTTATTTTGGGGGAAGTGATCGACCGGATGGTGGTTTGAGTCCGAGGTGTTCCAAGACCGAGGTGACGGGAGGATGAAGAGTTTAAAAAGGATGGAGGAAAAGAAAAAAAGAGGCAAAAAATAGGCAAGGGTCTGAAGAACAGACAAGGCAGAGACACAGCGAGAGAGGCCCGGCAGGGAAGGACTTGATTGAGTTGAGGCAGTCCTCTCTCTCTCTCTCTCTCACACTCTCTCTCTTCTCACTGCACACCTCCAAGCTCCATTCGAGTCGACTGGACAGTCCCCAACTGGGCTATCAGTTGGCTTGTCTGTGTCGCGTTCGCCGGGACCAAAAAATGACGTCCATCTCATTGGGTATGTCCGCGGCATTGCGGGACCCCCTCAGAGAAGTGACTTGGAGTCTGTGTGTGTGTCCGCATGTACTTTGTAGTAGACCCCCCCATGCCCATGCCCATGTCCATGTCTCTTTGCCCCCCAGGCTGCGGTCTCATCCCTGTCGTCTGTAGTTTCTGTCCAGTGATCCTTCTCTCCTCTCCGGGCGTTGTCTTGTCTTGCCTTGTCGCTATCTGTCCAGTCCCCCTGGCGAGTCCCTGTGGGAGAGCCACGGATGATTGGAAGTTGGACGTGGGCGGGCTGCCTTGTCACTATTTTGTGTGTGTGCTGCTCTCGACGTGAATTTTAGTGTAGGTTCCCTCAACTTCAGTCTGTTTATCTCGGGCTCTTGTCTGACTCGGGATCCCCGGTGGATTCGACTGGTGCCACAGCAATCTTCCCGCCCACACATTCACGACTTGCCGAGCCGTCAGCGAGTGAGAGTCTCGAGGGAAGCAGGAGTGGCTACGCTCGCTTATGATGTACGCGCAACAGACGACGGGCGGCACAGCAATTGTGAGCTCAGGAAGACGCAGGTCGAGCTGAACGGGTAGGGCCACAAAAGACGCCGACGAGACGCAAGACCGACAGCCGCCCAAAGAGGTAGACAGGCATGTGGTCTACCGGCTCCGTATCGTAATCGAAACACTGGGACATAAGCAGCATCGCAAGAAGCCGTATCTGGTGTGGCGCCAAGAGCAGGCCAAATCGACCGGCCTGTAGCATCGCGTTTGCGGCCAGAACGGCGTCGGCTGCGAGCCTCGTTGCGGTAATTTGTCCCGCGCTATCGACGGCAGGCGTAAAGCATATTGAGCCCATCTTTCGAGTGAGCCACGGCAAGTCGGTGTTACTCTCAGTCTCTTGTTTCTGGCCTGCTGAGCTGCCTTGCATCAGCCTGCCTCGCCTCGTAGCGCAGCTGATGATTAGCGTGTCGCACGACTTGGATCAGGCCGGGGAAGAAGCGCGGACGAGGGATGGGAAAAGCATTCATCATCCATGACCAGACGACTTGGAAGTAGTTCCGCACCACTCTGCGAGTGCGGACAAGACTCCGTCCGCCATCCCGCGCTTGTTCGACGAGAACAACTGTCATGCCGCCGCCTGGCCGCCACTAGCTGAAGCCAACGGCGTGGACAAGGAGGCCGTGGCTGACGGCATTCTTCGTGTATTCTTCGCGGCTTCTTTCGCATGTTGCTGATCCGCTAAGGTGGGTTTTTGGGGGCGTCGACTTCCGACGGTTGAACAAGTCAGAGAGCCCAATTGGCAATCCGTTGCGCAGTCTTCTTGTTTCTCCTCAAAACCTGTTCTTCACCCATTCGTTCCCCTCATCCGCCGGCGCCGAGACGGATGACCCTGAAAAGCCGTCAAGCCGCGAGGCGTCCGACGAGGCTCCAATGCTCCACGTTCATCCACGCTCTGTTGAGGGGGAACGGCAGGGAGCGGGAGACGAGGGAAATAAAAAAATCCTCAAAAAAATCGACAACTTCTGGGACCGCAAAACTGGTCTCCAAATTCTCCATCCGTCCTGATCCTCGACCACACTCAATGCGCACAATGCGGCCTGCCCCCGTTATGACGTAGCCGGTGGCCCATTTTGCCCGACTAACGCAGCAGGCCCTCCACGCCATGCAGACGTTGGTTCGTCAGACGCGAGTCGTGGAGTCTCTCAATCTTCCGTCTTGCCGTCTTGATCCCGACGGCGGTGGAGCGCGCCTCTGAACGACGACACGGTTGGCGGTCGCATCGCCGACGAGTGAGCGTTTGAAGAAGAGAGAAACGGGGCGCGCTTGGATGGAGAGAGAATGGAGAGAAATGGAGGAGACTGGAGGAGACTGGAGCACGATGGAGATGCAGAACCAGGGCTCCCCCGTCCTCCTCCCGGCCTCGACGAGGGTCTCCAGGCATGTCCCAGGGCCGTATCTTCACACGAGCAGGGGCCGGGGCAACACCACCCTGACACGACCAAGCCCGCTAGGATCGTGAGGCCCGCAAGCTCCCGTGGGAAGTGGTTCTGAGTGGCTCTCACAAGATGCTGATGTCAGAGAGGAGACTCCAGTGATGGGCCATCCACCTACCGCAGGGGGTATGGCGCCGCGTCCAAGTCGTACGTAAGAGTATCTTTTCGCTGGTTTGAGGCGGGTGAGATACTTGTTTGTGACAATCGACGGCGGCTGCCTCTCTGTCCACTCATGTTGGCCGTCAAGAGACAGTCGATTCCTGGAATGGAAAACGAGACGAGATGGCAGTCAAAACTGACACCCGGACGCCGCACACCGTCGGCCTGCCGCTGCGCCAAACCCGGCTCTCTGGTGGAGGAAGACAGGCCGGGGGACGGCACCCGATCGCAGCGCACACGCGACAGGACAGGCACATTGTCGTTGTCCCGCCCTCCTGGGTCGTCGGGGAGCCTCACCGATGGCGCCATTGCACCCTGAGACCCTGAGACCCTGTGGCAGGCTGAACAGGAGGGGCGCACGTCGCGATACGTATCGATACGTATCGAATCCGGGGAAAGGCTGAAATGGAGGAACGGATGAGACGATAGCCTCGCATCGGGTGAGACTTTGTGGCCTCCCACGGCGCGATGTATGTTGAGGCATGGTTGATATCTTGATGGAAAGCGGGTGTGGCGTTGGGCTGGAGGCCGAAAGGGGGCCCCGGAGAGGGTGGAGATGTTGGCGTGCTCACCGAGCTGACCGAGAAAAGGTTGGCAATGGTGTTGAGTGACTCGAGACGTTCCAGAACAAAGACGGTCTGGAACATTGAGACCGACAATGTTTGTTTTGCGAGACAAGGGACACTGCAGGACAAGCGAGTGTTGGATTGAGTGATGGAAGCCGGGTAGTCGGTAAGGCTGTTTGTTCGATGCGTGTCGACGCCCGCAGCCTCCCAGGATGACGTCCTTCCCTCGTTTCCGCATGTCAAACACGATTTAGCGCCCCTAAGAGGAGGCTAGCCATGTGTTGACAGGCGGCTGAAAGTCTGGCGTCCAACGACATGGCCAGACGAGTGGTTGGCGAGAGAGATCTGCGTCCAAATTCTCCGGTGCGATGCGGTGCAGCACATGTCGACAGGCAGCTGGCAAGGTTCATGGGGGAGGACGATATGCACCCCGCTGCGGTTCGTCGAATCGAGAGAGAGTTGAGGCGCCAAGACCGGGACGACTGTGGATGAAGACGGACGGGATGCAACGTGGTGATGGAGAGAGAGAGAAGGGGAAAGATGAATGGCTGGCGGCGGTGAAGACAACATGGAGGTCGTGGGTGACTGGGGGAAAGAAAGACGCTGTTCTGGCCAGCCCTGAGGATGGGAAATGGGAAATGGCCAATGACAATGGACAATCTTCGCATTCAATTTCTATCCTGGGATCGATGAGCAGGAGAAGGCGAGTCTCGCTTTCACTCCTCCGCACTTTCGCACATTCGCACTTTCCGCGAGCCTCACTTTCCGTGGCTCGACCGTCATCCCACCGGCAGCTGCGAGGCTACTTAACACCGTGATGCTCTCGCCAGACCTCTCTTCTCCGTTCTCTCTGTATCCTGTTTTTCCCGGGACGTCTACCTCGTCGACGACTTCATGGGGGAGGGTACTCTGCAGATGGCCAAATGCAGGTACGGCAGGCCGAGAACAACCTACATGCTGCCCCTGCTTCATCGACGTCGATACATCCAGATACCGCACCACGACCTCAGATCAGACACGCCGGACGTGGTGTTATTGAGACCGATACCGATACCTGCAAGGCTGCATGGAGGTACAAGGAGGTGATGGATGTCTGGGAAGAGCTAGGAACGAACGGCACCGTACCGAAGACGGAAAGAATTCGGCATCTCGAGATATCGACCAACCTGCATGTGCATGGGATTATCAGGGAAACACTTTACCGAGTCACGGCTGATAACAACCGACCCCGACGAACGTTCGATTTCGAAGACGGCTTCGAGACCGATACACCGACGCAGATGACGACGCATCCCTCGAAAACCTGATCGACGATGGTCACTTGCTCACCACACTCATTCCATCTGGCGGCAAGAGACATCAGTAAATCCCAGACAGGAAGCTTGTCTATCTGATATCATCACGGCACCCGGAGACCGACGCCGTCTTCCGGGGTGACATTTCTCCAAATGTCGGGAATGTCAACCACCAAGCCTGTCAACTATCGAAGCCGAGGTTCCTCATCGACTGATAGGAGTTTCCGCGGCATCAACGGGATTAACGAGCTAAGCGACCGGGGAAAGATAACCTGACCATCCGACCAGACGCAGTGGAATCACCACGCGCTTGCCAGTCACCTCGGTGAGATGTTGGGTCGGATAGGGGCGGCGTGGGGGTGTCTAACCCCAGACTCTGGCTTATCTTGAAGAGCAAGGGAATGTTCTTGGTGCGACACCTATCGGCCAGGCTGAAGTACTGACGACGGAACACCAGACACTCATTGCCGATGATAAGATTATCTTGCGTTGTCGAAGAGAGTCGTCAGATGCTCTGGACCGAAGGAGACAAGGGCAGAAATCGACTGTCACAATCTGGTCCCTCCATGAATATGCAGACGGCACAACGCTCGCATGGACTGATGTAGACAGTCGGACAGGACACCGCTTTCCCGATCACGTGTGGATTCATGCGACCGGTGAGCATTTGGAGACCCAACGCCGATCGAGCTGGATCGACATCAAAGGACCAAGAGCAAGGGAGAGGCCTCGCCAGGTTCCCAGGTCGACATGGTTCAGACAGGAAGACCGAAGACGCCGTACGCGCCACGCCCAGCAGCAACGGACACACCGCAAAGGGTCGAAATGATGACGGACCAACGAAGAATTACGAAACAGAATAGCCAGAGGGCGGGCTGGACGAAAAGAAACATGGAAGCGGCAATGCGGAGCAGGCTGCAGAGCAAGTCCGCTTGATACAGAGGGACTCTAGAGATTCAAGGATGCTTCGGTCAACATCCAACACGTCCACGTCTACGATTCAAGTAAGTCACTTTCAAGTCTCTTTTCCGACATTTCCCTTCCCTGAAATACTGCGTCAGCATTCAACAGCATTCCCAGAGACAAGCAATCGAGCAAAATACCGCATTCCATGATTCCACAGTACCGCACCTCGGCTCAGGCACCTTGCACCAGCTCATGCGCTATTATGCAGACGATACCAGCGGCCAAGCCCCCTGTACGAAGGAACACGACGGGGCCCATAGCGCCCAAGAGCTAACGCTGCAGCGCTGCAATTTTTTAAAATGACGGCGTGTCGCAACAATTTCAGCGAGGTGCAATGTAACATGCGTGTGGGGTAGCCGTCAGACCACTCACAGCGCAGCATTCTGCAAGGACGGTCGGTGGACGTCCGGCAGGGTGGAGACGGCGGTGGGGCACACGCCGGGCCCACATCCGGGAATGAATCGGGCGAGAAGGCGGTCTGTGCACGGCAAAGGAACGGCGCTGGTTGGTCCGCGGGGTTTCGTCGGCCCCGGCCCCACCCGTGCAAACTTCTCACAGGTCCTCGTATCCGACGGCTCCACTTTCGACCGTTGAGACCTCCTCAGGTGCACTAACAATTTCCAGTCCGATTCAGAAGAAAAAACGCGCATCGGCGAGCATCTCCCGAGCAGTCACGATTAGGGAAAAGATATTGCGGAAGAGAAGTGTCTTTGCGATTGTCAAAAAACGCAAAAATGAAAGGGACGAGACTCGAACTCGCGCGGGTTGCCCCACCAGGAAACAGATGTTAAGCTGACCTTAACCTGGCGCCATAACCAACTCGGCCACCCTTCCAATTGGCTTGGAAAGAATGGTCAAAATGCTGCCTGAGTAGGTCACTGGCTTACCGCCCTCGGTTTCTATGAGATCACCGGTATCGTCACCAATTTCTTATCTTCTTCACCCTACTTGCATAGGGCACACCGACTTCACGATAACACGGAATTGTCGGATTATTAGGGCAAACTCCATTACCTCCTCCTACTCATCAGCCGCCGCCGTCAATTGCCACACCGTCGTCCTCCCGTTCGCAATCTGCGTCACCATGACCCGATCACCAACCGCAATCGCGCCCGCCACGACCAGCGGCGTCTTGCCCGTCTTCGCGATGCCCTGCGTCGACTGATCGAGACAGACCCCGTTGCCGACATCGCGAATCCTCAACCTCCCGCCGTCCGCCTGCACCGTCGCCACGAAGCCCCCGTTCCGCGGCACACACGCGAACGCGCACCCGTTCATCTCCAGCTCCGCCCGGCTCCCGTTCTCCGGCCACCACGTCGTCAACCTCCACGTCCACGGGCTCGTCCCGTCCGTCTGCCGACACGCCGCCATCACCCGCCCTCGACCGTCCGCCACGAGCTGCATCGCCTCCCGCCCGACGCCGTCCCACGATGCCGACGCGCCCCCCGTCTTCCCGCACAGAGACTCCTTCACGTCCGACCACGTCGCCACGTCCCACGTCGCCACGTCCCACGTCGCCACGTCCCACGTCGTCATCCTCCCCGCGCGGTCCAGCGTCGCGATCCGGCTCGAGTCCGGCGTGAACGCGAACCTCGCCACCGGCATCCCGTTCGTCTTCCTCTTGCTCTCCCGGAGCGTCACCACGTGCGTGTTGATCACCGTCTCCCACACGTCCACGCACCCGCCCGAGATCCACGCCAGCAGCCTCCCGTCCGGCGAGAACTGCACCGAGTGGAAGTCCGCGCCGCCCGTCTCGAACACCGCCTCCGCCGTCCCGCTCCCCCAGTCGTAGCTCCACACCTCGTGCGACGCCCCCAGCCGGAACGAGACCGCCAGCACCCGGTCGCTCGTCGGCGAGAACGCGATCCCCGTGATCCGGTCCATCATCGCCTCGATCTCCACGCTCCGCGGCGGCGCGTTGCGCGTCAGGTTCCATATCAGCACGTCCCGGTCGCCGTGCACCGTCGCCAGGAGCTTCTCCGAGACCGTCAGCAGCCGTATCTGCGTCGGGATGCCCTGGCCCGTGGGCGCCGTCTGCGAGAACCGGTATTGCACGCATATCGGCTCGGGCGGGAGACCGTCTTCGCGCTGATCGAGGCCATTTTCCTGCGGCATGGCTGGCCTACGTGATTTCCGCTTTTGTGATATTCATAGACATGGGAGGGTAACTCCTCAGTCCTCCCTGAGGTGCCAAGCTCGTGATTGATATCCAAGTTGAACCAACGATGGTGAAATTGAAAACATGTGTCCTAAGCTTAATGTAGTTGTCGATGCGACGAGCTACCCCGGACGAAGCTGCAAGCTCTGGACGCCAAACAGCTGCAGCTCTTCCGGCCGTGCCTGGCGCCGTAAATAGCACCACCCGTCGAGTGAAGACTCCAGACCGCATGGCCCTCGGACACCGCACGCGCCCCGCCGTTGACCTGTTTCCACCGAGGTCGTCTCTCCAAAGCTCGGCTAAGCTGTTAAAAGTCTCCAGACCGTCTATTCATGGAAGATCTCCTGCGGCCTCTTGGGACGGTTCTCCTGCTGACTTATCGGGGTGTTCAAACTCTCCGGAGCCGAGCCGGCATGTCTATTTACAGCACGCGTTCTGCCATCGACGGAAATCGCTGAACCCGTTATGCTCCGTGGTGCAGGAGAGCGCGGCAGGTTATTCCGGAGGGGTCGTGAGATGCGGTTGGTCCGTCAGGGCTGCATGATGCTGCGATATGGCATCACCACTTTTATCACCGGTAGCCTCATCCAGTGAGACGATAAGTCTATGTGAAGTATTCACTCCGCACACGGCCTCATCTTCGGGATTTCTTCCTCCGTGAGCTTTGCTGTATTGCATCGTAGTCTACTGGCGGCCTTTTTTGTCTGAAGCCCCTCCTTCATCCCGGTGTCAGCCATGACAGTCGTGCCATCCAGAGTTTGACGGGTGTGTCGCCGTGTCGTGGAGGAAATTCTGCCCGTCCGTGTGGCTCGCCGTCTTCCGGTTTCCCAGTTCGTGACGGCGCGGACGGTCCGCGATGGTTTCTCGTCGTGGCATGTGAAGTTGGACGTGGTGAGGCCCCGCTGGCGAGGGACGGGGTGAGTTGCCGTGTTTGCTGTATGTGGCAATCCTCACGCGGCGGGCGAACTTTGGTGAGGATTCGACGTGTGCCTTGGACATGAGGTTGAAGGATAGAGATGATAAAAATGAGAGGGACATCGTGAAAGGCTTGATTCGTGGTATGTCATCGGTCTGTTGATGATACTCAAACCCCATAGGAAAGCATCACCATTTGCGATAGAAACATAATGAAGTCGACTTGATTCATAATGCGCAAAACATATTCCGCTCTCCAAATCCCGAAGGCGGATCCCACAGACAAAACTGACGTTAAACGGATCCGCCGCGGAGGGTAAATAAGTTGAAACCATCCGACCCAACATCACCTCACCTACACGCCTCAATCTCCATCCTCGCCCAACATGCCCTTTACTTCCATCACAATCATCGTCGCCCCCTACCACGTCGGCCTCTACGACCACCGCGTCGGCGGCGGTCCCCTGCGCATCCTATCCCACGGCCTAGCCGACAAACTCGAGCCCCTGACCCCCCTCACCTTCGTCAACATCGGCCCCGTCGACGACTTCGAGGGCGAAATCGGACGCACTTTCGAGGTAATGCGCCGCATCTCCGCCGCCGTCTCCCACGCCACCTCGCGCTCCTCCTTCCCCCTGATCCTCTCGGGAAACTGCAACGCCAGCGCCGCCGCGGCCGCCGGCCTCAGCTCCGCGGTCCCGGACCTCAACGTCCTCTGGATCGACGCCCACGACGACCTCGACACCCCCTCGACCAACGAGAACGGGTACCTCGACGCCATGGCGCTCTCGATGATGGGCGGGCTGAGCTGGCACGGGCTCATGCGTTCCGTGCCGGGGCATGTGCCCGTCCCGCTGGACCGGGTGGCGTACTGCGGGCTGCGGGACGTGTCGGAGGGTCAGAGGAGGACTGTCGTGGACGCCGGGGTGGATGTGATCTGGGGCGATGCCGCGGAGAAGGTCGATTTTGGGAGGGAGCTGGGGGCGTTGTTGGAGCGTAGGCGGTTTGGGAGGACGCATGTTCATCTGGACTTGGATGTTTTGGACGAGTCGCTGGGCCGCGCGAATGATTGGCCTTCGCCTGGTGGGTTGGACAGCGAGGATCTGCTTAATTGTTTGGATGTTATTCCATCAAAGACAGAGCCGACGTCGCTTGTGGTGTGCTCTTTCAACCCGCGGTTGGAGGGAGGGGACACAATAGCCAGGCTTGCTGTCGAGGGGATTGTTCACTTTGTGCAGAGACTAAAGGACGAGAACATCTTAAGAACATCACCTTGAAGCACGCAGCCAATACCCTGTTAGAATCATGTACTCTCTTCCTATCAACCTATCCTCATTGCCTATCCACTACACTCTGAAATGACACCCTCAACAAATCAAGCCACGGTGAACGATTCCACCTTGATCGACCCTCCCAAAGCCTTGGTCGCATAGTTGAAGATACCAAACCGGTACGCAATAAAGAAAGCCCAGCCGGTGTACAACTCATACGTCGGCCCCAGCTTGGTAAACGAAACCCCGTCAAAGCTGTAAAAGAAGTTGGCAGCCCGCGTCCCCGTCGGCCGCGCGTCCAGCTCCGTCCGGAACCAGACCCTCTTCGCCCCGCCCGGCACCGCCGCCGACGCCACCTCCGTCCCGTTCGACTTCGTCTCCCCGGAGTACTCGTCGATGATCAGCCCGTGCACCGCCTTGAGCGTGTACTGGCCCCCCGAGCGGTAGATGCCGACGTACGCGGTCTGGTCGCGGAACGCAGCCAGCCCGAACCGGTCGCCGTCCGCCATGTTGCTGAAGTCGATCTTCACCGTGCCCTTGGGGAACTCGCCGTGGATGCGGTGCGTGAGCGTGTTGCGCGCCGAGTAGATGTCCGTCGTCACGCTCGCCGTCTTGAGCGTCACGCCGTTGCCGACCGAGTACGACGCCACGTCCGGGTTGTGGTTCCACTCCCACGTCGGCCCCAGCTCCGTCTCGAAGCCGTACGTCCGCGTCCAGTTGTACAGCGGCCGCGCCGGCAGCGGCATCGGGTACGTCGACCCCCAGCCGCCGTTGGACCCAGTGACCAGCGCGGGGAAGCCGTCCGCGCCCCAGGTGATGGGCGCCAGCACCGGCATGCGGCCGGCCGGGTACGCCCACGTGAAGGACATGTAGTACCACTTCCCGTCCTTGGTCTGGACCAGGCTGCCCTGGTGGGGGGAGTTGCCGCCGCTCAGGGGCGGGGCGACGTTCTGGACGAGGATCTTGGACTGGTAGGGCCCCCAGGGGCTGCTGGACTTCCAGATGTAGGTCGTGGAGCCGGGCTGGTCGTTGAGGATGTAGTAGGTGCCGTTGATGCGGTACATGCGGTTCCCCTCGACGGTCTCGGTGTTGACGTCGGAGGCCTGGAGGACCTGCTGGGTCTTGACGACGCTGAGGCCGTCGGCGCTGAGCTGCGAGACGCTGACCTTGCCGTTGCCGTAGACGACGTACATGGTGTCGTCGTCGTCGATGAGCAGGCCGTTGTCGTACATGCAGAGCCCGTCCCAGCCGTACACGCCGCGGTTGCTCCAGGGGCCCTTGACGTCGGCGGCGGTGAAGACCCAGGTGACCCAGAAGTTGGTGCAGCCGATCCAGTACCACAGGCCGTTGCTCTTGCGGTAGCGGAGGGTCGAGGCCCAGGTGCCGCCGCGGTAGGAGCGCGGGCCGCCGGGGGGGAGGTCGTAGCCGTCGCCGAAGGTCAGGCGCGGGATGGAGTGGCCGACGGGTTCCCAGTTGACGAGGTCGAGGGAGCGGAGGATGGGCGCGCCGGGGCTGTAGTGGAAGTTGGAGGCGGAGAAGTAGAAGGCGCCGTCGGGGCCGACGGAGACGTCGTTGTCCGGGTAGTCTTCGTAGAGGACCGGGTTCGTGAAGGTGTCGGCGGCCCGGGGGGACTTGACGCTCGCGGACGAGGTGCCGGTTGCGCACAGGAGGCCGGTGGCCAGGAGGAAGAGGCTCGTCAGCTGCATGATGGCAGATGTCTGTCGTGTCTGACTGTCACGGCTCACCACCTTTCACCTCGACCTGCAATTCGCGACCCTTCATATAGGAAAACCGTCATCGCTGAAGTTTGCCTCATCGGGATGGTTCGTCCCATATCTGCGAGGATGTGTGGAGACATGTCATCCAGTTGCAGGTCGTCATTCGGCGGAACATCGTCCGTCTTCTTATATTGCCTAGTCTGCGTCTTCACATCCTCCCTGTGCCATCCCCGCAAGCCAAGGGGTTGCATCGCCGGATCCCGCACTTTACCCGTTCGGTTTCGGATCACTACCGGATTGACGCGAAATAGAGTTGAGCCTCTATCCGAGACCCCAAAAAGAAACAAATTTCCGCTCTTCTGCTTTCGGAGTCGCTGACTGGTTCCAAGTTGAGGGTTCCCTGATTTGGCAAACATGTCGTGCTTAATTAGACGGACATATCGGTCTGTACGGAAGTGTAAAGCTTCCTTTTTGTAAGCGCTCACAGGTCATTGGCTCGTACATACTTTGTAAAGACATGGTTGACCGTTATTGCGTCACTGGAACCGGCCGATCTAGAGTCTCATCCGGAATAAACCGATGAGATCACTTTGCCAATCAATGGGCGGCCTTAGATTTTCCTTTTCAGCTTCTTTCGTTTCTCCCGTTATCCCATTGCTGTGTTTGGAAGCTTTAGCCTCTAAGACTTGAGCACGCTTCCTGTGCCAGCTCACACACACACACGCGAGCAATCCTTGAGCGGAAGCATTCTGAAGGATTGACTTTCACCCTGTCACATCAGCTTGTCACTAGACGGTAAGGCACATGAAGCGGTTCCCTTGGCTTAACACCTTGGACCCAGTTGTAGATGAGTGGCCCGTTGGATGAAAAGGCCTGAGAGAATTCTGTCCCAAAAGTTACTTGAGGAATTCGATGGAAACTAGCTTCTATAGTGTGAGTTCTACAGTTGTCAATAATGAGTGACTACTCACAATGCTCAAGATCACGGCTAGTTGAATTGCGAGCAATAACGGTTAAACTGCCTTCACAAGATGTCATAATCCCTACCGGAATGCTTACCAGTCCCTCAAGGACATGTCTTGAGACAAGCTTTAAGCGCACTGAGACGAGGTTTGAAGTGCTGGACTACGCAGATATTCTAATTCACACATCGGTCTTCTCCAGAAATAACGCGAACTCGGCAGTCGATATGTCGCTTTTATGGTGAAAACCTGACAAAGGCTACCGACATTGTTTCGCTGTTTCGTCGCTGAAAGAAAATGAGGGGAAAGAAATACGGCAAAGGTACGACTGGGACGAAACGACCAGAAACACTCAGTAACCAGTCCACTTGTCAAGTGCATGTGAGTAAAACACCAAACAAACAATGGGGCGTGGCAAACATCGTCGTGTTTCACTCGTCTGAACTTTTCTTCCATTTTAAAGTTCCATCTAATGTGATAACCTTAGTCGGGTATTTCCAAAACCTTGACTCATTTCTCCGCCGCCCGTCTCAACGACGACACCTCGGGTCGCTGTCCGTCCCGAAGTCCTTGCAAACCTCCCTACCCAGCGCCTTGATCCCCTCGACGACCCAGAGCCGGTAGTTGGAGAAGACAAAGACCTTGCCCGGCGCGAACGCAAAGTTGTTCGAGACCTCCCCGAGGTGAATCTTGCCCAGGAGCACTCCCTCGGGGTTCCACACGTGCACGCCGTCGCCGCAGCCCGCCCACACGTTGCCGTCCGTGTCGGTGTGCACACCGTCCGGGAAGCCCGAGTCAGCGTAGGCGAACATGCGCCTGTTGGCCAGCCTCTTGTTGTCGACGATGTCGAACGCGTAGATGCCCGCCGGGCCCGTCAGGTTGGCCGAGTACGTCTGCGCGCCCGTGTCGGAGATGTACAGCGTCTTGTAGTCCGGGGAGAACTCGAGGCCGTTGGGCTGCTTGAAGCCGTCGGCGACGACCTGCACGCGGCCCGTGGACGGCTCGAAGCGGTACACCTGCGTCGGCATCTGCGAGGCCGGCCGGAAGTTCTGGAACAGGCCGTACTCGGCGTCGGTGAACCACAGGTCGCCCGTGACCGGGTGCTGGCGCACGTCGTTGACGGACGAGAAGTTGCGGCCGTTGTAGCTGATGAGCAGCGGCTGCGACTTGTTCGTGTTGGGGTCCACGGCGATGAGCTTGGAGTAGGCCTCGAAGTCGCCCTCGTCGCACCACACCTGCATCGGGGGCGTGGCCGACTGGTCCGCGCCGGGGGGGTAGTACGAGGTGCCGCCGTTGGCCTCGGCGAGGTCCGGGAACTGCGAGCTGCGGACGGACAGGTCGTCGAGGGAGAGGATCGTCATGTTGATGTTGTCCGCGAGCGACTTGTAGTTTGACGAGATGTACATGGTGTTGTCCTTCTTGTTGTAGATGCCGCCCTCGTGGAAGGCCTCCCAGGGCAGGTCGGCGATCTTGCGGGCCGTGGCGTTGGCGCCGACGACGTCCGCGAAGGACGGCTCGTAGGCCAGCAGGGAGATGGCCGGGACGGAGAGGTTGGCGGCGTTGATAGAGGCGAGGTAGCCCGCGCCGCCTGTTGCCAGGGCGTTGAGGTCGACGTTGATGAGAGACATGGTTGCGGCTTGAAACCAGAGGACGACTTGCTGGAGCGAGGGGAGGCTGCCGCTGGAGAGACCTATGCCTTCGAAGAACTGGGAGAAGCCGTATCGGGAGTTCTTCGCGGTGGTGGCAGCCACGGTACCGGCGGCGGCGCTGGAAGAAGCGGGAAGAGGAGCTTCTTCTTTAATATGCACCGGCCCGCGGTCCTGATTCAGTCGATCCGCGGCCATACAGGTTGAACAAGACCCTCAGTTGGCAATATCCGTATGTGGGAACACGATGACGTCTCAATGGGACCTCGGATCCCAGGCAATGGCCGTTCAGGACACTCTAGCGGCGGCCGGTAGATGATGATGGGCGCGGAGTCAGGCCGAGAAAGAGTCAAGAAAAGCCAAAATATCTCGTCTTTGGTCTTGGCGATGCTACCCCGCAGAGAATGCATCTCTCTCTCTTACCCCCTGTCCGGCACTCGACGTGGCGGACAGAAGTCCGGCTTCGGAGCTAGTGGAGCTCCGCGGTGCCATGCCGGACATTTTTCGAGGAGTTTGGACAGCGGTATTGACTCGGTGGTTCTGGATAGGCCCATCGCCCGTCGGTTCATGCACGGTCTGCGCGATTTGGAGAATGGAGAAACAAACAATCTGTTGATGAGGAGTGCGGAGTTCAGGGGTTTCTTGGCCGCCATTGGACAAGGAAGACAGATCTTGAATGCAATGCGGAGATGATGTAACTCAAACCCCACAATCCAGCTGCTTGAGTTGGCATTATTCCCGGCTAATAAGCATAGGCTTCGCTTCCTCTTGATGATTGCGTTCGTCTCAACTTGTTCCATGTCAGTATCCGTAAGAGGAATCAGAAAAGAGTGGGATGATTGAGGTGAGGAGATCTTGATTGCACTTTAATTCTTCCAATATTCACATGCTCATATCTACCGCAATAGTTGACAGAATCGGTCGGCATTTGCGAGGGAGAGACGCTGATTCTTATTGTCCTCTCTCTAAGCCATAGATTCGATAGACGTGAAACAGCAAGTTGAGAACACCGCAAAACCGCGTCCGTCGTTCAATACTGCGCAGCGGTAAAGGAGTCATGGGAGCTCCCGTCTTCTTTTCTCAGTGTCTGACTGGCTTGAATGAGGAGAATTGATGGCGTTGAGGTGGCACAGCTGCCTAAAAATGATTCATCTCAAAAGGTTTCTCGCCGAAAGATTAATCCGGATGCTTAAAGGCCTCAGCGGATCATCAGCCATCGGGGTGTTTCGTCTTTACTCCTACATATGCGGCTCGTGTCCAAAGCAAATCTCGTGTTATCTCTTCTCTTGATGACCTCACAATCCTACCTCCTCCCGGAAACACCAGCAGCACCCACGAGGCCATCACCATGGCTCCATTCCATCTACTCCGCCTACCCCGCGAGCTGCGAGACACGATCTACAAGTTCTACCTGACCACCGACGGCGGCTATGTCTGCGACACCGACGCTTTCATCAATGGTCAACTGAAGGGCGCAAACAACGAGCGAATTCATCTGGATCTGGTCTTCACCTGCAGGCAGGTTGCTGCGGAGACGGAACGCGGCGGTCTCGGCTTGATCCTCAACGCAATCACGTTTTCGACCATCTCCAACGACTCGCTCAGTCTTCTTGCTGTCAAATTCCATCGCTATAACCACTCCATCGATCGTACGAGGTTGGCGATGCTCTACGCTGCCGGGCACTGCGTGCCTGATGCCGTCTATTCGGAGCTCAAAACAGCGTATCCACGACTGATGCCTCTTCTGGATCGGATGAAAACAGAAGGAAAACAACCACTACTCCAGTTGGAAACGAGTACGCTTCACCGGCGCGGGCCATACGGCGAGGCCCCTTCTGTCTTTCGTGAGTTCACGAAAGACACGCTACAGAAATCAGTCATTTCCAGCCGCGCGTTCAAGGATGCCGTTCAAGATTTTCGCCCTTTTGAAGTGGCCGCGAGTAGTCGCCAAGATGAGCGAAGATGGAACCCATTTGACATTATATGCAGTACTATTGCTCCCTGGAATATTCCCTCAGACACCCAATTCTCCCGGATGATAACAGATTTACCGGATTACGAAACAAATTTATACGTCCCTTACCTAGACCCTTCCATTTACCGCTTCTCGGCTGCGGCGGCGGCAATCTTTTTCTTGCAATGTGTACCCCACAACACACTGAAATACTTGCGCCGGATTACCCTCGACGAAAAGCAGGAATCAGTTGCCAACCCGGAGTGTCATGCTCGAGGCTTGATACCATTCTGCCAATCTTATCCTCTCTTACGGGTTGAAAGACGTGCGTCTCTCTGGGGAAATGTCTTCCAGGAGGATATCAACTACCTTACGCCCGAGCATCGATGCGAGTGGGATGCTCGTCACACTCCAGCCTTTTTGAACTCGGACCAGATCACTGGCAACATAGCTTCATGGGTTATTGAAGCTGAAGCCCTTATTCCGGCTGGGATGCCTGCCGGTTCATTCTCTCTCTCATCTTGGACGGGGATCCAGCTCCAAGACATTGCGCAAACATCTTTCAATCCATCGTTCAACGAGATATTGCCTGGCAGCTTGCCTGGATCGAGTCCACCGAGCGAGGCCTCCTACGAAGTATTTCCTGGTTCGAGAGGAGGGGCGACGATGTGATGCGCAATGGAATGTTTTGGGATCTGGATGTCGAGCGGCTACGCCAGTGGGAACTCAAAAAAGCTGGCTTTTGGGGATACTTCTTTGAAGATTTCCCGCAGGCCATGGACAACATTGCTAGCAAAACGTCAGTTGTCAAATGTAATTTTGACGTCGGGGAAACTTGGGATGTGGGAAGCATTGTTGAACGGCACAGGAAGCTGCTGTGGGGTAAGAATCATTGGCAGCGCGAGTGGTTTAAACACAGTCCGCAATGGTGGGAGACCGAACCACCCTTGCCGGAGTGGGCAAATCTTCTGGGGGAGAGCGTCCGGGAGTATACTCCATCATCGCTGGGTCTGCATTGAACTTGCGTCTGAGGATGAATGGCACTAAAGAAGATATGTAGGTCAGTCTCCCGTCTCCGTTGGTTTTGTTTCAGTAACTATGCTTGTTCTTGTAGTGAGTAACGCAAGGCGGCAGTAATAAGGCACAGAAACACGCTTTAGTTCACAAGCCTTTCTTTCAATTCAGTCTTACGAAAGGTAGGCAGTGGCCTTGGGACAACGTGAGTCTACGTAATGCTCTTGATTGGCTACTTGTGTGACACCTGATGAGGTGAGGACATCGCGAGCTACGAAAACAAAAGAAGAAAAACTCGTATCATACAACACCTTGAGGAATAACTTTCCATATGACGCGATATAAGTGCGATACCCAGCACTCAACACTATGAGAGTTTATAAGCCCATAGATATATGCAGTGTGACACCCGATGTTAGCAGGAAGCATCACAGCGATCCCAAATTTGATTTCTCTTCTGCCAGTCTTAACCTCAATCCTTCAAATTAACCCAAACTTCCTGTTCCCATAAACCAACACGAATTACACGTCGATCAACATCCTGCCGCCCGTCTCCTCGAGCGTCAGAAGCATCGGTCTCGGAAATTGGCTGGACTTGCTCCTCAGGCTCACGATCAAAAGACCTCAGCACGGCGTCACATTCATCCTCGGTGATGGCGTCAAAGAGCAGACGACGTGCCTTCTGGCAATCTGTTGGATAATTCGGCCCCCCAATGATGTAAAGAGCGCCGTAGTACGGGTCCGTGTCCCCATTGCGATGACTTCGCACCAAGCCAGATAGCGTCACATCCCCGCCGGATCTGCTCGCCGTCTCTTCCTCGTCGTCGTCTTTCTTATCCGAAGGCAGAGGGCCCCCTGATTATACCTGCAACATACAGTCGCTACGCACGGCCTTTTCGCGGTAGTAGTGCGCGATAGAGTCATGGCGGGAACGGCCGGGGAGGAAGTACAGCTCCAGACGGATGTTGGCTGGGCCCCTGGGCCAAATGGTCCTCGCGAGGCGTCTGTGTCGACCGCCTTCAGGAGACTCAAAATTGAGCTGGTCGATTACAATAGATTTCCGTACCTGTCGGTGTATAGGTAGAAAGTCAAAGTCAGTCAAGAACATCTTAACCATGCTAAAAACTGGCCAAGTCTAACGTGCTGCTTCTTCTGGTGGGTTATAGTATCTAGAGATTGGCTGTGGAAGGGTGGATTCTGTGAAGAATCATTGTGGCGTGAAGAAGATGAAGTTTGGGACTGAAGAGACGATTCTGAAGGTTGAGAGGTAGGAAAATCTCGATGAAATCCCCTTCGAGAGCCTCGAAGTCGGCAAAGGTCATCCGGCCTCCGTCTCCGTCGTACGGCGCTTTCGACTGGAAGGTTCTGCCGCCTGGCCGGGTTACTCCAACAGATCTATGTTGCAGCCTTTTTTTCGCCGGAGAGACAAGAAGGGTAGAGGAAGAATGCCGAGGCGTCCAAGGTTTGCAGGCCGTCCTGTCCAGACGAACTTTCAGCAACGCGAACCAATGGTAGTTTCTGCTCCTGACGCCAATCAAAGAAAGGACTCGGACGTCCAGGTTTTCCTCCAAGGTCGCGTGTCGCAGTCCTTTGTGGCCTCAGCGGGGCCGACTGTGTCTTAAATATTCTTTCGGCCCCCGAAAACAGTCGAGCCTTCCACTCATCTTTTGCACCCGTACCACCACACGACATCCGATCAAAGAGACAATCCACCGCAGAAATGACTTCTAGTCTTTTGGGTCTCCCTCGTGAACTCAGAGACCTTATTTACAAGGCCTATGTTTCTGTTGAAGGCGGATATCTCTGCGATACCGATGCATTCATTAACGGCACGCTCAAGGGATCCAACAACCAACCGATCGATCTATCCCTGGTCTATACTTGCAAACAAATCGCCGATGAAATGGCTCGCGGAGGCCTTGCCCTGCGCCAAAACACTATCACGTTCACAACACTCTATAACAACGATCTCAGCTATCTTGCAGGGAGTTTTGATTGGCACACTAATGCCTTGGACAAACTCCGGTGTGAGATCTTCCAAGGCGTCGGTTATGCCCTCACAGACAGAGCGTACTCGAAGCTCAAGGCTCAATACCCGCAATTCTTACCGTTACTGGATCGAATGAGGCTGGAAGGGCCTCGCGTTGCGGGAGTAGTGCCGCTATCAAGTGAGCGGCATGGATCCTACGGTGAAGCTCCATCCGTATACCGCGAGTTCATCAAGGATACTTTGCGCGAAGCAGCGCTATTCGATGACGGGTTTAGGGACGTCGTACTTCAGCACAAGCCGCACATCTCACACGCCGACGACAATGGGGACGAAATTCCAGAAAAATACTATCGTGCAGGCTGGACTCCTCTCGACGCCGCATACAACCCAACCCAGCTCTGGGCGATTCCCTCAGGTATTCAAATGGAAGAGCTCTTCTCAGCCAGGGGACGAGGCGATCCCAGAAACGGTCGTCTTCAGGAAGAATATCATGGTTCGTCGAAATGGCGCTTTTCCGCCGCCGCAGCAGCCATCTACTTCCTAGAGCACGTCCCAAATAGTGTGCGAACCCAAGTGCGCAAGATCGTTCTCAGCGAAGACTATGAAGCCGTTGCACACCCAGAGTGCCACGCCCGAGGACTCATTCCGTTCTGTCAGAAGTACCCTATACAAGTAGAACGCCGCATCAATCTCTGGACAAACGTATTCCAACGAGACATCAATTACCAGAGCGCTGAAGCGCGGTGCAAGTGGGACAGACGCGTTACCCCGCCGTTTCTACATTCCGATCAGATCACCGACAACGTATCATGCTGGATCATGGAAGCTTTGGCTCTAGCCCCGGCGGGTATGCCGCCATCATCCTTCACCCTTGTACTAGATGGAGCTCCGGCGCCAGATGATTGTACACAGATATTCCAGTCCGTTGTTCAACGCGATGTTGCGTGGCAGTCAGCTTGGGTCAAGTCTCTCGACCTAGGTCTTTTACCGCCCATTTCGTGGTTTGAAAGAAGGGGCGAGGCGGTCCTCCGGCACGGCTTCTTCACACCCAACGATCTGAACCACCATCAGGTTTTACTAGCCACCAACGCCATCGCACCAGGAGCTGGTGTCGCTGCCGACTGGAAAGGTTACTGGGGCTACTTTTTCGAAGGCTTGCCAGACGCGATCCGGGATATCGCCGAGGGTCATTCCATCGTGCGCTGCAACTTTGATGTCGGGTCACTCTGGGATGTCGATCGACTTGTGTCCGAACACCGAGCATGGAATTCCTTGACGTGGCAAAGAGAGTGGTTCAGTCATGAACCTCGTTTCCGGGAGACTTCACCACCACTGCCGGAGTGGAGGAGCCTTCTAGAGGACAATATTGACAACACGCGAGTGAGACCAAGTATTTATCATGTATGACAAATGCAATATGCCGAGCAATACAATGCAGCCACCCTTATAATCTGGTTATAAAGGTGAGGGCTTGGACCGGCAAGTATGTTTTGATATATTTGATTTCACCCGCTTTTACCTATATATTTCAATAAAATCCCGAATGTGATTCCTTCCAAGCCAGTTTTAACCCCGATCCCTAAGCGTATCCCAAATTCATTCCTAACCACAAGCCTTACGTGCCGTCGACCGATACAAGTCACCAGCTACGCAAGAAAAGGAGTGAACCGAGTACTAGAGATGAGTTTGCGATTGCTGCAAAATCCAGATTATTAGCAAAACATGCCAAATTCACTAATAAATTAAATCACTTTACTTACGCGACAGAGCTTAACGCGCGTAGGCATTCCTGACGACGGGGAGGGCGCTGTCCTCGCCGTGCTTCTCAGTCGCGTCCCAAATCCAGATCCGGCTGTTTTCCTTGAATCACGCGAGGTACGGTGGACGGACTTTGTGGGGCTGGGCTTCGAACTCAGCCTTGATGTTCGCGTAAAGCGTCTTCTCCCTCACCCACATGTCGAGCTCGCGCTCGCTGACGCCGATGTTGTTGACGAGGGTTATGTAGACGCTGCGTAGGAGCACCGAGTCGCGATTGCTCAAGCATCGGTCGAAGCCAAAGTCCTTGGCGGTCCGGGGATCGGTGGGAGACCTGCAACCGCGGAAGGCTGCGAACATAGTCCGGGCGGTGGTCTTGGGGCGCCGCCGGCAGAGTTCCCGGCAGGCGAGGACGTGCTCGCGATGCCCGTCCCAGAACATCATCTTCTCCTCGCAGTCCCTGGAGCAGACAAAGTCGTAGCCGCAGTAGGCGCAGTTGCGAGAGGTCCATTGCCTCTTGCAGGCGATGCAAAGGCCCTCGGCCATCCTCGTACCAGCCATCTCGAGTTGCGCTAGGTTCGTCGATTGGCGGTGTGGGATTTGTGGCAGTGAGTTGAATGTGTGGGATTTTAAATAGTTTGCGGGTGGAGCTGGCGAATTGTGGCGGTAGGGGTAAGGTGAGATGAGAGAGGTGCAAATTGAGGTGAAATTCTCAAGGCTGAGGCAATTGCTTTGTTCAATAAAAAATTACCCAAAACTTACCCAAAAAAAAAAAAAAAAAAAAAAAAAAAAAACCGATAAGTAGATGGTACTCCCCTTCCAAAAAAAGAAAAAGAAATAACTATAAACGGAGTGGATTTTGTGAATGAGGAGATTTCAAAAACATGGGGAAAATGTGGTGCCTTGAGTGTGCCCTCATGACGGCCCTTTCTAACCGCATCTCATCTTCTCTACCTGGACCTGGACGGTTCCTCTCATTTCTTCATCTTTTTTGTCAATAACGACGTTGAATATGAAATTGCAGTGAAACATTAAGGCTGGAGCTGATTTCAGCATATAAGTCGTATTTTTATCACGATTGCAACTCATGAAGGCTGTCAATTCATGAAGTTAACATCATTTACCTCGACGTAATTGACCGATCATGATCAGCTAAGGTGAACACGCACTTTGAAAAACTGGATCAACCTTCTGTCGATAATTTTTACACGAAAAATCAAGAAATCTATTCAACGCCGACGAGCTCCAATTTGAGTGGCTCATTGCTATGACCATCGTCCGACCTTTCCCGATTACATCAATCCCAGTCGAAACCAAATACATCCCGCAATCCCATCCCGATGATCAGAGGAGAATCTCACTAATGCCAGTATGTCCGAGTGTCCCCCATCCAGATCCTACCGCAGCACACCCTTCAGATGGATGCTTACGCCTTCACCTCCACCTCCACATCCCTCCGCCGGATCTCGATCATGGCCTTGCGGTCCACCTCATTGGTGAGACCAAAGGTGTTGGTCCTCGGCTTGCAATCGGGTGCCAGCCGCCAGTCGTATTTCATCAGCATGTGGCAGAGGATGATCTTGATTTCGTTGGCCGCGAAGAAGCGGCCGGGGCACGCGTGCTGGCCGTGGCCGAAGCCGAGGTGCTCCGGCGAGGTGCTGACGAAGTGGGCGGCGCCCTCCTTGCCGGCTCCGAGTCTCTCGCGCAGGCGGAGGTAGCGGTAGCCGTCGAAGCGTTGAGGATCGGGGTAGACGTGAGGGTTCCACATCTGTTGGCAGCTGACGGTGATACGGGCTCCCTCGGGAAGCTCGATTCCGTTGGAGAGCTTGACGGGCTTGGTTGCCTCGCGGTGCATGGCAGCTGTCACGTGTTAATACTTCGAAGAGCATGTGACGTAGTGTAGATGTTGGACTTACCAAGACTGATGGGGTTCATTCTTTGGACCTCCTTGCAGACAGAGTCGAGCACTTTCATCTTGTAGAGGCCGAGCTTAGCCCATCCATCGGTACGGAGGCAGTCGCCAATCTCCTTGCGAAGAGGCTCGAAGTATTCGGGGTTGCGGGCGAGGTCGATCATGGCCTGAGTGACCATATCGGCGGTGGTGTGGATAGCGGCGAAAGACAGACCGAGCTGCATGACGGCGGGATCGGCGACGGTATCCTCGGATGCCTCCTCGCACCACTCAAGACAGTCGTTGTACTCGGGCTCTTCCTCGTCGGCATCCTCGGCGGCCTTCTTCTCTTGCCTGCGCTTCTCCACGATGGGGTTGATGATGCGGCGGGCGTCCCTGACCTGGCCCATGAGCTTCCAGCTGATGGGGTTCAGCTGGTGGACGATGGCTCTGAGGGACTTGGGGAACATGCGGAGGAGCTCGGAGGCGAAGAAACTGGTGCGGGCGTACTCGGAGGTGATCTTGAGCCATTTCTCGTTGCGGGCGAGGTCCTCGCCGCCGAAGATGCGGGTCGAGACACGGGCGACGATCTTGACCATGTTCTCCTTGATCACGACGCGCTTCCATTCTGGTGATTGTTAGCACGGACCGAAGAAAGCAGAGGCCTGGAAATCCATACCTTGCTCGTCGCCAATGATATCAGTGAGGGCTCTCGTCGTCTCGTCGGTCATGGGAGCCGTCAACTTAGCTAGATGTCTTTGTTAGTAATTGCCTTCTTTTTACGGATTGAGAAAGCATTACTTACCAAGGAACTGCGTCAGTCTCGTTCGGATGACCTGCTTCAAGACTTGCTTGTGGGGGTTGGTCTCGCGCAATGGCTCGAAACCTGGCAAGTGGGCATGGAAGTTCTGTGGCGCAACGTCAGCTTTGGAATCATCAATGTTTTTCATCTTGACCAAATGCATACCTTGTCAAGCACGCGGTCGAAGCTGAGGTCCTCGTGGTTGCGGATCTCGTTCGCATACGGCACCGGGGGCAAGATGGTCATTTCGCCAGTTTCCGTGATAACCTGATACGCCTCGTCCGGCTCCTGCCTGGCCCTCCAGATGAGAACCGCGCGACCGTAGACGGCGAAGTCATATTTGACCTTGAGCCCTGTGAAATCCCATTTGCTTCTCGGTTGCAACACCTCCACGTTCGACGCCGGCCTCGGCTTTTCTTGCTGAACGGAGACGTAAAAGACGAACAAAAGGAAAACCGTGATGAAGTACGGGAGAGGCTTCTCCAGGGGGCTCGGGATGGCCTGGAGGCTGTCGAGGGCGCCCCACGACTGGGAATGGAAAGATTCGTTGGCGGTCGCCATTGTCAACCGGGGGGGAATTGTGCTCGTCGCCGAAATGGACAAGCTTCCTGCAGAGAAAGGAAAGAAACTTATGTTGGTCTAGCTGAAAGGAAGTGAAAGACACACGCGCAGGGGAGGAAAGCAGGCGAAGGGGAGGCTCGAAGAAAAGGGAGCTGGAGGTGGACAGCGCGTCGGAACGGGCAGACCTGACGGACACGTCTTGGCAATGCCGGCGAAACAGGCGCTCGACGCAGAAAAGGAGCTCGAGAGCTTGGGTGTGCTCGATCTCACACTCTCCCAGCTTCACCCATATTCTTCACGGCGGTCTGGATTGACAGCTGATGATGGCTGGCGTTTGGTTTCAAGGAACATGCAGCCGCACAGTCCGCCAAGGTCTGTCGTTGTCTGTCTCGGCGCATGGACCGCATCCTCGGACGATCTCAGCGCCGATTAAGAGAGGTCGAAAGGGGAAAAGGGTGTTTGCTAGGAAGCACGGGAGAAGTTGGAAGAGCGTTGCAAGGGGGGGAAGGGGATGCAGGAGCTTTGCTGGGGGGCGCGGGCACGGGATGAGGAACGTTTGCTTATTCGACGACTGGGAAATCCTCAGTGCTTCGCAGCGGAAGTCTGCGAGAGCAAAGCCTTCACGAGGGGCCGAGCGGCGCCGCCAGGATCGCGCACCACGGACGTCACGGAGATGGTGGGAGGAGTCCGGAGCAAGTTCCGGAGGAGTGCGGAGACGTGCGGAGAACTCGGGCGTCCGCTCCGACGGGTTCTGGAGATTATCGAGGCGCCCAGATATATGTGTCTACAACGCCCATCATCATGGAATGAAGGTTTTTCATCTGCTCTGTTGCGTTTCCGCCTTTGGGTTTTACATGCGACGCCGAGATGACCACTCACACGTTCACATTGCTTAGGAGAAGGATGAGGTATTGAGCCGGGAGCTGAGTAAGGAGAAGCAACAAACGGCCCGGATGTCAGAAGGCAGCTCAAAGGATGGAGACGCGGCAAGGACAACGTTGTCCAACGTGGCAATGACATTTGTGGATGAAGAACGTTCAGGTAAACATCCCTCGGGGACTTTCTTTTTTGTCGGCATCGAAGAGGCGGCCGAGGTTTACGTGAAACGTCTTTTGTTCGTCTCGTTTCATTGACGGGATGCAGAAAGAAACGGCTGTGTCTGAAACATGCAGGAATTGCACCGCTTAGAGAGGCAGTGAGTCCTAAACGGACGTTTCCTTTCGTTTTTAGGAGCCCGAATTGATGACAGCCAACAGGAAATGGAGGTGGACTCGTGGACTCATCTCAACTTTGCCAAAGTCGTTTCGTTCCCGGGAGGCCGATCGCCCGTCCTGCATTGGCCGCAGTCTGACGATCGGCAACGTTGAGATTTGGCAGCACGGGTTCGTCTCTAACGGCTGGACGCCAGGGACGAAGACATGGTTTGCCGAAGCGACTTCAGCTGAGTTTTGCATGTATCACCGTTGTTGGGACATTCATGGCACATTGAACGTACGACAGTCCGAGACCGAAGCAGTGACTCGAACTGAGCGATCATGGCCGTCGTGCACACCGAGTGCGAGGGAGCTATGACCTCAAACATTCCAGGGCGATGAGACATTGAAGCATCGGTCACAGCTCGTTGAGGATAGTTACTAGAAGCTTCTAGAGATGGAAGGTAAATGACTCTCACAGCTTCTACTCTGGTTGGGCGGATCATGGAAGCCAAGGTGTTCGTTGTGCTGCAGCCCAGCCGAAGTCATGTCAGCGAATCAACACGGAATCTGATAGCCATGTAAAGAGTACCTGGCGCAAGGTATTAGGCAGACGAAGCAATGGTTCGATCAACAGACACTCAAAGAAGGCTCTAAAAGCATCAATATACTACCTCGGCGGAAACTTGTTCGAAAATCCTTCATCTATGCTAATCTTACTCGTGTTGCCTAAATGTCTGCATATCATCCTGAAACATCCAGATTCTCCAGATACTCTGTCGCCGACTGAACAAACGAAGTGTCTTGCTTCATCCCCAATGACGTAGCCAGGCTATTGTCAAAATGATCTGCCCATGAGTACAGCAAAGATGTTAGCTCCGGCTCTTCCCTTTCCTCAACCAACATCAGCTTATCCTTCCCACCAACCTCCTCCAGCGCGTCCAACATGTCTTGCACCGTCACGCCGAAACCGGGCATATTAACGGCTCTCCTATGCGGGGGCAGAACATCTCTCGGTATGATCAACGCCACCATCAGGTTGTGGACCAGTGTGCTGGGAGAGCACATCCAGTGACGCCAAGCTCGGTCTTTCAAAGGAATGATGCATTTCTGGCCATTTAAAGGCTCTCGAATCACACCCGAAAGAAAGCTGGAAACTGCCGTGCTGGGCGGGCCGGGCCGAACGGAGATGGTGGGGAACCGCAGCGAGAAGCCGTTGATCAGGTTCCGGCGGGTGTAGTCATTGATGAAGGTTTCGCAGATGACCTTCTGACAACCGTAGGACATCTCCGGACTCGGTATATCGTCTTCCGTGACGTTCTGCGAGGGCACCGGCCTTCCATACACGGCCTCGCTCGATGCGTAGAGAACGCGCACGCCCGGGCATGCCTTGGCGAGTAGGTTCAAGACCGAGCGCGTTGCGTCGACGTTGACGCGATAGCCGAGTTCGAAGTTTGCCTCGGCGCCGGAACTCATGATACCATGAAGGAGTATTGCCGCATCAAGATTCTCTGGGATCACCTTTGCCGCTTCATCGACTAGGTCAGCTTTGATAAGCTTGACGTTGCCATGAGAACTTGAGCTGGGTATGGGTGGTTCGGCGATGTCGGTAAGAATGAGCTCATTGGTTTTGTCTTCCAATAATTTGCGGGCGACAATCTGGCCGATGAAACCGGCAGCGCCTGTGATGAGTACTCGCATTCTGATAGTACTTAGACAAAGAACTTTGAGCCTTGAGAAAAGGCCTCGGGTGTTTGCTCACATTATTCAAGTTCACAATCACTCTTGTTTTGACTGCACTGTTTCTAGTTGTCGATCCGCGAAGCTCGAAGCGAGGCAACAATCTCGGCGCGGACCCAGATTTGGCTGCCGTCCCGGTCGAATCATCCGCCGGTAGTCCCCGTCCTTCCGGGACCAGGGCACAGGACCACCGGATGTCCCAGCCGGGACATCAATACCCCGGTGGCGTCAACGACCACTCGCACGAGACTGGCCATCCTTCAGCATCTGCGACGGTTAGCGATGGGCCGCGTTGACATTTATACGAGAAGTCGAGTGCCAGAAGAGTGAGCGCGTTTGACCGAACCTTGGCCTTCCTCGCAACGACATTGATCTTCAACCTCATACCAGCTCTACCATATCTCATTCTAAGTTTGTAGACTTATCTTCGTCATGGTCACTACAGCTATGAGCCCCGCCTCCGTTAAGGTTGACAGCCCTTTCAAGTGAGTCAAGCCTTAGAGAAATATTCAAATCATGCAACATGACTGATATCTGCCAAGGATTCAAAACCCAGGCGGAGACTGGCGTGACGAGCTCGAGACCAAGGGCTACTGCGTGGTTAAAGGAGCCATTCCGCCAGCGAAGGCTGAGTACTACCAGCAAAAGGCCTTTGACTGGCTCAAGTCCTTCGACGATTCCCTTGACATCAACGAGCCTTCAACATGGAAAGACGCCAAGTTCCCCGTTCAGACGGATAAGAATACCTATGAGAACTACAGTGTTGTTCATGAGCGCTTCATGTGGGAGGCGCGACAGGAGCCGGGCGTGCTTGACGCTTTCGCCAAGATCTGGGGGACTGACAAACTGATTGTGTCGTTCGACTCGCTGAACATTACTCTTCCTAATCTCAAGGAAGCGCGTGCACCCTGGCCACACGTCGATCAAGCGCCGCGCAAGCGCGGGCTGCATTGTATTCAGGGGATCATTAACCTGAGCCACGCGGGCCCTGAAGACGGGTCTCTTTGCGTCATGGACGGATCCGCTGCGCTCGTGGAGGAGTTCTTTGATAAGGAGACCGACCCGGCAACGTGGGAATGGAAGGACAATCGGTACTTCGACGACAAGGATATGGAATGGTTCAAGGCACGGGGTGTGCGTCCGGTCAAAGTCGAGGCCGAGCCTGGTGATCTCATTCTCTGGGACTCCAGATGCATCCACTGGGGCGGCGAGCCGACGAAGAAGAGCGACGTGGTGCGTACTGTCATCTACGCGGCGTATACGCCTGCTGAGCTCGCATCGAAAGAGGCTCTCGAGGAGAAGAGCAGGGTATTTCGGGTGAATGGGGCGACGACACACTGGCCTCACGACAACATCAAGCTCAGAGACATGCAAGCGCGCCTTCCTGATGGTACCGTCGACCCTCGCAACCGCTCCGAACCTCTGGAGAAGCCGATTCTCAGCGACCAGCTGCTCAGACTTGCCGGTGTGAGAGCATATTAGGACTGGGGGATGGGATCGGGACTTGGACCTATGAAACCATCAGCAGCCCTTGCTGTCCTACTTCCTTTTATGAGTTTGTATCTCCGTAGCTCTAACATTCTTCATGGCTCCGATATGCCTTGCGATTGTTTCGAGTTCGTGCTCCGGAGGATGATTGCACCGGACTGCCGGAGGGACCAGCAAAATGCACGGGGCTACCCCGCGTGAAGTGCCACGCATAGCCGTGGGAAGGCTTGGCTTGCGGGGAAGCCTGCTCGCCAGATCTTTGGTGTCATTGTAAGAAATATGAGTAATCTAGAAGGAATCATTGTGGAGACCAGATCACGGATGGACTCCGAGTCTTGTTTCCGCTAAAGTTCCCTTCGGACATTGTATTGTTTTCACAACCAGCTGGATTCTTGTCGCGAAATGTAGCATCACTGATCAATAATACCCCGAGAATGCCTGCCCAATCAACGAACGAGGGTACGTCTGATAATGAGGACGGCACATATCGCCCGCGCAAGAGACAAGCCGTCATATCGAAAGCGTATGTAGATCTCCATTCAACCGGGCATTGCAAAGACTGACTCAAACCGCCTCGGTAGGTGTGAGCACTGCAAAACCAAGAAAGCTCGATGCGACAGTTCTCGCCCGCAGTGTGGCATGTGCCAACGAAAAGGCATGTAATTCTCTGCTTTACCATTAAGGGCTTCTTGCATTAGCCATGACTGACTCCATGGTTGTTATACAGGCGTTGTATGCGAGTACAAGGAAAAGGGCCAGCCCGGTTTGCGGCCAGGCTATGGAAAGGCAGTCGAGCAACGTCTCAGCCTCCTGGAAGACAACATGGAGAATATGTCTCGTACAGTTCAGGAAATCTTGAGTTGCGTCCAGAACTTTCAGAAAGATACCACACAGAGCCAAACCCCGAACGCTCAGTTCTCAACATTTGCTACACCACCAGATCCCGAGCCGGCTGCTGGTGGCCACGAGCAGCAACATACGAGCCCCTCCGACAAAGAGCCACTGTGGCAGCCCGTTTCTGCTCCTTTACCGGCTTCTGGATCTACGACAACAGCAGCAGACCTGAGCATGTTCGCAGCATCGCCATTGTCGGATAGGGTTGACCCCCGTCCTGCCCTCAAGCCGTGGGACGTGACAAACACCACCCAGATACCGACAGTCGTGACCGCCGACACATCACTGCCACCCGAGCCGATTCTTCGCGATCTCATTGATCTGTTCTTTGAGCACGTTTATCCCTGGGCACCACTGTTTCACCAGCCGAGCTTGCTCGCTGAAGCATTCTCCGCAGAACAACAAATTGTACTCCACGGTATTGTGGTAGTCGCATACCGTTTCTGGAGAAAGGCAGCACCGCCACCCGCAGTCCGTGAAGCGCAGGTCAAGACATCAAGGGAGCAAATCCTCCTCAAATCAATCGACGTTGCATCCCTCGTGTCTACACAGGCCCTTGCTCTTCTCGCCATCGACGCCATCGGGCAGGGGCCTGGCCCGAGAACATGGAACCTCATGGCCATGCTCATAACATCAACACGCCAGCTTCATCTTGCCAACAGCCACAGTACTACTGTTGATCCTCGCTCATCCTCCCTCGTCGATAATGATGCCCCGGAGAGAGGCCAAGGCGGCGACGAAATGTCACTTAGCGGGCGCGGCAGTGAGATTCACTCCAACATTGAAGAAGAGGAGAAGCATCGCCTATTCTGGGTAATCTACAGCCTCGATCGATTCTCAAGTGTCCCCCTCGGCCAACCAGGCTCCATCGACAGCAGGCTGATCAAGCTACCATATCCGGTCCGCGACGATGAGTGGGAGCAGAACGTGGTGTCTGAATGGTTCCAAAGACCATCTCCTGCGAGGCCTTACTTAAACCATCGGAAACCAGTAAATCTCTGGCACTACTACATCGACATCTTGACAATGGTCGACCAGTCAAACCAGCTATTGATACAGCCGGTGAATCTCGCCCTACCAGCTAGTTGTGAGGAGTGGCAAAGCAGCTTCCGTCGATTCGACATTTCACTCTTCACGTGGTTTGAAAACTTGCCATGGGAGGTTCAAGAGCCTCCATCAGTGTTCGACCCGGTTTGGACTTTGGTCCACGCCACATTTTACCTGTATGTGTTTACATCTTATCACACAGCTTCAACGGTTTCAATGGTAGCTTAACTCGCTGCAGAATCAACATACGCATGTACACGGTTGCGGCTTTCCCCTCGACGGCCTCACCATATCTGAAGCCCTCAACCTCGGCTCGAGGCCGCTGTCGCCAGGCAGTACACAGCGTTGCCAGCCTTGCAGCTTCTCTCGAGTCCCACCAGATTCAGCAGCTGGGACCCACGTTCCCTTTCGTCGTATGGGTCGCTGCCAGAAGCCTCGTCATGCTCTGGACAATGGGGTATGAGACTACCCGTGGAACGGTGCCAGACGACCTGGAGCCACTTCTTCACACCTTGAGACAATCGGCCATGCACTGGCCATGTAGCCAACGCTACTCTTACATGATACAGCTGATTGTCGATACGAAGAACAGTCCTTCTGGACCAGTAGGTCTGGAAATATTCAATGATACCCGTAGGACCGCGTATGGACTCCAAAACCGGTTGGGGGCTTTAGTCGACTGTCAGGCCATGGCTTTGTTCGCTGGCTTGAGTGACTTTCTTGATGTCGGGTTTTCAGACTTGCTCAACTTCCCTGGTCCTCAAATTGGACTGAGGGGTGTTGGCAGAGAGTTTGACGCAGACTGGTTGTAGAATAGAGCCGAGAAGAGAAGTGTGCTGTAACGATGTGTAAATCTTTTAGAGTCTTTTCGTATGTTCATTTAGAGCATTCTAGTAGTGAGGAGTCCTTGAGGATCAAGATGCAACATTAAGCTTTGCCTGTTCCGGAACCAAAGTAACCAGCCTTCCTGTCAAAATGCCCGACCGTACATTTGAAATAGTGCATTCCTCCATCTTTGTCTTTGTCTGCGTTTAATTTGTCAATATGGCTGATCTGCTCCAAAACATCACTAAGAACCTATTCAGAGCGACTCACCTCCACAGTCGATGTCCCCATGTGCGGTAGCATGCAAACGTGTGGGTTTGATAGGAGACCGGGGTGGATGTCGGGCTCGCTTTGGTAAACATCGAGCCCTACGGAGAGAACTTTGCCGGAGTCCAAGGCTTTGACCAGGGCGTCTTCATCTAGAACGCCGCCTCGGGCCGTATTCACGATGACGATGCCGTCTTTCATCTTTTCGAATTCCCTGGTTGAGATAATGTTGCGGGTGTCGGCCTATGAATTGTCAGGACTGCTCATGTGCGGAGGTCAACAGCGCTGGTGATTCACGTTAAGTGGCAAGTTGAGACTCAACACATCGCTCCTTGCAAGTAGATCATCAAAGCTGACATACTCGGCACCGTCGCATGAACTGGATTGTGATCTGTTGTGATAGATCACCTTCATGCCGAACATTTCCATCTTTCTTTTGAGATTGACGCCGATGCCGCCGAGACCGAGAATGCCAAGGGTTTTGCCTTGAGGATCATGTCCAAGAGGGCCTGGCGGTACGTGGCCCGTCCAAGTCCTGTTCCGGATGGACATGATGCCGTTGTTGAATCCTCTCAGCGCTGCCAAGATCAGAAAGACGGCCGTATCAGCTGTCGCATCGTCCACCACCTCGGGGCAGTTGGAGACGGAAATGCCTCGTTCGCTGCAAGCTGCTACGTCGATGTTGTCATATCCAGCCCCTGAGACACGGGGAAAGATGACGTCAGTGTAAGTTCGCGATGGCTCTAAGACGTGTCCACTCACCATTGTGACATATGAATCTGAGGCTCTTCGGGAGCGCCTCGACTAACTCCTTGTCGAATCTTCCAGTGACAGCCAAGCTGTAGGGTGCTCGATCGCATATGGCAACTACGCCGTCAAGTCTCCCACTCCGAAGTTCGACTAGAAACTCTTGTCTACTAGTTGACTGGGGCTTCACGAGTTGTGCGTGCTGTGAGAGTGATTCCCAAGATGCGGTTGCACTGAGATTGTTAGTTTAGTTTCAAGCTGGCGATTGAAGCACTTTGCTGGGGAAATCGGTCACTTACTGGTCAATCCTGCCAAGAAGCAGCACCTTTGCCTGCGTGTCCATGTTCACACCCCAAACTTTCGAATGACGTGATCTGGTGTTCGACAATCAGGTTTGATAAAAAACTAACCACTCAAAGCTTGCGGCGGACTGTCCCTTTCTATGCCCTGTTGCACGAGAGACACACTGATCCTCGTCCGACGCGGGGTAAGATGGAAGATCCTAGTTTTGCGAGGCGAGACAAGCGGCAGACCAACCGGCTCATCTTTGCGCCGTTGAGTTGTCAAGGAGTCAACGCCCGCAAAGAGGCAGGTTTTACGACAATTTTCGGTGATGGCTGATGAGGTCACTAGAAGAAATTATGTTATCCTTTCTCTCAAAGTGCTATCCTAGCTTAAAATTTCTGTTTGCAATCGAAGATATTGACAAGGTCGGCACAAGTCACGCTCGTCGTGAAAAAAATATTTCAGAAGCTCTGCAACGATTTGACGCTTAATATTTGCCTAATGTCTCCCTCTAACATTGTTTCATGCTTTGCCCGTAGACATCAAGAAATCCATGTGGTATTCCACCACGTCCTGCATGGCCTTCGTCTGCTCCTCGACGACGGTTGTAAGGGGCACTTTGCCACTCAGTTCACCCTGAACCTTGGTCCATGCTGCGGCCACGGGGCCATTCACATTGACCTTCGCCATGCCATAAGAGATGCATTTACGCAGCAGCTCCTCCTTGAAATAGTCTTCATGAGCGCCGTGCAGCACGAGGCGCACACGGTCTCCAACAGCTTGCCGAACGGTATCAAGACGAGGAAAGTCCAGCTGCGGCCCCTTAGGCCCGTATACCCCGTGAACATTGCCAAACGCAGGCGCCAGCCAGTCGATGCCGCAAGCCACGAACTCCTCCGCCTGTTCGGGACCCGTGAGAATCTCTTCCATGTCGCCCGTGTCGGCGATCCCGTCTTCGCAGCCATTAATACGGCCCGGTTCGGCCTCTGTGATTATGCCGCGTTCATTACAGTATTGAACCAGTTCTTTTGTGAGCCGTAGGTTTTCCTCTTTTTCGTAGTGGCTCATGTCGACCATAATGCCGTCAAATCCGCCCAAATCAGCGGCCCGTCTGATGATCTCGGGGGACTGGGCGTGATCCATGTGGACGGCGATGGGGACGGATGCCTTGTCAGCGGCTTCGGCGGCCGCGTGTAGAAGAAGACCGTCTGCGTACTCAATGGACCAGGGAAAGAGCTGGATGAGAGCCGGCGAACGCTTTGCTTCTGCTGCGCGGACGGTGGCGACGACGGCCTCGAGATTGTAGCAGCATACGGCCGCAATGGCATAGCCACCCGCCGATGCTTCATCAACGATGGCCTTGGCACGGTTGTTTTTCACTTTATCAGCAACGGTCTTTGCCTTGCTGTCGATGCCGTTACTGTTGGCTTTGTTGATTGCCATGGCTGCGGTTTAGTGATTTGGCGGATGAAGGTATGGAGTAAGGTGAGAACGAAGAGCAAGCGACGGCACCAGATTTCAAAATCATTAAGATGTGGTTTGGCTTGGTTAGACGCAAATTTCATTCTTGTAAGCTGACATCGGAATTCCCACCAGGCCCATTTGATACGCGAAAGATCATTGCTCCGGTCCTGGCCGATCACGGTGCGATGACAGGCCATGGGAGATGACCAAAAGTGGAGAGCCCGGCGGCGCCGTGAGGGTTCTCCGGCGTGATGATGTCCCGGACAACGGCATGCAGTTCCGAAAGGCCGGCTGGGGCTGCATGTTTATGCAACATTTCCTGACGTTGTTACTTTTATCACATCTTCTGCTGCTTTGCGGCCGTTTCCCTTCCGGCATCGACATGAGGTTTGACCCGAAATCGCTGCCATCATGAGGGACCACTACACTATCATCCTTGCGATGTTCGCCTGTCTAGGCACCTTTCTCTATGTGAGTCTCAATTACGAGTCACAAAATAGTCATAATTGCCCGATCATGCGACTTGCAAACAACCATCTGACAAATTATTCTTGGAATCAAGGGATTTGATACCGGCATTGCCACGACAAGTACGGCGCCTTTGCGACGACTGACAATCGACTATTATGAACGGGCTGACTAGCTGATAGCCATTGCTCACCTGAGCTTCGTGGAATACATGCAAAACCCATCAAACGCCATCATAGGATCCGTAAGACACCAACGACACCGGTTTATCGAGTTTGCTAATTGTGCAGGTTGTGGCGACCTACATTGCCGGCGAAGCTGTTGGTGCTATCATGCAGATTCTCATTGCCGACAAACTAGGCCGTCTTCGTTTCATGCAGCTTCAATGCATCATCGTAAGTGTCGGATGCGCCATTCAGACTGGCGCAGTCAACGTCGGCATGTTCCTCGGAGGTCGCATAATAGCAGGCATCGCCGTCGGAGCACTCAGCGGCACTGTTCCCGTCTACCTCTCTGAGATCAGCCCACCTAAGATCCGCGGCCTCATCGGAGGTCTCAACGGTGTTGGGCTCGCCTTTGGAACCATGACTTCGAACTGGGTCGGGTTTGCCGGCGGCTTTGCTCCTTATGGCCAGGCCCAGTGGCGCGTTCCGCTTGGTCTACAAATTCCTTGGGGGATCGTCCTCTTTACGGGTCTCATAACCTTCATGCCGAACTCTCCCCGTCAGCTGATCCAAAGGGGCCGCGTAGAGGAAGCGCGGTCTGTGTTCACGAGGATAAGAAGCGATCTCCAGTCGCACGTTGTGCAAGAGGAGTTCAGCCTGATGAAAGCCCAGATCGAGTTCGAGATACAAAGAGAAATCCCGACGTTCAAAGAAATCTGGAAAACGTATCGACGCCGGGTTCTAGTGTAGGTTGAACGGTCTTTTGTCTTCATGACCACCTTGTTCCCTCACAAATTGTGGCTAATCTTAGGATCTATATTCAGCTCGGTCTCAGTCCAGATATTGACGAGCGTTACGGGAGTCAACGTTGTCCAGGTACGTGAGAGCCAACTTCATTGCTGGTCGTCGTCATACGCTGACCGAATAACAGTACTATCAAAGTCAGTAAATCATCGTCAATTCAGCTGTCTAGGTATTGATATCAGTCTCAGCATCTCTGTATCGCTCACTCGGCATCGACTCGAAGACGATTCTTGCCCTAGCCGCCGTTTGGGGCACCTGCGCATTTCTCGCCACCACAGTAGCTGTTCTCATCTTACCGGATAGATGGGGTCGCCGCAAGTAAGCAAATCGAAAATTTCGAGTCCAAATATCACATGAAACAAATTGAGATGGACTGCTAATACCACTTCCCGTTCGGTAGAATGCTTTTAGCAGGCGTTGCTTGGGTCATCGTGATTGAAATCTACTGCGCTGTCATGCAGCGCTCATTTCAGAACACCGACAACCGCGTCGGTAAAGGCTTCGCCATCCTGGGCATTTATTTATTTGCCGTCGGATACTGTGAGTCTAGATGTCCTTGAGATCATGGCTTCCTTACTTCTTTCAGCTACTAAGTCAATCACCATAGACAGCCTCATCAATCCCGTCACATGGATTTACGGCGCCGAAGTTCTTCCAATCTCCATCAGAAGCAAGATCATGGGCGTCGCAGCGGCGGCTCATTACATTGTCAACGTCGGTGTTACTCAGGCCGGTCCCAGCGCGTTCGCCACGATCCACGAGAACTATTACTACGTCTTTGTCGGTTGTTGCGCCGTCTTCTTCGGCATCATTTATCTATACTACCCCGAAACAAAGCAAAAGACGCTCGAGGAAATCGCCGCCGCGTTCGGCGATCGCGTTGTCGAGATCGAGACTCATCAGGTGGCAAACGCAATCGTTGACGTAGAAGCCAAAAACGGCTGCTCGTTGGAACACTTGGAATTGGACGAGAAGCGTAGCTCCAGGGTTTAGTCCAGGGTTTAGTGCCCAGAATCTTTCTGGTGAAGCTGCAATCGAACCTCGGAGAATGAAACATGAGACTAGCATCTCAATAAACGTAGAAAGTACATCACGCCGCGTTTATCCTCAATCGTGTGAACACACTCGTGGGACTGGTTGTTATGGATTCTTGCCTTTGAGCTTATGTCCACAGTTTCTTACCGAGGTCTGGGTTGTCAAGCTTTCACGATTCATGATGTTGGTCCGGCATCATAGAGTTCTCTCGGTGAGAAGTCCCGGACGCCGAGCATCACGGCAGGGATCGACTCGGTGCCGCACCGCCGATAAGACGTCTCGCCGGGGCCCCCGCCTGGTCCACCCAGTTGCGGAGACAAGGCCCGGTTGTGATTTCTAATACATGCGTCATAACTACCGAACCAGTGCACGAACTTTGCTGCAGATATCTTCACCCGAAGGAGCTACTTTTGAAGGGTCTCACGCAGGCTCTCATCACTGGAACTCATCTCGTCTCACGACGTCTCACACATCACACAGCAAAATGAGCGAAACCCAGGTCCAGCGCTGGCAGACACGCCAGGATGGCCTCGACAAGCTCTTCCTCGCGTCCGGGCCCCTCACCCAGCCGGGCCCGAACGAGGTCCTCGTCAAGATCAACGCCGTCTCGTTCAACTACCGCGACACCGAGGTCGTCATGGGCTTCTACAACCACCACAAGACCATCAACCCGGAGGCGAACGAGCCCATCGTCCCGGCCTCGGACATGTGCGGCTCCGTCGAGGCCGTGGGCGAGGGCGTCGGCGACTGGAAGGTCGGCGACCGCGTCGTCTCCATCTTCAACCAGTCCCACCTCAAGGGCCAGATCAAGGCCGCCGACATGAAGTCCGGGCTCGGGTTCCCGCTCGAGGGCGTCCTGCAGACCTACCGCGTCTTCCCGGCCACGGGCCTCGTCAGGGCGCCCAAGCACCTGAGCGACGAAGAGGCCGCGTGTTTGCCGATCGCCGCGGTGACGGCCTGGATGGCCATCAATCAGTTCCGGCCCCTCGGTCAGCCGGGCGGAAAGGGCGAGGTCGTGGTTTGTCAGGGAACCGGCGGTGTCGCTATCTCCGGGTTGCAGATTGCCAAGGCGGCGGGCGCGACGGGTGAGTTTTTGCCGTTCTGGTGAATGAGAGATGAAAACTGACCGGCTGCAGTCATCATCACTTCCTCCTCCGACGCGAAGCTTGCAAAGGCCAAGGCCCTCGGTGCTGACCACATCGTCAACTACCGCACGACGCCTAACTGGGATGAGACGGTGACGGAGGCCACCAACGGCGAGGGCGCCGACATCATTCTCGAGACGGGCGGCGCCAAGACGCTGCGTCGCTCGTTCGAGGCCATCGGCTTCGGCGGCACGATTGCGTGCATCGGGTACCTCTCGGGTAAGGTCGACGAGGAGGAGGACCGGACGAACGTCAACTTGCTGGCGCTGCGCAAGACCGTGACGCTTAAGGGTCTCATCAACGGCCCCCGGGAGAGGTTTGAGGAGATGGTGGACTTTTATGAGGAGAAGGGCATCAAGCCCGTGGTGGACCGCGTCTTTGACTTCAAGGAGGCGGATGAGGCGCTGCGTTATTTGTTCAGTGGCGGCCACTTTGGTAAGGTCGTCGTGAAGGTGCAGTAAACAACATATCTGGTTTAATGAGATCGAACCACAATTGATGAGAGACCAATGAGTTCAACGTGTTGATGTGAAAAGACGATGAGAATGTGACACGCGTCAGTGAGCCGAGGCATGTCCGGGGCTCTCGGACCTTGATACCCCGCATGGGGGACAGTGAGAACGAGCAAGGACATGGGCAAAATAAGCTGGAGAATGAGGAGAACAGGGACCCTGAGCTGACTCGATGCAGCATGTCCCCTGCAGCAGGCCGTTTTTAGCTGCATTTTCCTCTTAGCTCTCTCATCTCTCGGTCGGCGAGCGGCGTGTTCATCAGCTGTTCTGTCTCCGAAGTACGAATAGCCTATCTCCCCGCTCACTCATGCTCACTTGCATAGCTCACTGGAATTCGTGTCAGCACAAGGATATATGTCTTTCGTATTGACGGGACATTGATAGACGCGGTTCAACAGATAAGACCGCATCTTCGTGCCATCGCCCAAGCTCCAGGCGCCGGAACAAACGGCGTCGCAGATCGGCATTCCGCGGACCTTGACCCCTCGCCTCTCATTCCTCCCTCACTCTGAACGCCTCTCATCTTCTCTGACCCCAAGAGTCAGATCTCCAAAAGCAGCCAGACGCCATTCCTGTCTCTGCCTCTCATCCCCCGCACTCCGACACATCCCGTCGAAGTCCATCTCACTTCCAACACCACCTGCCAGCATCACACCACACGGGGAAAACACCACTCCCAGCGGCACAGCATCTCTCGGCTTTGACAGCTCAATCAAGCTCGACGGCCGAAGACGAATCAAACTCTACGAAACCGACAGTCAAAGTCCACTCGACCGGGACCATGGCGCCCCAGTACACGCCCATCCCCCTCCCCCAGACCCCGACCCAGACCCTCGCCACGCTCGCCGGCCTGGGCGCCTCCGCCTGGCTCTTAAAGCTCATCGTCCGACACATCCTCCTCCGCCTCCCCGCAAACCCCTCGTCGAAATCCCCCTCCTCCGCCGGTCCGCACTTCGCAGCAATGTCCCCCGACCGGAAACAGGCCCTCCAGGACCGCCCGGCCATCATCGTCGGCGGCGGCCTCGCCGGCCTCGTCGCCGCCTTCGAGCTCTCCGAGCGCGGCGTCCCCACCATCGTCATCGACCAGGAGAACGAGGCGAACCTCGGCGGCCAGGCCTTCTGGTCGCTCGGCGGCATCTTCTGCGTCAACTCGGCCGAGCAGCGACGCATGGGCATCAAGGACTCGCGGGAGCTCGCTATGAGAGACTGGTTCGGCTCGGCGGCGTTCGACCGCGAAAAGGAGGATACGTGGCCGCGGCGCTGGGCCGAGGCGTTTGTCAACTTCGCCGCCGACGAGATGGAGGCGTACGTCAAGGCGAGGGGTATGGGCTTCCTCTTCAACGTCGGCTGGGCCGAGAGGGGCTGTGGCAGGGCGGAGGGACACGGTAATTCGGTTCCGCGGTTCCACGTCACATGGGGCACTGGGCCGGAGGTCGTGAGGGTGTTTGAGGAGCCGGTGCGGCGCGCGGCCAAGAACGGCGTCGTGCAGTTCCGCTTCCGGCACCGCGTCGACGAGATCATCACCGACGAGACGGGCCGCGCGATCGGTGTGAGGGGGAAGGTGCTGGCGCCGGATAGCTCTGCTCGCGGCGTCAAGTCGAACCGGAATGTCGTCGACGACTTTGAGATTTTCGGCTCCGCTGTCGCGGTTACGTCTGGTGGTATTGGAGGCAACGTCGAGGCAGTGAAGGCGGCGTGGCCCGTCGACCGGCTCGGGCCCAAGGTCCCGGAGAACTTCGTCGTCGGCGTGCCCGCGCATGTCGACGGAAGGATGATTGGGATCGCGGAGCAGGTCGGCGCGAACGTCATCAACCGCGACCGCATGTGGCATTACACTGAGGGCCTGCAGAACTGGAACCCCATCTGGCCGGACCACGGCATCCGCGTGCTCCCCGCGCCGAGCTCACTCTGGCTTGACGCCACCGGCAAACGACTCCCCCCGTTTCTCTTCCCCGGCTCCGACACCCTGGCGACGTTGAAGCACATCTGCAGCACGGGATACGACTACACGTGGTTCATCCTGGACCAGAGCATCATCGCGCGCGAGTTCGCCCTCTCCGGCTCCGAGCAGAACCCGGACGTGACGGGCAAGAGCGTCTGGCAGCTTCTGACCCGCGTCTTCGGCAAGAAGGGCACGGTGCCGGTGCAGAACTTCCAAAAGTACGGCAAGGACTTCGTGGTGAGGGACAACCTCCCCGAGCTGGTGCAGGGGATGAACGAGCTGCAGCGCGAGCGCGGCGGCCCCGTGCTCGACCTCGCGGATATCCAGGAGACGATCGAGATCCGCGACGGGCAGTTTGACAACGCGTACTCCAAGGATGCGCAGGCGATGTTGATCAACAACGGCCGCACGTACTGGGCCGACAAGCGCAGCCGCATCGCGCCGCCGCACAAGCTGCTCGACAAGGCCCACGGCCCGTTGATCGCGGTCCGGATGAACCTGCTGACGCGGAAGACGCTCGGCGGCATCGAGACGAACCTGGAGAGCAACGTCATGAAGGCCGACGGGGAGAAGTTCTCTGGTCTGTATGCGGCGGGTGAGGCCGCTGGATTCGGTGGCGGCGGCGTCCATGGATACAACAGCTTGGAGGGGACGTTCTTGGGAGGCTGCATCTTCTCGGGAAGGGCAGCCGGACGCGGTATTGCTGATGAGTTGTTGGGGCCGGCGGAAGCCAAGGGCGCCCGCTCCAAGATGTAAACTTGTAGACATAAAAGGCCGAAATGAAGACTTGTACGTGGCGATTCAACCAAGGTGTTCAAACTTGACTTTCATTACTACCAACACCGGCAGGGAGCTTGCCTCATTAGTCTTTCATAATCGCCGACGTCCGCACCCTCTCCAGCTTGACCTCCGTCGTCACTCGTATTTGCCCCTGCGTAGCCCAGTCGCCGCTCATCATTTCATCCGACTTGCGCACCTCAACCGTCGTGCCAGAAGGAGACTGCATCCCTCCATAGCCGCGCTCTTCGTCTCCTGCCATGTCGCTTTCTGTGTCAACGGTCTGCTTTTTCGATCGAGCCGTGAGCTCCACCTCGTCGTCGCCGCGGCGACCATGCGAATGTTTCGAGGCCGTCACTTTGGACATGGAGTTGCTGGCCTGAGACACGGTCTTGCGGACCATGGACTTCAGCCATGGCGGCGTGTAGTGCGAGATCATGGGCCTGAGGTGCGGGAGGCAGGCTGCGATGATGTATGTTCCGGTTTCAATGATGCTCCAGCCGACGAGAGCCACAGATGCCCCTGTGATGGTAAGTACACATTCTCGTGCGCGGTCAGAATGTCTACCTACATGTCCGATCTGTAAAGGCTGCCGTCCCGAAGAAAGTGACTGCTCGTATGATGGATGCGACAACACCGCTACCGGCACGTTAGCAACTATGGCATGGCATGGACTCCAACAAAGATACTCACAAACTGCCGACCATGAAGATTCCGACCAGCGCTATCCTTTTATGCGTGGGAAGCTTTAGGCCCCAGATGGTCTTCATGGGCAGAGCCATGATGAAGAAATCCAGCACGAACCCCGGGATACTCTGCGCATGGAAGAAGGCCTGCACGTCGACGCATTTACCTCCCGGAATGGTTCGATCCCACCAGAACGGGAGTGGCGTGCACTGGAAGCACGCGGTGAGGATGAACGACAAGCTCGTAGCGGCGAGCGTGCCCAGCAGGATGTACGCGGTCATTCGCATCCCGCCTTTCCAGTTGAATACACGAAGGTACAGGAAAACGATCCCCATCTTTGGCAACGCCACGGACGCGAAGTAGACAATCTCGAAGGCCAGAATACACTTGGCCCATCCGACCAGCAGCGCCGGGTGAAACTCTTCGACGAATTCAACATGTCGTCCAACACCGCCCACCCGAACCATAACTAAAAACCACGAGTTAGTCCATGCGATACTTTTCCATCATCACACGAGGTGAAAACCTTACCTATGCCCACCGCACACATTCCCAAGTCGACGAAATACGCCGCCACGAGGAAGTAGTCGTCGATGCCATAGCCGCCCGCCGTAAATCGTTTGGCGTACAGTCGCAGACCCAGGAAGAACGTCGTGAGAATGGCGAACGCGATCGAGATACCAATCAGCGTGCCCCCGGAATCCTCGGCCAGGTATGCGGCAGTGACATTATGAGCGCCTTCGCTTTCGGCGGCTAAGATGAGACCTGCATCCATTATCGCGAGACCTGATTGCTGTGCTGGAGGCTGGCTGAGCCGATCCACGGCCAAGACACGACATGGGCATCAATACCAAGCCTTGTTTGCGGGTTCCCGACTTCTGGGCAGGAAACAAGTTCGAGAGGAAACGATATTAATATCTCGCGCTGCCTGGCAGCCCTATCTTGGCGCGGGACCCCTCTTTCTATTTAATATCCCGACTTGGCACACTCTGTCGAGGAGGGATGGCTCCATTCGCGATGACAGGGGCGAGTGAAGGACGCTTCGCGAGTTAAGGTCCGGGGGACTGAACATTAAGATCTCCCACCGCATGATCGGACCACGGTCAAAGAATGCCATGTACCAACATTTCGAGCCTATATTTGCCCTGTTTTGCTGACTCCTTTCCAAGGGTGGTTGTGTAATGGGTTCCACCACCGCGACATCCTCGTTGGCGGAGCAAAAGTCCTCGGGGTTGCAAATTCCGTGCATTCCTATGTCAGACGCTAAGTTGGCTAGCAGCCTTGAGCTGAGCCAGTCAGACTTCGAATTGAAAACTCAATGGTAGCGAACATGAGGAGGGGCGGAGGGGGGCTTCTTAGTCCAGCTCGCATGAAACGTCGCGTTCTAGAATCATCGTGGAAAGAGAGTTTGAGATGGACATGGGTTGGCCCTGTTGTCATGCCGTCTTGCAGGAGATCGGACGCAGGCTTTTGTTCCTATTCGTCAACGACGGGACTGACTCGCGACACCTGCAGCTCAGGAGCCTCCATATCCCTTCTTCTGCCAACCCATTCGAGATTTAAGCCGTGTTGCTGGCCAGATATTCCTGGATGCCTTGGTTGTCCCCAGCCGAAAACGAAGGATGCGTTTCTGAATCGTGGCGATGAGACGTTGGGAAATGACGAACGGTATGCAGTCATGGCAGGCTGACCAGAGGCCTGCTGAGTCAATTTTGCCGTAGTCTAGGCACACCAGGCCATCTGATCATCTCGTAGTCGATAATAAACATTTCAAAGTTCCCCTCTCTGTCGTGCGGGGGGGCAAGAAAATCGCCTTCGCCTTCTCTTTCGAGAACACCAAGACACCGGTGGCGGGGTGGCATCGTTGATGACTCGTCCTATGGAATTCCTTTCCCTTTGTGACGCAGCGAACAACTGTCCCATGCGTCTCCCTGCTGGCTCGCGGCGGAAACGGACGCAGCCGCAGTAGGAGCAAGATTCATGCCCGAGGTGATGTTGGCATAGACTGGAAAAGAGCCCCGTATCCTCCAGAACTCCACGGCGATCCGTCGGCTTATGGATACTCGTGCGATGGCGTGGGTCACGGGCGATCCCCGATCTCGGTCGTATTTCCCTGTTGTGCCGGATGCAACGCCAGAGAGGAGCAATCGTTATGCTTCCGACGCGTCAACCTCCCGCGGTATTTGAAATGCGCCATGGTTGGTCGGCATGAACTGAACCATTGGTTGGTGTTGTTTGGCTTGCTATCACGTTCGTCTCTAGTAAAGAGGCTGTGTTCCCAGGATGTTGGCGCATGCCTGCTCGACAATCGCCCTTGATTGAGTAACATGAGCAAAGTTGGATGGCGATGCTGAATTGGCCTGCCAGATTTCCGTGACTGCTCGGATTCTTCAGACCTCGAGGCATGTGCCTCATTGCTAGTTTGTCGGGTAAGAACTTGGACTGGTATCTTTGTCTACTGTTCAAGCGATTTCAAGCCGGCTATTGATTTTCAATCGGAAATATCGCCAATGTAACCATAGGGTCCTGAACGTGTTTCAGACCGTCGTGGAAATGCCTTCCTGTTTCTCTTGAATACCCGACCAGGTTACCCCGCACCATTCTCTCAAGTGCCATTTCGCCAGTGGCCACCGGCTGTTGACGAAGAATCGTTGACATGGGTTGTGAAGCGAAAATCCCTTTGGAACCGGGTTCACGAAAATTTGTCGCTCGTAACGGCCATGTTCAGGTGAGTTTGTCCCGTAGATTCCAAAAAGTCGGGGACCTGCGTTGTGGAGGTTGAGAGCGGCTAGTTCGCGGCATCTTTCGACGCCGGCGTGTGCTTCATCAACATCAGGAGCATCCCTCTCTGTCTGCTGTTTATTCAATGCCTTGACGTAGTTCGGTGGAAGCGTGCATTCCGGTCGAGGAGTGGTCGCACTCAACGCTTCGCGCAGCCAGGAATCCGCCGCATGTCTGGTCAGCCAGGTTCCATCCGTGCTTCCATTCGGCCTTCCAGTCATGAGACCCGCCCGGGTTGCGGGAGATGGAGCGGTAGGTGTTCGGAGCCGGGAGCATGTGCATGGCTAGCATCGCGGAACCCTGGCCTATTCAGTCGTGGTAGCATAGTCGGCCAATGCTTGGACGATGATACTGCTTGTACTGGATCCGAGAGTGAATCTGTAAACCAAGGGTTTTCCGTAGGAGCCTCTGTCTTCATGGCGCACCGCTAGTGCTGCTCTCGCGCTGGTGCCAAAGGCCCTAATCAAAGCCAGACATAGCGATTTTCGAAGGCGGTCGTCAGGCACCAAAGCTTCCCGTAGAGCGGGTGGTCTAGCTCGCTGACGCAACCATGGATAGCCTTGACAACCTCCGGGTGTCCGTGTCCCAAGGGAGACGACTTCTGCTGGGTATCTACCGCCTCCACGGTGTCAGTAAGGCCGTCCGCGACGGAAGATGGGGCAACATCATACCGAGAGTGGTTTGTATGACCGAGGCATCTCTTCATCGTCAAACGTCGCCGACGTGGAGGCACTTCCGGCTCATGGGTGCGACCACAGAGCCTAGGGAGCAGAGCTCGCGTCGGGGCGATCCCACCTCGTTGCCGCGGCGCAGTTGTTGTCGGTCGTGGTCTTTCGGAAAATGGAGAGGTATGATTGACAATGAAATGTGAGTTTCCTCCAGTTCTTGGCCAGCTAAGGCTCACGGAACCAAATGGAAGCGGTCTTGAACATCTGATATCGTGGCCACCTTCTCAATGTGTTGGTAGCTGCCATGACTTGGTGTGCAATACTGTCTCTAGGCTTTCAACACGGAAGCAACTGAAGACGTGTTGCAGAGCTGGGCGAAAAGTCGGTTGTCGCGATGATTGATGATGTAGTTGAGGTCGATCAGAAAACAAGAACGAAACGGAGAATGGAAGGACCAAGATTCGGCGATATCCATCCCCCTTATCGCCGATACAAGATCCGACATTTTTCCGGTATCCGATAAGGTGAGTGCACGAGCCGTCTGCTCTTTCCCTCGGGAAACACCACGTTCACCTCGGAGAAGTCGACTTTCCAGTTCGCAGTCCAGATAAGGCAAAATGTCGACAATGTCCACGGACAATTCCTCTGTTCTGGCCATGATTCGAGTTGTTTTTCGACTCCGCTGCCTCTCAGAAACTCGAAGCCATGTCAACTGAAGTTGTCGATGGTCCGTTTTCCTCGGAGCGCCCTTACCGCTCTCACCTCCGCCCGGCATGTCTGGCCTGCCGGAAGCGCAAGTCTCGGTGTAACGTCGACAAGACCGCACCAACATGTCTTACATGTCGAGCTCACGGAACGCCTTGCGAGTTCCCTCCGTCTCCCGCCGGATCCTCTCCGCGGCCGAAGAATGCTTGGAGGGCTTCCCAGGCCCGTAAATCGAGGGACCTGGGCCACCGCGCCTTGACGCCGCCGGCACCGACCTTTCCCTCGGAGACCACCCTTGTTTCCCAGGTGAGCTCGCTGGGTGTGCCCAATGGACCTCCGGTAGTCCATCCAGCATCAACATCTCCGGAGGGTGGCTTGACCCTCGGCTCTGCGGACGACAGACATTATGCTGAGCCCATTGCTGGAGGCGGCGAGGACGAGGCGCACATTGTAGGACCGGCAGACATCGAGGACACCCAGGTGTTGGCGACGTATCTCTCAAACGATTCGTCCGTTCTGAATCGAGGTATACGTACAAGAATATCCGGCACCAGCCCACGACAAGAAAATGGAGGCAGCGGTCGGAAACCAGTCGTATTCACCACTGTTCCAAAGCAACCTCTGGGCGTCCCGAATGATCGTACTCCCGCGTTCTTGAAATGCCAAATGATTGAGAAGCTCCTTGAGCCTCTCCTCCCTGATGTCATCGAGCTGTGAGTGCCCATTAATTTTCGTGTCCCGAGAAGATCCCCTGACGTAAACCCCTAGATTCTTTGAGAAGCCAAACCGATGCTTTCCCTTGCTGGACAGGCGATCTTTCGAGAAGCGCTTCGCCGAAGACAGAGGCCACATCTCGCCGGCCTTGCTATCATGTCTCTACGCCCATACCATGACCTACTGGGCGCAATCTCCGTCGCTTGTGGCAAACTATCGCCCCGACACCAGGTTTATCTGGAATCAAGCCAATGACGCCCTGTACTCCGAGATTCACCTGTCGCCGGGCATATCGACCCTCCTTGGCATCATGCTCAACGTCTCAGGGCGACCTCTTACATCTATCATTGGTAACGGCATTCAGCTGGGATCTGCCATCTCCCTGGCCCATTCCCTTGGCCTGAACCGCGATCCTTCAGACTGGGACATCCCCGAGGCCGAGAAGCTCCTGCGCACAAAGATATGGTGGGCCATCTTCGTATACGACAAGTGGTAAGCCGTCCACATCTTGTCTCGATCAACGTTCGCTTCTGATACATACCAGGTCGAGTCTCGCGTATGGCACCCCACCACAGCTACGGAGCGGTCAGCATGACGTCTCCCTACCCTCGGTCGACCAGCTCTGTGGCTCTGCTGCAAGTACTATCGACCTCAACGCTGCTTCAGTGTACCTGGCCTTCGTGGCTCTAGCGCAGTTTCTTGACAAGTACCTGGAGCGAATCTACGATCTCGAGAAGACGTCCACCAGTGGCCCATGGGATCTGGAGGTTCTGCTGACAAAATGGGAGGACACGCTAGACGTCCAGCTGCGACGGAGGATCATCCGCGGCGGCGACAGCCTCGACATGCCGGGCTCGGCAAACCTGCGTCTTGCGTACCTCTACATCAAACTGCTCCTCCGAAAGTGGGAGCTCGACGCAGAGAAGGCTGCGAACGCCGACCACACGTCGTCGATACCCATGCGATGTTACCTCGAAGTCCGCCGCGCCGCAGAAGAGATCGTGCTCCTGGTACAGGAACTGAAGGAGCCTCAGCTTGGGGACTACTGGCTGCCGCTGTTGACGTTCGCGTTCACCTCGACCACCAAGTTTCTGCTCCGATGCGCGTTGGAGACGGAGAACACCGTCAGCGGACTTGCGCAGAGCATGTCGCTCAAGTTGGCCGGCGATCTGATTGCTGCCCTGCAGGTGCACCGCCAGAGAGCTTGGGACATGGGCGATCTTTGCATCGCACAATACTCGGAAGTCGTCAAGAAACTTGCGTCGTCAACGGCAACAGCCAATTTCGCAGAGCAGCCAGTCGACATGCCGGAGCTCCAGGAGTACGTTTCGACAAGCGTTCCCGATATCGATGAGCTTTTCCCGAGCCTTTGGGACATGTTTAGCACCGCTTGAGAGTCTACATGCCAGTCCTACCGCGTGGACCGGGCCCCAACAAGCGGCAGTCTGTTTTTGAACAAGAAGCCCGTCATCTTTCGGTTCAGGTACACCGCCGAACCTGTGCTGTTTCCGAAAACCTGCTGCCGGGTTAGTCCGCTCTCGGAACATCGAGGCTCGGTCGGACCTAAGACGACGGAGCGCTCCGACGGACTACTCCGATGCCGTCTTATGCGAGGAACCTTACATCAATACACCATGACAACCTCGCCGCGTCTCAGCCATTCAAACATACGTCCATGAGAGAGATGTCGGTACGAAGCATGGCCGCACTTTGCAGACCCTCAGTTCCCAGGATAGCCAATGGAACTCTCCGGACGCGTTCGTTCCGTCTTTGGCAGTCGAACGGTCTTGTGAAGCCCACGGCATGCTTTAGCTCATCCGCCGTACCGCATGAGAAGGTCGCTGTTCTCTACCAGGCCATTGAACCACCGATCATCAATGGTGTTCGCAAACCCATGAAGCCGGGGGGTTCGCCTTCTTCTCTACAGCGGCCGCATCCCAGTTGACTGAGACATCGCAGGATACCGAGACTCGGGCGCCGATATCGCCTACAACCTACAAGCCAGCAGATCTATCCAAGCAGTCACTCCCGTATCAAATCCGTCACCACGGGTCGACTCTGACTGGTGCTTTCCCGACACTGAAGACGGCATTTTATCTGCTGTCAATCAGGGAGCAACTCATCTATGGGCCAACACCATCCTCTTTGCGTCGCATCCTCTACAAGTCTCATCAAAACTCGCTCTTCATCAAGATTCGCTTCACGTCATCGGACATGGCCCTCTCGTGGTTGAGAAATACGACGACAAAGAGCTGGTCAACAACCTTCTCCGTCGCACCGGCGGCTTCACGATGCCTCGCTCCTGGACGATTTCAAGTAGCGCCACTCTTGCCGACGACCTGAAACGGGAAGATCTGCCGTTTCCAATTGTCGCAAAGCCTGTTCGCGGAAGGGGAAGTCACGGCGTCAAGGTCTGTCGCGACCTCGCAGATCTGACGTCCCATGCCGAAACCCTCTTCCAGGAGTCCTCGACCATCATGCTGGAGGAGTACCTCGCCGGCGAAGAGGCCACTGTAACCATGATGCCGCCGAGCTCTAGTAACAAGGACTACTGGTCGCTGCCGATCGTCACCCGCTTCAACCACCAAGATGGCATCGCTCCGTACAACGGCGTCGTGGCCGTCACCGCCAACTCGCGAGTCGTGTCGAGAGAGGAAATGAAGGACCCGGCCTACAGTCGGATAGCGGAGGAATGTGAGGGCGTCGCTAGGCTGTTGGGCGTCACGGCCCCAATCCGGATCGATGTGCGGCGCTTTGAGATTTCGACTGCGTCAAGGTTCGCCCTGTTCGATGTCAACATGAAGCCGGTGAGTCCCAATCTTTTGGGGAGCGAGAAGTACAGGACGAGAAGCTCATTATTGAATCTAGAATATGACCGGCCCTGGAAGGCCTGGGCGGGACGACCAAGCCAGCTTGACGCTGCTGGCTGCTGAGGCGCTGGGATGGGATTATCAGCAGCTTTTGAGGCAGATACTGAGTACATCATGCAGTTTGAGGACGCTCCGGGAGCTCAAGCCAAAGATTGGGTAGGCAGCTTGAGGGCATCACCAGGTAGATCATATAGCATGAAGAGATGGTAGTCACAAGGAGCCTTGAGAGCATCATCAACAATGGAGTGAACAGGCAGACCAAAACAAAGCCACAATACAAGCACACACAGGATCACACAAGTCATGACAAAGGAAGCAAGAGTGATGTGTTAATGCCAGTTCATTGCATACGTAGCAGCCTCAGCTGCAGAATTCTTGTGATCCATGAATCGTAACCCGTTTCCCAGAATGAAAAGAAAACCCATGTCCAGTCTCCCCCAACGGCCAAGAAGCCAAAGTCCCTGAAAGTTCACAAAACAAAATAAAGAAAACCCTCCCCATGTCCAGCTTTCCCACCATTCCAAAAGCCAAATACCGGGGTATCATCCTGTTTGTTCCTCCCTTCCAAACGCCAGCCAATGCGGTGGGGGTTGTCGAAAACCCAGACCATGTGCGATATCAAGTCAAAGCCCGTTTAGGCGCGACGACCGGTGTGGACGTCCTTCTCCTCGCGGGTGGTGGTGACCGTGGTGAAGGTCTGCTCGACGGGAGCGGGGGTGACGTACTGGGTGGCGGTAGCCAGGACGGTCTCGAACTCAGTGGCCACCTCGACGGCGGTCTCAGTGGGAGTCTGGGTCTGAGTGGAGTTGGTGTGAGAGGTGGTCGACTCGTGGATGGTGGTGAGGACCGGCTCAGGGAGACCGCTGGAGGTGGTCTCATGGATGGTGGTGAGGACCGGCTCAGGGAGACCGCTGGAGGTGGTCTCGTGGATGGTGATCAAGACCATGTTAGGGGTAGTGGTCGAGGTGGTCTCGTGGATGGTGGTCAAGACCATGTTAGGGACAATGGTCGAGGTGGTCTTGGGGATGATGGTGGTCAAGACCGGCTCGGGGACACTGACAGAGCTCAGGATGGGCTGAGGCTGGTCCCAGGGAGGGAGAAGAGGGTTGATGAGGGTGGGCATGGCGCCGGCCTCGGAGGTCTTGGTGACAGAGGTCTCGAAGCCAAAGCCGGTGGTGACGAAAACAATGTTAGGCACCGAGGTGCGCTGGATCTCGCTGGCGCTGGCAGGGGGAAGGCGGATGATGCTCTCAGACGAGGCGGTCTGGGTCTGAGCAGCGGTGGTAGTGGCCTTGCCGGTCTCCTCGGAGACGGTGAAGATGTTGGTGTAGGTGGTCGCGGGAGTGCCCATGGGACGGGTAGGGTTGAGGGGATCAATGACGACCTTGGTGGTGCTGACCTCGTCGTCGACGACGGAGGAGGCGGTCTGGGTGTCGCACTCCTTGCCGCAGGGGCCCTTGCGAGGACCGCCGGGGAAGCGAGAGACGGGGAAGCCGGTGGCAACAGCGTAGGGCTCGCGGTCGGGGTGGATGCTGAACCAGTCGGCCTTGGTGATGCCGCCGGTGTTGGCCTCGACCTGGGACCCGCCGTTGAGGGGGGCGCCGTTGGCCATGCTGGCGACGATGCCGGTGGTGGCAAGAGCGGTGTTGATCTTGGTCATCTGTGATGGAAGTTAGTCTCGAGAACGATGAAGGACAAGAGGTTGGACGGAAAAATCAGGACTTACCTTCATCTTGACGAGTTGTGAGATGAGTGAGGTTTGTGTGATGGGATGGAGTTGTTGAAGGGGATGAAAGTTGTCTTGGTGACTGATGATAGTGTGAGAAGGTAGAAAGTTGTGGTGTTTTTGCGAAGAGAAGTTGTGAGGTTTGTGGGAAGAGAGAAAGGTGGAAGGGTTTGCTCGAGAGAGGGTGGTGGGTGGTTGAGTGGGAGGGTGGGTAGGGCTGAGAAGTAGGGCTTGGCCTTTTTATTTTATTTTTGCCTGACGGCTTGAAAGGCAAGAGAAGGAAGGAGTGAGATGGGTAGGTCGAGGTCTTCAAGAGGGAGGGCGGCTTTCAAAGGCAGAGAGGCTGGACGGTTGGCCGGCGAAGACGAGCAAGGCTAGCCTCATCAGGAGCATCACCACCGCCTTCACTGACGTCACTCGGGCAGCCAATAAGAAAAAGGAACGGACATCAACAAAACGCAGGGGCCAATAGCGGGTCTAGGCCATAGGTGTTGGCCTTGGACCGAAGTTGAGATGCCTTATCTCTCGTGGAGTTGTTGATGGAATGGTGTGGAAACCCGTGGACTGAGGTGATAGCCTTGAATAGATAAAAAGGCGCTGATGAATTTTTGGAGTAACTTATTCTGGCGTATCTGATTCCCGTGGATGCGTATAAGAGTCACGATGTACGTTATGATGATGTTTTTCATCACGCCTTACTCCGGAACTGACACGAAGACGTCAGCAAGATATTCGAGTTATTTTGAAGTAACAGAACTAAAGCACGAAAATAGGTGGCCTGAAATTTCTTTCTCGTTCCTTCCGTCTTAGGCACAAGTGACATTGATCAAAATTGTCTGACGAGATTACCTGTGTTTGGGTTGATGCACACAAGTCGCGTGGAGAAACAATATGATAAAGGCGAAAGCAGGTATAAAATGCCAGCAGTATTCCGCTCATGTTCTCCAAGTAATGTCGAACAATGGGATGTCATAACAGGTCTACGGCACCAATGGCGGGCATTATCATTTTCATCGAACGGCTTCATCCCAACTTACTGGAATATCTAGACCTTGATTATTCCGGTTTCTTAAAGCGCGTGTTCAAGTTATTCTCGAGAGCGTAAGCTGGTAACGCAATGATGACTCTTTCTGCGTACCGGCGATGGAAAATCCGTACTGATGCGATCTCCATTGAGGCATCTCGCGAAGTCGCGAGGCGAGAATCCAACCTAAGTAGATGATAATGCACTTTCTGGTTTTAAGTCCCAGTCGATTGGCATTTCTCTCTCACCTGTGTACAATGCTAGATTCTGACTTGGTTAGCTCGGCTAGTTTGATCTGTCTTCATGTTCGAGTCGATATCAAGACCCTTTCTTCCATTTCGAATGTTAACAACATCAACGTCCTGATACAAACCCAGACATTACATCTAGCATGCAGAGGCTCAAAGAAGACACGGAGTAGCTTGATGAGACAGAACTAGCTCTTTAAGTATCGTCATCATCACCAAATGCGATATGCCGTGCAATACAATGCAGCCACCCTTATTATTCTGATCAATATCTCGCCATACCCAACGAGTACGCATTGTCATCATCACGATAGAGGTACAATTTAACGAGGTTATTGACGTCATCCCGTCATTCATATTCGCATGTACCGGCACAAATCCAGAATGAATGTGTTCTCCGGCGTTGTGGGACGTCTCACTTTCTCCAAACTTCAAGAACAACATCGTCTCCACATCTGTAATACCTCGCCAGAAGTTCGTGATCCTTCGGTTTTGACATGGCCCACCGTCAGAGCCTCCGAGTCATCCAACGTGATGGCCGCGCCCACCGGGTCGACTACGGTGCTCTTCTCGCAAGCCGCCAGAACGCTGCTGCCGGGTTTCCGTGAGGCCTGACTGACTGGGGTAGTAGGAATGGTAGGATCTACTATCCCCACGACGCGACGCAGCTCGTTTCTGAGAACGAGAGCCCTGGCCTGTCAAAGAGGATGAAGACGCATTGCCTGACCGCGAGGACCTACCACGGGGTGCTGATCATCCTTGAAACGACCAGTCATACTGCGATCTGATATGATTCTCGTGGTTACGTCCGTCTGCGTGAGTCTAGACGGTGTCCATGTCTCGAAACGTCTCGGTGACATTCCCAAGTTGAAGATGTCGGAAGAATTGGACCGAGGCGGTCCATCTCATGTGGCTAACAAGGAGTTCAAACTAAGACAATATTTTCAGCCCTGTAATATTTGGGATAAAGACGATGCTACATTGCTCACTGTTGACGTCAAGAACAAGCAGAGACACATGCTCAGGAAGCTGTGTGACAATGCGCCCGGTGGCCGCATCAGCTGTAGCGAATTTTCAGCCCAGGCAATTCATTACCACTTAAATATACGGACTCTACGCATTTAATTCCATGTATCTGTCGTATGAAGGAGTTGATATTATGTTTGGTATACTTGGGCCTGGCAAATCAATCACAATTTGGCCGTAATGGACGATTTGAACCCACAGGTCTGTGGAACAGCGACTTTCTTCGAACCATATCATCTCGCAGGACCTAAAATTTAACTATTCATCAGGTAATATTGTGGCTCATCTGATTTCATGCTTTTGAAGGTGTGATGGGCTTGGTTCAGTAAGGCAAACCTCACTCGATGAGGCTCGACCCAGCTGCTTAGCTGCAATCGAGGAGATGTTGTTCTTCAATTGACATCTTGGAAACATATCGCGCTTCAGATTTTAACACCACGTGGATAAGGAGCATGGAGTCACGAAAGAATAATAGGGAAAAAAAATCTCGTCAAGGTCTGTAAGCCCCAAAAACGGCCGTGACTGTGTCTGTAAAACTCAAAAGTCCTCAGTGGGTCCCGTTCCGTGTGTGGCTGATTCAAAAAGCCGCCAACCGCTTCCTCAATGCGCAAACTCATTTTTTCCCTTCCACAAACAACATCCGACCGTGAAGACACACGACACCGCCTAGCCCGGCAGCCGAATCGTTCCCGCCACCATGGCTCCCGTCAGTCTCTTCCGCCTTCCGCGCGAGGTACGCGACATCGTCTATCGATACTACGTCACCGTCAGCGGCGGCCTCGTCTGCGACACCGAAGCTTTCGTCAACGGCAAACTCCGAGGGAAACACGAACCGCTCAGCTTCTCTCTCGTGTACACCTGCAAACAGATCTCGGCCGAGATGGATCGCGGCGGCATCGCTCTGCGCTACAACGTGCTAACCTTTTCGACGATTTGGGACAGAGATCTGGGCCACCTGGCATGGGCCTTCGACGGGTTGGTCAACGGCGTGGATGAGCTACGATGCGAAATCTTCCACCTCGTCGGCCACAGCATTACAGACACGATATATGACGAAATGGCTGCTGAATATCCCCAGTTTCTGCCTCTATTGGACCGCATGAGGGAGGAAGGGCCGCGCTTCCCGGGAGAAGAGCCATTATCAACCGAGCGACACGGGCCATACGGGGAGGCTCCCTCCGTATATCGCGAATTCATCAAGGACCTCCTACGGAAAGCGGTCAAGCATGACGATGCGTTCAGACAGGCAGTCGTGAACTGCCGCCTTCTTGATCATCGAGTCAACAAGCATCGCTACGAAGTAGACCAAGGATGGAGCACTTTCGACGCCATACGCAGCTCAACCGAGCTTTGGGCCATTCCATCAGAGCGTCAAATGAGCGAACTCAACTTCATACTGGGATGGGCCTGGCAACGCCACTTTACGAAGGCTTCGGCTCGGGAGACGTCGAAGTTCCGTTTCTCGGCCGCTGCGGCCGCTGTTCATTTCCTCGAGAATACTCCACACGAGCTGCGCAAACACCTGCGCGAAATCGTTCTTGACGAAGACCGCGAGGCAGTGGCTCACCCGGAATGCCATGCTAGAGGCCTTATTCCGTTTTGTGAACAGTATCCCTTGCGAATCGAGCGCCGCGCCAATCTGTGGAGGAATGTTTTTCAGAAAGATTTCAACTACGACAGTCCCTCAGCTCGGGTTAACCCCATGTTTGACGTGACTATCACCCCGCTCTTCCTGAGTTCCGACCAGATCACCGCAAACGTGTCCAGCTGGATCGCAGAAGCCCTGGCGCTTTCTTCGGCTGGCATGCCTCCTGCAGCATTTTCCCTCGTCCTGGATGGAAACCCGGCGCCGGATCTTTGTTCTCGAATATTCCAAGCCGTTGTTCAGCGTGATGTGGGCTGGCAATTGGCTTGGCAGAAGAGCCTTGATCGCAGACTGTTGCCGTACATGACCTGGTATGAAAGGAGGGGAGAAGGGGTGCCCCGACATGGCTACGTCACGTTGACTGCTCTTTCACAGTTCCAAAATCGTGTTCTTCCAGCGGACTATGGGGGATATTGGGGATACTTCTTCGAGGGGTTTCCTGATGCCATGGAAGACATACGAAAGGGCGATTCCGTCGTGCGTTGCAATTTTGATATTGGCCAGCCTTTTGACGTAGACCAAATCGTCTCCGAGCATCGAACGTGGAGTTCTTTCAAATGGATCACGGAATGGTTTAATCACGAGCCATGGTTTTGGGAGACTGAAGCCCCGTTGCCAGAGTGGCGGGGTTTGGTGGAAGAAAATATGTTCGATGTTGCAGAGGAGGAGGGCATGCATAGACGTCGTCGGTATTGGCATTAGCTGTCTTTTATGCCATGAGCCGCCGATGTTTGGTTTCCAACATTCGCGTTCCATGAAGCCATCCAGTCATGTCGAGTAGAATGAAAAAAAAAAAAACCTATAGTTCAACGGGTTCAGCACGTTGCCGGACTAAGTGGTTAAAAGACCGTCTTGCATTCAGAACAAGAACCAAAGACCATAACTTTGATCCGATCTACTCCAGCAGACCTTTGAAAGCTTCCCGATGCCTAAGTTCCTCCAGCATATCAGTGAAGTCCTGAACCCCATGAACCTCACTCATCGTCTTGAAATACGGAATCTGCTCCTTCAGCCACGCAGCCTCATGCCCGGCCTCGGGAATCGCCATACCGCCCTCCCGAATCGCAACCATGGGCGTGAACACCACCATCAACAACCTCTTCGCCTCGTCCAACCCCGCGCCCGGAGCCCCGTCCCGCCGGATCCCCACCGCGTCGTCCCACGCGCCCTCGATGTCCGCCGCGAGCTTGTCCCAGTCCGCCTTGGTCCGGCCCGGCGACGAGCGGACCATGGCGACGATCCGGTTCGAGTTGTCCGAGTGGGGCTTCCCGGCCATGAAGTACGTGCCGTCGTCGGCGCTGCCCGCCTCGTGCTTGGCGAAGCTGACGTGCACGAAGAAGGCCGGGGTGTCGAAGGCGGCGCAGTGGAGGTTTGTGATCGCGGTCGCGACGGATTGCCGCTGCGCTGCTGAGAGGGGGTATGTGTGTTCTACTTTGTAGAAGGGCATTGTTGGTGAGGTTGAGATTGGTGAGATGGGGGGATGATGAACAGAACAATTCGCATAATAATAATGAAAAGGCAGCTTTAGGGAGTTTATAGACGTCGGTTGAGGGGCTTGTTGTTCCTAGGCTTGATCAGTAATCAATCAGTTCGGCGCCCTTGGCTGCGACATCTATCGCGACGTCACGGCTACGAGATGCATGTGGGGTAACTTCCATCCGCCAAGGTGAGATTGTGGTGAACTTCATGGTATTCAATGCCATCTAGATATCGTTACTGTTGACCGATACCTCTTTTCATTGACTGGAAAGCTACAGCTGAACTGGCATGGCTTCCATGTAAAAGCGTGTGATATTCGCCTGTTCCGTCAGTCATCCGTACGCTCCGATGGCGGGGCCGGGATCGGGGCTGGGGCCGGTGGGAGAGCCACCGTCATCTTGATACCCGTCGCCTCGCGGGTTGAACGGAGCATGGATGTGGACACCAGTCGGTCAACTGCACAGCGCCTGTCTTTCCGATCGAATTCGGCGCCGAGGTCAATCAAGCGCTAGATGACGGGCGCCGTGCTATTCTGACGAAGTAGGTCCTGGACTCCTGTCTGATGCCGCCGATGACAGCAATGTTTTTTTTTACGTTGAATGTCCATGACTCCTTCTTCAAAGACATTATACCACATCAAAAAGAATTCTCAAAATCTCAAGAAGCGGGTTGAACCTTGAATGAACTGAAATACTGATATTTTACAGTTTTTGGTACACGAACTGTTCCGTCTCGTCCAGTTTGTATATTTACAAAATAATTCACGCTATATCCAGGCGTAATATACACAATTGAAAAAAGAGGAAGCGTCTTCACTCCCCGCTACCGCCCGCAGGCATCAAGCCCCAACACATTATGGCCCGTTTACTGGCCGAAGGTGAACTCGGGGATCTCAATGGTGGTGACGGTCCAGGTCTTGCCGCCGTCGCTGGTGGACATGTCGCCGGTGACGCCCTGGCCCTTGCCCATGGTGTTCTTGTAGTTGGGGTCGGCCTTGTCGAGGATGATCTTGGTGTTGATCCAGGAGTGGGCGCCGACGGTGCCGCAGTCCTCGGCGGCGCACTCGACGGAGGAGCCCCAGCCCTGGGCGTGGCCGTCCGAGGTCGAGAGCGTGTGCACGGCCTTGCCGTTGAGGGAGACGGTCTGGGTGTAGTTGCCCGAGGCGTCGTCGAACTTGTCTGTTGTGCGTGATTAGTCTCATGTTTCATAGACCGACGACATTAAGGCTAGAGGCTTGGTGGGGTTAGACGTACAGTGCATGGTGATCTTGTCGCCCTCGGCGGCGGGGGAGCCCTCGGTCTGGACGGGCATCTGGGAGTTGTCGCCGGTCTTGGTGAGGGTGTAGGCGTAGATGGACCACTCGTTGGAGTTGTAGTTCTCGGCGATGGACTGGATCAGGTCGCCGTTGGAGGTGCCCATGCCGACCCAGAGGGAGGCGTCGCCCTTGTTGTTGGCGGGCGCCGCGGGGAGGACGAGGGTGGAGGTGGCCTCGCGGATCCAGGAGTCGGAGGCGACGGGGCCGGTGCTGAAGGCGGGGCCCATGGCGGCCTGGACGCCGGCGACGGCCGTGACGGCGAGGGCGGAGACGATCTGGCTGGTGGAAGGCATCTTGTTTGATTTGCTGGAGTTTGTTTGGTAGAGACTGGACGGATGGTTGTGGTGGGTAGGGGAGTGTTGGAAAAGAATGACTGCCGGCAGATGTTGTGAAGTGAATGATACTGAACGAGAGAGTCCTTGGACCGGAGTCGATGAGACAAGCTTTCTTATAACTCCTAGCCAAGGCACTTCTTCTTGGCATGACAGGGGAACCGAATCCGAACGACGTTGTAACGACCACATCCGTCCACATGGGAGCATCACCACACTTTCGAAGCCATACCCGCGGACTCGTATCCCACTTGTTTCAACCATAGAGCGTTATAGTGGGCACGTCGCGGCTGGTAGAACATGGTTCCTCGCCGTTTCGAACCTGCCGAAAGTGCTGTTGCATCTCGCTTGGGCGGCTTCGAATGGAGTTGGCGCTGGTTCTGGCGAGATCTTCGCCGACCTAGCCGGAAAATGACATCGGCTGTCGTTGCATTGGCGGATGGGATGCATTCCCACCAGTTCTCCAGTCTGTTTGATGGGACCTGTAAGCGCTGACTCAGGGATATTGCCTGGACGCGGCAAGAAAAGGAGCAACTCGAGGCTGTACCCGTAACTCTACGCTTGTTCTGCGATCAAGGTTGTCGGCAGTATGAAGCGTCTGTGGCTAACTCTCTTTCGTCGTCATTGCCATCTACACGGAGCAGTTGGTTGCCAAGGACATCTGCCGAACTGGCGGGAATGGTTTAGATGAAATCGGGCGCCGCCAAACGATACACCCCGGAAGCCGGCTGACAGGGATGACGAACTTTTGTTCCGAAGGTCGAAGGAGGTTTTATTTGCGGGTTGCTCCTGTCCAATTTATTTGCCGGCCCGGTTTAATCAATATGCTGCCGTCAACACGTAAATAGACGCCGCAAACAATTCCACCACCAATGCCCGTCCGCGCTTCTGAAGTGGTCACTTCCACTTCCCCTTCCCCCTTCCCCACACCGATCATCCGCTCCCTAAACTGGTTCAAGCGAAATTGTCCTGAACTGACAATGTCGAATGTCGCTTGAGATGAACCGCCGCGGAGACCGTGGGGTTTCGAATGACACGGCATGCGGCGAGGAAAATTTGCAATTGGTCGACGGCGGCCGTTGACCGCGCCTGACGTCGATCGAATACTTCCTCTTTCGTCCGCCAAGGTAGATCCCACCGGAGTCTGGGTCGGGTATCGGATGATGGGCTCCTTCGGTAGCGTAGTCGTATCGGTTCTCGAGCCTCGGTGGCGGTCACCGTCGTGGAGTGTCGTCACGGCCTCATCCGAACGGTGCATCCATGGACAGATTGGACGAAAGAGGTATAAAGAACAACCATAAGTGAAACTCATCTGTCTGCTCGTGGCAATTTCCTAGCATAGGCTTCGGTTGATGGCCCGACCTACTTCCATGTCGGTTTCCTCGTCAGAGATCCTTGCTCCAGACATGACAAGTCTAGTTTTTCCGCTTGAACAGCTCAAGAATCTCCTCCCTTTTCTCAGCCGCCGCAACATCGAGACAAGTCTGTCCGTTGACGTCCTCCGTGAACCGGTCAACTCCCTTCTCAAAAACGAAGAAATCGAACAAGCGCGCATCATTCCTCCGCCAGTCGTAGATGTTTTCAGGGCAAGGCTGTCCAGCCAGACTCCTCTTCGTAGCCAAGACGTGCAGAATCGTTTCTCCGCGACTATTGCGCGCCGAAAGATCGGCCCCGCCGAAGAACTTCTCGAAATGTTTGATGTGGCTCGGGCGGTGGTCATACAAGTCGGTCTCATAGCGGCAGGGAAGCTCACTGAACTGTCCCATCACGCCGTCATTCTGCGCCACGAAGTAAAACAATGGCGGGTTACCATAGGCGTCGGGCTGGTTGACGTCCATGCCCAAGTCGACGCATCGATCCCACAGTACCTTGCAGCTTTCGATGTGACCGCGGTTGTACATGGCAGGATGGGTGCTTCTGCTGCCTTCGCAATAGTATCTCTCGCCGCGAGCCGTCGCATTCAAGACGTCCTCATAAGGCTCGGAAGCGAAGATGCTGATGCACTTTGAGGCAATGCGATGCAGTGCAGTCATCTCGTCCGGGTCGGCCTCGGTTAAGCCGGTGGCCCCGAGCTCCAGCAGCCGATTGATGATGTTCGGTCGGAGGATGCGAAGAGCGTGTTGTAGAGTTGTAAATCCGCGCTTATCCTGGACGTTGACCATGGCATGGCTTTCCGGCAGCGCCAGGAATTTCATGATGTGCTGCTCATGCATGTCCGGGTTCGCCAGTAGCGTGTGAAGGGCGGTCTTGCCGTCCTCGTCAACAGCCGTAATGTCTGCCCCGTACTCAAGCATGCGTAAGAAGAGACCGGTTCGCTGCTCGTCCAGATCGTCCTCAACGCAGCCGAAAGCTCCCTCTCGTGCCTCATCTTCTAATGCGTCTCTATAGTCGTCGAGCGCACCTTTCTTGTGGCATTTGTGATGGCTCTTACTTCGGATGCCGGCATTACAGGCAGCAAGGAACACCGTTCTTCCGCTTGCATCGCGTTTGTTGAAGTCCACGTTGCCCTTTCCCTCAAACACGGTATAGTCGAAGAAGATTTCGCTAAATCGCTGACTGTGGCGCACAATCTCAAATTGCCGATGGAGAAACGGAACGCTTTCTATCTTCGAAGAGGACGGTTCGACGGACACATCGTTAACCGCGTAGAGGTCCACACCGCGGTCGATGAGTAAACGAATAATCTCCTCTCGCCATTCATCTTCGCGCGGGTGGTCCCGAAGGAACAGAGTGTCATAGGACATGGCAGCATACATTGGTGTCACAACCATGGATTCGTCGTCCGACATGACATCCGGCTCGTATATCACGTTTTCGACGTATCCCAACGCACCCGGCTCCGAGACGTTGATATTCGCGCCGGCGTCCAGAGCCAGTTCGACATCTTCTTTTCTGAGCCTGGCGATGGCCATGAAGAGCTCGAGGTCAATGTGGTCCCCGACGTCCACTCCGCAAGCAACGAAGACGGCCAGGAGCTTTCCGGACACCATCTGGAAGCATTTGCGGCGGCCTGTGTAGTCGGAATTCTCGTTTGATGTTTGTATGTGGGGATCGACGCCCAGGCGGAGAAAAAGCTCGATAAACTTGTCAGTGAAAGGTCCTGGATTCTTGACGACGACGTGCAAGGGAGTGTCGCCGTTTTGGTTGCGGGAGTTGAAATCGAGCTTTCCGCCAGCTCGATCGCGGATGGATGCGAGATAGGCAATTGCCTCGAGATGCCAATACTGCTGGTCCTTGGCCATGGCGTGGAGGATCGTTTGAATGGATGCCTGAATGGTGGTCTTGCGTTCATGAAACCGCGTTTTGATATCGGCACGCTTGTACAACCGCGTAGGCAGGTTGGCACGCACGTTGCACCTCTCCACCAGCGTCCTGACCATTTCCATGTTGGGCGATCTGCTCAGGCAACTGATGTGAAGGATCGAGTCGTATCTGAAAGGAATGATAGTGTAGAGATCTTCGAGCGTCCGTATCTCTTGCAAAGGGAAGTCTCTGACTACCTCGTCCAGACGACAGCAGTAGCTCATGTAGCCAGAACCAGGTTCGCAACTTACATGCGTTCTTCCCTGTACAGTTGACTCCTGGAGAGCTTTCATCGTCCATGGGTCTACTAGAGTAGATGCATCTTCTCCGTGGCGTGTCAAGTCTCTCATTAATGCCACTGCTTCCGTAACACCATTGGCGACAAGCCGTTCCATGAAACTCATGCCTTGTCGACATTGCAGCGAACTGGTCTTCTCGTCCTTTATCACTTCCATGCAGCTGACAAGATTGGCTTCCAGTTTCACCATGCGCTCGATGTCTTCCAGCTTGAGGTGCGAGACGACACTCCATGGATCGCGCAGTACAGCATCCGTGATCTCGAACGTCTTCTGAACACCACTGGCAGTGCTGTTCTCACCATCGCCGCAGGTTTCTGGACCCAATCTGCGCAAAGCTGCCACAACGCTGCTGCATTCCACGGCCTGGGCTCGTTCAAGCACCGTCTGGTTTTGTGGCCCGCCCTTGATCTTCGGATCTGCGCCGCTGCGAAGCATCGCACCTACCACGCCTGCGACAGCCATGTCCTGGTTGACCATGACACGAGCATTCATCGTGTTGAAGCAATGGGGATCCTCCCGATCTTCGTAACAGGATCTCGGATATCGATCTTTTTCTTCGGGCCTCGCCGGCACATATGGTCGGTAACGGTCGATTCCGCGCTCCGGAAACCTTTTCTGCTCTTCTCGGCTTTGCACCCAGCGTGCTTCCTCTTGGTCGATTTCGGCGCAGGCGTGAAATGGTGACCACCCTTCGTTATCCGTCGCATTGAGCCTCGCGCCGGCCCGCAGGAGAATGCCAACTGATTCCGCGACCCCAGACACGCAGGCGGTGAACAGTGGGGTTCGTCCGTTGCCATCTACTTCATCCAGGAGCGCATGATCTTGATCGACAAGATAGCCGACTGAAGCCGTGTTCCGTGATACACAAGCCAGATGCAATGCGTCCCGCCCGTGAACATCTCTGGCCCTGAGATCCGCTCCATGTGCAAGAAGCACTTTTAGAAATCCCGGGCTTGTTCCCCTGCCTGGGTCTGATCCTCTTGTGCTCATACAAGCGTAGTGAAGAGGCGTGAGACCATCTCCATCGCGCTCGTTAATACCACTGCCTTCATCTGCTTTTCCGAGGAGGCTAATGATGTTATCAGCACGTTTGTAGACGTTCTCAGTCTTACTGACACAGCTCCAGGGCTTATTGTCGTCAAAAAGAAGGTGCAGCGGTGTCTGTCCAGCGGAATTTCGGAACAGGGGAGAAATGCCCCAATTTAGCAATTGCTCAAAGAAAGGACTAGCCCCATCGCGTGCGTATTTATCATCGGCAGTGTATGAGCCCCCGATTGTCACGGCCAGATGCAACAGAGTATTGCCCTCGGCGTCGCGATCCAGGGGGCTCATGCCATATCGCTCAGCGAGAGAGCACAAGTAGTTGACGAAGTGATTTGAAATGTATCGCGTTGGGTTATTATTGGCGACGACTCTGTGCAAGAGACTCCTCCCGTATTCATCCTTTGCCTTCGTGTCGGCTCCGGCAGCTGCGAATGACGCGGTGAGATAGGCGGGGTATGTAGAGGTCTCAAGGAATGGAGTTGCTCCATCTCCTTGCCGGCGGGTCTCGATGTTGGCCCCGGCATTGACGAGGGCCTTGATGAAGGGCAGGACACATCGCTGATTATCCTCTTCATCGTATTTCGCTACGAAGCCAGAGCCAAACTCCTGGTGGATAGTGAACAAGCACTCATCGAAGTTCGTGGTGGGATTGGCAGTTGCAAGAAGCATTTCAAGCAGGGTGTGCTCCCCAGGCCTAAAGCGCTTCAAAGCATTGTTGATAACGTCCGCAGGGTACCCGCCATCCTCTATCGTTGCGCCTCGCGAGATGAGAAACTTGGCCACCTCCTCAGCAGTGCTCGGATCCGGAGGAGTTTGGCTGTATGGCCGCGAGGGTCGTTTCATCCAGCAGCAAGCGAGAGCAGGCGTTGGCTTGCCTTCTCCAGCCTCGGCTCTCAGCTTTACGGCGTGTACATCGGCGCCGTAGTCGAGCAGGAGTTCGCATACCTGTAGGTCGAATTTGTTCATGACCGCGCGGATCAAGACGCTCTCGCCGTCTTTTCCCAGTACTGAAGCATCCGCACCAGCCTCGAGAAACCGTTTAAGAGGCCTCCTAACATTCAGGCCACGCTTATCGAAGAATAGGAAGATTGGAGTGTCGCCGTAATTATCTCGGGCTTCTAGCTCCGCCCCATGTTCCAGCAACAGCTCGAAAATCTCAGCAGAAATCTCATGGTTTTCCTCGCACCAGCCGCGCACAAGTGCATGCATCGTGGATTCCGTCCGCCCGTCGCTTTTGGGATCATCTTCGGCATGCAGTTTGCTCTGAACCAGCGCTCTCGAACCTTCAGGGTATGATTCGAATAATAAGCGTAGACACTCAAGATGTTCGGCGGTCTTGTCTTCGTTCGCGCAAATGAGTCTGAGAGCCTGCTTGTAGACCACTAGTTCGGCGCTGAGCCAGCGTTCCGGGTCGACGAAGACTTTCAACAAGTCGAGGCGCCCAGCGTGCGCACATCCTAGAAATAGACCATGTCTCATTACCGTGTCAACGTACGGTAAGATCAGCCCCAGGGTTTGGGTCGAGAAATTGCCATTATTGCCGTAGTTGTTGCGGCGCAGATCATAAATCGTTACTTTCCGCGGTATATAGCTATCGCTACTGACGACATTGAGATGACTTTTTGCCTTGAGATTGGTTTCCAAGTCGACACCAAGATCGATCAGGGCGGTTAGGGTGTCATACGAGTCGGATCTGATTGCTGCCCATACCAACGACGACAAGCCTGATTCCGAAGACCACCGCATACCGTCCAAGGCTGGCCACACGGCCTTCAGCAGATCGACGTTGTTCTTTTTGCACACGCCTTGGATGAGATACTCGAAACGCGATGCTTGCACATTCGCCTTTTTCGACCAAGGATGTTTACTCTCGTCTGTCTTTGTGAGCTCGGGAGTCCATTCTGGAAGGCACTTATGCGCAAGGTGGTGCAGCTCGATTTTCACAGCCAAATGAACAGGTGATTCGTGCTCGCCTATGCACTTCTCTCCTGTCAGGTGTTTGGGCCACCTTTTGCTGTATCTGCCTTCGCAGATGGTGGCGTCGAAATGGAGTTTCCATAACCGTTCCAACGCTTCCAGAAAGTCAGCATCGTCGACGTGCTTGTCGTATGTGACGTGATGGAACCAGTTGTCCCTTGAGTAATTGAAGAATGGGTATTTCGCCGCCGCTTGGTGTTCTTTCTCTTCTAATACCTGTATGTTGAGCTTCATGCAGGTCTTTGCAAGATCTCGGTGGACTTCCTTGTGGTCGAAGGGAGGGAAGACGCCGGGGTCCACCGCCCTTCGTGTCTTGTCGAAGAGAAACTCAGATAGAGAGTGGTGTATGACTTGGACCGTCTCGTCTTCGAGAATCTCGAGAAGCGGATGGCATGCTTGCCGAGCAATCGCTTTCGCTGTGGCCTCGGGGACGATGTTGAACCTGAAGACCAAGAGGCCTGCTAGCTCGCGGAGGCGCACCGGTCTGGGGCTGTGGGTAACGCAGGCCAGTAGGGCCGCCTGAACCTCTTGGGGGATTCCCAGTTCATGGACACGCTTGGCGAGTATTTCGTTGTACATGTGCTCCAGATGAATCGGCATGGCGTCGATGTCAACCTTGGCACCTGCTTCGAGACCTGGTAAGATCTGATCGAGAAGAAGGCGGGCATACAGGAACAGCCCCTTTGACCTCTTGGAGATCGCCTTTGCCAAAGTAACATGTGTTTCGGGCGCTCCCGGAGTTATTTGCTTCAGTCGGTGCCGAACAAAGACCTCAATCTCTTGGCCGACCTTGTCCTCCTCGAGGCTGATGTGGACAATGGAAGTCGCCGTCAAGTGCATCTGCAGGTCCTGCCGTGGGCGACTGGTCATGAGGATCTTGACAGCGTCGGGCCGGAAAGCAGCGAGCTTGTTGAGTCGCGGGAAGAAGGTAGCTACGTCTTTCGTATCCATCTCATCCAGGGCATCAATGATGCAATAAGCCTTGGCGAGCGTTGCAAGTCCCCCAAGCAGGTGCTCCCATAATTCTTCCTCGCTGACGTTTTGAAGCTTCTTCTCCTTGCTGAGCGCCTGGAGTGAGCCTTGCAGTCGGAGGCTGTATGGGAGTAACTGAGCGAGCCAGTCTCTCACCAGGCATCCGGAGAATCTGTTCGCTTGGATGATGTGGCGGAAGAAGAAGAAAAGAACCGGGGTGCCGTTGCCCTTGCCGTTGCTGTCCTCGTCGAGGGGGTCGTTGTCATCAGGATGTAGGAAGTCCTGAACAGCCGACGCAGCGAGAACCGACTTTCCAGCGCCGGGAACGCCTTTGATCCAAAGACTGCCATGATCCGGAGACGTAAGCCATTGCTTGTATCGCGGGGTCTCTGCGAGCCACAGACCGGTCTTCGGCGCGCGAGAGAGCAGGTGGCGGTTCAATTCGGATGACTCTGCGGAGTAGTCGGTCGGCTCGAGCCAGGACTGAAGCCTGAGAAGGTCATCAGGGAGGAGGCGGGTGTCTTCATGTTGGATGACCTCGAAGTCAGACTCGGGGTTTACCCCGCGGAGAACACCGCTCATATTGGGCAGGCGAGTTTTGTTTCACGGCCGAACTCTCTAGCAAGTACGATAACTTGCATCTGGCGACCGATGTCAAAGGATGGGTGCCGCTTCGTCAAGGCTCCGCGAACGCGTTAGACAAGAATATAAAAGGCGGTAGGCAGAGAAAGCCGGCAAGGGTGTGGTCGGCAGATGCTTGCATGGCTGTTGGTCGTTGGTGGAGTGAGTCCCCGCCGGGCGAGTGCTGCCTGCGATGCCAAGATGACTACCAACGTTAGCACCGATTCCGAGAGCGTGTACAAAATATTCCCAAACCTGCTTGTCGGAAGTACCGTGCATGTTCGTGGTGCAGTGCGACAGTCATCGGTGATGTCGATGTCGATGGAAAAATTGATGGCAATGGTTGAGCCTGGCTGAAGACGGAAGGAAGGACCACGCCAGCTGGCAAGACGGCACTGGCACCCTGTGACGGCCCGTCCATTCCCGGAAGGAGAACTGCAATTCCTCCTCGAGCAGATAATTCCCGTCCTATTATTCCTTGAACAGTACTGAGATATAATTGACCTACGCCAGTAGAGAGGATTTACTTTTTCGGTTAACATATTTATTTGGTTTGTAGAAAAGAAGCGCGCAAGACGTAGTAGGAATATCCTTCTTTAGTTTAGCTCGGGGGAGAAAGCCACGCGACTGCTGTCGTAGATATCAAATAATGAAGTCGAGGACCGGATGACTAGTGAGAAAATAGAGATAATTGTATACAAGTGAAAAAGAATTCAACTTGATCTTGGAGCTTTTTTTCGTAAAAGAAAAAATAACGCGAGAGAAGGTAGGCTGGACGCTGCTATCAGACTGGTAGCATTCTACATGCAAGCAGGAGCGATATCTCCTCTTCCACGGCAGAATACTTTTCACGGAAAACATCGCATAAAATAATAAAAGCGAATCACAAGTTGTACTCACATAGCAAATTCCATCTCCGAGCGAAAAGTCTTCTGGCGCGGTTCCCCCAAGTCGACAAATTCCCAAAGACGGAATAGACCAGAAATCGCATCGATGACGTAGCCAACCTCAAACCACCACACACCCACAAACCCTCTCTCTCCCTTACCTCACCTCACCCTCACAACCACACCACACCTCTCACAACCCCTCGCAAATGCACCTACGCATCCAACTCACCCTCCTCCTCCTCAAACCCAAAACCAACCTCTTATCCTTCTCCAGCCTCGCCGCCCAATCCCGCAAGATGAGCTGGATGGACTCGTGGTCGCGCCCCTCCAAGTCCCAAGCGACCCCGGCACCGTTCTACCTCCTCCCCAACGGCGACGCGACGCCCTACTGCCGCTCCTGCGGACGCGTCATCTCGAGCCGCAAGTCCAACTCCTCTGCAAAGTCCGCCGACCAGCAGCAGCCGAAGTACTGCTCCGCCCGCTGCAGAACGCATAAACCGGGCCGTCTGGACCGCGAGATCGAGAACGCCTTCGTCCGCTTCCTGCAGGGCGAGGAGGAGGTCGAGGGAGGCGCCGGCAAGAAAGTCAAGGGCGACGCGAGGATTCTGGTTCCCTGCGACCTCGTCGAGAGTAAAGTATTCGGAGAGAGGAAGGATCCGGAGAAGGTCTTCGGCAGGCGGAAGAACCGCGCTTCGAGAGTCATCCCGGAGAAGGACTCCTCCTCTTCCGACGGCGAAGGGGTGGCCCGTACTCAGCATCACTACGAAGACCAGGACCCCGGCGAGGATATCATCGACGAGATGCTCGGCCGGACAAAATCCACGGAGCTCGACCCGAGCGTGGCGGCCGCGCTGTCCGTCCGCGGCGGCACGCGCGTGCGGCCCCCGCAGGCGCGGTCGCAGGTCAACGGCAGCGTGGGCGGGGAGAAGGGCAAGGCGGAGCGGGTGGAGGAGACGGAGGAGATGCGGGGGAAGAGGGAGGAGGGGCAGAGGAGGGCGCACGAGCGGGAGATGGTGCGGTGCGCGGCGCGGCGCGGGGTTGTGTTCGGGTTCGCGGTCGGTGAGGAGAGGAGGAAGTGCGAGGCCGTGATGCAGGGTAAGGTCGTCGAGCCGAGCTTTGCGAAGGGGGATTGGGGTGTTAGATGGCGGGAGGAGTAATTCACGGCATAGACGAGGTAGGCAGTACGGTAAGATGAAATCTAGGCTGTATTTTTATGTTTTCCAATCTTGAACGAATCTCGCTTGTTTCTCTCATCCTCTACGCTTCTTCTTCTTCTTCTTCTCTATTCGCTACAAAAAGCTGGTGGCCAGCGTGATGGCCGTGGTGTAGACCATGCCGACCAACCCGAGCGTCATCAGCGCGACGTCGTACATCTTCTCCTTCCGCGTCTCGGCGACGCCCTTCATGTGCAGGTACGGCGGGTAAATGTAGACGAGCGGCACGCAGGCGAAGGAACCGATGAGCGCGACGAAGCGGTCGAGGTTGGCGGAGCCGGCGATGGAGACGCCGATGCAGACGGCGACCAGGGAAGTGCGGAAGGCGTTCTTCTTCCACTTGGTGACGAGGTCCTTCTTGCCGGAGCGGTGACCGAAGACCTTGCCCTCGATGATGCGCATGGCCGGGAACAGCTGGACGGGGTTGCCGACCAGCACGGCGAGGGCGTACATGAACTGGACGGCGTTGACGAGGCGGCTGTCCTGGGGGTAGTTGTTGATGACCTCGATCTGGGTGCGGTCGCCGAAGGTGGCGTAGCAGAGGGCGCCGACGGAGGTGAAGACGCAGGTGATGAGGAGCATGACGCCGGCGAGGAGCTTCTCGAAGTGCTCGGGCTTCTTCATGCTGGCCTGGATGGGGATGATGAGGCCGATGCCCTCAAAGGTGAAGATGGAGGCGCCGATGGTGAGGGTGTACGAGGCCGGGTTGAAGAGGCGGACGGAGGGGTCCATGCCGCGGGTGGCGAGGGCCGAGATGTCGTACCACCAGATGTAGCCCACACCCAAAACGATGAAGACGTCGGCGAGCAGGGCGGCGGGGCCGAGCTTGGAGATGTTGCGGATGAAGGCGAGGGGCACGAAGATGACGGCCTGGAGGGCGATGAGGGCGGTGGAGTCGAGGGGGTTGGCGCCGTTGGTGACGGCCTGGAGGAAGGAGAACCAGTTGTCGGCGACGAAGACGAGACCGGTGCAGACGAAGCCGAGCTGGGAGAGGGTGATGGAGGCGAGGATGAGGGAGCGCATGCGCGGGCCGGAGATCTCCTTGCCGAGGTCGCCGTAGCCGCCGCCGTAGCGGGTGCGGCACTGCAGGAGCAGGTGGAAGGCGGCCATGGAGATGGCGGCGACGACGAGCATGGTCAGCGAGGAGAAGAGGATGCCGCCGTTCTTGAAGGCCTTGGGCAGGAACATGATGCCGGTGCCGATGAAGGCCTTGAGGGTGGTGAAGAAGGTCTTTGTGGTGCTGGCGTCGCCGACCTTACGGGCGAAGCGCGAGGAGCGTCTCCGTCCGAGGAGGGGTCTCGACTCGGCCGGGGCCTGGCGTCCTTGTTCCTCGTCCTCGTCGTCGGTGACGATGGCCTCATCATCGGAGTCCGCGAGGTCCTCACCCGCGAAGCTACCGTAGAAGTCGAGGAACTCGACGAAATTGCGGGTGATGGGGAGGTTGGCGGCGGTGAAGTTGTGCTTCTGCATGACGAACTGGCGGCGGAAGCCCTGGGGCATCAGCATGTCGGCGGCGGCGATGTCGGACTCGTGGCCGGACTCGGTGCGGCGGGGGTGGGAGAAGGTCTGGGCGCGCCTGAGACCCTGCTCCCTCGCGGAGATCTTGTAGAGGTCGCGGTGGATGTCGCCGCCGGGGAGGAGGAGGGAGGAGACCTCTTGCGGCTCTTCGGAGTCGTTGGCGTGGAGGCTCGGGACGGGCGGGTTGGAGTTCTGGCGGGTGAGGTCGAGGTTGGAGTTGGAGAGGGTTCGGGTGCCGTCGAAGGAGGTGCCGTAGCCGGCGGGGAGGTGTTCGGCGATGACGGCCGTCCGCAGACGCTCGTCCGAGGAGGATGGTGATGTGTCGGACATGATGGCGGCGGTGGAGGAGGTGGTGATGGCGATAACTGGCGATACCAATGCTGTGGTGTTTATGGTATTTTTAAAACGTCAATGTTTACTTTGGTCGACGACGATCGAATCGGGCAGAAGCGAAACGACGAAAGAGAACCCCCGGACTAACTTCAGAGTCTCAATTGGAGGGCATTGAGCGACGTATAAAGATGCCTCGGTGAAGGGGGACAGACTGCGAGGTTAATCAGGATAGCCTCGAGTGTTGCAGGTCATGGGATCGTGGGAAATCGTGGGGGGAGAAGGGAAGAACCCGAGAAGCTTCAACGTTGTTTTTCCTTTTTTCTTATTTTTTTTCCTTTGGAAGGAGACGCTGCGGCATGACTTCACGAAGCCCGAGCCGCTTTCGGGCCCCAGTTGTTTATGCATGGGAAAACAAGATAAAACGGTACTTTCGACGTGGTGTTGAACAGGGAAAACACCAAGTATCTTTCTATCGCGGGGGTGGGGAAGGGACATTTACACGAGGAAGCCGACATGCACTAGCCGCCGCCAAAGTAGCCAACACGCAAAACAACGCAGCAAAAGAACCAGCAAGTGAGAAGGCCGCCGGAAAGCCGCATGTGCTTCTAGGCCGAATCGCGTTACGGCTCTACGTCAGGACGCAGTCTTGGACGGCCAAGTTTCGGATCGACAGTGGAGGCATCAACAAGGGCTGGCTGTTTAGCTGAGGTAATAGCGGTGAGGCTTAAGCCGAGGAGGCAGGGGTGAGGCGGCTAGGAATACCATAGTAAGTGAGATGATGAGAGTGAGAGAGAGTCTGAGGGTACAGAGTCCGAGCTAATGATGCTAAGACACCGGGAAGGCCAAGGCAAGACAAGACAAGACACCATCCCGTGACCAAGTCATGTCGTACATGTTGGGGTTTGTCTGAGACTTTGGTCTTGGACGAAGCACAATGTCAATTTGGATGTCCATGCGATGACTTCTTTCTTCAAATGAGGACATCTCACTCACTCATCCACTCACTCATCTAGTCACTCACTCATCTTCGAATACTCACTCACTCATCGCTCATTCTCACAAGGTTTTCTCTTCGAACCGGGCTCCCGGCGGGGAATGACACCACCCAGACCCTGGAAACTCAACAATGCAGAAGCGAGATTCAGACATCAATTCACCGTGGTAAACACGCATCACGTGATTGGTCGGGCCTCACCGACCGAATGGCCAGAACGCAATCGAGCACGTGGGGGCCGACGGGAATAGCTTCACTCCAATCCGGCTTTAACCTCACTCACGCTCCTCCAGAGTCCAGACACACTTGATACGAGAAAACTCATCACGAAGCACGCAATCTAGCCTCTGTCCTTCTCCGCCCGCTCCCTCGTCACCGACATCCGTTCTTCAGCGCCCGATGAGTGTCTTGTCTCACCTCGCCGTCTGAGACTGGCCGTGATCTTTTGCCGAGACACGCGCTTGCTTTTTCCCTCTGGAATGCGTCGTGTCTCGCGGGACACCGATCGGGTCTCACACGGCTCTCGGCCTGGCCTTTTTAAATTCGTCGTCTGCTCTTCTTCCACCGACCGGATGCATCACCCGAGATAAATCATGCAGCATTCCACAACATAAATACGGCTGAGAACAGCGCTGATGGAAGCCTGGATTTCCTTCTTTTCTCTTTCTATGCTTCAAGTGAAGTTTATACACAAAATCACCGGAAACACCAGTCCTTTGTCCCGCGTCATCATCTCCAGCCCTCGTCATCGCTCAACAGAATCACATCATCCATCACTGGCACTGGAAGTACCCTTCACAAATCGTCAGCTCAGTCGCATGGGGTTGACACTGCTGGAAAACTCACAATCATTGACCTTGTTGCACGTGTACGGACTCGCGCACTGCGACAGACGTCAGCTGAATCGCCCAACATCCGGAGCCTGGCCCTTTCACTCACCAAAGTCGGTCCCGTCCAGTTGATCCCGCCGCATTGCCCCCACTGAGGCGCCGTGCCGGATCCTCCGGCCGCCGTGGTCGTCGCCGCCGCTCTCGTCGAGGTCGTGCTGGTGCGCAGCGTCGTCGAGGGTGTTCCGGGGTTGGCTGTCGTCGTCACCGGGTTCTATTCAATCCAGTCAGACTCACCCTTCATGTCTCCTCAGAGTAGCAGCAGCTTACCACGAAACCAAACCACTTGAGATCCTCCTCCGGGAAGACGTCAATCGAGTGAGTTACGCCCTGCCCCAGGAAAGTCTGTCCCGCGTCAACACCACCCCTCAAGCCTACCCTCACGAGAGACTCACTTGAAGCTTGTCCCCAAAGATGTACCTCGTGTACGGGCTCCTCGGGTAGTTGGGCGTCGTCGACTTCGGCTCCGTCGAGTACCCAAACACCCCCGTCCACTGCTTGATCGTCTCGTAGTAGTTCTGCACGTTGAGCGCCTCGTCCGCCGACCCGTGGTAGATCTGCATCTTCGGCCTCGGCCCCGTGTACCCCGGGTACATGTTGTAGACCACATTAGCCCACTGCTGCTGCGTCCAGATGGACTGGCCCGTCGAGCACGTCGAGTTCCACTCGTCCGGGACGTCGTTGGCGCTCATGAAGCACCCGGCCGGCACCCCCGCGTACGCGATCCCCGCGGCGAAGATGTCCGGGTACGTCGCGGCGAGCACGTTCTGTCTCTCCCATCAGCCCCTACTATTCTCATCACATCAGCGCAGCCTTCCTCACCGTCATCATGGCCCCCGACGAAATGCCCGTCGCGTACACCTTGGACGCGTCCGCCCCGTACTGCGCGATCACGAACTTGACCATGTTGGCGATGGAGTTGCTCGCGCCGCCGCCGTTGTGCGTCAGCGTCATCTTGGACGCCACGTCCCAGCAGTTGTCGCGCGTGTACGGCGTCTGCGGGTAGATCACGACGTAGCCGTACGTCTCGGCGTACCGCGCCCACTGGCTGCCCTGGTAGTACGCCTGCGCGCTGCCGCTGCACCAGTGAATCCCGACGACGACGGCCGGCTTGGCGGCGAGGTTGTTCGGCACGTAGAGCCACATGCGCGTGCCGGTCGGGTTGGAGCCGTAGTCCGTCACCTCGGTGAAGGTCGCGCGGGGGACGACCTCGGCGCCGAGGACGGCGAGGACCGAGAGGGCCCAGATGCTGAGGAGGGTTAGCAGCTTCATCGTTCTGGCTGGCGCGTTGGTGATGATGAGGACGTACGGTGGAAGACATGAGAGGGTCTGGGGTCATTTATCTCTTGACGTGATATGTTGCGGCTTCAGCAGGAGCATGCGAGGCGGATCATCAGCCTCCGTTCGAGTGCCCAGTGACATCGTGCATATCGGAGGCCCCTCCCGTTGAATCTTCGGATGCCGACTCTATGTTATCGTCTATCCCACTTCGAGTATACTCTTCGAGATTCATCATCGTGGCGCCCTCCACTACCCACGTGGCGTCCGCGTCGAGATGACTCCGGCACCCGGAACACGGCCCTGGCTTCCCGTGACAAAATACGATAAATCAAACCGAAAGCGAGATTTCACGGCCATCGGGCTCTTCCCAGGCACCACGGCCGATCGTCCTGCAGCTAAGGACCCGGGAGGGACAAGCTTCTCCGCAGATGGCCTGGAGAGCCGAAGACCCCGCCGGAGCCCGCATGACGCGGAATCATCTTCCGCCAATCGCTTGACCGGAGATTGCCGTTCTTGGATCGATGCAGAGAGCTGGTTCCGAGATCTTTTTCGTCAGTTGATTGATGTCGCATGAGTGCAACCTGTGATGAAGCTTATCAATGATGAGGAGAAGTTGTCTGGTTCCGGATAGCTATTCGGTACTAGCTGTCGACGATAGTATTGATGAGCCGCGAGATGTTCTTCATCTTTTTGGATTGGCATTTCTCTCTGCTTTCATCGCAAAGGCTACGACTTCTAGGACATAGACAAACCACATCATGCACCCATGGATCAGCAGCACGAAACACGGCTCCAGCCATCCATTCTACCGCCAGAAAACTGCCTCGAGAACGAAATGATGACAGCTCTGCCACCTCATATCATGAGTCAAGCCTTCATCCTTTCAGTCAACACCTCTCCTCCGCCGAATGAGAATCTTCGCCCTCGGATTCACCAAAGTCGAGAACCCGAACCTCATCGGATCAACAGCCGACATGTCGTCGTTCGGCAGCTTGAACTCATACTTGAGCAAGAAATGCGCCATCACCAACTTCGTCGTGCTCGCGCCGAAGAACCGTCCCGGACACGCGTGAGCCCCGAGGCCGAAGCCCAGGTGCTCGGGCGACACGCTGGCCAGCTGGGCGTTGTGCTCGTTGTTGCCGCCCTCCCGCATGCGCAGGAAACGGTAGCCGTCGAAGCTGTCCGGGTTGGGATAGATCTCCTGCGAAGTCCTGGGTCAGCATATGCTCGAGTCGATAGGAGATGGTGTGCATTCTTACCGGATCCCACATTTTGGCCGATGAGACGGCCACGCCCGTTGTCCTGGGAAGCACGCTGCCGTCGCTCAACTTGACGTTATCTTCCATCACGCGGCGGCCGAGGGCAACTACTTAAGTCAGCAACCACATTTACCTCATCCATCCATGGAACGAAACCCACCCGTCGCGATCGGCTTCAGCCTCAGCGTCTCCTTGAGCACGCTATCCATAAGCCTCAAGTTATACAGCGCAGAGCTCTTCCACCCCTCCCCGGCAATCCTCACAACCTCCTCCCTCAACGGCCCGATCAGCTCCGGATTCCGACACAAATCCAAAATATTCTGCGAGACCAGATCCGTGCTCGACGCGTTGGCCAGGATACTCAGCCCCAGCTGCTGAAACGCCGCGTTCTGCGCCGTCCTGTCCTGCTGCTTCCGCGCCAGCTTCTCGATCCACGCCAGCGCGTTGCTGAACACGACGCCCCGCGCCTCCTGCTCGTGCCGCCGCGCCTGGATCGGCTCGATGGCCATCCGCGCGGCCCGCAGCATCTGCCGCAGCTCGCGGCAGCAGGGCAGGAACCAGTGCACCAGGCGCCGGATCGGGGAGGGGTAGGAGCGCAGGACTTTGGCGGCGGCCATGGCTTTGCTGGGGTAGGTTATGGTGATGTCGAGCCAGCGCGGGTCGCGGCAGAGTTCGGGGCCGAGGAAGACGAGGGCGGAGACGCGGGCGACTATGCGTGGGATGGTTGTTGCGAGGGTGATTTCGTGCCATTCTGGGGAGGTGAGTTATGGGTGGAAGTGTGTTGGTTACGGGGACTTACCTTCGTTGTCTGTGAATTCGTCTTGAAGGGCGTCGGATGCTTCTTGAGAAAGTTGTCCGGATAGTTTGGCTGGTTTGAATGACGTGAGCTGGATGAGTTTTGGTAAATCATTTGATTGAACTCACAGATGTCGCTTTGAGTGAGGTGAGTCCTGATCATCTCACGGATGAGCTCACTTCCGGAGCTAAAGTACGGCTCAAAACCCGGGGTTCCAGCTTGCCAGTACTGCTATCCATCAGCAGTGAGACTGAAATTGAGGTGACGGGTTTCAACTCACAGCCAACAGGAACTCCGTAGAGCTCAGCCTGTTATCATTCTTCACCTCCTGAGCAAACTCGGGAGCCAAGACCGTCATGGTGCCCTGACCGGTATACACCCGGAAGGGCTTGCCGCCATACTCTTTCGCCCCTCTCGCGATGAGTCCCTTTCCATCCTTGAGATATTCCTCCTTCGTCTTGTTGATAATGGGGTAGATCTCTGCTGACTGGAATTTGCTGCGGAGAGGGGACACCGCTAACACGGATGCCACGACTATCAAGGCCAGCCAGTACAAAGCCGAGTTGGACGTTGGTAGTGGCGAGGGAAACTTCAAGGAGGCCAGTTCGGCCCAGCTTGGTGTTGACCACGACGCGTTTACGTCCATTGTTGAGAGAATCGAAGCCGAGTTTCCCGAGTTAACACTGTTTCAATCAACCGTGAGTGAGGATTCACGATTTCCTCAAGCAGCTCGTGTAATCGTCAGGACTAATCGTACTACGAAACAAAAGTATTCGTCCGTCATTCAGGGCCATATTTGAACATCTCTCCTTCACCGTTATCCCGAAATGCATCAAGGTATCCCGTCGGCAGCGTCGAAGATCCCTTGAATCATCGTACCTCTCCATCTTGAAAACTCAATTGCACCAATCAGAACATGCTCGTCGCGTGCTTCAAACCAAAATTTGTTAATAGATACATCGCCTGGCTTGTCATGCAGTAGGGCGTAGTCGCAGCTCGGTCCGAGCTTATCACAGCAACAGCATTTCGGACCGCCATCTGAGTTGTAAGAGAAGGCCATCATTATATAGAGACCACGACTCGCCCGGGCACGACGTCACCTTCTGATCCACGACGAGCAAGTTTCGCCGGTTCACTTGAGTCGCTTGACGATCTCATTCGGCCGAGAAATCAACCTAGCGGCGTGGTAGACGGACTGCTCCGTCCCACCGGCTGTACCGCCGGAATTCCCGGCGTCGGAAATCCCACACTCGGACCTCGCAACACGGAACGGAGCCTTGTCCTCTCGGCGGACTACTCCAGCTGAAGATGCGAAATTCTACAGACAATCGGATCGCACCGCGTTTGGAGTCGTGTGCTTACAGATGTTCGTGGCATTCAAAACACCACTGGCACGTCTTCAACGCACTTCGTGATATGACCTCGGCCCCCACGGTATTCGGCGAATGATTACTGATTATGCATGTTCCTGACCCCTGATTCAACGGTCCGAAAAAGGACGCGAAAAAACAAGTGATGATCAGCGCTGCGCAGACTTGGCTTCGGACCGCAAGTCATGGATCGCGGACCGACGAGTCATTTCGCGCAGTCACTACGGAGATTGCTACCAGCCAAAAGGGTCGCCATCTCATGCCCTCATCTCTGTCTTTACGCTGTAAAACCCTCAAAGATAATATCAGGTGATGCTACTATAAAACTGGACAAGACTTCAGCCGGTACCCACGACGATAATGGCTTCTCAAACAAATTAAGGGGCGTTTCTACAACCTGTACACGCGTTCGGATGCCATAATCCGGGAAGCATTTTGTTTCCGAAGATCCGCGGTTGACAGTCGCACGGGATTTTCAGGCACGACTGCAACGCCGCAGGGATGAGGCCGGTTCGAACGTGTTGAATCGCTCGTTGTTCTGTTAGTCAGCGTCGTGCTGGCGCCGTTTTGACTCTTCGAAACATCCAACGATCAAATTTTCTCTGCGCTTTGAATCCAAACAAAGATGGATCGTCTGAACAAAAATCGGGACTCGAGACTGAGGCTCAAACTGTCTTCACGCCACACGATTTGGTGTTTTGACGAGTTTGACGGCATCGTGGGACGGCACTTGCCATGAACTCCATCCCCGATGGCAGTACGCATCGCTGGTGAGACTACGGCGAAATTGCAGTCCACACCACGATCTCCAACTGGCTACTACAGATTTTCCTACGAGGTGGAATAACGGCCTATATTCGGCGGGTTCTTTGACTTCATTGGGTCAAAGCGGCGCACATCTACGTTGCCTGGATCCATTCCATGTCCAGTTAACTCCTATCGTCATGTCAGCTACTCCTATCTTTCCACGAACCACCTCCACACTCCAAACAAGCTTCATTATGCTTCTCTAGCTGAATCGGTCCATCTCCACGCCATCAACGGCCGTATCTCCTCCTTCAGAAGCTCACAAGACTTTACGAAATGAACTAGGCACAGATACAGCTTGCCTGCCGGGCGGATGAAGATTCTTCCACAGCCATTGACCCCGGGATACCACCCTTTAAGGCCGCGCTTCTCCGCACTTCGCTATTGCCGATGCATGGCCATCCCCGTAAGTCTATTTCAGCGTGGGGAAAACAACATCCCTAGTCCCTTTGGGGCTGTCAAACGTCAGGGCCCGCGATGGCACTTGAATCAGCACGCCTGCCGGTTCCAATTGCCGTCCCTCCACGCCGCCAGATGGGATCGCCGAGGGAGGGAAGCACTGACGAGAACGACGTCGCATCGCGTGCCGGGGCCGTTGAGATGAACCCTTGACATCGTCGAGATTTGCAGGGACCTTGACGCGTGGCCGTTGAGGGTCACGTCACTCTTCACTTCTGTACATAAACACCACGGTCCCCGACGACTGGTGATCGTCCTGATGGATCTACTTGGCACCTGTCCTCTCCAGCACCCCTTCTCCGAGATGAAGTCCTTCACCACTTCGGCAGCGCTGCTGCTGCTCCCGGCAGCCCAGGTCGCGATGGCCGCCTTCGCCGACGACTGCGCCAACTTCGCAAAGTCCTTCTCCCACGAGAACACCACGGTCTACTTCACCAATGTCGAGCCCGCCGGTGCCAACCTGAGCTTCCCCGAGCGCCACCCGACGTGCTCCGGCACTAGCCAGGTCGTCAACGTCGAGCTCTGCCGCATCTCGATGCTCGTCACCACCGGTGCGACCAGCAACATCAGCCTTGAGGCATGGCTGCCTTCCAACTGGACTGGACGCTTCCTGAGCACTGGTAACGGAGGAACCGGCGGCTGCATCCAGTACGAGGACATGGCCTACGCCACGTCCCAGGGTTTCGCGACTGTTGGCGCGAACAACGGTCACAACGGAACCGTTGGTGAGCCCTTCTTCAACAACCCCGGCGTTATTGAGGACTTTGCCTACCGCTCCTTGCACACGGGCGTCGTCGTTGGAAAGGACGTCATCAAGGCCTTCTACGGAAAGGAGCACACCAAGTCGTACTACCTCGGATGCTCCACTGGTGGTAGACAGGGCTTCAAGGAGGCCCAGGACTTCCCCGACGACTTCGACGGCATCGTGGCCGGCGCCCCTGCCATGGCGTTCAACAACCTCACCTCCTGGAGTGGCCACTTCTTCACTGCCACCGGTGCCTCTGGATCGCCGACCTTCCTGTCCAAGGACCTTTGGGCCATTGTCCTGAAGGATGTCCTCAACCAGTGCGATGGTCTCGACGGCCACGTCGACGGCATCATCGAGGACCCCGATCTGTGCCAGTACCGCCCCGAGGCTCTCATCTGCGGCAGCAACCAGACCGACAGCTGCTTGACCGGAACCCAGGCCCAGACCGTCCGCACCGTCTTCGGTGACGTCTACGGCGTCGACGGATCTCTCGTCTACCCCCGCCTCCAGCCCGGAGCCGACTCGACCGGCCCCCTCCTCAGCGGCACCGCCTTCCCCTACACGACCGACTGGTTCCGCTACGTCATCTACAACGACCCCAACTGGGACCCGGCCACTCTGACGGTCAAGGACATGGCCTACGCCGCCCAGAAGAACCCCTTCAACATCGAGACCTGGAAGGGCGACCTCTCCGCCGTCAAGGACCGCGGCACCAAGATCCTCCACTACCACGGCCTCCAGGACCCCATCATCTCGTCCGACAACTCGGCCCGCTACTACAACCACGTCTCGCGCACCATGGGTCTCACCTCGGTCCAGCTGGACGACTTCTACCGCTACTTCCGCATCTCGGGCATGAACCACTGCAGCGGCGGCCCCGGTGCCACTTTCATCGGAAACAAGCCCGCCGCTGTCGCTAGCTACGAGCCCGAGCAGAACGTTCTCTCTGCCATCGTGCGCTGGGTCGAGCAGGGCGTTGCCCCCGAGGCGATCCTCGGAACTGCCTATGTCAACGGCACCAAGGAGAACGGTGTTGCTTTCACCAGGAAGCATTGCAAGTACCCTGCGCGCAACACTTTCAAGGGCGGCGACCCCAACTCTCCGGACAGCTGGAGCTGCGTGTAAATAAGCTTAATCGTGTGTGATCCATCTTCTGTTGTAAATATAAGACAAGCATTAGTCAAAGCACAAACAATTATCATTCATGAGAATGCATAACTACCCAGTGAAGTTGTGGAATGTGGTGTGCTCCGATCTGTTGGATGAAAGCAGCCGTCCCTGCATGTGTGGCTCAGGCGTGGCTTGACATCGAAACCGCCATACTGCAAATTGGATCGTGGTGAATTTGGTATGCGGTGTGATTTTCAAAGAGTTGCTTTGATGAAGACGAACTTTAAATTTGTGTCGTCTGGCTGGATGTTCGCAGACTCTTCAAGGAGAGGCAGTCCGGAATCAATGCGAAGGGCATGGGTAAGTTGACGATGGCGGGTCGCGATAAGAATGTTCAACGAGCGTAGATATCATCGAAACAGTACCGCCATCGTACCGATCAGAGTCGTAATGGAATTATCTCCTCGACAGGTGTCATTGGCGATGTTGATAAGGGGTTGATCTGAAGAGGTCGGATTTTGCCCGCTCTGTCGCAACGTGCAGAGTCGATCATTGATGAAGCCCGCCCCTACGAGTTATGACATGGTGTGCATGGGTTCCAGGCCAAGAAAAATCACCGCTCAAGTTGCATTTGGACCTCTACCCAGACAGGCCATCGATCGCTTGATCTCAAATTAGTACCAGTCCCATGAAAGACTCCAGCCTCCAGACCATCGGAGCTATCCATGTCCCTATCTTCGACCGAGCTGCGTCTAGACTGATGACGGGTGAATGGCAGAATGAGAAATCACAGCGGCGACAGGGATCGCATTTTCATCGAGGGCATACGGATAGCAGACGTCCAACGATCACTCTCTCGTATCTGGCTTCGTCCAAAGCCAGGGGCCCGGGGTTGTGGACTGTTCGACGTCCGTGTCCGTCTCCGCGGGTAAGTGTGGTCCTCGGCCGACCACCGATCGTGGATCCCACCTCGAGGGCCAGCATCCTATTGACTATTCTCGCTGAGCTTTGATGGAGATATAACGGAACAGCTATTAGACGTCTCCTTCTGCTGGAATTGACGTGTCACAGATCTCTGCAGAAGAATCGGATGCCGGGCATTTCCTCGTGACCTCGTCACACAAGTGATGCAAGAATTAGGCTGAAGCAAACCGTTCTGGCCGCCACAAACTGAAAAGAGTCGAAGGATCCTCCTGCCAAGTGTCACCGGGGAAGACGGCTCAGAGTCCAGGATCACGACCCTAGACGGTTGGTAGGCCCAATACATGTACCCCTGCGGCGGTGGCCAATTTGGCGTGCGTCGACTTACATGGTATATATGCTGTTGGTTCCTCTGCAACATCTCAAAAGACTGCCGTTGGCTGCACCCCTGGCTTGACGAGGACCTTTTGAATGTCTGTCTCTCTGTGATCCTTGACCGGGCTGTTGGATCATCTCCGCCGGCGTCGTTGGAACGTTCTTGGTTTCTCCACTCCCTCGCAGCAGCCTTTTTTGGCCATGGTCACAGGTATTCCATGATTGGACATCAGGGCCAAGGGCTGGCAACATCAAATTTCGCCCAGAGACTGGTTTTCTCAAAACAACAGCCAACATGGGCCGATGTGATGGGGTCCTTCTCTAGCAGGGACCGAATCGACGGGTGTTTGTGCTCGAAGAGTAAGTTTTGCGATCGGTAAGGTGGTTCTCCCAGACTGATCCGGGTGACATCCGGATCAGCGCTGTTGAACACAACTTGGCTTCTTCAGCAACCTAGTGATCGAATCCATCCACACACGCCTGTCTGTCGGAATGTGGCGTCGGGCGAGCCTTCATCGCTATCGCTTGCGCATCTGCAGTCCTGGAAACCAGAAAAAAAGTCTCTGTCTTGTTGGTGCTGCGTCTGATTGCTTTCGCTACAACAGAAAGTTTCGGCGAGGGAGGGATATGACAAGGGGAAGATGTGGAATGTCCATACAATGTGATCTGAAGTTCGGGAAGGGTGGACAGATTAGGCTGTCCTTGTCGGACCATCAACCTTTGAAGGCGACGTTTGGTAACTTGCTTTTTCGAGATTGGATGCAGCCCAGTGGCGAGCATCACATCACATCTTGCATGCAGACATGTCTTAAACGATAGGGTCTCGCACCTTCAATGCTTTGTTGCTTTTCTTGAACTCCCACGACTTCTCTTTTCCCCATTGCTTTAGCAAATCGAAGTCGTCCTAAGGACGACAAGTCGTCGACTTAGCCCGAGCGAGCAGTCCAAGTAGCGATCTCACTATCATCGACCCGCCCCTCAAACACCCCCGGCAATCATGTCCAGCATGGAAATCGAGGAGCCATACCCAGGATGGGCTGCTGAGAGTAACACGACCCAGATTTTGATCGTCGTGTCTGTCTTCAACTTTCTGGCCCTCGCCTTTGTTGGAGCAAGGCTGTATGCTAGAATTTGGGTCATCAAGGCGCCTGGATGGGACGACTGGATGATGATCCCCGCAGCGGTTTGTCTTCCTTTTCAAGTCCTTCTCTCAAGTCTACATGCTGACCTTTCTGATTACAGGTCTGCTCTGTCTGCGGTGGCTGGGTCATTTTTCTGATTCAAGCTCAACACGGCCTCGGAAAGCATTTCAAGACCATCAAACCGGACGATTATACCATCTTTCAACAATGTGCCTTCTGGTCGGTGATCGTATCATCAGCTGCATCTATGCTGTTTCTCAAGCTCTCCATCGCCCTGAATCTGCTTCGGCTTAGCACGAGCAAGTGGTATCAATGGGCGTTGTGGGCAGTAATGGGTATGTTATTCACGATCAACGGCTTTCCATTTCAATGGTTGCTGATGCTAGCAGGTCTGACCGTTGTGTACTGCATTGGTGGAATGTTTCCATTCTTCCTGAATTGCAAGCCGATGTCGGGTTATTGGGACAAGACGATCGTCCCAAAACCTGTGTGCATGAATATAAAGCTTTTCGTTCAGCTCGGTGTTCTGAACACATGTGAGTTGATCTCGGCTCTGTTTGGCCCTTATTCGAAGCCCGTAGCTGACATTTTCATAAGCATTCAACATTTTCACCGACGTCGTTCTTGCTACACTTCCAGTCCCTATCATATGGAACTTGCAGATGAAGCTCAAACTTCGACTCTACGTGATCGGAATTCTGAGTCTTGGTTATCTGTCAGTAATCCCAAGTCAAACCTCCCTTTTCTCATCACTTTCAGAGCTAACATCATCCTCCAGGGCGGTTGCCATGGGTATCATCAAGGCAGTTTATCAAATTGCCTTCGGCTCAGACATGGACAAGACATTCCATTATCACATTTACGTTTGGGGATTGTGAGTCACCATCACCAGGAGCCTGCTCAATAACGATTACTGACGCTTATCTTGGCAGTCTACAAATCCAGTTCGGAATCATCGCAGCCTGCGCGCCTACTCTCAGGCCGCTCGTCAGCAGGATTCTGCGCCTCACCTCGTACGACGACTACACCAACGAGTATGGCAGCCGGTCGCAAATGAACGGAACCGCGGCGAGGGCCAAGCATCGCAACACGATGCGCAGCGGCATGGGTCCGCGCGTCGTCCGAGACCAGTACGAGCTCGACGAGCGAGGGATTGGCGACGGGGACAGCGATACCACCTTGCCCGCCGCCAAGGGAGAGACGGTGGCGACGGCCGAGTTCTACAAGGAACAGACCGGGGAGAGATCAGGGAGCGAGGAGTTCATCTTGCAGGGTGGAACGAGGGATAAGTTCCGGGGTATTATGAAGACGACGGAAGTCACTGTAAAATAGGTTATGCCAAGAAGAAAGATGTCAAGCGGCGGTTTTCATCCGTCATTCAGCCCCTGAGTTGCGCGGATTATTTCTCGAGCCTGCACCGGGATTCACCGTGCAACTGCGCCTCGGAAGAGTAGAGAGTCGCTGGTATTGACCCGAAAGCGTTCAAAGGGTTGTGTATCGGTTGGTTGTATCGGTTGGTTGGAAGCAAGGAACGGGGCAATTACTCACATGGGCTAGTATTGACGACAGTGCGGGCGTGTTGGACTGGAGTTGTTGGAAATCTCTCGCCTTCGGGTACGCGGGTCGTCTGCGCCGGCTGCAGCCGGGGATGGAGTCCTCGTTGGTCCGGATCCTGTGCTCATGTGTGGACCAAGGACCGGGGTTTTGGCCGGGGGCCCGGACGGGACGCACGTATGTTAGTGGAGAAAGACCCAACTTCAATGCAACCTGGTGTTGGTGCTCTCGTCTGTGTTGGTTCGAGACGCAATCCTGATGGAACTGTCAATCTATGATGCATATTCACTTTTCGCCCCCATGTCTCTTGAGGGGGAGGCGGGAAGGCGAATGTGAGCCCATCCGGTGGGAGAAAGGGCAGTGGACATGCAACAATGCTGAGGTTGTGATCGATGAAATCCATGCACCACAGCTTGCACATCGACGACTCTGATCAGAGTGAAAAAATGGGATGTCATAATCGGGCGGAAAGAATTGATGAATGCAACATTTATGTACTGATTACAATTATGTGCTATCGAAGAGTACAACTATCGTGATTCTATCCACCTCTATATGCAGTTTCTCTTATTTTTACTCGGCGATTACTCCACTCCCGGGCTCAGAACTCTGCCAACAGCTTGGGCAGGACGAACTGGTTGTTGAACTCCCACAGAATGGTGGAAAACTGCGCAGTCCAAGCACCACCAGTGAAGAAGGTACTCTTGCGGCCCTGGAGGGCGTAAAGGTTGGTGATAAAGCCAGCCTTAAGCTCCTCAGGAGAGACGTGAAGATGCATGGCGCCGTGGTTCGCCCAGTACTTGATGTTCGGGCGCTCGGTGCCGAGGCTGGCAATAGTGCCCTGCTCAGCGAGGAGCTGAATGGACTTCTTGACCATCTTCTGGGCCTCGCAGCTGTCGAGGTCGCCGGTAGCGGAGACGAGGACGCGGAAGTTGTTGGAACCGAGGTACGAGAGTCCATCGACGAAGGGAGTGCGAGGAAGAGAGAGCCAGTTTCCGGGAACGATGTTGGTGTACGCCGTCATGTCGGGGAGAGACGAGTGGGAAACGACACCGGCGTAGACGGAAGACCATTGCCACTTTCCGAAGACGGCGGTCTCTTCTTCATCGATGTCGATACCGTTGAGGTTGTCAAGGGTGGGCTCAAAAGAGATCAGAAGCTTCTTCGCGCGGATGAGGGTACGGGTGTTGTCGGCGCCCTTGACCAGGACCTCGACGCCCTCGTCAGTGCGGGCGGTCTTGATGGCAGTGGAGGAGTAGAGCACATCGTCACCGAGAAGCTCGGCGATAGCGTCGTAGATGTCTTGGTTTCTCAGAGACACGGGAACGAATGATCCGATCTGGCCCAACAAGGATCGAACGATGGGAGCACCGAAAGCCTGCATAACGTACAGGGTGGTTTGGTCACCAAGGTTGCCCATTCCCAGGCCAGTCACCTGGAAGACGCGAGGAACAGCAGCCTCGAGCTTGTACTTCGCCACGAAGTCCGAGAACTTGAGGGTCAGGTCCTCGGGAATGCCCTCGCTGGCGGTAGGGAACTTGACGTAGGAAGGGAGGATGTATTCTTCGTACTTCGCGCACAGCTCGAGATACGTTGCGAGACCGGCTTGGGTGGAGGCGTATGCAGGAGCCGTGTAGTTGACGCGCTTGCCGGTCGCAAAGTTGGCGTAGGTAGTCGTCAAAGTAAGACGAACGGGGTCCTGAATGGGAATATTGAAGCGCTCAAAAAACTCGCGAGCACCAGGGTAGTCGGTGTACGAGTAGACGCCGACATCGTAGGGCTTCTCGGTCTCGGGGTCGTCGTAGGTTGAGACGTGACCTCCCTGATTCAAATGAGCCTACATGCCAAAAGCTGATGTAATGTGATGAACTCGACTTACCAGGCGATTGTTCTTCTCTACGACAACGACTGTCTTGTTGTAGTCCTCACGAAGTCTGACGGCAGCGTGTGAACCAGAAGCACCTCCACCGAGGATGACAACGTCTCTCTCGATAATGCTGGTGGCAGCACTATCGGGAATGGCAGCAGCGGCCACGAGGGACAGCGTGCCGAAGAAGGCAGCAATGCGGGCAGACATCTTGACAAGGTGTGAATTAAGATTAAAGAATGAACGGCTGTCAATGCTGAGAGATCTGACGGCTTGCGGTCGCAGGTCCCTTCCTGTAGATTGTGAAGGCGGAAGAGAGCGATGAGGACGAACGAGGCAAAGCAACTCCAATTTTCACTCGGCGGAATTGGATATTTATGTGAGTATCAACGGAGTCGCCCGCTTTGCATACGACGCGCAGTCGCAGTCGCATCGCTGCGGTCCAACATCATCGAACGAGGATGTCATTTGCCCCTGCAGGACAGGCAATGCGTGCTATTGGAACCTCATGTTTGTCGGTAATTGAACCTCTGCTGTTGGGACGATTAGATGCATATTACAGAGCAGAATGACGGGGGTAAAAAGTGGCACATTCCTCTTCCAGTTTGCCATGGTTTTCGACCTGTCGGCACCCCGCCGTCTTCGATGCTTGGAGTTCAGCCATGGGTGGCCAGCTTTCCCTCCTAAAAGCGTGGTTGAAATGTCAACGGAGCAATCGATGAGGTTGGCTACCATCTCGCTAGATTGATCTGGTCTCAATAGAGTGAGGCATCCGTGCGACTGAGGAGCATGGAGGCAATGATGGATCTTCATCCCGGCTTGTCCATGTGGAGAGTGTGGAGTTTACGACGTTGGCTGCATGGCCGGCCGGGGTCCAGGGTCCAGGGTTGTGGGCGAGAGGTGTGTGTGTGTGTGCCTCCAACGGCAGTGATGGAGCAGAGAAGAGACACCGCTGTCAAGGGCCACAAGAAATCTGCCCATTCTAGATCATGTGGATTTCCTAAGACGCTACTGCAATGTTACTCCTGGAGTGGAAAATGTTCTGATGTTCTCCGGCTGGCTCGGCTTTCTCGGAGGCCCTCCGTCTTTATCAGTTGGCTATCGGACATGGCGTTCTACACATAAGGTCAACCGTAGGAATAGCATCTTTGAGCTGTGGACTCTGGACAGAAATGAAAAAGCGCCGTCGTTCAGATTTCACCGTGTATCTAGGATGATATTCCAAGGCAAAATGCTGTGTCTCTACCTGCCTGAGTTTGGATTCAAGCAGAAGTCAGATAAATAGTGATGCCCACATGGCCCTCCCTGGCTTTGTGCCTACTCGGAAACACTTCAAGTGACAAGACAAAATCCCTGCTTCTAGAACGCTGCCAAATCGATAGGTCAGCAAATTGCTGCCTGTGCCACGTGGTCGAGGCTCAACAGGGCCGCGTTGATATGAGCTAGGGCTGGCAGCTCTTCAGGAAAAGGGGTGGAAAGACTGAGACCCATGAGGGATTGTAAAGTGACCTTTTCTTGTCGCAATATATCTTCGAAGACCCAAAGTAATTACTGCCCGTGATAGATATCGCATAGCACGAGCGCAGCACCTGCAAAAACCAAAGAAAAGAAGAAGAAACGTATGACCAAACCAGTAGCTTCTATAGTAGATTCTACACTAAACATATCCATCACTGAGCCGCCTACTCCCTTCCGGGAATACTCCTGACATGGCTTCGATTTCCGGCGCTTGGCACATTGAAGGATCAGCAGCCCATGCTTTATTTGCTGGCTCAGCCACGTGGAAGAAATCATTTCAATGCGTTCCTACATGTAGCTTGACCAGGATGACCATGAGCGTCCAGGGTTTATCGATGATCCAAGCCTTCAAATGAAAAGCCCCAACGATGTCCCTGCAAGCTCGCCAAGTATGAGATTGGATCCGAAGTACTGAGTTGGGCGTCCGGAAAATTTGAAAGAAATCAACATTTGGAGGCTCAAGTACTAAGCGTACAAAAGAAATCTATCAAAGAATTGCTACATATCCAACTCGGTCTTCTCTCTCTGCGCTACTTCACAAATATACCTGGATTCCGCAATGTGCTTCAACGCTTCAGCTGCCTGTGCCGTCTTTCCATCATGCGCAAGCAGTTCTGCCAACTTAGCCCGGACCCGAAGTGCCCTCCCCGCGTGATAAGTCATCATCTCCTCATCCACAGACTGTACCTCAGCACACTCAAACGCTTCCATTGACTCTTCCAGACACCGAATCGCAGAAGCAATATCCCCTTCCTGAACATGATGCTCATGTACGAGGTATTTGGTCACTGCGTACTGCTCCAGAGTCCAGTGGTCGCTGGTAGTAAAGAGAAACATTGAGTGGTCATCCCCTGCGAGAAAGCGCGATAGAAGCCCGTCGGAAAGAGATATGAAGTCTCCTGATGTGGGCTTCAGACGGGAAATCGCTTGAATGCGACGGAACTCTAGCCCGAGAACCAGCCTCGAGGACGCTCCGAGACGATTGCGTAAGGATTGGACAAGAGCACCAAGTCTTTCAAGGGAATTTCCATAAGCTTCTGAGACAGAACTCTCCTGGAAGTTATGTGTGAGACTCAAAGCTTTCATTCTCGCATTTATGCTGTTGAAGTCGTTCTCTCCTCTAATATCGGTGTAAATGTCCGCAGTGATGTCATATAGCCGTCCAAGGTTATGGGCTAATGCATCTGGATTTTCTGCCACAATCCAAGAAATCATTCGAGCCATCTGAGTGATTGGTTGCGTCGGTTTCTTGACTTCGAGCATTTGGTGGACATACTTCGCATAAAGACTAAGCTCACAATATCTCCCAGACGCAAGGAGATTGTATGGAATCTCCAGTAATAGCGACTGAAATATTGTGATACTGTCCTTGACGAGAAGATCGTCGATAGCGCGAAAGCCTTGGCGTAAAACAATCCCGCTCTGTACCGACTCTCCAACGCCGAGAAGGCGAGCAGCCAGAACAAACAGAGATACCAAGTGGTCACCACACGAAGGTAACCACCAGATCTTGTAATGGTTGTTCCAGCTGGAATGAATGCGGGAGGTCCCGCGTATGACATCCTTCAGGCCGGTATACAAGCCATAAGCTCGGTAGTCATCTGCCCCGCCAAGCGTGATGTTGATTGAGACACCTGAGGTTCGACGATGCAACTGAGCCAGCCTGTCTTCGATTGTCGCATTTGCCATTATTGAAGAATGCTGTGATGAGCGGCCTGGTCGTCTTGAAGTGGTTGGCCCATCAGGCCTTTCCGCAGGCATGCCCATCAACTGGTTTTCCCGTGACCGTTTAGACTTGTATTTACTCCAATTCCACGATTGGAACTTTCGCTTATACTGTCTCTTCCTATGAACCTCAAACATTAGCAATGCTTCTAACAATAAGGCAAGGCGACAGACTTTGCACAAAAGCCATGATCTCGGCGCATAGCCTCCACAACATCATCAAGCGTCATCTTTCGTTGCAAGTAAAGGGTCTTGATATTTTCCTTTTGGCTTTCCCAGTCTTTCATCGTTACAGGCGTGAACGGTGGCTTCGGGTCAGGCCGTGACGTCGAATCGGTTTCAGGGCCGCTGCCTTCAATGTCGTAGAACGAAAGCTCCGCGTCGTACGACGTGTAGCCACTCTTCCGTGTATGGAGGTCCCCAGAGCTGAGCTTTTCTAAATCACTTATCTGATTGGAAAAGTCCTGGTGGCTGTGACCGTAGGAAGAGCCCGAGTTATTCTGCCCCCCGACCTTTCTCATACGGGGATATGAGATACCAGGATGACCTTGTGCGTAAGCGGACCTCTGAGCCCGAGCGGCCTGTTGTTCCGCTAATCGCATTTCCGCATCACAGACGTCAGAGGAAGAGCATGTCGGTGCATCGTCATCAGAACTTGAACGCGATGTCAAACTCCGATTGTCCAAAGACGCGTCGGAAGGTTTCTTTTGTCGGTTGTTTGATGTCATGATATCGATGAAGCCTGTGTCTGAGTTTGCAAGTAAAGGACTGTGGAAAGTCTCAAGTGATAGGGAGAGGAAGTGGCCATACTAATTCTCAAATGCGACATTTTCTATTCGAAAGAGGAGATCTTAAATATTTTACAGTCAGGTGCGTCCTTTCGAGTTGGATTGACAAGCAGACGACGCCTGGCCTTAATTGGGCCTCACAACACCAATGATTGTCACCATTGCCTGCATGGTCTTTTTAGCCACAAATAACTCTTATTGGTCGTCGGTTTCCCCACTGCCATAGTTAAAAGACCATGCATATCGTTCTTAAAGATCCAATCATTCATCCTGACCAGTGTTCTTCCTGCATACCACTCAGAATGACGGGTGCGTGGGCACATTGCCCGCTCTTGGCCGCAGTACTTGATGTGCTGGCAGTGTTTAGTGGCTCAGCCAAGCTCAAGACCTAATCACATATCCAGCTTTGTTGCGATCATGGCGCAAGAGATCCAGCCTTTCTCTAGTCAAGCTCGGAAGATGCCTATCAAAAGCTGAGAGAGGTGGGAATAAAACAACGAGGTATTGCTATTCTTTCTAGAGATGAACAAAAGCCTTATCTCAGAAAACGCTCGACATCGATGCGGCCCATTTGGGTTGTACAAACAGACCCTCCGCCTCCACGAAAACCGTCCCATTGTCTGCGTCTTCAATACTCGCCTTAACCCAAGCCTTTCTCCCTTGGACTTCAGTCGTCTCCGCCCTGACCATCACCACACTTTCGACCTTGATAGGACTCTTAAAATTCATATCCAACTTGACAGTCATCGCAATCTTGCCAGGTAGCCTCGGAAAGCATGCCCTGCACATGCACTCATCTAGCAGCGCAGCGGAAATACCGCCATGTACGATCCCGCCGTGCCCGGCTAGCTTGCGACCTAGCTGGTAAAACGCAATTACAGAGCCAACCTCAGCATCAGTGAAGACGTACGGTCTTGGGTGTATCATGTCGGTACCGCAAATTGTCGTACAAGTGAGATTGTACTGATGCTGGTCCTCTCGTGGTATCAACGCTGACCGAGAGGGGATGACTGAGTTACGTTTTGAAAAGTCCACTGTGGCTTTGTGTTGGTCGACAAATGACTTGAAGTGGCTCTCGTCTGTTGAAACCGCGTTTGGTGACCCGGGTTGAATCTGGGAAGCAGCTGTCTGAACTGACATGATGTTGATCAATTTATTTTGAAGAGGTAAGGGGCGTCTGGACATGTAGCCCAGTATCGGTGGTTTCCGAGGAATGACAAAGGGCTTAAAGATTCGAATTGACATATTTGCGAGATGTAAAAGTTGCGCAATTCGTCTGAACGTTGCTTCTTTATTCAACAACGTCAATTGAGAGTTCAGTCAAGGTTGCATTTCGGATGAGTTCGGCAAATATCAGCTACTAAAGTTTCCTCGGTTGATGGGAACAAGGTTGTGGCTGATTGCAAGCAGCTTGTCTGTGGCTTGCAAGGAATGAAGTTGGGGCTGAAGTACGAAGATGCTTGGAGCGGCTAGCTTCGGGCCTTTGTTTTCAAGGAAGAGCCTCCAAGAATTGTTTAAACTGACCCATCATCGGTGAAAAGACAGAATACCGAACTGTTTTAATGGGTTGAGAAAGATCCTGACTAGTCTACAGAGGCGGCATTATTCAACGCTTCCGTGTCGTGAGCTTCAGCCGGTAAATGTGCTCCATTGCATCACCACAACTGTAGCGGAATCTGTTCCGTTCATCTGCTTTCGTTCGGCATCATTTCCGTAAGCCGACGCTGCATGCCTACTCTCTCATGTATCATCGACGGCTGGACGACGCCCTTACGATTACACGCGAGGTACAGCGAATAAGCTCTCCCCGGACTATTTCCGCCAATCAAGACTGCCAATTCAGGCGGTTTCGGAGCGAATAATTGGGACTCTGCTGACGGGCGGCATCCCGCAATTGATAGACATGGGTGATTGTGGACTGTCTCAATGGCAGCTATCTGTATCGCTTCGAACCCCCGCGAGCAAAGGAGTCATCATAATACCAAAGTCCCCGTGACTCATGATTCCCGATGTAACGCGTACGGGTAACATTATTAAGCCATGAAACGAAGGATCTTGGTACTTAAAGCATGCTCTTGAATGTCAAGAACGGCCTATTCATTGCAGTGTATGTTCACACAACTTGTCACTGGCTCACCAATCTTCGAAGCCTCTTCCATATCGTCATTGTACAGGACTCTTTATATTCAACCTGCACGTACACCTGTCTTCCTGCAAGTTGCAATGTCTCCGTCTTTAGAGACGGACGTCGTCATAAGGGCCGAAAGCGGCCCGAAAGGCAGTAAAGAGCAAGCAGCAGAGCTTGATGCATCATTGCTCAGTTACACTTACAACACCGCACCTCAACCGGTTCCCAGCGAAGCGACAGCCAATGCTGCCGACGAAAGCGTCTGTACCGATCATATGATCACCGCACAATGGAAGGAGTCCACCGGATGGGCAGCTCCAGAGCTGAAGCCCTACGGCCCTCTCAGCATCATGCCGACAGCGTCTTGTCTGCACTACGCGACTGAGTGCTTCGAGGGACTGAAGGTGTACCGCGGTTACGATGGAAAATTGCGAGTGTTTCGATTGGATCGCAACGCGGCCCGTTTCCAGATGTCGGCTCAGCGGATGTCACTCCCGGGATTTAATCTCGAAGAATTCCAGAAGCTCGTTTTGGCCCTCCTCGCTGTGGATGGCCCTAAATGGCTTCCAAAAGATCGCGCCGGCAGCTTTTTGTACGTTCGACCGACTATGATCGGCACCTACCCGCAGCTGGGCGTCCAAGCTCCGAAGCAAGCCATGATGTTCATCGTGGTTTCTTTCATGCCTCGCCTGGACAACCCGGAAGGCGGTCTGCGACTGTTTACATCTTTGGAAAAGGATGTAAGAGCGTGGGTAGGTGGATTCGGTCACACCAAGGTCGGCGCCAACTACGGACCGACAGTCCTTGCTACGAAGCACGCGTCTTCTCTGGGCTACAAGCAGATTCTCTGGCTGTACGGAGAGAACGGAGAAGTCACCGAGGCTGGCGGTAGCAACTTCTTTGTTGTCTGGAAGCGGAAGGACGGAAAGAAGGAGCTGGTTACCGGTCCCCTGGGAGATCAGCTCATCTTGGATGGAGTTGTGAGAAGAAGCTGTCTCGAGCTTGCGAAAGAAAGACTCGGAGACGATCTGGAAATCACCGAACGCAAGTACACCATTTCTGAGGTGATGGAAGCCTACACTGAAGGCCGGTTGTTGGAAGCTTTTGTCTCTGGAACAGCGGTAAGTCTCTGGGATATTTCCTTTGGAAGAAACATGAATTCTGCTAATGGCTGTGTTCAGTGGTTCATCACTGCGGTGTCTCACATTCATCATCGAGGTGAAGATATCCCCCTCTCAATGGGAACAGACGGTTCGGGTGGTGAAGTTACACTCAAGATCAAGGGATGGTTGAGAGATATGCTGTATGGCAATGTTGAACACGGATGGACTGAGGTCATTCATGAAACTGGGCCTAAACAACAGACAACCAAATCAAGCTAAGCGGATGATTGAGGCGGAATGAACATATCAAAATTACATTATCATGTCTAAATACAATCTCTACTTTCCCAAAGATTCTTTGTACACATCATTTGCTCAATGTCTGTCTGCTGCAGCTACTTAGCAGCCGTTTAGTTTCCGGCGAGGATCTGGGCAGAGATCTTCTCAGCCAGAACGTAGACTGTGCTCTGCGGGTGACCAGGAGGGAGGAGGGCAAAACTGCTAGCATCCACAACTCTCAAGCCAGTGACTCCAATGACCTTGGCGTCCTTATCAACAACCGCGTTCGGGTCGTCAGACTTGCCCATTCTGCAAGTGCAAGACGCGTGCCAGATGGTCATCACGTCGTTGCGAATCTGGTTGACGATCTGGTCGTCAGTCTCGACGGCAGGGCCGGGGTAGTACTCCTTGTTGTCAGCCAGGACAGGACGCATGGCGTTGCTGTTGAACGCCTGGCGGAGGCGCTTGTAAGCGGCAAGAGCAACGGAAACATCGGTAGGGTCAGTCAACCAGTTGGGGTTGATCAGAGGCAAGTCCTTAGTGTCAGCCGAAGCGAGGGTGACAGTTCCGCGAGAAAGGGGAGCAACAAGACCGCCGAGAATGGTGGCGTACTGGTAGCCGTCCTTGGGCTGCGTGAGAAGGAGGTTGGCGAAGTTGCCAACGTAGCCAGGGGCGGTGAGGTACTCGATCTCGGGCCAATCGGCAGGGAACTCAGAGTCAAGGACGTCGGCGGCCTCCTGGCTGATGAGGTCACGGGGAGCCTTTTCCCAACCGAGGAAGTCGCATACGGGGTTGGTGAGAGGGCCCTGCTTGAAGATGGAGTACTGGAAGGCGAACTGGGCGGCGGTGTAGATGAGATCGTTGGCCAGACGGGTCAGAGTCTGGACCTTGACGCGCCATGTCGGACCGAAAAAGACGTGGTCCTCCATGCCCTGACCAACACCAGGGCGCTCCGCGATGATGGGAATGTTGAACTTCTGGAGCTGATCGCGTGGACCAATTCCGGAAACCATGAGAAGCTGCGGGCTCTGGAAGGCACCGGCGGAAAGAATGACCTCCTTACGTGCCTTCAGCGTGTATGTGGTGATGCCGAGGTTGGAAGTGACAACAACACCGGTAGCCTGCTTGTTGCCGTCGAAGAGAATCTTCTTCGCCATGGTAAGCTGGAAGACCTTTAGGTTCTTGCGGCCAATCGCATGGGTGAGGAACGACGTCTGGCTGGATTCGCGCTTCTCAGTCTCGGGGGCGATGGTATCAGAGCAATACTGAGCTCCCATGAGCTCACCACTGTTGAAGTCCTGGGCCTGGGGAATACCGATCTCGTTGAGCGAGGGCTCGAGGTAGCTGCTGAAGGGTTGAGCATAGTTGGCGTAGGAGACCCTGAGGGGGCCGCCGGCAGGAGAGAAAGCGTCGAGATTGTACTCGGCGCTGGCGTTGGCCGCGCGAGAGGGGCCAGGAGGAGTGAACTTCACACTCTTCTTGAAGTAAGGAAGGAGGGCGTCCCATGTGTAGCTGTCGTCACCAATGGCGTCCGCCCACTTCTGGTAGGACTGCTTGGTACCGCGCTGGTAAATCATGTAGTTACGAGCCGAGCTGCATCTCTGTTAGAGTCTTCCGAACACCAGCCACCTTTCTTGCGGTCAGTACTGACCTTCCACCAAGGCACTTTCCACGAGCATAGTGGAGGCGTCGATTATTCGCTCCGGCCTGTGGCTGGGTGACAAAGTTCCAATCGACCAGGGGATTGGTATCAAGTGGGCTGGAGCCGGAAAAGAGCGTATCACCAGCAGGAGTGTTGCCGATGATGGGGTTCGTGATTTGATAGAACGTGCCGGCTTCGATAACGGCGACTGAGACTCCGGGGTTTGCACTCAGTCTGTTTGCCATCACCAGGCCTGCGGTTCCGCCACCAACAATCACGTAGTCGAAGGTCGCATCCTTGCCGAAGTCACCGGCATTGCCTCCGAGCTGGCGCTTGTGCTCGGCGTGTTGACGGGCCTCGTCATCGGCGGGGGCGGCGTTTGCCAGGCTCAAGGCCGAGATGAAAGCCGCGAGGGCCTGAGAAACACGCATGTTATCGCTGTAAGTGAGAAAGATTGTATGGGTTGAGTGAGTTGAAAGAATGTAAGATGCTGACTCTGAATGAAACGAGGTATCATCTTTCGAAGGATCGTGGAGAGATTATATTACTGTTGAAATTCTGCGGCATCCCACATGGCGCCTGTGATCTGGAATAGATCGTCGTGATCCTTTACGAGAAGTCTAAATCCTACCCAAGCTTAAGTTTGACGCGAGCCACAGAAAGATCGTGACGACCAGACTTCTTTTGATGTAGTTTATATGGTCTAAAGCCATCTTGGTCAAGCGCGCCGCCACCTAGCGTGAGAACAGGCCTCTTGCAGTTGCCCTCTCCTGTTCCTCACCGACAGCCACCGCTCCTAGGTTGATCTAGTCCAACGTCGGTCAGTGGCTTGGGCTTTTTGGAAACATGCGAATCTGATCAGTGATCAACATGACGATTATCAGGCACAGAAACGTGGCCGACAAGGTTGCGGGGGCAGTTAAGCCGACGCCAATTCCGGAATTGGGTTAAGAACTCACATTCAGGGGAACCATCGATAGTGAAGAAAGGCATCTGAGGTATTTGGCCGTCGAAACTTTCAAAGCCTAGATGCAGCCGAGTCAGGAGAACACTGCGTGCTGCATCCTTAAAATGGAAAGGTCGCGGGTGTTGTCGTCGGATAACGCCGCATTGGGAAGTTGATGATGCTTTTCATTCGCAAATGGGTTAGACTGGGTTACTCTTCTCTTTCTTCTTTACCGTATTTGAGATCGGATTTCAAAGAAGTGATGTTTCCAAAAATGGCCGAGACGCTAAGCTAAGCGGCCATCTTAAGGCCTGGAGGATGTCTCATATCCATATCTCAACGGTCGACTTTGAAAGGCAGAAATCAGTTTTCATATTCTCTAACGACGTTAGATCCAGAGCTAGAAACTTTCATGAGAATCAACAAGCCTTGACCAGCACGCGACGAATTTGGGCAGTTGATCAGTCCCAGGAACACGCTGTTCGTGGTGCCAGACGCGCATTGTAGCAAGCTGGACACATGCCACCGAAGAAGAACGCATGAGCTTCGAGGCAAAGATAATACACTCGTAATGTTGTTGTGAGAACGACATGAACCACATCTTAAACAATTAGCAGAGAACATGAGATGTAGAAGCTGGTGCTCTCTCCAGGCATCGCATCACAGAACAAGCCATCTGATACATCAGCCGAACTTCCAACTCACAGCTCAACAGCCAGATAAAGCTGGCAATTTATCAAACTCAACTGCTCCATAAGTCCAATGCAGAAACTTCTTTCTCTATACAGTTCTCAAGCTCAATCAGGAAACTACCGCTTTTGGCCGCCAAGGACTACTGACTCTGTCATGAGCTCGTAAAATCTGCTGCGTCGCTAACGCGATGTCGCTCCGCCCCCAATCATGCAGGGATTCCTCAGTCGCTAACTCACTTTGAGTCCGGAGCGCTGGGTTCGTCCCATCGACCCCTTAATAAAATCTTCCAGGGGCTTCACGTTTATGTGACACAGTAGTCAACCGAACCATATGAGCAATTGGCCAACAAGTCTCAAAACCCCTCCTCACCAGCATGTCATGACTTCATTTTACATAGGCTAATTGCTTTCCCGCACCTCATTCTTTGCCGAGTCCTTCTCGTACTGGTGGACTTTTCAGGGCTGATGGATCCAGCCGCCCTGGCCTGCGCCGCATCTGATTGCTGGGTTGCAGCGGACGGCCCGCGTGAATCCCACCTCGGCACTCGGAAAGCTGATGAGAATGTTCTTTGCGATATTAAAGTTTTCTGGGGAGCTTTTCAATCTATTCGAGATACCTATCCCCTGAAGGCGCAATTGAGTTATCCCGTGGTCAGCCCATCGGCTGGCCTGTTTAATGACCGAGTCCAGAATGCCGTCTGGTCCGAAACCGAGGTGAGCTTTCATATGTAAACAGTAGGCAGCTCATCAATTCAACGTGACCGCTTTCACCTCAACTCTTCAGTCCAGTCCTTTCTTTCTCATCCACATTCGCTTCCATCGACACTCCTTAGATCGACGACATTCGCTTCAAGTTGGCTGGGCCATTCCGTATTTCACCATTCTTTTGAATATCGAGTGACCACAACCATCCATTCCCTCACCATGAGAGGCGCCGGACTTATCCTCGCGGCGGCGGCATCCGTCCGCGCCGCGTGCGACTGGAAGAACGTGCACACCGGAGGCGGCGGCGGCTTCGTCCCGTCCATCCAATTCCACCCTACCGAGAAGGGAGTCGCCTACGCCCGAACCGATATTGGTGGCCTCTACCGTCTGAACGACGACGATTCCTGGACACCGGTGACCGATGCTAACGGCTTCGCCCACGATGGAAACTGGAATAGATGGGGAATTGACGCGTTAGCCCTAGATCCTGCGGATGCGAACAAGGTGTACATCGCAGCAGGCATGTACACCAACGATTGGTACTACACACCGTTCTGCCGAGCTTGCGATAGTTAGCTGACCATTTCAGGGACCCGAACAACGGCACAATCGCGCGAAGCTCCGACAAGGGACAGACCTGGGAGACAACGGCGCTTCCCTTCAAGGTCGGCGGCAACATGCCCGGCCGCGGAACCGGCGAGCGTCTGGCCGTCGACCCCAAGAACCCCGAGATTCTATACTTCGGCGCCCGTAGCGGCAACGGTCTCTGGAAGTCCACGGACGGCGGTGCGACTTTCTCCAAGGTCTCTTCTCTCGAGGCCGTCGGTACCTTCCGCCCTGGCCCTGCGACTGATGCATACAACGGCGACCTCCAGGGTCTGACCTTTGTCACATTTGACGAGACTTCCGAGGTCGTCGGCGGCGCCACCTCCAGGATCTTCGTCGGTACCGCTGACAACACCACTGCTTCGGTCTTCGTGAGCACGGATGCCGGCGCTACCTGGGGACCTGTTGCGGACCAACCTGCCAAGTTCTTCCCTCACAAGGCCAGACTCTCGGTGGCTGAGAAGGTAAGTAGGCAATAGCTAACATTTAGAACAAGTTGCTGATCATGCGTGCAGGTCATCTATTTCACCTACTCCGACGGAACAGGCCCGTACGACGGCACTCAGGGTGCTGTCTACAGATACGATCTCACATCTGGAAAGTGGACTGACATCACTCCCACGTCTGGCAGCGATCTTTTCTACGGCTTCGGTAGGTTCAACTGGCACCTCCCTCTTGCCGTTTGATAGAATTGTGAACGGTTCTGACGAATTCGATCTAGGCGGTCTTGCTGTTGATGCCCAAAAGCCCGGCACCATCGTCGTTGCTACCCTGAACAGCTGGTACCCCGATGCTCAGCTTTTCCGATCCACTGACTCTGGCGCTACATGGAAGAAGATCTGGAACTGGGGTGCCGACGGCAAGGTTGCTCCTCAGTACACCATCGGCGCAAAGAACGTGAGTTTAGAGTAAACCCCTTCATTGACGGACCATCAACTCATCATTCCCAGGCTCCTTGGATCGAAACCAACTTCCTCGACATCGACACGAAGAAGCTCGGCTGGATGATTGAGTCCCTTGAAATTGATCCCCACGACAGCGACAGATGGTTCTACGGCACCGGTCTCACCATCTACGGCGGCCACGACTTGACAAACTGGGATAAGAACCAGACCGTTACTATCGAGAGTCTTGCCTCTGGTATTGAGGAGATGGCTATCTCCAGCCTGGCCAGCGCCCCTGGTGGTTCCGAACTTCTCATGGCCACTCTCGACAACAACGGCTTTACCTACGACTCTGTTGCCGCGCTCGAGACGGCTCCCAAGACCGCCTGGACCAACCCTTGGTGGGCTAGCAGTGTTTCCGTTGACTTTGCGGGCAACGATGTCACCAAGGTTGCTCGTATCGGCAAGGTCACTGGTACTCCTCAACTGGCTCTTAGCAGCGATAGTGGTGCTACGTGGGCGGTTGTCAACGCAACTGGTACCACGGCTGCTGATGGCACCGTTGCTTACTCTGCTGATGGCGATGTGATCCTCTGGTCTACGTTGAACGAGGGCGTCCTTGCTATCCGCAACCAAGGCAAGCCGGAGAACGTCACTCTTCCAGCCAGCAGCGTCATTGCCAGCGACAAGAAGAACGGCACCGTCTTCTACGCCGGCTCCAAGGCGACCTTCTACGTCTCCACCGACGGTGCGGCCACCTTCACCGAGTCTGCCGCCTCTGCTCTCGGCAACTCCACTGAGATCCGCCACATTGCAGCTCACCCTACCCAAGCTGGTGAACTCTGGGTTTCCACCGATGCCGGTATCTTTCACAGCACTTCTTACGGACAGACCTTCACTCCTCTTGCCTCCAGCCCCGCCAACGCCCACGCCATCTCTGTCGGCAAAGGTGACGGCACCACCTGGAACTTGTACGTCTTCGGTAACGGCGCCGAGGGCAAGAAGCTGTACGGCAGCGCGGATGCTGGTGCTACTTGGACAGATATCCAGGGCTCGTACAGCTTCGGTGCTATTGACGGCGCTGCTCTGGTTGGGTCTGCCAACGAGGCCGGCGTTGTGTATGTTGGTACCAACGGCCGTGGTGTCATGTACAGCTCGTGCCCGATTTCCAACTCTACCGCTCCTGCTGCGTCTCCTGCGAGAAGGCATCTGCGTGGCCGCCCGATGAGGCTTGGAAGGGCTCCTCACAGGCACATGCATTGAATAACGGAGTCAGTACAGTATGGCACATAGAGAATGTTCTTCAAATGTATATATGTTGTTTGCGCCCCGGGATAACTAGTTCATGTCGGTGAAAACTTATCCATAAGTTGCTAAATTACCCGCGGCGTGAGGTTTGTGGGCTCGAAAGATGAGGCGCCTTTACGAGTAGAACACGATATTCCGGTACTCAAAGTCGCTACTAGCAGTAGCAATGTTTGCTACACACAGTCCTTGATCGAAATAGGCCTGCCTTTCTATAACTTCTAACGCGTATAAGACCTGTCGCGTTAGCATTACCGCGTGGTGTGGCGCAATAGCATTCAGGTCTGCAAGAAGCCAGTGACAGTCCGAAGTCACCGAATTCATCGGGAACGCCGGTGAAGGTTTTGCAAGATGTATGAAGAAAGTATGAAGAAACGTTTTTGATCCACTTCCAGATCATTGGAACATCTGAAGAGTTCTCACTGGACGCAGTAAGTGAAGAGAGACTTGACATTTCGAGGGTAGCGATTGTTGAGGACACAAGGCATTAAGCTGGAGAGAGGTTTTGCGGACCTTGAGGCTGGGCCGCTAGCTTCAAGGAACATGTGAATCATGTTTGGTAAATTGTGTATGTGTCTTGCAGCATGTGATCTGAAGTTGACGGAGACCGAAGGGGAGTAGGCTAGTTCGGCCGCCGAAAACTCCCGGCCCGGTCCGGCTCCGCGTGTATGTGGGACCGACCTCGGCGCCCGGCGGAGCGGCACAAACACCAGAATCCAGGACAGTTCCTCGAGAGGGAAAGGCTCGAAACTTCAAACGCCAGATACCTAAACCAGTTTGGATGGAATATATCGTGAAATGAGATACGTAACATGAATCACGAGACTCGGCAAATCATGGAAGTTCCAAATGGGAACCTGCAGGAGGTTTACCCCGCTCACAAGGCTTACTCTTCTCACCTGATTTACTCTCATTAATGCCCGTGGCTACTCATCATAATTACAATTTCTTAGCCATTTTTGTTTACGAGTATATAAAAAATATGAGGGAATTTATGTGATTAATCCGATTGCTACCAGTTTGGTGTGCCTTTCACTTTTAGCCTGTACGCGAAAGAGGGATCAGCTAGCCTTTGATTGTGCGCATTCCGTATTCTGTGTGGTAAGGTACATGGGGCTCTGCTGGTGCCCAGCATTCCACCTCACGGTTTGCCTGCAGTCGTGAGGCAGACACCGCATGAGGAGTAGATTGCGTGGTCTTCTATCATTGGTCCCGCCCAGACCATAGCAAGCGGGTGTGGGCTGATATTTTGAATATCAGTACGAATGACCAGGCCTCTTGATATATGGGGTTAGCTAGGCCAATTGTGAGATCCATATTGTTTCTATTCCGGGTTTCCTGTCGGATGGTGCGTCTGGGATATGCTTTCGATTATGCCTGACATGCATGCGGGCTACCCGCTTTGGATTTTGATGCACTCCTACGGCTGGTCGGGCGTAGAGTTGAGAATGAGGTTGTTGTCAGGCAGGCTGCAGCCTGCGGTTGAGCTGCGTTTGCAGTAAGGATTCATCCCAGAAAAGGACCAGACTGTCCTTCTATTTGCACGTAACGTTTTCGTCCTCCCTGTTTCCACTTCCTCTGACGTCGTCTCCAGTTTTGTCGTATCTGGTTGTGCCTTGGTTTGCCATCCTCAAACATGTCGGATCCATTGTCGATCGCCGCCAGCATTGCGGGGGTCGCTGGATTAGCTGACATCGTATTCAATCGCCTTGTCAAGTACGGGAGAATGGTCAAGAATGCGGAGAAGGAGATCAAGGACCTTGTAAAAGAGGTTGATCTACTTACTGGCGCTCTCGAAAGCCTTAAACGACTCGCAAGGCTTCTCGAAGATGGAGACTTTGAAGAAAGCCTTCGAATGAATCATATCGATGCTTGCAATAGCGTATTGATGGAGATGGACAAGAAACTGAGGAAGGTGGATGAGAAGTCTGTGAGACAGCGGCTTCTGTGGCCGTTCAAGAATGAACGCGTCAAGGAATGGTTGGAAGAATTATCCCGACACAGGGAAAGCATCAACCTAGCTTTATCCGCCAACTCACTGGATGCTATGTTGCGGGTCCTCGCACAGGCTGACCGCAATGCCTCAGAGATCGTTGCGGAGGTCAAGGAAACACGCAAGATTACCAGCCGAATCCACCAAGATTCAGAACGCCAAAAAGTGCTGGATTTCTTCCTGAAGTACAATCCCCAGCAAAATTACGACATGAGTCTCCAATTACGCCATCCGAGAACTGGACTTTGGCTGCAAAGGCTGCCCGAGTTCCAACACTGGCTACAACATCCCGACTCCAAGTTATGGCTGAAAGGAATCCCGGGAGCTGGAAAGACCGTGCTTGCGGGTTCAATCATAGAGGCGGCGATGGGAAAGAGCACAGAGACCATCCCGTCTGCTTTCTTTTTCTGCGACTACAAGGAACCACAGACACACGAAGTTGAAACAATTCTAATGGCTCTCGTCTATCAACTTGCCATCCAGAATGAAGAGGCGTACAAGAGACTAGAAAGATATTACGAAGAACTCCATCCATCCCGTGGCCTGCCCAAGGCTCCCAAGGCCACAGCGTTGGAACGGCTTCTGAATGAAATGGTTCAACTGTACGATCATGTGTATTTGGTCGTTGATGGACTGGATGAGTGCGGAACGCGCGTCGATGAGGTAGTCGAAACTCTTTGCGACATTTCAGAGGAGACGGAGAATATTTCTATGGCTCTTCTGAGCCGCGACGAAGATGAAATTCGAGATCGTTTGATGTACGACTTTGTCTCTGTCGAAATCGCCGCACACAAGGAAGACATTACGGAGTACGTCACGGCGGAAATTGCAGAGCGGATTGGAAACCGAAAGCTTCATATCCAAGACCCAGATCTCAGAGGAGAGATACTGCAAGGGTTGGTTGGCGGCGCCAAAGGAATGTAAGTCATGTCACCATTCCCAAGTATCTGCGTATTCAGAGGAGGACCTAACACTTGATTTGAAGGTTTCGATGGGTAGCCTGTCAACTAGACCATCTTGGACTGTGCGATTCGGATCAACAGTGTCGCGATGCATTGAAGACACTGCCTCCAGACCTAAACACTTCTTACGCTCGTATCCTGAAAAGGGTGCCCCCAAGCAAGGTTCAAATGGTCCAATTCGCCCTCCACTGTGTCGCATACGGTGGTTACCCGAGACTCACGATTCGTCAGCTGAGGGAGGTACTCTCGGTGCCAGAGTCAAGGACGTTTCTTGAGCCCAGCGCCATCATACGGGAGGAAGGGATCACGAGATACTGCAGCAGCCTCATTCGTAAATCGGCCGACAAGCTCCATTTTGAGTTCTCTCACTTCTCCGTCCAAGAGTTCCTAGAGAACGAATCATTACGAAACTCGGATCTGCAGGCTTTTTGGATCTCGGAAAGTCGCTCGAAATCCCTGTTGGCGATTGAATGTCTCAAGTTTCTCCAACTCAAGAGTTTCGACCATCCCAGTGTCGACACGGAAACCGACCAGAAACATGACGCAAAACGTAACTCGGACTTCGCATTGTACGAGTACGCAGCTACGCAGTGGTCCCAACACGCGCGTGGTGAATGGGAAAACCCCGGAATTCTTGAGCATGCAAAGCCACTTTTCCACCCTGTCAAAACACACAACTTCGTTGCATGGGTGAGACAGCTGGCGAACTCATTGCGACCAAGACTCCACAGTGATCTGCTGCAATGGTTCACGGACGCCGACTTCACCCCACTGCACATGGCAGCAACTCTCTCGCTGCCACATGTTTGCTCATTCTTGCTGGTGAAGGGCGTCAAAGCGAATGCGGAGAGCCGGCTTGGGACGCCATTGCAGTGTGCGGTTCGAGGAATACCGTTTCCCGCCGTACAAAACAAAAAGTTGCTGTACGCTCTCGGATCGAATGTGAATGATAGATGGGCCCCTAATGATGCCGACACTGTTGAGACTCTCAAATACTTGCTTCGAGCGGGCGCGTCTACGCATTTCCGAGGCAACCGAGAAGTGGTCAATCCTGGCATACTCGATGAGGCGTTTGAATTGGCTTACTCCAGACATTCATTTGACGTGCCGACGACCCTTATACAAGGCGGTGCTCCTCTAGATCACCACACCCTCGTGGAGGCAGAGGAAACATTCAATAACTGCCGAAACTTGGTCAACAAGAAGCCATTTCTCAAGACTTTGCGGTTGCTTGTCGAAACGTTAAATGATAATGTTGATAAGTCACCCGAGCATCTCCGCTTGTGTAGCATGGCATGGACAGAGGCGATATTTCTCAAGATCGACTTCACCTCTAACATGATAATCGATACGAGAGTTAGTCTAACAAAAGACGATATAATGAGACAAGCAATCGCGGCAGTCGAAGCTGGGAATCTCCAAGCCTTGCAGAGATTACAGCGCGACCCCCGTATTGATTTACCAGCTATTATGGACGAGAACGAGGATTCTTTGTTGCACCTGGCACTCAAGTCTGACAATGGCGACGAGAATCTCGGCATTCTCAGACTATTGCTTAATGCTGGCTGCGATGTACTCAAAGCCAACCCAAGCGGTCAACACGCAGTGCAACTGTGGGCCTGGGCCGAAGAAGCAAGAGTTCTCAGTGAGGCAGCCACCATGCTAAGAGAACGTGGTGTAAGCTGCTCACATCAGGACATGCAGGGCAGGAATGCTCTCCATAGTCACATCCATTCACCATTACTGCTTCATGCACTATTAAGCCACCTGCCAGCTGAGAACATCCGAGAAGCCATGGAGACCGTGGATAACGACGGCTTTACCCCTTTTTCAAAGGCATTGAACGAACAGCATCCCGAGTCTGCCCTCGTCTTCACCGAAGAAGTAACGGTCACACCTGCAATAGTGCAGAGTCCAACACTGGTTCTGTCATTAGCAGTGAAGGCTAGTGCTGTAGACATCCTCGAGCGTCTCATCCAGTCAGGTATTGAGCCTGAGTTTGCAAAGGTTGACAACCCCTTGCGATACCTCGGACCAAAAGCGACGGGTGATTTGGTTCACCGATTGAAATCATTATTTCCAGAGAGTTGCGCACGCGGTGTTGGCACAGAACCTCCATTGGCATTGTATCTGAAGTCTTGTCTTGAATCAAGCCAGTCTCATGTTGACGCGTCGGTCATGGATGCATTGTCTTTGCCCACCATGCTTTCAGCCTGCACTGACGACAAATGCACTGTCTGGAAGTCCTTCACGTCTCATATCTTACCGCGGGCAAAACTGCCCAGAGTATACACCAAGTGGGAGCGGGACGAAGCTCGGACGGATGCAACCACGGTGGCTGTCAGCTCTCTATTACGACATGCATACTTGGAGTCCTTCGAGTCTCACACTCAACGATCTGGAATAATCCCTCTCCTGGATGGGTTTGAGACAATAACTACCATGTACGACATGTGGCCGATATCCAGCAAGTCACTTTGCCTCGTTCTCGAAAAAACCAAACATTGGTCTGATATTCGAAGCTCGGCACGTCTCGTTGCCTTACTAGGAGCTGCTGTCAGATCATGTGATTTAGATCTCGCCAGGCTGCTCCTTCGAGAAAGAATCAACGTGCATCAACAAATTGATGGTGCCGGCTCTTCTGTGCTGGAAATCGCCTTGTTCGACCAGGTTTCATTGGGCGACCCTGATGTAAGATTGATGATTATGCTGGTATTGGATCACGCACATAAGTCACGCTTCAACGACACGGCTGTTGACACGGAGGGGTTGACTTTGCTACACCGGCTCCAAACTGAGGGGGGCGAATGGCTTGTCGAGGAGCTTGTCAAACGAGGTGCAGACCAAAATCGGCGCATGACTGGGTGGCCCAACTCTACACCTATCAACTATCACCTGTCAAATCGGCGCGAAGGGTATGCCGCCGCCTTGTTGGAAAATGGGGCAGATCCAACTTTGCTCAACAGTTGGAATCTTGATGCAGCTCTTTCTGCCTCTCTGCATGGCTGCTCGTCCTTCCTAGCTGAACTCCTGACAGGCGACAAGGATTCCAAGGCAATCGATTGGCAACGGAGATGCAACTTAATAATGACATCCTCAAAAGACCAGCCTACTCTTTGCAAAGTCACGGCATTTCACTTGGCTGCTAGTGGCGGGTATGTTGGAGCACTGAAACTTTACGCAGATCACCGTCTCATAGAAGACCTCGACGCAGTTTCTGATGATGGCCACACAGCCTTACACGTGGCGGCTCTGGGAGGCTTCCCGGCTGCTGTCGAGTTTCTCTGTGAACGAGGATGTGACGTCAATGCTCGGACAGCAGATGGTAGCTCACCTCTTCATCTTGCTGCAAAATCTACCAACAGTCAGAAATCGGAGGTGGCTAGGTTCCTTGTCAAGGCAGGATGTAAGCCATCCCGAGATTCCGCGGGGATGTACCCCTCATTTTGGGCATACGGAGATGACGATCGGAAGCTGTATCATTGGCTTCAATCGATTGAATCGAACACAGACCCTGCCCAGACTACGCACAACAAGCATACGGCGGCAGCCATCTCGACGAGAAAACAGGCTCAAGCGCTCTCCGACGCATTCGAATGTGCCATAGCCGGTGATGATATAAAACGCTGCCAGCAACTGCTTCTCGATGGCTGCAGACTGGATTTTCCTTTGAGAAGCTGCGGTGGCTGCTCACTTCTGATTAAAGCCATTGAGTTCAGGCGAGTTGATGTCATCAGGTGGATGCTGAAAGAGGGCGCAGATATTACCAAGACGGTCTGCCATCACAATCCTGTCCTGTCTGCACTTCACCTCGTATTGGGAGCCGAAGAGCTGTTTGAGATTCTCCCGGACAGTCTAGAGAACTACATGGAAAAGGGGGGGAGGCTCCTAGGAGAATCGCCACCATTGATTGGATCAGCCTTGGAAGCTACCAACGTGAAGGGACTAAAGCTTTTCTTGGAACATGCAACTGAGAATCAAAGCCATTATGGGTGAGTATCATCCCCCGAGTAACTCTCTCCGCGAGGTCTAACTATTCCGGTGAGAATGCTTCTGGGTCAAAACCCCAAGACGGTGCTTCCTGCGTTTGTCAACGAGGTAGACCAAGATGGATACACATTTCTCCACCACGTCGCAGAGCGGGGAAGCGTGGAAGTCGTTCAGCTGTTGATTGATGCTGGAGCTAACATAGATGCTGCCCATGCGACAACCGGGCAAACGGCCCTGCATCTGGCAATGTCGAGTTCAACAGACAGTAGTCTCGCATTGTACCTCATCAACCACGGTGCGAACCTTGAGATTCGAGATTGGTTGGGACGAACTCCGGTACTTTTTGCAGCACAGTGCGGAAATCAGCCCGTCGTCCAAGCGCTGATCGACGCCAAAGTCAACATTAAAGCCACGAACTACATGAATCAATCGCTTCTGCATCTGTTAGCGACAGCATACAATGGAAGCACGGCTTTTGCGGAGTTTCTCCGGCTTGGGCTGGCTCTCGACAAGAAGAATGCTGATGGACTTTCGGCTTTCCACCTCGCGCTTTTCAGTCACCAGTTCAGTTCACTTTTGTTGAATATGGATATCCGTCTCGAAGATATGAGCCCTCTTCCTTGGAACAGAATTTCATACCAGAATGCGGCTTGGCTGACCACCGCCTATCCGCTGTTTCGAAAAAAGTATTCACGGCAAGCACTCCGGAAGTTCGCGCAGCAAACCCTTTGCGGGTTTTGGAGCCCCTTGTGTATATCGGCATCACGTGGAATGGTACGGGCAGCGGAAAATCTACTCGACCTGGGAGTTGATATAAACCTTGAAGGATGTCCTCTGGGTTCAGCCTTGATGGCGGCCTGCACGGCTGGACAAGCGGACTCGGTTGCAAGTCTCGTTCGTCACGGAGCAATCCTGGCGTATGTTGGACCCGACGGTATCAGATCGGCAATTTCGGCATCGAAGGAACACCCTCATATTCTGCGTTGGCTGCTGGTAGATCGTTTCATTGAACAAGGAAAATTGGCTGCAGGTTCCCCTGACTGCCTGGATTGCGGGCAAGGTGGTGGGCTGTTCACATGGGGAGGTCCCGTAAAGGCGGAGTTGGTGATTACCGGAAATATGGAGCGACGGCCGACAGAATCATCTCGAGACTATTGGACCTGGCTCATGAATGAGAAGATCGCGTGGAGAGGAAGGATCTTGCCGCCGAATGGCACATCTCGCACCAGTCGTTCAGCCAACCTTGTCCCAGAAGAGCCCGTACGAGTTCACCCAGAGGGCTACGAGTTGAAGAGGTAACGGCTGAACAGCAGACGACACGACAACGAAGTTGAAATCAACGTCCTCATTTCAATAGAGCCACCTGTTGTCTTCGGCTATGTTCAAGAGCCAGGTAGTTCTCAATCCCGAGTCATATCCTGCCCTAGTGAAGGAGGTCTGTGGAAGCCGCAAGAAGTAAGGCTGAGGTCATGGAAGGACTTCAACCGAGTAACAGAAAATAGATGAGTTTTGGTTCGGGATGCTTCATATGCAAAGACCAGATGTTCATGATGGATGTTGGAGAGTTGCACACCATTTGGATTGGAATATAGCAGTTGCAAAGCATAGCTCAAATATATTATATTCGCCTCAAGACTAAATGCCTAGGCTTCGACCAAAGAAAAGCTTCGTCGCAACCTTTGCTGATGTGCTAAGTCTCACTGAAATTAGCATCTATGGATAGGAGAGACTTTCTCGTGTGATTCTCTCAGTAAGCAATAATGACAGAGTCAGCTGGTCGTGGGAATTGGGCCGATGAAATGAAGCCAATTTATGAACTCTTTCGTGAAATGCTACACTATGCAGCCAAACTGGACCTGGATCATGTGGGAAATAGTGCAAGACTGATATCGCTTGGTTTACCGATCGGTTTTTGTTGACATGCACACCGACGTACTCGCAGCTCATCACGGCCGGGAATATGCGCCAGCTCGCCCCTCACATATGCAGCTTTCAGTGTCAGTTGGCACCTGATGAGATACTTCTTCGCGAAATCTCTGTCCAATCTATTCTCTCCCGCGCACATGCAAGTCATACACGGTGGCGCCTCAGGATGAGCTGCCAAGCTTGATCTCACACCGCCTAAACTCGATGGAGCAGATACGAGTAGAGACAGCATGCGCGACGACCAGATCATTTCCCGGGTCGCGAAGAATGTTGCAGGGGAAGCGTCGCAGTGCCAAGTAAACTTGTTTTTCCGTATTTTCTCCAGCGTGATGATCTTGCAGCTATGGCTAGATCATATGTAATTTCGCATCCCACAGGAGTCTTCCTATGAATCCTTCGCTTGGCTTCTCATGGTGGCTCTCGACTGATATTCAAGCTGCGCGCATAAATAGTCTGCGTGTACTCACCATCGGGTCACAATTCAGCCTCTACATCTCGGTAGGACAGAGATCTCCGGCCATCTAGAAGGGAGGAAATGACTGATTCTTCGTTCACCATGTATCTTTCTCGAATGAGCGGTCTGTTGCCGGCGATTCTGGTTCTAATCCATCCCTGTCTTGGCACGGTGACAGGAGCCCACGAGAACCGCGGAGTGTCATCTGTCGAGACCTGCAAGTTTCTACGACAGTCTTACCCTGATATCACTCATTTTGGGAATGAACCCGAGTATAAAATCCTGAATGAAGGTTTGTGTTCTGAGAGATCGGATGGAAAGGCTTCTGTAACTGACATTCAAACTTACTAGACTACTTCACTGCCGCCAGTTGGCTTGGGCCAGCTTGCATCTTCGCCCCTACGAGTGCAGAGCTGATGTCCTTCGCCGTCAAAGTTCTCGTAAAAGCTGGAGTTCCCTTTGCCGTACGGGGAGGTGGACACATGCCAATCTTCGACTCGAATAATATCAACTTCATGGGAATTCTTCTCTCCTCATCTGGTCTGAAGCAGCTGCGCCTTTCGGAAGACAGAGCGACCGTGACCGTTGGGCCTGCCAACAGCTGGGGAGATGTGTACCGATACCTTGATCCAGCCGGTCTTACTGCCGTTGGAGGTCGTCTGGGTGTTGTTGGAGTCCCCGGGTTCCTTCTCGGTGGCGGCATTTCCTTCTTTTCTAACGAATACGGATGGGCATCTGCCAATGTCCAGAGCTACGAGGTAACCGAGGTCGCGACCAATTTTCAAGTCCCGCGCTGACATTCCCATCAAATAGGCAATTCTGTCGGATGGAGAAATCGTCACTGCTACTGCAAACAACAAGTACTCCGACCTATTCTGGGCACTGCGGGGTGGAGGCAACAGCTTTGCCATTGTGACCAGCTTCGATCTGAAGACGGTGGATGCTCCTGTGGTTACAGTTGGAGTCGCAGTTTACGGTATCGGACAGAGCGAAAACTTCCTCGACAGCGTCTACCACTACGCTCTGGACGGATCTCAAGACAAGAAGTCTGCCGTGATTCCAAACTGCCAATGGTCAAGCGCCTCCCCAACGACACCTTCCTACACGTCGTATTTGTTTTACAATGGCAACAACACACGTCCGGAAGCCTTGAGCAACTTCACAACGTCGGCTGCCATGCCCGCAGATCTGACGGACGTTATTCCTCGTACTATGGGACAGTGGGCAACCGCCACTGAGATAGGCTGGGACCAGGCTCACGGCCTGCATTTCAGATTCCGAGTCCTGGCGTTTAGAGCTAATAGGGAAGCCATGTCTATCGTTCATGATACCTTCATGGCTTTGGCTAACCAGCATCTCGCCGCGCTCCCTGGAATGGGGTTCACAATCACATTCATGCCAATTTCCAAGTCTTCCATCACCGCAAACCGCGGCCATGGACGTTTGGGCGATCCGATGGGCATTGACGAATCCCAGGGCCCATTCATCTGGGTAGAAGCGAGCTCAATGTTCCCAAATGGCGAGCATGAAGAAGCAGTCACTTACTTCTACGACATCGTCAACGCGAAGATTGAGTCGAAGCTTGCGCCGCTCAACGTCTTGACCCCGTACCTGTATCTCAACGATGCGGACAAGAGACAGCCAGTTTTTGAGGGGTATGGGCGCGAGAACTTGGCCCGTCTGAAGAAGATTAGGGACAAGTATGATCCTGACAGGGTGTACACTGATCAGATGCCTGGAGGATTCAAAGTTGCAGCGGCGAAATAAGCCTAGATGGACGGCGGATTGGTAAAATTCTTGATCATTCGCCCAGAAAGCTCTTTGCATGCAGCATACACACTGGACAGCACTTAATTCAATCTCACCCTTAATTGGATAGATACGGACCAAAGTCTCCGAAAGCTATACGACTTCGATGAATCATCTAGAAGAAACTTGGGCTGAAAGCTGCTTCAGCTCAGCTCCTATCACATGAAAGATGAGTTCCATCGATCTGCTTGAGAATCCAGGTACATTTCCGCATGGCCGAGTGCTCAAAGTGACATTGATGGAGTATTTCGTTACATACAAAACCCAAATATGCTGTCAGTCGCAACGCCAAACATAGTGTCGTACCCAAGAGGGCCGTTATTGGGAGCGAAGTCCCATGCAGCTCCGTTCCACTCGTTGATGGTGCCTTGCGTATGCATATCCGATCCCAATATCGAGTCAAGCTCGGCTTGAAAGCCTATCGAGATACGTATGTTAGTCATCTCTCAACTCGCAGAAACAAAAGGAGCCATATATCACTCACTTCCAACACCCTGCCAGGTCTCAGTCTCCGTTTCGTCCATGTTGATATTTTGCGACACATTTTCCAGCCTACGCATCAAGGATTTCAGCAACTTTAATGGTTTTTGTAGGCCATAGTTACAGCCTTTCTGATATTCCAAGAGTGCACGCCAAAAGAAGCGGATGCAGTCGATGTACTCATCCGAATCGTGGTCGGTCTGTTGAAGGATGACGACAACAGCGCAATAGCTGGCATACGAGATGCCGTATTGAGCACGTCTTAGAGTGAAGGCTTTCTTGTATGCTTCCACGAGTTGCCAGATGTGAAGCGCTGCTTGTATGCATCTCTCTCTGGTTTCGTTTTGGGCTTCCTGTTCCAACGAAAACGAGAAGTGGCCGCGGTTGAGGAACGCTTGCTCGGTCAAGATGACTAAGGTTGAGAATATTGCACTTGAGTACGTATCAGTGAATGAAACACAACCGCCAGCCTACTTACTGAGGAGTAATTTGGTGTGGTGGAGGCGTCTCGTCAACGCCGGGCCTGAATCGTAACCATGACGGTAACTCATCTTGCCAAGCCACAAGCATATTTCGAATTGTTTCTCTTTCTTTCAATAGAACCTCCTTCCCGATCTGGATACTGCTGGCCGAGTAAAACGCTTTGATCACTCGACCCATGATATCGCACAGCCGGAGTAGGCTTGTGAAGGTGCTCAGGGCATAAGAAGGTCGCGGTTGATAAACCGGTAAGCTGATCTCAAAGGGCTGGGTCATAGGATCGTAATAGGGCTTCCACTCTTCCAACTCCTCATACGAGTCGAGGTACTCTCGTGGTACACTGCCGCTGACCTTTTGCATCTCGGGAGACCTTCCTAAGAAGAGGGACTGTAGCATATCCCCGACATATGCACCCCAATAGACTCTTCTCCGAAGCTCTAAATCAATGGCCGTAGTGCCTGGGCTTATATTTTGGTTAGCGTCTGGTCGAATATCAAGGTGACAGCCCAGGTCGGTCAGCATTCTATAGCCAATCCCGCAAAATATCCATCCAGCACTTTGTTTGCCGCGAGGCACAAGACATGCGCCGCAGGTTAAGAGTGCAACTACGGTCGGTATAGTCGGCTTGTCGATGAATTCGGGTAGCAACGACTTAAAGCGGTCATAATATGCCATTCCACGGCTCTGCGGATCGTTTGGCTGCAAGCGAAGACATGCCCGGTCGCTGTATAAACTGCTTTGAAGATAGATGGCGTTCAGCAGTAACTTATTGACATAAGGACCGTTTCGTACGAGACTGTCCATGACGGCGGGACGATATGTCAGGAGATATGACAGATGCTGTCGGTTCCAATGTAAGTCTAGTAAGTGTATTGCTGTGTCCGCAGGAACTCCATCAAAGTCGATATTGGCTATCATGCTGGGGGATGAATGAAGCATCATCTCCTCTTGTCTTCGAATGGCTGCGTTTGAGATCAGGCGGTCTTTCAGAGCCGTTTGGGACAGCGAACTGCCTTCCTCAACAGGTTTGGGACGTGAATTGGCCAATGGTGACTGTGATGCGTGATCGTGCAGCAGACTTGTTGCGCCGTACACTTGAAGTTCCTCGACAAGGTCGATCTCTGCTCCAGCAGGACCCGATCCTCCCTTGTCGGAAGTCTCCTCGACGTGACTCACAGCGTCTAGAGCAGTGGAAACAGTGACCGAGATGCCTTCTCGGCTATTGCAGGATGTCTCGAGAGGGGTGGGAGACTCGACACTGAGCATCGATGACTGGACATGATCTGACGTGGCCAGGGGCTCATTGTGCGTTATTTCGAAGAGCCCGGCCTGTTGAGGGGTTTGAGGTGATTCGCTGAGGTCAATAGACCGAGAGTTATTCCCGTCATGGCGCTGTTGCATTTGACTCTTCAACGCATCCAGTTGGTCCTGAAGAGCTTTGACGTCTTCTCTTCGTGTCCGGACAGCCGTTTTCCTAGCATCCCGCGGATATTCACAGGTGAGTCCCCTTGAAGAGCACGCACTGCACGTGGGATGTCGGCCATCGCATTTCACCTTGATAAACAGTTTCAGTCAGTCAATGCCCTCTCTAACCATCTTCTTTCTGGTGAAATCCAGAGAACAAGCGTGCATTCGAATCCAATACGTCTTTCTCATGAGCTCTGCAGGCCCTCTAGATGAACGACCCTATAGAATGAACTTCTTCATTACGCCAGTTTTTCATCAAACATTCAACAACTTTACCTTTCTCTTGCGACATGTACTGCATGTTCTACAGGTCGTTGCGCCGGTTGCAGCGCGAGTGACACGTCGTCTGGAAGTCAGAGACGAGTCCCGTGTTTCTCCGGAGGTCGGCATTTGGTCGGACCTGCTTTGCGCGGTTCCGCGAAGGTACCTTTTCGAGAATTGACTTCAAAATTATTTCTCCGAGACAATTGAGCAGTAGTTTCGAGGGTACATGCGGAGTTGCTGCGGTAGAAAGACTACCGAGGTGCTTTTTGGTATGAAGTTGAAAGAAGACCGTGGCTTCGCGGGCCCAGGTCTCCGAAGTACGGACATTGAAACCACCGCGGCCCACTTTCGGGATCTCCACGAATGATGGGGCTTGTTCAAACTACGGGCTTAAATGCCGACATACGCAATGGACTCGACGTCTACTTTCCGGCTGTTCATTGTGAACGTTCACTTGCTCAATCCTGCACTCACATTGAGGTCCCTGTTCTACAAAGTAATTATCCTGTTATTGTTGTTTCATTAGCATTCCAAGCTGACCCTGAGCTCTAGGAAGCCCGCAAACATGAAAACCATCGGCATCGTTGGAGGCATTGCTTGGCCAAGCACTCTCGTCTACTACAAGGAGATCCACGAGTACTTCAAGACCCGGACGGCGAGCGATGGCCATCACACCCCAAGTCTCATCATAGCTCAAACCGACTTCGCTCTCATTGAGAAAGCCCAAGCCGAAGGCCGGTGGGATGAAGTCGGTCGACTGCTTGCCGAAGAGGCAAACAAACTCAAAGCTGCCGGGGCCGACTTCTTTTTATTGGCATGCAATACGGTGCATACAGCGGATTCTTTCATCACCAAGAATGTGGACCTTCCCATGATCCATATTGTCGATGCTGCGGCAAGTAAGGTCCTCGAGAAGGGCTGCAAGACTGTCGGCCTCCTCGGAAGTCGATACACCATGAGAGGAACGTACTTTGTCGGGCGGTTGAAGGAGAAGTACGGACTGGAAGTTTTGGTAGCTGAGGGTCAACATGAGGAAAATGTGCACAATGCGCTGTACCAGGAGCTAGCGAAGAACATCTTCTTGGAGGAAACGAGGCTCAAGTTCAAGGCCGCGATTTATGATCTGATCTCGAGAGGTGCGGAGGTCATTGTGCTGGGGTGTACAGAATTTGGCATTCTGGTTAGCGATGAGGATAGCTCTGTCCCAATCATCGACACTAGCATAGCGCATGCTCAAGCAGCAGTCGATCTTGCTCTTGAAGCTTGATATCGCTAATCAACTGCATCAAATTAAGCGTTGGGTCATGCTGCTCTACAACCAGGCCGGCACTATCATAGCATGAATTTATACATATACCTCGATATGTCTCGAGTTATATCTTGGTCAGTAGCAGAGGCAGAGATTAAAAAAAAAGAACAACAGAACAAATCTGAGATTTAGAAACATTCTGAGAAAGAGCCTGATTGGTATTACCAGCTTGCATCGACATTCTCTGAAGGTCCCAGAGGGTGACTTATATCATGGATGCGGTTATGAGATTACTGCTAAAGCGTGAGGGGCTTTCAGTCTTCAATTGTGATTCAAGATGAACAGTATCTATCACAAAACCTTGCCGAAAGAAAATCCTGTCTCCAAAAACTACTTTTCAAATCCTAAATCAGTCCTATCTGATTCACACTCGGTGCGATTTCTAAGCTCCGAAGATTCCTTCAACAACTCCAAACATTTTGTGATTGAACATTCCTCCATCTCACGGTACAAATCAAAACTGTCTTTGACCGTACAACCAAGACCCCTTTCAAATGCCTTCTTGTCTTCAGAAGCACGTTGGGTTTGCAAAAAGCTTGCTCCGAGATTCGAATGAAAGATGCCAGCAGCGCTCACAGGAAGAAAATCCTCATACGTAATTGGCTCGTAAGATAAGATGCCGGCCTTGACCAGTGTATCAACGTCGCCGATATTCTCCACCTCAGTATTCGAACTGGCAATCTTGTATGTGAAGTACGCCAGCCTACGTTTTCGCAAAGACTCAAGGTTGTCAGGAAAGTCTTCGAAAATGTTGGCCAGTGCCTCTTGTTTTGATGCACCTCTCCCCACGTGCTGAAGTCTCTGAGATATGAGCTGGTCGTAGAGACTTCGACCAGCAGGCGTGAGAGCCATGCCTCTCTGTTCGATCTCGCCAAACCGTGCTCTGTGTTTCCCGCCCTTCTCAGCTCCGTCGGAAAAGGCAACTTCTTCTTCCAGCGCAAGAAAGCTGGTTTGTCGCAGAAGTATCGGAAACTTTCTCGGAGGTGGCCCTTCAATCCCAGTCTTTGCCTTCAGACCACGCTTCTGCATTTCAACTTGGCCGGCCTCGATGTCCAGCACGCGTGGCGTGAGATGGTTGATGTGAGGTCCTTTGAAGCACACCACATCCGCAATTAGGGGATGAGCTTCCCGGAGCTTTTGGTATGTCTCCATGTCCACCATTGAGGTTTTATGCCAGCGGAATATCTCAACAGCCTCTAGCAAGAATTCTGTGGCTTTATATCGAGGTACCGAAGGACACGATTCCAAGTCGTTGATAAGCTCAACGCAGCGGGGAGTGAATATGTCCCGTCGGCTCAGAATCTCATCTGCTCGGGAGCGAAGGTCAACATCGTCGATCAAGTCGAGCCTCAAAAGAGACGTGAACACGCGGAATGGGTTTCGTGCCAATGCCTCGCGGGTGAGCGGCCGGAAGCAGGTGGCGTGAACGGGCAACCCAGCAACGGTAAGATCGTAGTAGCCAACAGGATGCATGCCCATAATGGCAAAGAGCCGACGCATGGTATGCAGCTCCCCAGTTGTACCCAGACGGATCGCGCCGTGACGCTCGACTTCCACCCGGTGCTGAGAGTCTTGCGACAGCTCTTGGTTGCACCGTCGGTTGACGTCTGACACCAACTCCAGCAGCGTTCCGTATTGGGGCACTTCGGATCGGTACATCTCGGACAAAGCTGATGCAAACATCGCCCGAATGTCATCTGGAGTCACGAAATCGTTGACGGTGACCATAGTGAAGACGGGCAGTGGGGACGAGGAAATGAAGTAAGGAGATAGTTTTGTCTTATTGATTCGGGATGAGGGTCGATGTCGAACGATACCGAGTCACGTTTGTAATACATAAGACTGAGATGCCAGTTGGGTTAGGCTGTGAACCTGAGGTTCTATGGGACTTCAGGTTTTAATATGGGTTGAAATGATATCTCGGACTTGCAAAGTCCGATGACCAAGCATGTATCTCGGACATCTATTGCCGACATGACTTTCGGATCACCTTACACGAGAGAGCTCCTCTGAACTCTCCGTTTTAGCGAGTCAGTAAAGACCTTTTGATGCCAACTGAGGGAACTTGAATACTCCTGAAAAGTAGCCACGTACAATCGGTAACTGTCCTCCAACTAGATCATCACCGTTGAAATTTTAGAACTTTGGAACAGGTATAAGTGCAAACGGATTCACAGCAGCTCGGCAAATTATCCCAGCCATAATAGTATTCAATTACAACGGACTTCAGAAACCTAAACGTTCAAGTGTGTACAGGAATTACAACCATCGCAACACGATCCCAGCCCCACGTGTCAAATGTTACAACTATCCAAGCCTTGGTCCACTGGCCTTTAACAGCCTATCATCTGAAAGGTCACTATCTCAGGCGTCAGACAAGACGACGAAGAATCCAAGCGGGCAACCATCAGTTCCCTGGTTGAAAGTGAAGACAGTGTCAGGCGAGCAAAGACTGCCAGACACGGTGACGGTGCCAGGAATCTCAGCTGGAATACCACAAGGGGCGCTGTTGACGATCTAGAACACGCGAAAAGGTTAGACACGTTCATATCGAAGGGAGAGTGATTAAAATCACTTACATAGCTGTTGCCCGGCTTCATGATCGGGGGAGGGTTCGGCGGGCTCGGGCCGGGAGCGGGCTGGTTCTTGTACGTTGTCTTGCCAGCAACGGCACCAGCCCCGATGGCGTAGCCAGTGAATTGGAAAGTTCCCGGCCCGTAGAAGAGAAACTTTCCAAGAGCTTGGTCTTGCGCGGGGAAGTCGAAGACCAGGTTGCAGATCTTGCCTTGGGTCTGCGCCACGGGCAAGTTGAGGTTGAAAACGGTGCAGATATCGTTCGGGGTAACCACTGCCGTCTTGGTTGCGGGGAACGCAACGTTGGGCAAGTTCTTGGAGATGGGAACGAGCAAGTCGGTGTTCACATATGTCTTGCCAAGAGTACCGTCGGGCTGGGCTGCGTTGGGCGGACAGGCGCATGTGGCCTTGCCATTACCATTACCGCCTTTACCATACGTGCTGTAGTTGGGGGCAGCAACGACGGTAGCGGCAAGTGCCAGAGCGCTGGTAATGGTAGAGGTCTTCATGTTTGCAATGAGATACTTTGATGGAAGCCCGGTTGGACTGTTGCGTAATCTTTTGAAAACGAAGGACTGGGTAAGAGAGAGAAGATTGGGAAGGCCGAGGAAGAGATGTGTTGTTGAATCAGTGATGGCAACTTACAGGAGCACGGAAAAGGCATTCATATATATAATTTATCGTGAGATCGTGTTGTTGCCGCGCCGACTTGCTCGGGCACGATCACGAGGGAGAACTTCTGCGCTTACTGCCAAAGAGACCAGGCATCAAGGATTACCTACCGGCTTACTGATTCCTGCCGCTTCATATTTTACTCTTGACAGGTTCAGCCTTCCTCGAGGACAATAGTTGCTTCTAGGGCGAAGGAGCAGCGCACCGTTGTTGCGGATTCGAGAAAGGAATACGGCGTTGACTAGGAGTTAAAATCTGATGCGCTTTGGTAGTTGTTTTTGGAGATCAGCCGCCACATCTCTGTGCCATTTGCTGACCGTTAGTTGAGTCAGACAATAAACCCAATCTTATGTTTTTTTTCGTCTAATTCCTTGATGCGTGGCGCTTCCAACAACTGCCGGTGGCTTCTAGGTCCATGTCCGGGCGCCAGAACAATGGCACAGCTGGATCCCATCTTGCTAACCTGGAGTGGAATCACGTGAGAACAACATTGAAGTCTTGTTATTGATTTAAAGGAGTTAAGCTTACTGTCATCTCATGACTGGGGAAGCCCGCGAGACGGCTTAAGTTTCACTTCCACATGAACTTTCCACGATGGGACGATCATCTCATAGACCTACATGTGCTCATATGGTGATCATCATATCCACCCCGCAGATTTTGACAGTTATTCGAGACGGACATCGGCCGGTGTCACGCTCACTGCCAATAGCCTATATGAGATGTTTGTTCCCTGCGTAATAGCGCTTGGCATTGGTCCAATTGAACTTTTGGACTTGAAAAGAAGAATTGCTGCAGCATCAGTGCAAATATTTCTCTTTGGCATTTGGAGGGGGGCATTCAATTGCCCCCATGACCCGAGGTGTGAGCAGGACGTGACAAAGAAAGGGTGCGGCGGTTCGTAGCAGAAACTCAGAATCTCATCTCCAGCGAGGTGGTTCAGGTTGTTTTTTTCATGGTCAACAAGTGGATTCCTTAACGGCCGCCTTCAGATGGAATCTCAGTCTGGTAGAGGTTGACCTGCTGTCAAGGACAAAATAGATGGAAATGAGATGGGTTTCTGCAGACATTGAGTCACGTTTCTCCTTCATAGTCTGTATCTCAACTTCCATTCGCTGAAGGCTACGTAATCAGAAGCTTGACATGGGCATCTGGCTAGGATGAGCTTCCGCGTGGACTCTCTCAATAAGATATTGCGTATTCACACCTCGCGATTGTTTGGCTGAGAGAATAAAATTCCACCTCGCGCTGGGAAAGAAGCATGGTGAGCGGTCCCACACTGTATTGCACGTGTTGTTTTCGGAAGTTGAAGTCCTCCGTCCTGTGTTCTTCTCAGAGGCTTGTTCTCATTCCCATAACAAAGAGAACTTTGCAGAAACAGACAGTCAGTTGCATGATAGCTGTGTACCTACCTCGTGACGAAGTTTCGCAACATTAAGAGACTGCCACATGAGTGTGTCCTCTTGCAAATGACGATCTCCGGTGTTAGGAAACTCGTACGGTCTAGGCTCCGGTAGTGATGATCTTTGCTTCTGATGGACCAAAGCTGCCAATAGCACCATGCCGGCGGAGCAGTTGGCTCAGGCTATCGACCGAGTCATGGAGCTATCGCCGACTTTGATGCTTAGAAAGTCGGTCTGGATCGATCGTTGTCATTTGTCCGCGGGGCTATCAGGTTATGTATGTGAATGTTGATTGCAAGGCCAAAAAAATGTCGACTTTATTCGGCCGACTCTGATTCATTTAGGTATCTTGTCCGATAGCAAGACGCGTCAACAGGCGCGCTCCGCCAGTGACGATCGGCAACAGTGCATGACGATGTGGCTTAGAACGCTCTACGCAGCGTGCCCACTTCCCGTACACCCCTGAGAATCGTGTATCCCTGCCTTTACCACTTTAAATTTCTTAAATGGTGACTTATGAAATGTGCTGGCTGTGCAAATACTATTTCCTACCGTAGTTTTCTCTAATGTTACGTCGTGTTTGTTCGTGTATTGCTCAACCGCTAGAATGATAGGGGACGGTTACAGAAGAGAAAGACTTTGCGTCGCCAATCTATTCGTCCGCAAGCTATATCACGAACTGGGTTCTTATAAATGTCGTCCTCCACATTGAAAAGTTGCCGAAGGCCTCCTGGAATACTGGACATCGTGGAAGTCTCCCATTAGACTTGACAGGAGTACGCGGACAAGGCTGGAGCAGATCTTTACAGTTACCGGTAAAGATTTTGGTCGACGTTGTGATTGGATGCCGGTGGGATAAAAGAAATGATAGCTTCCTGTAACAACTTCTTAGATTGAGGGAGTGGCATTGCGCGTTCCCATCGTTGATATGTGGGCATCACCGGAACTATCCAGAGACCCATTCCCAATGCCTCCCGATGATGCCTGCTTTTTTTAGACTCAGCAGATTCAAGTGGCCAATCGGCTCAAGGCTATTCTAAGTCGAAGCTGACGACACAGAAAGATCCGGTTTACAGGACGATGTTATTCAACCGGTTTCGACGATGTGGCATAGCAATCCCTCCGCCAGTTGTGATGATTCCTGAGCGTCCAGGGAACCCGACAGTGTGACATTACGTGTACTGATTCTTCCGATGACATTATTGGAACGATCATTGGCCAGTCTGTGTATTCGGCGATGGCTTGGTGAAGTCTTGGGATCGTCATGATCAAGCTTTAAGGCTGCGCCGTGAGCCTCTAAACTCCACAAATCTGACATCTACAGCATTCTTCCGTTGAAAAATATCAGACGAAACGACCCCATCGAATCGTTTCGATCTTCGAACAGCCGTATTGTTCGTCTCATGATTGCCCAGTTCAGACCCAGAACCTAAAGCCATTTGATCTTTCGTCTTGTGCGATTGAAATCTCGTCACCGAGAGAACTTGGAAATCACCCCTTGATTGCCAAGTAGCAATATTTCATGTTGATGAATTGACCATCCCGAGAACAAGGCGACTCCGAATTCCATATCTTGCTGACAATGACAATGATTGCCGCAATGCTCGAGGACGCGCAGCCGCCCCCGCATCCCGATCTGAGCCACTCTTTACGTCCGTCGGCGATAGCGCAAGTCCATGAAAACGGCTGCCAGGGAAGAAGCCTCGGCACTTATTCATAATAACATCCAAGTCGACTTCACAGCTGGCACAGGTCAGCCTCTCGGAGAAAACGATTTCATTAACAACGCGTGTGGTTGGCTGACGCAGAGCTTAACCCCGCAAGTAGTAGACGGACTGATGTGAGGAGACAGAGATATCCCTTGAAAACTTCCCGAAGGCACGGCGGGAGGCTGTTGGCGCTGCCGCTTTGGCGGGCTATTTTTACAGCATCAGTTAAACAACACATCGACGATGATTGGCCGCTACTCATGAGTGAACGCGTCTTCACTCTTCGTTGACGGGTTCGTCCCGGTCTCATCCCAGTCAAGCGGGTTTCGTTTCGGTATGTGGGATGCCGTCCCGTTCAAAAGGAGGCTTAAACGGCGGCACCGGCTCCGCTTTTCGCGGAAGGGCTTGCGCGTAGGGCCACATCCGGATGCTTTGTCTGGCTCACGGAGCAGCCCGGTCGTCGACCTGCCGGGATATGATCGAGAAGAATTAGCCTATGTGGAGGTCGTCGTCTGGGGCTGATGACTTTTGCGCGAGACGTCAGTGGCCAGCCTGCTCACGACGACGGATTGAGCCCCTGCCAAGACGTTGAATCTAGGTGAAGTCATGGCCTCGGCTCCAAAGACAGCAATTAGGGGCAATTTGGTAAAGGGGGCAACGTCGTCGTCGTCCTCCTGGGGGTCCACCGAGGCTCTGTTTCTCCATACCAAAGAAGGTTGACGTTGTTGGCCCGGGACAGGGGCAAGGCATTCGACGCTAATTCTACCATCACGGCGGAAGCCCACGCAATCGGAGCCACCGTCCACGTCTCCCGAGTCAACATAGGAGGCTAATTGTGATGGCTGTGATGACCTGGCTCCACAGTTGAACTCATGCGACGAACTCCCATCATGGAACTGATGCGGTTCGTGGGGGATGCCCAAGATCTAGATGTCATGTCGTTGAGTATAATAACCCAAGCTTCGTTCCCTCCAGAACCGAAAAGAAGATCCTCACCAGCATCACTCTCACTCACCAACCATCTACCTCTCGCTCTCACTTCCCAAACATCCTCTTGTTCACATCGACAAGTCGTATAAACACATTCTTTCTATCAACAACTTCACAACCAACACCCACAACAACCGCCGAAATGCGTTTCTCCTCCGTCGCTTCCGGCCTCGCCCTGCTCTCCGGAGCCGTTGCCCACCCCGGCCACGACCTCACCGAAGAGATCGCCGAGCGCCGCGCTTTCCTCGGCAACGTCAAGCGCGCCAGCTTGGCGCACTGCGCCGACAAGCTCGCGGCCCGCGGTGTCACCGCCCGCAACGTCGCCCGCCGCTCCGCTCAGGTCGAGAAGGCTCGCCAGAAGCGCAACATCAAGAAGCGTGACGCCGCTTCCGTCCTGGCTACTTCTCACAACCAGACCGCGCTTGGCTACACCCTTGAGACCGACGCCGCCACCCTCTTCTCCGGCAACAACTCTTGCGTCCTTACCCCTGAGGTCACCCAGGGCCCTTACTGTAAGCCACTTGACTCCCAAGATCTGCTCAGTCCATCGCATACTAACTCATCTTCTAGACGTCTCTGGCGAAGATGTCCGCCGCAACATCATCGAGGAGCAGGAGGGCGTCGACATTGTCCTCGACTACCAGGTCATCGACGTCGACACTTGCGAGCCCGTCCCCAACGTCTACCTCGAGATGTGGCACTGCAACTCCACCGGTGTCTACTCCGGCATCGTCGCCAGCGGTAACGGCGACTCCTCCGACGAGACCAACATCGACAAGACCTGGCTCCGCGGTATCCAGCCCACCGACTCCGACGGTGTCGCCCAGTTCGAGTCCATCTTCCCCGGACACTACACCAGCCGTGCCACTCACATCCACCTGATGGTCCACCACAACGCCACCCTCTACTCCAACGGCACCCTCGGCAACGAGATCACCGCCTCCCACGTCGGCCAGACCTTCTTCGACCAGGACCTCATCTCTGCCGTCGAGGCCTTCGCCCCCTACAACACCAACACCCAGGAGCTCACCACCAACGCCGAGGACAGCATTCTCTCCGAGGAGACCGCCACCGATGGCGTCGACCCCCTGATGGAGTACACCCTGCTCGGCGACAGCGTCACTGATGGCCTTTTTGCTTGGATGGCCTTCGGTATCAACACCACCCTGTCCCAGACCGTCACCCCCGCTGCCTTCCGCTACTCTTCCGGCGGTGTTGAGAACGAGAACTCCGGCGGCGGTGCCGGCGGTGCTGGCGGCAGCCCCCCTAACGGCACTGCTCCCCCTTCCTAAGTGCATCACTCGACATCTGAACAAGATTGATCGGGCGGATTTTGGACATGCATAAGCGTTGGTTGCGGTAAACATTTGGTTTTCCTTTGGCATACGGATGGGGAGGATTTGCATATAGATCGGCGTTCTTTGTTTGGCTTTCATTATATACCACAAATTCAAATTTCATCGCTGGAACTTCAGATTCTTTCGCAGTGATTTGTATGATTTTTTGATACCAAATATGCCTGAATTCTAACTTGATTCATCCTTCTACGGGTCAAATCATTCTAGACCTAGGCAGTGGGAGTGGGCAAGCATGAGCATGCGGAGCTGACCCTCGAGATCACATTCGTCGGGCATGCCTCGGCAGCGTACTCAGGCACCACAGTAACATCCGCAATGACCGTCTTCGTGAACTCGTCGCAGAACTTCTGGGACTCTTCCAGCCGACCAGGAACGCTAGAAGCCCTCAGGGCCCGCAGGCAGTTGTCGGCGTTGCAAGTCTTTGGCTTGCAAGCTTCCTTCTTCGTCATCTTCACCAAGTAGGCACCACGCTCAATGGTGTTCACAAAGATGAAGCCGGACTTGAAGTACGCGTAAGAGGACCAGGTACCGGAGAACTGGATGGCACCGCCTCCAGGCAGCGAGTCGTCCTCGGGGTAGATATCGAAGTAGGCGATCTCGCACACGCCGTTGCCGGTGGGGTCTTCCGGGACAGACGAGATATCCCAGACGCGGACACCGGCACCGTAGTTGGATTGGACGAGGAGATCCCCGACGACGTACTGGTTGTGGTCGATTCCCTTGACGTTGTGCTTGAAAAGACCAACCTGCAGGGGCTTCTCAAGGCTCTTGATGTTCCAGATGTAGGTGACCGGGTAACCGTCCGCGGCAGGTCCGGCCAGCTCATCTTCGTCGTACTCGTCATCCATGAAGAGCCATTCTGCTTCGGTCAGAACTCATGCAACCAGAAACACAGCGTAAAGGGATTCATACCTTGCCAGTTCACATCGTTGACCCAGCCCTGGTGGGTGAAGGTGGCGCCCTCGTATGAAGTACGGGAGATGATCTTGGAGTCCTTCTTGTCGGAAACATCGTAGCTGTGATGAGGCGTCAGCAGAGAAAACATTAAGTAAGGTGCAACTGAGCAACTAACATAGTCAACGTGTCTTCGTTATATCCGTAGCAAATATCGCGGCCTTGGTACTTCTCATCCGGGCCTCGGTAGATGAGGCATTGGGCCTGGGTGGGTTTGATTAGCCATCAATCTTTCACATACACCATTCATCGTCGGAGCACTCACATCGTGAACATAGCCATCCTGGCCATCGCAGCCAAGAGCAACGGGGTTGCTAGGGTCTTCAAGACTGAAAAAGTACAGACCACCCATGCAGCTCTCGTTTCTGGGCTGCACGCCGACTGCGACGGCGTACTTGGCCTCTTCGTTGACAACCACATTGTGGCTGCGACCCAACGGTAGAGTCTCGATGAAATGGCCCGTGAGATCATTGTCGTTCGAGAAGAGAATGGGGGCTTCGGTGGCGTCGATGTCGAGAAGCTAGGCTGAGAGTCAGTCATTCTGCATTTCACGGTGTCGGAGTTGTTTCTGACCTTTGTCATGTCGAAGATTTGGATACCGTGTCCTTCGAGCTCACTTCCGATGAGCATGTAGTTCTTGTAAGGGCGGATCTCGTGCCAGTAGGCTCGGTCGCCAACGGGCGAGTATGTAGGGCTGAGGACTGTCAGAGTAGTTCATATGACTTTAAAGTGGAAGTCTGCACTTACAGGAAACCTAAATTCAGCATCTTGCCCTCGGGGAGGATCTCGATGAAAGCACAACCGTCGAACATGCCGCTGACTATTTAATGAGTGTGTCAGGACATGAATCTCAATCACCACATCCAATTTGCTCACCGATGAACTCGCGGCCAGAGTCAGGGTCGGTCCAACCCCAGGAAGAGCTGCCACTCTTGCCACGGTAGTCAGTGTTTGGGGATCCGAGGGTGGCGTGGTTGATGAAATCGTAAAGGTCCATCTGCCCAAGTCAACGTCAGCAATGGGAGTAAAAAATGCCGTAGCTGTAGATGACCTACGTTCTTGCACTGGAACTTGTGCAGAGGGCTGTCGGGAAGAGCCTCGGCATAGCCATCGACGCACTTGGTGTAGCCGAGTCTGGGCCAAACGGAAGAGTCCATGAGACCAACGGCTTCTTCTGCTTCCCAGTGCGACTAAGGTAAAGTCAGATTCTTGTCCAAAAGACGTCGTCTTAAACTACCCACGATTTTCTTGGCCATGAGTCTGTCGTGGATCACACCCGAGTCGTAAAGTTCTGCAGAGCGTCAGCAATTGCGTCTAGGACGACTTGAAATTAGACTCACCGGCAGCGCGGTCTTCATCCTTGGGGAGTTCCCGGGCCTGGACGGCGACGGCTGCCGCGACCACGGCTCCCGTGATGGAGTTGAAGCGCATCGTGAAGCTCTGGTTGAGACAAGCGTTGCGGTCTCAGAATGAACCTCGACTTGGTCACTCTTTCTTCGAAGGTGTCTGGATCGTACCTTGGCGAGAACAACTTCAGGAAGCAGGGCTTCAAATGCGACGTGGACATCTCATTCATTTATCTGCCCGTCATCGGCTTCCATGCGACAACGCTAAGAGCCTCCTACTCTCAAAGGTCCCCCACATGTTCCCAGAAAGGCAGGAAACGAAAAGCTTGGCACTTGTCGGTGTCAGCGAAACGCCCGGAAATGTTTCCTGAACCGCCTCGCGAAGACCAGGAACACAATCTGCCAATGTTTTTAGATGAGCCTCTTGCTTCTGTCGGGACTGCTACCCCGCGCTCGGATCGACCTAGAAATCATGACTAGGTATGGATCTGGAAGGAGACAAGAAATCGGGTGGGTGAGCCAAGACAGCCAAGCTTTGTCTAGATAAGCAGAAGTTCCCTCCGCCGGAAACCGAGTGCAACGCTGGAAAGCTCGGAATGATTTAAATGGCTCGAGGAAGTCGGTGCCAAGAGGAATGCTGCGAGGAGATAATGTCGTGGCTGGGCGCGAGACGAGATTCCCGAGTCTTCGTCCCAAGTAACGTCCGTCACCCACTTCTCGGCACCCCCTACTTCTCGGCACCCCCAATTTTGATGCCCTCACATTGATACACATCAACTTCAGCCACTTTTTATATGTATTATGATGCTATAACAATGTAACTTTTGCTATCACTAGGGTTTTTAGACTTGTTGGATTTATCTGTGCTATTTTTAAGTTTGCCCGCCTCAATTTGAGCCCTCTAAATAGCCTTAATATTGGCGAACTTTGAATTTGGGCTCATTCTGACCTTCTTGCGTTTCCTGGCTCTGCTGGCATTAACCTCTGCTTGTAGTGCCTTAATCTTTTGCTGGGCAACTGCTAGTTGATATGCCTGCTCGTTAAAGCCCTTCTGAACCTTCCGGAAAAGTAGGCGCTGCGTATGCTCATTATTATCCAGCTTGCTGAATAGGCTGAACTGATCCTGAAGCTTATCCCTCTTCTTGGGGGTTGACCAAGGGACTGCTGATGTGTCTGCCGCCCATTTTTCGCTTGCCTCGCCACTAGAGAGCCCTTTGTAGACCTGACTAGCCTGTTTAGCAGGTGTTGATGTGTTCTTAAGTAGTAGAGGGCTCATAAGGGGTCTAGCCACGCTGACGGGCCACAACCCAGTCTATTTCTAGCTACTGATGATGTTCTTGCTTGTTAATGCTGCCTTGCGTGCCTTGCTGTAGTATATAATGAAGTTTCTCTTGCCCATAACTGTGCTAGCATCCCACTCAGCACGTAATCTAAGCTCCTTCTTATATGCTGCCTTGAGGGGCCTAAAAACGGACTGATCTAGAGGCTGAAGGACGTGTGATGTATGAGTAGGTAAGAAGAGTAAGTGTATCTTGTTCCTGAAGTAGAGATATATAAAAGGAGTAGTCTTATGGCTTCTATGACTATCTAGGATTAATAATCTGACCTCTGAGGGGTCTCTTGGCTGGGTTGAAGGGATAAAGACCTCTATTAACTACTTGATAGCTGTAGAGTCTGAAGTCCACCCGTTTTCTGTTGCTGTGAACTTCTAGGATGTATATGGCGTTAGATCGAGAGGGAACCACTGCTGCTGGACACTCTTTCCTTTATATATGACAAGTGGAGGCAGTGCCTGGCTAGTTGTAGAGATACACTCAATAAGGGATGTCTAAGCACGCGATCTAGGCTGTTTCTTACGGATAGAACGAGTTTCTGATGATCCAAGAACAAGGCCATTTGATCCCCTGCCCTCAAGAATGCTAGTCTTATCTATATTGTATTGGTTGGAGGGCTTAATAGCTATGATCTTAGGTATGGCGAGGTGCTTGAACTATTGCCTGATGATATTAGTTGAGGCTCTATTGATACGCTGGGAATCAATTGCTCTGCTTCTCTGGACCCTTATGGATGGGTTCCTCTTAATAAAAGATTGAATCTAGTTCTTTCCAAGAGGCTGGGAGTCTCCTTGGTTCTGAAGGATATGCTTAGCGAATTCCTTGAGTTGTTGATGTGTTGGTGGGAGGCCTAGGGCAGCTTGGATCCGAACCCATTCAGCTAGATGGCTTTCTTGGGTAGGAGAGAGTCTCTGCTGGTTGGAAAACGCTATATCTTGCGTTTGTATGCCCTTTATTTGATATTGTAGTGTTGATTGCGGAACACCCTATTTATATGAAGCTCTTTTGATAGATTGACCGTTTGTAATCGCTTTAAGGGCTTAAGTAACGTTATTTTTAGTATATACTGGCATTAAGGTCTTATTATGCGTTCTATAAAGTCTGGTGATAATTAAAAAGGAAATAATAAAGATATTAAAGTTCTAAGTTGAGGGGTAGTTATGGCGGTGAGCGATTTTTGGGGTGCCGAGAAGTGGGGGGTGCTGAGAAGTGGGTGACGGACGTTAGTTGTCGAATAACTATTAATAATATACCAACAGGCCAGTGTGAGATAAACAGATCTCTTCCTGTACAATTCAACATTGACCCTGAAAATGCTGGACTTTTAGCTGTCCTCCACTGGTAAAAGAGTCACCGATTGGGAGTTCAGTCATTTCGAATTGGTTCACTGGGTCTCCCACAAGGAAGTATTCGCGCACCATTGATGAGTTGTAGAGAAGTCAAACCGGCAACTCAGTGAGTACTCCACAATTGGAATTCGTTGAGGAAGACTGAGATATCGTGAGAGAGCTTCAGTGTGCGAACAGGAGAATGGTATTATTCGACTGTATTATTGTGTTTTTACTTTACAGTAGTCCCATATCTTCAGCTATCTTCAAATCGAGTACTGCAAGAACCTTGCCAGTTCAGGGGTCCAACTGCGCTTAGGATCATCGAGAGCCAAACCCAGCCCATGCGACCCGTCAGGAAGAACAAGAACCTGTGTTGGTCGCTTGTAGGCCGCCATGGCCTCAGCAAACATGAGTGTGTTCTGGACAGGGACGCTTCCATCATTCAAAGTATGGAACAAGAAGGTAGGCGGCGTTGTCGCGGAGACCAGGTTCTGTGCTGACAGCTGATGCTGCATATCAGTAGTCGAGTTAGCGCCGATAAGGTTGTTGCGCGAGCCAACATGCGTGTAATTGCCTTCAAGGGTGATGACGGGATACGCAAGAATGCCGAAGTCGAGCTTGGCCTCCGGGTTTGTGAGGGTAACTGCCGCGAGATGGCCGCCGGCCGAGAAACCCCAGATACCGAGCTTGGTGGTGCGATTCTGCTCGCGAATGTAGTTCAAGGCGTCAAGTGCCTCTTCTTGAGGCTTGGGATAGATCGGCGCGGTTGCGTTGGAGGCCGTGGTGTAGTCGAGAACCCAGGCATCGATGCCAAGATTGTTCAGGAACGCCGCCGGGATATATCCCTCTTTTGATATGGACACGCGAGCATATCCGCCACCGGGACATACGAGGACGCCAGTGCCCGTCGAGTTTTCGGCTGGAAAGTACGTGATTTGGGACGTCTCGAGCCTGCAATATGCATTAGTCTCAGTACATGAGAATGACAGGTTCCTCCACGACCAATGCTAGATATGGATCGCTTTTTTCTCACCTTTTCACAATTGCTTCAGGAGTTTCAGACGTCATGACGCTGTTTGCTTCGGCAAGGACGCCCAATGTGTCGTGGAAAAGAAGGCCAATTGCCAGCGCCACAATAAATTTCATTTTGGGTCCCGAGTCAAACCCTACTCGTGGCTTATTTGTGGCGTCACTTTCCGCTGCCCGCGTGAGTCTCTGCTGCGAAAAGTCAAATCAAATAGAGCCTTACTCAAACAAAATGACCTTTTGATGTTGGAATGAATGCAAACAAGTCGCGTCTTGATTGATTTCACCACCATGTCTATTCCACGCGCTTGCAGGCTGGGCTAGTTGCGATATATGTGCAGCACGCGTCACTTACCCCGCGAAGCGTGCTACCCTGATTTATGTTTACCTTGCAGGAAGAAGCGATCCATTTGTCCGGCAATTGGGTCGATTTAAATTAATACGGCCCTTCGTCGTATTGGGACCCGAATCGCATCTTGTTACCTCAACGCTAAGCTTGGTAAAATCCACCAATGAGAGCCATGTGCAAGCCGACTGAATCCCTTCATGAGTAGCTAGCAGAAACTGGTCTCAATTGAGTTTGAAAACAAAACTTCAACGAGAAAATCCTTGGTTCTCTATAATCCATTAGCGCTATAGCTGTTTTCGTAACTGCTGGCTAGGTAAGTTGAATCAAACCCACATAACAACCAAGACTTGAGCACCAACCAGAGAACGTAAATATCTGAGCGCGCCATCCTCAAGTCGTCACTCGAGTATTTGTGAATTTGTGTTACGTCAAGTAAACAAGCCCATAAACTTTCAAGGCTGTTTATTGCGAAAAGTGTCAGCAGATAAGCAGTAAAGAAAGTCTCAGCTACGACTTACATCCGTCACAACGTCGAGCTGCTTGCCATAAAGCAAGAAGCTGAGTCCCCGAGACGTGCGACTCTTGAACTTATGTAAGTAGAAAGATATAATCTAACAAGCTTTTTATCTTCTATAAACGTACACATGGTTGAACCCGCTTATAGACGAGTTCAAACCCAATGATATGGAAAGTATCAAGAAAGCTCTGCGACATTCTTTTTGGTAACAGCGCTATTCTAATCCCGCCACCAGTTTCTTGCACTGATTAGTTAAGATTGGAGATCCGCCCAAAAGTAGAGGGCGGGTTATGGCGCTGAGCTGTGCTTGAAGCATTCGTCTCTTGGGTAGGTCGGAAAAAGAGACCCGTGCCTTGGGTATCCGGCGCGGACCCGTCATGATGTCCTGCCACGATGTTGCAGAGTTCAGACGACATGCGGGGTACTCGGCGTTTCTTGCTGTCGCGCCAATGATTCATCGCTGACCCAAGCACACAGGCACAGCTTTTAGGACGAATCGACGTTCAGTGAGCATGAGTCTCAAGTCGCCAACTCATAGAAACAACTAAAAGGAGTTGATCGGGTAATGCCTTAATGAGATTGTGACTTTGCCGTTAGTTGCAGTCGCTTTTTATTCTCAGAGCATGATGTACACCTCTCCCTATCCGACGCCTCTCATTCCCACCGATGTCTCGGTGTCACAGTTCATTCTGTCCAGCAATCCAGATGACACGCCTCCGGAGAAGCCTGTTATGGGCTCTTTTCGCAATCCAAAGCAGACTTTGACGTACTCAGAACTGCGATTCCATGCGGCTCGTGATGCCACATTCCTTAAGTCCTCTCTTGGCCTTCAAGAAGGAGATTTGGTCTGCATTCTGGCCCCAAACTCAGTCTCCTGGGCAAGACTTGTTCATTCAGTTCTGTGGGCGGGTGGTTGTTTCTGGTTTGTCAAGCCTTCTTATCAATAGAACTGGTGCAACTTTCTAACCAATATTCATAGCGGTGTCAACTCGATGGCCACAAGTCACGAATTGGTTCATTACTTCAGCCTAGCAAGGCCTAAGATTGTAGCTGTTGACGAAGAGTTGCGACTAAAGGTGGAGGCTGCCATCAGTAGTCTTGATATGCCTTGGAAACCAAGCGTAGTTATTCTTGACAAAGGAGGAGACTCGGCCAAGTCTAACCATCCACGGGTAAGCATTCTGTAAAACATGCGAAATCCCAAGGTAGCATGTCAAACTAAATGACTAGTTTCCCCATGTCAACTCTTCCAACGTTAGACCCGCGTCTCTTTTTGATCTATCAACGAGAGACAACCGCAAGGTGCAAGCAGGCATGTGCTTCAGCTCAGGAACGTCGGGAAAGCCGAAAGGCGTCATGATATCACACCACAACCTTATCGCATACCTCTTGACACTCCGCGCAACAAACCCATTCACTCATAACGCTTACATGAGGGAAGCTTTCTTTCCGTCATTCGCGCACATTTACGGCGTTGTATCTGGCGTGTTGCTTCCAGCTTGGGTGGGCAACTACGTTGAGCCGATGGAAAAGTTCGATTATCTGCCCTATCTTCGACGTTGCTCCGAGTTGAAGGCAACAGTCCTGAGGCTGGTTCCCACAGCGGCTGTCAGAATGGTCAAGGACCTCGACATTCACAACCTGGATCTCACTTCCGTCCATACGATCATGTGCTCTGGCGCAGCGCTTTCAGATGCGACTATCCAGGGGTTGCAGCGATTACTCGGACCAAACACCAAGATCTTGAACGGATACGGTATGAGCGAAACCACCATCACCTTACTTCGGGATACGAGGAGCGGTTCAAAGGGGGCGAGTGTAGGGAAGCCAGCCGCCGGAGTTTCAGTCCGAGTCGTGGACGATGACTTCAACGATGTCCCGGAAGGGACTGAGGGAGAGTGCTTGGTGAAGGCGCCGACGGTGTTCATGGGATACGCGAACAACCCGGAAGAGACGAGAGCAGCCTTCAAAGATGGTTGGCTACGCACCGGAGACATTGTGAGGGTCGATGAGGATGGGTTCTTCTGGCTGACCGGGAGAAAGAAGGAACTCATCAAGTACAAGGGCAATCAGATTGCGCCGGCAGAGTTGGAATCTGTACTCCTGTCACATCCATCGGTTCTGGATTCAGGGGTCTGTGGTATTCAGAGTGATGCCGATGGAGAGGAAGTCCCCGTCGGATTCGTTTGTCTGGCATCGTCTATCGCGGAACGGGATCGCCCAAGACTCTTGAAAGAGATACTGCGCTACGTGGATGATCGTGTGGCTCCTTATAAGAAGCTGAGAGGCGGTCTTTTCTTCGTTCGGGAGCTTCCCAAGAACAACTCGGGGAAACTTCTTCGGGGTGAGCTTGCCAAACTCGCGGAAGACGTCAATGAAGTCAGAGCCAAATTGTAAGTCTTTAAAGCGCACTCAATCTCAAATTAAAGGATTTGTATACCCATCATTAGTTGTCCCATGGGAGATTCCGTACTTCATAGTTTGGACGATCACAAAGATATGGAAACGACATAGAAAATAGCTCCTCACATCTTCACAGAAAATAGCGACGCGTTGGCTATTCAAACAATCTCTATCCAAATAAGACAAACGCTCAGCAGTTCCATCCACCATCAACTCCAATGTTGGCTCCCGAAATGTAACTCGACTCATCGCTTAGCAAGAAAGCAATCACAGTTGCAACTTCCCTCGGCTCCCCAACACGCTTCAAAGATGGCTCTACCACAATCTTCATATCTCTGGACGCCTGCGACATAGGGGTGTCAATTTTGCCACTGTATTCATATGTTAGTATGTGATCATTGAATTGAACAACCCAAGCGCACTTACGGGCAGATTGCATTGACTCTGATGCCCTTCGGTCCGACCTCCTTCGCCGCGCTTCGTGTCAAGCCAGTAACTCCATGCTTGCTCGACACGTACGAGGCGTTGTTGATCCTTCCAATAAGACCGGCGATACTACTAGCGTTGACGATGGCCCCCGTCTTCTCAATAACACGGAGTTGGGCCTTGAGGCAGTGCATGACTCCAGTTAGGTTGACGCCGAGAATGAGGTTCCACTCGTCAAAGTCCTGCTGGTCTATTCCGTTGAGGCCAATGGAGTCGGGAATGATGCCGGCGAGGTTGGCTGCCCCGTCGAGCTTCCCGAAATGCTTGACAGTCTCGGAGATCCAGTTCTCTACTTTGTCGTAATTCTTGACATCCACGGTGAAGATCAGAACCTCTGATCCAGGGTACTTGGTTTGAATGTCTGACTGAGCTTGTTGTAGAGCCTTTTCTTGAACATCGGCGAGAGAGAGCTTCGCCCCGCGTTCGGCGAGAAGGTGTGCTGTGGCAAGGCCAATGCCCGAAGCGGCGCCGGTGATGGCGACGACCTTGTCTCGAAATTGCTGGGCGAACGTCATTTTGCTGTATTATTTCGATTGATGATTGTAGTTTGTCGCCATCGACAGTATGGCTCATTTGTTGAAAAGCTTTGTATAAGAAAGAGGCTTGACGTTGAGTTGTCTTCCAGGCCCCGGCAATCTGTTTCCGTATTGCGGCATTCGTTGTCATGATCCCTCTGAAACTTTTACCGCCGTAAGACGAGCAACTAATGTCCGTAACGTCTCCCAAAACTCCGTAGCAGGGTATGCCAGACTGTTCTCAATGATGCGCAGTTCTCGGGCACGCTTCCCCGCACCCGAGTACCCCGTGAGCCCCGACAGGCCGGTAATCGAACTCCGCAAATCCACTTCCGTTGCTTCACTGCACCCCGGATTTGGGGGGAGCCTCGATGGGACCTTCAGTTTTATGGGCGAGTCCAAGACGATTGTGTACTCTCAGGCGAGGTAAAGAAGAGGCGATATCTCCAGTATTAGTGTAGCTGATGGAAGAGTAAACATCTCTGGGATTGTCTTCATGACAAGTTAGATCCCCCAGAAGCTCCCCACTCTAGCGTGTCCTGGTCTATCAGTGCAGAAATCTCAGGGAATTGTTGGCGAAACAATTCCCCGACCGTCCAATTCTTCAGTTGACGAAGATGCTCTTCATAAACAGGGTTGATGGTGACCTCCGTTGAGGCATGCTCTTCTATCGCAACTGTGAGGAGGACGAGGGACGGGTCATACATCCATCCGACGTCAAAGCTCGAGCTGTATGTTGCTGCAAAGTCATCTAGTGTGATATCGGGAGTCGCTACGAGATACTTTCTGACTCGCGGCCTGTTATCATCAGCGTTGCTCTGAAGTAAATAGCAGGAACACGCACCATGGGATCCTGTCTATCCATGCAGCGTGGGGAGTGGTATGCTGTTCTGAGATGGGTCTCAGCCATGCGGGCATCAAGTCCCAGCTTTGCTTGTCAAGGAGTACCATCCACTGCAGAGTGAAGTCAGCCCAGTGGAACCAACGGGTTGCAATACGTGAACCATGCCTTCAATAGTAACGCCATGTTCTGAAAAACAGCGACCTTCTTTGGCAGACTCTCGATCTCAGGGTACGCCCTCACCACATCCGCAACCACATTGCTGATGTCGTCTTGAGATCGGCTCTCCGCTTGGATGAGGGCGCCGACCTTCGGTTTCATCGAGTAGAAGGCGGTAGTATCCGATGCCGAGGCACCTCCTGAGCGTGTAGAATCGACAAACCCTTGAAGTATCTGATCCGCGATGCAAGTCGGTGACGTGTTTCGTGCTGCGAGTGTCCACGGATAGTCAAAAAGCCTAGTATCCAAGCTGGGATCCGCTTCTCCCGATGAAGAAACGTCGTTACGCCGAATCAAGCTCAGATTCAAGGCGGCGTTTTGTGCTCGTAGATGAGCATTTTCTGCTTCCAGGGTCCCGAGTCTGTTCTGGAGTATCGCGATATCCCTCACTCGCCCGTCTAGAGCACCGTTTAGGAAACTGACTTGATCCGTCAGGGTGTGTATCGTCCACTTGTTGCGGTCTCGCATGGCCTGCTGCGACTTCCTGTCTCTGGCCCGTTTCTTCTGTAGCTCTGTTTCTTGGGTCGTCAAGCCCGGGACCTCGTTGGCCGTTGAAGAGGCAACGGAGGAGGGCGATGTCGCCGACTGGACGGACAGGGAAATAGAGGATCTTCGGGGCATTGTGTTGATATTCTGCGCCGTATGAACGACAGTACGAGACTGAAAGCAATAAACTCCACGTGAGTAGTAGTGAAGTGAAAGATCTCGGTTCAGGTCATGTTGGGGTATCCCCGGAGAATTAAGATATTCATGCAGGCATGGGTTCGTGGTTTGCTGCGGGGTGCTACACCACAAGTATGTCACCAGCATCACCGCATCACTAGGTGATCCAGTATACGAAATTCTCAAGCTTGCAGTCCCTGTAGAGGCTTATAGCCAATTTGGTTGATTCGCTGCCAGAGAAGAAAAAACAGACCAAATCAAACGCTCACTGCTTGCTATGGAATGTACTTGAACAATGAACTCCAACAGTCTGCTATCAAAGCGACCCTTGTTCTGATGATCCCTCAGAGACATTCATCCGCGTCTCTTGATTCCACTACCCCTCACCCGATAAGCCTCTCTCACCTCATGCGTCGCTCGACCTTGTTGGTCAAATGCTTCTGCGCGTCCATCGAGAAAAGACATCCGATAATGGCGATTGCACCGAATCCTAAACTCGCAAGGTAAACCGTTTCGAACGACTTGGAGTAGGCAATAGGCAAGACCTTGGAAACGGCTTCCTTCACAGCACTGCTCAGACCAGGGAACGTCTTCAGCTTGTTTCCCTGGATCGCCTTTGCGAGAGCTGGAACCTGGTTCGCAGCTAACCCAGCGGCAATGGCAGGTTGAGTAATGGCTTTGGGAATCTCGGTAGCAAGGCGGTTTGACAGGATGGAGGTGTAGACGGCAACGGCAATGGAGCCTCCCGCGGAACGAATGGACGCCAGGAGACCAGAAGCGAGACCAATATCTGAAGGCTTGCAGAAGAGAGGCGCCAGAGCAAGAGACGCGAGTTCGATGAAACCGACGAAGAAAGGTCCCAGAATCGTTAAAGCGATGCCCGTGTTCAGAGTATCAGGAGTCAAAGACGCGAGTGCGCCGACGAAGCCAACCATGGCGAAGGTCGAGAAGATGATCCAGTACCGCACGTTTCCTCCCCACTTGACAATCGCTCCGGCGCAAACCTGGCCCAGTGCTGTTGAGCTTGCGACGGTGGAGGAGAGCCATCCGCCGTAGTTTATGTCGGTCGTGTACAAAGCCTGGACTTGTTGTGGCCACAGAAGAACGGCAGAGTAGTAGAACATACTGGCGACTGTTGCGCAGCAGACGAGGGCCATGAAACCACGGTTGGCGAAGAACTTTACGGGGATAGCGGGATACGTGAGGTTGGCAAAGGATTCCCAACAGAAAAGCGCAACTAGAAGACTAGTACCGATGACCAAACTCGAGATGGTTGCCGCAGATTCCCAGGGGAACATGACACCGCCCCATGAGACGCCCATGAGAAGAAGGGTGAGACCAGCTGTCCACAGGAAAATGCCGAGATCTTCACGCAGGAGTCAGACGTCGGCAGGTTAAAATGATGCTGGGGAAACGTACAGTCAAGTTCCTTCAGGAGCTGCCTCTTTGTCTTTCGATCATGAAGAAGTTCGAAGGTAGGCGGGTGATAGAACAGGTAGAGAAGGACAATGGCGAGACCCACGGCGATGATGTTGATGTAGAAGCACCATCTCCAACTAAGCTTGGGGTTCTCGACGAACTTGCGAGCTACTCTTACGTTAGAAATATTCACTCGAAGCGGGCTCATAGAGAATACCGATAATAGGACCGAAAGTTGCAATGGGCGCGTTTGTCGCAAAGATGCAGGAGAGAACCATAGGCCGATACTTGTTGGGAACCAGTTCTCCAACAGCGACGTTGAAACTCAGCTGTACGGTTTCACCCAGACCATACACGGCAGCACCGATGATGAGGGTGTTGACATTCTGCGCGACGGCACAGATGATAATACCGACAATAGCTACGACGTTGCCGCCGATGAAGAACCAACGCCTGCCAAAGAGATCGGAGAGGCGACCCAGGATGGTGTAAGTGAAGGATAACGAGAGCGTTCTCGCGATGTTGACCCAGGAGATGTACGGACTCGGACCTAGATCTATTAGTCGTTATTACTTCAAGAAAGTAAGAGGATATCCTCACCAATATCGGCATTGATGAACGTCAAGACGTTTGTCGGGAGAATCAAGAAGATGTATGCCGATAACGCCGACAGACAGAAACCCTAAATTGATGTCAATAACTGCGCAACCCCTCATTCCCCGTCATTGACAAACCGCCATGGCACCGAGAAATCGAGGTGACCAGAAGTAGCCGGGAGGAAGATCATCTCCAAGGGCCTCGGATCGAATCGAGTCGGAATCATCTCGGTCGTTTTCGATGTACTTCTCCAACGTGTCCATCCGTTCGAACTCGCGAACGGATTCGTTCTTGGAGATATCCATCTTGGGAATATCGGCGATATCGATACGCGGGAACCAGCTCGCAGTACGTAGGTATCGGGACTTGACTTTGATGGAACTATACCGAACCGGAGCCAAATGGTGTAGATGGGATCTGCGCGCGCATCGAGGCCGTGCTCGAAGTCTTATACAGGCCTCAAGTTTCCCGTTGCCATTGAAGAAGAACAGGATGGCGTTGAATGTGGCAAGTGTCGAAAACCGACTGACGGGATAAGGGTGAGATGAACCCCGAAGTAAGACAACCAGACACCACACCCACCACAAGAGTCCAAGACTTGCGTGTGCGTCCCGTCCTCCCACACCCTTCACTCGATCTTTTCTGCTGCTGTCCGGGCTTCACCGTCCAACACGGCATACGTACGCCAGGTGTCCCCCGGAAAACTCGAACCTCTTCGAAACTGCTCTCATGGAGTCTGGTTCGGAGGGCGGGGGCCTCTCCCTGCGCCGTCCTGCGGGGAAGACCACCGAACGAGCCGAGCGTTCTTCACGTTGGACTGCCGCATTTGGGTGCGATGGGCGCTGATTCATTAGTCTACTGCTGACTCAAATGGATGACTTGGGATGCTCCTTTGGCGTCTCTTGGTAGTTGAAACTGGTCTTGGAGCCGGAACAGCAGAGTGTTTTGCTTAGCTTGTGACGGGCTAACACTTCCTAGATCCCATCACATGGTCTCTATCTACGCCTAGTGACATCGACGTGCATCTGCCAGCCCATGTTCCCGGGTCCTTGTTCGACGGATTCTAAGAATGATCTCCTTTTCTCCTTAGCAGGTCCAACCTGGACCTCGTCTCCCTCGTGTGGTTTCAGACGAATGGTCTATGAGGCCAAACATCTTCCGGGTGGGATGAGTGCCAAGTATCCATGGAGAACACACAGAACTGGTTCATCCGGGGAGGGAATATGGTGGTTTCCAAGACGGCATATTGTTCTCTCTCTCTTCTAGAACGGGGACCGTTTGCATTGAGCACGTCACAGCCTGCTACCTTTCCACCGCGGCTCCCGTTTCTCGGAGAACGCTTTGAGACCCTCGAGGATATTCTCCCCCTTCTGCAGCTCAGCAAACTCCTTCTCGAGAGTCCACTCAACGGCCCTTTCAACCGCCGCCGTCTCCCAGCCCTGCCTCAGCCCGGCCCTGGTGCAGATGATGGCGTCCGGGGAGTTGACGGCAATCATTTGCGCATAACGCACCGCCTCCTCGACGACCTTGTCCTTGGGCACCACCTTGTTCACGATCCCCCATTGTGCCATCTCTTGCGCTGATACGTTGCGCCCCGTCAGGGCGAACTCGCTCGCTCGTTGAAGGCCGATTGTCCGTATTAGTCGCGGGAGGGCGCCGCCTATCGCTGCGATGCCGCGCTTGACCTCGGGCAGTCCGAAATATGCGTCGTCCGCGGCTACGACGAGGTCGCAGTTGACGATGAACTCGCACCCGCCGCCCATCGCCAGTCCGTTCACTGCCGCGATCACGGGTTTCTTTCCCAGTCTTCGGGATAGGGGCTTGAAGGCCGGCGCGTTGCCCATTCGTTTGCTCGGGTCGGCCTCGGAAGCCATGCTGTTGTTCCATTCCTTCAAGTCTGCTCCGGCTGAGAAGGCGCGTCCTGTGCCTGTGATTATTGCAACGCTGAGGTTGGGTTCTTGATCGAACCACTTCCACACCGAGTCCATCTCCCATTGCGCAGCGGTCGACATCGCGTTGAGGTCTTTTGGCCTATCCATCCGGACAAGAAGGACTCGAGGCGCAGGGTAAGAAAGCTTGAGAAACGATGGCGTCGCCGGTGGCGGCGTCTCTGTCGGCGATTCTCCCATATCGAGATAGATTAGTCGCGAGATCAAGTGTCGAATTCGATAGTAATGGAGGCTTTGTCGTATGGCTGTGGCTTTGATGCGATCATGAAGCTGCTGGTAGATGTCATGCATACAGACCAGACGCTTTGTCAACAGCCATCACAATCTGCCAACTCACTACTGAAGTCTGAAGCAAAGAAGATAATCCCGGCCCGTCGAAACTCTAGAGAATGTTGAAGATCGCGTCCGGGCCCCCACACGGAAGCCTCCCGCAGCCTACCTCGGCGCCAGGCGCAAGGCTCGCATGGCAGATGCTAAGAGAAGTCCTCGACGACGGTTGCTGCAAGTTCACGTTGCACAGGAACAATGACTCGCTCCCCGCGGCGCCCCGTCCAATCGCAACAGGCGGGAAACACGTTTCCGGCGTCTTTTACAGCGGGGAACGCAAGGGAGGGAGAACGGGAAGCGTGGGCTCTCCCCGCAGTGATGCGCGCCGTGGGGGATGATCCTTCTTGCAGGGACGCTAATGATTCACTTTCTGGCGCGGGATGTCTGTGAGGGGGAGGCGGTTGGGGGGCTGTGCGGATGTGCTCGTCCGTCTCCGCGGTTGTGTGGGTGGGAGTAGCTTTGGTGCTCGGTTGTGACGCGCCTCGGAATGGCTGCGTGCGATAGGTCTCGGCTTGTCGGTTGTGGTGATTGAAGCTCTGTGGCAGGTATCAGTTGTGAAAACCGGCTGCGCAAGTTGTGGTGACACAGCTTCAAATTAGATCGTCACCAGTACAGCATACCGCTCGCTGACAGCGTCGAAGAACCTAGGTTGCGACAATGGCGACCCCAAGAACGAAGAATCCCGTCCCTTCGTGGATCGAAAACCCCTATCCTCACGTCGAGCATAGCCTCATTTCGTTCCCTAGAAAACATATCCTGCTTGTTATGATTAACCGACCAGAACACATGAACTGCCTACCAGTCGAGGCGACGATTGAGCTGGGCGCGCTGTGGAAATGGTACGATGCAGAGCCAGAGTTGAGATGTGCCGTGTTCACCGGGGCCGGAACGAAGGCCTTCTGCGCGGGGATGGACTTGAAGCAGAGGCTGGATATTATCAAAACGAACGATGTGGCTTTTGAGTATCCCCAAGGGCAGTTCGCGGGCATGAGCAACCGGACCGGGAGGAAACCGATTATTGTCGCGTGCAATGGACATGCACATGGTAGTTTACCTTCAACTGGACCCACGAGACTCAATTGCTAACTCGGTTTCTGTTGCAGGCGGCGGCTTCGAAGCAATACTAAACGCAGACGTAATATTCGCCTCCCCGAACGCGACCTTTCGTTTACCCGAAGTCCTCCGGGGCGTATCGGCGCTCGCTGGCGCTCTGCCGAGATGTATGATGCTCTTCGGCAATCACAGGACAATGGACCTGATCCTCACCGGTCGGACGATGTCAGTGGAGGAGGCGCGAGACTGCGGCCTGGTTAAGGAAATCGTGCCACAAGAGAAGCTCCTCGAGAGAACACTGGATTACGCCGACGAGATCGCGGCACTCAGCCCCGACAGTGTAATCATATCGAGACTGGCAGCGAGGGAGGCTTGGGAAACAGGAATAAGCAGGGCAACGATGCGCGGACAGGAGTTGTGGGCGGAGGCGATGCTCAGGAGTAAGAACGCGGCGGAAGGATTGGCGGCGTATCGCGACAAGAGGGATCCGAAATGGTTTCCCTCGCACCTTTGATTAAGACCAGCGCAAAGACGAGGATTTTGGCGATCTTCGTGGACTTCGTCGCGGCGGTGAGCAAGAGTACGCTGACACGCGACATAGGCGCGCATTCAAAGTCATTCTTCCATGAGAAGCGCCGATGGTTTAGTGGTAAAATTCTCCGTTGCCATCCAGCAGCGTCGGGGAGCCGGGGGTTCGATTCCCCCTCGGCGCAATCTTTTACTTTTTGCCGTAAATAATCATTATATGCTATTCCTGATCACTACGCAAGTCTTCCCTGTGTTGGTATCTCGTCAAAATCGTTTATCCTTTGTTGGCCTATACAGGTGCAATATTTTTCTGGGACCACAACATTAGATATCGACGCCGTACGCTTGGGTTTCACGAGCTGTTGGTCATGCCACTATTCTTCAACTCATGAAGTAGTGCCTTTCGACAACCTCTGACTCGATATCCATCATTCACAATCGCCTTATTCCAGACGAGGGTAGATCAAACTTCGCGAATCAGTCCACGTTAGGATGAAGATGAGACTTGGCGCGAACTCTGCTTCAGATGCTGATTGATATCTCTTCTTCTAAGTCACCGCATCCTAGCTTCGTCGGGCATTTGCGGGCTCGGCAGATCATCAAAGCTTCACTTTTGCATTCGCAACCTTGGCGTATCCGTTCGATCTGGAATAATTGTCAGCCGCCAGTCAGACCACTTCCTGAAGCATGCATGGCGCGTCGATATGGCAACACTTACAGCGCGACTCTGCCATCCTCCTTGACGACCGTCTCGAACACGACATCGTCTACCCCGCCCTCCGTCTTCACTACCCACATGCGCGTTTCGAGCGTGTCGCCAGGATAAACGACGCTCTTGAATCTCGCGCCGTAGGCTTTGAGACGGTCAGGATCGCTCTTGCCCAGCTCTTGGAGCAGACCGTGGGCGGCCATGTTCCACGTGCCGAGGCCGTGGAGGATGGATCCCTTGAACCCGGCCCGCTGACCGAAGGCCTCGTCGGCGTGCATGGGGTTGTAGTCTCCACAGAGACGGTAGAGCAGAGCGGCCTCCGGCGTGGTCTTGATGGTGTGCACGGCATCTGGTTTCCGGTCTTTCGGTGGCGTTGCGGCCGGCTTTGAAGGGCCCCGGGGACCGTTGTAGCCGCCCTGTCCGATGCCGAACGCGGTGGAGGTCATCTTGGTGTAGACAGTTTCCGTTGTCTTGTCGACTAGCAGCTGCTCCGCCTCCAAAATCATAGCGCCGCCTGCGAATTCTCACATCAGTAACGAGTACTCCGTGCCGAGGGAATCTCACTTGCCCTTATCATATACTCCGATGACCTTATTGCGAATCTCCAGGTCCAGCCCCTGAGAGGACACAGGAATGGGCCGGATGATCTCGATGCCGCGCTCGCCGTCTACAGAACGCTGAGCGTCGAACGGCGGAACTCCTGGAACCTGGCCCGACGTTGTCCGCGCGATGAAGTCGAAAACATCCTGGTCTGTCTGCTTGAAGGCGAGGTTGATGGGAAACGTGGGAAAGGCGGCGAAGTGAGGGTGGAGCTCATAGAGGAAGTGAAGCTCATCCTTCTTGACACCAATCGCGTTGGCCTGGTTCCGTCAGTCACTCCGTTGTGAGTCTGATAAAGGTGGTCGGACTTACAAAGAGGAGAACATCGCGGCGGTTGTAGCTGCACTTGATGGGTGGGTATTGATAACCCGCTGCTTTCCTGAAGTCGACGTTGTCGTAGCGGCCTGATGCGTTCTTGACGGGTCTATCACCGGAGGACATTGCTTTGATATTTGTGTTAGTCGGCTCACAGGAGATTTCAGGAAGAGAAAAGCAAGTTAAGTAAACGTTGACAGGACACGATTTAGCCAGGCAAGTTGACGAAATGGCTATAACTACAGGGGCATCATGCCGCTAAATAAAACGGTCGGCAGCAGTTGCTCGCTGTTGTCAGGGTGCTTCAGCGACCTTGCTCTCCCTGTGGCTTTCTCGGGTTTGTCGGCCGAGGTTCCCCGCAGTCTTGTTGTTTGTCCTCGGTACGAGATTCGACGAAGAGTAAACAGTATTCGGTCAACATCGGAAGCAACTCATAACAGTCATGAAAGTGAGCCGGGAACAACGGGAAGTTAATTGAGAGCACCTCGGTTGAGTCTCATAATCTGGCCTGTTGTGCGGACTTCTCAGCCGTCCTCTTCCGCTGGTCTTCCGTATTCACCAAGTCCAGGGGCAGATCAACAATCCGCGCTCGCAGAAACTCGCCAAAGCTCTTCGCAAACCCGTCCAGCACGCTGCTGCTACTGACGCCGTCTTGTAAGATCCCCTTGACTACAAAATGCACCGCCCATAGCCCCGGAAACTCGCATCTCTCGACCACATATCTGTCATGCCAGTCATCTCCCAGCAACTCTATGAACTTCTGTTTGGTAAAGAATGCTTGAAGCCATGGCCAAGCTGACTTGTCTCGTACCCAAAAGCCAACGTTTGCGTTGCCGCCTTTGTCACCGCTTCTCGCGAACACAAGATCTCCCAGCGGTCTCCTCGCCGTCTTCTTCAAAGACAACTTGGCTAGAGGAACTGGAGAATCATAATCGTGCTGCCGCGGTATTGATCCGCATTCTCTCTCCAATCTCGGCTCAGCTGTGACATCCTGCTCGCCATCGACAAAATTTACAGACAGAGGGATTCTCGCCTGCGGAATCAGCGCCGGGAAATATCGTACGTACGGCCGGGGCTCCATCGTACGCCAATCCATCCCCAAATGGAGGCCACAATAGCCCTGTAACCCGTTGTAAAATACCGCCCGTTTGAACTGCTCAAAAGCCTCCTTCTTGGGTGATTGGGCGAACATCCGGAATTGTACGGTGCAGGCTTTCTGCGACCGTGGATCCGGCGCTGCTGAACCGTACTTGTCTATGGTGAAAGTTGTGAAGTCCGACTGCTTGATTTGCCCCATGACCTGGTTCTTAAGCACTTCAAACTTGAAGTCGGTGTCGAGACCAGCCGCATAGGCAGATATCTCGGCTTGATAGCCGCCCAGCAAGCAAATGGCCAACTTGGCCGTGGGAGGCGGCGGAAGCCCCTTAATACCAGACAGTCGAATTCGTTCTTTCGAGATTTGGGTAAAAGTCGCATTCTCAATATCAGCGATGACGTCCGGGTTGAGGTAGAACGCCCCCTGAATCTCGTACAACAGCTGCGCTTTGCACGTATCAACAGATACGAGTCCATTAGACCCCTCCGGCTTCGTGATGACAACACCGCCATCAGCCGCGATCTCCGCAATCGGGAACCCGGCGTGGTGGAGGTTCGGCACCTCACGCTGGCCGCAATAGTTGCCTCCGGTCACATACGGCCCGCACTCGATCAAATGCCCGGCCATCAGACTCGCCGCGAGCTCGTTGTACTCCGTCCCCTTCCACCCGTGCCACCACGCCACGAGGCCCATGACGGGACTGGCATCCGTGCATCGCCCGCACACGACGATATCCGCCCCGGCCTGAAGAGCCCTCAGGATGCCCGCGTATCCCGTGTACGCATTGGCGACAAGGAGTGGGTTTTCGCCGTCGGCACTCTCAGTGCGAGGATCAAACTCGACGCCGGGCTGGTCGAGGTGCATGACTCGCCCGAACGCGCCGCGTTTGACAGCATCCGTCACATTGTCACCGCTCACCCAGGCCACCTTGACATCACGGATGCCAAGGCTCTTGAAGTATGCGTCTGCTCGTTCGGCCAGCCCCCGGGGGTTCAGCGCACCTCCGTCGTGAACGATCTTGATGCGCTTTTCCGCGACGAGGCGTGCTGCTTCGCCGTTCTGCCAGGCGAGCTGCTCGAGGAAGTTGGGTTCATATCCTAGGTCTGGTCGCGATTGCTGCTCTATGGCCTTCCATGCGATGTTGAACTCGGCGAGGTAGTCGGCTGTGATGGCGTCGACATCGCCGTACTTTGCGAGACGGTAGATCTGGTCTATGCCGTCATTGATTGCACCAGAACAGTTACCGATCCGGATCGGGCGTCGTGGTGCCATTGTAAGAGGTAATAAGTCAGAACACTTTTCCGCTCGACGAAACAGCCGTGGAGAAACTGTGGTCAAATGCGAGTGTCGTTTACGAAAACGAAGCCATCGTCAAACCATTTTCTCAACAACAGCCGACCCGAGGTTGCCGACTTTACCGCCGACGTCAACCTCTCCGCCTTGACATCGGCTACGAGGGAGAAACATGGATGACGCCCGGAATTTCTTATCCAATGCCTCGTCTGCGGAATCTCCCCGATGTTTAAGACTAATGATTCAGTCGTTTCATGCGGAGAGTCCTCGCCCCCCGCACGCCGAACATCCCCCTCTCTTGTATGCCGCCGATGCGTGACACAGTCTCGAGCGTTCTGCCGCCCGTTCTGCCGCCGTGACCATCCCTGCGCGTTCCGTTTCCTCTCCCTCCATCTCGACAAAGCGTCGGGACAGGGCTGTCGGATGATGACAGCCAGTGCGGCTGCTGTCTAGTGACTCAGCAGGCAAATGTTCGGACGGGATTCCCATTGAGCCTCCTTTCGTCGAACCCGTGCCGTACCGTACCGATGGATTGACACGACGGAAGAGACAAAACAGGTTCATCAGGCTTCGTTGCAGGCTGTCTAGAGTGTCCTCGACTCATTTTTTTCGTTCATCCGACGACTGTCTGAGACTGAACTCAAAGCGATGCACCGACCACTACCACGATGAGGACGTACACATCGCAACCTATCGACATACCGCGAGACCTGAATCTCACGGAGCTGCTTCATACCACGGCTACACCGTTGCCAGAATCTCATGTTATCGCTGCAGATAGCCTCACGAATAGGAGCATCACGCTTGGAGAACTACGCGATCGTTCCGGGAGGATTGCAAAGGGGCTCGCGGATGCCTTGAGCCCGGCGGATCAATCACGTTGGGCCATCGTACTCCCCAACAGCGTGGAATTCCTCGAAATATTTCACGCTATTCTGTGGACCGGAGGGGTTGTGAGTCCGATCAACCATGCGCTTAAATCATCGGAGATCGGACACGGCCTTGCGATATCGAGACCGCATTACATCGTGGCGTATGGTGCAATGATATCTGCAATTCACGAGGCCGTGGAGGTTGCTGCTGAGGAGCTATCAGCGCAAGGAGTAACGTGGGGGAAACCGACGATATTGACGATCTTGAAGCCGCTTCCTGGCCTGAGACACATCCCGGAGGACTTCATGGCTTCTACACGGCTTACAGTCCCTCACTGGCCGGATACCTCGAAGCGGCTGGCGTCGATACACCTCTCCTCCGGCACAACCGGAAAGCCTAAGGGAGTCGAGCTCACACACCACAACTTCGTTTCCAACGTATTTCAACTCGCGGCACTGGACCGGAAACGACAAATGTTCAACACTGCATCGCGAACCGTCGCCTTCACGCCTTGGGCCCACATCGCCATGACGACGATGCCCCTATTTCTCGGCCCCTACACGGGCATGTTCCACCACGCGATGCCCCAGTACAACATCGACAGGTTTGGGGAGCTCGTTGGTTCGACCCAAGCCACTTCGTTCCAGGGTGTACCGAGTGTCGTTTTGGCCCTCGCCAACTCGGACGTGACGGAGAAGCATGATTTCTCAAAGGCACAAGTCATCAACATCGGAGGTGCCCCTTTGAAGCCAGACCAAATCAAGAGACTTCTGAGTAGGGCACCATGGAGGCTTGTGCAGGCCTACGGCATGACCGAGGCCGCAGGCTATGTTGCGTATCAAGAATTCGACGAGGTCATTCCCGATGGCTCGACAGGTAGGCTATTGCCCGGGATTGAGGCTGCGCTGAAGAAAGAGGGAACTGCAGATGATGCAGCTTTAGGTGGTCCAGGGGAGTTATGGCTTCGAGGTCCTAACATCACAAGAGGCTATGCCTTCAACCGAAAGGCGAATGCGGAAGCCTTTCCTCAGGAGGGGTGGTACAATACTGGCGACGTGTGCCGTTTTGATGACCAGGGCAGACTGTTCATCGTAGGTCGCACGAAAGACCTGATCAAGTATAAGGGCTTTCAGGTCAGTCCCTCCGAGCTTGAACAAATCATCAACTCCCACCCCCTTGTCAGAGAGTCAGGAGTGGGCGCGTTGTGGGATGAGAGTCAGCTCACGGAAGTACCGACCGCGTGGGTTGTGCTCAAAGATGGTGACATGATGAGAAAAGAAGAAACACGAAGAAGACTGAAGGATATTCAGAGGGTTGTAGACGGTCAAGTAAGCGGATACAAGAAGTTGAGAGGTGGTGTCTGGGCAGTGGAACGGCTGCCCAGGAATCCGACAGGCAAGATACTGAGGAGGGAGTTGATTCGAATGACTGATGGTATTTGCTCGCTGGAAGATGGCACAAGATTCACTGCCAAGCTTTGAGATGTCCTCTTACCAGAAATGGGCCATGTAGCGGCGGACGGGCAATGCTTCCCATGCAGGTTTTTGACGGAGGATCCAGGCCTCACATGTAAATACCCATAAAGACGTTGTGTTAGCAACTGATGAATAGTTATGTTTATTCTCTTAAGAAATTATAGAACGGCATGTGTCTTGCATCGAAGGAGTTAACGTCTTCATGAAAATGAAAAGAAATGATGTGTTCCTGTGCTCGGCACTCCAGCGGAGGTGGACCCATCTTCGGAAAAAGGCAAGCATGTACGGGCCGTTGTGCGGGGACGCCGAATATCTACATCCTCACATAGAATGTTCTCAAAACGTGTTGGCATAATCCTCATGCCTTTTTAACGAGGTCATCTAAGAAGAACTCTGCCGAAAACTCACGATCGCCTTTCAAAATAACCACCGAACCCACGAAAATGAGTCCGAAGGTTTTTCTCATTGCCGTTGTTCCCCTCGCCAACAATGAGGACCGCGACGAGGTGCGATGACCCTCCAGTCCCATCGATATCGTGTATTTACGTCGATTCTAACGTTTGCTTGCGGAAACAGATGCTTGATCAACTCGCCGCATGCGCTGAACACGCCTGGGCTAACGAACCTGGCACGCTCAAATACGCAACATTTATCCTCCGAGATCCTGAGAAGGAGAATACGCTCTACGTTGTGGAGGAGTATTCCTCCAGAGAGACTCTTGATAAGCATTTGCTCGTACCAAGAGTCCAGTCTTTGATCTCATGGATGACTGCTACCGATGCGAGTCCCCTATCGGGCACACCAACTATGCATCGCTTGTCTCTACCTTCAGAGACATTCATGTTCTCGCGGCCTCGGGTGGCAGAGTTTCAGGATGAGGACCCCTGGGTCATTATCGCAGAGCTGGATTACTTTCCCGGGGGATCCGAGACATCTATCAAGTACTGGGAGGGCGTTGTGGATGAGGGCCGAAAGAACGAAGAGGGTACTCTTGTTTACGCAGTCGCCAGGGACCGCCAAGTGAGTGAGAAGATGTGGACTATTGAGGTCTATGAAAATGAGGCCTATCTGAAGGATGTCCATGTCAAGAGTAAGGCTATTGATGAGAGCATACGGAACACGAAGCATTTGAGGACGGGTTTGTCTTGGACGTTTTTGAAATGGCACAGCGGGTTTCTGCATAAGGAGAGTTCATGAAAGATAGCAGGCAGTCATGGCATCTCTACTCTTGCATTTCAAATTCCGCGAATTCGTCTGCTTGCAATGTCGAAGTCACTGAAATCTAAACTGCTGTCCATACTACTGTTGGCCTCGTGTTCCACGGCATCATGAGCTTGTCATTGATACACAGCATGAAGTCCCCATCGCCCGGATTACAAATGCTCATGGAAGTCATGTTCCAGGGCACAAGGTAGGATCTACTCTCCAACATCTCGAATGATCGACTCCGGCAATGGTGCGGGGCGAGGCGGGCATACCACCTCCAGCATGCACCCAACGGGTACTGAATCATTAGCGCCAACCTGTGGCAACCTGGGCATGGCATTATTTCCTCGAATGTTGCTGGCATGTTTTCGCTCATCGAATCCCGGGTCGTCTTGCCTCGGACTTTGGGCAGAAAACTCCGGGGTGCGGTTTATATCTTCATTTGAATGAAGTTGATAGCTCTCACATACCCTGAACAAAGATGATGAGCTTTGAGCCTCTAGACGTCTGACACAACCTTTCGTTCGATATTTACCAGGCTTCTTGCTATCTCAACCACAAACTTCGTCATGGCACCCAGTGCAATTTCTAATGGCACCAATGGCAGTAGCCATGGACCTAAGCGGCCCATCAGAGTCGCTGGCTGCTCCGGAGGTTTGTCCCAGACGTCACTCTCTGCCACCTGTGACTTGGTAGCTGAATCTAGACAGGCGTGTACGATCGAAAGCGTGCCATACACGACATGGCAAAGAACGAGGACGTCGATGTCATCACCGGAGATTGGATGTCCGAGTGTAACATGACGTTGCGTGGGTCCGATAAGCGCGATCGCCTCGCTCAGAAGTCCATGTCTTCAGGCTCGACAGTCGTCGCCAAGGGCTACGAGCCGTACTTCCTCGATGAACTCGACCCAGCCATTCCCTGGTTGGCGAAACGCGGTGTCAAGATTGCAGTCAACGCCGGTGCAAGTGATGTCCATGGACTCGCTGAGGCGGTCAAAGGACTCATATCCAAGCACGGCGTTGAGCTCAAGGTTGGGGTTGTCGATGGGGATGATGTGACAGACGCTGTACTCGATCTCTATAACAAGGGTTCGTCATCATGATTTGCCTTCACGGTGTGAGCAAGAACTATCTAACAGCGATGTAGGCGAAAAGTTTTTGAACCTTCCAGCCAACAAGCCTATCCAGGAATGGGGCTTCGATCCCATTTGCGCCCAGTGTTACCTCGGTGGCACCGGTATTGCCGAGTGTTTCAAGGCCGGCGCCGATATCGTTCTCTGCGGCCGTGTTGCGGATGCTTCGGTCACAGTCGGCGCTGCTATGTGGTGGCATGGCTGGACACGGGATAACATCTCTGAGCTGGCTGGCGCACTCATGATTGGGCACATTATTGAGTGCAGCACGTATGCTACCGGAGGTTACTACTCGGGGTTCAAGCACTTGGGCGTGAACGATACGGATATGGGATGTAAGTAACGGGCCACTTCGTTGAATGGGTTCTTGCTCACCTCGCCGTAGACCCCATCGCTGCCATCGATGAAAAGGGGGAAGCCGTCATCACCATGGAGCAGGGGAAGCACGGTCTTGTCACGACCGCCACCATCGCGAGTCAACTTCTCTACGAGATCCAAGGACCGCTCTACTACAACTCCGATGTCACTGCGTCCATTGAAGACATGCATCTCAAACAGATCGGCGACAATGCCGTCCATGTCTCCGGCGTCAAGGGCCTGCCTCCTCCGTCAACTACCAAAGGTTTGTTTCTGCCCATCGCAACAGCTGCCGCAACCTGCTGACACTCCTCAGTTGGTATCACCGCGAAGGGAGGCTGGCAAGCTGAGTTCCACTTCTATCTCACCGGTCTCGACATCGAAGAGAAAGCCGCAATGGTTGAACGCCAAACCAAAGCCCTCATGGGTGATCACATCAACAAATTCTCCTGTCTGCGGTTCATGGTAGCAGGTGCAGCCCCTTCCGACCCGCAGTCACAGGAAGAGGCCACAGTCGACATGCGCATCTTCGCCCAGACGAGAGATCCGGACCTGCTGTCCGGTAACAACTTTGTCGACTCTGATCGAGGCTCATTCGCGCGATTCTGCATCGAGAATCTGCTCCAGGGCTATCCTGGTAGTACCATGGCCCCTGACATGCGAACAGCCATCGGAAGACCCTTCTTCGAGTACTGGGTCAGCTTGATGCCCCAGACATTCGTCCATGAGACGGCGCATCTGCCTGACGGAACAGTTGTGGATATTCCCGCGCCCACTAACGTGCGAGAGTACGAGAGGGAGCAGCCCAGTTATGACACTGGCAACCCCGTTGCCCTAAGCGAGTTCGGCGAGACGATTCGAGGACCGCTCGGCTGGGTCGTACTGGGCCGGTCTGGTGACAAGAGCTCCAACGCCAACTTGGGGTTGTTCGTGCGCCATGATGATGAGTGGGACTGGCTTCGCTCGTTGCTGAGTACTGCGAAGCTGAGGGAGCTGCTGGGCAAGGATGATAAAGGCCGACAGATTGACAGGTGCGAGTTCCCGAATATTCGGGCGGTGCACTTCCTACTCAAGGATCACCTCGATCGCGGCTTCAACTCGACGAGCAGCTTTGACAGTCTTGGAAAAAACTTGTGTGAGTACATCAGGTCCAGGCATGTAGATATTCCCAAGAAGTTCTTGGAAAGAGGAAAGGTCTAGTCGTATGGTCACATCAGGAAATATTGGAGTGGCTGCCGCTGTGTACATGAACTTGGGGGGCGAGAGAAACCAGAAACTTCTCTGGATTCAACAGGCAAATTGCAAAGTAAACATGGAATGTCGCTTCGTTCGTGTTTCGTTGATGGGGGTGCGATCTCTTTAGCTGTGATGCTTGCAACATGAAGAAACCAAGATGTATCAGCTGGCTTCGTAGCACTACTTGGGCCTTGAAAGAAATCATTCTCAGTTTGAGATCGGAGCAGATTGAGGCGTGAACATGCCTCAATTGATGAAGAACTGCCCTCCACCACCCACCGGAAGTTGACCCGGCAACGGGACAGCATGAGCATGGTTCAGCCCTCGAGATAATCTTATCAATCTGCCGGTCTTCCGCTGATATCGCCAACAAGCAGCTCCCTTCAATAGCATTTGCGAAGCCACAAATCAGCGATGGAAACGTATGCGCTTGAAAACTTTCGCCTTCTCGTAGCAGCGTGTAATGTGCTTACAACCCCGGCTTAAGTGGGATGAGCCGAAGTATTCGTCAGTCGACTCAGAAACTTGCGCATCGGTCGACCGTATTGGAACGCGCGTCTTTTGTGCTCCGCCGAGTCTATTCCGAGCGTATTCCCGAGTCGGCGTGAATTAAAATCCTCACCGCCGCCGCCCAACTCAGCCCGTCCGGCTTCGCGTTCCTTTGTTGCAAGTTTTAGCTGCCAACAACCACCTTCTGGTCGCCAGCAACGACCCTGAATGTGCAGAAATGTTGGCACCCTCGAATCTAGTTCTCCTTCTCTCCCTGAGTGCGCTAGCACGATGCGACGCCGGGGAGTTGCGGCCTAGCGAAGAAGTCTCCCGGCAGCGGGGACCCCAGATCTTCAATGCGGTGCACGATTCCATGCGTCAGTGGGGCTCGTCTCTCCATCACAATGGCATGTCTTTCTTCTTGGCGACCGTTCCGCGAGGGGTGCTTCTGTATCATGGAAACACCAGCCCGGAGTCGCCCTCGGAGCCGGATTGGCTTGCATACGAGATCGAACACGCCGAGCAGTTTGCGCATCCATTCCGCAGGAGACCACCACCTGGCGGTCCGCCCGGAGGACCTCCCCGGGGACCTCCCGGTGAACCGCCGAGAGGACCGCCGGGAGGGCCACCTCCAGAGTTCGCCTCGGAGCATCCGGATACGGAGGAACAGCACGTCATCGGAGATGGCGAGCTCAAACGTTCTGAACAGGAGGAAGGCTGGTTGCATGTGTATCGAGCAACGAAACCGCTTCAGCTTCTCTACGTCGACGGCATGGGCGGTGGCAAGACCAGTATGGGCACACTTGACACTCAGGATCACCTTTTGAGAGGACTTCGATCCACACCATTGTCAACAAAGAAGCCATTGAAAGCGCGGGGCGGCGGTCCGATGGGAGAAAGAGAGCGAGCGAACGAACTCTGCGAGCTGGCCGAGGCCTGGGGCTTGCATGGAATCCTCCGCATGGAAGCTGGTTTCGAGATCATCATGTGCGACTTCAAGAACGACTTGGAGGAGATCCAGGCCTTGCGTCGCGCAGACAGAAACGATCGCAGAGAGCGGGACAGCGGCATCAACAGGCTTGAGGGCCTTCGTGGCTTTGCTGAGAGATACCAGGGTATTGGTGCCTCGCGGACGTTGGTGGACTACTCCTCAATGGTTTCTGCCTTCTTCTTCCCGGTCAACCTGACGAACCCCGATGAGAGACGGCCGGATCTGCCCAGGCTTGTGAATGTCTCCGACTCTGAACTCAATGTCATCAAGAAATACATCCACGAAAGTATCGATTTGCGCCGCGATGTCGATCTCGCGCCCATCAACTGGCAGGGCATCTCCGATCTCATCGTCGGTCGATATGCAGACAGGATCGAGTTCATGGCGAACAGCAAGTCATCCGATGTTCTCGTGGACGAGCTCAACTTCCTACTGGACGTCTTCATCCACTACCCGGAGAACGACGGGGAGCCTGACCTGTCCGAGGCTGTCACGCGGTGTGGAGAATTCTACTTGCAGAGTATCGCTCTTTCGACTGAAGCCGATCGGTATATTCACGCGGCGTTCCAGGCTGTGACCTCAGAGATATGCTCTACTCTGTTCGAGGTCAGGGAAAGGCTGTCCAGTTCCACCAAGGTCATAACCTCGGACCTGGAATCGTCTACCGACGCGCTGCGCTCTTTGATAAGTTTCCTGGGGTGGAGTCGCTTCAAGCGATGCTCCGGCTGCGACCTGAGTGAGGTCTGCTTCATCCCGATGTGGCCGATGGGAAGCGTGGAGGATTACGAGAACCCTAGATGTAAGAACGGATCAGGCCTGCATGGCGGCGATAGCTACTGGAAGATGTGATGAATGGGCGGTTTGAGATATGAGTATAGAATCCAGAAGAGCAATAGTAGAATCATGAATGAGATGGCGGATGTTTGACCTACAACACACCAATATCGAAGAGCATGACATTTTACAACTATTGTTTAATGAAACTGAGAATGGCTTGAACAAAACCATCCGGATTCTCCTCTGCCACATAGTGTCCGCTCCCTGGGACCTCCGCGATCTGCACCGACCCTTCTTCGTGAACCTCCTCAAACATCTCCAGCGCAGTTTCCTTGTGCCTACCTTCGCCTCCACTTAGACCCAAAGACTTGACCTTGCACTTGCCATGCTGCTCAATCCACTCGCGGTTCTCGCGTGCATCCGTCAAGAAGGCCCTGTAAACACCAAACGCGCAGCGTAGAGCTCCAGGCCGACTGTACATCTCGACGTAGTGGTCCAGGTCAGCCTTCGAGATAGCCAAGCGCCTGTGAGAGATTTTGTCGAAGAAGTGGCTGAGGTAGATCTCTTCGCGGCCCGAAACGAGTGCTTCGGGTAGGTCTGGCACCGAGTGAAAGAGGAAATGGAACTGCTGCACGCCGTGGGTGGTTCGATCCTCTTCGTGAGCAGTGGTACCCGGGAGAGGGCACTCACCCCATACCAGAGAGGCGGTGCGATCAGCGTGGCGGGTTGCGAAGGCGTAGGCGATCATGCCGCCGATATCATGACCGACTATGTGCACTGGATCCGTGATCTTCAGGTAGTCCAATAGCAGGATCATGTCGTTTGCCATGGTCGTTTTCCTGAAATCGCTGTCGGGTTTGGAGGATAGTCCTGCGCCGCGATAATCGGGCACGACGACTCGATAGCTGTAGTACGTGGTGTTAGTGGATGGATGGCGGTTCTTGTTATTGAATTGTGTGTTCGCTCACCCGGCAGAAACCAGTGGACCGATGACTTTGCGATACTGGTATGAAGTCTGGGGGAAGCCATGAATGAGGACAATGACGCCTTTCAAATGTGATGCTGGCTGCTCATCGACGTACGCGATGCGCAGGCTGTCTGCGGCATTCTCTAGTGAGGTGATGTGATAGCTGTAATCCATAATGACTGCACTATGTTTTTGCATGCAAATTGTCATCCTGTAGTGAATGTCGTCTCTGTTGTTGAGCATGGCATTTTTGTCGATTTCTGGCATTTATTCTGTGGATGCGAAATATCATCATTTGTAATACGACTCATTTTCTTCTGCGCGATGACGCTCGGAATGACGCTGAAGATGACGCTCAAGAATGGGGCCAACATCACTGAGAGGGCAATCTTGCCAGATGCACTCACTGGGCGCAGAACATGGCATTTACTACACACAAGAACAACAAAGGTGACACGGTCATTGAGTTGGGTCTTTTCGGAGAAGCTCAAACGAGATGGGCTCCTTAACATGATCAGTTCAAGCGGAGTTCAGCTCAAGTCTCAGCCAGTTTGCGATCGAAGCTGTCAGGAAACGCCATCTGATTCACAGCAACGTCAAAAAGGAATCATAACACCGGGCGGCTTGAAAGGAAGAACCTCCGGCGCTACCCTTTTCACACGAGTAATGCTGAATTTAAGCATAAAGCCACCCGCCAGGCCAAGAATGTGGCACAAGAAGCTTGCACTTCTGGCATCCAGCAGCCGTTGCGCTAGGGTTCAATCATGACTAGGGCCTGATGGCAGCGGACTTCATCAACTGGTTTGTCCGTCGGTCGGGAAGTGTTCGTACTGGATGAGTCCATCGGAAGGATGAAGGACGCGTACGGGATGGAATGCAATATGAATGAGAGAATGAGAGCTTCTCTTCTGCCTATGGCCAACTGATCAGAGTAAGAAACTGCTGACAGGAGGCGGGCGCTGTCGGTCTCGACCCTCTTTAATTGCTTTAGGCACCGAGTTTCATTCCCTGTGAGGATGGCTTGGCCAGGTATTATTGATGTGATACGGGGATAGAATCAGCCTTACAAGTATCTGCTGCCTGCAAACTTGTCTATCAAGAATCTCGCCGCCTCAGAGGAAGAACTTGTGAAGTCCCAGCTTGTGGGTTCGACAACCCGACGTGGCGGATAAGTCCCTACAACCCACGCGATCGAAGCATGGATGAAGCTCTGGTTGATGGACGAAAGGATTCACGAAAATCAGCAACCCCAGAGGCCAGCCCTGCTTGGCAGACCACCGAGACCTTCGAGCACCCAAGATCGTGGTCCAATGGCCCTCTTTTCTGTGCCTTTTTTAATTGTGCAATCCTGCAGCCGAGGCCAGAAGGTGGCACAGCGTCTTACATCCCGGTCGAGGAGACGGCCGGCGGGGAAGCCATTCGCGGGTTTCCGATCCATTGGAAATGGAGTCCCGTCAGCGCTTAACCAAGCCGAGCAATGAGCTGTTCCTGGCCGTCCAATTTCCGAACATGGATGGGGATCCTCCTGGCCCCCTAAGGCGCTTGGCGACATCGCACTGCAATTCTTGACCAAAATTGCAACTTTTTGAGAGACTCACCGTTGCATTCTGCCACCCCATGGGTTTCGTTTCCTGCTGGTTCTGGCCCTCCCCTCGCGTCAAGGAAACTCTGTTTTAAATCCTCCACCTCCCGCCGTCTCGTTCGTATCCATCGAGTGGGTGTTTGATTCTGCTCTGGCCCCCGTTATACAGAAATGAACGTTGCCGCATCATGACGACACACAACTCCAACGCGTATCCTCCCGAGTACTTCGGCGGTCTCGAGGTGGACACGCGACAGTCGCCCGGAGCCGGAACCGGAGGATGGAACGCCGACGACTTGTCCAAGTTCCGGGTCGCGGACCAGAACCCGAGCAGCTTGCCACAGGTTCACAATCCCGACCTGCCGGAGGTCGCGGCTTACCACGGACACGACTACTCGATGCCGCAAGCCGTGAACGGCTCCGGAGCGCCGGCCGAATACGCTTACCAACAGGGCTACTACGCCCCGAAAGACAACGAGGGGTCCCCGGCGGTCGTTACCGAAGAGATAAAGGAGAAGAAGCCGCCCGGCACGATATGCGGCATGCGAAGGAAGGTGTTCTGGATCGTTCTGGCTATTGCGATTATCGTGGTAATCGGTGCCGCAGTCGGAGGAGGCGTTGCCGGCTCTGCGGCGGCCTCGAATAATGCCCAGCAAGACAGCTCATCATCGAGCGGATCGGGCAGCGGCAGTGGAAGTGGGAGCGGAAGCGGGAGTGGAAGCGGGAGCGGTGATAGCAGCAGTGGTGGAAGTGGTAGCTCTGGCGATTCAAACAACTCGACGGGTGCCATCTTGCCGACCACCAACATCGGCTCCCTCAACTTCACCGACCAGTACGGCTTTGAAAACCACATGGTCTTCTTCCAACTTCGTACGAAGCAGATCTGGCAGTCGTACTGGAATTCATCCACCAATATCTGGACTTCAGCCGATGGCAAGGTCGAGGATACCGTGAAAGAGGGCACGCCAATCTCGAACAGTCTGTTCTGGCACAGCAAGACCGTAAGTGGAGAAATTTTCATCTCACTAAACTCGTCATCGAGCATCGCTAACTAGTTTCAACGCAGGGACGCGACATTCGTATCTACTACCTGAACGAGAACAACAAAGTCATGGGCCAGATCAACGCCAAACCGGTCGAAGGCCTCACCTGGGACAAGTCGGGTGTCTCGGACACATTTACCGCTGCCGCGTCATCCCAGCTACTCTCCAATGGACTATACTCTCCCGACTCATACCTCTCCAACCTGGTTCTCTACCAAGACACCAGCAACTCAATCAATGTTCTCCGCCGAACAGGTGGTAACACCGATTGGACGGCCACGGCTATCTCTACAAGCTTTGGCAAACCTGCCGCCGGCACTGGCCTTTCGTTCATCCCCATTTCTACGACCGAAGAAGCGAAGAACATGAACCTCTTCTACGTCTCTGAAGCGGGCTCTCTAATTGGCCTGAATTTGACTGGTGTCAACGACTGGACTGGCCAGACGCTCCCCACGACAGTCGAGACGAACTCTTCCATCGCGGCGTTCTCATCTGGCTATAACAACACAGATCTTACGATACACGTATTGGCGACGCAGACAGATAAGCCGCCTGTGCTGACGACGTTTTCGGGCGGAGAGTGGAAATCCGCAGGCGAGATCGAGAGTATGTCGGGAGACGACAGGCCGATCAAGATTGCCGCCAACCAGGGAGGCAGGGTGTACGGTGTTGTGGAGAGGAACAGCAGCAGTGTCGAAATCGTCGAATGGGAGTGGACGGGCGGCACAACATATAACAAGATTGGCACGGTGAACGTGGTAACATAACGGGTGCGAGGTGGTAATTTGACGTGTTTATGAACTGCTGAAAGCCTTCTCCTCTGCTCTATCGAGTCGCCCACTGATAACTACATGTAATAACAAATTGAATTTATAATATGGTTAGGCACAGCCTGGATTCGTTCCCAACCAGTTAACAACCTGCGGCTGTGCCTGTTGCCAACCCTGTACCCATGGATAGTCAAATGGCATCCAACTTGTGTTGAAACAGTTAAATCCAAAGTCTTGAGGTTGCCATTGAGGTTGCTGAGCCACACAATAGCCGCCGGTTTTATCTGTATGCTGCAACGCAGTTAGTACAGCGGGTCGTGGGGCTTGGTCACAATGGACAGGCATACCTGTTCAAATCCACTCATTTGGGCAAAACCCGTTCCATCTTCGACCTTAAATGATTGCTGAAGCTGGTCTATCTCTTGCTGGCTATCACCCTGGTCCGACGGGCTGCTGCTCTGCTCGGGCCGGCGTGGGTCGACCGGGTCCGGGGTTGCGGCCGATGCGCCTCGCGCGGCAGCACGGGCAGCGGAACGGGCGGCAGCAGCGGCAACGCGGGCACCGTGTTCGGCTTTGATTTTCTTGACGAATCGTGGTACAGGACTGCGGCAACGGTCTTCGTATATGTGCTTCGCACAATGTTAGCCTCGTGCATTGTAAGCAAAACATGATTCACCAACTCACCCGGTGCATACTGCCTATTTTGGTGAATGACTTGAAGCAACCAGGGCAGATGGCCTCAATCATTTTCGGTCCACGGGGCATAACGAGAGTCATTTTGAAAAAGGATTTTGTGTGAAATCGTATCTCTGCTGACACTTTGAGTAAGAGGAAATGAGGGTAAAGCTGGGTGAACGACAGCCTGAACAGAAAGGCAGGAGATGCAACTTCTTGTAGTTTGGCCGCATCACCGCAACCGCCGGTGGGTCCAAGTGAAGATTTACTATGACGAGCCAACACTGAACAGAGATGTTGGCTGTGCGATTCTGTCTGTTCAGTTTTCTTGGATGCTGGGGCAAAAAGAGCCCAAGCCGCAGCTTGTTGGTTCATCGATTTCGGTTGCCACATGGGACCAGGGGCTTCTTTTTTGCACAGCTTTTGTCCTCGCGATACCAAGTAAACCACCCCCGGATAGCTCGTCTTGACTGTATCAAGGGGGTGAAGTCCACCCAAAAAGAGAATCGACGATGATGGGGGTAGTGGTCGAGCACGTGGGAACATACAAGGTCTTCCAACGAGATGAACCAACGGGACTTAACACAAGGTGACAGCAGGAGGATCCACCAACCGATGACCATGTTGGTTCATTTGGACGATAAGTCTTCAATTGGAGCACTTATCACCCACTGCCCCCCGCTGTCCCCTGCGGCATCGCACGATGCAAGGCACACTGCACATCATACCAGGCACGGTTCGTCAAAGAAACCGAGTGGCGATGAGGTGGAATGTGCACAAGGGAGTCGCAAAGACCTGACGAGGATACTCTTCCTCGTCCTGAAGATGTTTACACTGCCTTGAAACGAAATCTTGTTGGAAGACCCGACGAGAGGAAGCGAGGGGGCCTTCTCAGACCTGGATTAGCTCTAGCTAGGACCGATTGAGTAGTTAATTTCGCACTTTTGCCCGCACCACCTCCCAGCACCGCCCCCAACGGCTCGCCTACGGGTCTGATGATCAACCAACCTACCCGAAGAGGATATCCTTGTCTATCAAGAGAAACAGTCCCTCCAACGTTGGTCTAGGGCTGAGCTGGAACGGGCGGGGCAAAAGCATGAGCCTCTGTGAACATCTGCAAGTTGGCTGGAGATATCACAGACCCCCATCCTAATACCCCTCGTCATTTCTTCAGAACAGAGCTCTTTGAAATGAATACCCCTGCTCCCTCTCAAACATCCAACAAAAACACGAGGCTGGATTTTGGGGTGGCATGCAGGTGAGCGGCGGAGCGCGCTTTTATGCTCTTTAAATAGGTCACGTCAAGAGTCGACCAGGATCTCGGGACTGATCAACCGATGGACCAACACGCTCGCCATCTCTCAAGATTCCAACATTCAGCAGCTGCATAAGCGCGCTACGCCAGATTTCCAAAAAGAGAGAGAGACCTTACCAACAACTCGTGCGAGGCGCACTCCCTTGAGCATCATCTCCGTCGGGCTTTCGTCATTTGCTCGTTCTTCCGGGTATCCTGGATGCCCCCCTTCCCTGTGCCCCCCAAGCTCTCATCTCATTCGCACTTGAAAAGCTGGCAAACACCTAATAACCACTCAGAAGCCATAGGTTCTCTTCTGCAGCATGCAGAGTGCGGACCGTACCCGAAGAATTACTGAAGACACCGCTTGCTGACCACCCTCATCTGCAGTCCGACCTGCATCAGGCTCCATCACCACCGAACCAATAAACACTGAAACGCACAGTTACTTCGCGACGAGCTTTTAGAGCGATCGACACTTTGGACTTCGCACGTTGTTCGCAGCCCTGGATTGCGCTGTTTGAGACTTTCAGCAAGGTCCCATCCTCACTTCCGAGGTCGTTTGAACGAGGGGAAACGGTTTAGGCCTGGAATTCAATGTAAGTCACTTTGACCCCAAATTTCCAGTCTTCCTTCTAAGCGTGCCAGCATCACAAACAACACAGTCTTTCCGAGTATTTCCCTGCGGAATTGTGACACCATCACGAGCTGTAGAAGCTTCTCGAAGTCTACCAATAGACTACTGGTCAAGACAGTGGGTGGTTCCAGATCTCTATTACACGTTAAACGATGGCTGAGACGTTTAAGACAGCATCTTTGAGCCGGATCTAAACGGTCACGGAAGAAATCCAGGATAGAGCGATGGCTCCGATGCTATCAAACATCTCGACCGGTACGGCCGCTATAATAGGCGTTGGGGCAGGCTTAGGCGTCATCTTGGTGGCCACCGTCATAGCCATCTTGATATGGAAGAGAAGAGGGAGGAAAGAGAAGCGGAAAGAAAAGCCGCGGCACACTCACGTCGACACGGGAAATCCGCCCACGTTCTTTACGTGGAACAACCTTGAACTGAGAAGACCAGAACTCCAGGAAAGCTCGAACGTGCAACCAAGAGTTGAGCTGCCGGGCTCAAATTGGCAACAACATCGAGTCCCCACGAGATCATTCATAGCCGACGACGTGGTTTCTCCGGAATCACCGACGGTACCGCCTAGTCTTCTCAGAGGTTTCCGAGGTTCCGGCGGTGCCAGCGGCGGTGCAAGCCGTAGCCGTGAGATTACAAGTTGAGAGGCGCATAATTTCATTTCCTGATGTTTACCCATAACTCATTGTGATGCTACACATCACTTACTAGAAGAGTAGCATATGAATGTTTACTTTTCTTTGAGCGATTCCAATGTGATTCAAATTCTCAGTTCACTTCATGAACTAGTTGTTTAGCTAGCCTCCGAAAACTTTGATCAGTGCTATCACGTGCAGCTGAATAATTTGCACAAGCCTCGAAGTCAATGGTTTGGAGTCTCGCGATTGGTGGATCGCGCGATCTGCAACTTGGATGTCTACTACCATCAGACGAGGTCGTAGAAGTAAGACGCCCAGTCTTAGCGTCATGATTTATCGCAGGACCCCAGCGCGCGTATCTTTCACGGAACCGCTCTGGAGATAAGTCGTGCGAATTTGAAGCAATCCGACCATGGGATAAAGAGAACAAGCAGCTTCAACACAAGCGTTTGCTAAGGCACAGTCTGATCTTTGCAAACTTAAATGTCCTGCCGTCGAGGATTCTATCGCACTTGGGGTCCTTCGGGGTACTGGGCGTATCGACCGAGCGCCGAAAGTCAGACGATGCGACTTACCGCAGATGTTTAAAATAGGAAACCCAGAAAATGGGGTTTGCCGCTTCATCTCAGCGTAGTATATTCAAGGTCTTCTCAAGTTTGGTATCCTGGACCTTGAAAGAGTCTAATCTTGCCAATTACTACCGTATTTGACATGTTCTTGACATGAGCTTCCGCAGAAGCAGTTGGGATATGCCATCATCGTGTCAAGCACTCGGTTTCTGAAGCACGGACGAACTTGAGGGACCTCCGGCCACCAAAGTCTAACAATTCCTCGACGTCCGAGGCGCATACCGTCTCGTTGCCGCTAACTAACGCCCAGTCTGTGCCCGATGCAGATTCTCGGGACAAGATAAGCTTCCCTAGCTCACGAGCAGGCACACGGACAGACGTGGCAGGTTATGCGTAATGATGGTCGGCGGAGGAGGGTTAGTCTTTCGCGGCTCTCCCGCCGACTGGCGAGATTGTTGCGAGATAGTTAAATCCGTCTCGAGGAAAGTTTTGTCGCATGTTGTGCTGAGATCGTTCGGTTCGGTCATCCTCTCGAGTTGCGCTGTGCTCATCTCTACTTTCTTCCATCGCCATTCTCGCTTCGACCCTGACTCGCTTCGACCCTGATCCTTCGAGACCATATTTATCCGCACATCCCCAGCCATGGCCAGCCCGGAGGTCGTCCATGACCTGGCCATCGAAAACCGTCCGAAAAGGCATTCCAGGATGATTGAAGAGTTCGAGAAGTTCGACGAGATTGGGAGGAACGTTGGCGTGGTTGAGCAGCCGGTATACTCGAGAAGCGACTCCTTGAAAAGCGAACAGGATGGATCGGCTGTTGGAAGGAAGGTCTTCGATCGGAAACGACTGTGGAAGCTCGACAAGCATCTCATGATCGCCATGTTCTTCCTCAACTTCCTGTCGCTGATGGGGCGAACGAATATCGGTGCCGCTCTGATCCGAGAACTACCGCAGGATTTGAAGCTGGACGCGATGAAGGTCTTCGTCGTTCTTACCATGCCAGCGGCACCACTCATTCTCTTTGAGGTGCCGAGTAACCTTCTCATGAGGTGGCTGGACCGCAAGTTGAACTTCTCCTTCATGTGGTACATGTGCCTTTTGGACGTCCTCCTAGGTTCGTTGCCGCCTGATCTTATCAGACTTTCCTCACTTGCTGACTTGTGTGACAGGGTTAATCACTGTTGCTCAAGGCTTTGTCAAGACATACGACCAGATGATAGTGACTCGGTTCTTCGTTGGCGTATTTGACGCGGGGCTCATACCCGGATGTGTCTTCATCTGCTCGCTGTATTATCCAGCTGCTCATTTGCAATGGCGTCTCAGCCTGATTACGGTGGCAAACATCTGCTCGAGTATCGTTGGTAACTTTCTCGCCTACGCCATTGCCAACATCAAGACTACGAACACCTTCCATGGTTGGAGATGGTACGAAGCTCTCTGAATCATCCACGTTGAATAATCGTGCTGACCTAGCTAGGATCTTCATCATCGAAGGCATCCTCACGGCCGTTGCTGCTCTTATCTGCGCTTTTTCCAACGCCGGCCCACCACAAAAAGCCAAGTTCCTGACTGAGGAGGAAAAGAGAATCATCGAGGCTTCGGTGGAAACGCGCACCACAAAGATCGGAGTGTTGGCCGAATGGAAGATGTTCTTCACGAACCCATTGAATTACTGCTGGGCCATCCTCTACTGCTTCACGACAACGACGGCATACTCGGTGTCGATCTTCTCGCCATCATTCGTCAAGTCGTTCCACCCCGAACTCAGCGCGGCCGATGTCCAAGCCCAGATCGTGCCCATCTTCGTGGTAGCCGCAGCCGCATGTCTCGCCACCTCGTTCGCATCAGACAGACTGAACCATCGCTCGGCTTTCGGACTTGTCGGCTTCGTCTTCACAATCATCGGCTACGCTGTTCTGCGAAGGGCCGCGCACGAAAACTCCAACTTCACCATGATGGCGCTGTACTTCATCGCCATGGGCACTTTCATCACCCTGCCCATGATCTGGATTCTCACGATACAGAATCTGCAAACTCCTTTCCAGCGTGCCATTGGCGCGGGGTTCGTCGTTGGCCTGGGCAACACGTCGGCGTACATCTCCGCCTGGATCTTCAGGACGAGTGATGCGCCGTACTACGAGTATGGAATGACGGTCAGCATGACCTTGGTAATTATCTCATTCTTTCTCTTGTCGGCAACATGGCTGTACATCGTTATTCGCAACAACAGACTTGACAGGCAGGAGGTTGCGGCGGCTTCAATGCCCTCAGGCGGCAAAGCAACAGTCGGTCGAGGATTTCGATACAAGGTTTAGAATAGGAAGCCGATTACTGATCATGGCTGTGCACCGCCGTAGAGCATAATTAGAGTAGTTGCAATCAATTCAACACGAACTCCAAACTCTTTGTTTTTGACTTTCAGGGTTGTCTGCTTCTTCTGGCTGGGGCCTTGGCTAAGCTGGCTCAGACCAACAGACTAAATGGCGGGCGGCCTATTCGTCTGACCGCACCAACAGTCGTCTGACCTCTCAGCAATCTTCTTAACAGAGTGAACTTTTAAACACTCTGGTGTTATTGTTTGCAAAGAGACCTTTTCAGAGAACTTCAGCCCGTTGACCGATGTCGCGCCGATGCTCTATCGAAGAAAACATCATGGCGACGAACATGTTCTGGTGACTTTGGGAGAATGCAGGGGACTGTATCATTTCTGGGCCAAGACATTTTGTATTTCAAATGGAAATATGTAGTCCAGGGTTACGATGTGTGATAAAGCATTGAAGTCCGAAGTAGTCTATGTTTCCGGCACGTTCCTCCTTTTCGCTTGTTTCTCGTTCCCTTATTCCAAAAGCGTAAACTGCTGGCTTAAGGGCAGGTAGCATTCGGGTCGGAGGTGGTGGCGCAAGGGCCCTGGATAGCAGTTAAGCATGTCAGCAAAGTTCACAGATCTGTCCCAGAGGGCGTCAAGGATTCAACTTACACCGCGGCACTGTAGAGAAAGTTGTGTTAGTTTATGATATCCTATTGCATCTTCGGGGAATGAAAGACTTACACAACCGCAGTTGCATGTGCCCGGAATGTACGAGCAGCAGTTGCCCTGTGGCTCGCGAGCAAAGATGGCGCTTCCATCTGCCTGAGGAGGCGCCGCGACGGCGACGGACGCGAAGAAGATGGCGACAATAGCTTTGACTTGCATTCTGACTGACAAAACTGAGATAGCAACGATGCGAGAGGTTGGAGGGCACTGCTTCTATGTGTGTCGAGTCTGTCTAGGAGTTGGATAATAAGAGAACTCTGTGATTTTCAGCAACTCGTTTCGCTGGTCTTTATACTCTTTGAGAATTGCCATCAATCATACAATCAACTACCCGCCGGACGGACCGGGGAGTTGTGAACACCAAAGTCCGACCTGTGGAACCTTGAGTTTCCGGCTGCTCCGACAACTAACTACGCCCTATCGTACGCCGTACCTCGCTTTCGCTTTGGGTTCCAGGATGAGAGAACTAACTAGCATACAGCTTTGAACAATAATACAAGAACGCTTCAAGATTGGTGCAATTTGAATGTCTTCAGTCCCAGCCCCATCTTGACGAGGTTAAATTTCTTGATTAGTCTGCTAATCTCAGGCTGTCGAAGCACTAACGCCGTACGCCGTCTTCGTCTTGGCAAACTTCCAAGCGGGGATGCGCCTCTCAAACAGTTCATCCAGTTCTTGGTAAGTTCTGCCCTTGGTTTCGGGGAAGAGTAGGGCACAGGGGATAAGGTAGACCAAGCTGATTCCACCAAAAAAGAGGCCAATCTTCTGCCCCCAACCTGCATGCTGGTTTGACAGCATGAGAGGCACCGTGTAGTTCTGTGATACTGTTAGTACATGCTTTGTCGGAAACATGTCGGAAAACTTACAAATACCAGTCCGCTCAATGCCTGGATGACTGCCGCAATGGCGGTTGTCTTCGCGCGAAGTAATGGACTGGACACTTCAACAAGACTTGTCCAGCCTGTATCGAAAGTTTAGCTCATGCATGAGGTATTTAGCGGGCTCGACTTACCAATGGGAGCAAGCGAATTGGCGTAGACAAATGCCCAAAGAGAACATAAGGTCACCAAAACCGGGCCTGACGCCGCCGTCTGCTTCATGAAACCCATGCCTCCGATGATGCAGCAGAGTATGCTCATGATGAAGCCACCGCCCAGGACCAGCGTCCGTCTTCCAACTCTATCCTCAAAGTAGAAGCCTGTGATGATACCAACCACGAGAATGAGCTGGATAATCATGTTGCCCAGGAAGGGGTCCTCGACGTCGGCTAGGCTGAAGAAGTATGTGGTGTAGCCGAAAATGAGAGGCACGCCGACGAAATTCTGGAAGGTGAACGGAAGGGTGGCGATGACGATCCGCTTCATGTTGACTGGAGTCAACAACGCCCTCCAAGCATTGTCTGCGTGAGACTTCGCTAGCGAGATTGAGCCTTCTATTTCTTGTTGCATGACTTTGTACTCGTGGTCAAGGTCATAGCCCTCAACATCTCCAACTAGTCTTCTGAGAGACGTCTTGGCCAATTCGTGTTTTCCCTTCGCCGAGTTCCATGCTAAAGCTCGCGTCAGTGAAAATATCCATAATAACTAGGTCAACACTCACCAGGCGACTCGGGAAGATACACCATAGGAACAAGCCAGATGGCAAAGAAAAGAAACTCGGAGTAGAATATGTTGCGAAACTTCAAAGGCTCGGTGTCCTCCAGGACCTTCAAACCAATAGCAAGAAATACCTGGCCAAGTGAGAAAGACAGCGCAAAGCTGCTAAGCAAAGCGCCTCTGAACTGCGGCATAGCCATTTCGGACATGTAAACCATCACAGAGGTACTGATCATGCCACTGGCACAACCGGCAGCGAGTCGCGAAAGCATGAGTACGATCCATTCTTTGGCAACGATCTCGAGAACAATTGACTTCCAATACCCACTGATTAGCCATTCGTCGGCAGACTCATCTCATGTAGTTTGAGCTCACCAGTGTAAGGAAGAAAGTCAATCCCCACATGTTGAACTTGCGACCCCATCTGTCGGCTGTGACGGGCGCAACAAATTGAACAAGAATCTGGGAAGCGAAGCTGATTGCGTTCCATACGGAAACATGTGTGGCATCTAGAGCTGGATGGCCCGTCTGGGGGTCGCTGACGGTTGCAAATTGCTTGATGAAGCCCTCGTTGGCAACGAGACTGCCTATGACGGAATTTGCATAGCCTGCATACCTGTTCATCGTTCATATAAGCAAGTGATCTTGCACCCTGCGCTTCATAGATGAGGAACCGAGAACCAAGTTAGGACATGGACTTACATGCCACCTAGCGAGACCAACAAACCGGTAATGTAAAGACGCCAGAACTTCTTGATGCAAGCAGCTCGTGTCCATCCAGCGAACGCTGATGTCACAGAGACTACTCCATGCTCAACATGGTCCTTAGTGCTAGACTCGAACTCGCTAGCTTTGTCGTGGTCCATTTCCGCAGAGCGTTGCAGATGAGAGTCCTGGGAGGAATCTCAAGACGATTTGGCTGGATCGAATCTTGAAACAGTGAAGGACGATGTGATGATCCTTGGATATACGACATGATGCTGGGCATCTTTTGTATGCCCCCGAGAATCAACTATGTCTGGAAGACTACTGCCGAGAATTTCCCTTTTGGCTTGGTTTGGCATAAATGACTCGACTTGCAATTGCCGAGAATGTGAGGATCACTATAAAGCAACGTGATGCTGAGACCGAAAGCCGCCCATGAAGAAGAACAATGCATGCTACCCCAGATACTATGAGAATGGGGAACTGGGGTAATGCGGAGGAATATGATCAAAGGCGCGACATTGTATTGGAACTAGGAATGCCTACAACCAGCCTAGCACGCAACTAGTGGTTCTTTGCTGTTTGATCCTGGGTCTCGGTATACTTAGTGGTATTCAAATCAACTGATCACCCAGCGTTTCTGGCATGATACTGGGGTTGAATGCTTCCGATCGGCTGACGGAACTCGGAACATACATCGCACGATGCTTCTCCGAGGACAACCCCGGACCGACTCCTCCTGCCAAGAGCCAATCCTCCGCCCCGCAATCCCCGCGTCCCCCGCAAACTTCTGGGGGAACTTCGGCCGAAGTTCTGTTGTGACCAAGTTCCTGTACCAAATCCGCCGAGCCGCTGACTGTTTGGTTGATTTCATGTTCGCATCAATTCACGGCCGGTTGCTCTCCGGAAGCCACTGAGCATTCATTGAACAGGCTGCGCATGATGATGGATTCCATCATCGTGGATACAGACCACGCGGTTGACGCGGCGGACCTACCCTCATGTGAAGGTTGCCGACGGCGAAAGCTGAAGTGCACACGACAGAGGCCCCTGTGCTCCAATTGTGAGCGATTGGGTAAGAAAGTATCGTGCAGATGAACCCATAACTCTTTGCTGATTGCTGAAGGCGTTGACTGTGTGTACGAGAATAGACGGAATAAACCAGGTCTAAAGAGCGGAGCCGTAGAGAGTCTCAACAAGAGACTTGGTGAGCGACACAACTCTGGATCTTGATTTGTGTCGGATAAATGCTGACCATGGAGCAGAAGCTGTTGAGAAAGCAGTTTTTGAGAAGCAGGATGAGCGAGTTCACTCTAGACACAAGGATCGGCCGCCGGATGAGTCCAGCAGCAGTAGGGCAGGCGACCAAGGCTCAGTTCTTAGTATCCTCTCGACTTTGGCCCAAGAAATCAACAATCTGAACTCCACCATTGCTAAATCCAATCAGACGCAGCTCGGACAGTCGAGCAATGGGCAGGAAAGTCCAAGTCTTCATCCCAGTCGGCCGATCTATGACATCGGCCGACCAATCAAGCGGAAGCGAGACGATGAAAGTCATCAACATAATCTCAATAGTCTGCAGCAAAGCGCCATAAACTCAACAGCAGAAATACATGGTAAGGATGATTCCATACTATTATCTGTTTTGGACGAGCTTGTCACAGCGTACTTCACCAGAATTCATCCTTGGATTCCCATTCTACACGAAGGACATTTCCGCCGACAACTCCAGAGCCCCGACATTAGCCGGCTCAATGTCATTTTGCATGCAATGCTTGTAGCGGCGTTGAGATTCGTCAGGCCGCAGGGAAATACTCTGAGTCCAGATGAGATAATGGCACAAGTTCAAAGGTCGAGGAATCTCGTGCTTCTCACATCGATGGACTCCCTTGCCGCGGAGCACTTGCAGGCCCTCGCTATTCTTGCCTTTACACACGTAAGTGATTCAAAATTTCCTCTTAACAGCGTAGCGTTGACTTTGAGTCGAGATTGGAAATGAAGAAACTGAAAAGGCTTGGCCGATTATTGGATCACTTGCTAGGTCTGTCGAGTATTTGCAGCTTAGTGTTGAAAACGAGGGCCGCCAGAAGCGGTCATCTTTCATTCGGCCTCTGCCGAGTCTGCCTCAGCCCAACAACTGGGTTGAAGACGAAGAAAGACGCCGGATATTTTGGAACATATTTATTCTCGATAGGTCAGTATCGGTGCCCGGTGTTGAAAATGAGCAGAGACTAAGATTGAACTGGTAGATTTTGCTCGATTACAACTGGGTTTGCCGTCCCTGTGAGAGATAGTGGAGAACATAACGACTGACAAAGCTCAAAAGTTGGAACACCAGCCTTACGGCCGCCGACGTATCTCGTAGGCTTCCTGCTTGTGGTGGTCATTGGTATCGCGAGACTGCGGTGGTGACTCCATACTTTGGAATTTGGGAAAGCTCCGCTGCTAGAATTGGGAATTCTATCTCTTTTCTTCCCGCACACTATCCGAGTCCCACCCAATCCGCACACGCCGATTCCCAAGACCACGAGGGCCAAAAGCGATCAGATCCTCAAGAGTCCCGGTCTTCCACCGGCGACATGTCAACTGTGGGAGCCTTTGCATACTACGTGGAGTCCATTGAATCTCTGAGCCGAATCAACGCCTACTTTCTGCAACAAAAGATCGATTTCAGCGATAGAAAGGATGTATCAAGTTGGCTGACTCGATTTAAGGAGCTTGACCTCCGGCTAGTCCAGTGAGTCCACGACCCTGCCACAGCTATGGCCGTTGAGTTGACTAAACAATTCGTAGTTGGAAGATGTTCCTACCACAACAGTGGAAGGATTCCGGTATATCTCGCAAAGAAATGCCTGGCGTGATGGATCCAAACATGACACTGGCTCACACCACCCACAACACATCGATGATCCTCCTCCATCAACGTATCGCGTATCCAGAGGCCGAACTGCGTGGCATCCGACTTCCGAGTGCGTATAGTGCAGAGACTTGCCAGAACGCTGCGATTGAGACCGCAGATATGGTCAAAAAGTACCTCCAAAGCTCACCGCCCGACGCCCTCGTCTCACCACAGATGTCGTTTTGTTGCTTCGTCAGTGGCAAGGTTCTACTAGGTACGCCTTTATCATATTTCCAAGCAAATGCTCGGGCATATTCTAACTTGATGTTAGTGCACTGGAGATACTATGGTGAGATACTGCCAGACGAATTTTGGACGATAGTTGATTGTTTGGAAATAATGTCTCGACGTTGGGCGGGAAACAAGCCAGTGGAGGCGCACTCTGGCAAGACTTTGTTTCATCAGTCCGCAGAACGTCTGCGAGGTCTCCACAGACGATGTGAGATGGACCCAGGGCTCCAATTAGCCGTACTGGAATACGTGGACGAAGCGGATCAGACCGCAGAACAGCATGCGGACGTCTTGGAAAGAAACGCCCCAGAAGTACGATCAGACGCTTCGGAGAAAATGGATGAGAACACACTGCAGACTCAGGCCCACTCGACATCGGGGGATCCACCGTCTGTCGAGTCCGTTGGTGACGAGCTTTCTGCAATATCGAGAGCACTGATGGACGAGGGCTTCACGGGAATGGACCGAATCATGAGCTATGACGACATCATTTTCAATATGAGACTCGAGGATTTCAACGCAGGTTCTTCCGACGGGTGGATTATTCAAGGAGCCGAAGGGCTTGAGAGTATCCAGCCAACTCTAGATGATTCTGCAGGATCGACCTGGCACCCTATTTGATACTCATTGTCAAGAGGAGTATCATCTACCCAATTATTTGTATAAAGTCCTTCTCATGTTCCCTAGATGATCCGTCTGTTTTGACAATCGGCGGATCCAGCCACCTTTCCCTCAAGCTCTTATCCTTGATGATTCGACCGCCATTGGCTTGGCTTGAGATAGCAAAGACTTTGGTAACAAACAAGAGTTCGTCGCCCGCGTTTAGACTGATAATGTCGTGCTCAACGGTTGGAATCAGCGTACGTTGGCTCATGAGGTTGGTGTTTGCCTCCGGTTTGAGGGCCGAAACAGTCGGGGAAGCCGGTACACCAGTCAATAGCTCCGTCACGACACCAGAAGCGCCGGCTTCACTTAGAATGAGCACGGATGCCTTGCTTTCAATGATCATCTCCGCCCCTCCAACTTCTAGCTCATTGTCAAGCGCATCATCTTGGAATACGGGTAGGGCAAGAGTATTGCCTTCTTGACGCCCATTGATGGCAAAGCCACCCTCTGCCGTGAACATTCGTCCAGTTGATTTAGTAGCTCGGACACGATGTAGTCTGATATGCCAGTCTGGCCACCTCTCCGTTGGCGGGAATACAGTAGTTGTCACCGACACACTCCGGTCTGCCCAGGGAAACCACTCCACGGTCGCCGTGATGAGGCTTTCGGCATTTTCGGCGCGTACAATAGCGGTTCCGTACTTCGTATCACCGCACTTGTACTTTCCAGTCCAGGTTTGCATCCCATCTCCACTGAAAACAAGTGCATTGTCTGGCGCAATTTGGTGCAACGTTGCTTGCGTCGTGGGGACCGAAAAGCCGAAGGCGGAAGAGTAGGCAAACTTGCAGTATTTTGCAGCATGCCCCTTGAACGGTATTCCCATGTATTGTGCTGTGGAAATCATGAAATGATGATTTCCTGACGGGTGGTTGCAGAGGATCTGGCGAGGGGCAGGCAACAATTTGACGCAGGAAGTCGCCGGTATGGATGGATAGGGACATTCCGGCTCGGTCCAGAAGGTTTCATCAGCAGAGAGTGCAACGACGACGAAAGACTTCAAACACCAGTATGGTGACTGTGGTGAGTTGTAGTCTTCAGTGAGGTACATGTTGCTGCATGAAATCGTCAGATACGTTTCTGTCACGCCATCATCTCAATGACTCACGGGTATACCCAGCCAAAGTTCAAGGTGCCGTCTGGATAGAAGATCTCGGATGAGTGCTTAGCCCACCATCGAAGATGACGGAGCAAGAAACCTTTCACTGCACCAGGGCTTGACAACGGCGCCGGCATATTGGGCACATCAGCAAGGGCTAATGCAGCGAAGTAACCTGCAGCGGCAAAACGATACGTGAGTGAGCGGCCAAAGGGCACGACGGCACCTGCGGAATCGAAGAACCTCCAGAACCCCGCCCCAAAGTCACGAGCCTGTTGTCGGTACTTCTCCGTTCTGGCTTGATCTTGATCTCCGGCGAATCTGATGTAGAGGAGCTGGCTGAACTGGATCGCGAAGCTACCAGAGTAGAAGCAAGCGTTTCGGCCGCTGGGGAGGGCGTTCGCTCGTCCCGTTTTCTGGTAAATCTGGTACTCCTCATCGTCCAACTCGGCACTTCTCCATAAGCCGTCGCTTGACCAACCATCGTCGATGTAAAAGGTGTCGAGCACCTCCAAGTCAGCCTGAATCTGGTGTTGAACTTCAGAGGTATCGACTTCGCAGACACGCGATAATGCCAGGTTAGCGAAGACGCGGAACCACAGCCAATTAGCCCTATGTATGAGCTTGCTGTTGAGCCCCGAGAGCCACTTGATGAGATTTCTCTGGGTATCGGGACGGAAGCGATCCCATAGTAGATGTCGAGGGGCGGCCAAGAGAGCAAATGAGATCATCTCGGCTTCAACCATACGCTGGTCGTAATCCTGGATTTCACCCCAGTATTCAGGGTGTTCTGGATCAGTGCCAGCTTCGAAACCATCGATCCACGGTTGGATGAGGTCCCAATTGGGGTCACCACTCATCAACAGTGCCCCGACAGCCCATAATGGACGGGCGAAACCCTCGAGCTGAGCGGCGGTCTCATCAAAGTGTGTTCCAGTGGCCACGGGTATCTTGACTCTCGCTTTTGCGGGCGAGAAATACTGCAAAAGTGGTCTGAGGAAGGCTTCTGTGGCGCAAACGACATCCTCTCTCGTCTCCAATGGGTTGTCTGAGAAGCCAGACAGGGGAGGCATATTGGTGAACAATGAATTGGATTGAAGTATGTGAGGTGCTTCTGCCGTAGGTGAGGATCTCAATGCGTCTGTTGAAGCTTGAGAATAGGCTCTTGTCTGCAAAGACCATCAGACAAGGTCCTCTTCGGACAACGATCGGCCGATGATGCGGTGGGGCCGACATGATTACCCCGCAAGCAGGTTTGTGAGGTCCCAGGAGGCGAGGGCGTGTGGATCACGGGCTCGGAGATGAAGCCGGCTCGGCTCCTCGCATCATTTCGGTATGTCTCGATACAATTGTGACACTTCAATAGTTGATTGTGTTACACGGCGACTGTCGGTTTGCAATATTCTTCTGGCTGGGCTCTGAAAACCTGCACTAGATTATTTCAACAATCTCACCCTTCTCTCCCGTTGATCGAACCTTTCAACAAGCAGCGAGTACCACCAAATAGTTGCTCATAAGAATGGACAAGATTGAAAACCGACACTTGTATGCGAATGATAATGCCACAATGCAGAGTGTGCCTATATCGAGATCGTCAAAACGGGACTCTCCCACCCAGCGACCACAAGAACGACTCTCAGAGCTCTTCTCTGAGAATGTGACTGCAAAGATTCTGAGGACAGCTACGCAAGGTTTGACTTTGCTCAACAACGTGAGTCCAAGTCTAATGAGAAACTTGGTTCTTTTCTCCCTGCTAAATAGTAACAGAGTCCGCCTTCCAACTATCCAGAAGTCGTCCCTCAGAGTGGTAACAACACTGGCCGATATGGGTATCGAAACATCGACTTTTGGACATGCGGTTTCTTCCCCGGCAGCATCTACTCTCTGCTCGAAAGAGCCACCAAGTATCCCGCCAGCATGACCCCAATGAGCCAGCTTGACGTTGACCTGCCAACACTGAGGAGAAGACTCGAGTCACTCGGACGGACTTGGTCAGATCCGATTCATGGTGAAGCCAGGCTCACCAACACTCATGATCTAGGCTTCATCATGATGCCACACATGAGGCCACGATGGGAGCTATTCCATGATGAAGCTGCCCTCAACACCATCATCCGAGCCGCTCAGAGCCTCCACACACGCTTCAACTCAATGGTCGGAGCGGTCAGATCGTGGGACGCATTGACCTGGCAAAAGCTACCGCCCATTACGGATATTGATGAGAATTTCATCGTCATCATCGATTCCATGTGCAACTTGGACCTCCTCTACTACGCAGCTGCCCACTCCGGACACACATATCTGGCCGATGCCGCAACCTCCCATGCTCGCACTCTTCTCAAATCGCACTTGAGGCCAGAGCCGCAACACTCCCGGCTTGGATTCACGGGCACGCTGTTCAGTACCTGCCACATGGTGAACTTCTCACCGGCTTCGGGTGCGATAAAGGAAAAGAGAACAGTACAAGGATATCTTACCACCTCTACTTGGTCGAGGGGCCAAGCATGGGCCATCCTGGGCTACGCTCAAACTTACATGTGGACGAGCGAGCTCGAGTTTTTGGAGGCAGCGTGCGGACTTGCCGAATACTTCCTGTTGCGTTTGGAGACGGCGCCGGATGCAGTGGAGATCCCGGCCCCGGACGGTTCGGGGCGGACCATTGGCCGATTTGTCCCGATGTGGGACTTCGATGCCCCGGTCGAGGATGACGGAGTCCCGCTCCGAGACACTTCGGCAGGCACGGCCGCTGCGAACGGCATGCTGATTCTAGCGCATGCATTGCTAGGCCTTGAAAAGCCAGAGATGGGCGCAAGATATTTTCAAGGCGCCCTCAAAATCGTGGAAGATACGCTGGAGTATTCCCTTGCAGCGGAGAAGGCCAGGCTTGACATGACAGCGGACGGCGAATTGACGGGTGTTGATGTTGAGCAGGACGCTTCTTTTGAAGCGATCCTGAAGAATGCCACCGTTTCGAACAACGCGATGAGTTTTAAGCAGATCAAAGACCATGGGTTGGTGTATGGTGACTATTACCTCATTGAATTTGGGACGAGGTTGCTGCGGATGGGTTTAATTTGATCATCACCAAGGTCGAGAAGAATATGCTGTTTAAATAGTTTGTTAGCGGTTGAGTATACTCGGAATAGTCTATTCTGAAATTGTCACTTTTGAAGCGAAGTAAACGCTGTTGAACTTCACGTTCTGTTTTGAGAGGGTTGCGCGTACACTTGAAAGCTAAACTGATCTCACATCCGAATCACCCAGAATGCGAAAGACAGCTGACCTACCATCGTATCTCCAGCCAACGAGAATCGTGCCGAGTAGTCGAGCCAAGATGTTGGCGTTGAAGTGACGATCCCAATCCAAGACACGCGTTGGCCCACATCCAACGCCCTTGCCTCCCTTCCCTCTGTACCTCTGTTCTCCACGTTCAAGAATGCCACCTTTAACGCAGGAAATCCGAGGGAAAGGTTTCCAAGATACGCATGTAAGCCAAGTCAATGAAATCTACCCACAGTGCCACTCTCCCCATTTGCCCACTTGCATGTGGCAAGGCTTCGAGGAGAACTCCTGACGGCTCGTGCGGCTCCCGTCGGCCCCGTCTCGACAAGCACTCCGGAGTAAACCCCGGCGTGACAGGTTTTAGCCACTTTGTCACCTGTTCATAGTTGACTCTCCATGAGCACATTCGAGAATATTTTTTCGATAAAAGCGAATGCTTTAGGCTCGAGAACAAGGTTCAGGTACAAGCCCTAGAATGACGGAACCGCGCAGGAACTTCGCATCGAGGCGCACCTTGACAACCAGGCTGTTCCAATCCGGCGGTTAGCAGTGCGTGTGCCGTCAGCCAGGGCACCTCATATTACGTAGTAGCAATATCCTAGATTCGAAGGACATTTTGGTGTCAGTTCAAATTCGATGACCAATAGACTGGACTGTGATTCCCATCCCTCTTCACCCCACGTCAAAGTCTCACGACCCGCCGGCCACACCGACGTGGATAACTTGAACCAACACGGGACAGCGGACAAGAAGGTCAGACTGAGATTCCGTCGGGTGGGGTGATCGCGTCATTCCGCTCCGGTGATTCGACGGAGCAGCATCTCTGGCTCCGTTCTCGGTCTTGGCCGAACGGATACCGGGACTCGTCCACCTTGTCGCCAAGTCCGCCGAGACCTTGGCTCGCTGGGGTGTCTTTTTCTCGTCCGCTCCGCCCCCAACTCTCATCCGCGATGCCACGGGTTGACGTCTGCTGGTAGGATTCGCTTATGTCTTGTCCTAGGTAATGCTAAGACTTTCTTACCCACTTCCTCGCGATCCGTTGGACGGTTCTGCAGGTTGTGAACCCCACGAGGCGTGAAACCAAACAAGATTGCGTGCTCAGGGCAGGCCGGAGGCGTTCGCGTCTTGCGGCGAAAACTCGAGTGAAAGTTCTGCAGCCCAGCAGGGTCATCTCAGCCGCCATGGATGCCTCCAAGAGCTGAATAAAAGACGAGTGAAGGGTCGATCGATGAAATGTCGGGTACGTACCGCGATAAAGGAAGCTCTCTTCTTCGCGTCTCCCTTTCTCTTCCTCTGTCATCCCCACTGGAGCCTTCAAACTCACCAAGGCGATCGTCTTCTCTCAAGGTTCCGCCATTTCAAGTCAATCGCACCTCATTCATGAGCCTCACATGCCGTCGAAATAGACTTCAATTACCGGAAACCCCAATAGCCGATCCCGAGACCGAAAGACTTTTCAGACCGGACCTTGATTCCCGGAAGACGGCTCCCGTCTATTTCACAGGGTAATGGAAGTACTCAAGAAAGCCGGGCGCTGGTTCGCGCCGCCGCCGAATAAGGCGGAAGACGGCCGTGATGCGTGGCCCTCCCGAGCGGCCTTCCTCCTGGCCTCCATGGGTGGCTGTGCCGGAATGGGAAACCTGTTGCGGTACCCATCCCAGGTGTACAACAACCACGGGCTGCAGTGGTACATTCCATACCTCATGGCAGTTTTCATCGTTGCGATTCCGGTGTTGGTGCTGGAGATTGCCATAGGGCAGGCGTATCGAGGAGGCAGTGTTGTCGCATACAACAATCTCAACCAGCGACTGAAAGGTCTCGGTCTGAGTCTACTCTATGTCGGCTTTGTGGTCGGTCCGTACTTCGTCGTCAACTTGGCCTGGATCATGAACTACTTCCGACAGTCGTTTACTAGCCCCCTACCTTGGACCGGCCGAGGCGAGGAGTTCTTCAACCGCGATGTCGTTGCCAACATCGACCCCATTGAGGGCAATCTCACAGCAGATGGTTCTGCTGTTGCCAATTACACTCAGTACCCCGGCACGGCGCTTTTGGGAGAGACGGTGGGATGGACGCTGTTCACGTGGTTTCTTTGCTGGCTGTGCATCTTCCGCGGCGTTGGACTAACTGGACGTGTCGTCTACTTCACTATGGGCTTGCCGATTGTCGTAACCATTGTTCTCATCGGCAGATCAGTCTCACTCGAGAACGCTGGTGAGGGTGTCAAGCTGTATTTCGCGACATGGAGAGGCGACCAACTCGCCAGTGGCCAGGTCTGGCAAACAGCTTGCGGTCAAGTCTTCTTTTCCACTGGTGTTGGATTCGGTTATTTCACTTCCTACGCAGTAAGTACAGAAAACCTCTTCAATACTAGCCTGGGTGACTAACTTCGCGATTCAGTCCTACAACCGCCAATACTCAAACGCCGTGATGGACTCCATTCTCATTGTGTGCAGTAACGTACTCTTCGAGAATATTGCGGCATTTGCTGTTTTTGGTGTCGTTGGGTATCTCGGCATGTACCCTGACCCCGCGAACCCCATCGGAGGCTTTACGGTTGGCTTTCTCACGCTTCCGCTTGCCGTTGCCGAGATGCCAGGCGCGAACTTCTGGGCCGTCGCTTTGTTCTTCACTCTGATGGTCTTGGGTTTCTCTTCAGCCTTTGCCATGCTGGACGCCGTTGTCACGTTGGTTATGGACTCCGGCATCAAGTATTCCCGCCCTGTGGTCGTCACGTCTCTGACGGTTCTGTCCTTCCTGCTGTCCCTGCCATACTGCACTGAGTTTGGATACTACCTTCTCACCGGTATCGACAGGTGGACGAATGACGTCGCATTGGTGTTCGTCGTGTTTGCCGAGTGTGTTACGTCCACAAGCGTCTATCGCTGCAAAGACGTCATGGGTCAGGTCGGCAAGATACCGTTCATCATCTACAACACGGGCTACATCCTGGGTATGGTTCTTGGTGTTGCTCTAGCACATGCTGTTAGTCCCGGCGCTGGCGCTGGCGTGGGATTCGGTCTCTATGTCGCTGGCAGCATTGTGTCGGTCCTCATGGCCAAGACTCCTGATTCGATCGCACCCAGGTTCTGGGGCAAGAATGCCTTCGTGAGCCGCTTCTGGTATCTCGCGTTTTACTCTGTGAGTATTCACCGTATGCTGTTCTGTAGTAGAGCTACGCTAACCTCTCCAATAGGGAAACCAACTTCGTCGCGATCTGAATGTCATCGTCGGCAGCGGCAAGAACTGGAATATCCCAACATTCTGGCCCGTTCTACTCCGTTATGTTTCTGGACCTATTCTCGCCATCGTTTACGGGTTCTCATACCCTGCCTTCTACAAGCTCCGTTACGACCCGCTTCACATTCTTGGTTTCGGAGTCGGCCACATCGCACTTCTGATCATCTTCGGCAGCTTCATCGTGCCGAGGTGGTACGATATGTTGATCCCAACCCACCGCCGAAACGAGGGCAAGCTCGGATACGCCCCGAATGTCACGATTGGAGCCGACGAGGCACAAGCTGTCGCGGCAGGAAACTTGGAGGATGGACACTCCGGAGAGACGACGGAACGAAAGGATTCTCCTACATCTCCACCAAACGAACTTGTGACTACCGAGGACAAGAAGGCGCTGCACTGATACGGGTTTCCTTATTTCCTTATCGTCGCGTTTTGCTATCGTGTTGGGGGATATCCTTGTCATGGGACACTGAAGAAATGAAAGAAACATTATTGGAGCTGAGCCATCACAACGGCCAGCCTCCAAACCATATCTGACTCCTGCCTCACTATCAGACCCGACAACTAACACTGCCAACTGGACGCATGAGTCTTTGATCAGCTTTGATTGCAGCATATCTCGATTCAAGTTTCTTTCAACCCAAGCTAATAACACTTCCGCAGCAGAGCTCCCGGATCCTCTCGAACTCCATAACCTGTCCCCGACTGCGTATTTCCGAGACGAATTTGAGTCTCTTCTAACTAGCACGTCTCAACGAGTCGAGTCCGACAGCTCCCTCCCCCTCCAATCCCGAGATCAATGCCCTTGAATTCCTCGAAACGAGAATTCACTTCGCCGGAGGCCTACATTATCGCCTACTAACTCAATGAGACCAATCTGCTATACTGATACCCTGAAGCAAGTACAAAGCGGAAGGGTATTGGTAAAACCCGATAGTTGAATCGTTGATACTGATTCCCTACCAGCCAACCCACTAGCTAATGAACCTTGAACACTTGTCTTATAGAAATTAGATCAAGATCAAGAAGTCTTAATCGATGGGAGAAATTCAAGAGTTACGTACCATGAAGATGGGTTGCCGAGTTGGAGTTCCTCACTTGGACGTCCTGTTGACCGGTCCCGCAGCCCATGTCTCTTCCAACATGGTGTGAAGGGTTGGTGACACTCAACGTTGTTTCTGGGCAAGGATACCCGATCGAACCTAGATCTGCGCTCGGGGCCTTCCCCAACACCGCAGTATTCAGAGTTGGAGCCGAGGTTCGTGCACTCGCCTGCGGAGGCGATGGCTGTGACGTGCGGGGACGACGGTATTCTCGGTCCCTCGGACACAGAGAATGATCATATTCATTATTGTTCAAATTGCTCAATTCTGCTCTGTAAAGCATTCAATACGTCTAAACCCTACGCAGTGAAATATTCTTATCATGCCTCTGAGAACAAATCTTCCTGGACAGCTCGGCTCCCGTGCCAACAATACGGCGAGGATTGCGTCGGCTTCGGGCTCAGCAGCCGACAGACGTGCTGGGCTGGCAGAGCTCGCACGGGATGAGGACATCCAGTACATCGTCGGCGACTGGATGTCGGAATACAACATGGCGCTCAGAGGTGGCGCCAAAGCGGACGATCCCTTGAACTCGGCCGAGTTCGAGCCATCTTTCCTCGAGGCGATTGAACCTGCTTTGCAATATCTTGATGCGAGGCGGATTAAGATTGCCGTCAACGCCGGGGCCAGTGATACGAAGAAACTGCATGACGTGTTGGTAAACATGATCAGTGAGAAAGGCCTTAAGTTGAAAGTTGCCTGGATTGAAGGAGACGAGGTCATCGACGCAGTTCAGAAGGGGTTGCAATCTGGTGAAAGATTCAAGAACCTGACAACCGGTAATAAACAATCGTCCCGAACCATGTCTCAGAAACATGCTTATGAGAGTAGGTGAAAACATCAAGAACTGGGATTACCAGCCAATCTACGCACAGGCTTATCTCGGATGCTGGGGCATCGTCGAAGCCTTCAAGAAAGGGGCTCACATTGTGCTGTGCGGACGTGTCGCTGACGCATCGCCCACCATTGCTTGTGCAGCATATCACCATGGCTGGAAGAAAAACGACTACCCTCAGCTTGCGCATGCCATCGTTGCTGGTCACTTCATAGAATGCACGACCTACACCACTGGCGGTAACTTCTCCGGGTTCAAGAGCCTCCCGGGAACCTCGGTCGATCTCGGCTTTCCGATTGCGGCGGTCGAGGCCATCGGGGAGTTCACTGTTTACAAACAGGCTCGGAAGGGCGGTATGGTGACTCCCGACACGTGTAAGGCTCAGTTGTTGTACGAGATTCAAGGACCTTACTACTACAATTCCGACGTCGTGGCTGTGCTCGACGATATCAAGATGGAGCAAGTCGGAGAAAACCGAGTGTAAGACCACCTTTGCTCTTGATCCGCGATGAGCTCACACCCTGGCAGTCGCATCTTCAACGTGGGACATATCAAGCCTCCGCCAACGACCAAGGTCGGGATCACGGCCAAGGGCGGATACCAGGCTGAGGCGCACTACTTCCTCTGTGGTCTCGACATCAAAGAAAAGGCTGCCTTATTCGAACGCCAACTCCGGCACGTGTTCGATGAGTCGCAATTCACCTGTCTCAAGTTCCGCACGAATGGTTCATGCCCGGAGAATCCGTCGAACCAGGACGCCGCAACGGTAGACCTGCGCATCTTCGCCCAAGCCCGCACCGAGGAGCCCTTATCGCCGTTGAAGTTCCTCAAGCCCATCGTCGACAACATCATGCAGAGCTATCCCGGGGCAACGTTTCACATGGACACAAGGCAGGCGTTTCCGAGAGAGTTCTACGAGTACTGGGTCAGCATAATCCCACAGAGCGCTGCCAAACACGTGTGCCATCTTCCGTGGAAGAACGAGAAAGTCGACATCGATCCGCCGACAGACACGGTGGAGTTCGTGTACAACCAGCCGACGTACGAAACGAAGAATCCAGTCAGTCTGGCCTCGCTGGGACCAACGACGCGGGCGCCTCTGGGTTACATTGTACACGCGAGGTCCGGTGACAAGGGGTCGGATAGTAACGCCGGCTTCTTCGTGCGGAACGCGGATGAGTGGGATTGGCTGAGGTCTCTCTTGACTGTCAGCAAGATCCGAGAGCTTCTTGGTGAAGACGACGTGGGCAAGCCGATCCACCGATTCGAGCTCCCGCATCTTCATGGTTGGTCACCGTGGCTGTTACGTGAATTTTGAGTATCGCTGACTCGGATCCAGCCGTACACTTTTTGCTAAAGGATCATCTCGATCGGGGTGTGACGTCTAGCTCATCCTACGACTTCCTTGGGAAGAACGTGGCTGAGTATCTGCGCTGCAAACATGTCGATATTCCAAACAGATTCTTGGACCGGGGGAGGATCTAGGTTGAGAGGCGCGTCCGCAAGTGTATGAGATGCAAGAGAGCCGGATGAGGCACGAACCCAGCCGCCTTGACGCGTGTTCAGGCTCAAGGATCGGACGTCACCAGGGAGAATGAACGTTCACAAGCAGGATCTACGGCGGATGCACGAGGTAGCACGGCAAGGAATGTGCTACGCCATAATAGCCCTATCAAGTAATATGACGGGAAACGGTTGGGCTGGTCGATTGTGTTAGCTTGTCTTGCTGGATTCTGGAGAAAGGGTTACCCCGCAAATGCTTCAATTGAGGGTGTCTTGTCGGCGTGTAGCTCAATCTGAGGCCATGAATGGCGTCGTTGGTGAGACACCTGCGCCCTTGGAACCTTCAATTCGGCCACCACCACAGCCAGAAACACTAGAACCAGTCCATCCAAGTTTTCGAACCGTAGCGAGAAGATGCTTTGCCCAACTTCAATCTTTGCATCGTCATTGGGGTTCTTTTATCCAAAGTTACTCTTGATGCTTGTTTTACTCCGACTGCCTGCATTATTCCCTGCTCACTGAGATGAAGATAAACGGTACCTGAAATCAATTCAAGACACAGTTGGACCCTTACCGACATTTAGACCTGAGCTCACGTGGCATTACGTGTTACTTGACTGGACAGCAACGACACGAAAACGGAACAGGGTGACGCGATGATGATCAGGTGGCGGAAATAAAATCAGGGCTGGAGAGCTCAGCCAGGCACAATGCGCACCTCTCGGCTGTCAGAAGAATCACGGACAGGGATACTAGGCCGAATTAGCGGTCTGCCTTGCCGGAAACAGCAATTTCCCTTGCCGCTCACTTCGCGGATCACTCACTCCGTTTGCCGGAGCGGCTGCCCCGTCTATCCGCACCGGGAGTCCGGGGCAAAGCTGCATTGTCGCAAGGGTCCAGGGAGAGGGAGAACGCCCCCAAACGCGCAAACGCCCCACTGATCTCCCTTGCTTTGCGGGATGTTGCAGCTTGCAGCTGTTTGACAAGCCTCCCTGGGCTGAGCAGATGTGCGGACCGTGGAAAGCAAACGGGAGGATTCAGTCACGTTAGCATCAGGTGGACAAAACGCCACGATGATGTTCCCTGGAACGTTATTCTGGGGTAATACCTACTTAAAGGTCCATACGACCTGTCTCTGAGACCAGACCTGGGTCTTTCTGTCAACACGCCTCGATATCACGAATATTCAACTGATTCCATCATCGTCCTACTCGCGACACAATCGTTCAACCGATCTCACCAGATTCCTCCCCTATTACCCGCACCACCGCAAAAATGCCTACAAGACTATCCGAAGCTATCAAGCAGGACCACAGGAGAATCGAACAGGCATATCGATACACCCTTACTGCATCTACTCAGGAAGACAAGCTTCGTTGGCGAAACGAGCTGGCCCTCGAGCTCGCACGACACTGCATTAGCGAGGAGCAGATACTCCTGCCAGCACTCAAAGTCAAACTTTTCGACGGTCCCTCGAGATGTGATAAGAACCACACCGACCGGATGAGCGTAGGTTTCCCCATGATATCTCCAAGAGATGAACACGAAGCTAATATGGTTGTTGATGCAGCTGAAGGAGAAGATCTGCAAACTGAAGGCCATCCCCGTTGACGACCCAAGCTTCGAAGCCGAGCTCAAAAGCCTGTGGGTTGACATGGCAGCCCACGTCCGCGACACTGATCATCAAGACATGGTTCGATTAGAAGAGTGTCTCAGCATCACTGAGTCCGAGCAGCTCGCGGAGGAGTTTCGGAACACCATGTTCTTCGCGCCGACACGAAGCAACCCATCTGCATCACACGGACCTCCGGCAAAGTTGATAACCGATTTTCTGGCGACGAAAGAAGGAACTATCACCAACATGGACCCAATTGTCGGTGGAACCCAATGAGCTGTTCAGTCACGCGGGGCAGCCTGCATGATGCATGACGTTATGATGATATGAAGCCTAAATCTGTACTTAGAATGAATAGATTTCACATCTTGAACTCGTCAAATTTTGGCATTGCCGTCCTGCAGAGACAATCGCTGCACACGACCAGACAGCTGCATTGGCTACCATACTAACGGAACTTTGTTCATCGAGGCGGCATGTAACTAGCGACCCGCAAATCATGACATGGCGTCGCCGGACAGCATTCCGGCAGACTTACCCGAGTCCCATTCGATGCCAATCCGTGATTGTAACGTAAATCGGAGTTATCGGAGCCGTAGTGGGTCTCCGGGATCGGCCCCGCTCATCGGAGCTTATCCCGACAGCCAATATTTGATCACTCTCGCGTCATTACACTGTCACCTGAGCAGCGATTTAGTCAAGATTGAGGCCCAGTTTTTGACACTCGCTGTAACATCCCCTCCCTGATTGTCGCTTATCTTCGGAATCAGGCTATTTGTCAATCCTTGCTTTTGGATTTATTTTTCTCATTCTTTTCCTTTGGTTTTGTTTGACCCAGCGTGCGGCTGGCTTTCAGATTGAATAAGGGCATACTGGAATCTGAGATATTGAACCGTCATCGCACGAAAATTCGATGAGTTGCTGAACGACTCCGGCTATGGTAAGCAATTCAGCTTCGGTAAGCGGAAAGTCATGTTGACGTAGACCGCCCGCTTCACCCCAATAATCCCAACAACTCTCAACCTGTATTTCAGTTGGATCATGCATGTGATGAACGACACTGTCTGTAAGCTCACATGGAGAAATGATCCACCCCACCAACTCCAAGACGCAGATATCTGACTCAAGTCATTGGTTAGATGCCATCTCCTCAACTGAATTGTGGTTTTGCCAAGTGACTGACATCAGAAACCCATGTAACCGACTACCCTACAGTGGCGATGGAACCCGGCATCTCCGCAGCTTCAGCTTCCAGCGGCATCAAAATTTTGCGAAACAAAAACGTAAGGGTTCGTCGATGTCCTCAAGCTTGGGTCTACCTGTCTCCCAGCGAACCAGCTATAAAGACTCAGCCCTAAGTGCTGATCGCTGGATCATCCCTCTCGCTTTCAACTCCGAACTCCACTAGAATTCGACCTTGCCTCAACTCCATTTAGCTCTCCGAAATGGCTCACAGATACGAATACCGGGATGAACACCCGGCCCGCCGCCGTCATTCGCCGAGCTATTCTCCAACATACTCCGACTACACAACCGATAGACCGGAGTACAGCCCGACAAGAGATGCCGGGGCTGTACGCATCGCCGAAAGACGGTATGACTACCCTGACCGGAGAGGGCAAGTCGAGGTCTACGAGACAGGTCGACACAGACCCAGAAGCAAAGACTACTACCACGAAGAGAGGAGGGCCCGTTCTCGGCCGTCTTCGGATGCCTATTACTACGACGATCGGGGGCGAGAGCACAAGAACCCAGACCATCACCATCATCATCACAAGGGCCGCAGCAAAAGAAGACACTCCAGCTCGGGCCCAAATTGGAGTCAGGCTGCAATTGCCGCCGCTAGTGCTGGCATCATTGAAGCAGGACTGTCGAGGCACGACAGAGATCGTACATCGAGAGTCATGACAGCTGCAGCAGGGGCGGGCGCTATCGATGCAGTCGCTGGGAGGAATAACGAGAAGCCAAGCAAGAGCTGGGAGCACATTGTTGGCAGTACGGTCGGCGGCTTGGTGGTAGATCGCATCGCTCACGGATCTGGGAGACGATAGGCGCTTGAAAGATGTACCACTAGGTAGATGATATGGGTAATCATAATTAGAATTTCAAAGAAAACGTGCTTTCTATCCTTCAGCAAACCCAATTTTCTCGGGATCAATGGATGAGTCTGGATGGTTTCCTTTTATCCAAGCACTCCTTGAGATTTATATTCCTGTGCAAATATTTTCATCGCTGTGCGAGTGATCCACGAACTGACGATAGGTATGATACGCTCTGCGAATATCTCGATGCACCCCTATTCCGGAGAGTTGGGTGACAGACTAGCCATCAACACCTCACTAGTACCAAGGAAGCAATCTTTCTCGGAGAGGCTATTCGGGAACGGCGGCATGGATTATATAGCTAGCGGTGGTGTCATTCGAACGTGATCGCCAAGTGATTCGCGGAGATTTTTCGAGCCTCAATCTAAATGCCGGATGAAACAACCCCGCCAAGCCAACTCAGTACCCCTTAACTTAATATCGCCGCCAGCCATATTACATGTTGCGGTCATCATGCCCATTCTACCTTCCTCCAACAGCGACGGATGTCGATGTGCCGTGGTCTAGTAGTCAGGTGGATTGCCTGACTGCTTGTGGGAGGATGCAAGCCTACATGTACATGTAAGAGCCCGCGACCGACGCACGCTGCGGCACCTACTTAAGAGTATTCAATAGCCATGTCTACTGATAGTTTTATTGCTCTTTGAACAGAGGCGTCAGAGAATTCTTTTACCATGAAGCTACTCAGCCTTCTCGCCGCCGCAGGCCTCGCCCAGGCCCACACCATCTTCGTCTCCCTCGAGGCCGATGGCGCGAACGCCGGAGTTTCTCAAGGCGTTCGTACCCCCGAGTACGATGGCCCTCAGACAGACGTCACATCTCAGTACATCGCATGCAACGGACCGCCCAACCCAACCAAGCCAACCGACAAGGTGATCACCGTTACCGCTGGGTCGACCGTCACCGCAATTTGGCGCCACACCCTGACCAGTGGTCCTGAAGATGTCATGGATGCTAGCCACAAAGGACCAACTATCGCATACCTCAAGAAGGTCAGTGATGCAAAGACGGATACCGGTATCGGCGCCGGCTGGTTCAAAATTCAAGAAGATGGGCTCAGCAGCGGCGTCTGGGGAACCGAGAAGGTGATCAACAACCAAGGTCGCCACGCGATCACTATTCCAAAGTGTATTGCGAATGGTCAATATCTCTTGCGAGCTGAAATGATTGCTCTTCACTCTGCCGGTTCCTACCCAGGAGCGCAGTTGTACATGGAATGTGCGCAGATCAACGTTGTCGGTGGAACTGGTGCCAAGTCTCCCTCGACTGTGAGCATTCCGGGTGCTTACAAGGTAAGAAGCGATTTCCAAGTAAGGTATGGAAACACCAGAAGCCTAACACACCACCAGGGAACTGACCCGGGTATCACAATCAACATTTACTACCCGGTTGTGACAAACTACACGATCCCTGGACCGGCTAAGTTTACCTGTTAAGCTTGTGGAAACAGACGCATGATGGCAACCCTTTCGACCTGAAAGTGTGGCATGTATCAGAGTGGAGAATTGACACTCATTATATATTCCTGTCCTTGTAGTTAGTTCTAGTGAATACGATACTACTCTCATCCCCTATCTTTCTTAATAGTGTCAAGATGCCATACATCTAATCCGTTTTCAACTATGGTGACATCATTGCACAAAGCATGATGGAATCATGGATGGTGACCTAGAGCCACGAGAGATGTGATGTTGAGTTCATGAGGGTCACTGTGCCCTGTTGTTGGCGGAGGAGATGATTTGAATAGGAAATGGCTTTCAACGACAACTGACGGATTCAACTGGACAGGAATCGGAAAGTTGTTTGCTGATGTATTCTTCGTTGGCTATATCAAGGGTCCTGCAATACATCAAACTGGTACAGTTCGAATTTCCCCAGTCACCAGGAGGCACTACGGTTTCATTGTCATTCAGTAACGGGTTGCTCACAACGACAAAAGCCTGTTTCTTAGCCTGATCTGGGCCAGAAAAGACCTTCATTCTTCACTCTGGCTTCGATATGTGCCAATACTAATGGAGTTTACCAATGCTGTAACGGCCAGTATAAACGCGTCTCCTAAAGGCTCTCTCTTCATCTGAAAAGCTGTCAACTCATTTCAATACATGCTGGTAGTCAAGCTGAAAAGCTTATTGTTAGGGCTGAAACACCTTATCTTTTGCGTTGCATCATGCGATCTTAGAAGACGAATTCTTCACACTTTGTCTGAATTCAGAGGTCTATAGCACTGTCGTTCGTTCTCGGGTTCTCGATGAACATGAACAATTCTCATCCCGTCACTGATGAAGGTTCGTCTCACTCACTTCCTGTCAAGTACCGAAGCCATGGCACTGAGATTTTGCCAAGAGCGAGAGTTGACACATGAAGCGTTACACTTGACTGAGCACAATTAGATAAGTGCCATTCTGAAGACTAGCCCATCCCGTATTGAGAACTCGGCCGGATGCAGGGTTGAGGCACGTCGGGGTGTATTTTTCCGCCAGCTCTGGCCATCTTCATGCCTGTGTGCACTGCCCTCTTGGACTCTCCCATCGGGCTAAACCCAATAGACTTTCGTGCAGAAACGCAGTTGAGGATAACAAACGTGATCATCCATGTATCCCGCGACTCGTGAGCCATACCCCTTTGCACCTGACTGGTCTGCCACGCCGACGACCCCCTTTTTGCATAACATCTCGTTGTGTCATGAAGGTCCAAATTGCTGTGCAAAAGTCAAAAGTCTTGGTAGTCGCACAATTGGGATACGACACCGAGCTGAAGACAAGTAAGCCTTGCCTAGGGCTGCAGGGACTCCATAGAGGGATAATATCGTTGGTTTGCCCATTCCTTGAGCGTACTAGCCATTTTCATCTCAAGCCAAGTATCGTGGTCCCAGTTTTGGAGGGGAATCTCGATCGTCGCCCCATTTTGGATTCATCGAAGGCCCTCAATTTGGAACCATGGATCGCGAACCAGATGCCTACTCCGTGGCTAGAGCCTCCACGGTGAGGAGACGGAGCATTGTCACTATCACGGACAGACAGACTCTTTCAGTAGACCTGAGCCTCATCTCAACGGACATGTTCCCGTCAGCATTGGCAGACTACAAGAACAGCAGTCGAACAGCCCTGCAAGAGAAGGACATCAACATGAGCACAGAAAGCATACAGATGAAGGAAGAAGAACCTGCGCCGCTAGTAGTGCCGCCGCCGCAACCCAACTATTTGTCTGGCTTCAAGCTCTTCCTGGTGATGACATGTGTAACCCTAGTTTGCTGGCTCATGTTTCTGGACAGCTCAATCATTGTCACCGTAAGGCTATTCCGACGTCAAGTACCTGTTTGAGTATTGTGCGCTAACTTAAGACAGGCAATTCCAGCAATCACTGACGAGTTCCATTCGTTGGGCGATATTGGCTGGTATGGAAGCGCATATCATCTTGCTAATGCGGCATTGCAACCGCTCACCGGCAAAGTGTATCGGTACTTCAGCTCCAAGGTACAACTATCAACCCGAGTATTGTGAATCATTTGATGTTGATAGTTTCTCAGTGGTCGTTCTTTACCTTTCTAGTCATCTTTGAGCTTGGATCTTTGATTTGCGGCGCGGCGCCATCTTCCGCAATCTTGATTGCTGGCAGAGTTATTGCTGGAATGGGCAGTGCCGGTATCATGAGCGGTGGCCTAACTATCATTGCTGGTGCGGTGCCTCTGGAAAAGAGACCAGGTTTGTGACACGTTCGCACGTCTATCACTAGTTCGTACTGACAAAAACCATTAGCACTGACGGGTTTACTCATCGGGCGTAAGTCTGGCTCAATTGGGTCCCTTTCGATCAAACTAATGTCGTTATCAAGTTGCCAATAGCGGAAGCGTCTTTGGCCCTGTACTTGGGGGTGTGATAACCCAATACAGCACTTGGAGATGGGGTGAGTAACTTCGGCCATACTGAAGGTTCTCGAGGCCAAAGTCCAGCTCTAATATCGGATGATGTCGTGCAGCCTTCTACATCAACCTTCCTATCGGTGGAATAGTTCTTCCCCTTCTCGTGTGGGCCGAGATCCCCGATCAAGTGCCAAAGCCCAGCCCAATGGCTGTGATTCCTAAGTTACATCAATACCTCGACTTTATCGGCTTCGTTTTATGCGCCGGGTCCGCAGTACTACTTCTTTTGGCTCTTGAGATTGGAGGAAACGAACACTTCAGCAGCCCTACAGTGATTGGCATGTTCTGCGGGTCTGCGGTGGCCTTCGTTGCGTTCCTGACGTGGAACTACCGTAAGGGCGACGACGCCCTCATCCCTCGATCAATGGCAGGTAAGACGCCAGTCTGGTGCGCGGGAGCAACCAACTTCACAATGGTCGGATCTGCAATGATCCAGATCTACTTGCTTCCTCTCTACTTCCAAGCTGTCCAAGGCTCGACGCCTTCTCAGAGTGGAGTCAACGTTCTACCAAGTATTCTATCGCAACTGGTGGCAGCATTCGGTGGCGGCATTCTCGGTAAGTTGTGCTCAAATCTTCCAGCAGAACAATATCTGACCGTCATTCCTTCCAGTCGGCAAGTTCGGTTACTATCTGCCGTGGGCCATCGCAGGAACTGCCGCAACCATCATCGCCAGCGGACTTTTCACGACGCTCTCCACGACAACACCAATTGCGCAATGGGTTGGCTTCCAAATTCTTACCGGGGCGGGGCGTGGAGTAGTATTGCAGATTGTGAGTTGCCATCTTTCTGCGACACTCTTCGCAACAAAACTAACCATTGGTAGCCGAGTATTGCTGTCCAAGCCAACTTGCCACCCGAGCAGATATCGGTTGGCATGTCTTTCGTAACTTTCTCACAGTTCATGGGGTCCGCTGTCGCTCTTGCAATAGGTAACGCCATTTTCGTTGGGGCGCTGAAGTCTGATATCCCCCAGTTCGCGCCGGATGTCGACCCAGATTTGGTGATCGAGGCGGGCGCAACTGGATTCCGCAAAGTCGTGGCCGCGATTGCACTACCCGGTGTACTTCAAGCATATGTGTCGAGTATTGACAAGGAGTTCTTCTTGTCTATGGGGCTGGCGGTCGCGTCATTCTGTTTTGCGTGGGGGTTGGGGTGGAAGGATATCCGGCCTAACAAGAAGCCTCCTAAACCTGACTCAAGACCATGATGACCGTGGTTTAAGGTTCAACTCAATGGCAGGATGAAAATTGTTAGCGAGATACGATTAGTAATTTATTATACGAACAGAACTCTTTCCAGAGTATCATTGGCCATCGGTAAAGCGGTTCGGTGTGACATGGGCCATAGGGGTAGAATCTTACCGAGATAATGTCAACACCTACGAATACACGTATGAAGTCCAAATGCTTGATATTAGAGTTGGCTCCCAAAGCCAGGAATCCGGATTCCACGGGTGGAAGTGGACCTACGCTGTTAAGCGGAGCTTCAAACATCAAGATCTAAACGATGGAGGGTGGAGGGTGGAGGTTATCGACCGTGCGTGTGTTCGGTTTACGTACGCGTTGCAAGATGGCATCACCAGCGGCCTCTCCCGAGTCCCGAGAAAGAAAATATGCACGAAGGAACCGAGTCGGGGAAACATTACGCGTCAACAGCTCACAAGTCAAGTTGACAACTATCAAGTCAGAGCAACTCCTCTAGGGACTATAACAAGACTGACTCTTTCTCATACCTCATGAGTCTATTGCTCATGCAGCGGAAAGTGGGTGAGGTGCTTACGGCATTGACCGAGGCCATGGTGGACATTCGACAAAATGTCCAAGTCGACTCAGGAATGCCTGACTCTTATTCCATTAGTCGAGCAACGTGGCCATCGCTGATATAGGATGGTTGCGTCCCAACAGAACAGTTGACGCGTTTCAGCCACTCATCATTTGCACAACGATTGCCTCGCCGATGAATCAGTTGCTGAGCTGTTGCGGATTTCCATGACTAACCAGGATGGAAATTGGTGTGTTGAACTGGTCTTCACATAATACATTAACGAATTTTAAGTGCTCGGTCTCGGGGCCACCAGACCTTGGGGTCATCGGAGAATCTCTCACCGAAGTGGCCCACTGTTCATGGCAATATGTATTACCGTACGCCGTTAAGCACCGTTTAATAGACTTTGATCTCTTGCAAATCCGGAAAGCTTGATAGTATTCTGCAGTCTTCCGGGAAAATAGTAGCGAAGAGGATTCTAAAGCCGTTTTCCCTGTCCTTGCGGGTTATGCTACTGACCTTGGAAGTTGACATTGGCCACATCGATGCTGAAAATCTCGCTCGCTGGTTGACCATCGTTCAGCACTCGGCCGAGTCACGTCCAGTCTTTTCGAGCCCTTTGAAAGGACTTGTCCAAACTAGCTACTCATTCCGCTGCCAAAGAACAACAGACGGACTTCTCAAAGGGCATGCTGAAACAGATCTGAAAGATAACCAGCTGGATAAGCAACCTGCGCATTACGCTTGGACCGCCTCGACATCCACGAGTGTTCAGGGTCCCATCGACCAGGTCTTGACTCAAGAAGCAACAGTGCGCCCGCAGAATAGATGGAAAGCGTTGGATCGTGCGCCCGAGAGGCGAAAACGAGTCTTCTGGGATAGACTTTGCACGATCTACGCGTTCATCTTGTCGTCCCGCAGCTGGCGAAGAGCTGACTTTGTCCCAAGTTGGAATTTTGCCGAGGGTCGTCAGCTTTCCAACTGGCTGGTTTCTCCCAACTCATGCGGCGAGACGTGCGCCTAAACTGGATGCTCGGAACCGAAGAAAGGATGAATGGTTGCTTTTCCGTCAGTCAGTGACGTTATCCAGTTGAGCAAGTTGAATACCAAGGTTTCCGTTCTCTGCCCAGATGCTGTTTCCCCTCGTTTTTGCCAAGCGGCGCATTCTTGGTGTTTCTTGATTCAATCTATTTTATTCACTTGCCAAGCACCCCAGCCATGCCCCAACGTCATTGTTCTAGCGCGATTGCCCAGACATAGCCCCCAAGAAAAGATTCACGTGCCATAGCCGCCGATCGAGACGGCGCCGACGGGTTTCTCCCGCCGCGGCGGGTGCTAGTGCCCGTCGAGCACGTTCGGCGGCTCGCCGGACGGCCCCAAGAGTCAGTGCCATCCTTGATAACCTGACATATATGTCACAGCTGGCCGAATAGGAACTCTAATTTTATTCGCGCAGATTATTGTTGATTCAAGAGAGAGTGTGGCAGGGCGCCGCTCTCGAGTCGTGGAGCTCAAACCCGCCAAGACTCCGCGAGGCTCTCAGATTGACCGTTTTGGACAGCCTCTTCCATAGTTGGAGTCTGATTGCGCCCTCACGGTGTTTCTGAGCTAGACACTATCAATCTCTTGGCCCTCGTCTCTCTTTACCTTCAACAGGACAACCCCCCACTTGAGGCTTTGGTCTTGGCGGAACTGGTCTTGGCAGGCTGTTGTTTTTAGAAGAAGAGTCACGAAGTTGTCACGAAGTACGTCGGACTAACAATATGCTCAAGGAACCTAACAACTAAACAACGGCGGTCTTGGATACATTCCGAAGCCCGCAAGCGGCCCGCCAACACCGCGTGGGAATTGCCTCTATCGTAATTGCGGCAACTCGGTTAGAGTATCACCCCAGTCCCCGTCTTCCGCGTCGTTTCCCGGTGGACCACAATTCAAAAGAAGGTTCGGAGGGACATATTGGTGTTGCATAGCTAGGAAACCGGTCAACGAACTGGAGGAAAGGCTCGGCGGAGCTCTCCCGCTCAGCAGGAAGGCCCTGTCGCCCATCCAATGGTTGCCAGCTTTCCAGAGTTGTGGTAAAGGCAATGTCCGCCAAGTCGGATCGGCATCTTGACATGCAAATGGCCGCTGAGTCGACATATCACACGCGAGAGGTTTCCTACAAACCTTAAAATAAGAAATCGACAATGCGCATGATTGCTTGTCCCAAAAGGGAGGGGCAGGTTGAACCGAGACATCTCATCTAGATCTGACAAGCCTCCCCGCCCCCGCGCAAGAACCCCGACATGAGTCGAACGCGCGGATGCACTTGGCGTGGCTAAGGCGCGTCTTGGCAAGGTTGACTATTTTTGAAGCATCCTATTTCTTTCGCGAGAGACAAGTAGATATAAGCTTCGTTGGTTGTCACCCGGTGTCTTTGACTTCATTCGTCTCTTCTCAACTTGTCGTGCATGTACATGAACCACACCGCCAACATGTTGTTCTCACAAAGAAGCGCCTGCGACCGTTGCCGAGCTCTTAAGAGCCGTTGCTCCAGAGAATCCGGAGCAGCAAAGTGCGAGAGATGCCAACGCCTTCAGATCGACTGCTTCTACAGCCCTCCGCGACGTATGGGCCGGCCGGCGAAGAAGAGGTTAAGCCAGGACAACGTCAACGCAGCGGCAGCAGCAGCAGCAGCACCTTCATCGGGATACCGCCGCGCTTCAACAATGTCTAGCACGACCATCCAATCAACCCAGTCCGACATGGTTCCAACGCCAACCAACGAGGCGAACGAGTTTCAATATGGGCTGGGTATCATTCAGAGCCATCCTGCAGAGGATGCAACATGGGTGGAGAGCTTCGAAGATCCGTTGCTGGGGCTCTTGCAACACAACGACCATAAGATGGTTGCCGCCGAATGGATGGAACACGACTCCCTTGGATTCTTGGATCATCATGAAGAAGCCGTCATTCCCGAAACACATGCCCTGCCTTTAACACCCCCAACGACCATTGGCTCTCTTCCCAACGGCTCTGACGACGCATGGATGCAGAGCTGTGAACAGCCTCACGACTTTGGACACCCGGAATCCTTTGCCTGCGATACCCTCCCCTCATCCCCCGAGCCAAAGTCAACGGAACCTGCGACCCAGCGGCTTCTCGATTTGCAATCGCGCCTCTTTGCCCGCCACATGGCGAAGATACAGGAAATAGACGGTCTTTCAGCTCTGATCAACACGACAGTGCACTCAACCGAGACGCTCATTGAGATCGTTGAGGGCTTGCCTCAGCTGCGACCCAGCGTAGAGGGCCGAAGGTCTACCTCACCACTTTCATCATGGGGCGCCGGATCCGACCCTGCGGGCTTCAACGCTCCCGCTGCCACATATACAGCTTCGGATCCTCAACTACAACAGAACCCCAATTATGCGATCACCATTTCTCTCTTTATCACATGTTATCTTGTTCTTTTGGACTCTTACGACGAGCTGCTCTCGGCTCTCAGAGCGCGTTTGCAATGCTCTCGACAAAGCCAGGGACCCAGTCCGACCAGCGACATGGGCCTGGCGCAGCCTTTCTTCAATAACGCTCAGGGCGGAAACATCAACAAGTTCAACCTCGTCAGCTCCTTTGACTTGGACGTCAACTCTGTGGTTTTCCTCCTGTCACGAATGATGAAGCGATTGCACAAGTCCACGGAGAGTCGTTTCGTGGCTGTTTCTATAGAGAACCCCGCGTTCAACCACATGATGGGACAGAACCAGGGTGGAGGATACCCGGTCAGGCATGGATCTATCAGCTATGATTTCCAGGATGGCGCGAGCCAGGATACGGATGGGGTTTCGGAGCCGTCTTCGGGGGGGTCGCTCTCCCCGATGATGATGATGGGGAACTACGCTCTGAGGGAAGTGAGCCAGAGACACCAAAGCGTGATGGAGTCGCTCCGTGTCATTAGATGGCTCGCCGATGAATTATGACATAGTATGCAGCAATGAAAACAAGATTTTTTTGCACAAATCAAACCAGACGCGCGTCACTTCGGGCATCACCGCCAAACATGACTTGTACGAGTCGTTCTGACTTCTGCGTCCGAGCTTTCGTGACTCGGTGGAAGGGTTGCAACCATCATCGCATTGTTTTCCGACTGGATATCTGTGAGAAATACCAGCCTTCGGCAATCCTTGATGCGAATCATCCCATGATGAGATGATGTGAGGTAAATCTGATTGTCTTATTTTCCTATTGCCCGCAACATGCCGCGGCTATTCTTAGTATGCACACTGGGAAGGAATTTCAAACATTTCGGATTTCATCCCATCTTTCCGGATGGCTCCTCGGCCAATGCAGAATCAGAGTCTCCAATGAAAGCCACAGAGGTCTCACGATCCGCCTAATAATATCGCATTGTTTTCACTTCGGAGAATTTATCGGGCCCCAGTTGCTGTATCATCTGGTTTGTGTGAGTTCGTATGTTGGCACTGGATCAAGGCCCGAGTATCTATAAGCAAGTATCGTGGCTCACTTGGAAGAGCGAACCAAAAGACCATCTCGGTCTCGGTTTAGAAAAAGGGCTGATTTGGTCAAAATTCAGCTAATGCTTCTACGTAGCCCTATCCATCAGTGCTGTCAGAGTCAGATTCATCAGAGGGCGACTCAAATAAGTCGTCCTCCGATACATCCTCTGCCGGCCGTTTCGATTGCCCAGCAGGCGTTAGTCCACGCCATCTGGTTTTTGACCACCAAGCCATGTCCGCAAATACACGATAATTGTCTGGATTTGTGCTAATCCGCTGCCAATCGCCTGTCTTTGTAAGAGATATAGTACCAGTCATCTTGTAAGCATCTGGTGTTTCCTGATCCCTGATCTTGGTGTCCTTGTCCCTCCCTAGAGTTCCATTAGATCAGTGCTCAACGATCAGGCTAAAGATGGAAATCCTGAGCCAAAAGCTGATAAGGAAATCTGGTGGAAACTTACAATCCTTTTTCGTGGAGGCTGTGGAACGATCAAGCAAGTGGAACATTTCGTGCAGAAGATAGCCACCACGGTTGGCTACGTCATCCGCATTTGCGGATGTCCCAGGCGTCCTTTCACCTGCATCTTTCCCGAAGTCGGCAATGATGTCCTCGCGAAGATCCCATATAGCGTCGCAAAGAACAATTTTGTAGATGCCCAAGTCTATTGCTTCGTTGGCTATTTCGGGGCTTGATGGTTGGAACGTTTGCGCTACGACCTTTTTCTGGGTTACTGGGTCAATGCAGATTCCATGACCGACGCCTGGCTTTTGAGGGTCCGGAGATTGTGGTGGTCCTTTTACAGGTCAGCAGGAAAGTCGTTGATGCTTGGGCATGCCCGTCTTACGGCCAGTGAAGATTACTTGCGGGACGCCGTTCTTATTTTTGGAGCTTTTGGCATACCACACACCGGCACCATCTATTCGAAGTCATTACTGGTTCCGGGCATTTTTTTGCAGATATTCCAAAAACTTACAAAGTGACTGGAAGTCGGAGTCGCTGCCGTCAACTTGGCCAATGTCCCGAAGGTTTCTCGTGAACGTCAGGTCAGTGCCACACAAGATGTAGTTTTTGTCGGCAGGCATATCCGTCCCATCATTCAGAGAATCCAGAATTCTAGTATAGTCATCTAACAGCGTCAGTAATACGTAAATTTACTTCCTTAAACCCTATTTACCTCTGACTGATGTTAGACGACGTTTACCCTCGGTCGTTAACTCCAGAGGGCCAATAAGGGGTGCTCTTTTCTCCATTTTGGCACCAAACATCAAGTCAGCAGCCTTTGCAACTTTCCAGGTCTGAGAATCCTCTGCGATACTGGTGTCGGCAAGCAGTACGTTGATCCAAGAAATGGCGTTTCCCGCCAAAAGTATAGCGTCGTTTTAAATTCTGTTCACATCACGACCGCTGCAATCGACAAGTCCAAAGCGGTCCGAGACTTCAGCTGCCCAACAAAAGGGAGGGAAGACGAGTAAGCCCCCAAAAAGGGCCACCAGACAGAGTTGTTTCATGGCGCGGGTCGCAATGCAAGGGCCCCTGAGAACTCGCCGAGTTGACTAGGTGGTGAATGATAGGCAAGGTGTAACTATATGTGTTTAAAAGACGGTATCCCAGATAAGGAGACATAGGAGACCCGGTTCACCTCCATTGACTCACAGCTTTTGCTGGCAGATTCGTGAGTCTAGACATATTACTGAAAAACACTGAACCGGTCAAGTTACCGGATCTGGGCAATTGGCTTGCTTTGCCTCATGACAGCAGGCAGGAAGTGAGATATAGGTGCCATCACTTTCAGCTGTTTTAATTCCAGGCAGCAGCTCTAAGCAAAGGATTATGCAATATGATTTTTGGCCAGTCTTCATGTTTCCAACCATGGTAATTCTGCTAGATTCCGAGAGTTTTTTCACCCTTACGTCTGTTCTTTTTCTAGTCCGAGATCCTTTCAAGTCGCCCTTGTCTAATTTCAATCTCGACCATTCCAACACATTAGCTCCATGTGGAAGGGGCGAGACGCGTAGATCCAGCAGGAGCATACCACTCAGACAATGCCAAGGCTGTGGCCCCATGCCACCTTGCATATCGATGAAAATCTCCAGAATCTCTAGCTCTACTGTTTTGCGACTGCACGCAGAGAAGACAGAGGGCCTTCAACATAAGCAACGATTGCATCATTCTGTAGATGATAACCTGACAGCTGGGTATTTGTACTGGGAGAGAAATCACGGAAAAAAGCCATATGGGTTCACCCGGTGCGTGTGTATGATATTTGAGATACCGTGGCCTAAGTGAACATATGGCGCGAGGGTCAAACGGAATCACAGCAGTAGGCATTGCAGGGTTATAGCCATACACTCTTGCGGTTTCAAAAGCTTCAGCTGTTTACAGTCCTTTGAAAATTCCCCCAAGATATAGACGAGCTTCCCTTCATAGCAAGACGACCAAGACAGCAACCGACTGCCAAGGAAGCAAAAGATGAATGATTCCTTACGGTTTGGTGGCGTTAGGGAACACATGACTCATAATAGTACAGTATCAGAAAGATAGTAGTTACTAGAAGTAGATAAACAATGCCTACATGGTCAATTTACCCGTCAAGAGATTCTTCGGCCAGTGACTGGCTTCTAAGAAACATCTCCATGCCATCGCGTCTTAGACCACCACACCATGTCTGCAAATATCCTGTAGTTGTCTGGATTTGTGCTGGCATCAGGGCGATATTCCATTGCAAGTTTTACCGACTTGCTGAATAAGTAAGCTGTTTCTCCAGTATTAAGAGTTTTGTCGAGCCCTGTGACGAGGTCAGATCCAATATCTCCAGCGGATCAAATGTGCCGTGGAAAAAAAGCCATTTCAACCGTCTACGACTTGAGAACTCACATTTGTACTCATTCGGCACGTCAGTGTCGATCATGTGGAACATCTCGTGTAGAAGAACTCCGCCACGGTTCTTGATCAAGTCGGGATTCAAGGTGATCCCCTCGCTGGCGTCTTTTCCTTTGTCCTGTAGGATAGCTGGACGAAACCTTTCCTTATCCCAAACCACATCGCAAATTACAATCTTGCGAACGTTCTGGTCCATCGCGTCTCTGAGGATCTCCTCATTCGGGTCCGTTCTCAACGCCCGCGGATGAAACGTTTGTCCCGCGACGGTTTGCCCGGCATTACCCGCTCGTGTATCAAAACAAATAGGAGGACTGAAAGTTGGCACTTCACCTCTGTTAGCTGATGAAGAATGAACAAGGCAGAGAGAGAACTTACACGTAGTAAAGATTACCCTTACGGTGTCGGATCCCGGGGTCCTGGGCTGGCTGGCGTACCACACACCATTCGCACCATCTGATTTGAAAGGCGATGAGGTCAACTTAAGTCTCAAAAGTGTCTTCTGAACTTACACATCGCAGTAAAGTCTTGTTCAGGTGCACCTAAAGGTCCCAGATCCGCCATATTGGTCGTACGTGTCAGACTGGTGTCACCACAGACAAGAAAGCTGTCCGTAAGAGGCATTCCCTGACCAGTTTTCAGGGCATTGATCACCTTGACATACGCATCTACTGATTTTAGCATTATGCCTCACAAGTGGTCGTGCCGTATTCGCACCTCTGATAGCCTTGAGCCGTGCTTTGCCATCATCTCCGTTCAGTTCGGACTTTGTGATTCCAAACATGAAACGGAGATTATTCGCTGCGTTATTGCGTTCGGTATATCGAATAAAACTCCAGCCGGGGATCTTGTCTAGCCATTCAACTGCATTCTCCGCGAGGCGGATTGCGTCGTCGTAAAGGCCGTCAACATCACGATCATTGCATCCAACGAGTTGAAAACGTGCCCCTGCCCTGTCATTTACCGCAGATATAAAGGTCGGGAGAAGTAGGAGAACCCTCAAGAGGGTTGGGAAGTGGGAGAAACGCATCGAAAGTGTAGTGAGCGACGCTGAACGGGGACTTTGAATGACCACTGTGGACGCTTGATCAGAGAGAGGTCAAACAGAACCTCAGTGCCCTTCGACTAAACAGATAATGAGTTGACAGCCATCCCTGGACGGCGCTTGTAGAAATATTCTCTTCCAAGTACATGAAGACTATTTTTGGAAGTTTTGCTCCAAGGCAGCATTGAATACCCTGACCGATCAAAGATGGCGTGTATAATCACGCAACTTCAGGCTACAATAAATCCCCAGATCCGACAATCAGATCAATCTAGAACATTTCGGGGTGGCCCCAAAATAGATTCCATCATGCGCTTCATCTGCTCAGTTGGGCAACTCTTCCAGATTCTAGTGTGTTTGCGGCTCAGAAGACATCCAGACTCCCAGTTCGTTCCGTGTGACTGAGCTTTACAAGAAGTATTGAAAACTAGGAGCCCTTAATCGTGCTTGTCTACTGGGCCTGTGCCGTTGATGTGCGTACTTGGCATAAGCTTGATAACGTTGCGGCACGGAGATCCTGCAGGAACAGCGTCTCCATCGAGCTAAAGGAACTTTCCTCATGCGGAGATTTGTTCAAAAGAAGTAATTTATCAGAAAGCCCCGAGGCACGAAAGAATACGTGAGCTTCTAGAGACCATGAGAAACGTGATGCTCGTATTACAAGCAGCAATTCACCATCAACGGACATTGGCGGTAACCGTGCCGCAAAGCTTATACCCCAGGATTGCTGCCTGGCCGAGACGTAAATAGTATGATAATTGAAAGCAGAAAGTTGACAAGACCTTTGGATGTAGTATCAAAAGGTTAAAGTTCTCGAGACTCCAAGTCCTGAGTCTATCACCAGGGGACAATCTCAAGTGCTCAGGACCCCTCAACATGGGCAAGGCTTTCGGTTTTAGCTTCATTGCTTTGGCTTTTGCTACGGTGATCAGCCTATACATGCTCATCGTGGCCAGCCCAAAGTTCTCCAAGCCCATACCAGCTGAAGAATATGGTGAGAACCTCTGACATTCCACTCGCTTCTTATTGATCTAACACACGTCAGAGCTGTTCGAAAGATCGAGCGATGAGTTCCCAGGAGACATCTGGGAGCGACAAGTTGACGACGACTGTGATGATGACGATGACGATGGCGGAGGTGGCGGCGGTGGATCAGGAGAAATACATCCCAACCCAGGTCTCTGGTCGAGTGAGAGTCCAGCCGTATCATGTCTCGCTCCTTGCACGATTTACTGGCCTCCTCTGACGTTGAATCAACCACTCACTGTTTCCTGGCCCGCCATCACGACTTCCTTGTGGTCCCTCACCGGAACCGTATCCGTGCTGAAGACAACCACGATCACGATACCAATCTTCACGACTTCAGTCGTCAGCTTCTGGGGCGTGACAGTAACCGGAGGCGATCCAGTCGACACGTTCGTAACACCGGTCCAGAGCATCGTCCCGCCTCCCACAACTCTCGTCGTGGACAACACACTTGTCAGCGTCACCGAGACATACGTCCTCTCCGGCTCGGCAACAAGCTACACTATTCTCCCTCCGCCGGCGACGACCGGTGCTCCGCAAGTCACGACAATCACCATCCAGCCCCCTCCCACATACTCCATCGACATCTCAACCACCCCCAAGCCAGTCCACTACACGCAGAAGCCGCCCGGCGACGACATGTACTGCGCCTCCAACTGCGGCGAAAACGACTGCCGCTTCGGCTGCGGCGGCACCTGCGGCCCTTTCGGCTGCGAGGGATGTGGCATCTTCGGCTGCGGAGGCACGTCCTGCGGTCTCGGCGGTTGCTCAGGCGGCTGTCCCATTCTCGGATGTCCAGGCGGCCTCGGCGGAGGGGGAGGCGGCGGCGGCGGTCCTCCTCCGGGCGACCCTCCGGGCGAATGCAACGGCAACCAATGCGAATGCGACTCGCAGAAGACGGTCGGAACATCCTGCGGCGTAGGATGTCCGGTCACCGTCGTGCCGTGGACGACGATCGAGGACCCGGACGACTGCACGAGCAGCTGCCAGACGACGCCGACGTCCTGCGGCGGCACGGAGACGACGTCGACCACGAGCAGCACCGAGACCATCACCTACCCCGGCCCCTGCACGGCGTTGGACTATAACCCGTGGTCCATCCAGGATCCTGCCGCGGCCGTGGTGACGGAGGTCTGGAGCTACATCGAGTCGGTGTACGCGGCTGAGGAGACCGAGATCATCACGACGTCCGGGCCGAGTATCACCACGACGCCGATTACAACTACGGCCCACCAGGATCCCCCGGGCCCGATTACCACGACGGCGCATGAGGACCCCGCGCCCGAGCCCGAGCCGCCGAAGGAGACCCCGACCGTGTCGTATGACTGTAAGGGAAGCGGTCTCTGCGGGTCGACGGTGAATATGCTGAAGTACTGCGACCACGCCGTCAACTACTTACGACGTGGCGAGAACTTCGTTTACACGACGGAGTAAGTATCCCTTGCAACCACCGAGTGCGTCTTGGGCTGACGTGTGCTTCAGGAAGGACAAGCTTAATGGCAACTGCTGGTCCGATTGGGCTGGCAATGGCTGCGGCGTCTTCATCGCGGGGACGCCGGATGACAAGTATACCGACGCCGAGTACTGTGAGATCACCGGCGACGACATGTGGTGGGCTTACCAAGATATCCGCGCCGATGATGGGGGCAACTGTGACAAGTGTGGATCGAAGCATTTCGGGAATGGGTGCAGAGTGACCATCAACTACGTAACGGGATGTGCCAACCATGAGAGCTAGTATGTTGGTTGTTCTTCAAGTAGTCATGAGAAACCAATTCCTGGGTTAGAGTCCGTGAATGTATTAGCAAAGTACAAATTGGTGAGGACGACCTATTGACTCTGTGAACGAAGGGATGAACGCTGGCTAGGAGGGGAAATATGTAACTTGCCGGCTGAAACGAAGCACAGTCAACGAAAGGAAACCGAGACGAGGGAGAAAACAGCAGTAGTATTATAGACCAACAAGCCAGTTCGAGTCTGGTGTTCGAGGCAGTACTCGCACAATATGCAACATTCTAAAAGCAACCTGTTTTTCAAGGCCACCGCGGCCTGCATGCTAAACTCCATAAACACCATGCCAATGCAAATGTCCCCCCGCGCCATGCTAGGATTGGATGGAACCCGCTCTAAACAGCGCCGACGAGGCCGTCATAAGCACGATCAACGGTACGACCACCCATTCCAGGGATGGTCCTCAGCTGCGCCAAAGATTCGATGTTTCCACTCTCTTCTTCTGGCATCGCGTCAAGATAGTCGACGAGGTCCTGTGCCTTCTTCGAGCCAAATCCGTGGAGGCCCTTGATCTGGATGAGATCGCGAGAGTTGACGATGTCCAGAAGAGACTGGGAGCGAGGGGTGACAGGGCCACTCGGCGCAGGGAAGACCAGCTTAGGAGGCTTTGTCGACTTGGCCTTTCGGCTCTTCGACTTGGTGGACACATCAACGAAGCTCATATCTTCGTCGGCCTCGGCATGCTGGAACTCGTCGTCACTATCGTACGCGACCCTTCTGCGCTTCTTCTCGTGTCTGTCTCGGGTTGCCGGGGACACCGCCGTCTCACCGGCATATCCGTTTCCAACCTTCAACCGCAGCTTCTCAATCTTGCCCAGAAGCTTGGCCTGCCCAGGGAAGAACGGGAGAGCTAGCTCGTACATCTTGAGGGCGGCCAGGTCATCGCCCCGCTCCTTCGCCTGTCTAGCGGCCAGCAGGTAGCGAAGGCCCTCAGACCGGCTGTCGTCTCGATCCCGTTCCTCGTTCTCTATTCGGCGCTCAAGTGCCTCCAACCGACGCTGGACAGCTTCGTTGACATCAGGATGGGCCAGTGCCGCGGAAGGCTCTGACTCCTTGTTTTCTCTGGACTTTAGGATCTCGCTGACCTTCTTCTCCACCAAGGCCTCCAGCTGCTCGGCAGAGATGGAGAGCTTTTGCTGCGCTGGCTGGGTAGACTGACTCGGGCGAGCAAGCTTCGAGATCTTAGACGTCGCCGCCTCACGCTCCACCACAACTGCCGGCTTACGGATCTGGGTAGTGTTGGCGGTAGGGCGAGCAGGAGCAGCAGCCGGCTTGCTGCGATCCGCAAAGACGTTGAATGCCTTGACCGGGCGGGTGACGTCCTTTTCCTTCTCCTTCTCCTTGGCCGCAATCGTGCCGCTGTGAATGTTATGAGCATTAGCCAAGGGGCGAAGGGGTTGACGGTGAGCAAGAGTAGAGCTGCCGGAGTTGGTGCGAGGGACCTGCTTGAAGACGACTTCGTTCTCGATTTCGCGAACCTCGATCCGCTTCGCCCGAGAACTGACGTTCAGACTGCTGAGGGTGTCCAGGTGGTAGCTGCGAATAGGTGCGAGGTTCAGAATCATGATCGTGATGCCGTTGTTCTGCCCCAAGCTCAGAATGCGGGTCATCTTCGACTCGCGGTAGGGGATGCGTTTGTCTCCACGGGAGATGGCGTCGATACACTGGGACAAGACGAAAAGACTCTTGTTGATGGCCGCAGACTCGATGAGTCTTTCCTTGCCGTTGTCGGTCCGGCGGTTGTCTTCTGAACCAGCAAGATCAATGGCCGAGGCGGTGCTCTCACGGATGGTGTCTCCCGTCGTTTGGGTTACCTTGACCCTGAGAATGGCGTGGCTTCGACTACTGTGGGCGTTGAGCTTCGTGGCAGCGGTGACGCGGTTGTTGTTGGCTTCAATATAGAGCTTCGAGAAGTCCTGGAGGTCCTCGCAAGCGCGTTCTGAAAGCCCCACCACCATAGTCTTGCCATCCTTCTCTCGGAGGGGGAGGCCAGAGGCACTGCGTTTCTCGGGCGGTTCGAATAGGTCGAAGACCTTGTCGTTGTAAATTTCGTAGTATGACAGGGCAACGTCAACAGTCGTCTCGCCCCCTGAATCCTTGGTAATCTTCTTGCCTCGACGATAGACTCCGCTCAGCAGGCGTGGGATGACACCTCGATCGGCCAGCTTCAAGCCGCCTCGCATGGTGTGTGTCTTGCCTGTTCCAGTGACTCCATAGGCGAAAATGGTGACATCGAGGCCTTGGAAGAGAGCTTTCAAGTGGGGCGCGACTGTTGGAGTTAGTAAAAGCAACGCGTGGTCTCGACATTGGCGTTTCTCGCGTACCCTCTGCGGTGAAGAGCTCCTCCTGCGACGTCGGTTGGTCATAGACACTGTTGAAGGCGAAGGAGAACTCCTCGGATTCATTCTTCGGGTTGGGTATCTTCACAAGCGTGGCGTGCTTGCCTTCCTCGGTACTGTCTGCACTAACGATCGTGTCCTTGTCGAGCTCCTTGTCGAGGAGAGGACGAATTCGGGCGACCACACGAACCGACATCGTGGGCCAGACCTTGCAAATTGACTCGATCGACGGTGGCAGCAGCCGAGGGAAGCGTTCAGAGAGAGCAGACAGCCGTACGCGGAGGACAGGCGTGTCGTCGTTCGTTCGTTCGTTCCGTCGAGACGCGAACTCGGGAAATTAGAGAAGAGATTTGGTGATCCAGGAAGTTGCCTAAGGTATCGAGGTTTAAGATGTTGTGCAAGGAATATGCAAAGAGTCGGTCTGAGACCCTGTCAACAGGGGGCGCGTCATAATTCGTTCCTCGAGTTGCTGGGGTGACGGCGCTAGTGAAATTAAGCGAGGTGACATAAGCAAACCATGATCAGTGCGCAAGCTCAAATCGTTAGGTAAGCAGACAAGAAATGAGTACGTACCGCGGGTCGGAACATCAGGAATCTCCGGTCGAGCTCCGATTTTTCGCCGTGGCCCGGGCGGCATCACCAATTCCTGATGGCAGCAGCGACCGGGAGCTGCTTCTGGAGCTTCGAGGTCACGATTCAACGACCGACGTCATCATCTTCTCCCCCCAATGTCCGCCATGCGCGCCCAAATGTCCTTGTTGTGGACGGCACGCGGTGCGCGACTGGGCCTGAAGCCTTCCTTCGTCTGCAGGCAGTGCAGGAGCATCCAGATCAGCGCGGCGCCCACGACAGAAGCTCCGAAGGTTGGCGGGGATGTTTTTGGAGCTCGTGGAACTGGCTTGAGGGACTCGGCAGGTATGGACATCCTGCCAATGGGTACAGTTATTTCGGTGTGTTATGCTAACGTAAAGCTTTACAGATGCCCGTTTCGAGGTCCTTGGTTCGCCGCACTCCCTCCTCTCCGTCACCTTGTCGCCTTCGCAGCAGCTCTACACTAGAAGAGGCACTTTGGTTGCAGTAGCGGGCAAGGCTGAAAATGTAGGCAACCGCAATAATTGCGATGGTCACTGTCCTAACAGCTTGTCCAGGCCCAATCCACGCTTTCGATTCTTTCTCCCTTCACACGAGCATTCCTCGGTGTTCCTTTCCTCTACCAGCGCATTTCCTCTTCGACGCCTCTGACGGCACTCATCTCGACCAAGTCTCCCACAACCACCTTCTCCGTTCTCCATCTCGATGGTACGACCGACTACATGGTCACTCAGCGCAATGCGCTCCTGGCATGGACTGGCCATACGCTGTCCGTATCTCCCCGCATAAACCGCGGTCTGTCGGTCGCCCACTGGGGAAGCACCCACCTCACAGGCCGCGGTCTCGCCGCTCTGGCGTCTCCCGGCCAGATCTACGAGCTTAACCTCGCCGAGGGCGAAGAGTTCGTCGCTCATCCTTCGCACGTGGTTGCCTACACCGTCTCGCGCAACCCGCCCCTGCCCTTCCGCCTCAAGTCGAACATCCTGCGATTCCAGGTGCCAAGCATCACTGGCCTCCTCCCCGAAACCGAGTTCATGAAGAACATGCGCCATACGAGCACCTACAAGACCCTCGCCCGCTGGCTTTTCACTCTGCGCACAACGCTGCGCCGCACTATCTGGGGTGACAGGCTGTTCCTACAGTTCCGCGGACCAACAACTCTTCTGATGTCTAGCAGGGGTGTCAGAGTGGCAGACTCTCTTACCAACAACGAAGTCAACGAAATCGCAGATGCCCCAGCTGGCGTTGTCCCCGAGGCCATCGAGCTGACGACGAAGCCCAAGATCGAGGCAAAGACGACATCAGCCGAACAAGGCGCTTCCGCGATCCACGTCGCCAGTATCAGCCGCGATGGCAAGGCCAGTTTTGAAGATACCAAAGACCTGAAGGAGTTTGTCAGGTGAGGGCGGAATTAGAAACAGAACATGGCGTGGCTACGCCTCAAAAAAGCTTGAAATGACAATCAAGAACCACGGCCGCCAGGCTGACAAATGTACATCTACTGTGTAATAGAACAAACCGGGCTTCTTCTACACCAGTGACGCGGCCCGCTGCAAACGCGAATTGCGGGCGTTCGAACCATACTCAGTAGACGGGATATGTCAGCACGGACGCCCGTTCCGAGGCGGACGCTATTGCGGATGCTATTTGATGACTCTGATATTCAATCTCGGAAATACACCAGTTCTCGATATCCGACCAAAGACAGGTCAAGGTCAGCTCGCTCAAGTCCAAACGCGTGGTCGTTGCGTCGAAAGAAGCTTGAATGACGCTTGTCAGTCACCACGTGGAAGCATGATGCTAGCTAGGCAGTCAGAGCCACAAGGGGCTGGTATTATCGATGTCTTTGAGTGTTGACATCCTAGCTCGATCTCCGAGTCGAACACCGAGCACACTTCCGAGGCAATAACCGCACTTGATTGGACAGATACTCAAGTGTCATCCCATTATTCTGGTTCGGGGCTCGCGTTTTCATCCCAACGCCGAGAAAAAGGGACCAGCCGTTCCCCCACACGGAAGAGAGCTCCGGTACAAGGGGGTCCTCGGGCTCGGGTGAGATCTAACCATTGTTGGGGCACACAGATTCTGGTCCATCAATCAGTTTTCGATGCCATTTTCGCAGCTTCGCATTTCACTGGCTATGCGGTGCCGAGACAACAAGCTGACAGCAGAAGACTTCTTTCGCCATTGGATAGCTGACCGACTTGGTGTGCGCTAAGATACACCAGGCAGTTCACGTTCAGTTGCAGAATGGCATTAGTCTTGGAGCGAAAGAACCCAGCAACACCGTCTCCAACTTCTGCTCGTGTCAGCGTGTGCCTCTCTCTCCACACCCATTTCTGCCGGAAGACGAAGCACACGCGCCCAACAGACCGGCGTCCACTCGCTCTGAATCATGGTCCAACTACGAACAAGATAATTGTTCGTCGCCCGGCCACTCGGGATGGAACTCAGAAGTAACGGATATCCAACTCGGCAAATACCTACCTTAGGTGCCAGCGCCTCAGCTAGCTTATCCCCGGGGACGTGGATTCGGCCCCTCCTCCCCAGATTTGGGGTGGGAAGCGGACCCAGAATTGCGTCGATCCAGCAGGGCATGGCGTTTAAAACCGAGCATGGGTTTGTCGGAGGGCTGCCTTGGTGTTTTTTTCCTTTCTCCGAGCCTAGTAAGAATACCACGTTAAGAGCGAGAACAACGCGAGCATCCAATCTCATCGTCTCTGGCTTCCATTAATAATGCTCTCATTCCTTCGACTGAGCCGCATCACTGGGGTTGCTTTGCATCCGCATCAAGTGACGTCTTTACAGCAGCTTCCGAGATAAGAAGACGGCTGGCTGCAATCTGCGCTCAACGATCAGTTCAATCTCTGCCAAACAAGCCAACAAACGAGCCGTCTCGACACTAAGAAAGACGACTTCGCCCCACCGCCAACCTGGATCACCTGCAGCAAGGGTACTTTGTTCCAGAAAAGCTCGCCAAAGAATAAACAAAAGGGGTCCCTAAAGGCAAAAGTACAATTGTACTCCTGCTCATCGTCCCTTGACGGTCTCCAAGGTTTTTGCCTGAGAGAACATCAAAACAGTTCAAATACAGACAAAGACGCAAAAAGAATAGAAACATAAATACCACCGATACAACCTCAAGATGCGCGTCAACGACGCCATCTCCACGTCGTCCAACTCGTCGACAGTCATGGAGACCAACCCCGCAAACACATTATCTCCAGAAAAGACGGAGCGCTCACCCTACGAGACCTCCACCCGCCAGTCAATGGAGCGAATCCCATCACAGCAGCGCGAGACGGAAGCAAACATCTACCCGGAACCAGCAAACGTCGCCGAGGCCGACATCGAAAAGGGCGGCTTGGCGTCCGAGAAGCCACAATCCGATGCCAAGGACCGCGATGCAGCCGCTCCCGCCGGCCCACCGGGCATGAACCCCGCCGACTTCCCGGACGGCGGCACGCAGGCCTGGCTGGTCGTGTTCGGCGGGTGGTGCGCGCTGTTCTGCACTTTCGGACTCATCAATTGCGTTGGGCTGTTCAACGCGTATTATCTCGATGGTCCATTGAGGGAGTATCCGTCCTCGACCGTGTCGTGGATCACCAGTTTGCAGGTGTGGACCATGACTTTCATGGGTGCTCTGGTATGTCTCCTCACTTCCAGCTCACAATGCCGCCGCTAACAAGTCGCAGTTCGGTCGCTTGTACGACTCATACGGCCCGCGGTACCTCCTCTACGGCGGCACCATCGTGTACGTCTTCGGCCTGATGATGACCTCCCTGTCGACGGAGTACTACCAGTTCATCCTGGCGCAAAGCATAGTCTCCTCGATCGGATCCAGCGCCGCCTTCAACGCCTGCATGGCCTCCGTCGTGTCCTGGTTCTTCCGCCGCAGGGGTGCCGCGCTCGGCATCATGGTCTCTGGATCGTCCGTCGGTGGTGTGGTCCTGCCCATCATGATGTCCAAGATGATTGAACAGGTCGGATTCCCCTGGGCCATCCGCACCGTCGCCTTCCTCTTCCTCTTCCTACTGGGCATCGCGTGCTTGACGGTCAAGTCCCGTCTGCCCCCGCAACCGAGGCCGTTCGTCTTAAAAGAGTATATCGACGGCCTGCGCCAACCATCCTTCGCCGTCACTATCATCGCCCTGTTCCTCTTCTTCTGGGGCATGTTCCTCCCCTTCAACTTCGTCATCCTGCAGGCGAGAGCGCAGGGCATGGACGAGAACCTGGTGATCTACCTCCTCCCCATCATGAACGCCGTCAGCATCCTCGGCCGCATCGTGCCCGGCATCGTCGCCGACAAATGGGGTCGCTACAACGTCATGATCCTCATCACCTTCATCAGCGCCCTCTTCTGCCTCGCGCTCTGGATCCCGGGCAAGAGCAACGCCTCCATCATCGTCTTCCTGGTCATCTTCGGCTTCTCGTCGGGAGGCTTCATCTCGCTCGCTCCCGCGCTCATCGCGCAGATTTCGGACATCAGACAGATCGGCATCCGCACCGGGACGGCCTTCGCCGTCCAGTCTTTCGGCGCGTTGACTGGAAGCCCCATCGCGGGCGCTATCGTGTCGGCCCAGGGCGGGAGTTACCTTGGTCTGCAGCTGTTCTGTGGCTTTACCATGCTTGCGGCGGTGGGTGTGTTCATCGCGGCGCGGACCATCCAGGTTGGCTTCAAGCTCAAGGTTGTGTGATTGAATTCGGGTTCGTCTGAGGAGCTTGAGTTTATTGAGTGGAGGGGCCTGAGCGGCCGGTCCCGGGCAGACCCACACGGGTCCTGGATATGGGGCCGAGTGACCGGCGGTCGACTCATCTTAGAGATGGAGCATTGAGACATTGATGGCTTGAGTCAAAAGATGCATGAAGTCCCTTGGGGCAGGTTCGCGGGAGTTGATATATGATACCAGACATACAAGCGTTCGGGGCGACCTCGAAAACATAGATGAACATGACTGATTATATTCTTCCTTCCACTTCCAGCGCAGTCCATCTTATAGATATCATATGTGAGCCCAGCATATCAGACGGAGTTCCCCACTAGGCTCCGGAGCGACGGAAACAAGATACCACCAAGGTGTCAGCTGCTGATTAACATGCATCGTGTAAGCCAGTTCTTGTGAATGAATGTAAGTGAGCCCACCTTCCTCTCTCATATGAATTACCTGTGACGATAATCTATTCACTAGGAATCTCATTTGAGCTCTCGCTTATCATGTATAAAGTTACTACTGGACCTTCCAGTAGTTCTCACAGAAGTAAACTCAGTTGGCTGCAGGCGGAACCCAAGGTTTATGTGAGATGATGCGCGCCGTCAAAATGAACGAGCGACTCTTAAGCCTTCGATTGACAGAGGCTCTGATCAAAGTTATGGGATTATTACCTACAGATTCTATGGTTTTGTCCACACATGGAAGAAACCTCTCAAGGGATGGACGGGGAAATACCGAGATAATCTGGCTGAAATTACTTTCGAAAAGACCACCAAGTACAGCTCAGCTATGCTCCAAAGTTGCAAGGCACGTATTCGATTGAGCTATTGAGTAAGTCTTTCGATCATATTACCGTATTACAATCGCTAGCAAATGCCAAGGCTGACCCGCCGCATGTCATGAGAGCAACTTAGATCTCACACTAAGCAGCTAGATAGGATCACCGGAGCAGACAGGTTAGCCTCGGCTGCAGCAGGCCCTATGATATTCCCCGCAGACACCGCGGGCAATGCCCATAAAACAACGCGTCTACAACATTCCATGGAGAACAAAACATCGTCAAGCCAAACGAAATGTCAACTCCGTCAAACCTGGAGTCAATCGAATTGGCGACGTCGTCCGCGAGATCGACTAGAACCGATGGAGAAGACAGCATCGATCCGAACAGCTCGACCGAGTTTCATGGCATCCAACACCAGCTTGAGCCTGCCGACCGGGGATTCGCGGCATGGAAGCTCCTTTTGACAGCGTTCGTGTTTGAAGCTCTGCTATGGGGTGAGCATTCAAACTATCCCAGTCAATTATTGAATTTCTCACTGTCCAAATTCTAGGGTTCCCTCTATCGTTTGGTGTCTTTCAGAACTACTACTCCAAACAGCCTGCTTTTGCTAGCAACAGATACATCCCGGTGGTGGGAAGTGTCGCCTCTGGTATCAGCTATCTGGGCGCCCCTGCTGTTACGCCGTTGATCAAACGATATCAGCGATTTCAGACGCAGATGATCTGGGCTGGTTGTAAGTTCAGGCTCCCTGCTTCGAACATGTTTGCGACACTCTGCTAACGAAGTACAGGGTTTATCTGTATAGGCGGTGTTGTCCTTGCTTCTTTCTGCACAACCGTTGAGACTTTGATTCTCACTCAGGGTGTCGCCTACGGTGTAGGCTTTCTGATCTTTTACTATCCCATCCTGACCATGGTCAACGAATACTGGATCACACGGCGCGGCATGGCCTACGGTGTACTCTGTAGTTCATCTGGAGTCTCAGGGGCCGTCTTTCCCTTTGCCATTGAGGCCTTGCTGGATAAATACGGATATCAGACCACACTACGGGCCATTGCCGTCAGTCTGTTCGTCTTGACGGGACCGTTGATCCCGTTCCTCAAAGGTCGCTTGCCGCCTTCGGTGCACAGCGCATCCACAAGAATGGACTGGAGTTTCCTACGCGACGTTCTCTTTTGGTTGTACTCGATCTCGAACTTGGGTCAGGGTCTTGGGTACTTCTTTCCATCCCTGTGGCTTCCGTCCTATGCGGCATCAATCGGACTCAGCGGGAGAGAAGGGGCCCTCCTTCTAGCCTTGATGAGTATCTCCCAGGTGGCTGGCCAACTCACCTTTGGGCTACTTTCCGACCGGAAGGTATCTCTTGAAGGTCTGGCTATCGTCTCGACCGTCATCTCAGCAACATCGGCATTCGCGCTGTGGGGTCTGGCTCATAATTTGTCCCTTCTGATAGTCTTTGCCTTGGTGTACGGATTCTTCGCAGCTGGATTCACGGCGATGTGGGCTAGGATGACTACGGCAGTAAGCACCGATTCGACGGCTGTGCCCATGATCTTTGGTCTTTTCAACTTTGGCAAGGGGGTTGGTAATGTGCTGGCTGGGCCGATCAGCGGTAACTTGCTTTTCCATATAACATCTGCGGAGAGCTATGGTTTGCTCAAGTACAAGGGAGTCGTCGTCTTCACGGGGTCGTGCATGGTATTCAGTACCGTTGCCATCAGCCTGCGATACCTGAAGCCATGTTGGCCTCGGGGTGGATGATACGGGCTTGCTTACTATTCTTGCATATTTGTCTGCATGCATAGCATAGAGGCTCGGATAAGAATACAATTAGGACGAAGGCTGTGGCGGTAAACCACCCCAAGAAGGGCTAGGTTGCTGTTGTTTTAAGTGACTTAGTGAAGCCTCTATTTACAGAAAAGTTGATAGAAACGCTAGTTCCATCTCTTGAGATAGGCGTCCGGGTTTTGCCTGAATGGGAATAGTCCGTAATACCATTCACTTCTTTCATACTATGTGACTATGTAACTCCAAGAGACAAAGGGATATGATACAAAATGAACAATGGAAAGAGCGCGAAGTTCCGACTTAGCGGCTTGAGGCGTTGCGGCGCACGCTGTGTTGGTTGGGAGGAGACCACGATACGAATACGGGCGTTTGCCAGTACACAGAGTCAAAGTTGACATTATTGGAGAGTTCTTAATTAAACAACCGAAACGAAATTGCATACGAAGTAACAGTGATCCACCACAATCAATGAGAATTTGATGGGACAGAGTCAATTCACGCCAAGAGGCGACACAGTCCCTGCTATCCCGTCGGAGTGCTATCAGCGCCCCTTGAATACCGCCCGTTCGACTACAACCAGGTGAGCATTTTGAGGGGGGATCGAGCGAAAAAGTTCGGTTGCCGGCGGGAGGGCGGGAGGCCGTTGCCGCTGTGCTTTATGGAAGCCAAGCGGTTCACCTACAGGGATGCCCTGGGCGCCACAAATGAGACGAACGATGGCTCAGTGTTTGTAGGATCTTTAAGATCACGGTGTTTCCGTTCAGTAGTGTTTACCTGACTGATCGGCTCGCAGCGCGAAAGTTATCCCAGCCAACACCCAGACACATCGACTCGACACCATGAAGCCTCACGAGTGCTCGCCTGGCACCCAAGTCATACCCCTGGAGCCCAAGGACCAGTGGAAGCCCATTGACGAGATCCGCTCCCTGGTATTCTTCGTCCTTCGGCATTCTGTGAATGAGGAAAAGTTGCGAAGCTCTTTGGATGACCTCATTCGCAACCATCTCCCCATACTCGGAGCACGTGTACGGTCAGCTGGGAAAGGCAGTGGTTTGGCCTATCATGTGCCTGCAGGGTTCCCCTCGGATAAGCCTTTGTTCGGATGGTCAAGCCGCTCTGTGCCTACAACATTCGCCGCCAGTCAGCTTTTACCGTCCTCAAAAACGGAAAGCATAGAGAAAGTTACGTGGGGCAAGTCAGTCGTTGAGTTGGAGGAAGAGTGGACGCCCGCAAGTTGGCCAAGGTCGCGTCTCGACGACGGCCCCGATACCCCCACGCTTTTGGTGCATCTAACTCACTACGAAGATGACACTGTTGTCAGCACAAACTTGCCTCATGCGGTGGTAGATCAGATGGGCTACGCCAGTTTTGTGCGAGCATGGCTGCAGCTCGCCACTGGTAGTCAACCTCCAGAGTTTCTGGAACTGAAGCCAGGAGCTCTCGATGGCGCAAGAGACCTTTCCAAGAAACAATTGCGGCAAAAGGGGACATACAGGTTGAAGACTCGCGACGAACGGATACGCATCCTGCTTGGGTTTATCCCGGAGCTGATCAGGGAGCCAGCACAAGACGAGAGCCGCCGTCTCTTGATTCTTCCAGAGACTCTTATCACCAAGTTGCGAAACAAGCACCAAGAAACCATTGATGCCAAATACGGCCCAAAACATGCGAGGTTGACAAATGGAGACGTCATTTCGGCACTTCTACTGAAGGTAAGAGTACTCAGTCACTCAGCCTCGAGGAATACAATCTAACACACGCAATAGCTTGGTCATCTGCATCGCAAAAAGCCGAAGATGTTTACGCTAAGCGCTGCTGTCAATGGTATGTCTTGATAACGCAGTAAGTCTTGGTATAAGAAGCTCATTGTTTGGTCGCAGCCCGGGGACGTCATCCAGCACTCCCAGCCGGTAAATCCTATCTACACAACGCAATCGTGTACAGTGTGGCCCGCATGCCCATCTCTCGAGACACCCCAGTCTACGAAATCGCCCGCCAGAACCGCTTAGCGGTCATCGAGGCCCTGAAGCCCGAGAGCGTTGACAGAGCTTTGGCGGTCAGCCGCGAGATGTATCACGGCGGCATCGGGGCTCATATCTGCGAGCCTGGAGAGTTCAGTTTCTCCGTGACGAACTGGTCATCAGCCTGGCATGGTATTGATTTCTCGAAGCTCTCGATGGGCGACTTCTCTACGAGTAGCTCCGGAGAGAATAGTGATACGGCGGCGGATGAGTCAAAAGATTCCGTATCACTGCCGCCTGCGGCAGGAACCGCCCCGCTCGTGTTGGGACATGCGCTCATGCGAAATAAGCGTGTAGTGACGAGGTGTAAGTCTGATATGATGCGCTGCCGACATGTGCTGGATTGCTAATTCAGGGTGTACAGTCAATACACAGATTATGAGCAAGGCCGAAGGCGGTTATTGGTGTGACTTCACGTTGACCATCAAGAATGTGGCCCTCGTGGATAAGCTGTTGCAGACGGATCCGTCATTAGAAACGATTTGAGGGATGGCCAATACCTACGAACGGTCTGAGAAAATACCGCAGTTGAAGAAAGGAAAGCATCTGCTTATAGGCAGGCTAAAGACACTATACGTTCTCCAACAAAGGCTTTTATTAATGTAGACTTTCAGACTGGGGTATTGAATAAGAATTATATGTGATGTTATCCGTTCGGCGTGCTCCAGATACTCTAGCTCAGAGCAAAGCACCGCTCAGAGCTGGCAGCATCATTTCCCCACCAATTTGGCATCGTCACAATCTTGCCTGCGCCGAAGAACAGGAAGGTCAACAGCATGTTGAAGTTGAAGCCTGCGTCGAAGGCCGCAGCCAAGATGTAGTTCCATCGAGCCCTGTTAAGAAGCGTTAGCACCTGTGTCGGCTCAAATTCCCGCCGGATGTCACTTACCAGAGATCATATCTGTAGCGGTAGGCCCAGAACATGACAACAAAACCTCCAATGAATTGACTGAAATATCCGGTGCTGATGTTGCCGTAGAAGCTGGCCATTGTCGAGAAGAAGATGGTCGAATTCCAGAGCTGAAATTTGGCACGAGGGAAGAACCGGTGCAGCGCAAAGATGAGAAGAGGCGTGAAGGCTCCAACCAGAAATCCGTAGGGGAGTACTTTGTAGATATGCTGCTGAAACAAACGGCGCGGGCCGATGAGGACGTACTGAACACCCATCGTCAAGTTGGATGTGAGTGACTGGGCCGTCCACTGATGGGCAGGATCCTCCTTGGCACCAGTGAGGTAGTCGAACTTGGTGTCTAGTACCCAGCGAACGACGGCGTAGTTGATGGGAACACCAAGGAAGCTGCCGAAGACTTGGGAAAAGAAGACAGTCTTGGGTGGAAGGTGCATGTAGTGGCCAATCTTCATGTCTTGAAGGTTCAGCTGGGCTCGATACCAAGCGTTACCGGCAATGGCACCATACGCGGAAGCACCAGTCGGGTTCTTGAAACCGCTGACCGAGTTGACCATGAGTCCGTACAAGAGCTCGTTGACTGATGAATGTTAGCATGCGCGGTCTTCTATTTGGATTCACATTAAACTCACCAGTGCCGATAGCGAGCTGGAAGTTGCTCAAGGCATAAAGGTAGCCCAAGGGGACGACGAGGAAGGCTCCAGTTCCAATAGCGACAAAGTATGTCCACACAGGAATGAACATGTTTCCAGTTGCAGTGATGGTGACCAGGGAGACGAAAGAAGCTGCGAACAAGGCAAGGAACCACCACAGAGGCACCTCCTTGTAGGAACGTTGCAAGATGCTGAGCTGGTCGTTGTACTGAGCACTGATCTCGGACCCATTCTTGGTACGCTCTCGCAGCTTCTGCAGGCTGCCCTTAATCGTCTTGTATCCAAACAGACCAGCCCAAACAATGGCCGAAGTATACGCAGCGTAATCCATGAACATGGTCCAAAGAACGTGAGTACTGACGAAAGGAGGTCCCAGCTCCTGGTACGCCGTCTCATTGAACGATACATCCGCAGTAAGGAGTGAAGTGATGGGATAAGAAGTGCCGTTCTCAAGGAACAGACGGTTCGACATGAGATGCTTGTTCCATTCGCCGAGGTGTCCGAACTTGGCGGCCGGAATCAGAATCCAGACGCTGCAGACGAAACCGAGGAACATGACAACTTGGGTCCACCAGGGGGTGAGAAACAGGTTGGCGTTGCTCGAAATGTTGGACCAGTCAAGGGAAAGGTTCAAGAAACCCATGCCGCCAAAGCCCGCGCCGACAAAGTTGGCGACTTCGTTGTTGGGGGCGACCCAGCAGAGGAAGGCCAGCGAGCCCAACATCGGGAAGACATACTCGGGCAGGAACTGCCACAAGGTCATACCGCCGAGAGCGAGGAAGAAGATTCTCGCTTGCTTGCGAGAAGAGGCAGTCGGGTTTTCGCGTTGCTTCTTTTGGGTTTCGAAGAGAGCGGTTTGGCAGAGACTGGAAAGATGTCAGCTCAGATTCAATGCAGAAGGTGGGTCCATGGAGTTGACCAAAGTGAGGTTATTCCCACTCTGAATCCCAACTATGCGAGAACAACTTACGCAGTAAACCACGGAAACTGAGGATCGTAAATCAGAAACTGTCGAGCCAGCGCTGCGAATGAGTATCCCGTCCACACAATACCCCACATGAAGAAAATCGCCGCAGCCGGGTGGATTCGCGAGTTGAAGTAGAGCTCTGCCATCGCAACAGGGGTGTAACCAAGGTTGTAGGTCGCGCCTGATGCCGCCGAGATGGTGACGAGAACATGTTCCTTGACGCTGAAAGGACCGGGATTGAGGTTGAAGCCGTATCCAAAAGGCAGGTTGATCTGCCATGCGGGAAGAATCTTGGCAAGCCAAACTCCGGCGTAACTGGATGCGATCTGGACGAAGAATACAGAGTACGGCGCATAGGTCGTGCGGAAGTGGCTCATCATACTCAAAAACGCTCCGGGAATGACGAAAATGATGGTCAAGACGAAGTAGCGGAAGGTGAGCGTCGGCAACTCAGGATCGTCCGACAAACTCACGACGCGACGAACGTAAGGCGGGATATCCTTCAATCGCGGGTCATCTTCATCGAACGCGACTTCGGAGCCGTTGGCCTGCGTTGTGAACACGAAAGGCGGCTTCTCCATGTCGCCCTCGGTGTACGGCGCAGCGGGCTCACTGGACGTCTTTTCCGGGGTTCCATCGCGGGGAGAGTCAGCGGAAATAGCATCGTTACGGGTGTCCTTGGGCCCGGTGGCAACCGGTTGTTGTAGATTTGACGAAGACATGATGGTCGTTCAAGGGGCCGTTTGCCAAGAGTCTTGGAGAAGCACGCCAACGCGGGAGCCAAGTCGGCCAAGCCTGGGGGACAGTAGCTTCTCTTCCGAGAGCGACCCTGGCTGGTTCGTCCATCTTATATTGGGATAGGAACCTGTTCGTCCGCCGGACATGCAGACTTCTACTAGCTTCCCGATGTGGGAGGTGATTCTGAACCGGCAAACGATGTGGACCTTAGCGATGGTGTCATCGGCGTTTTTCACCTCTAGATTGTCTGCATCGCGCAACTACAGGAGGGATTTCCGGATCTGCGGCTCGGTTCATTGGACTTAGGGCTCTCAGGATGGTGTGGCAGGGGGCCCATGAAAGTCGATGTGACATGGGATGGCCTGGTGATGGATGCCATTCCTGTAAAAAGTCCCTTCAAGGCGTCGACTCGGATTCAACCGCGTCAATCACGACTCAATACCGAAGCATGGTTTCTATGGCGAATATCAGAAGTTGCTGGTGGCAATATCAGAGAGCTTTTCTGTTGGTGCTGTGTCTCATCAAAGTCGTACATAACAGCAATTGCGCCATCGGCAAAAGTGCCTTGAGTCAGGATCAACCTCGCACTTTTCACCACCACAAACGGATTAGTCGAGATGGATCCCGGTGGAACGCGGGCTCTGAGTAGTCTGTTTTGATTGGAAGTAAGTTTGAAAACTCGGACTTCTTCTGTCAGACGTTTCTCGGATCCGACTTTCACTAATTCTCATGCCCAGTTAACCCACTTTCGCGACAAAGTTCGTTGGCTCGACTGGCATCCGTTCACCTTCAGAAAAATACCGGCCGTGAACCAAATCGCCTTCCGCCATTAACCGAAACTCAATGACACCCTCCCATCACGCCGAATCCTACGCCAGAACTTGACAGTGAACCTACTCTCTCCTCACTTCCATGGTACAAGCTTCCCGCCCTGGGATAAATCGTGCGTCCTGCCTTGAAGCCAGGAACTTTCAGGCGCAGCCCTATCGTATGTGACGGTAAAGTTCTGGCCCACAATCTGGTCCAGATCGCCGCCCATAATGGACAGACCCCGGACGAACGAGTTCTTGGTGACGGTCCATATGCTTGTTTCATCAATCTGAATCGTCAAGCCGCCTCGGTCGTTGACAAGCGAAGCCGTGGCACCACCTGTCCAACTGGTATTTGTGAGCAGCCGCATGAACACTGTACACCCACTCTGTGTGACGATGTCACCAGAAATCGCATCCGAGCTCATGACAGTCAGTGATGAGTTCGATGAGATCGGGTCCGCACTCCACAGCAAGTTGTCAATCCTCTCCAGATCTCGAGAGACCGTGTTCGTGTCAGCCAAAAGCAGTATCCCTGAAGGATTCTTGATCTTGGCCGCATTGAGTTTGATGTTCGCAGAGAAGGTTGCAAGGTGGAATGCAGGTCCTTCGCTAACAGTCAAGTCGAGTGATGTCGTGTCCAACGTGCCAGTGCCGTGTCGACTTGCGACGGACCAGTCGAAGAACAGCACACCACTCATTCTGTCTGAGGTGATTCTACAGCTGTTCAGATGAAGGTATTGTGGCCCCTCCATAATGATCGCGGGGGACTCCTGGGCCCAGCCATTCAGGTCGTAAGCGGTTATCCGACCCAGCGAGTAGATCAGCGGAGAGCCTGGACCTTTGGTGTGGGCGATACCCCCACGGCTGTTCATGTTGGATCCTGCGAGAGTGGGTGATCGGAAGCCACCGGAGCAGTGGCGAAAGTCGGTGACATTGAGACTCGCACCCCGGACGGAGAAGAGGCCGATGGCGCCTGGCCCGGTACTGTACAAGCGAGGGTCCTCGAGGACAGCAGTCGTGCCAACACCAGTAGCATACACGTTCGTGGCGCCATTATGGGTTTCAATGCGTCCAGAAAACTTGAACGTCGTTCTTTCGCCCTGCAACTTGTAGTTAGTATTAAATCAACACAATCTCAACTTCGTCCAGGGACTAGACTATACCAGTAGGATCGCGGAGTTGTAACCATCGCTCAGTGACCGAGGGAGGTCTTCGGGGAATCCTCGTTTAGAAATCTGCGCTTCGAGAAGATCGGTACTGACGCCTGTCATGTACAACACGCTGGTTTGATTCAGCTCGATTGAGTAAGACTGGCCAGTTTCTGATGTTCTTGGTGCTGTCAAGATTCTCTGGGCAACAACTACCGAGAAGATGTCAGCGTTCAAAGATTCCCCTGCGAGAAAGTTCATGGTCAAATTGAGCGAAAGTTTCTACGCACTTGGTTTCTTTTCCGTCGTTGCCTGGATGTAGTTGGGCCGGATACTATTGTCTACCGCCCATTGAGAGATGTTGAAGCCGCTGTCAAGACAAGGGTCCTCGTCCTGCAGAACTAGGCTCTGAGCAATAGCATTAGAGCTCAATAGGCTGAGAGAGATGTAAAATATGATTATGAATATCATTGCGAAGGACATCGTGGTAAACAACGGCGGCAGAAGACTAGATGGTAGATTCCTCTCGGTAGAAGCATCAAGGGCATTCGAAGCAAGAAAACTTGCGTGGGAAATCTTAGACTTAAATAAAGATACCTGGTATAACGAGATCAAACAACCTAGAAAGACTTGGGAGGCAGCCTGTCGTTTTGGAAATAACAATGTCTCGGGAAGCCAAGAGTGCAAGTCCCGTGTAGCCAAAGTCTATTACGGTGATGCCAGATTCGAGACAGGGTACCACGATCACATGTCTAATTCTTCAGAATTGATCATTCACTACCCATCCATTGAGTGAGACTGTGATTTAATGGTGTTCAGTTGCATGAAATGTGGCTGTGTTTATATCTCGATCGACATCACCGTACCACCTCTGTTCCAGATCTCAGACCGTAGCCGGAAAGAGGCCTGCATCTCTTGAGTTTGTTCCAAAGACGGCTCGAGTCTATGGTCGTTCTCATCCGGCTTGCCTTGAAATATCTCAAGCAAGTGATGTTTCTCCATCCGCTGACGATCCCACAAAACATAAGCTCGATCACGAAGCCAATCGTTGTGATCAAGCACTAGCCAAGATCCAACGAGTTCACTTTTATGAACAGCAAACCAAGCTTCACATGGTCCCTCTTCTGCGAATCGATCATCTGCCTGGTCGAAAACGACGGAAATAGCGCCGTTTGCTGGTTCATCATCACAGTAGGTTCTGAGTACGTCTAAGAGAGACGCTGGAACATTAGCCCAACCCACTCTTCTCCTAGACATCAAGCAGCGTCGCTTGGTTTCATAAGACTCTGAGCTGATGAGACGATGAAGAAATTCGACGCCTTCTGCCATCTACATCGCAGTCTTTTAGCATTCACGTCAATTTGGTGGGCGGACTGGAAACACTCACCCAAGTCTGTTGCTTTTGGTTTCGCCATCCGTGATGAAGGTAGTCATATTGCATTTGGCCAAATGCAGGGTCTTGGGATACTACCTCCCGAGAAGCTGCCATCGAAGTAAGAACTTGATAGAATGAAAACGAAAAACAGGCATTGTGGCTTACCTTCGGAGAAGCTCCGTTCCCAATATTCCTGAACACATGCTATTTGTTCATTCTCCCATGGCGGGTTCCTTAAGAAGAATCTGACGTGGGCCGTGTTTGCAAGCGGCTTGCTTCTATCATAATACACGTCCCCGAAAAGTCTGTAGAATAGTTCGATTCTATAAAAGGCGCGACAGAACCAAAAGTTCTCGGTGGATGACAAGACGACGTTGGGGGTGGCGTTCTTGATGTTCTTGGAAAGGATACCCGCCCAAGCCTCCTTACTAAAGTCGTCAGCGAATGATTGAATGACGCGATGCCTGCGCGACATCTGTCGGATTCCATTCAAAGACATCTCTGAGAGAGTTCTAAACAATGAAGAAGGCTTTTCGTACAGCGCGTCGAGTAAGCCGCGGACCTCATCAGAATCGAAGTCCCTGGGATGAGATAGTGGTCGGCGCGATGCTTCGATTATGGCGATGGCGTGAGGAAGTAAGGCGGGAGTCAATTGGTGGCGCAAAATACTTGTGCTGACTCCGCTGGCTTGCTTGAATGATGAGTATATGTGACGGCAAGAAAGCAAAGCTGCCGTGAGTGATTGGAAATCGTCGAGGTTACCCAGGATGAAACCAACAACTTCGCACGGCAATTCTGTGATAAGAGGCATGATGGGTAAGAATTCGGGTTAACTTCCAACAGAACTTTCGTGCTGATGCAAGTATCTTAGCCAGGAAAGCTCTTTTAACATCTTTATTGATGCGTATAATCAAAGATGAAATGACTAGGCAGGAGACGAGGCATCCATCAGCCTTCAGCTGATGCAGAGTAAAGGTGGCTGCCTAAGCCTAACCACATTAGAATTGACGAGCAGCCAATCGATGAGGGTCTGAAGCTCTATTCGTATGATCCTCCTGAGAATTACGTTTCAAGTTCGACAAATAAGAGCCATTGACGATGTTTCATAGTTAATAAGGGCATTTTCTCACATTAGATAAGCCCGTGATAAGTAGAGTCTTCGAGGTTAGATTGATGCAGCGTGTCTCTCTCTCACCCATGATACCACGACAGGCGTTAATAGTTCGCAGATCATTTTCAATTCCTCTTCTTCTTCTTTTTATTTTCCAGTTCAGATTTGACTTTCTACACCTGACCGCTCACTCCCAAAGACCAGGATATTATTGATCTTCACTGGGTTGGTAACTCAGACGACATCCCAAACCCCGAGTAGATCAGACTATTCGTCTCCCACACGCTGGTACATGTCCTCAATCTCTGGCTCATAAAGCTTAAGAACCGCCGATCTCTGGACGTTTCCCTTAGCGGCCAACGGGAAAGCCTTCTCCTTCTTGCCAAAAATGATTCTATCCTTGGACAGTTGCCCGGCCTTGTCCATGATACTGTTCCCCTTCTCAACCATGGGCAGAATGCTTTCCAGCGCATCTTGGGGCAGCATAGATTCATCGTCGACAAGCTGCACGACTGCGCACACTGTCTTCCTGCCTGTACCGCCAATCACCGCGTGCTTCACGACAGGGCTCCGCTCGATCTCCTTCTCCAACACAGCCGGATTGACGTTCCATCCCCATTTCGTGATGACCATGTCATCCGCGCGAGAGTAGAACTTCCAGTGGTGCGGCTTGGTTGGGTGCTTGACAAAGAGGTCGTTGCTGCGATGGACGTCTTGGCAGTCGGTGTGCCACCAGACATGCTGGCGAGTCGCGGTATGAGGGTTCTTCTTGTACGTCAACTCGTAGACGCCGTCGACTCCCTTGACTTCGCGTGGCTCCCATACAATGCCGCTTTCTTCGTCATTCAGAAGCAGCCAGTCCCAATCATCGCGGTCGGTGATGTGGCCGAATGCAGGTCCAGCCTCTGTAGATCCGTAAAGACTATACAAGCGACATCTGGCAGACAAGGCCTCTCCCGTGTGCTTGCTGAGAGCGCCGCCAGCGAAGAAGATGTAGCTGATCTTCTTTTCGACGATATCTAGAAGCTTGGGATTCTTCGCAATCATTTCCAAGTAGATCGGAACTCCACTGACGCTGTCGATATCGGCGTGCTCGATCACTTGCTCAATGATATGTGGCGGAACGGGGGGTGGTACAATCGGCCCGAGTACCATCTTCTTTTCGCGGTACAGCGGGTCGGTGACACCGGTGAACATACCAAAGGGATGGTAGATCGGCTGTGTTTGGTAACAGCTTTTGGATGTGTTCAAGAGCTTGGCATAAGGAGGGTGTCCGTCGAGATCAAGAACCAGCCCGTGAGGCTCACAAATGCTGTATGATCGATTCGTCCAGACTACGGGCTTTGGAAGACCTGTAGTTCCAGACGTATGTCCGACAGTGACGGGATCATCGCAAGCTTCAGCCCAAGACTTGGTGTACGGATAAGACTGTGGAGGCTCGCCATCAGCAAGAAGCTCGTCAAGAGTTGGGACTGACACAGTCTTCATTGGCCTCGCCGCCACAATGGAGTCGACAACAGTGTCCACGCCTTCGGTGTGCAATAAAGTTGCGGCGTCCATCTTATCGGCCAGATGCTTGTTGAAAACGACGCTGTTGAAATGCGAGCAGAAAAGAACTTTGTGTCCTGTTTTGATGCCTGCTATCATGGTGATGATGTATCTCACATCACCCAGGCCGTAGTACATGATCGTCTCGAATGTGCTGCTCTTGCCGATGTTTGTGTCGATGTGCCACGCCAAACGGTCGACAGCAATGGCCAACTGGCGAATCGTAATATCCCGGAACCCATCTTTAGCGATATCGGTGCTGATGGCGTATGACACCCAAGTACGGTCTGGGTTTGCTTTCAAGGCATCTTCAAGAGCTTGAGGAATGAGGCGTTGCTCCGGTTCGTAGACTTGGCTACCCATTGTGACCAAGTGGTTTTGAGAAGTTCAGAAACTTGAGACAAATTGGAAAGATCCGAAACCCAAAAGTTGTACTCTCTGGTGTCGTAGCCGGACCGGAGTCTCGATATATATTGCACATCGAAATGGGGACTATGATACGCTATGCAGGGGACTGGATACAATGTGTCAAGCTTTTTACCCCTGCTTACTGGCGACGCAGCTAGTTGATGAATCCGGAAATAAGATGTGATACTCATCAGAAATAAGGGTTTATCTGATCTCACGTCAGATGAGGGCATTTCATACGTCTCAAGCGGTTAAAACGGATTGAAAGACGGTGAGGCTGTATGACGACGTGACATGATGACGACGCTAGTGTCCACATCCATTGCATGTGGCTTTTCTTTCCACCTTTCCCCGCCATGGCCCTTGACAGACCTCCGCAGCGGCATTTCTAGTACGCAAATGGCTGGAATTCGCGGAAGAACTTTGGTCTGATGATGAGCTTAAACCAATTCGGTGATTACTGAGACACTTGTACGTTGACACCTCGGCACCAGACAACATGAGAGGCCCTCGTCGTGCGGACTCCTTATTCTGGCAAGTCTTCATGCCCACCCACCCCTAGGACTGACATGGTGTGAGCCATGTTCCGCAGAAGAAATAGACGATTCGACGACAACTTCTGTATTCAGTTTTAATAGCCCTCTTCCTGTCGTCGTGTTTTCGTCTCGGCGAACTTCCAGGCGGGGATTTTGCGATCAAATAGCTCATCAAGGTCCGCAAATGTGCGTCCCTTGGTTTCCGGTACCAGAAAGAAGACAAGGATGTAGACTAGCGTTCCTGTCCCAACCCAGAAGAACACTGGAAGACTATCAGCTTGGTCTTCAAAGTTCACCAGACATCATTCTTACCAGTATTGCTCATTCCGAGCGCCGGGCTATTAAGCATAATTGGTGCAATATACACGTACACCGTTGCCATGGCTTGAATGCCCATGATGGCAATGCCTGTCGTTTTAGCTCTGAGACGGGTTGTCGCGGTCTCAGCGACGTAGATATATCCCATGGGACCAGCGCTGAGGCTGAAGCCAATGTTCCAGATACAAGCAAACGCGATGAGAACTGGTCCAACAGCGGGGCCACCTGCTTTCAAGACTCCGCCCATGATCAGGAGTGAGCCAATGCAAACCGGTGCGAAACTTAGCAGCAGCTTCCTGCGCCCGAGACGCTCGATAAGAGGGACGGCAGCAAGAAGCATGGCAATCTGAACGCAGCTACACATCCCGGATGTTAGCATCAGACCAACCTCATAATATCCGGTATGACTCACTTCGTTGCGACTGTTCCGTGGAAGGGATTGGATAGCCCTGCCATATCGAAGAAGTAACTCGAATATGTGCCGACAATCGGGACGCCGATGGCAACTTGCCAATGCCATGGCAGAAATGAGACTATCAAACGACGCTATTCGAGATGTGTCAGCCCAGGGCTCAAGATACTTAAAGTTGAGTCACTTACTCTGTTAACGCCACGGAAGACGTCAGCGTACGTTCCACCACTGCGTATGGATGTAGTTGCGTTGGCATGTTCAACCTCGACCAACATGTGCTTGTATTCAGTTTCGACATCGTAGCCCTCGACCTTTCCGTTGAGCTTCTGAAGTATTCTCTTGCACTCTGCCTCTCGGCCGTGGACGCAGTGCCATCGTGCTGACTCTGGTAAAAACGCCCATGCAATTATGGCAACTCCGCAGAGAGCGAATTGGGAGAGAACAGCGTGTCTCCAGTTCTCAGGCACGTCTTGTGATACAATATTGAGTGAAACCGATGAAAGGAACGATCCGATTGTATACTAAGATTGGTTAGAAACTTGAATCATGCGGCGGTTTGGTGTAAGATCTCACAAAGAGTTGCATCAAGCTCATGAGCGAGCCGCGAGACTGAGTCGGTGCGGTTTCGGAGATGTAAACGTTGATGCAGCACTGGGCTAAACCGATAGATAAGCCCTAAAGCAGTCAGGTCTTGTTCTCTGATAATCAGATTAGGCAAACCTTGAATGCATGCTTACATCAAGGAGGCGAGCTCCCAGCCAGTGTGTCCAATGATATGCACATTGTTCAAGGATGCAACCACCGACCATGATGATCTGGACCAGTAGGATCATCCATCGGCGACCAAACTTGTCAGCTGGGTAAGATCCAATGCCTCCGCCAACCATTGCGGCCACGTTCTTCAGAGCTGGGGAAACACGCGTCGAGTCAGCAATAATCATGGAAACATTTGTCGGTGGAAATCAGTAGGTGCGCGAACTTACAACCCCACAGAGCGAGATACTGAGGATCGATAACGTATGAGCCATCAGGCTGCAAGTCCCCAAATGTTTCCTTGAATCCAGCAAGTGCAACGATACTGCCGGACATCTGAACCTGGTAACCATCCGAAAGAGAACCCACTGCGGCAAGCATGCAAATGATGGAAGCATACTTGTACTTCCGCAGACTCTCAACGAGGCCTACCTGTTGAATGGTCTCTCGTGTCTGTGAAATTGTACCTACTTCTTCCACATCACCATCTTTGGCCGGGCTCGCCATTTGTTGTTTCGAGTCTTCGATGTGCGACGAATCGACTTTGTCGCTTGCAACGTGTGAGTGAGACATGTTGCTAATTGTTGGGTTTCTGTTTCATCCTGTGCAACTCTATCTTCACCTTTTGGCGTTGAATTGATCATATACAAGGACGGACCCAACGAAGTTTCTTGTTGGTTCCTCGCTGTTAGAGATTCTAGGTCACTCTGGAAGCCGAACCAAGGCCGGCTACTAGAAAATTCTCGGCCTTAATCTACAACAAGGATTGGAACCATCTGACCGGTACATGATGCGGGGCCCCATGGTGGTAATCTTCGCATGTGAGGACGATTCCGGCATATGATGATTTGCTCTTTGCTTGCAAGGCCGAGGATGTCCGCATATCTGATTTCCCCTACGTGCGTGCTATTCAACATCGACTGGATCTGTTTATCCGATCAAACAAAGCCAGGCATGGGCACCCGTCTCCTTTTACGATCCGATTCTTGCGGCAACCTCTTTCAACTTCACGTCCCGAGCAGCCTTAAGTGGTCTCAGTGATCAATGGCAATTCGTATTGAAGGTTTGCTAGAAACTGTATTGCTATTGAATAAGCGAAGCCAAATGCGTAAGACGATCAACGGCAGCCATTAAGGCCTCGCGCTGGGCATCCCGAACCTCATGTAAAGGACGTTGTGGAAAACGTTCAACTTGATCATTTCCGCAGCCAGCGCCCCAGGACGACCGATCTTGTAACAATTGTGAAGTGCTAGAATTAACTGACGATATATGTGCTTGACTGTTAACAGCAGAATAGGTTGCTGCAGTAGATGCCTGTTCGGGGGTAGGAACATTAACAGGCAACGTTGAATTACTGGGACAGGAGAGCTCATCCCCAAGGGGAGACATGGTCCCAATCCAGGAGTCCAAGTCAGCGTATGGGAAGCAAGGAAAAATCAAATTGTCCACATCCGGTTGCAGAGGTTCGGGAATAAAATTGAAGTCGTTCATGTTGAAGTTGAACAGATTATCGGAACTCGAATTGGTACCCTCTGTTCGTGTATTCGAGACCGTTTTTGAGGATTCCGAGTCGGAACGCTGCTGGAAACTCGCATCTTGTTGACCTGGATAATTTGGGGTTGCTTGATGGCCAACAGGCCCATCGGCTGCTTCGCACCGTGATCTTCCCGAAGCCCTTTCGCGTGGAGGATCGTCGTTTCGGATAGAATTCTCCGGTAGAGCGGCATTTGTACTGGCAACTAGAGTTAGCACATCTCGCTACAGCATACGCCGAAATCCTGAAGACCAACCATAACATAACAAGCATTTGATTCCCAGCTTCTCTGACGAATGTTGGCACGTATGGTTTCCCGGGCTCACCAGCCATACGAAGGGCCATGCGAGCAACTAGGTCGCGCCGCAAACCAAGTCTCAGAATGATTGATGCAGCGAAGGGGAATATTGAAGCGCGGTGCGTCATGCTAAATGCCTCTGGTGTTCGAAGAGCGTTCTCAAAAAGCCTGGTTGATATGTTAAGCAAGAGATGTTGCTGATCTTGCTTCTGCTTCCTCCTCTCCTGGGTAAGAGCTGTTCCTGTGGGCGTTCCCACTGACTTCAAACGTTTTTTGGCGATCCGAACAGCCAGAAGTAGCCAGCAACTGAGGGCATCATGAGAAAGGTGCCATTTTAGATGCTTTTCAGGACGATCTGGGCACCACGTCGTCATCCACCTTTCGATGTAAATTTTAATGTGCTCAAGCTCGGCGTCCAGAGAAAGACCTGCGTGTGGGTCGTTCTGACACTTATCGATTCTCTTCCGTACATCTCTCTGTGATCATAAGTCAACATCAAAGCACTGAAAGGCCTTGGCTTAATCATCTTACATCAAATAGAAAAAGTTGGTAGAATGCTGGCAAGGATGTTGAGGACGAATATTCATCTGCTGGGGTGATTTCGTCAACCTCCAGGCTACTCAGCTCTAAAGGGATCAGATCCATGGTCTGTCGGCCTGAGAATGTGTGGAAACTGGAATTCGGATGAGCGGTCAGTATTGCTACGATAGTTTTGCGTGCGTGGAGCCTTATTACCGGTGTTCATTGATGATAACGAAGGCTCTGGTCCGAATGTCGTTCAGTTGAAGCTGACTGAGTGACTCATGATCAAGTGCGTCGCTGCCGTTCTTGGGGGGTTGTTTATTCGGCAGGTGAAGGCCAATTTCGAATGCCATTCTCGGAATCATGGCCGATCTCATCCATCTTTGCTCTTCAAGGCGTGTTCTGGGTGATATACCATATCGACACAGCAGCTAGTATCATAAGCATTTGTACCAGTAAAGCTCCGAGTTCGAGATGGGAATACTCACAATCTGCGCTTGTATGATGTCCACCGACCTTGCTCCTGTCGCGTAGACAATCAAGTTCAGCTTTTCCGTATGATTGTGAAGGCGGAGAGCCTCATTGATCTCGGTCTCGTTACTATGTGGTAGAACCGCAAGTGCGGTTGACCCCAGAGCCAGAATGACAGTCGTGAGTAAGGCTGATCGTGTCCGGACGCGAGACAGCGTGTGAAATGTGGCGTCCAACATCGCCCATTGGGGATGGATGCGATTCCAATATCTGTAACTGTGAGCGAGATGCATTCCAGAGGTAAAAATGGACCACGGCTTTGTGCTTACACGTCAAAAAGCTGACGCGCTCGTTGTTCGGTCAGCAAGCCATGCAAAACAGGATCTAGATCGTCGGCTACGTCGCGCTTGGAGCCCAACAGCCCATGCTCGAAGTATTGGTTGGTCTCTCGTTCAATGTCTCGAAGCGCCTGTGGAGTCCAACTTCTCAACAGTTGAGTCTCCTCTGGCGACAAATTGTTCCGGGGAAGTGTTGCATCGTCGTCTCCCACCGAAGGAGCATCTTGAACACGATCGAGATCCCAGCCCCTTTTAGCCAGACCGCCCATTAGCCACATGGGATCTTGAAGCCCTTTGGAGTCATGAATTTCAGCCGAGTCACGTTGGTGGTCCTCGATGGGAAACTCGCCCAAAATCTGGAGAAGCTTCCGCCGTAAGTCGTGGTGGTAGACCTTTCGTCCAGCCTCCGTATTAACCATGAAGTTACTAGGATTCCACGGCGTGATTGTACCAGAGCTGCGGACCTTCTGCTTTTCTGGCCGACAATCACGACTGAAGTTCCCTTCACTTGATCTTCGGTTGTCCTCCCCAGGGAAGGTTCGCATTGAGGGATCATCGAGCTGCATCTCACCATCGACTACCAAACCTTGGTTGGCATTTGGACTTGGTGTGTCGTCATCGTCAAAACTTTCGGAACCATCTGGATCAAAACCGTTCCGCGATATTTCCGTTGTGTCAACGCATTGCGTGTTTGTGCTTTTCAATTTCTCAAGCGTACGCAGACTGCACGATCAGCTACAAAGCTCTGATCAGACGAATAGTTTTACTACGCTTACTTCTTGCTTCCTCTTATTCTGCCTCGACGACTGACTGGGAAGAAACACACGGTAGATGTTGCTTCACACCTGCGACATCGCGACCCACCTGCTGAGGGTTCGCATTTCGTCTTGGCCTGTTGATCAATACTCAGACTAAGGATCGCGAGTTATTTAGGACGATGCATATTTACTGCACGACAACTGTAAAGGCAAGCCGATCAATTTCAGTGGCCTTTCCAGATATGTCAAGCCTTTCTGAAGCTTACCTTTGACAGGCACGACTTGATCGGCGTTTCTGTGTTCTTCGACTTTCGGGGAATTCTTGTGCCAAGGCATCCGTCATGTTTATGCGCCGGTAAGTAGAAAGATGTGATAGGAAACAAGTTGAGCTTGGCTTTCTGTGGTAATAGAAAGAGACCAAAGGCTTTCGGGCCGGGGTGAGACAACGGGAGTTTTCTGTTTTCCATTCTGGTAACCGGCAGCTTTTTGATAGCCGGGATCTTGGCGTGCGGGAGTCTTTTCCGCGAATTTCCCCTCATCTGCGGTTCAAGTAACGCGTCATACCCATAGAAATCACCAGGTTTGTCGGCAACTTGTTGCGATTGTTCTCCACGAAGGATTCCTCAGTCCCGCTTTCCAATTTTGACAGCGCGGCACTGGAGAGGGATTACCCTCGGTCATCACTAAGGCAAGTGATCTCAGCACGGCAAACCTGATGACTGGCCGGCTTTTCAACACTCAATAACATCAACGAGAGCCAATGACGTTTATTCAGACTGATGAGAAGAAAATCACTGAGATGTAGTATTTTGCTGTGCTCTTTGCGGTCGAACTGGGCCAAGTAGCCGACGGGAGAGATACCACTCGCCATAACGGCCCATAAGAAGCACTTGAACTCGCCAAAATACCCCTGGCGGATCACAATATTGTGCCACCCATTGTCTAGCAGTCAAAATCGGCACCATTATTCTGAAGATTCTCATCATCATGAAGTACCAACATCTCACCCCCGAGGAGCAAGAACATTTCCTGACGAAGGGATGGCTTCGCGTTCCAGGGGCAATCAAACAAGAATACATCGACAAGTGGATGCAAGACCTCTGGGCCAGAGTTGATTATGATGAACATGACAAGTCAACCTGGCACACCGACTACTTGCACCTTCCGAGGCATCGCGAAGTTCCAGCCGAAGAGTTCGCACCAGAAGCGTGGAATAAGATTGTCGAAATCTGTGGTGGTGAGGATCGCATCGATCCTGTCCGCGAGCGTTACTATGGCGACGCTTTCATCATCAACTTTGGCTCAGAGGAGAAGGCGAAGCAAAAGGGCTCGTTTGATCCACGGGAGCAGAGGGGTTGGCACACGGATGATGACTGGTATCGGATGTTTCTAGACTCATCAGGAAACGCTTTAACAGTCATCCACGTCTTCACTGATATTCCTGAACGAGGTGGAGGTACTTGCGTCTGCGAAGATGGCCTTAAAGGTAATATGAGATTTGGGATCCCACCTCTTGCACTGGCAGTTATCTGACGCTTATCAGGTGTTATGAAATGTCTCTATGAACACCCCGAGGGCTTGGACCCGCCCATTAATGGTCAGAACTGTGCTCACGTCGGGGGCTGCAACGAGTTCTCAACGGTTGTCGCAAAGAAGGGTGATGTGATCTTGCTTCATGGGCTTCTACCGCACACGGCTAGTCCAAACTACCTCCACTACGCTCGTGTCATCAGTAACCCTCACGTATCTTTGCACAGCCCCTACAACTTAAACCGTCCGGACGGGGACTATGTAAGTTGAATGCTTGACTGCAAACCGCAATAGCTTAAAACTGACGAACCACAATGAAGAGCCTACTTGAACAAGTCATCCTTCGAAACCTTGGCAGAGAATCCCTGCCTGAGTACAAGCCAACACGAGAACGGAAGTTTTGGTATCCTCGTAACGCAGGCTTCAAACGCGAGAAAGCTGCAGCTGAGCTTGAGAGGATGATTGCCGCTGCCAAAGCCAAGGGACTGGATGAAACCGCAGTTGACAGCATCTACCTCCGGAAAGGAACGCAAGAGTATCGGGACTTTGAGAAGCGTAACGGATTTGACAAAGCCGTGAATGAAGTCAATGGCTTACTCATGGAACAACACAAGCTGTAAGTCTAGCTGCCAAACTGGCTAGTTACAACGTGCTTATCATACCCTTTCGCAGGGTCTGAAAGTTTGCTGCCTGATGGTGGAGAGTGAGATGGCAACAAAGAGTCTGATCTTCTCCATATGACCAAGTAGATGCACAGGAGAAGGGGTATGGGGAACTTGGCCTTTTGAATGCGTGTGAACGTTGGGAGATTGTAATCTTGAAGTCTGTTTCTGTTATTTGCTTCGATCCCGATCTACTATCATTTAAATAGGAAACGGATTGCCTGGAATGTTGGCTTTAGCACAATGATCACTCTTTCCCAACAGAAGAATTGCATAATACTGGGGGGTTTAGTCGGTCCGACGAGATATAGTTGACATTGGACATAAACATGCGCATCTCGCAAGTGAAAGGCTGTTCTGCCTGCCGTTGTATGAGCCTTGAACCTGCACATGTGCCGAATTCTACATATGTCTCCATATAAAAAAGAAGTGTTCTAGTTAGTTAGTTTGAGAGATTCTCGATGAAAAGACTCTCAAGCATGCTGCATCCATACGTGTACCGGGTTGACGGAAAGGAACTTGTCGCCTTCGAGATCCATTGCCATGTATTTTGTGATACTTTCTGCCTCCCCCCCCCCTTTTTTTTTTTTAGGAAACTTACGAAGCGAAGGCCTTGTTCATGGGGCCCGCCCCTTTCTGACCTTAGATCGGAACAGCGACGACCGGCTACTAGATCTCGGGCTCACTCGGCCCCTCGGCTACCACAATGTGAGCCAACTGTCAACAACCAAACGCCAAGCGATGACCCAATTGGGCTAAGGCAATATCGTGAAATGCAAGCTGCTGACATCGCCATATCTGACCTCTTTGATCGCCCTTGAATGACAATACGCGGGCGATTGCTTATATAGAGCAGAATGCTTCACTGAGAAGGGCTGGGTTGCTATGAAGCAATCTTCACACAACATCAAGCAAATATATCCATTGATACTCCTCATAAACCTTTTTTGTTTCGTATCTAAAGACTCAAAGATGGGTGATCCAAGTGTTTTGGCGTCTTCCAGCTCCGCACAATGGTGGCGCAAGCCCTTCAGCATGCTCCAGACGAATCTCCGCGAGATCGATGCGGACATGAGTGTGGATGACGTGGCGAACTACATTCAGGATCATGGAGCAAACGCCTGGTTGATTGGAATAGGAGGAATTCAGGCGCAGTATCCCACGGAGTTGGCATTTCACTCCAAGAATGTGTTATTGTCTCAACGAGAAAGCGGAGATCTCATCCAAGACGCCCTGACAGCCGCTCGCTCGAGGGGCCTCCGGCTCCTGGCCCGAATGGACTTTTCAAAGGTCTCAGCGGAAGTTGCAGCAGAGCATCCAGAATGGTGCTTCATCTCTCCGACGGGCAATCGACAAGGGCATACCGGGGACCTCTTCTCAGTTTGCCCCTCGGGTGGCTACTACCAAGAGCGAATCTTCGACATTTTGGAGGAAGTGATCAAGCGGTATCCGGTGGACGGCTTCTTCATCAACTGGACTTCGATGAACGAGGAAGACTATTACAAACGCTATCACGGAGTCTGCCATTGTGACAGCTGTCAAAAAGGCTGGCTCGCCTTCTCTGGAGGACTCGAGCTTCCTAAGGGACCGAAAGATCCGAACTACGCTGAGTGGCTCAGATTCAGCCGAGAAGTTATCGACGAGCTCACTGCTCGGATCCGCGTCTTTATCTCCAACAGACTTCCAGATGCCTGTCTCATTCTTGGAAAGACAGCAGATATCATGTTTCATGAGGCCAATAATGCCGTTGGCCGAGAGCTTTGGCACCATGCGACGACGGAAATGGTGAGCTCTTGGATGTCGTACCGACCGAACGTTCCCGTCCTGGTGAACTCGACATGCTTCATGGACATGCCATACCGGATAGCAAGTGAAGAGCCGGCTCATTTTGCTCAATACTTGCTTCAGTGTATCTCTCGTGGAGGTTACCCTTCGACCTACATGATGGGTACTCCGGGCAAGATTCCGTACCTGTGCCTCGACATTGCGGGAGAGATCACAAGATTTCACAAAAAATGGAGCGACATTTACGACGGCCTGCGACCCTGCGCGAAGACAAGTCTTGTGAAGCCTGATCGAGCTCAGATGACTGGCACCCAGTTCGAAGAGGCTTTATCAGAATACCGGGGTCTCTACTCAGCCATGCAAGAGCTTCATGTTCCCTTCGATGTCGTCTCACAGGAGCATCTTTTAGCGATGGCTGAAAGTGGAGAGTTGACTCGATATAAGGCCATCGTCGCTCCTAATCTCGGCAAGCTTACATCGGCTGAGGCAAAGGCTTTGGATGACTGGGTATTTGCAGGCGGTCACCTGATTACAACTGCATCAACAGGAATTGACGAGACCGGCTCAGCTCAGCTCAAGTCTCTCCCCTTCGAACGCCAAGTCGAAAAGGACGGCAACAGAGAACGTCTGTGGTCGACTTATTTCGCGCCCCCGCAGACAAGCAAAGATTCGCACGTTTATAACGGACCTATCGTCCCTCTTTACGGCGTTTATCACTCATTCGATTGGAAGAATGACTCACAGGGTGGCTATAACATGCTCGCCCACGCACCGTTCTCGCCCCCTGAGAAAGCGTACGGGAACGTTCAAGTAGAACAACGTGGCTACGGAACAGCAACATTCGGCAGCGGCAAGGGCATCGCCATTCCATTCACTGTGGGTCGAGGGTATCGTGAACTCGGTCTTGGTGTCTTCAGGGACTTCTACTCTGGAATTCTAAGGGACGAGGGCGGCGTTCAAGAACCACTTTCTATCCACGTCGCCGAACAAGTGGAGGTTACTCTGAATCGAAATGGGAACAAGATGGTAGTGCATCTTGTTAACATGTCCGGTGCACGGAAGCAGAACTTCGGTTCGCATCTACCCATTGTCGGCGGGAAGATCCAGATCACCGCTTCTGGACACAATATCGCGGCGCAGGCGCTTAAAAAGGACGAGACTCTCGAGGTGAAGGATGGGGAGATCATGCTTCCAACTTTGGACTTGTACGAGGTTGTCGTGATTGAAGGTATTCTTTAGGAAAGAAGAAGGAAGCACGCCAACTCGTTAACATTAGCTGGCATAGAAAATGAAACCCGACTTCTGCATTAATATCTATAGACCCTAACATGGATAACTACGTAAAAGGCCTCGAGAATCATGAAAGATGGGAAGGCCTGTCTCCTTCGACTCAGGTCTGCGAAGACAGACAAATTTCCATTGCCATGATGTGCCGTTCTAATGTGTAACGGTCTTGGGCTAGATCAGCGAGCTGTTCAAGGCGCACGAACAAGGAGTCCAGTCGGACTCGGCGTAACTTTCGCAATTCAATGACATATTAGCTCCATAAGGATCGGAAGGTTCACGGTTTCTTACTAAGACACCTATCGTCTCCGCGCAAACTCGTGGAAATCAGGCGCGGGCAAGCACATAAACATGCATATGAAACCCTCAATTCCCGTGTTTTTCTGCCGGGGTGAACAGACCGGGCAGACTGACGAGCCGTCCCAGCCGGAGTCTGACCGCATTCTAAGAAACACTCCTCAAATGATCTGCGCGATTCGTGGTGAATCATGGCTTTAGGTCTATCGCTTCCCGGCAGCGGCCCCATTTCAGGGACGGGCAAAACCCACCTGTCTCCGCTTTGAGTTTCGGCGGCATCCCGTCGACTCCGAGTCGCCGACCCACAACACGGACATCGTGAACGGCTGTAGGCCGGTAGCCTCCACACACTCAGATGTCGAGTTTCTAGACAGCTTTTGTGGTTCGGATGAAAATATAAAACAGATTGAAAGTCCCGTGAGATTGTGAGCTAATAGTCTTCAATTGACTTCCAACACTATTGCAATCTCGCTGATCAGCCGTTTAGTGGTGTCGACTTGCCATCCGATCTCGCATCAACCACACAGACACACCCATAACGTCGCAAATCTTGTCAATAACACGCAAAAATGGCACTTATAGAGAACCCTGCGATTCCAGAGGGTTCGATTGTCGTCATCACTGGGGCCAACGGATACATCGCTTCTCACATTGCCGACCAGTTCATCCAAGCCGGTTATGTCGTTCGCGGCACGGTCCGTAATCCGAAAAAGAGTGCTTGGCTAGTACCTCACTTCGAGAAGGCTTATGGGAAGGGAAAATTCGAGCTGCATATTGTCCCTGATATGCAAGCTGATGGCGCCTACGACGAAGCTATCAAAGGTGAGTGCCGGGTCTTTCGTAGAGGCGAACTGGTCTGTAGCTCTCCCAAAGAGGTGTATTGATTTCTCACATGCCTCAGATGCCGCAGCATTTGTTCACACCGCCACCGTCATTGACTTCAATGGTGACCCGGCCGAGGTCATTGGTGGAGCTGTCAAATGCGGCATGGTTGCCATTGAGGCCGCTTACAAGGAGCCCAATATGAGGCGATTCATCCTCACCTCGTCAGCATCAACACTCATGCCATTGAAGAAAGAGAACTTCTTCGCTCTCAAGGGCCAAACTGTCGATGAGAACACATACGGCCACGACGCCAAGGAGCTTGCGTGGGCTCCTCCTCCTTGGGGCATCGAGCACGGTGGAGCCATTTATGGCGCCAGCAAGATGGAGCAAGAGCAGGCTATCTGGAAGTACTACAAGGACAACGCCTCGCGACGTCCTGATATTGTGGTGAACTCGAGTAAGGCCGTAAATCATTGTCCTTTATTTTACATGCCACACGACTAATCAAGGACTGCGCTCAGTCGTCCCCGACTTCAACTTCGGCAGGAGCATCGACCCCGTCAACGCCGGAGGAACTTCTTCTTTTGGACTGGTCACTGATCTCTTCGAGGGCAAGAGCTTGGGAGAGCTTTGGCATTTGCCGCGTAAGCCATCTTTCATGCTGTGGATAGGCTCAACTCTAAAGCCAGGTGCTCACAATACTCCATAGACTACTTCGTCGATGTTCAAGATGACGCCGCTTTGCATCTTGCAGCCGCTATTCTTCCCGACGTCAAGGGCGAGCGCATCTTTGCGTTTGCGTTTCCGATGAACTGGGATCTGATCCTCGACATTATGAGAAAACAGAATCCGGATAGAAAGTTTGCCGATAAATTCTACGGAGAGGAATACCCTGTCACGGTCAAGCCCATCGCCCGGGCTGAGTCGTTGCTGCGGAGAATTGGAAGGCCTGGTTGGATTTCTTTGGAGGACAGTATCGCGTCGAACACTGAGCATCTCAAGTAGGCCAGTGATCTATTGCCGTCGAATGTTTTCAGTTGAAGAGAAAGATTTAGATAAGACTTTCGATTGCTGTATGTTTTAGGATTGCTTGTCTTTGCCAAAATCTAGTTATCTCGGTCCTCGTAACACCATTTGTGAAGTTGGGTTCCCATCACTCATCATCTAAGCCCCCAATCTTGGGCAATCTGGCAGCGTAACAATGCGTAACGCATCTTTCATGCTCTAGTACACATTCCAATTGCTAAGGAAGGATAGCTTTGGAACTCAGCACTACCGACAGTCCTCACGTTTGCAGGGTGACAAGGAGAAACACGGTGTCGAGTCAGATGATGAACATAGGTGTTTTCATCAGACGGAGCCAAGCGTCAGATGCGCAAAGTAATACCCATCTCTTCTCAAGAACGTGCCCGACACAATCGTTGTAGTACATTGCCAACGTCTTCCAACAACGACGTGTGGACAGGAGACAGGCCGTAGAAGCAGGTGCCGCAGCGGCCAACTCGCCGATTCGCTGACGGCTAAGCAAATATTAGCTCCAGTCTATTTTCCGATAGCAGTTTGCCGGACGACTCCCGATTCTCCCCTCGCCAATGAATCGCGTGGATAAGCTTCGCATTGGTGTACTTTACCCCAGGAGGAGCTCCTCTAGTTGAGCGCGGGGAAGAGGAGCTCCACGTCCACACACTCCACCTCACGCTGCGCGGAGCTACCGCGACAATTCCACATCGTCACGGCACACGGAATCCACATGTTTGAGAGCAAGATAGTCGAGGAGCAAGGGTAACAGAAACCGCCACAAGCTCCACGTGAGTCTATGCATTGAGGACTTGGAGGGTGGTTGTGGACGTTTTCGCGGAGCAGCGTGCCACTTCGCTCATTGTGCTCCAACGACTGTTGATGAAACTCTTTGTCAAAAGATCCCTAGTTGCAGACAATCATAGGACAGACTTCACCATATATCAACCTGAGTTTTATCGACCGATTCAAAACTTCAGAACGATTGAATACCACATCAATCAATCAACCAGTTTCCAAAAGCAACAAAACGACCTTGGATTCACGTCAAAAAAAGCATACTTTGCTTTTAATACCCAGCCCAGACTCACTTCATACGCTTTGCCCAAGATGGTGGCCGACATCAACCAGCTTCCCCCTTACACACCGCCTCCCCCAACCAAGGAAGACTGTGAGTGCATCTTACCCGCCAACATATGCACGAGTGGAACTGACAACAGGATGCACCGGCAGTGGACTACGTCGATCTCGTCAACATCGATCTTGCCAAGTTCGACGACCCCGAGGGCCGCAAGCAACTCGCCAAGGACCTGTACGAAGCTGCCACCGGCTATGGTTTCCTCACTCTCACCAACCATGGCATCTCCGACGAGACCTACTATCGCCAGATGCGCATTGCCAATGCGGCTATGACGTTGAAGCCTGAAGAAAAGGCCCCTTATGAAGGTGAGAAGAACAAGCTGCAAAGATATGCGTCGACATTCATGCTTACGAGTGCCATAGTCACGCCTGAAGAGGATGCCCGCGGTCTCTACGCCGGCTACAAGCCTGCTGGCCCTCTCGGACACAAGGGTGGCTTCCCCAAAGCTCTTGACCACTACAACATGCTGGTCCACGACCCCAAGAAGCGCGACCATCCCGAGATCATCCGTCCCTTTATGGAGGAGTCATACGAGGTCATGAGCTACATCCGAACGAATATCCTGGTTAAGTTGTTGAAGATCGTGGCCGATATCCTCGAGGTCCTGGAGGAAGCCGTGCTGTCCACCCATGCCCCTGGTGGATCTAAGACGGAATACCTCCGATACGTACGTATCATAACGCTCCTGCTGTGACGAGCTTTGACAACTGACTGGACACAGATGATGTGCGAGCCTCGTACAAAGGAGGAGAGCGAGAAATACCGTCAAATCTTCCTAGCCGGACACACTGATTGTAAGAACCCCCCTCTTAACGATATGCTATCCCAATAACTGACTGATTTGAATAGGGGGAACCTGGACCTTCCTCTTCTCCCAGCCCGTTGCCGCCCTGCAAGTTCTCTGCCACCACACCGGTCGCTACAGATACGTCAAGCGTAAATGCCCACCATTCCGAACCTTATATTTTCGTTCTAACCACGAGGTGCAGACCAACCCCATGGCATCGTCGTCAACTTCGGCGAGGCTCTCGAGCGTCTGACAGGCGGACTTTTCAAGGCCACCATCCACCGCGTGAGCACGCCGCCCGAGGACCAGCGCCACCTTCGCCGCATCGGCGTCATTTACTTCGCCCGTCCAGCCGACGACCGTGAGCTTGTACCCATCGAGAACTCTCCTCTTCTGAAGAAGATGGGCACCGACAAGCCGATGGATGATCGGGTCTTTTGCATGGCCGACTACCTCGACGCTCGCAAGCATGGTGAGTCTGGCCCGTGTTGTCCTTGACGAACCGTTGTCGTGGATAGCCTTTCTTGTGCCTTGGAGCAAGTAACTAACTTGAGCAGGTTGGAAGCGATATGACTTCGACATGGACCGTCCTCGCGAGGAGGGCAAGCACCAGGACCCCTTTGATGTAAGTCTCAAGCCGTGCAGAAACCTCAAGTATGACGTGTGCTAACGAGTCTCATAGGGAGAGTACCCCGATCCTGAGGGCCACAAGAGTCTTGGAAAGTTTGACAACGTGCCTCGTCTTCAGTACAGTCTTCCCACTGTCAAGTCGACTTAGATCGAATTGTTTCGTTGCCCCCTGGGCAGAATCTCTTGTACACTTTTGGAATTGGCGTTTTTCATAGTCACAATGAACCATCTTTTGTTGAAATTTAACCCACGCCACAGTTAAACTCGTCTGGTTGAACGTGAGATGTCTCTGACGCATGATCATGTTAGATGAGAACAATTGCTTCCATTACAATGTTTCAAAGATGGCAATCTCTCCCCATAGCGATCAATGTTCACCCTTTCGTTTATTTGACCATAGCCGTCATTTCCTCCCGGACTCAATCTTCAGGTCGTTTGTTCAACAAGCAAAACATACAGAAAATAGGATAATTTCTCTCGATGGAGTGGATTCAGACAGTATACAACGAAGGTGTCAGCACAGCAGTGTCAATCAGCTCGCCTCAAACATAACTGCCCGCTGTCAATCTGGTGTTTTCATCCGCACAACAATTTGAGCTGACGTCGAGCGGGTGCCCTCACTCAGTAAACCAGATGCGTATGACTTCATCAAACATCAATCTTAATCATTCACTCATAGGCGCCACATAAGCATCCCTCGCCTTAGCTAAACTCTCATGCATGACAGCCGCAACCCAGCTCCCAACAGGCCAAGTCGTCCGCTTATTGAAATTGGCGACGATCCACTCGAGAAACCGGACCTCACTCCGCGCGAGATCGACCGGCCTATCCAACATGGCCAGCGCCGCCGCCGCGTTCTCCGCATCGTCGTCGCCGCCTGTGCCAACGCAGGCCATGATGGCGTCCAAAACAAATCGACTCGGGTTGGAACGGCCGCTGTTGCCCAATCCCATGCCTCCGCTGCCGTTGCAGCCGTTCCCACGCTGAGCGGCCGGCATTGTCAGTCGGACTAGGCGCCATCCTACGAGGCAGATCTTGAAACCGAGGAGAGTTATGAAGGGGTTTTCGAGAGCGGGGGGAGCGGTTGATTTGATCGGGTTCAGGAGGTCGAGGGCCGATTCCAAGTCGTTCAGCTGTGGTATTGTCAGGACTCTTGTGGATATTTGAAGAAACGCCGAGGGATGGAGCAAGAAGAGGGAACCTACTATTCGGAACACGTCGCGATCTTCATAGATGTCTCGCTTGTCCTTGCTTCTTGGCGTTGCCAAGTGACCAGCCGCTGTCGATGCGTCAGCAGTGCACTGAGTTTGACGTGTTGCGGACTTCCGGTACTTACTTGCAATTGCCAACGGAAGATTCGACTCGACAACTCCGCTAACAAGCAAAGAGTCCGGGTGTGAAAGCGTGATAGAGGTGTAGTACCAAAGAATCCAGAACGTGTGCCAAAGCGGTGTCTGGTCCTCGTGGCTGTCTGGCAGAACATCCATCCGACCAAAGTCGAAGAAGCTGAACACGGGTTTCTGGTTTCGCGGCACCAACTCTGCAATACCATTGAGTGCTTGAGAGATTTGCGCATGCTGTTTGTCTGTCAATATGGAAAGCGCACGGCGTTGCGCCTTGGGTCTCTCGAGCAAGCAACTGGCATGCGTCAGTTCTCTCGCCATCATCTGTAGCTGCGTCACCAGAATGACAGCCGCAAACGGCGACGCCCATAGTAGCCTCAATTTCTTGGGCTTCTGTTTGCCGTCGCCCGAGCCCCTCCCACCATCATCGTTGCGGTTGGCGTGCAGCAGAGTCTGAGATGCTTCGTAGAAGAAACCCTGACTAGGCGGAGTCTCATGCGCGTAAGCCTGATCGTCGGGCTCGTCGAAAGACTTGAAACGCTGTCGTTTCTTTTCAAACCATTCTCGATCCGAACGCGCTAGCCATATATCTTCGCAGCATGGAAGGTCGTACTTGATTTCAAGGGAAGACAACATCGGCCGCAGGTTACAGAGTATCGCAAGCTGAGAGTCCAGCAGGTAAAGCATATAGACGCATCGCTTCCGACTCTCCTTTCGTATGAAGTCCTGCCATTGTTCATTAAGAGCTTCGGCGCTGACAGGCTCTTGGAGATCGTCCTCGTCGCCTTCTTCGCCGTAGCCGCTGTCCTCGCCGGAGTTCATCGAAAGGGATTCGATGGAGCTGTCCTGGGACATTTGTAGGAGTCGTATGGCATCGATGAGATCGCGGTGTACCCTCTGGGCTTTAAGAAAGCTGGTGTCATTGCCGCCGTAGATACCGAGGAACTCGAGGAGTAGGAATGTCTGCAGGACCCATGTTTCCTGATACCGTGAACGATTTTGCTCGACCTGTGCTCCTTTCCGTGTTAGACTGTCACCCAAAACAAGGATCTGATGACTGACATATTGCTGCAACGAAGACAGTGTTGACTCAAAGACAGCTTTGCGGGCTGCTTCGTCTATGGTTGATTCGCAGTACAGACTGCCTATGCAAGTGATGACGTTCAGGAGTGGCACTTGGGTCGATACGATATGGAAAGAGCCCTCATGGATAACGGGAAAGTTCCGATGAAATCCTTCGAAAAAGCTCTCGACACATCGAATCTCGCTTGACATCCTGCGGGCCGAACGTCAACAACTAAGCCATACCCTGATGCGCTGTGGGGGCCGGCGGTGTCTGAACTTACGCTGGGGATGTGTGATCATAGGTCTGGCTTATCTGGTGCATTGGCTCAAGCATGTCGGTTTGGGGTTGTGTTGGATGTGTCAATAAGACATCGAGCCATGCTGCTGTGCTGGGAGAGTCTCCGACGGCCGGTGTCATGGAGGGTGGAGGAGCTGCTTTGGGTGGTGAAGAGGCTGTTGAGATGTGGCAGTTCTCAACATGTCGTTTCCTCAAGTCGCTATAATCAGATCAATATCGTACACAAATGGCTTCTCCAGCCAAATCGGATGGAGCGCCGGTTCCATCTCCTGGGGCACATGCTGACCTTCGCGCGAACTTGGCGTTGCACTGTGAGCAGGGAAAGACGGGGGCATTTCTTCCTTTGTGATCTTGTGAAGAATCAGTAACTGAATATGGGCCAACATTTGAGACTTCAGCATACGTGTGTTGACATGCCGCTTGAGATTCTCCTACAGATGACGCACGTGCTGGTGTAAGTCGTACGGTAATGGACAGTTGACGCGTCAATGGGGGGCTTGGCATCCTTACCTGACGCGTGAAGCCCTTCTTGCACGTCACGCACTTGAACGGTCGAGGCAAGGTCTCATCCATGATGAAAGCGAGAAAACAGCACCACGGCCAGGACGAAGAATGAGGAAAGATGCATCACCATGTCGCCAAAGTCTGGGGGAGGAGGAGGAAGATCAGGGGTGTCCTCCGGGACAAGACCGGGCTCGCGGTACGTACCGAGTGGACGGTGGAGACCGATAAGATAGGCGAGTCCCAATCGGGCTAAGCTTGTCCACCCACGTGAGTGGACAAAAATGATTAGATAAGTCACGCACGGATGCTCCCGTCAATTTGAACCAATGAGATGCTTCATAAATAAGATTTCGGGGCTCGATAACCGGCCCCGCTCTTATCGCGGAGAAGACCCCGCTGCCGCCGGCGCCCAATTTCAGTGTTTCCCGATTTTGTCCACCTTCAGATCGGCTTTCCTCCCACAACGTCCAATACATACGGCTCTCCATCAATCTTCTTCCAGATATCGTCGCTCTTGATTCGCCAGTACCAGTCGTGGATGGCGGGGTGTGCTTCCGTCCACTTCTTGGCAAACACCTGTGGAAAGAAATCGTTAGCAAGAACTGTCGAGCACCGACATCGGTCCCTTGCTTTCCCGGTGGAAGCTGGAAGCCGAGGCAAGACTTGGAGGACAGGACTCACGAATTGGTATCCTCTTGCGATTGCGGCCACGACGAAAAGATCAGCTATCGTCAGCTGGTCGCCGACGAGGAACTTCTTTCCTGTCAATGCCTTCTCCACCACGCTGACCATGCCCTCGCTGTTCTTCTCGGCCGCGGCAAGCACCTCGGGTGACGCTGGCTCTTTGCTCTTGACTGGGTTGATCCACGCCATGATGGGGGGCAGAAGCTCGCTGTTGGCAAAAGATGCCCACCTAGGGATGATGCGTTAGCACGAGTGGTCGGGATGTCGGGAGACACTGGTGACAAACTTCAGAATCGTCGCCTCCTCTTCAAGTGTTGAGCCCAGGAGCTTGGTGTTGGCATCTTGCTTCGCGACTGTCCCACAATTAGACGGTGATCTTGTTGAATCTCATGCGCTTCGAGACTCACGATAGATGGCAACCGGGATGCACTCGAACAAGGTGAAGCCATTCGGACGCTCCAGAGCGGGCACCTTTCCGGGAGGGAACTTCGAGAGATATTCTTCGCCAACTCCACCCTTGCTCGGGTCGACCTTAATCGGCCATGCCTCGACGAACTCGATGTCAAGCCTATCAAGGTTTCTTGTTAGATTTTTCGTGACGGTTTTGCTATCCTGGGGCCAACTCACTTGTTGTACTCGGCAATGTAGAGGCACTGCGTAGCGCGAGGCGCCTTGGGGTACCAGTACAGCTTTCCGAAGCTCATTTTGGGCAGCTTATGTCAATGGGTGAATAATGGGAATAATGGATGGCGAATGACGTATGCAACAAGGTACGGCTTTGATGTCCGGGGCAGAGTTTCAAGCTGGTAGGTAGACTGGCAGGTTAATAAACTCTGCGAAACCAGAACGCGGTAAGCTGTCCGCGCTTGAGCCCCATCGTTATCATGTCATTCACTCATTCACGACTCGATCATCGCCCGCGGATATCGTCGCGACGTGGAGCTCAAAAGATGGTGTTCTTCCCCACGTGGAGCACACTTTGGGGTTGACGGTGGCATCCACAAGCGGCGAGCCGTCTGCCGGCAAGATCTGCAGGGACCAGCCCCCGGCTCCTTCGGAGGCGTCCTCCGGTGATTTCGGGGTCCAACGCCGGAATCGGCAACAAATGTCCAGGTATGAATGGGTGGTGTCTCGCACGCCTTCGGCGCTGATTCTGAGGGAAATGCGACTCTCTTTCAGACTTCACCACTTCATCGCGGTCAAATCCTCTCACCCATACCTAGTTCGTCGCTATTCCAGCAACATCATGGCGGCAACACAAGTCGGCTGGGTCGGCCTCGGCTCGATGGGCATTGGCATGTCCAAGAACTTGCAGCAGTTCCTTGCGTCATCCGGAGCTCCTGCTCTGGTGTACACGAACCGGACACTGTCCCGGGGTGAAGCGTTGAAAGAGCTTGGTGCCATTCCCGCCGAGACGGTTTGTGAAGTGGCCAAGAAGTCAAACATCATCTTCTCTTGTGTAAGTAGGCGTGATCGTGATACTCAATCTGCCGATTTCTGATGCCCTCTCTAGGTCAGCAATGATGCTGTTCTCCAGGAGACTGCGAGCGAGATCATCAAGTCGGGCGACATCACGAACAAGATCTATGTCGACTGCTCAACAGTCCACCCAGAGACCTCCGCCGCGGTCTCGAAACAAATCACGGACGCTGGCGGCCAGTTTGTTGCAGGTGAGCTCGCAGAATATTACCGACATAATATGGCGAACATGGACTGAGATTCGAACAGCCCCCGTATTCGGCGCCGCTGCCATGGCAGCAGCCGGAAAGCTCATCTTCGTCACAGCTGGCCCCGAATCCGCAACATCAGCCATCGCCCCGTATCTCACCGGCGTCATGGGTCGCTCCATCATTCCCATGGGAACCGATGTAACAAAGTCGAGTTTACTCAAGATCGCCGGAAACATCGTCGTCGTCTCTTTCATGGAGGTGTTGTCAGAGGCCCACGTCTTCGCCGAGAAGACAGGTCTGGGCTCGGACATACTAGAAAACATGATCACCGACATGTTTGGTCCCGTGCTGGAAAGCTACAGCAAGCGGATCACATCGGGAGCCTACGCGCCGCCTCCGGACGGGAAGGCCGGGTTTGATGTTGCGCTTGCGATGAAGGATCTGAGGCACGCGCTTACCTGTGCTAAGGACGCGGGCACGCGACTGGAGACTAGTGAGGCTGCTCTTAGGCATATGGAAGCGGCGAGGCAAATTGAGCCAGAGAGGCCGCTCGATAGTAGCTCCATGTACGGAGCCGTTCGGAAGGAGGCCGGTCTTGACTTCTTCTCGGATGCTTGCAAGAAGAGAGACGCCAAGAATTAGTATCTGATACTTCAGCGTGTCCCATATGATTAATGAAACGTAAGGGTTGCCCACTGCAATAATAAGAAGTGATAGCGCCAATCTCTTTATCATGTTTCCGTTATCCATATTTATAATGCGCACACGTCTCTTTTCCTTAAAGAGATAATAACAGCAAAACCATATAACAACTTATTAGTAGAACTATTAGTAGGACAAACACTTCTAATAAAGGTTCCTCATCATGTTCAATAGATCACTCTTAAAAGCCAGGCCAGCCAGCCCATCCTTGAAGTCATGCGACGCTTCGCATATATTCAGCGACTAAAAAGAAAAGATTGCGCCGAGGGGGAATCGAACCCCCGGCTCCCCGACACTGCTTGATGGCAACGGAGAATTTTACCACTAAACCATCGGCGCATTGCTTGATGTTGACGACGATCCTGTGGTGGATCGTGAGTGGGTACGGCGAGGTTGGTCTCAAGATTGACTAGCAATTGTAGTGGATCGAGGTGGAGGAAAGCAACGATGACACAAACAAACAGTCCCGAAACTGTACGTGCCATTAAACATGTTGAAACTTAGGACTTGGGAACTTTCTTTTAAGTTGTGATGCCTGGCTCTTGAGCAGGTTGTTTATCTACATAGTCGGTCTGCATGTCTTGAAGCCTCTGCCTCCTGGGCTTGCCTTGGTCAAAGTCTAGTCTCTTACACCCATGTTTTCTCGCATAAGGATAGTCAGCCATTGTATAGACCTTGACATCCAACGGTTTGTCAATGCCCATTCTGCGGAGCAGGGGGCTATCAATCGGCTCCAATCTCTGCCCGTTACTCGGCCGGGCGAAATACATCACACCGATCCTCTTCGCCCTCTCCTGATCGGCCGGCGGCTTAACAGCACGGTGAACAGTCGCTCTGAAAAGACCACCCATCATCAACTCCAAAGCTTCGCCCACGTTAACGATGAGGCGGCCTGGGAGGTACGGCACCCATTTCCAATCGCCGGCCAGTGTTCGAATTTGCAGCGACGAGACGGGCTGGGAGAACAGAAACGTGAACGATCCCAAGTCGGTGTGTCCTGCAAGATACAGGTCCCGATATTGTTGGCTATCGTTGGCTGGTCGAGGGTTGTAAAGAACGTATCGAAGGTAATCGGTAGTCTCCAATTCCGGTGCATGTGTGGAGATGATGCGCTCTTCCGGGACTTCGAGAACCAGTGAGACCAGCGTCAGTAGCTTACTGAGTACTTTCTGTCGAATGAGTTCCATGAATGTTGAAACTTGGTTGAGATACGGTTGCAAAAGCGGCGGGTGCTTTCGAATCTCTAGATCCCAGGCTGGAACATTGTAGTGGTCGAGGGTTTTGTGGGAGCAGGCTTTGCTGCTTGAGCCACCGGCAGGTTTGAACCCCACATATCGGCCGCGAGCATCTTCGTGTGGTGGTGTTTCGTATTGCTTCTTTTCCTCGTCTGGGATTGACAGGACTGCATGAGCAAGGTCGACTTGTGAGGAGTAGACGTCTTCCGGGATACCATGATTGGAAAGCGCGAAGAAGCCATCATTGATTACGGCATCGAGAAGTTGCTCAGCGAGCTTTTCTCGGGTTGCGGAATTATCAAAGCTGGCAAGATCGAGTTCTACGAGGTCGACGTAGTCCAAGGCCTCGGTCGTTGGTGAGTGTTGGGTAAACTTTGGTATGGCATGGTCCATCTCGGTCGTGTTTGTCAAGAGCGCTTGTAACACAACTTATGCTACGGTAGAGATACTGAAGTAATGAAATTGGATAATTACCTTAATAGCTTACACAGTTATCAGAGCGATTAATGACAATTTCCAGCTTCTGCATGAGACCAACATCAATGCCATCTTCCACCCGAAGGCTTCAAACCAACTGCTCCCTTTCTCTGAGCATACATGACTTGCGCATCATTTTCGTATCTAACAGTGGTGCTGCCGCATTCTCGACGTGGACTGTCAAAATTACTGGAGTAACTGAGGATGATCACACAAAGAGGACAATGCTCCACGCGGAGTAGTTGACACACGACAGCCGTAAAACAAGGCAAATCTACGGAAAGCAGATCAGCTTTGCCGCATTCGTAAACCTCACCCGGCCGTCACAAACAGGGTCTCAACAAGGGCTGCGGCGAGATCTCCGCTGTACCCCGCAAACCCAGCGGATCTCGACTTGGGTGGAGGCGAGGACGGATAATGAAGGGATTCAGAGATACGGCATGTTATTGACACTTGGAGCTCCACCTTTTAGCTTCGTCTGATCCTTGCCGGCTCCCAACGCTTACCCCAATCATCCCGTCACTGCATAATACCCCTCTTATCTCTAGTATCTCAGCCGGCAAACCCCTGGGGTGGACTGGACTACTGGGTGGAGCAGGCCAAGGACGAAAGCCCTCGTGAGTTGTTCTGTGCAACGACCGTCGCCCGGCGATGCCTATCTCGTTCTCGCCTCTCAGCGTCGCAACACCATGCCCCGACACGTAGACCTGGGCATCTCGACGTCAATCCGGCTGTGAATAGCCGAGGGACTGCTTCTTGGGGAAGAGGAGCACAAGTATAATATTAAATCACGCCACCACTCCTCATTCTGCCCCCGTTCCATGAAGTGCAGCAGCAGCACCCAACTCTCTGCTCCGCCCTCCTCAACGTCGAAACCTCCCTGTTCAACCATCAGCTCCACCTGCATTGGAGTTGCGTCAACTGCAAAGGAAAGGACACAACCGCTAGCAACTTCGGAGTTAGTTGGAAGAGGTCCCTCGTTTCACCCCTTGTTTGAACATACCTAGTAGGAGACCGAGACATCATGGCTGGCACGACATTGGCTTCCAGCAACAACGAGCCGCCGGCTCGAAGCCCTCGATGGTACGACAGTTGGAGGTGGTATGAGCTGAGCACGTCAAAGGAAGAGAAGGCGTTGTTGTTCAAGCTCGATTTTATGCAAGTACTGATAGTCAGTTTATGATCAAGTGACTAACAGGTAACAGGATTCTGACATTCGGTTGCCTCACATTCTTCACCAAGGTAAGTCTTTCCATCTGAATGACTTGAATCTGAAGTTGCTATGAGATTTACTGACGTTATTGCTTCATAGTTTCTCGACCTTCAAGCTTTCCAAAATGCGTACGTCAGCGGGATGAAGGAAGACATCGGCATGGAGGGCAACGACTTGCAATACACCACGGGTGTCTTCCAGGCCGGTTACTGCGCCGCCATGATCCCGTCCAACATCATCCTCACACGAGTCCGCCCGAACCTCTTGATCCCGGCTTTCGAAGTTCTCTGGGGCGTCTTGACCTTGCTCACCGCATTCGTCAAAGATGTCAAGCACGTTTACATCATTCGATTCTTCTCTGGTGTGTTTGAGTGCGTTGCGTACCCAGGGTAAGCACCAGTAACACTTTTCTCGCGTCGAACTCATGGCTTACTGTCTGCATAGTGTCATCTACTGCATCGGATGTTGGTACAAGAGTACTGAAATCTCTCGGCGACTCAGGTATGTCGTGGGCTCGAGCACACTAGCATCTGTGAACGATGCCATACTAACACCACCGTCAGCTTGTTCTACATCGCGGGACCGTTGGGCACCATGTTTGCCGGATACTTCCAAACCGCCTGCTACACCAATCTCAACGGCGTGAACGGACTGGCCGGCTGGCGTTGGCTCTTCATCGTCTGCGGTTGCATCACTCTCCCCGTCGCCATCCTCGGTCTCACGGTCTTCCCCGCCCGCCCCGACTCCAAGCATCCCTCGTGGCTGTTGACACAGGACCAAATCGCCCTCGCCAGACGTCGCGTCTCCGAAGGCGGATCGGAAGCGCCCAAGGTCAAGTTCGACCGCAAGGCCATCACCGACGTCTTCAAGAGCTGGCACTGGTACGCATTCGTGGCCTTGTACTACGTCTTCAACCAGGCCATGATCACGAACGGCCAGCCGTTCAACCTCTATCTCAAGGCGCACGACGACAAGTACTCCATCAGCCAGATCAACAACTTACCCACAGGCCAGTCCGCCATCTCCATCGTCGCCGCTCTCGTGGGTTGTTACTGGGCTGATGCTACGGGGAAGAGGTGGCTGCCGTCGATCTGGATCTGCGGGTTCATGACTATCGGGGCTGTTTGCATGGCGGCTTGGAATATCCCCGAGGGTCTCAAGTTCTTCGCTTTCTACATCGCCGGACTGGGCGGTGCTCTCAACCCCCTGTTCATGTCCTGGGCGTCGGAAGTGACTTTCCGTTCGGCTGAAGAACGTGCCGTGGTTGTGTCTTCTATGAACGCTGTCGGCCAGGCACTGCTGGCTGGTCTCAACATTGTGACCTTCCCCACTCCGCAGGTGAGTTCAAGTCTCCATAACGAAGCGGTGACCTTTTTTCTAACACGATCGTAGGCACCTAGGTTCAAGTTCGGTTGGTACTGGGTTATGGTGAACAACATCCTCCAGTTCGGATTGGTTCTCGTCATCATGGTTCTCCACAACAAGGAGAAGAAGAGCATGCAGGTTCTCGACGGCCAAACTGAGGATGTCGAGCAGATCAAGGTTGCCAACGCTACCAAGGGAGACGATGAGTCGGCTTGATGTGGTTGAAAGGATCGGTACGCTGGATCCGATAAGTGGGTGCGGTCTGTCATTTGGTGGTTTTCTTCTCTTATATGTATAGCTACTCGGAAGCGGGCGTCTGGAGTCTGTCAGTTGGGGGGCTTCATGATACCCTATGCCACACCGAGACCAGCCGCCGGTTGGGGGCTGTGGCTTGTTTTTGCGCTGGAATTCTGTCGTTTGGTGAATTGGATGTAACTTAGCTTGGTCGCTCGCTTAAACAATTGAGAATCAGAGACCTCTCTATTCGTGTAAGAAAGGCATTCACTGAACATGTCGGCTGTTCATGTGTTGAACCTATGTTGGGTTTTGTGGTGTTGAATTGACACCGAGTAATGTGCCCATCTTGCGGGTCCGACACCGTCACTATGAACCGATGGACATGGAGCCCAAATGAATGAGTGTTGCCATTGAATTTGAATGCCACATGATGTTCTTTGTGATATGTGAGAAATAACTGCTATGCGTATCGTTTACCTCTATTCGCTGCTGAAGGTGAACACTCAACTTTTTTTGCTCTCGTTGACGCTCACAGGGGTGCATGCCCAGCCTTTCGTCAACGCGGCACCGGGTCAAATGAAAACGAGAGCGAGAGTCAATGGCCAATATGGGCAACTCGTGAGGCGCATACGTGGCTGGCACGCATGGTTTCAAGGGTGAATTAGGCCGCCTCGGAGGAAATGTTCATCAATCTGTCCCAGCCTGCCTCGTTAGTTTCCCTTCACACGCGTCTAATGCCCCGCAAAGGATCATGAGACTTTCCCGTAGTCGCCATTGGTCATGCCAGAGTTCGAAGCCGTTGTGGTGGGATCACTGACGAATGCCATGAGCTAGACTCGTATCTGCCTAGCTCGTTTGCGCTTTCGCTTACTCGGACCGACGCGTTCAGCTAGATAATAGTGATGATTACGCATCGATTTGTCCGGACGCTGAGAGGTTCATGTCCACCCGCCGCGCCGCGGGGCGTCAACCAGCCGATCGTCCGACCGTCCGAAGCCCGCGGGCTGTCTCTTGTTGCGGACGGGCGATGAACTGGGACTTTGGTTAATTGTGGCTTCAAGTGAATCGCATAAAAGGCTTTGGGCAGTTCATCATTTCCTTTTCGACGTTTATCATACCAGAACGCACAAGTCAAACATCCAAACACTGGTACACACAAACTTCGCCCGTCAACCAACTTGAATAATCTACTAGCATCAGCATCACACAATCCACTTACACGATGTCTTCGCCAATGGACACATTCCGCGGCATCTTGAAGCCGACCTCGAGTCCATATACCCTACCAAAGATCAATAGCGTTCCTGTAAGCTTTTTCGTGGTGAATCTACTTGGAACTTTTCTGATTTCGCGACCAGCTTCTCATCAAGGATGGTTTCACCCTCACAACCCTCTTCACAATCGGCGCCATCATGCAGACGCTCCTCTTCCTAGTCCTACCAACAAAATACGCCATCATCCCGTGCTCCGCTCTCGCCCTCAACTCAATCATCTCCACAATAACCGGCACCCGCTCGAAATCCTCAAACCCGTACCTGAACGGCGTCGTCCGGGGCCGCACATCAGCCCAATTCCCGGACCCGGCCACCGGCACGATCCCCGCCACCCCGGCCGGCCGCCCCGTCCTCGTCTTCCACCTCGGCGTCCGCTTCAACCACCCGCTCGGCATGCTCTCCCCCGGCGGCCGCCAGCTGGGCGAGTACTTCACCACGATGAACGACGACCTCGACCGCCGCGCCGACGAGTACGGCCTGTACCACATGTCCTCGTGGTCCTCGCTCGAGGCCGAGCGCAACAACACCCTCATGTTCATCTACTACTTCCGCGACGTCGCGGGGCTGAACAGGTTCGCACACGACCCCCTCCACCGCAGGACCTGGGACTGGTTCAACGGCATCCGGGCCGAGTTCACGCACATTGGTATCTTCCACGAGGGGTTCGTCTCGGGCGCGCAGCAGTATGAGACCATTTACGATAATATGAAGCCTACGCTGCTCGGGGCTGCGAGCGTCAAGTGCGACAACGAGGAGACCAAGGAGGAGGAGTGGGTGAACACCCTCGTCAGCGCTGATAACTCGGCGTTGAGGAGTCAGTTCAAGCGCATGGGCAAAGCCACCCGTAATATGATAGAGTATGATTACTGAGACGGCAGGAAATATTGTTATGGATCTGAGCTGTTTCTTTGGGTTTCGGCGTCATTCGGACAGCGTCGTTTCGAAGGCTTTTATCCCTTACATAGAGCATAGATGCAATTGATATTAAGCATTATCTTAATCCAAGAATACAACGTCCCCATATGACTTCAATTCTGTAGTTTGACTATGTATGCAGTTGGTCATGAGCAATGGTCAAAGGTCGTATCCCTCGCAATGCCACCTAGACCAAGTGTTCCGAGGAAAACCCCCAGAAGAATAGAAAGAAAGTATCCCACATTCATGCTCATAACCGTCAGCATTCTGCATTCGTTAGCATTAATCTACGAGAATCTCGCCATGCGCAGATAGGCACTTACAGAAGATAGCCCAGCAACGCAATCACGACCTCATACAACGCTCTTCCAACCCTAACTCGACCTTCTCTCATCAGCGACGTGCGGTGTCGGTGTCTCGGAGAAGGCTCTTGCACCCCTAGGCCTTCGTTTCCAGCCTCGTCATCGACACCAACCATCAGCTTTTCCGCGATATCCTCCCCGTCACCCCATGTAGTCGACTCGAGACGAGGCTTGAACGCGATGAGAGCACGCAAGAGGATGGTGAGGCAGATGAGGGTGAGGCAGGTTCCTGCGTATTGGCCGGGAGTACGAGGTGTCCAGGCTTCGGTGAAGAGACTCGTCGACATTGCCGTGTGGAAGACCATGGGCATGGCCATCGACTCGGTGTGGTGTTGAGACATGTCCATCTCGGCTCGGGTGCGGGGCGTCAACGGGAAGGGTTTTGGAGACTCGGCGAGGACTCGGTATTTGAGGGCTTCTTCTGACTGTCGACCGCGAGTAACTAGTCGGTCGTTGAAGAGATTGGAATGAGCTGGGCTGGCCGTTGACGAAGCGATGGCTTGGTGCCGGACGACGGTTGTCTGGCGAGTGCATGGCCGTATGGATGGCTCTTATGCTTCTGAGCATTTGGACCTCATTACTTGAGAGTCGTGTAACTTGCAACCCACTCACTATTGACACGGAAACCAGGAAGAGAAAACAAGCCTAGTACCGTATCCTGTAAACAGAAAGTGAGCAATTTGAGCATGTTATGGGCTCATAAGCAATATGCCCTTCCGGCATTGGCTGGCGAGGGAAGCCAGCCTTCCGCTTTGAATGCGACCGCCCTGTGCCTACCGTACTTGAGGTAACGCAAGCGACATGAGCTGGCAACTGTCATATGCCGTATTACCTTGACAATGCGGCCCTGAACTGCGGGCAAATAAGAGGCCTGGGCAGATAGTCGCCGTTGGATACCGCGTGGTGGGGTATTGAGGCTGTTTGAGAAGGTTTCTCGGGAGCGTGGCTTGGCTTCGCCTCGACGAGGGAAGGGCTTGGCGAACCCTGAGGGCTTTTGATCAGATTCGACAGTCGTATGGAAGATCTTTTGCGAATGATTCAAGGCAAGTCTTTGAGTCTAAGTACAAGTTTCTTGCCTGACTGACTTGCCATCGGATACGCTCTCACCCTCGTCTCAGGCAGGCAGTCATGGTTAGTTGATAAGGAACTCCTTTAATTAGGAGAAAAGGCAAGCAATTCAAGACGTGCGCGTACGAGCATCTGGGTTCATCAACTGTAATGCGAAGCGAGCCGTCGCATATTGGCTGACAAGAGCCGTTTAATGGCTCGACAGACAGAAAACAAGAAATAGTCGCATTCAGATGTCCTTCCGTGAATGATATTTAACAAAACATAGCACCAGATGCTCAGCGACCCGTGAGTGGCTTCTTGGTGGCATCCTCCTCCGCAACTTGTTCTCCGTCCGCGTTGAACAACGTCTCCTGGGCTGTGAAGAATGTCAGCAAATACCTCGGCCGATCCCGAACTGGCGAGCCACTTACCACTCCAAAGCTCAGCGTACAATCCGCCCCGGTCAATCAGCTCCCTGTGGGTGCCCATCTCTGCCACGCTGCCCTCCCTGAGCACGATAATGAGGTCCGCGTCGAAGATGGTACGCAATCTGTGCGCAACAAACACGCTGGTCCGCGACTTCTCGCGGAGAATGCTGTTGATGTTGAGCATGAGCGCCTGCTCGGTATGGGTATCCAAAGCACTCGTCGCCTCGTCGAAGAAGAGCAAGGGGGGATCCTTCAGCAGCAACCTGCTCACAGCCAGACGCTGCTTCTCGCCGCCGGAGATCATCATGCCTCGCTCTCCGACCTTTGTCTGGTAGCCGTCGGGGAAGCGCTCGATGATCTCGTGGATACGCGCGCGTTGGGCGGCGGCGATGACCTTTTCTTGGGGCGCCGACATGTCGCCATATCGGATGTTGTGCTCGATGGTGTCGTTGAAGAGGGGAGTGTCTTGGGGAACGACACCGATGGACCTGCGAAGAGAGTCTACTTGGACCTGACGAATTTCCTGGTCGTCGATGAAGATGTGACCCGATTGAACATCGTAGGAGCGGAAGAGAAGACGGAGCAGGGTAGACTTGCCGCAGCCGCTAGGGCCGACGACGGCGACCTTCTTTCCGGCAGGAATGGTGAGGGAGAGGTTGCGGAGGATAGGTCGGTCAGGGTGGTAGCCGAACGTGACGTTCTCGAATTTGATCTCGCCGCCCTTGGATAGGGCCAGGGGCTTGGCGTCCGCGACGTCCTTGATAGAGACGTTGACCTTCTGCAGGTTGAACAACGTCTCCATGTCGAGAAGCGACTGACGCAGCTCACGGTACACGGAACCAAGGAAGTTGAGAGGTACTGAGAGCTGGAAGACCAGCTGGTTCACCATGACCAAGTCACCAACGGTCAGATTTCCCTGGGCGACACCGTTTGCGGCAAGGTACATCATGGCAGTCAGAGCCGAGGAGAAGATGATGTTTTGTCCGCTGTTGAGGAGAGCCAAGGACGTGGCGACCTTAATGGAGCTCTTCTCATATGCCTGAAGGGCCTGATCGTATCTCGCGACCTCGAATTTCTCGTTGTTGAAGTACTTGACAGCCTCGTAGTTGATCAGAGAATCCACGGCGACCGTAGACGCCTTGTTGTCGGCGGCATTGGCCTGTCTCCTGAACTTGGTTCTCCATGCCGTCGTCCAGATGGTAAAAGCCGTGTATCCAACCATTGTGAGCACCGTGATGGCGGCGAAATTTGCGCCGTACTGCCATGTCAGGATACCGCAAACCATTGAGATTTCCAGAGCCGTCGGGATGATGTGGAAGACCATGCTCGTGAGCAGGAAGCTGATGCCCTTGGTTCCGCGGTCGATCGCGCGCGTCAAGCCACCAGTCTGCTTCGACAGGTGGAAGCTGAGGTCCAGCCGCAGCAGATGGTCGAACACGTTGCAGGCAACCTTGCGGATGGCCTTCTGGGCGACCGAGGCAAAGACCGCGTTGCGCAGTTCCTGAAAGACGGTGGCTCCTATCCTCGTTGCTCCGTACGCCAGGATCATGCTCCCCGCAATGGTCACCGCGGTACCGCCGGTGGCGCCGAAGTCGATGTTCATTGCGTCGACGATACTCTTGAAGTAGAAGGGCACCTGGACGTTGAGCACCTTGGCGCCAATCAGTAGAGAGACGGCAAGTCCGACTCTGACCTTGGTGCTCAGGCTGTCCTTGGGCCACAGGTATCTCGACATCTCCTTCATGATGGCCCAGTCGGCCTTGCGCTGCTCCTGCGCATTCTTCTCTGGTGTAGCGAGAGGATCGGCGGCGGGTTTCTTCGCCTGCGCAGGCTTCGCTGCCGCCTTCTCTACGCCATCTGCGATCTTCGTCGTCGCGGGGTTCTTCGGTTGTTCACGTCTCGAGGGGGCGCTCGTCTGGAAGATGCGAATGGGAGCTCGTGGGCTTTGGGGGAGCCATGGTGGACGGCGAAGGCTTGTGTGGTTGAGGCCTCGAGGGCAGGCTAAGGGAGCCTTCTGGACGGCTCGGATTATCATCGTTGTCGTGCTCTTCGCCGCAAAACAATCATCTTTGTCTCCAATCCTGCGTAGAGAGAGGACGTCAGCAATGGCGGGGGTTTTCGAGCCGAGAGAGCTATCGATAAGAGGCCGGAGGAAGCCCTGCGATCGTCGGAGGGCGGGGGAAATTGCCGCAACTTACCGCGACCAAAGGCTCGAGCAAACCGTGAGGAAGATGCGATGAGATGTCGGAGGGAAAAAGGAGGAGGATCAAGACAATACGGGAGTGTCGGAGGTGTTTTCGCAGCGAATTGTGCACCAAAACGCGAAATTGTCGCAAGCAGCGGCTCGGCTTAGTCGAAGCTCCTCGGCCGGAATGATGCAATTGGCGGCGCCTAAGGCACCTTGACGGCCGGTCCCATTGGCCCCACTCCGCTGACCGAAGGTGACCGTAAGGGTGCCCGCCCCTTACCGAGGCTGACCGACCACGGTCTCGGTGAGTCTCTAGACACCGAGACGTCCTAGAAAGTCAACCATGACAGCTCAGCTTGCCTTCTGCATGGAAGTATTCCGACACGAACCGCAGAATGATCTTTTCTCTTTCTTTTCAAATTATTATTCCTGTTTCTGAAAGACATAAGTCCAGGAGGAGCTCCTGGCATACCTTCAACCTGATGCCTCAGCGACTTGATCAATGCCTATTGGTAAGAAATAGCAGAGGGAGGTTCTCATCCAGAGCCTCTCGGACAATTCAGGGCGATCTACACATGGGATCTAATTTTACGCGACTGAGTTTTGCGGTTGGCATCTTGACAGGGTCCAGGATGTGGCACACGTGGGCAGCAAGCACCCACATATTTGGCCAAGGACCGCAGCTCCGGGACGATTCTTCAGTTCGCCAAGGCGGCATATAAGATGTTTGCTCATGATTGCCGAGAGCTTGTTTAACTTGGGCCTTATCTGAGTTGGACTCCGCAGTGATTTCATCTGATCAAATTGTGCATCCCGATACCACGGGCCTTCTCCGGCGTTCTTGGTCTGATCTCAGAAGATCTTTGATAGCAGGCAATTCTCAGGGGTAACTAACTAGACTTCTTGATGGTCCAATTCCTCAGAGCCTCTTGAAAGAAAAACATAAACCGGCTTTGCGGCACATCTTCAGAACCCAATGATGCGGAAGCCGCGCAACCACGATGTCCTCCGTCCTCTCACATGGCCATCACACCTCATGCCACTGCGCCGTTCTTTTCAGATATACTTCCCCGTGAAGCTATAGCCTCAAAATTCTCTGAAAAACACCCCTTGATCTGTCAGCGGCCTGTATCCGATGGCTTTTGGCCGGACATGGACATCTTTTTTGAGTGCTTGCAGGGAACAGCATAATAAGGTGACCCCGTCGAGCTGCGTTTACGGGGCCGCCACGCGTCGCCGCGTAACTCTGTGCGCCGCGGTATGTGGGCAGCAGAGCAACCGTACATACAAAAAGACCGGATATTCCGGTCTGGCATGAACATGTCGTCGTCTCTCGTCCGGAATTCCCGACTGCTTTAAAGACAGAGCCCCAGAAAAGCCGCCGACGATGAGGCTACATGGAGATCCGCCCCTGAGCCTTAATTTATTGTGGCGCTCCTCGTGGCGGGCCGTGGACGTGGAAACTCACCACGACGGGGCTCGATCATTGCGATCGTGAGCTAGACTCGCCGACAACTCGGTGTTATCGCCCCAGTGGCCGCGCAACGGGGTCGGCGCAGCGAGACGACTCGGCCGCCAAGAGATACATAAGATAGTTGAAAAGACTGAAACTTGGAAACCATGAATATCGGACGAAGAGAGTTTCAAACCATCATCCGTTCTTTAGACATTGTGCCATTCGTTTGCCCTCCATGAGAGTTTCAACCCCAGCCCGCGCGCTTGCGGCGCTTACTTTCGTTTCTACCTCTTCTGCTCTTACCAACTCTTCTTCTGACTCTGTTTCTGCCACTCTTTCCAGTGGATATGGTACGAGAGCACATCCTGTCTGATGATCTTCTTAACTCAACTCTAACAACCTCTCAGTCCAGCTAGGTTCCTTCGACGAAGCCTACCAAAAAGCCAAGGCCTTCGTTGCGACCCTCGACAACGCCGCCAAGGTTTCAATCATCACCGGTCAAGATGTGGCCAGCAACAGCACCAGCGGCAGCTCGTGGACCGCCCTTGCCAACAAGGATGGTGTCTCGGGCATCAACTACGCCTTCTACGTCTCCGGCTTCACCATGGCCAACGCCCTGACCATGAGCTGGAACCGCGAGCTCATCGAGCAGCAGTTCCGAGCCGTCGGCGACGAGTTCTACGCCATGGGTTACAACCTCATCAACGGCCCCGAGCCCGGTCCTCTCGGCCGTGTGCCCTACGGCGGCAGAACCCCCGAGAGTTTCGCTGCCGACCCCTATCTCACCGGTATCGCCATGGGCAAGGCCATCTCCGGCATGAACTCCGCTGGTGTCATCGCCGGTGGCCGTCACTTCCTCCTCAACGAGCAGGAGACGAACCGATCTTCTGGCATTTCCGCCACCACCTCCGAAGTCTACACCTCCAACGCCGACGACAAGACCATCCACGAGGTCTACTCCTGGCCCTTTGCCGACGGTGTCAAGTCCGGCATGATGGCTGTCATGTGCGGCATGACCCGCGTCAACGGCACCCTCTCGTGCGAGAACAACGCCCTTGTGAGCAAGCTTTTGAAGAAGGAGATGGGTTTCCTGGGTCTTGTCTTCCCCGATGTCAACTCTCAGACCACCTCGTACGGCTCCGCCATTGCTGGTCTCGACTACGGTTCCAGCTCCCTCTGGACCGAGGACATCCTCAACGCCGGAATCACCAACGGCAGCTTCACGCAGGAGCGCCTGGACGACATGGCCATCCGCAACGTCATTGGCTACTACTCCGTCGGTCTCGACAGCGGCAAGCAGCCCGCTACTGTTTCCTCTTCCACCGAGTACCGCGACGTTCGCGGTAACCACTCCAAGTTGATCCGCCAGGTTGCCGGAGAGTCCATCGTCCTCCTCAAGAACTCCAACGCCTCCGGCGCTGGTCTTCCTCTTCGCAAGCCCCGTACCATCTCCCTTTTCGGAGCTCACGCCGGCCCTGCTCTTGCCGGACCCAACCAGCCGTTCAGCGTTCAGGGTACCGACAGCGATGTCTACCAGGGACATCTCGCATCCGGCACTGGCTCCGGTCAGCTGTCCCTTCCTTACCTCGTCACTCCCTTCCAGGCCATCACCGCTCGCGCCATCGAGGACAACAGCATGATCTGGTGGCTCCTGAACAACACCTACACCTCGACCTCCTCCGGCGGTATGGGTGGCGGTGGCGGCAGCCCCCCTGGCGGAATGACCGGCAACGCGACGACCGGAGGTGGCTTCCCTACCGGAGGTAACAGCACCGGAGGCGGCATGGGCGGCGGCGGTGGTGGTGGCGGCGGCCTCGGCAACCTCGGCCAGGGCACCGCGACCACCCCTTCCTTCAGCAACTACGCCGCCAACTCCGAGGTCTGCCTGGTCTTCATCAACTCCTACTCCGGCGAGGGCGGCGACCGCAGCTCGCTCTCCGACGACGACCAGGACACCATGGTCACCTCGGTCGCCTCCAACTGCAACAACACCGTCGTGGTCGTGAACACCGCCGGCCCCCGCGTCCTCGACGCCTGGATCGACAACGAGAATGTCACCGCCGTCCTCTACTCCGGCCTCCTCGGCCAGGAGAGCGGCAACGCCATCACCGACGTCCTCTACGGCGACGTCAACCCCAGCGCCAAGGTCACCCATACCATCGCCAAGAAGGCCGCCGACTACCCCACCTCCATCTGCGTCACCGCCGAGTGCGACTTCTCCGAGGGCGTCTTCATCGACTACCGCTACTTCGACTCCAAGAACACCTCCGTCCGCTACCCCTTCGGCCACGGCCTCAGCTACACCACCTTCGCCTACGACAAGGTTGATGTCACCGCTACCAACAAGACCGCCCTGGACTCCAAGTACCCCACCAGTGCTCTGTTCCCCGGTGGCCAGGCCGATCTGTGGGACGAGGTCGTCAGCGTCAAGACCAAGATCCAGAACACCGGTGCCATCGAGGGCGCCGAGGTCGCTCAGCTGTACATCTCCTTCCCTTCGGAGGCTGCGCAGCCCGCTCGTGTCCTTCGCGGATTCGAGAAGGTCAACGTCGCTCCTGGACAGGCTGGCGATATCACCTTCAGCGTTCGCCGTCGTGATCTCAGCTACTGGGACACCGCTGCTCAGCAGTGGGCTCTTGCGAAGGGAAAGTACACCTTCGCTGTCGGTGCCAGCTCGCGTGATATCCGCGGCTCTGCTGAGCTCACTATCTAAGTGGTGGTTGACTCACGGCTTGACCCGGGGTTGGCATGGACTTTCTTCTCTTTCATATGTACATGTTTTCAGACATATAGATACCTTAGACTTGATGTTCCTGACGTTAGATAGAACAGCATTTTAGAAAAGCGTTGTTTTGCCAGTTTTCAACTTGATGTAGTCATTGTCCTTCCTTACTTTCGCCGTGACTGGACCCTCACCGGCTCAACCTCATACGATTATCCTCTTCCAAGTGTGAGAATCAAACTTCATCTCTCCTCTCTGCTAACGGGCATGACTGAATAATCCAGTACTGAATACGCTTTGGACTGTAACCTATAAAAGCAACCCATGGATCGCAAATCTGAATTCAAGTTGACCCAAACAACTTATCCAAGTCGTTGGACTCTTCTTCTCAAAGTCTCCCTAGATCCAATCTCAATGCGATCCTAGTATTCCAATCAAGCTATATGTCTCTCATGAAACTCAACAGTTGACAAGCTTGACAGAACGTTCCTTCCGTACCAGCTCGGCTCAACGCTACTGTGGAAGCTTCAAAAAGCACCCCAGCCTACACCGCCACCATACATCTCGCTTCGTTGAACAACTTCACTTCTTCACCTCTTCACATCTCACAAACATCTCACAAACATACCACAACATCACATCGCTGGGAAAATAAGGCGCGTTATAACAGAGGAAGGAGCGTTCACAAGAAAACCAAGCGCAGGAAGTAACGACGCGCCACCAGTCAGCCTCAAGTACTAGGGACTGAACAACTTCGCCTTTGCAACTTCTCCTGAACACAACTCCATCGCTTCAACAAAGGCAGAGTAGTTCCCACCTTTCAACCTCAAGGCGGTCTCCAACTCAATAACAAGCAACACACAAATCATAAGTCAGCATCAACTTACGTTTCTCATTGTCTGATTCAGTCTAGTCGCTGGCTTAAGGGAAGGCGCGTTCCACTCAAGGAAAAGCAATAGCCCACAGAAAGTCAATTCTGGGCACCTACACTCAGACTTATTCTCATCAGCAATACTCATCAGAGACTTGCCCGAGCTTTTAGTCAGGGGCACTTATCCATCACCATGAGCCGCTTTGGAAGCAGCGATCACCAGTAAGTCCGGGCTGATTGAGGTTGGCTTGTTTTGTCTTTGAACCCCTGAACCCTTGAGCCCCTGAAAGAAGCGAAGACTTGTCTGACTTACATTCGGCAGGCTTCTGGTGGACGACATCTTCTCAGACTGTGAGGTCGTCTGTGAGGACCAGACCTGGAAGCTCCACAGAAACATCCTGTGCACGCGCTCGAACTACTTCAAGGGCCTTCTTCTGCACAATTGGCAGGTGAGCTTATTTTACATACCTCATCTCCTTGTCTTCTTTATATACTCACCTCTGTGTCTGAGCCAGGAGTCAAAGACGAAGCAAGTTGTCATCACGGAGTTCAGCAAGAAGCAGGTTGATTGGCTCATCAAGTTCATCTACACTGGAGGCAAGTTTCTCTGCCTTTATTGTTCTTAGTCCTCATTTTTCTTTGTCTTCATCTTCTTTGATCTCAGCTTATTCATGCTAATGTCTATATAGAAGCCGATTTCGACGCGTTTGAGGGAGCCGGCACCATCATGGACACCTGCGTCCAGCTGTGGATCCTGGGAGACTACTTCCTCGTCCCCTCCATGTGCGAGGCCGCAATGGATTACCTATCTCGTGAGATCATCCCTCGCAACGCCCGCATCGCCGCAGCGCAGAACTTCAGCCTGAACGGCACGGACTGGCACAAGGCCGGCCGCCGCATCTACGGAAGATTCCCTGGCGACCACCCCCTCAAGGACGCGTTCCTCGAGATCACGCTGGGCAAGTTCTTCGTCAGGAAGGAGGCGCTGAACATGCTGGAGTTCAAGTCGATGTGTCTTCTTCACAGCGAGTTTGGCAACGATTGCATGCTGAAGCTGGTCGAGGATGGGACTACCAGGATTCAGTAGGGTAGTCCGGCGGCATCATTTGCTTATTCTCTTGTACTTAGAATCTGGGCGTTTTGGGCTATACTTGGAGTTTAGGAGTTTTCATTAGCAGAGACTGGGACGCAATTGGGTCTCAATTTGGCCATTTTGCTAGTTTGCGTTTATTATCACACGATTTGACGGTCCCAGAGAAGGACGGTCCTACATTAGATTAGGTTCTTTAGATTTACCCAGGAAATGGTAGGATTCCAACTTTGAGTCTCATGTTCAAGTGTGCCACCTTCTCTGAGCAAAAGTCCAATTTCTGGGTAGGATGGTGAAATCAGTCGTCAAACCCTTCCAACTGCTCGCCTTCAAGGGGTCGGCAAATGGTACCAATGCCGCGAATCTCATGCTAAAATTCACATCAGCACATATCCTGCTCCATCAAGAGAATACGGGAAACACTTACCTATACTCGCCAGGCGCAATCTGGCTTCCGTCTGCCATCTTCCCAAACCAATAGTAAGTCGTGGTAAACCCGCCCGTCGTCAACGCGTTCCTCCCCTGATCAGTCACAGGGAACGAGAAAGTATCATTCGCGTCGTGCCGCGCGGGGTTGAAGCTCGAAACGCTGCCAGCGCTGGACCACGACGTCGCGGAGCCGATGTATCCCTTCTGTCCAGGGACGGGAGGGTACTCCCAATCTCGCTCGTTATCGAACCCGGACTCGTAGATCTACCCTTCGTTAGAAGCCATTTTACATGAGGAAGGTAACAACTTACATCCCACCGGACTTCTCTCGTGCCCCATTTAAGCTTCATAAACAACATGGGAAAGTCCTGCGATCCGCTGGCGAGGCTAAGGTTAAAGCTATCAAACTATCGTCAGCTTCCGTTCCACGAGAATCGGTCAGATTGACCCACGTCGTCTTGTTACTGTAGGCGCTGGTCGACCTCAACCAGGGGTACGTGCCGTGGAAAGGACTCTGCATCTGCTCCTGCAGATCGAACGCAAGCCCCTGGAACGGCACGGCGACCGTCTCACCGTTGCTTCCCTTGACGACGACTCTACCACCGTAAGCAGGGAGTGCAGTCTGGTTGACGTCCTGCGGAACCTCAAACACGAATCTGTCAAGTCAGCAACTTCCTCCATCATCAGCAACGGCCAACTCACTCCGCCTTCCTCGTCTCTCCAGGCAACAGTTCAAACGCCTCTGGAGCAGCCGCCTTCACGGTGATGTCAGAAGGGACCATCTCCGGCCGATACCTCATCCTCGGGGTCTCCCCCGGATCCCTCGCATCAAACGCCTTCAACATCTCAAACCCAGCCCAGCTCTCGACCTCAAACTCGTACCTCACAGTCGCATTCTCCCCATTCCGGACCACAACCTCCTGGCTCGCCCGGAAGTTCGCCGTATCGTTCAACCCGAACCTCTTCAGCTCGAGACTCGTGCGGTAGTCAAGCACCCTCTTCGCATCGATCAACCCGCCCCCGACCTGCTGCGACGGAGCCCGGTACGCCGGATCGGATCCCCCGCCGTACAGCAACCACGGCAGCGACGACCCAGTCGAGATAACCCGCATCGCGAAATCCTTCGCGAAGCCCTTCCCATGGACGCTCTTCCCGCCGTGCTTGGAGATGTACAACGCCGCGACACCAGCAACATACGGCCCGGCCATACTCGTCCCGCTCAGCAACACGAACTGATTATCATCCCCGCCGGGCCACGTACTAAACACATCCGTCCCGGGAGCAGAGATATCAGGCTTGACGGACAAATCATACAGCCCGCCCCAGCTCGTAAAGTACGACGGCTGAATCACCTCCTCGCCGCTCGCGTTCCTCTTCACCTCCGCGCTCGCCACCGCAATCACGTTCTCCCCGGAGCTGCCGGAACTCGCGTAATACGCGCCCCCGTTGCCCGAGTTGCCCGCGGAGATGGTGACCACCACCCCCTCCGCCGCGATCCTGCTCGCCACCACCGCCCACGCGTTCTCCGCGAACCCGCCCCGGCCCCCGACGCTGGCGTGAATGACGTCCATCCCGTCCTCGTACGCCTTCAGAAACGCATCGATGAGCGTCGCCGTGTCCGTCCCGTCGCCGGGGCCGAAGACCTTATACGCGTACAGACTCGCCCCCGGCGCGACGCCCTTCCACCCCGTGGCCGCGGACTCGCCCGCAATGATCCCCGCGACGTGCGTGCCGTGGCCCTGCTGATCGACCGGGTCGTCGTCCGGCGTCTTGGGGCCGCCGGCGACCCACTCGTCGCCCACGAGGTCCCGGCCGCCCGCGACCTTGAACCCGGGGCCGAAACCGCCGCCCAGGGCGCCGTGGGCGTACCAGATCCCCGTGTCGACGACGCCGACCTTGACGCCGGAGCCGAGGACGCCCTGGGCGTGGAGCGCGTCGACGCCGGTGGCCCAGTGGACGGCGTGCTGGGCCGCGGCGGAGGGGTCGGCCGCGACCTGGCGCTTGACGGGCGCGACGAGGTTGGCTTTGCTGTTTGGCCAGACGCGGGCGACGGCGGGGAGGGAGAGGAGGGAGTCGAGGTTGTGGGTGTCTGTTTCGAGGGAGGCGCCGGAGAAGATGGACGAGTCGAATGTTTTGAGGACTTTGATGCCTTCTTGGGAGGAGAGTTCGTCGCGTTTGGCTTTGGTTTGGGTTCCCTGAGTCGGTCAGTCAGTCAATCACTCCAGAAGAAGTGAGGGTAGAGTAGTTACAGTCGTGAACTCGACGATGAAGCGCTTGGATTCGATCTCATCCGGACTATCTAAGTCTTCCTGCGCGAGAACCCTGGCGCCGAGAGCCAGGGCGGGAAGAAACCAGTTGAAGCGCATCGTGACTTTAGATCACCTCACACGTCGACTGTGCCATCAACACCATTCAGAGCACTTCCTAAGAGAGTGGCTCAGTGATTATAAACCACCACAACATCGCACCCTCTCATCGCGCGAGATCCGCCCCGCCGTCGCAATCTATTGCTCCCCGCATATCATGTGGGAAAACGCGCTCGTTCCTGCATCAGTCCAACCTCGGAGAGGTAGGTCGAAAGGGACCGGTTGCCGTTTTGGGCGGCGGCGGACCGGGGGCTCGAGTGTCTCCATCTCATGATAAGAATTCGGAGGCGAGGCGTTGGTTATAGTTGAACGGGACATCTCACTTTCAAGCCGCGTTGGCTGTATTCTCTCCATAAAATCATGAAATTCCTATCAAATCAAGAGTCGGTAGGAAGCAAAAAAGACTTACGAGAGAAACCTCAACGCCGAAGAACCAGTTGAACGCGGGGCATCTCAGTCACATCGCCAAGACCTCCACACCAAGAAGCGACCAGGATCTTGAATCTGCGCAAATGTGCTCTTGGTCGGAGCGCACCCCGTTCTCGACACCTGCATCCCCTTCACGAACGGCTTGCCCAAAGTCTTGACAATCAACGGTACGTGATTCGCCGAATCGACTTTCGGTCTCGGCCGAGTCTGCCAGGGGACCGGCGACGATCTCCAGGGCACAGCCGCAGCTGATGCGACCTTCTTTTCTGGGCCGCTATGTCATCGAGTCGGCGATCGGGACACATGTGAAGGCGTCACTGGCGATTAGACATCGAGGGACTGCTGCGTACTGTAATACGACGGGTCAATAAAGTCTATATGCATCTCTGGCCACTGTATCTGTCGGGCCATCCCGCTTCGATGCTGGTTGAACCTTCATGCATCATGCCTCGTGTCGACCAACTGAACCACCTTGCCTCGCTCCTCTTCGCTCGATGACTGTCGTCCATCGGCTGTCCAAAAATATCAAATCAAGCACCTTGTTGATGAAAAAAGGGACCCAAAATCAATAACAATGCCCTCTATCCTTACTCCCGGCTGTATGATACCATCCCGTTCACAGCTTACTCCTGCTTTCGCTCTCGATTCATTTCTCCGACTCGGGGATGTGTCCCTCGACTGTGCTCAGCGCGGCCAAGTTCACCTGGCCAAAGTGCTCCTTAGCCTCTCCGCCGAGGCCGACGCCGGCAAGGAGCGCCACGCACTCGATGACGTCCTCGGGCTCGAGGAGATGCCATCTTGCGAGGGTGACCTTGGTGCTGGCACCGACAGTGACGGTGAAGACGTGGTCGTTGTCGACTTCGTTGCCGGAGAGGCCGTTGAGGGCGCGGAACATGTCCTCGTCGGTGAAGTCGTCACCCAGGCATAGGACAAACTCGACGCGTCCGGGGTGCTTGTCGGTGGCGGGAGCAGAGTTGTACGTGTGAACGAGACGCTTGGCGATCTCGCCCTTGTTGATGAACGTCGGCCTGACCTCCAGGTTGGCCTTTCCTGCCATGACCTCGACGTCCCACTTCTGGCCCACGGTCGACTCGAGCTCCTTGTGGCACTCCCGAGACATGTGCATACCCTGCTCGGGATCCGCAAGGCGGTAGTGCCACGTGAGAGCGCACCTCTTGCGCTCGACGAAGGAGCCTACTGATGTTAGTCGCTGTAGCGGTAGGAAGAATGTTTGATGAAACTTACCAGGAACGCGGTCCGTGTAGGACTGGAACACAGACATGACCTCGGATTGCCAGCCCATATCGAACTTGTCGGCGAGGTTGACCCACTCGTCAGAGCCGGGGTTCTTCATGAAGCTGCCGTGCTCGGCGCTGAAGCCCAGACCGGCGATGTGGCCGAGGTGCTGGGTGAGGAACTCCTGGTCGCGACCGGAGATGATCCAGACGGCATTCTTCTCGTCGCTGGCCAGAGCCTTGAGGGTCTGGAGCACGCGCTCGGAAGGTACCGCGGCACTGGGCTCCCTGACAATCGGTGTGAGGGTACCATCGTAGTCGAACATGAAGAGGCGCTTGCCGGCCTCGCGATAGGTCTTGAGCATCAACGCGCGGTCGAGCAGGGGAGTGGCGACGACGTTCTTCTGGGTGCCCAGGATGTGGACGTGCTTGCGGATGAAGTGGTCGATCCAGCTCTGGACATTGCGGGTGGTGACGTGGTTGTACAAGCTGGCCTGCATGGCGAGGCGCTTCTCGGGGGACATGGTGAGGGCGTTGTTGATCTCGATGCCGACGCCGCTGAGGTCCCACGGGTTGATGTGGATGGCATCCTTCAAGCTGCCGGCCGTTCCGCTGAACTCGGAGAGGATGAGAGGGCCGTGGCCTTCGCGCTGGCAGATGACGTACTCCATGCTGGTGGTGTTCATGCCGTCGCGGACAGAGGTGATGAGGCCAATGTCGGCGGCGCGGAGGAGGGCAAAGTACTCGTCCTGGCTGAGGTACTGGGGGTAGTGCTGGACGGGGGAGAAGCCCAGACTGCCGTACAAGCCATTGATTCTCATGACGAGCTCGTTGACGCGGGTCGCAATACGGTTCTCCGGGTCCTCCTTCTCCTCTTCTATGCTGGTGGGAGATGTGACCTGGATGAGGACAACCTTCTCGCGCCACTCCGGGTACATCTCGAGGAAGCGCTCGAATGCCTGAAGCTTCTGGGCAACTCCTCGTACACTATCGAGGCGATCCCTGCCGACGATGATCTTCTTTCCGTCGTACAGCTTCTTCAGGGCGTTGTACTTTGCGGTAACGGCATCGGTCCAGGCGTACATCTCGCACTTGTCGGCGTTGATGCCGATGGGGAAGACTCCGACCTGGACGCGCGCACCGTAGGCGTCGACGCCGTACTGATCGGAGGGGAAGCCCAGCACGCGCGTGCAGCAGCTGGAGAAGTGGCGGGAGTAGCTGTAGGACTGGAAACCGACGAGGTTGGAGCCGAGGACGCCCTCGAGGACCTCCTTCCGGCGGGGCAGGCATCTCAGGAACTCGGAGCTGGGGAAGGGCGAGTGCAGGAAGAAGGAGATGTACATGTTGGGGACGCGCTGGCGGAGCATGCTGGGGAGCAGCATGAGGTAGTAGTCGTGGACGACGACGACGTCGCCGGGCTTGTAGAGCTCGATGATGCGGTTCGCGAACTTTTGGTTCATGCGGTAGTAGTCGGCCCATTGGAGGCGCTCCTTCCGGCCGTCGGTCGGCTCGTGCTGCTTGTAGTGGAAGAGGGTGTAGAGATCGTGCTCGGCGTAGCGGCGCCAGCGGCTCTGGTCCTTGAGGAGGAGGCCATCTTCCTGCTGCTCGTTGTCGTCGCACAGCCAGACGGGGACGGTCTTGATCGTCTTGTTATGGGCCAGCTGGTTCTCGAGGCGGAGCTGGTCGTCCTTGGGCAGCCAGAGGCCCTCGGTCGGGGGAGGCGTGGGCAGGCGGGCGTCGCCGTCGATAGGGACGGGCGCGGAGAGGGTATTCAGGCTCGAGAAGTGGACAGTCGTCGCGGGCGGCGTGCCGGGCGGAGAGATGACATCTTGAGGGGTATCAATTTCGCCGGTCCAGGCGACGACTGTGTGGTCCCAGGGCGTCTCGTCGGAGGAGAGGTAGGCGAAGGAGTCGAAGAGGGCGGATTGACCGCGGCGAGGCTTGAGTTCCTGCGACGATGATGTCAGCGGGGGAGATTTCAATTGGCAGTGCGAACGATTGGGGGAAAAATTGGAGTCGCGGTGGTGACGGCGATGACCTCGTCCAGCCGTTGGAGTCAGAGGAAGACAGGAGACTTACCCAGTCGGAGCCCTTGCGGTACTTCAAGGAGTGAGGGATGTTGAAGGTGGCCGAGATGATGTTGCCGCTCAGCTGGAGATCGGGATTCGAGGCGCGAATCTGCGACAAAGACTCACGACGACCCATGGCGGCGAGGGTCATGCGCTTCAAGATGTCCTTGCCGGTGATGCTCCCTGGCGACGTCGGGAGGTTGTGTTTTGGGATCGAGGGGGTCGTCGGCTGCGAGGGCGAAGGCTGGGAGTGATTCTGAGGCTTTACTCGGCGATCGGAGACGGAGAAATACGAGGGAGACGCAGGGCGCGAGGAGGCAGCGTCGGAGTCGGAATCGCGAAATGGTGATGTGTATGTGTGTTGGTGAATTCCCGGCGTGACGGCGTCAGAAAGAGCGATGCTTCTGAGCACCGGGTTGGCGGGGTTGACAGGTGCAGGATTGACCGCCGCAGTGTTCTCGGCTGGCGGCGCTGGCGACGCTGTAGCTGTGCCTGCGCCTGTGCTGAATTGGGAGCCCCCACGCTCAAGGTTCCGGTTCTGGTCCATGATTCAGTTTGGGTTTAGCGGGCAGGGAATGCCGGCTTAATTCAGGCAAGGTAAATGAATTAATGGAAATAAAAGAGGCTCCGGGTATTTGGGAATGATGAAGAACACTAGGGAAGTGAATAAAATGATTGGAATATGATGAGAGTGTGAATGAAGATGAAGGTATGGAGTGAGACCTCAGGTGAGGCTATCTCAACGAAAGATTTCTCTACACCAGATCGACAATTCTCCAGTGAGATAAGACCTCGGGGACGCCCTCAGAACGATGCAAAGAATGAGAAAAGGGGCAGAAGTCGGGTCAATATTGACCACCAGATGAACGCTTCAGGAGAGACGGTGAGCAGAGCACCTGGCGAACAAGCAGAGACAGACAAGGGCACCTGAAGCCGTATCGGAATAGGCAAACCAGGCAATGAACGGTGAGCGACGGGGTTGAGAAGCCGGGGTTCTGGGGGAGCTCAGTCCGGGGTTTTCGTGTCGATGCTGTCGAGAGTTGAGAGCTCAGAGTTGCGTTGAGGTGAAGTGAGAGTGAGATGAAGAAGCCAGATTTCTTCACATATCACAAACCCTCAAAAGGATTTGCTCTCCTCGTCTCTCGTTCCCAAGACCTGTGACACGAGAATGATGCTATTCCTCGAGATAACCTCGTGAATGTACCCCTGCGCCCGCTCTCCCACCAAAAGGGTACTTCCTCCCGCCAGGACGATTTGCTCCTATCCCGTCTCCAGTCCTGACCGGGGCCAGAACTCCAGACTCCAGCGAGCAGGTCTCCAGCGGATCACCTCCGGCGCAGAGAGCTGCAGAAGAGCGCCGCCGGGATGAGGACTGACAAGTGCGACGTGCCCACCAGGGCCGCGAAGAACACGAGCTTGGAGATTGGTGCTGGGCGGCGATGGTGTGTTGCTTGGTAGTTGCTTGTACACCGCAGTTCCAGGGATTTCGTCGTCGTCGTATGCCTCTCTTTTTCGTCTGACGATGCGGATGGCAAGTTGACAACATTCTCTCTCCTCCAGCCTCCCTTTGAGTCTCCCCTCTCTAGCTTTTTTTTTTCTTCTCCCAAGCTCGTCACCGCCTTCGAGTCCGTGTCTCGGAGGTGGCTTCAAAGACGGCTTCCCACGATGTCCTCACTCCCTCACCAAGTCCCAGCCCCTGACAGGCTGCCAGAGGCACAGAAACTGACAGCGGCAGCCAAAAGACCAGCCCAGGCCCCGGCCGGCGGCCCAGTCCAGGCCAAACCAGCAACTGCTATTTCGGTGGTGGTGTGGAGGGGAACCTAGGAAAGGGGGGAAGCTGCTGGAACGACCGAGAGACGGCGGGATGTGTGTAGCTTCAAAGTATCCGGACCTTGCCGTGGAGGTATTCTCGGCGTATCTGCCCGCAAGCTTCGTATGTGGAGATACATATGACGCAGTAATTTCCCCTCTGCGAGATACTCGGCCAAAACTTGGCACAAGCACGAAGAGAAGAATTCCCCCCTTGTTCGGACGGGACCGAATTGCTCGCTGCCAGATTGGCTGTCTTCGGGGGAAGCCCTGGTCGGCCGTTCTCCAGCTTGCTGTCAAGCTGGTCCGCCGACCGCGCTGTTCCTGGCCATGCCGCCGGAGGTAGAGCACCGGCGCGGATGGTTCTTGTGTGTTGAGCTGGGTTGATGCCTCTGCCTGTTGTTGTCTGTGTGCCCCTCGATGATGTCGTGGTGATGTAACTGAGGGTTGGGAAACAAACGGCAAAAGCTGTCATTTCACATGGAATTTGCGCTGTTTTTTGTCCTCGACTTTTTTTGCATCCAAACGCCCTTTCCGTTCTGCATCACAGCCTCTCATCTCCAGAAAATAGGGGGAAACCGGGGGATGGCTGGGACTGAATACGTAAAGGAAACATGATACCAAAGGACACACGAGTGTCTTTGAAGCCAGAACACACTCATGTCCGGCCGCTCTTGCGGTGACTTGCCCCAAAAGTGAGCTGAGATGGCCCGGCCAAGACTAGACGCGCCGAGCGGACGAGCCGGTGAGCTGAGCGGAAACTGTCCGCCAACATTGAAGCCATTGCCGCCACCGTCTGATAGTGTTGTCTGATAAGACTTTCTTCAAAAGTACGCAAGCCGCAGCATGCAGCACCCGTATCCAAAGGACCCAGAGGGCCGGCCATCCCCGACCGCAATCAACAGACTCCAAAACAAAAGAGCCGCAAACTTGAAGCAGAAAACAATCAATCAGAGGGGTTTGATGACCCACCTGACGTAATTCGAGGCAATTACCTCCCCTTTTCTCTCTCCTTCAGAGGATGATTCCCAGGTCGATGTTTGACGGCCCACCTCTCACAGCAAAACTGAACAATGAGGCTCTCACAAGCCGCTCCGTTCCGTCCAAGTTCCGATCTCTTCGGCTTCCCGTCGTGGCGCCGTCCGGCGTCCGATAATCGTCTGGCTGGTTGAAAAGACGGTGAGCAGGGAAACAAAAGCCCCTAGTCTCTCAACCCGAATAAGGCCTTGTTGGTGCCGGCTGCTGCAATGCGACTGCGCTTCAACCGAAGCGAGTGCCTTTTTACGTCGATTTATCGTTTATCGCTCTCAGGCCACGTCGATGATTATCAGTTGATGCTCGCGGTGAGCGAATCGGAACACCGCAGAGGTCCGCAAACACAGAAGCGATGGATATACGGATCGTTCTCCAATCCGGGGGATCAGAGCGAGGGGGTTTGGGGTTCCACCGCTCTTTTTAAACACCGACTGACGGGCTCGTTGGATGACTGGATGGCGTTTGGTGAATGCTATTGAGTGATGGTGACTGGCTTCTCATTCCATGCATGAGACGACGCAGACAGACTAGACCAACACGGTCTCGACAAACACGCTGAGTTGTCACTCTCGGCCGTTCCCTTCGCTACTTGCATCGGAATGAATGCTGCTTTGAGAAAACTGCGATCATGACTGGAACCGTCGTGGACCTTGTCATCATCTCAGCATCTGGCAGTGGTGTCGTCCGTCTCATCGGAGTAGCGGTTTCAATCGCCAGCAACTCTAGGTAACTCAAAATTACTACCTATCATCGAATTGGCCGTCTCATCGGGTGCCAGCGACGGTTGAAATGTTAACGACACATGTGCCCCTCCCCCTCATGTTTTTCCCCGTCGTCATCGGTTGGAGTTCTCACTGGTCTGATGCCTCCATTATTCTTCAATCGATAGGAATCGACAATCCCAGTAGTATCTGAAGGTCTGCATTTGCAATTGCATTTGTGGATGGCTTTCTCCGAGCGCAAACGAGAACACCATCTTCATCTTCAGCGACGGCCCTAGGAAATCCATACATCTCCTACATATCTCATCTCACTTCTCACTCAATCAAAAGGTACCATCTCGGCCATTCCTCAGCACCACGCAGCCCAACATCAGCCTGAACGGGATCTCCTCACCAAGTGAGCCATTTTCCTCTCAATCCATCTCAAAAACCCGCCGACTCTGCCCGAGAAATTTCCCACGTCTTTCCGTCTCATCTCGATGCCCGACCGAACGAAGACGATGGCCAAAACGAACGCGGGCCATCTGACGAGGCACATGGCGCCAATCCCGCCTCTTCAGTGGCTGCTGCCGCGACGAACTGCATCGCGCTCCATGTGTCGTTCTCTCCCCCTCCCTCCCGCCGCTGGATTAGGCCGAGATGACTTGCATCCGCGGCGCGTCAGCTCTTCTGTGGTCCCGACCGAACCCCCCACGAGCTAAAAGTGAGGGCTTTCGGATGACCGCGCCGACGAAGCCATGACAGCCACCACCACGGGGGAACAAAGGGAACAAAGAGATTGTGAGTTCCGTGAGTCTATGCGGACCTTGAGCCTCCTTCTGGACTTCCGCTTTCCGCGAATCTTTGATGCATGTCGCTGTATCAGATATACGCTTGGAAGAGGTGGATCATCCGTGGTTGAGGGACTGACATTGGTTCATAGATAATGTTACGGCGATTAACCCAGTTGGCGTCGGTGAGACTCGGTAAGACTCGGTGACCCCCTTTCCTACTCCGGCATGTTCTTGGGCATCAACATAGTAAAGTCCGACAAGATTAACACAGCGACCTATGAAGCTTTTTCCCGTATTCAAAACTTGTATTCTGGTTAGCGATATAGCCCATGATCACATCAGCGCATCTAACATGATCTATGCAATCAAGCAACTTCCACATGCTCAGCATCCTTCTTATCCAGCACCCCATCCTCCGCGGCACTTCCCCTCGAGCTCAGTTGTGGCCCCTTCCTGAACAGCAGCTTATCTCGCAGAGAGTCCTTCTCGAACAACTCATCCATCTGCTCCAGCGCAATCCCCGAGGTCTCCGGCACGAAGAACCACGCGAAGGCGACCATGACGAAGCAGAACGTTCCGTAGACGAAGTACGTGCCGAAGCCGTTCGTGCCGAGGGTCGCGAACATGCTGGGCGTCGCCTTGGCCACGACAAAGTTGAAGAGCCACTGGCTGGCCGTGGCCATGCCCATCATCAACGCGCGCAGGCGGGCGGGCGGGATTTCGGAGGAGTAGGTCCAGACGACGGGGCCCCATCCGAACTGTCAAGGTTAGTGAGTGATTCATCGGTCGTTTCCGAATTGTGAAATTATGTTGAAGACATATCCGAGGAGGGCGGTGATTGACTTACTTGGTAAACCTACAGAGTCAAGTTAGCATTAGCGTGTCCTTTAATATGGTCTTGCCCGGGGGTATGGTCTTGCTCGGGGGTATGCACTTACAGCGGCGAATATGTAAATGGCAACAAGAGCGACGTAGCCTGGGGCGCTGACCGACTCGCCTGTGATAGGAGGGTCGAATCTGATGTAAAAGCCAACATAGAAAAGCGCGAGTCCCTTTCATCGGCACTCCGTCAGCATATCGTCTCATCCCGCTCCAGTTATGGCATGATCTTACCTGGACGATACCCGTCCACAACAAACTCTTCCTTCGGCCTAGAGTATCCGTCACGAAGACTATGAAGATGGCACAGGAGACCATCTTGACGATACCGTATACGCCAGTAGCGAACAACCCAGCCGAGGACCCAGACAAGCCGACACTGGCGAAGATGCGCGGACTGTAATACGTCATGGCATTCGTCCCGGTCAAGTTACTCCACATCATGAGCGTGATGCAGAGCAGACTCCGCCGGCGGTACGACTTGATGGTGAACGCCTCCTTCAACAGTGAAAACGCCGACGCGTTGATCGCCAGCGCCCGTTCCTCCTCAAGTTGCCTGGAGATACCGTCCATCTCTTGCAGGATGTACGGGTGAGCCGAGGGCAGACCTCGCAGCTTGGCGAGAACAGCGAGTGCTTTGTCGGGATTGCGCTGGGCGAGGAAACGGGGCGACTCGTTGGCTAGGAGCATACCCACGAAGAGGATGACGGCTGGGAAGGCTTGGAGGGAGAGAGGGAGCATGTACTGGGTGTGCCCTTTGATGTGAAGCAGAGAGCCGTAGTTGATCCAGAAGGCGAGCTGGAAACCTGTTAGCTGAGATCGGGCGTCTGCTGGGTTCGGTTGTTGAGCGTACAGTGAGACCAGTCACAATGCTCAGTTGGTATAGACCGGTCAATAGTCCTCGAATGCCGCGAGGCGCGTTTTCCGAAACGTACAAAGGGTTCACGGAGGATGCGATACCGATGGCGATACCTGCGATGAGCCTGGAAACGGGTCAGTCCTTGTGGATTAAGAGACATCGAATGACTCCTTCAACGTACCGACCAACGTAAATCGCCTCGATATGACCACTGGCAGCGGCCTGCAGGGCCACGCCGATGAACACCAATATGGAGGCAATGATGAGCGAGAAACGACGACCAACTCGGTTGGCGAGCCAGGTCGAGAACAGGGCACCGGCGAAGGCTCCTGCTTGGATCACGGACACGATGTTCGATTCGAGGTTGGCGAGGACGGTCTTTGGTTGGTCCATCAGGCCGTATTGTCTGAAAGTAGACATTGTCAGTGAGATTTCTTTCGAATAGAGAAATGAACGTTACCTCTTGAATGTGTCCATCGTCAAGACACCCCCGATGATGCCCATATCCATACCGAACAGCAAGGCACCACCGCATGCCACGAAGCTGACGAGAATTACTCGGGCGTTGTAAATCTCGGGGGGGTCTGACTTAGTCGCTTCATTGCGAACGATCTTCTGCAACAGGCCCATGGTTCAATACCCTCAAATTGCTTTCCACACTTTTTCTGAATGTGTCTATCGGAGCAAACTGATGTCCAGGGCCGAAGAGGACGTTAGAACAAGTCTAAGATGTGCCAACTTGGCTCTTTCGATGCTCGGATAGACTAGATAAGTAAACCGAGCAATAAAGGCCATCTATCTCAGTCCCTAATATCCCAACGTACTGAATCCCTCCACGGCAATAGACGGGAAGCTGTATTACAAACTTCGGGGTTGGTTCAGAACCAGTCGCTCCTGCACCCCGCATCCTACCCCAGATCTAACCCCACAACCCCGAATCCGGGGGACTGGGGAGCAGGCAAGCTGGAGACATGTCGGCATTAGCCACGGAGGAGAGGGCGAGTTAGAGACTAGCTGGGTGCTTGGGATGATGTAGCGCCGGTTATAGATGGCAAAAGCATGTCGTTCGCGGGCGCTTGGCTCGTTCGTTTGAGGCAAGTCTCGCCTGCAAACCCCAGATCAAGGGACCGAAGCTTGACAGACGTGTCTAGTATTCAATGTATCAGACACGGCAACCGCGTATTTCTGACGTCTTCTATGCCGACATCAAGATAAGACTCGCGGATTTGATATTTCCCACAAATGAGATGCTTCTGATTACTCCTGCTGTAGTCTCAATCACCGATCTTTCGGGACGTTACATGTACCTTCACGGTTCGGCAGTGCCTGGTCTGCAGTTACCGAATGATTACACACGAATATGGTTGAAGTCAGCAAACAAGACGCGCTGTCTGAATCTCAGCTTATTATGGTCTGGTCATCGATATCCGTAAGGGCTTGAAGTCGGTACATGTAGTTTTGCTCAGTTAGGCTGACGAATGTGAGTCTTGTGCTAATCAGGCATCATGGCCATGAAAGTCGTAGTCTTCGACAAGACTGTCGATAGAGTTGGAATGATGTAGAAGTGGTTTTTCAACTATGTTACGTGCGGTCTTGTTTCTGATTCTTGCGAGAACAATCACCCCCAAGGATGCCTGGATCTCAAGGCCTAGCGGTTCCAGTGGAGTGGACTTGGTATGTCTGATTTCTTGTACATTTTTCTGCATAACTATCTTAGGCTACAAGTTTTACAACAAGGGGCAGTTGGATGATATGTAACTCTGAACTCCAGAGAATGTGTTGGTTATTTACAAGCCATCAAGGGGCTTGTAGACCTTCATCCAGCGCTGCGAACTTGTTAGTGACTGGAAAATTCTAGACAGGGAGTCAACTTACCCTGTCGTAGGGTTTCTCGGGGTCGACGAAGCGCAGGTCTGTGGCAAGACGAATCCTGGCGTTGGAATCCTTATTCTTGCAGCTCGCGTGGACCATGTATGGGTTGTGGAAGATGACATCTCCTACCTCATACTCCGCGATCAGCCACTTTCTTTTGGACTCCTTGCCATATGTAACCGTATCGCGACTAAGAAACCCTCCATCATTCATGTTCTTGTTGAACGCGCTCACTCTCTCCTCATCGCTGAGATTGTGAGCGTTCTTGGCAAAGTCGTCCTCAGTCTTCATGCCGATATCAGTCGAGCCCTCGAGATACATCAGGCCGCCGCCCTCGAGCGATACAGGACCTATGGGGACCCAGGCCGTCAAGCTCGTGGGCGGGCCGGCGCGAAGATACATTTGATCGAAATGCACCGGCGTCAACTCGCTATCGGGAACGAAGGCGCGAAGCATGGTACGTTGAAGCATGTGAGGAGACTTCCAATCCGTAAAACGGCTCACGAATTCGCGCAGCTCCGGGAACTTGCAGAAGTTGACGTAGAAGTCGGCTTCGTGGGCAGAGACCATGAGCTCCGCGTACTTGTCGCTCTCGGTGTCGTCTTTCAGGCCGAAAAGGCGACGGAGGTTACCAGGAGGCAGATATTTACGAGTGTCCTTCCCGGAAAAGGTGCCTTCCACGGGATCGGTGCCGGGGCGGAGGAGGCCGCTAGGGCTCATGTGTGAGAAGTATTCGCGACGGCACTTGAGCACAGGTTCGTGTGGGAGAAGATCCTTGATCTGAAGTTCAAAGCGGTCAGCGAACTCCGTGGTGATATCGAACGAAGGAAAATAGTACCAAGAGGTAGCCGTCTCGCTCGAAACGCTCACGCATGATCTCAAGGGGAGTGTCCCGGTGAGTTGGTTGAAGGTATCCAATCGATGAAGCATCCATCGGACCGAAGTTCGACTCCAAACTAAGCGTTTTCGGGTCTGCAGGAAAGTAGTTCCCGTAGATATCATTGTCGGGATTGTAGGGTGCGTGGTGGGTGTCGTTCTTGGCGACTTTCTGAGCCGGCAGTGCGGCCGGAACATCGGACTGGAGGATTCCAGGCGCCATTTTGCTGTTGAGGAACTCTTAACGAAAAAAAGCCTTGATCTGTCTTAATGTAAGTCAAATTCTTTGGCGAAATGTTATTTGAACTTTGAGGATCAACAGGAGTCTTTCGACCAGGGCACCCTTAAGCTGTGGATTCGCGGTGATATTTAAATCTGAATAATTCTGACACAAGATCAATGCTTTCGTCGCCACCAGTCTCCGAACACAGCCCTTCAAACTACCTGACGAATACCGTTTAACTCGTCTACTTCGTGTTCCACAGACGCACGCATCGATGATCCTCGGCCGTCTACTACCGTACCCCGCGTCCTACCCCGCCGTCTACAGTCGTCTACAGCCGGGGTTGACCATCTATAACCGTCCCCAGACCCCCGCATCGCTCGTACGAGCTACCCCGGAATCTCGCCTTTACCACTCATGCTCCCCGGATTTGAGGCTTGAACATGACCAAACCTACCGGTGTAAGACAATACCGAGCATGCGTCAGGTGTCGCGCGAGAAAGACACGCTGCGATCTGTGGGTACCCTTGTCGGCTTCTCCGCGTCGTCTGTCGATGACGTCGGTATAAGCGTTTTCACCAGAAACTTGCCTGCTGTTGTCCGGAATATGGGAATGTGGAAGTTTGGCTAACTGTCTGAGTAGAAACAGTATTGGAGAGCATGGCAAGCCGCCATGCGCCAAATGCGTCCGCGAAGGGGCTGAGTGCTCCCTAGCCGGCTCCCGGCGCGGAGGCGATTACTCGCAATACCGAAGTTCCAAGAGACGACGGAGAGAAAGCGATGTGCATACTGTCCCCTCAGTGACGACTGCAACAACTTCGTTTGTCCCAGACCCGGTCATTGAGACTCCGAAGGCACGAGAAGAGCCGCTACATCGATCACTTCAAAACCCGTCCGATGCGCTGTTGATCCTAGCCCGGGCTGCCGAAGACGAGGACGAAGTTGCAGCAGGCGAAGGAGGATTTGCACAATCGACACCAGGCAATGCCTCATCGGTATTGGATTCGATTGTATCTCCTCAGCAGACACGACCTGATCAACTGTCATCCCTTGAATCGCCAATAAACCAAGCAATAGTCAACCAAGCGATTGAGGAGTATCCGCCAATCAAGCAAGGGTCTCTGAATATCCCGACGTTACGGCATCTTATACAACAGTAAGCTTTCGCCTCTAATCCAGGGAGATGTACTGATTGTCCTAGTTACACCGATAATTATCATCCTTTTTTTCCGATCGTCCCCGCCAACGTTCTACTCCCACAACACCTACCCGACACGATCAGACACGAATCGTTTCTTCTGACAGCAGCCCTTGTTGTCGCCTCGAGAGATCAAGTCGACTTTACTGGCTTACACCGATCTATTTGGCAACATATGCGTAGTCTCATCCTTGATGTTGTCCTTGGCATGTCAACGATACGGAGCGTTGGCTGTGTTGAAGGGCTTTTGATCCTGGGCGAATGGACTCCACTGACCTTGGGCCAGAATGATGACGGTGGCGAGGGAGCAGCTTGGTCGATATTGGGGCTAGCTGTCAGACTTGCGTATCTCTTACGTCTGGAAGACAGTTCATTCAGACTCGACAAAGAGGCTGACCCATCAATGCTGCGACGGCGCTTGGCGTGGACATGTAAGCCATCGACAACCCCTACATCAACAGCACCACGGAGCATACTGAGCTAACTCAACCGCAAAGTCACTTACCTTTCAGATCGGCAAATATCGATCCGAATGGGACAGGCTTTCTGGAGTCGAGGACCGGCGCTATCTGCACGTTTCACGGCAGATGACTTCCCGTCACTCCAACCACAGTATACCTCCGGAGAAGACTTTGCATCACTGCTACAAGCACAAGTCGAGTTGACTACTTTGTTTGGAAACGCGCACGACATCTTGTTTGCATCCAAACAGCGGACCGGAGAACTTATGATCCGCGGAGACTACACGAAATACATAGATGACGCCAGCCGGGCAATCGTTGCCTGGAATCTAACCTGGAATGGGCTCATATGCTCCCCGCACTTGAAATGCTGCTTGAGGATGATGGAGAAGTATCTCCGGTTGTACGTCAACGCCTTTGCCTTCCAGGCTGTCTTGTATAGAGCATCTGCGTCGGGAACACAGGAGGTGTCTAAATCAACATGTTTCCCGCATTCGACTATGGCGAGTCCAGATGCACGCCATGTCTACGAGGCGGTAGATGCGGCCGAGGCGCTCCTGAAGATAGCCATCGAAGACATCGACGCCGAGAAGCACTTGCGGTATATGCCTGCTCGGTTCTATCTGTATGTGGTACAATTCGATAGTATGATGGTGTTTTCTGACAATATCGCGTAGATACGAGATTCACTCGGCAGTATTCCTGTACAAAGCACACGCCTCAGGTGCCATATCATCCGCTACACATGCCCAAACGGCCGCCTTGATGAGACGCTTCATCGACGTTCTCGAGACCGCCGCTACAGATGCAGACCATATCGCTGCCAAGTACGCGAAGCTGCTGAACAGATTGTGGTTCCAGCGGACAGAAAACACAACAAATAGCAGAAGACAACGGAACTTGGATGATAGTGCGGAGCCCAGTGCAGCCCAGGAAGCCAATACCCTGCAACCCTTCCTGGGTGAAGATGATGATGCTGATTCAAATCATCTTCCATCGTTTGATGACATCGGATTACAGCCGTTGGACTGGATTGAATCAATCGAGGGTCTTTTCTCCATGCCAGCCGCATTTCCCTGGGATCAAACCATTTACTGAAGGTCGATTTGGTTATTGGAAACGTAGAATGGGCTGATAACTGTTGTTCATAACAAGTCAGCTCAGCCGAAACTCAGGCGAAAATGTCTTGTCGAGAATCGGCTTCGGTGATCTCAACGGGAATATTCATGATCACGTCGAAATACTGTGATTGAAGTGTAATGAGTATTGTTTCATTATGTGCCATGTTCATTATGGCCAGCTATGAGTACATCTTGGTATCAAACACGCTATTCATAAACCCAAATCCTCCCTCATTAGTTCATGCGGTAGACGGCCTCCTTCTTAAAGTAGCGGCTGATGTCGTTGTCTCTGCCGCAGTGGTTGCAGGTGTGCATAACCTTGGCGCCTTCGTGGCCTGGTCCGTAGTGGTCAGGACCCATACCGGTAGACGTAGACATAGAATTGGAAGCAAGCGAACCTTGGTTGAGAGGGGGAGAGACATTGCGTCCACCGACGAGTCCACTTCCGGCACCGACTCCGTGCGTGTTGGTGGGAGACTCGTTGTAGGGGTCCAGCATGCTGGTCTTGGGAACACCGGGCTCGTTGCCGGTGAGACCACCGGAGCCGGAGCGAGGGTAGTCATCGACACCGCCGCGAGTGTTGACGGGAGAGGTCTGGTTGCCAACGGTGTTACCACCAACGTAGCCGGAGTCGCGGAGGTCGTCGTGGTGGTGTCTGTGAGCGGCCTGAGAGGCAGCAGCGCCGAGACCGGCACCGGCAACGCCGCCAGCGATGCCATGGCCGGTGCGGTCGCGGCCCATGTCGCGGTCTCTCATTCTAGTGTCGTAGGGGTCGTTGGTGTTGGCCCCGATGAGCGAAGGGTTCTGGACGGGGTTGTGGACGCCGTACTGAGGCTGGTTGCCGCCGACACCAGATCCGACGTTGCCGCCGTGGCCGGTGTGAGTGAAGTCACGGCCCTCGATGGAGCGGTCGACGTTCGAAGTAGGGTCGTGGTGACCAGCAGTCGACATGGGGTTGTAAGTGCCTCCGCCAACAGCCTCGGGACCTTGGCCTCTGGCACCGTACTGCTCGTTGGGGCGCAGAGGAAGGTCCTTGTTGGCGCCGATGGGGGCACCTCGGTGGTCGCGGTCAGAGTCGACGCGAGGGTCGGCAACGTTGGCAGCACGGGTGTTGTGAGGGCCGTGAGTGCCAGAGGGGTCATCGTAGCCAGTGCGGATGTTGGAGCGGTCATCGTAGCCGGTGTGAGTGTTGGTGCCGGTCAGGCCAGGACCGGTGTGGGTGTTGGAACCAGTAACACCAGGGCCGGTGTGGACGTTAGAGCCAGTCAAGCCGGCACCGGGAGCACCGCGGTGGTCACGGTCGGAGTCAACGCGAGGGTCGGCAAGGTTACCAGCGCGGTTGCCGTGAGGTCCATGGGTGCCGGACGGGTCATCGTAACCAGTGCGGACGTTAGAGCCGGTCAACCCGGTGCCGGTGTGAGCGTTAGAACCCGTCAGGCCGGAACCAGAGTGAACGTTGGAACCAGTAACCCCAGGACCGGTGTGAACGTTGGAACCGGTCAAGCCGGTTCCGGGAGCACCGCGGTGATCACGGTCAGAGTCGACACGGGGGTCGGCGAGGTTCTCGGCGCGGTTGCCGTGGGGGCCGTGAGTGCCGGCGGGATCATCATAGCCTGTACGAGTGTTAGACCCGGTCAGGCCAGAAGTACCCGAGCCACCGGTGACCCCATGGCTCTCTCGGCCCATGGAGCCCCAGTACGGGGAATCGGAGGTTCCGTGCTCACCAGTGCGCGTGTGGTTGGGGCCGTGGCCGACATCGATGCCGGAGTCTGTGGCGTGGTGGCCGGTCCTGCCGGTGCCGGTGAGGTCGCCGGTGGCTCCACCGTGGGTGTTGGTGGTCGGGCTGTGGTGTCCCGTGCCGGTTGTGGTTGTGTGCTTGCCGGTCAGGCCGCTGCCGGTGGTGCCGGTTGTCCCGGTTGTGCCAGTGGTGGTTCCGGTAGTACCAGTAGTGCCGGTTGTTGTGTAGTCGCGGCCGTCAGTCATCTTGTTGTGCTTGGTGCCGGTCGTGTCGGAGGGGAAGCTTCCGGGAGGCTTGTCATTCTCGTAGGAGGTTGACGTCTTGCTAGGACTGTCATGATGGATCGCATCCTTGATCTTCTGTCCGATACCCATGATTGCTAATTATTTATGTGATGTTGTTCGTATAAATGTGAAGCTGAAAGTCTGTTGATGTGATAATATTCGTATAATGCGTGGTTGAGTTACTTGGTGTAGGGTATCTTGTTGTGATTGAATCTGATCTTCCAAAAGTCTGTTGACAAGCCATGGGATTCTGGGCATCATATACTCGCTGCCAGACACGAGATTCATCATTGCGAGCCAGTATCTGATGTGATGTCAGAGCCTTCAGACTGGTCCAGACCAAGCTGTGAGGCCTCGCCGCCCAGACAAATTGTCACCAGTCCATGTCTCGGTTCTGCCATTGTGTTGCTATGAGCTCATGTGGGCCTCGTTGGCTGTCATTCACAGACTATCACAAGTTCCAATTGAGCAACGTCGACAACTCAGGCACCGTAGCGAGAAGGCCATCGACCATCGCAAAGAACGAGACGCACGCAATGACGGCGAGGGAGGGATTCATGACGTGAATTAGCGGGGGCCTATGATCCTAGTCTGCATCCTCTCCCGCCGTAGCGGAGGCTTGTCTTGGCCCCCAGGGCCGCTCCGGCACACGGATCCGATGATCTTCGCCAAAGAAAACAGGGAAACGGTCGCTCCACTGGTGAGGCAACAAGCAATTGGCAGTCGTCATTCAGCCCGTGAGCCGTGTAACCACTCGCCACATGTTTGCGTTACCCCGGAATGCCAGGTTTGCAGAGGGTTGGTGGCACGGTGGCTTTCTATTGTGGCGTAACGAGTGATCAGCTCCGTGTTGACGATGCAGTACATCAACTAGGCCGTTTGGCTGGTGAAGCTCCAACATTCCTGGAGCAGCAACGGCCAATTACATCGGTTGACGCGTCCCGTGTCTCTCGCTTCCTTCTCCAAGTCGGCGATAACCGGACGAGCTTGAGGTTGGGAGATGAATTTGATGGCAGCAGTATGACGATGTTCTACAGCTAGTGGCTAGGGCTGGATACTCGGCAGACAAGTCACGAAACACTACGTCGATGTGCTACCAGACTCGTCTCCAGACACTAGTGTTGGCCTGCAGTCTTTCTCCCAGATAGAACGGTTACGTATGAAATGAGGGGAAATTTCTTAAATTGGTTACCTGCGAGATCGCAATGCGTGGGAATGGTATGAAGACAATTGTATGTATTTCAGTCTTTGGCGATGCCTAAAATAGCCCCGCATGTTGGCCTCTACAGCAGGATTGCCGTTGACCAGCGTCACTCACGCTGGTTCATGAGAGACGTTCATGTTCAAGTAATTCTCACTTCATTGTCTCTGTGCTCAATATAACACAGCAATCGTTCATGCCCATTTCATTTTATATGACTCTGCGATTGATACTATTCACATTCACAGTCACTTACCCTACGCACCGCCAAACAGCTGGCTTTGCTGCGGATGAAGACACCCGTGGATGCTCATCCACTCAGTTAGATCAAATGCATCCCCTAAGGCATCGATTTTCGCTCATCGCTCGTCTAACTCACTATTAATCATATTTCTGTCGTTGTCGCCTTTATTTTCGTTCATTCTCTTGAGCTTTTGCGTTTCCTTTCTCACCCATAAGACGGCGATCTCACGCCCGACTGAGCCTGAAGCTGGAATGCCATCAAGCGTTTAGATAAAAGCTGCGCTAAGATAAGCTTGAATTGCTAAATAGCGACGAATGGTTGATCTTCTCCAGCCAGAAGTTCGAATGACTTACCATTATGAGTTTAGTTGACTGCCAGTCAGAAATCCCACGCTAACTTTCAGCTGCGCTCAGCATGAAGCCGGAAATAGTCGCTTCTGGGGGCGTCGAAGCTTGTAAACAGCGCGTCGGGCGAGACTGCGCCCCAAAATCAGCACTGAATGCGGCAGCCTGTTGATCGCTTTTCAGGAGACATAAAGGCCAAGCTCCCGCCAAGATGGTGTCAAGAGTGAGGTGAATGTTACTCATCAATTAAGCATATTTCAAAGACATTTCTCAGTTTCTCATCATAATGCCTCGCGGACCAATCTCAAAACTCATCGGCGGCGCCGTTGACTTCACCAAGGAATACCGCGCGGATCAAAAGGAGCAAAAGGAACGCAAAGAGGCGCGCGAGAAAGCAACAGCCGAAGCGTCAGCACAGCAGCAAAACAGCCAGTTGGGCGTCCCACAGCACAATTCCACCACTGAATCTGGTCTCAGTGCGTCTGAGGATGACTCGAGCGACAGCGAAGACTGGGCAGTTGAACTGGACGAGGCTCAACAACGTCAACGCAACTTGAATGAAGCCCAGAGAGGAGACGAGAACATCGACGCCGACGAGATCTTGCGGAGGTTCCTTGAACAGCACCCTCCACCTCCGTATGAGGCAGTTGACCACCAACACGGCCCATTGCCCATGCCGGTGATTCTCCCTCAACGCCGCCCCGAGTCGCATCACCGAGGTTTCGTCCGGGCCTATGCACCTGTGCTTGAAGACTGCGGCATCGACCAGGCGACCTGGCTGGAGTTTCTGGACGGGTTTGAGAAAAGCATCAAAGCCAATCCATGGTTCAACGTCCTGAACGCCGGCGTCATGGTCGCTCATGTAGCCGAAACCGCCGTCTCCGGATTCAGCCCCATCTCAATGCTTGTGACGATGGCTGTACACACGGGATTGGAGGCTTCTCGCAGGACCTACATCCACGCCAGGCAGAATGGCTATCTGGACAAGATGAACGAGAAGTTCTTCAAGCCACGTGGATTGTTTTGTCTGGTTGTCAAATACAAGCCCTCAGGCAAGGAGATCGTGGAGGACGTCGACCTCGACAGCAATATTGCCAAAGCTGTTGAAGGCAGGGATGGACAGAGCAAGTGGAAGAATGCATTTAGCTCGGCCTCTACGACGACCAAGAACGAGGTCGAGATTCCGGAACCGGCACCGTTGGTGTTCCCCGACCTGGACGCCTTGGATGATGGGAAGAAGCAAAATGCCGCCAAGGAGTTTGGGCAGTTCGTCACGAAGTACTTCGATCGTCGCGCTGCTTCCAAGTTTGAGGCCGAGAACCCGAATTCCAAGATCCCGCAGCCGCCGCACAAGGAACAGAGCAACGTCTCGGCGAACAGCAGCGGAGGGCTCTTGTCAATGGCAACTGGTGGAAAGGTTGTTGGGCCCGTTGGCCGCATTCAGCAGAGGCGAAATGACCGTCGCGAGATGATGGGCATCGAGCGCCGTGTTGGTCGGGATGCGAGGAAGAAGAGGAAGAAGAACCGACCGCTCAAGAAGATGATGAAGCAGGATGCTCTGTACTTGATGGTGGTCAATCTCCCAAGTCAGGAGGAGATGGATGCTGTCGCAGCCAGCCTGGAGGTACAGTAGAGCCAGATACGAGAGTACTACGATCGAGAGGACCAAACAGATACTTGTTGATAGTTCAAACGACATTACATCGTTCTATTACGTGGATTATTGATTTCTATCACGCTGCCGCCTTGGCATCGGCATTCATGGGATGTTTTGTGTCGAGGCCTGTGTCCTGTGAGACCGAGTCTTCGGCAATAGCTTCGAGTATCCTGGGTCCTTCGAACTTGGCGGCAATCTCTTCCAACTTCAGTCCCTTTGTTTCCACGAACGTGAAGTAAGCAACGACAAGGAACAATGCGTTCCATGAAGCGTTGATGAAGTAAAACTTCCATCCAAGGTCTGCCATTGCATACGCCATGCAGAAAGACGCAAGTAGACTGCATGAAATCAGCTAAAGCGGCTCAAATATGTAGGCGAGTCGGACACAACTTACCCAAAGCCGGCGTCGAGCATTCGGAAGATGGCAATGCCAGTGGCTCGAAGCTTGTATTGGGAGACCTCTGTGGGGTACAGACTGGTCATCGGCGTGATTGAGAAGGCGTAAAACCCCTGAAACAGGAAGATGACGGCAATGTTGCCATAAATACCCGATTGATTGGTGCTCTCGCCGTATGCTGCTTAATATGTCAGTCTTCCGGATGAACGACCTCCGAGTGGATATCTCAGACTCACTCTTAATCAACCCGCCAATGATGTAGAGAGTCGCGGACATGCCGGCTATGCCAATGAAGCTCTGAATGCGTCGACCAAGAACATCCAGCATAAAACTTCCAAATATGGCCACTGCAAATGACCAGCAGTTCAAGATGACCTGGATCTGAGTTTGTTTGACTGTGTCTTTGATGCCTGCTTGGTCAAGAATCTTGGTTAGATAGAACCTGTGACTCTGGTTAGCCATGCAATCATTTGAAGTGTCTAGGAATTCCCATACGAGATGATGAAGTTGCCAAACATATTGATTATTGGACCAAAGGTGCAAAGAATAGCAAGACGCCTCCGATTGGCAGGCGTCGACACGATTTCTCGCCATGGATTCCGCGGGTATTCCTCCTCTTCCTTCTTCATGATGGCCCTGATCTCGTGCAGGCTTTCTCGACCTTGTTGCATGTCCTCGACTCCCTCGCCCTGCATGATGACGAGCACTTCCAAAGCTTCGTCATTGCGGTTGTTCGCGATCAACCATCGGGGAGATTCGGGAATGAACGGTACAAGTACCACAGCGAGGAGACTCGGAACGAACTGCAGAAGAGACGGAAGACGCCAGGACCAGGTGTTCTGAATGTTCTGGCTGCCGTAGTTGACGATGGCTGATGCGAGACTTCCCACGTAGAAGCAGGAGAAGAAAAGTCCGAGAATTCGCCCTCTCTTATGCGGAGGAAGCAGCTCTCCCAGGAGAGTCGGAGCAGCACCGTTGCTGATAGCAGAGCCAATACCGACGATCATTCGGGCAATGACGAACATGGCGATGTTCTGAGCAGCGGCTTGCAGGATGATTCCGATAACTGTGATGACGGAGGCTACAAGGATAGCTCGCCGGCGACCGAAGTAGTCCGGGACCGGCTGCATCAGGAAAGCTCCAATGATGCCTCCTATCCATGACGCAGCATTATTGAGGCCCTCGGTAGCTGTCGTGAGATGGAAATACTCGGTGTAGGAAGGGAGTATCAAGAGACCATTCATGACAGAGGCATCGTATCCGAGTGTCTGTGAGCGAGTGTGTCAGCAATCGAATATAAATCACGAGCAACCGTTTCAACTTACAGCCGAGTTGACAATGGCCACCGCAAGCAGCAACGGAGACAACACCTTCAAGTTGGCCGGAACCAACTTGGAGACGTACTTCCGCTCAAAGCCCATTTCAAACTCTTCTAGACAAAATCGTTCGAGACTGGAACCAAATCATCCGAGAACTTCCACATCCAGACAACATGATGGCTTTCTACCTTTTATCTCGACAATTATGAGAAGATGTGATTTGTGATTGCTGCGAGATGATTGGCTCTCCCCGGACTTCGGGCGAGCTCGGGTGAGCATATCGCAGGTCCACCGAGGGAAGTAAGAATGGCTAGTGCGGCCGCTTCGGGGGGTGTTCGTGGGGAAATGCAACGATTCAATGGAGTCTAATACTCGACCGAGCTCGGGCGAGGTGCATACGATCCGTTAATTGGTCAGTGTCGACCCGAGGAGGATGAAGTTGACCCCGACAGGCTGGGGTGCGATTCTGGCTGATGGACCAGGGGCCCCGGAACTAACAGACAGACAGATATTTAACGCCTTCTTCTGACATGGTGATTCTCGTGACCTTGCTTATCGCTATACTGCCTAATCACTCATTCTTTGACAGCAGCAACTTTCCAAATGCCTGGTCAAGTTCGAGAGTGGCCCGTGTGGGCTGAATATGCCGAACAGGGAGCAACTGAATCGAAAGACACCGATTTTCTCAACACCAAGAAGACCATCATCTCTCACTACGGCGCCGCTTCCTTACGCAAGAGCTGGGTAGAGGTCTGCAAAAAGCTCGAAACTGTCACGGAGGAAATCATCAGCAAAGGTCACGGCATCATCCCAACACTTGACGCAGCGGAATTGCTGGAACGGGGTTTCACAAACGAGCAACGGGCAGAAGTGAAGCGTGTTGGCTCGTTTGTGGTTCGCGGACTAATCCCCAAATCGGAGGCTACCCAGCACTATGCCGATCTCAAACAATACGTCGCCGATAACAAGGGCAAGATTCAGGGCTGGCCTGCGGAAACTCCATCGATGCTGATGTTATACGACTCTCCAACCCAGAACGCCCTCAGAGCCCATCCAAACCAGCTCAAACTCCAACGTATGCTGAACGAGCTTTGGCATGATGCCTCCCACGAGACATCACCCGACCCTTTGGTCTACTATGACGGCATCAGGGACAGACCGCCGCGGCAAGACTTCCTTGGTTTGGGGCCGCATATCGACGCAGGCAGTCTGTGCCGATGGGCTGACAAGACGTACCGGGAGGTGTACGACAACATCTTCTCCGGAAAGCCAGACTCGCACGACTGTTACGATCTTGGTCTACGGAAGGCCGCTAACCAAGAGTTGTACCCGGGCATTGCGCACTCTTCCGTGTTCCGCTCGTTCCAGGGTTGGACAGCATTGACAAGGGCGGCTCCGAACGAAGGGACCCTTCTCGTGTACCCGAATGTTGCGACTGTGATGTCGTACGTCATGCTCCGACCCTTCTTCGCGCCTCCAAGTGATCCCACGGACACCATGGACGCAACGAAATGGACCTTGGACGATTCTACCAGCTGGTTTCCTGGAACCTTCAAGACGGAGAGTCAGCGACTCAGTCGCTCATCTCACCCCCATCTAAGGCTCGAAGAATGCCTAGTTCATGTCCCGAAGATGGAGCCTGGAGATACCGTCTGGTGGCACACGGATGTAAGTATCCTGCTCGATTCCCGAACGTTTTGGACACTGACAAGAGTTACGCAGGTATGTCATGCCGTGGATCCGGAGCACCATGGAACGGAAAATGCATCCGTGGTGTACATAGCCGCATGCCCGTCAACGCCAAACAACAAGGAGTACGTGAAGAAGCAGCTCGAAGGGACTCGCGCCGGAAGACCACCGCCGGATTACGCTGCGGGTAACAGTCTAGATGAGACAACATTGAAGGGGTATGTGGGACTTGACGGGCTGAGTGAAGAGGCGAAGAAGGCGTTCGGTTTCGACCTGTAATTAACGACTTAAAGATCGTCAAAGTACAATATTTCGATTCTCCAAGGGTCTTGAGGGATCCATGTGTTCGCGTAAGATATTTGATGCATGGTCTGCAATGGCGTTGCGAGATTTGACCTCGTCGAGGTACTCGATAGCTAGCTGAACTTCTTCGCTGAAGTCAACCTCATCGCCTGGCGAGGCACGTCGAGACTCCCTGAGAAGGAATATAGCTGCGACGAATATGTGTAGAGATAGTGCCCTTTTTAGCTCAGGTTAGTTGTTATACAACAAGAAGCATGAGTCCGGGGAAGATGCTACCATTGCCTTCGCATCGCAGCGGGTTGGTCCCAGTTATGTGTAATCCATATGATGTCCATAGCCGACCGGATGCAGACCGCTCTCGCCCAGTCGTACTGGCCTGGAGATTCGAGCCACTGGTTCTGCAGTGCCCTGTTGATGCGCATACGATGATGAAGCAGAACGAGACTAATGTCGAATCGTTGCCATTTGATCCAAGGATGGGCAATTTCTAGGTCTTGGATTTCTGGGTTCTTCCCCCCGTCGGGTTGAAGATGCTCCGGCAAGGTGTTGATCACTTCTGCGAGCTCGTCATCCGCGAGTCGAACGATCTCTGCAATCGCCCGCGTTCCCTCCCGCAGCGCTGAGCGGAACCTATGATAAACGATCGAGGTTCGCGACATGAAGATGTGATACTGAACCGGCTGAATGCCGCCCGGAAGATCCGAGTTCGGGTCCATGGAGGGAAGAGGTACATTGAAGTCTCCCTCTTCGACTTGAGGGACGTGGTAAGGGACCGCCAGCCTGTCGTTCTCGTAAGCATGAGTGATGAACCGATGGATCAGCAGGAAGAATACCATTCGCAAATGACCAACGTCCACCACAGTCTTCGTTTAGCTTCCAGACTCATATCGGTGCAAGCATTCTCAGTGTGTGATCCATCGAGACCGAGAGCTTGAGCAATACGTATCGCGCAACTCCATAGATGGCAGCTCAACTCGGAGTCGCCGAAGTTGTAGAAGCACATGCCAAGTATCGCAATCGCTTGGACAACTCGAATGTCGTTTCTCCTCATAAACTCCGACTCGTTTAGGAAGAATAACGCGGACTCGTACCACTTTCTAAGAATCATTTGATGGTTACCTGATCTATTTGTCAGCATGTTGATTATTGCAATCTTCCATGAGGGCATGTAGTTTGTACCCTTGGGAAATATTTGGCGTGCTTCTTCATCGTCCATCATCAAGAAAGCCGCCTTCAAGTAAACATCGATCAGCATCTGTCTCAGTTTCCAACGATCCCAATGAGTCACCATAAGTCAAGACGAACCGTAATCACGCTGAAATAAACGGACAACCAAGCTGGGTCGTAGTCTGTCAAGGCAACCCCGTCGTCAATGGCGCACATGAACTCGGAGTGTCTGTGTTCAAAGTCAGGATACTCGAGTGCGTAGTGCACCCAAGAATTCCATTTCTTGTCATATGCAACAAGCCGTTCACTAGCTTCTCGGTTTGGAAGGGTGACTTCGGCCCAACTGAGTTTGAGTTTTGACGACCTTGGTGGGGTGGGCGTGTTGAATACCATCTCCTCCAAGACATCATGACATTCTAGAAGTTGCTGTGGCTTTCGAGGTCTTAACAGTGGCCAAATTTGCGTAATGTTGACCTTTTCACTAGAGGACAGAATCGCCTTCAACCGCTCGTTTTCTCGAACCAGATCTTCGTACGTTGAAGTGTTTGCCGGATCTTTGGCTCTTGATATGAAGCCGTCAGCTACAGTGCAACTTTTTCATAGAGCTGCTTGATATGACTGGACAACCTTGTGACTTCTCCACGAACAATTACTGTTTCCCGTATGCACCTTTCGGCATCTCCTCGTCGGATGCAGGTTGAGCAAGGGATCTTTTTGTCGCACTTGACTTTCCGTGAACCACATGACTGACAGCTCCTCGGCGCGCGCTGCGTCGTGCGAAACGTTCCTGCCGTGTTATCTGCCATGACCGTATTTCTCTTGTTGTCTCAAATTGCAACCAGCAGATCCACAGTTGTGAATAGTACTTGGTCTGCAATATGTGCCGTCCAACTGCGAACAGATGCAAGATCAAAGCGAAGGCCCTGGACCTGACAACAACACCTTCTAGAACCAAGCCTTGATCGGATAATCTGAAGACTGGCCACATAAATCTGCAGTGCTGCTAGGCGTTCTAGCCAGCCAAGAAAGAGAGGAGAAGTGAAGTCAAGGGGGAAAGTTCGTGACTCGAGAAATCTCAACCGAGCTCACCCGAAGGATCGCAATCGATAAGATAAGCGAGATCGAATCGCTTACGTACCCACAAAATGAATCCAATAAGGCATCCCTGCGCCCCTCAATAAGCTGTCGCCGTCTTACTTCCTCGTCACGTCTTGTCACTTCTTGTCATTCATCGATTTCACGCATCGAGTTATTTCCAGTTATTTCCAGTGACTCATACGTCTGCAATTGGGAGTCTCCTTCATCCACTGCCCAGACGAAGATGGCGCCAGGATATGCTTTTCAAGGAGCCATCATCCACTCCCTCGGCCCCGATGAGGTAAAACTCCTCGAGAACGCCGGCATCTTCGTCGATGGCGATGGTCTGATATCAGAGTTCTTCCTAGACATCTCGGTGGAAGAACTAATGAGGAAAATCCCCGAGGACACAAAGCTTCGTGTTATTCCCAAGGGCCAGTTTCTCTCGCCAGGATTCGTTGATACGCATAACCACGCTCCCCAATGGGCCATGCGTGGGCTTGGCCAAGGTCTTCACATCCTGGACTGGCTCAATCAAGTCACGTTCCCTCACGAAGCACGATTCTCCGATACGACATACGCTAGGAAGGTGTACGAAAGCTGTGTGGACGGATTCCTCAAGCAAGGCATCACGACGGCGTCATACTATGGCTCGAAACACGCGGAGGCGACTCAAATCCTCGCCGACATTTGCCTCGACAAGGGCCAGAGAGCGTTTGTGGGAAAGTGCAACATGGATCGCAATGCTCCCAGCTATCTCCACGATGAATCCGCGGAGTCCTCCTTGCAAGAGACAGTGGATTGCGTCAAGCACATCCGCAAAATTGACCCTGCTGGGGGACTTGTCCGACCTGTCCTCACCCCACGATTCGCCATCTCCTGCACACCAAAGCTCTTAGCTGGCTTGGGGAAGATGGCCAGCCAGGATCCGAAGCTGGCGATTCAGACGCACTTCAACGAAGCGGAACAGGAGATCAAGGCGACAAGAGAGCTGTTTCCGGACTTTTCTAGTGAGGCCGACTTGTACGAACACTTTGGGCTCCTGAGTCAGCGTTCGATTCTTGCCCACTGCACCTTCATGACGGACTATGAGATGGATAAGATCCGGAAGCTGGAGTGCGGCGTCGCTCACTGTCCGATCTCAAACATGACAGTTGGTGGTGGCTTCATGGCAGCATCCATCCGCCAATTTCTGACCCGGGGCATCAAGGTTGGCCTTGGTACCGACAGCGGTGGTGGTTTCTCCTCTAGCATGCTCGATAGTATTCGCCAAGCTGTCATTGCATCAAACGCCCGAGAGGTCATGTCTGGGGGTAAAGATAAAGCACTGTCGCTGAACGAGGTATTCTATCTGTCGACGTTGGGAGGAGCCAGGGTTTGCTGCCTGGACGACAGAATTGGCAACTTCGCGGTGGGCAAGGAGTTTGATGCTCTTTGGGTAACATGTCCGCTGGAGTCGTTTGGTGTCATGACTGTAAGGGAGGAGTCGGATAGCCTGAGAACTGTCTTCGAGAAGTTCCTGATGACGGGCGATGATCGGAACATTGCACGCGTGTATGTGCGTGGCAGAGTGGTCAAAGATACACTTCCAGCGTAGGACCATATTCAATATTAGGACTGAACCAACAAAACGCGTTTGCCTGGTCGTTGCGTAGAGACCGCATCCTCAAACCCATTTCAACAAGAACTCAGACACAGTCTTTTGAAAGAGCTCGGGCTCGTCCGAAGGCGGGCTGTGTCCTGAATTCTCAAAAATGACCAGCTCGCTTTCCGGAATTCCCCTATTGATCTCTTCGCTGTACTCAAAAATCGCGATAAGATCATGTCTACCAGTCACGATGAGAGTCGGCGCCGTTATCTCTCCTAATCTTGACCGAACATCAAACCTCGGCACATTGTGCGAGAAAGCGAAGTTGTGGGTTTCGTATCGCAGCTTGTACGTTTCCGCGATAGTACATGTATTTCCCTCAAATGTCGAGGGCTCCTGGGCAACTTCCTCCCGCTCGTTCTCGGGCGTGTAAATTTTGACGATCTCCCCGAACGCAGCTGCAAAGTCTTTGTTGTCTCTCACGGTGCCGCTGAATAGCCGGACCTGTCGATCTCCGTCTGGTTTGATACGATTGCTGGTGAGGACGGTCTTCAGGCAATTAAGAGTCCCGCGGAGTCCATTTGCCCACGTGTCTCGCAGAATAAGCGCGAGGAGGCGATTCGGATGCGTGATGGCATATTGCAGGGCCAGAAAACCGCCGTAAGAGCCTCCAGCGAGAACGAACTTTTCTTCGCCGGCCCATTCTCTGTGGGGGCAGGCTTGATCAGCATCTCTTATGAATCAAGTGGCAATCGGAAAATCTCACCTTAGTTCATCAACGTCGGCGACCCAGCGCGCATCAGTGTATGGAGGTTTCAAACTGCTGTCGCCGCTTCCTCTGGCATCATACACCAGAACGCGAAATCTAGAGACGAGGAATTCAAAGGACGATTCAGGCTCTCTGTGATCTGATAAGCCCGGTGCGCCATGGAGGGCAATAAGCAGAGGCTTGGTCTTGTCACCGTTACCGAGCATGCGGACTTTCACGGTGGCTCCATCGCTGAGCTCAACTGTGGAAGACGGACTCATTTTTGACGGTAAACAAGCCAGAGTTAGATTCAGGAGTGCAGTCTGTTGTTGATTCGAGTGAGATTGATATCAAAGCTGGGGTCTTCCCGATTTATATCTCACTCGACCTGCGACCAGCTTATCAATCAACGTATGGTTACTTGCACGGATGGGCATCGCGTCATATTGCGTCAATAGGCCTAGGCATTATACTTGTGTTGGAAGACTCCTCCTATTCTCCAAATGGCCACCACTGCCACCTCAGCGAAGGACAGCGCGAATCCTTCGGCGATAAGAAGGAAGCGCTTCATTTGAGGCAGCCCCAAAATTGAGGAGTTAGGAAAGTGAACCGTACTTCAAGTCAGCCGTATTCACATTGGGACTTATTGGAGTCCCGTCTTGAGCAGTTATGAGAAGATGTTGAGTAATGTTTTCTCGAACTTCTAAATTTCATCAAAGTCTATAAGTCTATGTTCATAAAACCATGCCATTCCCTCCATCCAAACACATAAGAAATTCATATTTCGCCGACTTCATCTGAAGTCTTTACTTGGCAAAAGTCCAGCACTGTGACTCGTAGATGGGCACCTCGACCTCGTACAAGGACTTGGTGTAGAACTGAGTGACAAAGGCGTCGAGGTTGAAGTGGAAAGTGCTGGCGAACCAAGCACCGTTGACGCAAGTGTCGGTAGGCTTGGTAAAGGTGACACCACTGGCGCTCGTGTAGGTGAAGTCAACGCTTGCCGCGAAGGCGTTGACAATCTCGGGCTTGGCCTCAATTCCGGCAGACATGTCGAGCAGACCGCTGAAGAGCTTGACGCCCAGAGCAACCTTGAGATCGGCGTAAGGGTTCAGCTGGAGCTCGACCTGGGCGCTGAGGTCGGTGGTGACGTTGGTCTGAGGCTTCCATCCAGTGGCGGTGGTCTTGGCCTGGTCGAGGAAGTCCAGATGGACGGTGGCCTCGGGGATCGTGCTGACGACATCAACGGAGGCCTTGACGGAGCCGGAAGCGGCGAACTCGATGCCGAGACCGAAGTCGACCATGGGACCGACATCGATGATACCGGGGATGGAGAAGGCGGAAACAGAGACGGAGAGGGGGTTGTAGTTGTACAGATCGGTGGAGTAGTTGATGTTCGCGGCGGCGGAGATGTTCAGGTTCAGGGCGGAAGAGTAGTCAACGTCGATGTAAAACTCGTCGACCTTGAACTTCCAGAAGTTGTAGTGGACGTGACCAGCAAGAGTGACAGTGCTTTCGAGCTTGGCCTCGTTGGCAACGATGGTCAGAGAGTCCGTGGAAATGAGCGTGGAGCCAGAAAGATCGGCATTAATGGAGCCGGAGAGGTCGCGCTTGGCAACAGCAGTGCCAGTGTGCTTGAAGTCAATGACAGCGTCGTTGAGCTGGTCGCGAATGGCAACCTTGGTGGAGGAAGCAGTCAGAGTGAGTGTGTCGTTGTCGAAGGTGTATCCGTTCACAACGTAGATACCACGCTCGTGGGGAGCATCGCAAGTGCCGTTGTGGTTGGTGATCATGGTGAAATTCTTCGCGGGCCACGACTTCAAGCAAGTGGTGTAGTCTTCGGCCGCGCTGAACTTGAGCACGACACCGCTGTCAGAGCAGGTAATGTCAGAGATAGTCTCGATATGCTCGAGCAGAACCGAGGGCTGCTTCATCTCTGCGAGGACGAGAGCGTTGGTGTCGTTGAGTCCCTCGTAGTCAAGAGTGACGTTGACCTTGGGAATGAACTTGGCCGGGCCAAGAGGTGTCGCAGGGACTGAGGCCTGGCGCCTGACGGGGCGGAGCATAGCCGGGCTGGGAGGAATCACTTCCCTCGGGGGAAGAACGGCTGACAGTGCCGTACCAGCCAAGGCTTGAACAGCCAAAAGAGCGGAAAGAGTGTACTGCATGATGGCTTGGTCTGATATCCGAAAGAGTGGGAGGATCACAAGACGATAATGAGTGACTGAGATAGGAAAAGACCGTGTAGTCAAAGAAAGAGTGTAGTTGTCAGCGATTGACTAATGACTGTGAGGATGAAGAAGAAAGACGTGATGTTGGTGGCAGACTCCAACGGCTTTATATCTTGACATGAAGTCATCATGAGCTTTCTCGATATGACACTTCAACGCCAATGCACGGGGAACAAGCCCCTTGCCGAGATCTCATCGGGGCTAAAAACAGGATCAGAGTCCACTTCAACAGCTCGAGGACTGGGGCTGAGGACGCCGCACAGTGAGAGCTGACTACAGATTGTTCAGCGGGGTGTTGAAGTTGTACTGGCCAGTCAAGGAGTCAGAACTACTCCACGTTGTGCCTGTACCGGAGCTGTCGAGTCTTCGACTGGGTATCTGCGCCCCAGTCTTGTGGCTCCATATCTCTGCCCTACTCTATCGTACGGTTATCACCGTTCATGGGCAGTAACGACGATACCCACTTGAGCGATGGAATGCATGGCTTAGTCAATACTCAGCATCTGGGAGCCTAGGATGCCATCAATGGGACGATGCTAGAGTCTCACAGGATTGTTGCTTGTCGTAGCAATCTAGCAAGGGATTCAGAATTTGCGCGTTGCGCAGGAAGTATCTGTAGCTCTACGAAGTACAATCTTGGGATTCTTTCCCCAGGTTCTCCTCGGACTCGGACTCGCCTCCAACTGGCCATCTTCGTGTAAACAGGGACTCGTGGGGCACGCGGAGAACAGCCTCCATTCGGGCTCGTGCCGACGTCGCGAGTCAGTCATGGAATACCAAGCATTGTCCAAGCGCGTCGTTCGTCTCGACGCGTCTCTAGTGCGATGTATCCGGAGGCTCTTGAGATTTGGCTAGAGATGTTTGAAAAAGTGCCGAAATGGTATTTTTCTCGATACCAGCAATCATCAATGGCGTAGCAGCTACCGCCTCCATTGACTTGTGAAAAGGTCAGTCACACATGCGTTCACCGAGCAAAGAGCACTCACCCAGACTCTAGACCCGCGGCATGGCCGAGAGCCCCGGACAAGGATATGGCTTCAGGTTGGAGTTGACATCTGAATTGGGTTGACCCCTTTCCAGTGAACTCCACAGCTGGCTAGAAGTTCTGCTTTAGGAACTGGCATTTCAGCCCCCGTGGGCCGCGGACCCTTCAAAGGCTGAGCCTATCTTGGTGAACCGCCAGAATGTGATCTGTGTTCGATGCTGTGGGGTACGTTTGTTCAGCTTGCGTGCTTGTCTTTTATAGCTGACAGGAAATGAATAAGCTATGCTCAGCCTCAACATCATGAGATGAACCATACCACATAGCATACGGCTTTTCCCCAGGCTAGCTCCCTACCTCAATGCTTGTGACTGGGACTTTGTTGTGTTTGACATAAACAAGTAGTGAGGGCCAGACCGTTCCTCGATGAAATGACATTAGTTCAGCTAGTTATCACGAGGTTCGACTGCCTGAACAGAGAGGAAAGCGCCAGTCACCTCGAAGGGCTTCTGCGTGGACGGGTTGCAATATTCATTTATTTCAGAGAACTCTACATGTACACAGTTGCTTGTCCAGATCGTACCATATAATTTCCTCACACGCAAATAATGATCAATTCAGAGGGGGCGAATGCTTGTGGGACTTCTCGCGGAAACCATATTGTCGCACCTGCATATGTATGAACATGAGGTTTTTGTCCGAATACATGCCATAGCTAGCGCTAACCAAACCAGCATGTTTGTCTTACATCGGCATTGATGCCGTCTTGGAGAAACAACCGAAGTGAAAAAGGTTTCACGACTTGTGTACATGTAATTACTAAGAATGACATCTCCTCGCGTTCCCCGCACCAGGTTGTCTTACCGCCATCTAGCCGGATAAGCTTATCCGTATCACAGCAAACCAATAGGGCGATATGGCGAACGTCAGCTCATCGAGTCAGCGATCATTGCTGGAGTAGAGTAAAAGTAGCTTCACTGTTCATTATCTCATCAGCTTTTCACCTGATCTCGCAAAGCAAAGGAACCGTCTCGCGCAAAAATGCCCTTTTCCGGAGCTCCCTTCGATCCCGGTAAGTCATCGATTGCTATTTGCTCAGGTAGCCATTGGCTGATAACTTATACAAAGTACCTCAACACCTTACTATTTGGGAATGGTTGTTTGAGGACCATCGCCGAGATGTCCGAACCAACGCATTCACAGACGCTTTGTCAACCGAGCGGGTGACTTTCGAAACCCTGAAGACATACGCGACGAGTGCTTCCATTTCGCTGGCTCTTGATCACGCTCTAAAGGCCAAAGAAAAGGTGGCGATTGTCTGCCGTTCCTCAGTATGGTACCCTGTGGCTGTGTTCGCAGCTATTCGCTTGGGTGCGGTGGTGGTTCCGTTACCGCATGAAGCCAAACCCCCGGATTACGAGTACTTCCTCAAGACCTGCGGTGCAAAGCTTGTCTTCGTTGACGAGTCAACGGTAGACCTTGTGCGGCCTGCTTGCGCCAGGCTGAACCTTGGTCCAGAGAGCATCATGTCTGTTGATGGCAGCGTCAAGGGATTGAAGTCACTTCAAACCTTGATTGGTGATGGCGGTTCACTTGGTAGACAAGAAGAGGTCTCATACTGGCAACTATCCTCGACTCAGACGAATGACAAGACTTGTGCGTATCTAGCATTCAGCTCTGGTACAACTGGTCTGCCAAAGGCTGTGAGTTTCCACCACGTTGAACGCTGCCCGGGGCTTCTTTGTCCCTGCAGTCTCAGTAGGTCACATGGTTTGGTACTGATAACAGGGCTCAGGTCATGATATCCCACGCAAACGTGATCTCTCAGTGTCTACAGATGCAGATCATGGAACTTGGTACAGGAGTGCCACTTCTTGCACCACTTCCGTTTTATCACAGTGAGGAGAGCTACCCTGTAGCGAGAATCAGAAACTGACAAAACTCATCAAACTCCAGTCACCGGCTTGGCACAGTTTCTACATCTTCCAATACTGTTTGACCAAGAGACCATTCTCTTGAGCAAGTTCAACATGGAGGCCATGATGAGTGCCATCACACGTTACAAATGCGGAGAGCTATGGCTGGTTCCTCGTAAGTCGCTCGATCGTGAAAATAGTTAAATACTCACCACCGAATCAGCTATCCTCATTCGAATGGTCAACGAGAATGTCGCTCAGAAGTACGACCTTTCTTGTGTCAAGCAGTTCAACACTGGTGCTGCACCACTCTCTCCTCAGGTCATTGAGAAGTTGTCAAAGGACTTCCCGAACGTCAGGCTGAGACAGGGATGGGGTATGACCGAGAGTTGCAGTTGCATAACCACTACTCCCAAGGACCTTCAAACCTACGAGAATGCACACAAAGTAGGAACTGCAGTGCCTGGCACGTTAATAAAAGTTGTAGACCCGGTCTCTGGGGAGGAAAGAGGACCAGAGGTCGAAGGAGAGGTAAGGGCTCCAATGATACCCAGATGCCTCCGCTCTCTACCCAGTGATTCTGACATGCGTGTGATTCGATTATTAGATTTGGGCTCGTGGGCCGCAAGTAACCATGGGATATCTCAACAACGAGAAAGCCACAAGAGACACCTTTGACCAAGACGGCTATCTCCACACAGGAGACCTTGGAATGATGGGCCGGGACGGCTTCATCACTATTCATGACCGAATCAAGGAGATGATCAAGGTTAGTAACAGTTCTCTGCACCCGCATCAATGGTAGACTTTCAAAGCTGATGTCCTCATAGGTCAAGGGTCATGGAGTTGCCCCCGCGGAATTGGAGGATACCTTACACGGCCATGCAAAGGTTGCAGATGTTGCGGTCATCGGGATTCCGGATGAATATTCCGGAGAGGTGCCCAAGGCCTTTGTAGTACTGAAGCCGGACGTGAGCAAGAGTCAAGAGACGATCGAGGAGTTACAAAAGCACGTCGAAGAAGCGAAAGCTAGATACATGTGGCTTCGTGGTGGCATCGAGTTCATAGACGAGATCCCGAAGAGTGCCTCGGGAAAGATTCTCAGACGCGCACTGAGAGAGTCCGAGAAGAAGAAAGCGGCCCAAAGAGGAGGAAAGGCACGTCTGTGACGAGTATATCACAACGAGTTGTTGGGTAGACAAATTTGAGCTCAGAAGAAAGTCGACAGAAATGGTATTTGTGATTTCCAAGTGCATTTTTCGTAGCTAAACAGGATTCAAAGAAGTGAATAATGGCTTTGCCACCTCCTCCGGGTTCAAATACCAAGACACGTCTCCTACGTCCACTTCAATGTCAGTGAACCCGTTGCCCATGAACTCGAAACGGTTTCTGCTTCGGTACTTGATATCATAATCCTCGAACCTCGGTCGATTCATCATAAAAAGCCAATGAACAAGAGATCCGGGATACTGCGCGGTAATTTTCCCATCTGGCTTGCCCTGGTTGTACCACGAACGGCAGCCTCCCGACCAGACACTGCGAGACATTCCGCTTAGCAAATGATTGGGCGAAATGTCAGGCTTTTCAGTATTATCGGCCCGGGAAGGTGAACCCACGATCGCTTGAGCCACTCATGGGCATGCTCATTGTATTCTTTGATAACTTCTGCTTTGACCTCAATAGATCGGATATTTTCAATTTGCATTTTTCGAATCACTCTACAAACGTAGTTCTGGGCCGCCTCGAGTACAGTAGTAAAAGAACCATGGGCTGCTGGACAGTTTGGACCAAGAGACCCAACTGAAGAATTCGAGATCAGCTTCCCAACAGCTTGTCTTTTTAATTGAGGAAAAGTTGAGAAAAGGGGAGAACTCACACATGAGATTTGGAAAGCCATGGGCAGCAAGAGCCAAGTAAGCTTCAGGCTCATCTTTCCAAGTCTCCGCGAGGCTCTCGCCATTGCGGCCGATGATCGGAAAATGGGGACGGAAGCTGACGTCGAAGCCTGTTGCACAGATGATAACATCCGCCTCATACTCGACGCCCTCCTTTGTTCTCAGGCCAGTCTTAGTGAAGGTTGAGATGTCCCCATCAGCCAACTCAACATTCTCCTCATGAAAAGACTCTAGGAAGCCCTCAGCTGGACCAATTCGTCGGCATCCTATAGGGAACGAGGGGATTAGACGTTTCTCAAGTCTTTTGTTTCCCTTGAGAGCGTCGGTCATCTTGGACTCAATTTGCTAGCACAATCATTAACTCAGTAAGTTGAATAAAAAAGACGTGGTGTCTGTCATACCTGGCGTGCCGCTTCTTGGATAGGATGACTGAGCAAATTCAGCGCAAACCCCCTGTTGATGGTGTCTTCCACATATTTTCGGTGACTCAAGTATAATTCGGGGTTGTTCTTGAAAGCGGCGATCTGCTCTTCTGTGTCTGAAAGACGTCAGCTCATTTTCAATGACTTTGCTAGGAGAGGTGGCTCAGCACAAGAGAAGTCTCCTCCGTCCTCATCCGTATACCCAGCGAGCGGAATGAGGCCTCCGGTGATCCATTGAGGCGTGCGGTAAAATGAGATCACCTTTTTTGCTTCCCCTTTTATAGCCGGGACTATTTGTACGGCAGATGCTCCAGACCCAATGACGATCACTGTCTTATCTTTAAGAACAACCGACGGGTCGTATGCTGCCGAGTGCATTATTTTGCCCCCAAAAGACTCGCGGTTTGGAATGTCAGGCCATTTCCAGGTGTTATTCACACCGATGCTTGAAACGAGAAAGTCGACTTTATCCTGGAAGTGCCGCTTCTCTCCATTCCCCAAAAGTTCGTCGATTTCCAGAATCCACTGACTGCTTTCCGCATTCCAAGTGGCTTTCGTCACCTCATGGCGTAGCTTGATGTATTTTTCAAGGTATCCCTGATCTTTGGCAAAGGAATGGTAATATTCCTGAATCTCCGAAGCCGGGGCGCAGTATCTCGACCAATCCGGTTTGGGGTGGAATGAAAGCTGATATGAAGGAGATGGGATGTCACAGCGGCAGCCCGGATACCTGTTGGCATGCCAGACACCACCGCAGGCGGAATAGCCTACCCAGCTTAGCAAAGCCTGATCGAAGAGTTGAAGGGAACCCAGAAGGAACTTACGGTCGTATACTACAAGATCCAGACTGTCCCCAAACTCCTTTTCCTTCTTGTAACACAAAATCAGGCCTGAAGCTCCGGCACCAATGCAGGCGATCCGCATCTTTCGAGGAGCCCATAGTATGTGCTCTGAGACTTTGTAGGTATCTTCGATGTTATGGGTAAGGGGTGTGCCTCCGACTTTGTTGTCAATGTTATGGACAGAGTCGGTGCGATGGGGAACACCATCTGGTGACTCGGCGTGGATCGCCATGATAAACAATGCAGTAAGAAGGGATGGATCAGACGCCTTTCTCCACGAAGTACGCTATGTTTGGGCCAAAGAAGAAAGAACTCAACGCTCTCCATGCAACAGGAATGTCGTTTTGGGTATCGGAGACGGGATTTCTCACTATCCGCCCGTGAGCATGTGTAATTTCTTAGCGCCAACAGAACGCTACGTCGTATTAGACTTCTCACTGCAGTCTTCTTCGAGTGAGATCTTGTTGTGCCTCGGTCGACTATTGATCTCCACTCGTGTCACGGCCAGATCCGTTGGTTAGTGCTCGGGGAACGGGCGGAAGCCCATGTTCCCCGCGTAGAATGGGTCCTGTCCCTCTCGTGTACTTGAGATTATACGTAAAGGCTGGTCAAGACCCCTGTCGACGGCCTGGAAGACACATTTGTCTTAACTGTATGTGGAAGGTCTGAGGACGGGGCACGACATCTTTGAAGCACCTGTGAGTGGATCAAAAAGACTCTCGTCTTATGATTTCAAGATAACAGGCTTGGTTTAGTTTTATTCCCGATTCGGCGAAGGCGTACCGCGTTGTGGCACATTTGGTGGGTAACAAATGTTGTGTCGGCCTGTAGTTTGTCTATCGTAGCATAACTCAGGCCTCAATACTCAATACGTATCTTGATCTTGAGTTAGTGAATTTCAAATCAACGTGAAATGATGATTATAAGAGTATCACGTTTCGTCGTGACGCCCCTATGTAGAGTGAAGGGTATCTCGGTTGGCTTCTGCAACTATGTGACGCAACAAACTAGAGAAGGTTCAAGGATAATTATATGCCTTAGAAGTCTTTTTCACGTAGGTCTAGTCTAAAAGCAGTTACGGCAGTGATGAAACTCACCGCTGACACGGCTCCATCGTTTCATTCGTAAAAGAAACGATTTTGCAAATACATTTGCATCAAGTATGTACCCAATCAACATGGTTTACTAAGATCTTATTGTGACTCGTTCACTGAAGCGGGCTCTGTTGACCAGGAACTTCTAAAACCTACATGTAGATTAGGGATCTGTTAAGAATGGACAATTGCTACTTTGGCCCAAACTCCAGTCAATACTGAGTTGTAATAAAAGGTTAAAGACGCAACTGGGGCAAAAGTCCCTAAGATTGGTGGCTGTATAGTCTTATTTTCAACTGATCGGATTCCAAGTTGTATGAAAGCTCGATACTAATTAATAGTAGTTGTGGGATACCTCTTCTTCCTCCATTTGTCAAGTTGGTATCAGGATCAAGTGCTGAACTGAGAGTTCAGTATTGTTAATCACACTACGCTGGCTGCTCAGTTAAGAGTGCATAGAGTTATCCTCTGTCTTTGAACTAGAATCTGGAATGTCGTAAACATCATCAGTCGGACGACCCTCATTCGTCACACGGAATCCGAACTTGGAGGCTCTTACTTGCTTTGTCACCGAGACAAGTTCCGCTTTGGACGCTTCTTCCGATAGACTGGAACGGGAGAGATCTCACCGGAGATTTATGAGACGATCTGCCTATCTGATACAATCGGATCAACAAGAAGAGCAATGTTCGGCGAACACTGCGGGGACCTCCTTCGTCCACTCGTCTGGGATCTTCGCAGTAGTTCGTTATGTTTGAGGTGAGGTAGACCCCTCGTCTCCAACCACATCCCCCACTTCTCCAAATACGTCATGCTGCAATGAAACTTGGGGTACGGCTTGGATTTCACTGTATCACCTTGCCGCCATCTTATCCTCGGATGGACGTTGCGAAGCGGGGAAGCACTTGGACAATCTACCTAGATTTGGCCATTTCTTCTTCCCCGCCCCCATCTACGAATGGCAGTTCTTCGCCGATGAGGACCAGTTTAAGGCTCGGAGGTTCGGCGTTCATCCCACTCTTACTCGGAATCCTTATCACTCCGCGGACCATCCCCGTTTTCCCCCCAAAACATGCCGGCGCAAACTGGATCGCGGCGGGATCCCCGCGTCTTGGCGAAAGTTTCCCGCGTCTACCCCGCAGCGGCGCAATCCACCAGCTCCTTTCAGCAAGATATCCCGCGGGTGAGGAGGGGATTCTGTGGACGCCGGTCATCCGGTGTCGATGTCATACAATGGGAGCTATTCTTGGTGAGATTTCTTTGGGGATTGGTCCTCGTGAGGGGTTGGTACATGAGATGGGATAAATATGACGGGCGGCGCTGCTGGGACTAACGTCAGTCCTACTTGGTTCCTCATTTATCGTTAGCAGAAATTCAACTGCGCATACATACCACCATGACCTCTACAATGAAAGCAGTGAACTACCAGGGACCTTACAAGGTCAAGGTTTCGGAAGTATCACTGCCAAAGATCCTTCACCCTGACGATGTCATTGTCAAAGTCACGACAGTAAGATGAACCCCGCCCTGGTCTAGTACCTCATGAATGAAAGTCACAATGCTGATTGTTCAAACAGGCTGCCATTTGCGGCTCAGACTTGCAGTATGTTACTAATCAACCTGCTCATTGACTTATGAGTTCTAACTTGCATGTAGTATGTACGAGGGAAGAACCGCAGCTGAGGCCGGCATCACCTTTGGTAAGTCCATGCTGATTCAAGACATGGAGCAAGCACTGACTGTGCCGCAGGCCATGAGAACATGGGTATCGTCGAAGAACTAGGAAGTGGTGTCACTCTCCTGAAGAAGGGAGACCGCGTTGTTATGCCATTCAATGTTGCAGACGGTCGCTGCCAGAACTGCGAAGAAGGACGCACCGCATTCTGCACAGGCGTTAACCCCGGATTCGCTGGTGGTGCTTACGGTTTGTTAATTCCTCTTTCTAATGGTGTCACGGGAACTGACATTGTGCAGGTTACGTCGCTATGGGCCCCTACCCGGGTGGTACGTGTTGATGGACTAGGAAATTGCTCAATAAGTGTGGGAATGAAGCTGACTTGCCGTAGGCCAGGCTCAGTACCTCAGAGTGCCTTACGCTGATTTCAATGCTCTGAAGCTTCCTCCTGGAAAGGAATTCGAGGCTGATTTCATTCTTCTTGCTGATATTTTCCCCACCGGTAAGGCGAAGTCCATTAGCCCTGTGACTAAGATACATGTATCTAACATTAAAAGGCTGGCACGGTGTCGAACTCTCTGGCTTTAAGCCAGGCGAAAGCGTTGCTGTCTTTGGTGCCGGACCAGTAGGCCTGATGGCGGCCTACTCGGCGGTTCTTCGCGGAGCTTCCAGAGTCTTTGTTGTCGACCGAGTTCCCGAGCGGTTGCAGTCTGCGGAAAAGATTGGATGCATTGCCATTGATTTCACCAAGGGAGATGCTGTGGAGCAAATCAAGAAGTCAAATGGAGGCGAAGTTGACCGCTCAGTCGATGCGGTCGGATACCAGGCCGTCAATGCTGGCGGCAGCACCGAACAGCCCAACATTGTGTTGGAAAACATGATCAAGGTCACCCGGGCTTGTGGAGGACTTGGTATCCCAGGCCTTTACGTCCCAAGGTGAGTTTCGATTTCGGAGACTTTTGTGCACTTGCTAACATCATTTGACAGTGACCCCGGTGCTTCTGACGACGCCTCTGCGAAGGGTATGATCAGCTTGAGTTTCGGTAAACTCTTCGAGAAGGTATGATCTAGGAGTCCATGTTGCCGCGTAAATTGAACAATACAGCTGACCTTTCCAGGGACTCTCACTTGGCACCGGTCAATGCAATGTGAAGGCCTACAACCGATACTTGCGTGACCTCATCATCTCAGGCAGGGCCAAGCCCAGTTTTGTCGTTTCTCACGAGATCAACATCGACGATGCAGAGGTTGCTTACGAGAAGTTCGACAAGAGAATCGATGGCTACACCAAGGTTCTTATCCACCCTAATGGTGGATTCTAATGTTGTATGAGCGAGGTTGAGAGATTTGAGTTGGTTTGAGCGGTGTTGAGGTGTTCAAAAGTGGTCGAGGCTGAGGTGGCGGTTGTCGAGCGAGGTGTTCAGGTTGGCGGTGGGTGAACGAGTGATTTGATGGCCATGGATGCAAGCCATGAGAACAATGTCGTGTTGCCCTACATTTTCACCATTTACTTCCTCTTGAATGGGTTGAACTTATCTTTTCAGTCATATTTCATTTTCAAGGAATGTCAAAACTTGTTCAAGAAACATGCTTGGTCACAAGGCTTGAGCGACACCTTGGGAGAAGCATCAATGTGTAGACCATGTTCTAGTCAAGATATTGCTTTCATGAACGAGACTCGCTGAATGTCAATAGGTTATTTGCTATCTCCAAGAAGTGGTAATGCGACGTATTCTGCAGTTTCCCAAGTTGAATGGTTGTGTCTTGCAATTCAGGTCTCCTTACCGATGCATGTGTTTCATTTTCAATTTTAAACCGAGACACACCCTTGCTTGTGACTGTTGAGCTCTACCTCCCTAGATATCCCCTACTTCTTATCACCAAGAGAATGACTGTTCTTTCCAGTTATGAGACCAGATGCGCCGTGTGACACCGAAACGTGATTCCTATGATGAATGACAATACGAACCAGAGGCGGAAGATGCCCCATGGCAGTGCACCAGTCGCACATTTTTTCGGAACCGGTGACTTCCAATTCGCAGAAACAGGTCAGGCAACGGCACCGACAGATATCTTCTCCAGGAGAGGGCATTTCTAAATAGTTGTGTGAATGAATTTTGGGGTGTATGACCATTGATTTGCGGTTGATTGTGAGGAGAGCATTCGAAATGGGAAGTTAGAGAACCAGCTGGGAATTAAAAACAAATGCTCCAGACCTTGTGACCTAAATACGTCTCCATTTCTGGTAGAGCGGAATGTGTGAATCACGATGGGAACTCAGCATCCTCAAGGAGCCTTTTATCACTTAGGGGATATTCACATTTCGGATCGAAGAGCATTCGGTCGCATGGCAGCCGAATAACTGTCGTTTCAACTGAGAAGATTCAGCAAGAGGTCTTAGACAAAGTCTTAAGATACTTACATATAATACATTCTATTAACGTGACTTTCATGTTTGAATCAGCCATCGCAGATCTGTCCGGGGCATTAGCGGTTTACTCAATTGACATCAGCCAAACCTCACATCTTGCCTCTGGTCAACATTCGAAACTGTTAGTGGGCAGCATCTCCAAGTCCCAGTATTTTTATGATGAACTTCGCCATTTCTGGTGAGTTGCAGGAAGCACAAGGATCTGCGCGGGGCCACATGCATACAGACCGGACTTGTTGCCAGAATTCGTGCTAAATGATTCCGCTTGTGCTGTGCCACTTCGCCAAGGCGATGCTGCATCTTTGGCCCCTGGCTAGTGACGAATTTTGCGAATTTGATGTTCTTAGCACCAACAATAATTTGGGTCCTCGTATCACTCGTGTCGATACTCTGCAGCATGGCCATCTCTACTTAATTAACGCGTCCCGCGGATCCTGCTCCGTGGGTGAGATGGCACTGGTCCGCCTTTGCCTTCCCAACCTGGCATTTTCTATTCTCAAGAAATGGTCAATTTCACTTTACTTTGCGTCAGCTTGCTGGCCGGCAGCTGCTTCGCCTCCGAGCTAGGCCGCGACTGCACCGGAGTCAATGCCATCCACCCGCGGTGTTCGACCGCTGACACCATCCCGTATACCAGAGACTTCTTTTACGTCGGCGGCCGGGCTCTCGAAACCGCCTCTGGCGAGCTTACCGCCGACAAGCTCTACGTTGAGAAGATCAGCCCAATTGTCCCCCTACGCGAAAAGCCCATCGTTCTATTCCATGGCGGAGGATGTAGTGGTACGACTTGGCTCAACACGCCTGACAATCGCAAGGGATTCGCAAACTATTTCGTCGAGAAGGGCTATGTGGTTTACATTGTCGATGCTGCCGGTAACGGCCGGAGCACGAACATGGATTTGGAGGGTTTCCCTTTGACTGCGGGTTCCTCCTCAGCCCTCGTTGAGATGGGATTCTCTGCTCCCGAAGCTTACAACGGCTATCCTCAGTCTCAGCTGCATACCCAGTTCCCCGGAACAGGCAGAGCTGGAGATCCAGCGTTCGAGAACTTCAAGAACTCCATGGTTCCTTACACGACAAACAACATCACGTTTGAGAACGCCATGAGAGCTGGAGGCTGCAAGTTGCTGAGCCTCATTGGCAAGTCATACGTAATCGGTCACTCGGCAGGAGGATCAGCCGGCATTCTGCTCTCAAACGACTGCCCCGAGCTGGTCGCTGCCAACATCAACCTCGAATCCTCGACCATTCCGTTTTTCTGGTACACCTACGGCACCGCGGGCTTCTTCAACAACGCGTGGGGTCTGGCCAACACTCCTCTGAACTACACTCCGCCAATCTCAGATCCCTCAGAGCTCAAGAGAGTTGAAGTTGGTAATTCCACGGTGGCTAGGCGCAGTTGCTTTCGACAGGCCGAGCCGGCTCACACGCTGCCCAACATTGCTAGTGTACCGTACCTCATGGTCACCGGTGAGGCTAGTGTCCACATCACCTATGACCACTGCATCGTCGATTATATGAAGCAGATTGGTGCCAAGCCGGAATGGATCAAGCTTGCGGACCGTGGAATACGAGGCAACGGCCACTTCATGCATATCGAAAAGAATAATGGCGAAATTGCTAAGTTGGTTCTGAACTGGATCAAGGAGAAGGAGGACACGATCTGGTAAACCAAGACCAGGAAGATCGTTCCACCTTTGACAATATCCATGTCACCAGTCGATTAAGTTCACGTGTACACATTGAGTCGAGTAATAATGTTTATGAATCGATAATATGGAAGTCAGTCTTTGTTCAGCGATCCCTTCTCATTTTGTACCCATTTGACTGTTGATGCCACTCGGGGCGATTGTGCCACTGTGGAGAGGGTGCTCTAGGATCGTGTCTCCGGATTTCTGGATGTTCGTCGGCACGAGAAACGTGTACTTCGACTTCCTGGGTGCGCAAGATATTCATTTCGAGCCCCCCACCTTCGCTGTTAGTATCACGCAGATGATCTTTCTGCACGATACTCTCGCTCGACTCGGACCGATCCATCATCTGTGTGATAATGGATATTGAAGATTTCTTGACATGCTGGTGGCTCTTCTGTGTTCCCGTATCCGAAGTTTTGCTGTACTGCCATGTTCCGTTGTCGGTCACCCCATGAGACTGTCCGTTGTCGTAGGAATTGGCCATGCTGCTCTTGGCCTTGAGCCAGTACTTTTCCAGCAACCCATCGAGCACTGGTAGCGAAGCAGTGAGAATGCCCAGCGATAAGTCCAAGCAAGTCCACACCAACACTTCAACATAATCCCAAGTGAAGTCGTTCGTCATCGTAGGTCGGATCTGTCGCAGTAGTCCCCCAAGAACTGTCACGCCGCCAACGATCCAGATTGCGAAGAGACGAATCTTCTTCGCTCTTTGAATGCGAACCTTCCATAGGATGATGATGGGAGTCAACAAAAGGGTGATTCCTTGTGCCACATGAATACCGCTGAGAACTTTGGACTGAACGCCAAGATCTATGCAAGTTGGAATTGGCTCAAGACGTCCGCGCATAGCCAAGTCCCATTGAATAGCCGGCGGATTGCAAGCAAAGATGTTGTAGAAGATCGCCAACAACACGAACATAACCAATGAGGCCATGAAGATGTCGCAGAATATCTGCCACCACTTGTTGATTCGGTCTGCCATCCGGCGAATGAAAATGGCTATGGAAAGCTTGATCATCCCGACGGCGACATAGAACGTCGTCTTGCATGTCATAGCGACGACCATGCCAAAGTTATATTTCTCGTACGTGACCTCCCATGTGTGCACAGCGGCGGCGCCGACTGCAAGAGACGTGATCTGAGTGACGGGATATACAAGAGCGAGGAGCTGCGATAGAAGGAAACTGTTAGCAAAGGTCTAGATCCGATTCCAAGAGATACCCATCGATACTTTCTGCTTGCCATGGCATCTCCGAGCATAGCTATCGATGTTCATATGATCTTTCTGGATAGTCTACTCACTGCCGCTACGATGATAATCCAGTCATCCCACCCAAACTGCATGCTTGAGCCTATCCGCAACCTAAGTATGACACGTCCAACTGTGGGGACGACGATGGCCAAAACAACGAAGATCAGGCCGGTGAGAACACTGGGTAGTCTCGTCTCGTGTACGTAGTCCGGAGGAGGCTTTGCCGAGAGGAAGTAACCCATCATGGGGTTCGCACTGTTCATTCCGATCATACGGAATAGGCCCTTGACGATGTAATAATCATGCTGAGTCGCGGGCGGCTGGCCGACAAAGGCCGACGGCCCCGCGAGAGGTAGGCTGCTCGGGTCATCTGGGATCGCGTTGAATGCGTCTAAGGATGCCATCACAGGCGTCACATGGAGGTTCCATTCGGTGGGAGAAAGAAAGTTGCTGAATTTGACGCTTACGACGCGGGCGGACTTACGAGCGTGTCGGGCCCAGGCTGTTTATCACTTCGACTGGCACAGCAGACATTTTGATCAGAAAAAGCAACACTTTGCCTGCGCTAGGAGATCTCGCTTCAAACGCGAGTCTAATGAAGAATTTGCCCTGCTGTGCCGTCGCGGCACTGAAGCGAGCCATGCTATCTTTCAGTGGCATAATCTCGAAGCTGCACGTTGGCAAATGCGGCAGCTCTTCCTGGAGGGCCACACCCTGGTATTCTTGGCCTGCAGGTTTCCATCGTGTAATTAATTGGTGGATTGGAGGTGTTCGGACCAGACACATCCGTACTCCTTGCCCGTCGGCAGATCTTTCATGTTTTCTGCGATGCTTAAGAGAAAGGCCATGCTCAACGGGCTAGAAGTGCTACCAAGATCTGATCTTCATATTCTAGAAGTCCGCATTGCGGCCTTGTTGATTGAGAAACCAGCACAGTCAAAGCCATCCTTGACTCTCTGAACTCCATGCCCCGATCCCACACGGGAACATGGGTTCCGGGGAATGCGTCCCGATCTAGCGTGCCATCCGCCCCCGAATGAGACTCCGCTGAGTCCCTGTATTAACCCTGCAGTAGGCATGGTAATTTCCTCTGATCCTTGCTGTCTTGGGGAATTACAGCGAGACGGCCCCTCTTCGATTTGGGTGATGTTGTGGTCTCGATGTTATTCCACCGATGATGCGTCTTGACCCTTCAAGGTTAGAACCCGTCGATTTTCGGTCGATGAATGGATTATGTCTTCAAATTAAAGAGCTAGTGTATTTCGATATATTCTTTGACGTTGGTGTATTCCCAGCCGTCCTCATCTCTGGCCACCGAGAGCAATGATCTCCTCCTCAATCGCCTTGCCAAATCCTTCCGTTGTTCCCTTTCCTCCGAGATCAGGCGTCGTCACAGACACCTCGGAACGTGCCAGGACATTCTCGATTGCCTTGAGCACCAAGTCGGCAGCCTCGGTGTATCCGTAGTGCTGAAGGAGCATCTGCCCAGCCCAAATCATTCCGACCGGGTTGGCAATGCCCTTGCCAAAGATGTCCGGTGCACTGCCGTGTACTGGCTCAAAGAGACTCGGGAACTTTCCATCGGGGTTGATATTGGCGGATGGGGCGATGCCGATAGTACCTGTACAAGCCGGTCCCAAGTCCGAAAGGATATCGCCGAAAAGATTGCTTCCCACAACCACGTCGAAGATGTTCGGGCGCTGAACGAAGTGTGCCGTCAAGATGTCGATGTGGTACTTATCCAGATTGACCTCAGGATAGCCCTTGGCCATTTCCTCAACACGAGAATCCCAGTAAGGCATGGTGATGCTGATGCCGTTGCTCTTTGTCGCACTTGTCAGCCGCTTGCGGGGTCGGCTCTGAGCAAGGTCGAAGGCGTAGCGTAGAACCCTGTCGACACCCACTCTTGTCATGATCGTCTCCTGGATAACCGTTTCCCGGTCCGTTCCCTCGAACATCTTGCCGCCGACGCTGCTGTACTCGCCTTCTGTGTTCTCGCGGACGATCCAGAAGTCGATGTCACCCGGCTTGCGGTTAGCCAAGGGTGACTTCACACCAGGCATCAAGCGACATGGGCGAAGGTTGATGTATTGATCGAATTCGCGGCGGAATTTGAGCAAGCTTCCCCAAAGTGAGACATCGTCGGCAACCATGCTAGGCATGCCGACTGCGCCGAAGTAGATGGCATCGAACTTGAGGAGTTTCTCCTTCCAGTCCGACGGCATCATCTCGCCATGTTCTTTGAAGTAGTCGCAGCTGGCGAAGTCGAATGTCTCGAATTGAAAAGAAAGGCCGAAGATTTTGGCAGCAGCTTCAAGAGCGCGAACGCCCCATGGCATCACTTCCTTGCCGATGCCGTCTCCGGGAATAACGGCGATTTTGAGTGATTGAGGCGCCATTTTTGCTGTTCAATGTTGTGTTTGATGATGCTGGGTACGGCTAATAGAAGTCCCTGAAATGAGAATGATATGAGTCCAAACAAGATGCCTGATATTTAACAGCTCGAATAAAATCGATTTACGGACGATATCGGAGGATGTTGTGGTCTTGGGGATGTCAGCTTACCGGCGCCCGCCAGTGATGAGGGGATGTTTTCGCTTAAACGTTTGGCCGCGGGATTCTTTGTCCCGCACCAGCGACGTCACTCCCTCTTACACCGACAGGTCTAGGTCTTACATTCACTAGTATCGGCTTTGACTCTGTAGTTGATCATCTTTGATGACTACTTATACATATGCGGCTTTGGATTGAGCAATAGTTCAGACGACAGCTTTTGTTTTGGCAGAGTCAACAAAACCCCTACTCAAAATGTCCAAGGTAGCTGTTTTGGGTGCCTCAGGGCAGATTGGTCAACCCTTGAGTCTTCTGTTGAAAACCGTATGTTCCCCACCAAATGTAATCGGATATGTTTTCTTGGAGACTTCCACTGACGAAATCACACGATAGTGCCCCTTGGTGTCGGAGCTGAGGCTTTACGATGTCGTCCATGCAGTTGGTGTGGCCACTGATTTGAACCACATTGATACACCACCTCCTGTCAAGGGTTATCTCCCTGAGAACGATGGGCTTCAGAATGCTCTTTCTGGCGCAGATGTTGTTCTCATCTCAGCGGGTAGGTTTTGTCATTGTTTCTCTAAAGTTCCCAGGCCCTAACAAAAAGCAGGCATTGCTAGGAAGCCCGGAATGACAAGAGATGGTCAGTACCATTTACATTTGGATCCATACCATGCCTCCTCCTGACTCTAATCCAAATTCAGATCTCTTCAAGACAAATGCCGGTATCATTGCGGATCTCGCTAATGGTGTCGCCAAGTACTGTTCGAAGGCCTTGGTTGGCATCATCACCAACCCGGTCAATATTACCGTCCCAATTGCGGCTGAGTGTCTCAAGAAGAACGGCGTGTTCGATCCTAAGCGGCTGTTTGGAGTCACTACTCTCGACGTGGTGCGTGGGTCCAAGTTTGTGGCCGATGTTCTTGGAAACGACCCTCGGCAACTCAAGGTACCTGTCGTCGGCGGCCACTCTGGTTCAACGATCTTGCCATTGATCAGCCAAGCTGAGCCTCGGGTTCATTTGAGCCAAGATCAGATCGAGGCTATCACCAACAGTATGTTTTCAATTGTCCAATGTCATGGAGCAGGTTCACGGCTGATGTTGCTCAGGAGTGCAGTTCGGCGGGGACGAGATCGTCAAGGCCAAAGCCGGTGCGGGTTCAGCGACCACATGCATGGCTTACGCTGGTTTCAGGTTAGACTTCTTACCACTTTAACCCTGATTGGGCTTGTATATTAACTTACTCGGCGAACAGATTTGCCCAGGCCATCATGAAGGCAGCCCAAGGCCGGTCAGAGGTTGTTGAGCCTGCGTACGTCTATTTGCCTGGCGTTCAGGGAGGGGAATCCATATCTCGTGAGCTTGGTGTTGACTATTTCGCCGTTCCTATCACTTTCGGCAAAGATGGTGCAGAGGTTGCTCATGAGCTTGGACCGCTGTCTGAATATGAGGCTAGACTCCTCAAGATTGCCACCGAAGAGTTGAGGAGCAACATCAAAGCCGGCGTGAACTTTGTCGCTCCAGGGCGTGAGAAAACTTGAAGGGACGAACTTTATGTCATGGAAATCTTTTCTATCATCAAGTCCTCACTCGACCACAGGAACTTCGCCATTGAACCTGAAATATAGAACGCAGTTTCTCAACCTACTCTGAAATAAAACGCGGAGAAGGTGTTCTTATTATGAGAGCCGTTTTCATGTACCACCTCCTGCATCATTGATTATGTCCACCAATGATCCCCAGGTGGCTCCGTCAAAGATATCAAAGAAATTGTCGCCATTTCCGAATTGATTTGTCGCGCTCCGTTGGCGGTCTGGAAATATGGTTGGAATCGGTGCAAAATAACCACTCATGTTCGAGAGACTGCTTTGAAAGTCCCAATCTTGAGATGGTGTAAATCCATTTGGATCGGTTTGAGCTGCAGTGGGAGAAAACTGGTAGTAGTTTGCGTGGTTGTTGAAGCTGACACTGCTGAGAAGCGGAGTTGCAAAGCTGGAGTTGCCAGCTTGTTCGACTCTATTGTTTCTCAACCCGTCGGTGCCATTGAAATGATTTGAGGTGGTCAACGGAGTTCTGGTTCTGCTTGTTGGCACGGCTTGCACAGTTTGGGGCGATCTAGGCCGCTCGGTTCTCTTTGAGAATCTTGTCATCCGTCGTTTCGCTTCTTCTCGTCCGGCGGCCCCGTTCCGCGTATCATCTGCTGGACTTGTTGGTATTCTCGACTCTAATTGATCATCCGAACGAGTTCTCTTCTGGCCTTTGGTGGTGTTTTCGATGTTGCTCAAAAGCATTGAGAGAACCTCCTTGCAGTCACGAGCCATCTGCCATCGTGTTTCCATAGCAGTCAACAACTTTAGTGTAACGTGGATGCCACTGCTGAGTGATTAGAGTTTGATCAGCTCTATGGCCTATTTTTAGACTTACGATATGGCCCTCGACAGGTTGTATGACTTGAGACGAGCTGCCAGTGCGAGAACGAGTCCACTCATCCAAACAGCTGACATGTAGCCTGGCCAAAACAGGGGCCCTCCGTTCTGGTAATAATTCTCGATAGTGGGTATAATAACTCTTGCAGCACTGATGCAAGTCTGAAGAGCGGCACGAAATTCAGCGCTTCTCGAGTCTAAAGAAAGAGAGGGCCTGTTCAGCAACAGAACGGTGTAGTGATGCGTGACGAACGGGAAGACCGCGGGATCCGGGCTGAGTTCGGGGATGTCCACGACAGCCGCACCAAAGCGTGGTTGTGTGATATCATTGCCCCAGGCAGCAATATCAGCCTTGAGAAGAAGAATCGTTTGGCTATTCATTTCTCGAGCGTGAATGGACTTGTGAAAGACGTCTAAGATCCTCCCCACCAGCTGAGAATGGCGCACATGGTTCTGGAGAACATCTTGGGTTTCCCGACGATGCCGAGCAATGGCGATTGACCTAGTGTTGGGAACCAGGTCCGTCGCCTCGGGGCGACCTTCTTCGTTTGCTTCATCTTCTTCAGTTTCCGTTGGTGAAGCACTCCCATAGTCATCTCTAGCCTGTGATCCTACGAGCCGATCAGGGTGGTTTGCGGGGAGGTGTAAGACTGTATTGTCTGCCGTCGCACTCGAAGAACGAGGGCTGGATTCAGCAACCGGCTCGTGTAAGTCGCGGTGTCCAGGAGGACACACGTCGATATCGGAATCCTGTACCCCGCTCGGATGTCCAAGAGATTGACTGACAAACCGATCAAGGACATAAAAGCTCCAGAATATTCGTTTCCGCATGGATCGTTCCTCTGATGATAGATGACCGTATCTTACGGGACATCGATGCATGCCAGACTGATATATCGACTTGGAGATGAGACCCCCCACAGTCGATGCATGCCGGAGAGACATGATTGATACAAAATAGACCTGTGCACTGAGAAGCGCCTGAATGCAGGAGGCTTCACTTCTCAGAGCCAAGAGGCTCAGTGTTGGTAAAAGATCTGAGCTAGATCGGAATCGTGCAGACCCCAGATCATGCTGATCGTCGCTGTCGAGGACAGCTATGTTGAATATGCATTTGAAAGTAACGAGGCGACTAATTGAAGTAATGCTTTGCTTCTCGTGAATGTTTGAATTTGAAGAGTAGAGGGCGTCCAACTCGGCAAGACACTGCGGTCCTTGCATAAACGGAACCACCGGGTGCCATATTCGGAAGTAGGTGAGGACTAGCTTTCTTGCCCTGGCGTAGTCAGGCAGGTTCGTTACATCGTTGATGACGTCTGAGCCGGTAGAAAAAGGCGAGAAGTGCTCGTTTGACTGAGGGTTCGGGTCGACGTGATTTGTTGTTCCTGAGTTACTGTCTGGCTCAACTTCCCTGTCTCCAACAACGCAAGCTTCTGGTGATGGGTCATCGGGTAGCTCTGCAGCGTTTGTGTTGGCAGATTGGTTGTTGTCGGTTGTGGCTTGGGCGTTTGTCGAAAACGCTCGTCTCACGGTGTTGATGAAGTAGACCCCGGACGAACTGCCGACGAACTGGCTTTCGCCGTTTGCGAGGGCTCTGAGACTTCCTATCTCCGGCATGTTTTTGCGAACCAGGAAGAGTTATCGTAGATTCCTGGCATAGTTCACAGCCACCATGGACGAAAGAGAAATGATCTAATTATCAGTTGAGAGACATTGGAAAATGACCGCAGCGGACGTGAAATAGGTGGGGTAGCGGCGGACTTAGATTACTCCGCAGGCGCTCAAAGCTCACATGTACTTTGATACAGAAACCGGCTGTGCGCTGACTGAGTCAACGCATCAATATTATGTTGAGGGGATCAAGGAAATGAAAGATTTGATATTTCTATGACCAAAATGGCAGTTCTTGCCCCTATAAGTCCAAAGGTCTGGTCATGTGTAACATGTAGACTGAAGAGAGGTTCACAGCAGTCGGCAATTCAGTACAGCCTATACTGAGCGCTGTTGATCCCAGTTGAATTTCAATCAGGAGAACGTTTTGAGTAGCGTCCTTCGGCACTATTGAAAAAGCGTTTTTGCAATCACCAAAAATTGCTGTTATGGTCTATAGCTACCATGAACAAAAGATCGAGCGAGCATGGATTCTCTACGTTCAGCATGCCCAGCCAGATTATGACAATATTTATAGATGCGCCTGCAGCTGCCCCAGAGTCATACGAGGGGCGTTGCGATGTACAGATACGACGAACCAAGAGGGGCTAGTAGAGGCGCGGGCCTGGCTGGCAAATGGCAGTCTGCAAGTAATCATGTCACATCTCAGGCACATGCCCCGTCTAGTGAGCAATTCGAAGGCCTTGGGCTGATAAAAATAGCCTTGTCATTAGCTTGCAAGTCGCCAGTTCTCCTCGTGTTGCCGTACCCCCCTTTTCTCATCTCTTCTCATGTCGAAATGACTCCTTGTGGTTTTGTATTCATGTTCATGTAATGGCTGATCACCATAACCCCGCCAACACCAGCGAGCCTCTGCTCCAGAAGCTGGGAGAGTTGCCAAGTCATGATGCAGGAAAAGAACATGTCGAAAGGTGAGCCTTCGGTCTCTGCTGTTACCCGGCTCGCGCTTGGTGAATTTCACGATTGGCAATCTTTCGAGCTTACTTGGCTGACCGTTGAGTTCGGACAGGTAGTAGACAGGGAGCCGATGGTGCTTCAACGCAAACCAAGACCAGATTCGAAGAAATTCTCCAGAACACCCTGAGATCATTGGGTTTGCACCCAATTTACCGACTCATCTTTGAAACATTCACCGGAAAAGACAAAATCATCATCTTCAAGAACCGCTTCATAGCCCTCCTGGCCGCAACAATCCACGTACCGGCTCTCGTCGGAGCGGCCGTCCTCACTCAATTTGTTTTCAAAGAACACTTCATCGGGGCAAGATTAAGCTCGGAAGGCAGATGGGATTCCCAAGTCACACTGGCGATTCAGTTTGCAGCCAAGTTTCTTGAGACTCTCATCGTCGCATCCCTATCAACTATGATGTTTACCTTCATCCGGTATGAAATCACAAAAGGCCACGGTCTTCCGTTGGCGGCATTCTTCGCCCCAATGGACTTCAAGTCACTCAACTTCATCTGGACCGATGAGTTTTTCGCCATCCTTACAAGCTGCTTTTCCTCCATCTGGAAAAAGGCCTTCTTTTTGGCTCTCTCGGTGCTTTGCTGTGTCCTAGCTGCAGTAGTTGCACCATCAGCTGCGACTATCCTCCTACCAGCAAACGACTGGTATACAATAGGCGGTACAAAGATTTTCCTTGATGCTTCCCATGAAGAGATATTCCCTCTGAATATAACCACCAATAATACATTGGACGTTTGTGACGTCGCGGGTAACCATCGGTGTCCGTCATCGGGGTGGGAAATGCTGCAGCATCTGGCAACCTACTTGCCGTCCCACACGGTTGTAGATTTCGATACTTGGGCCATACGACGCCCGCCTACACTCTTCACTGTTCCCATGCCCGGATCGCTCCCACAAATGAGCCTGCGCATCCGCGAGCCATTCAAGAACGACATCGACAGCAATATCGGGTATGACGCCAGTGCATCCCGAATGATGCTTCCGCACCACGCCACCTGTGCAGCCATCGCCGAGACAGCAACAATCTGGACGAGCGCAGTGACAATATCGGAGAGGAAAGACAAGAACTGGGTCAGGGGCTCAGATCAAATAGTCCGTTCTACACACGACGTAGCGGCTCTCCAGACGCGGTGCCAAGTAAGCTTCTTCGATCCGAATAGGACAACAAGCAACGCCGTTGTCTTCCCTAACGTCCTGCATGAGGACACCATCGACCAAAATTACACGATCGAACACCCGAGTATACAACGTTTCGTCCAGAACTTGGACAGGTCCGTCCCTGAGTTGCTCTTCTTAGATGCTGATTCAACGGGTGAACTGGCCAAAAACGTTTCTGTCGGGGCTGTTATCGCCATTCCATTCGAAGAAGGAAAGCTGGCGCTGTACGGCTGTTTGACCAACGCTCTGTGGACCTCCAATGAAATCAGGGTGACTGGCGACCACCACATTGGCTTCAAGGATCAAGCCCCATCACCGCACAAATGGCTGGCGGGGTGAGATGAGTCTGGGAACCGTAAGGTCACCATCCACACGTCTTTTGCCAATCTCACCAATCCGCTGGTTGACAACGCTACCAACAACACCGTTTTTCAGCGGCTTGCCAACTCTGCCGACATCAGCAATACTGCGGCGAGGCGTTTGGAATGGAGTGTTGGACATGTCGAGACCATCATCAATGCCATGCTTGCTAACGGCATGGCGCGGGTAGCACCCGACGCGAAACCCATTTTGGAGCTCAAGAATAAGAATGGCACGTGGTGGCGTAACTTCTTCCTGCATCGCCCTGAAGTCGGCGAGAGCATGACATATACCGTATTCGACGTACCAGAAACCGACCAGGACCGGCTCGCCGGGCTTGACTTTGTGGGCGACGTCTTCGCATACTACTACACCTACAAGGACCCCGCGGTACGGTACTCTTTAATTGGGCTGCTAGTGTATTGCGTTATGGCAGTTGCGTTCATATCGTGGAGCCTTTCAACAGGCATCACGAGCACGAGCTGGGAGTCGACACCTGAGCTGCTGGCACTGGCAATACGGAGCCCGGTCCCTGAGAATAATGAGATGCCGACGAGTATGCTAGAGGAGATAGAGCCCTTGCGCAAGCGGTACTGCGTGGTGGTCGGTGAAGGAAACAGTCTGCAGTTGCAGCCTATGGATGAAGTTGATTTGAAGAAGACGGTTAAGGCGAATAAGAAGTATCACTGAAGGGCGAAATCTGTAACTACTCAAGCCTGGAGGTAAAGCTCGGGTAGGATAATCGGGCCCGGAAGACCAGCGGACGAGCAGTGCATGATGATCAAAAGATCCAAAGGCGAACTATCAGAGATAGTATCAGAGATAGGTGACCGTTGGCGAAAGGCAAGGCATACAGAGTAGGCAAACCTTTACAGCCTCACAATGTAGCCCTTCACAACAGTTTGAATCATCCAAAAGACAATGATGCTTCAACTTCGTATTATTAAGATCACTTCATTCACGGTTTTAACGTTAAGCGAGTATGGATGAAAAGTACATCGTCCACCGGGTTCAGTGGGACATTACACCCACTAGCTCTGCTCAGTAAAGTCTTTCGAGTGCAGGTAGTTGTCTTTCGTCAGTCGAGGACTGGATACCGAATCAACCATTGAACGCAACGCCCTTGCTCTTCTGGCCAGCGTGTTGCTTATCGGTGTTCGTGTTCGTCGTCAGCTTCTTCTGCTCCCCTGCGATGCGGGTATCAATGTTGGCCACATTTGCGCCTTGGGCCTTTTGGATCTGCAAGGACAACAAGCCCAAGTAGTTCTTCAAAACCTTGTTCTTGATGAAACCGTTTGAAGCCTCCTGCGACTTGTCGTTTGCCGGGACGAACGCCAGATTCTCAGCGTCGCCTACAAGCTGCGATGCCTTCTTGACAACTTGCAGGTCCTCCGCGGTGGCCGTCGCTGGGTCGACCTACACCCGTTAGTTAGCAGATGAGCATAACATGGGTCATCAGAGGGCAAGCAAAGTATGAATGAACTTACGGGGAATTTGGCCTCAGCCTCGGCGGCAGCGTTGCCGGCTACGCCATCTGAGATCTGGATGTCGGCGTACGGACGCTCAGCCACGGCCCTCCTTTCGAGTTGGGTTGCAGTAGGCAGCGCCACAGCCAGGGAAACGGCGGTAGAAAGTAGCAGAACAGCGGATTTGGTGAAATGCATCTTAACTTGTGCGTGAAAGAGGCTAGTTTCGAAAGAATGGAAGGTATAAACGAAATGTGTGAACCAGCCAAAGTAGTAGTAAGCTCCTGAGCTCACGAAAGAATGGAATGATAAAAGATTGAAACGAAAGATCGGATGACGAACAATTGGATGGTTGATAGGAACGGTACAAGATCAGATGAAGTAGCGATACCAAGCCCTATATACTTTGATCGCTAGGCCAAGCCGGGGGCTCATGATGGCTTCTGGGATTGCAGCAGTTCGTACGGGAGCCGTCATGAGTGTGAAGTGGTTTGATCGTCAGAAGGGTTTGGGTTATTCCGGGGTCGTGATGTCTGAAACCATCTCAATCCTGAGCCTAGTCCCGATGGATCTGGACAATGCTTCAGTACACCTCCGCCGGAGTTTCAAGGCACCCGAAAGAGTTGCAATAGGCGGGCCAGCTTCAATCTTTGAAATCCATGAAGCACTTGGGTGAGGCACTACGGCGACAAATTTCTCACCTACTGCTCCTCGTTTTGATCGAATGCCATGTCTTACATTCTTAATTCGATAGACATGTCGCTTGACTTGAATGCGAAGGCGGGACCAGACTGATGGGATGGCATATGCGATGGAACGATACATGTCGCACCCCACAACTCACAACCCCTGGCTACAAGGCTTCCATCACTGAAACCATCCTTGTACTTTATCTAGGGGTTTGCGCCTCACGACGTCTTTGCCTATTCGAGGAGAAGCTGTGTAGCATGATACGAGCTTCTTTTTCTTTTGATTCCACTACATACGATCATCCATTTTCTGGGGTTGCTGTCTTCAGCGAACCGATCGCCCCTTTTGAATTCTTCTTCACAGAATACTTGAGTTGAGGCCAGGCTGCACCATAATAATTGACTACTACCAAAGGAAAGCATTCTCGTAGTTTTCAGAGCTTCCCCCTGAAGAAGAGACATATGGACGTCGGAGAGTCCTCGACACATGGTGATCCGCAGTAAATTCTGCTGTTGTGACTTGTTCTTTCTGAACGTCGGAGAGCTCCCTGCAAATCTCGTTTTCTTCAAAACTTCCTCGTTCCGATGAATGGAGAGCATCGGATTGCAGGTGGGATCTCTCCATGGCAGGCGTCGATCCCATGGATGGGTGTTTCGGCGTCTCGGTTTCGGTTGTCTGCATGGTTTCCTCGATGTACTCCACAGCCATCTCATCGCCACTGTTACCAGAGACTTCTCCTTCCGCAACAGACACATTGATCGAGTCTGCTTCTTCTAAGGGTGACGCATGACTTATTTTTATTGATGACTGGTCTGCCCACCAGCGTCGTGCATCTTCGGCCGAGCGAAGTGGGAACTTTGCCCAGTAGTCGGAGCCGAACTTCCCTCTCCTTGCAGCAATGGACAAGTGCGTACCTCGTTCGCTAATTTGGTTGGGTTTCTGTAGTTCACTGACGGCAGAGCGGACTTGATCGTCTGAGGCCTGAGACAGAAGAGCCCAAAGCATGTTCTCTGTCTCGATCAGACGCGTCTCCATAGTCGAGATGTAGTGTTTAGGAGGACCACTAGAGGTTTGCCACGATCAGTCTGAATCTTGTACATTCAAAGGAAAAGAACTCACCGCTTTCGCGGCTCCGGCCATTGGCATGCCACGTTGTTGATTCCACATTGCGCACATTTCGGTCTTCGCTTAGGACTTAGCATATGACCTCGAATCCCAAGATAGTGAAGCTATCTTCAGATATTACGCAACAAACCTTTCTCCACTACACTGAGCACTCGAGTCAGTTCTCTAAACTCGTTCATTCAACTCATGGTATCACCATCGAGGCTTACTTTATGTTTCCGGGCTCTGCAGGCGAGGCAAGCCCCACTACTTCGGGAACTCTTGGAAACTTGATGTTTCTTGGGTCTTGGGTCCGGCATCGCAATATCGGATATTCAATTCCGAGCTGTATATGAAAGTATCTGACGTTCAGATGAGAGTATGCAGGACCAAATGTTTGTGTCCCGGGGCAAGAAGCAGCATGGCGGCGGCAGGAGAACGCCGCGCTTAATATTTGAACCGCGGACAAAGACAACCCCGCGGGGAACTCCACCCTCTACATCCGATCTAGGACGTGTTTTTCGTTCGTCCGGTCACCAAGCGCAACTTCTGTACGTCATCTCACGCGATTTATGCAGTGAAGTTTAATTCAGTGGGATTGAGATGCAGACAGGTCTATCGAGCGAACTTTCCGAGCTGCTCGGGAACTATGGTCAACAGCTCCTCTCCGCAGACGCCCCGCTTGGCATTCTCCATGCCCAGAGACTCCATCTGCTTGAGCGTCTCATGAGTATGGGTGCCCATGTGCGGCACAAGAAGTGCTCGCTCATTGTTGACCAGACGCTCATCGACAATTGGTTCTTTCTCGTAAACATCTAATCCAACAGCAGCAATGTGACCTTCGTCCAGCGCCTGTGCCATGGCTCCCTCGTCAATGACGGCACCTCGAGCGGTGTTGATGAGAACTACCCCCGGCTTCATCTTCGCGATTTCAGCGGCCCCGATCAAATGAGTTGTGGAAGCTGAAAGCGGAACGTGGACAGATATGATGTCGCTCGTCCGCAGAAGCTGGTCGAAGGATGCGTAGGAACACCCGGCAGCGAGCTCATCTGATAGTTGCGTGCGGTTGTGATAGATGACGTTGAGGCCGAATGGTTCAGCCCGACGTTTGACAGCCCGGCCAATGCGACCCATCCCGAGGATTCCCAGCGTCTTGCCTTGAGGATCGTGACCAAAATCGAGCCCCATCTTGAAATTGCCTTTCCTCAGGCTGTTCAGCGAAGGGTTGAGTTGACGGATGGCGCCGAGGATGAGGAAGATAGTCAAGTCCGCGGTGGCGTTGGTGACCGGGTCGGGAGCATAAGTAACGATGATGTTGCGCTTCGTGCAGGCGTCTACATCTATCTGGTCATACCCAGCCCCTGTATGACAGATGTACTTGAGAGAGGGTGGGAGCTTTTTGACGAATTCTTCGTCAAACTTTCCCGCAACCTGTTCGAGTCTTGGAATCAGTAACAAGGTTTTGAAGGGTTCTGCGGCAACAACATGATCTCACCGCTCCACTAGCAGAGGTCCTCCAGATAGCCTGTATGTCATGGTACTTGGTTTGCAAATCATCAAAGAACTCTGATCGTGTCTTGCTCGAGACCACTTCAGGGCTGGCGACGGCTTTCAAGGCCTCGTACTCGGGAAGAGCATGGCGAACGGGATTGAAGAAGAGAATGCGTGGTTTCGTCATGATGGATGTATGCAGTCTACGTGCAAATGTCTGCATCTTGAGTTGGCTTTGACAAATGAGGCTCTTGGGCATATAAGTTGTATGAAGCGGTCCATGAAGCTGGTGAGCGGGGTCGGCAGGCTGGATGTGTAAGACACCTTGAGATGAACGATTGCCGCGGCTAAATTATTAGGCGATCACTGGAACCAGACAAGCAGAACAGTCTCTGTAAAATAATTGCGAAATAGCGTAGAAATCATGATTTTCCTCGCTTGATCTCAGAGCACATGTCATGTTTGTGTATGTCTTTTAATCTATTTGGTTGTCAGATCTTCTCAACATCACAAATAAAACAACAAAGACTTGCAATAAAACAACCCCTTGGTGCTTTTGAATCCGAGACCAGCTCCTTTCAAATGACAACAACATCCCCAGATAGCTAAATCCATACTTTCAGCCAACGACACATCGCGCTGCTTTGCAACACAATAATCAACGACGACACCGAGAAGTCAGGTAATGCTTCCTCAGCAAGAGGCGGTCGGTATACAACTGACAAGTAAAGACGTCTTGTCGTATTGCTGCAGCCTTGACCGGTGACAACACCTCCTCATCTCAAGCAGTTTGGTCCAAACGTTGGGCAAACTGATAGACGACAACCCATCATTATGGCCCACAGCCGAATCAGAACACAAACAACCTGGTGGGCAGAGAATGCCGGAAGATAGCTGCAGATAAACAAAACACTTATGATAAACACTGAAGACGAGCATCGGATAACACGAAAGACAAATACAAACAAAGCATCACCACTGATTCCACGCAAACGTTGCGGAATGTAGTCCGCTCCTCTGATCTGGGCTGCTATTGTCATAAATGTTGATGTTGGCCGTCCGGTCTGCCAAAAACATCAGGAAACTAACTACCTTATTACCTATCTCAACGAGTTAGTATATGAAAATGAGCGGACCGTCAGAGTGTTGCAGAAAACAAGGAAAAGGAACAAAGAGGAAAAAGAGACTCTCATCTCTTTTAGGGGAAGAAAAAAGAAGAAAAAAAGAAGGAAGGAGCAGGCCTGAAAATTCGCACCTTCCACAACTAGGCCAAATCAGCCGTCTGGGCCTTTCGAAATTTTCTACCTCGCTATTACCACCACCCTCCCTTATCCTTCCTTTTTACACGCACAATTCCCTTTCACCAACTGCAAACCACAACTCCATCACACTCATATCACTTCTTTAATTCCTCTCCTTACCGAAACGAGAAAATGGAAGATCCCTCTCAATCCTACGGTCCAGCTGAAAAGGGCTGCTGTATTTTATTACGCGGCGAACTGCTATTGCTACGGTCCAGCTGAAATCCTTCACACCCAACACCTTCATCATGCCCATATCGTTTGGTAAGCTATTCTGTTTATCGAAACTAGCAAATGGAATATCCTCTCTAACCCTACGATCCAGCCGATTCACTTTACTCCCCCGGGCCCTCCAACCCCATACGACTCAACATTCTTCACAGCCACGCAACCCAGCCCATTCACTCCGCACATTTTATACCATGGCATTTCGACTCCGTTTCCCCCAGAACATACCGCCCCGTTAAGGTATGGAGAGTCCGGTTTCCATCCAAGCAGGATTGATAAAATCGGATGGAGTTGATGATCGAATACGTGGTAGCCCGCGTCAAGAGAACTCGGGCCCACGTCCAGGAAGCAGTCATCGAGGACTGCAGCTTCATCCGTGGGCGATGTATCAAACATGCCGCAGATGATTCGGTCATTTGCGTCACACTGCGGAGATGTTCACCCACGACCCCCCGGATCTTCCCTCTGGTTCGGATGGGAGAGAAGATAGCAGGAGTATTCTCGCCAAGCGTCAACGAGGGCGTGCGCCAACAACTCGCCGCCATTCGCCCGAACCAGCCAGTCTGGGGCAAAGAGGAATGGGTGCAAGACAATCTCGACAATCTGCACATTCGTGGCTACGTCCGAATTGCTAGATTCAAGGACGCCCATGTCCTCAAGTACTCGACGATACACTCGCCAAGACAAGACCGACATGTCCGGTTCGCAGCGCCAGATGGAGACATCCAGGCGGTTCAGGCTCTCCTAGCGGCTCATCCCAACAGAGCAACAGAAATCCTACGACTATTAGACGACTGCGTCCAGCGCGGCCGGGCCGACCGCCCGCCGTTCAACCAGCTTGCAAATCGACAGATGCGGGACAGAGTGCTTAGATGCCCAAACAACGACGCAGATGGAGACAAGTGGTACCAAATCCATCTTCATCGTGTCGAGGCGCACGGTTGGTCCTCAATCGACATACTGGCGAGAATCAACCACGCCGCAACGAGACGGAGATACCTAGCATGGCGCGCATGTCAACAGCAAACGTTTTGCCCATCTTGCGACGAGGTGCTTTACACCCCAGAGGCCGCCTTCTCCCACTGGCGGCGCGACCACGCCCGGAACCCGCGAGACGCCCGCTTACAAGCCGCTCAAATCCAACCCATCTTCCCGGCAGCGCCGATTCGAGCACTGCAAGTAAGAAATGTGCCGGTGTACGTCCAGCTTCCGGCGCCTACTCCAGTGCGAGTGCTGCGCGATCCTAACGATAATCAGCCGCCAGCCCAGCCAATCGAGTGCTGTTGCTGCCAAGAAAATATACCCGAGCAGAAACTGCCGGGCCACCTCGCCGCGCACATCGAATTGGCCGAAGCCGAAGAGGAGCCAATTGACGTCAGTCTGTATCATGGACCCGTCTCCATGGTCTTCGCAGAGATGCACGACAACAGGGGCGAGGGTGAACGAAACGAGGAAATAGCAAATGAAATAGCAAATGATGTCTGTGCCAGCATCAGATACTTGACCGAAAACCAGAAGCGAGAGTTTGCCAAGGAGTTTGCAGTTCAGCGAGCTATTGCAGCTAGATACCCGAATGGCGCGGCTGGTATCCCAAAGACGGCAGCAATAGCAAGAGCCCAACTTGATGGGCACTACGACGCAGAATCGGTCAATTGGCTGACATCGCAGATTCTCATGTTATCAGAAAGAATCAGAGCCCCAGGCCGACGGGCAGTCAACGCCTGCTTCTGTGACGACGACTGCCGGGACGACTTAGATATGTGGATTGCCATGCCCATGTGGCCAATGCCTACCTATCGGCGGTGATCATATTTCACAACTGCGTCAAGACCTCCAAGGCACAAAGGCATCAAGCCAACAGGCGACGAGGAGCTTGCGAAACAGCCGGCATAAGCATCGAGTGTGGCCTCCGCCACGGCTTACGAGAATTCGACTTTGATCAAGCGGATTACAGGCGAGGTTGCAAGTCCCCAGATAAATTATCACGACTGGATCCGGTCTCCCAGTTGGACCATCTGCTGCAGAGACACAGGAGCCCAAAGAACGACATCGAACACACTTGAAGATGCATACTCTCACTGGCGAGCTTCGTATGCTCAACCTTCCCGCTGTCTCCCAGCTTTGTGATCAGGACATCATGCCTATGTTTCCCTGCGCCCCGATTCGCGCACTTCGCGTCGAGGTCCGACTTGAAGAAGTTGAAGTTCCCGTGGTTGTCCAAGCCCCTCCGCCTCCTCCTCGACTCATCCTCTGCGACCTCTTCATCCGCGTCCCAGCAACTCCGTCAATTCGTTGCATTTGCTGTCATGAGAACGTTCCTCAACCGGATCTCCTCGTCCACCTGAACGACCACATCCAGCAGGCCAATTTGAGAGAGGTTCCCGTCACCGTCAAGTTCCACGACTCGCCTGTCCTCTCTGCGTTCGCCAACGAGGTTGACAACCGACGGGCTCGTCAAGACCCCGCTCACACTCTCGAATCGGCTGCCCGTCGAGACATCCAGTTTTACAACGACCGACAGCGACAGAATAAGGCCCGGCATTTTGCCGGCCTCGTTGCCATCTCAGCGAATTACCCTAATAAAGCAATTGGCGTTCCCTACACGACCGCCCTGGCCACATCGCAACTCACTGGCCACTTCGATGAGGGCATGATCGAGACCTATGCCGATCAGATGCTCATTCTCAAAGAGGCGATTGGCCAAGATGGTCATCGCGGCGTGAACTCGTGCCACTGCGACGTTGATTACCGCGAGGACCTGGACACATGGATCGAGCATCTCGTCGATGCTCATCCAATGTCTCTTATCCTTTGCGAGTCGTGGTTCGTACTTTACCCCCCAAGCTTATCTCAACCACAAGCGGGGAGGTCATTGCGATCCGCGCCAAATCACCATTCGCGCTGGCCCTCAGCAAGGCCTCGTCGAGTTTGCATTTGACCCATCTGACTACAGAGATGGATGTCAATGCGCCAACAAGCACCACCGCCACGATCCTGCTACGCAGTTCAGTCACATGCGCCGCACCCACGGCCACAAGCCCGATCGACCCAACCAGCGTTCTGCTTTCCTCTTCTGCACCTTCTGTGGTGAGCGGAAGGAATCCTCACATTGGCTTTCTCATGTCCGCGAGTGCCAGACCCGAATCGGGCATTTTGCGCAGGCCCCTGAGACCTACGTTGTACCTGCAATCAGGTGCAAGTCCTGCGGCTCAGTCTTCGATGCTGGCGATGCTCCTATCGGCCGACAGCCTCCGGGCTGCTGCGTTGCCCAGGACCTAGAGCGCAACGCCACGGTTGCCTACATTCCCACAGATGGCATCATTGACAACTGGACCAAAGTCTCGCAGGCACGTCACCGGTTCGGTCAACCTACCATTTGCTGCGGAAATGCGTTCTTTGGGCCTTCCGCTGAATGGCACCAAGACGCGCACAAGGTGGATCTCGAAGATCACATCACTCTAATTCGCCCAGATCGCGGCGTCAACCAACATGACGTCGACATGCTCGATGTTTAAGAAGTTTATCAGTAAGTTATCACAATTCGCCCGTTTAGCCCTCTCATATGTCTAACATACGCCTCCAACAGTCAGTCCGCTTCAACAACGTCGCCCTCGTTGTCAGACAAACTTCACTTTTCCAACCAGAGGGCGATTTCTTCAACTAAGGTCAAATGCTTACAGAAGCTTGGAGGCTTTGGCGGTCGCGGATTGGGGACTTGCACGGCGGCACAGGGCTTTTCTGTTTTGGGGAGAGGGGAGCTACTTTGGACTCCTGATGTGTACTCGTTGGCTATGGTGAGATGTCGAATAGAGCATCTAAATAAGGGTTGCTTCATTGTATCGCGCGGCGAATCTTAACTGTCTGCTCCTTTACATGGACAAATAAGAATCCTGAATTACCATATACAGACGTACGTCTTCTGACTGAGATAGCTGGCCATAGCCTCTTCAGAGAGCGCGGGCTGTACGTCTTCATGATGGCCAACTTTCAAAACCACGGTTAAGTACAAGTTTCGTGATTAGATCCAAGCCGCAACGTTTACATAGTAGCAAAGTGTCACGCCGTATCATGTCGGATATGAATTCAGTGGCAATACTTAGACAAGTAGAAGAAGAGTAGTGATGACGGGTCTTGGCTGAGGTAATATTCCTGGCAGGAGCTTGCTTTGAATGGTGGCGAAGGAGTGATAGAAAGCCATGAATGATGATATCTTGGAAACCCTCTTCGACTACCTAGGCTGTCTTTTGGTGTGTCTGGAGTTGATCGGCAAAAAGAAGTGAAGGAGCTAGCCGTTTATGTTATATGATACTTTCCTTACCTTACAGAAGAGGTTCTCGATATGCGCATGAGGTAGTCTTACCCGGATGTTATCCTTCCATTCTGGCGTGCACGAAGTCAAGCTGGAGAATACTAAATGTGGGAACTAGCCGTCTTATCACGCCTTCCACGTCTTCTAATTACACAGAACAGTCTGCGCATGAATCTACCTCGCTTCGTTCGCCTCGGAGTGACAGGACGCAGCAGACTTTGAGAAGGATCCTCTGCGGCTGGGTGTGATAGCCGCTGAAGATGAAGCTCGATACGGCTGTCTTGCGGCGAGTTCCGCTCTTCGCCAACAGGATTAATGCCCTCGAAAGTTTCCTCCTCAGTCACGGCAGAAACGTGCCTTGATCAACCCATTTCACGTACTTGCGCCTATCACCGCTACGGACTTAGCCGTATTGACCATATCCTTGACCCGCAGAGTGAGAATGGCAGGAGCTCATCCGTCTTGTATCATGACTTCCTTACCTAACTTACGAAAGTAAGTTATGGGGCAATCATTCGCAGATAACGGGCATGGTCGGATGGCGGAACTACCTTAGATAGCGAGGAGCCAGTAGTGGTATCCAATGTCAGTATGAGGAAGGTCTGTATAGCTGGTATCCTTCCTATCCTAGGGCATTTTGGTCCTTCCCTTCCAGCTACGATCTTTTCTTTCCCATTCCGTTCTGCGTATGCCGAGAAAGGCAACGAGCCACTCGTGTCTTCCCAAAACTTCCCAGCCAAGAGCAGACCCGAGAACCTATATCTACCCATCATTCCCCCCAACATCTTCGTCCCAACCTCCCTCCTCTCTATCTATCAAGTCAGATTGGACAAATCGTAAACAACGACCATCTTCGACCTCTCTTGAGAAAGCTTCTCAACCGATTGCACACACACACACACACACATTCTCTCTCTCTCTCTCTCTCTCTCTCTCTCTCTCGCTCTTTCTCCTCTATCAAAAGCCCCTGCTCGGAACCTCTCTCGCTATCCCCTCCAACGACCTCCATCATGGCTGAGCCTGTTTGGTCCTGGCGCGAGGCTATGCGCATCAACTTCGCCATTTATGCCATCACGACCAACAAGTGCCCTATCGCCTGGATCTCCAACGCACCGGACCTCGTCGGATCCCCCGAGGAAATGACCAGGGCCGTCACTACTGCCTGCGAACGGCTCAAGCTAAGCTCAGCTCCGTACCTCCCTGCCATCAAGAAATTCGCAGAGAACCCTCCCTCCAAGGTCAAGAACGACGATGACGAGGATGACCTGCTCATTCTTGATGGCCCTCCCATCAAGAAAGAAGCTGGTGCCAACATCCCCAATCCCGCCAACGGTACCAGCAGGGCCATCGTCAAGCTCGAAAACGACGATGAAGTCGCTCCCGCCCCTGCGAATTCGCCCAATCCCGCTAATGGTGCCACCAGGGCCATCATCAAGCTGGAAGACGACGGAATCGCTCACGCCCCCGCCAATCCACCCAACCCTCCCAGAATTCCCACTGGTATCAACAATGCCATCATCCCGGCGGCTCAAATCGCTGGAGCCTCGGCTGTCCATGATGCCCCCGAAGACAGCGAGGATGAATCTCTCGTCCGCAGGCGCTCTAAACGCATCAGATCTGCCCCCGAGTCCCCGTCTCTCAGGCGCTCAGAGCGCATCAGAAATGCCTTCAAACCCCCTCCCCGCCGTTCCGAACGCATCAGAAATGCCCGAAGCACCTTCCGCTAACGATTTATCGCAGATTGCAGATTTATCTTTTCAAGGCGCTAGCAGCAATGCTGACAGGCGTCCTACTCATCGCAGGCTTTTCGGCAGAACGTGCCATCATCCAATATCTGTGCAGGTCGGGGGACTCTCAGCATGACTATAATTGCCAACCATCGGCCCTCATTCATGGGACTCTAGAAAGGATTGCTATTGTTCATTCTTGGCGCAAGCCTTGGGACGGCATGACGGGAATTGTCACCATCGGCCTACAATCATGGGACTCTAGAAAGGATTGCCATTGTTCATTTTCGGCGCAAGCCTTGGGACTCTCGGCATGACTGGAATTGTCACCATCGACAGGTATACTTACAGCTAGACCAATAAAATAATCTTTTAGACCAATCGGCTCTTCCAGATCTGACTTAGAGTACTCCGAACTCATCATGGGTGTGACTTGCATCGTTCCGTGATATCTTGTCTATACATGAATGATTTGCCAAACTTGCCTTTTGTAAATGTAAACCTCGGGGTCGAGTGTTGCTGTGTTCTCTGCAAGTGTCAATGCTTGCATGCGAAAGATAATGGAAACATATGCTCAAATTTGAGACTCCGTTTCGATGTGCTGACCACGTTCTATGAGCTTTCTAGTAAACTTGATCTACTCAGAAGAGTTTCAATAAGAGATTAGCAAGTGGAGGGCAAGGACAACGAAGACGAGGAGGATGAGGACAGCGATAAAGACGATGAGGACGAGGACGACGAAGACGAAAACGAAAACAATGTTAATAATGACGATAACACCGAAAAAACGCCAACGACACCAGTAACATAGAGCATAAGATACTATGCTACGGTGTTCAGCTAAATCATTCTCTCTACGAAATCCTTAAAGCCAAAATGCAAATATTACTCTGCGAATAAGACGTCACGAGAAATAAGGGCCTTGATAAAGTGAAGAAGAGTCCATTGAAACCTGTCGAGAATTTTACCCACGTAGGCAGGGACACAGTGGCAGGATATTCCAAGTCTATTGTCTCTAGGTTGTTCAACGGCAGAAGAACGCCTGGATCTACGTGTGGTCCACCGGCTCGGTAAGTCGGCGCGACATGCAACCAACGCACGTGCACTGGCTGGAAGAGGGTTGATCTAACAGATAGGTTAGGCGGCGCCACGCTACTAACAGATGTATTGTTTTCAGTCTGTCTATCGACAAGTAAGTTGGAGTAGTTCACATAGGTTTGAGGTGGTGTTCGCGCAACATTCCAAGAGGGAAAATGGTGTTTTCTTGCCTGCCAACCGCCCTAGACGTTGTGGGCAGCAATCCAAGCATATTGGCGATGAAGTCTTGTTTCAGGGGACTTGATGCACCCACGACAGACATAGAAAAATTGAAGAACCGGGAAATGAAGGGCTTCCAGAGATATTTTGGGCATTGCAGTGTGTTCTTCGTAGTCGTCGCCAAGGAAGGAAGACGTGCACCACGGAATCAGGATATCGCATGACAAATAGAAGGAAGCAGCGAGGATAGGAGGAAACGACCACGAGACAAATGTAGATAGACATACAAACCGTACGAATCAATCACACAAAGACGTGAACGAGTAGTGGTGACTCCCATGGATTGTATTGTGCGGCCAGCCCGAGATGACATCAAATATACCCGCAAGACAGTATATCGCCAACCACTCGGGCCAGGTGTTGTTTCCAATATCAATACATCTTTACCTCCGGCATGGATACAGGTTTTCGATGAGCCGATGTCTAGAACTCGTGGTCGTCTTCGCAAGCCTTGGTAACGATGTGGAGAGGGATGATCATGGATGATATCGCGTATCGTTGGACTCGAGTAGCGCATGCCGATGACTTCATCTCGCGTCTCGAGGGATGCTCTGATCATGGGGCCATTTCGTGCCATAGCGACAATTCCGTTTCCCAACGCGGAAAGCCGCGTTGGCCTCGGTCGGCTTGGAAGATATTCGAATCGGTATCGTGAAGCCGTCGGACATGGCGAAAGCCTACACTACATGTACGACATTGACCTTCAACAGAGTTAGCATATGATCGAACTAACCAAGGTCTAAGCAAGGGCAAGAGAAACAATGAAACATATTTGGATGCTTTTGGATAGGAAATGCTTACCGGCTGGGGTCGAAGGCCTGCTTTGGAATACCAAGCACGGAGACGTCTGGTTGCCAACGCTTTGCCCCTCGATTTCTCGTCCGCAATTCCAGCATCCGTCTGATGTAGACAGTTCGAGTACGTGACTTCCATATTATCCCGCATCTGAGCTGCTCATCAGTTTTGATGGCGCTCTGTGTTTCCGGAGATCCGGTGATCGGCGCGCCCGTGTTGTTGACTGTCGTTTGCAATCCGGCTGTCATGCCCCATCAATAGTCAACGTCGTTTTCGTGGATTCGGTGAATTACGACGGGAACTATGACGAGTGAAGTTGCATTTTGTTTGTGGAGCTGTCTTCTGTTCGTGTACCGTTGTTGACTTCGTTGGGGTTCGGAGTGCGATTTTCGGTCGCGTCGAGTCGACGCCATCGCCATCGCCGCAAAGCGCTTCCTGGGTATCAAGCCATCTGGAAAGATGCCCGGGGACTGGATGTGCGTTCGCCATTGACGCTTAAATTGAGAACATCCATCCGGGGAGGCCATTGGAGCTGTGGCTGTTTTGGAAAACGAGAGTCCTTCTCTAATCTTCGCCTCGGATCACATCATCGCGTTGACATCGTCAGACATCTCCTCCGGGTTATTTCGATCCGGGAGTCTTTCTTCGGACTTTGTTCTTGATCTGCTTGTGTTTCTCGAGTTGCTGATGCTATAGATGTCTTTGGGGTCCTTTCCAAGCAGGAGATCGCCCACGCGGACCAGTTCCAGGACTTGAAGCGCGTCGCCGGTCGTCCGAAGTCGGTTGAGTATTTCTAGGGCCTCTTCCTCGGGTCGTAAGCTGAGAAACTGCAGAAGCTCGCGGAGGTCCTCATTCTCCCTCCTGAGCTCATCGTTTCGTCGCCGGAGGGATTCCGAGTGCGTTGTATCCGGTTCGGTGTCCCATTTGCAGTCCTGCCCCTGGGTCGAACAACGAAAGCAGGTTGGTCGAGTGCCAGTACACTGTGACGCAGGAGGTTCAATGATTAGTCTGGCGTCTTTTTGGCAAATTTCCGGAGATGATGAGACTTTGACTTCGTCGTTCTCGACGGAAGGAGGAAGAAACAGGATGGATGGGCACTGGGGTGTGCGTGTCTGTGTCTGTATCACTGATCTGATATTTTTCTAACCCCCTTTGCCCCACATCCCCGGAGTCGATGCCGAAGACCAATGCCAACGCTGGTTTGGAAACAACGCCGTGGCGAAAGATACTTTTCTCTGACAAGAACGTGTAGTAATAGATACATCACATTCATTGACGCTAGGAGATTGTTTTTGGCATTACCTTTACCTTTCTCCTCCGGCACTGCAAACACGCAGCAAGCACAGGCTGCCTCGGTGGCTTGAGGGGGCGCTCCGCCCCTGTCGGGTTTCGAGGGCTAGTTGGAACGGGAGCTGGTAGCAAAGGCCGCATTTTGCTTACTGTGCTGGTGGATGTTTGAGACTGAGAGGCCGCGGTGGACGGATCGCTTAGATCATTAATGTCCTTCTTCGAGTCCATGTTACAAGGTATTGGCGGAAGACCAAAGACTTGGGAACAGCGATTCGGTCTGTTGAAGCGAGTTGAGGCATTGCCGTATGTTGAATTCGGATCTGTTGGCCGTTGATGACCGGAGAAAGAAGTCTGTAGGCCAACGATAACCGCCGTTCCGGGCGCGTCTGCCTCTGGGACCTGGAGCCCCGAGCCTTGCAGGCGTGCTACCCAATCGACTGGCGTCATGCCGTCATCCCTGTTGCTCAGAAGGGTCTTCTCAGGTCAAGCAACTAGCCGGAGATTCTCAAGAAACACGCGAGGACTTCTTTTCAGGACGAGGACTGGAATCTACCCTCTGATCACCAGCCCAACGTGTTGATCACCTCTTCAGGCGTTTGACAAATACGAGTTATGAAACTGCGACGACGATGTACTTTGAAGAGAACCAAAATTCAAACATCTTGGTTTCTCCTTTTGTCACAACCTTGAGAAGGGGGAAGCGGAAGAATTGCTCCTCTCGACACTGCCCTCAGATTTGCACCTCAGCTATTACGTCAAGGTGACGGCGACACAACACACGACAGGCGAGAAAATGCATATTGTAGCGCAATAAAATGCACGCTCATGTTTTGAAGGGGTAAGAAGTAACGAGCTTTGATGATTTCGAAGTCATCGACGTGTCTCGAAGGTGAGGTATCCACAACAGTCTACCCTGAGGTTCTCCGTAGCACATACTTTGGCCAGCTGGATCGACCCCTAAGTCTACATACTATTGTTGACGACGAACACGAGCGCCGTCCGTCACATTCAACCTACATTGCTTGACATTGCTGCAGACAATCGTCACTACTGACTGATTACAATTAGATAAAGCAGTTCAATGGTGCTGGGAGGGTGAGGTCATCCTTCCAGAAGCTGGCTGTTGCTGCGTCACCCGGTGATATGCGTTCTCCCAGCCATCTCACATTTACGAGGAGGTACCGCCATCTACGCGCTAACACTTCGGCTTCGGGTTCTTTTCTCACACGTTTCTTCCTACTCAGTCATAATCGATACTCCATGACCGGTTTGTAGGCCAATGGGATAAGTATTTTCGAGGGCTCTCCCCTGCTAAGCTTTTGGCGCAGCTGTGGCTGGATCTTGCCTGCTGCACCGTGACTTTGGCGTCACTCTCTCAGAGCTAAAACTCGGAGCCATGAGTACCCAAGTCTCGTGCTCATGCGCTGGACGAGAAACAGCATCCTAACAGAACCACATCAATACTTGCCCTGGCTGCAATGTACAGCTTGTTCACCATAATTGCGTTCCCGGATCCACAATCATTTCCTAATTGTATCATTTTACTTTGGCCCTCTTTCGTGACAAACGCTTCTGTGTTTCGGGGCACAAGCGTGCTTTGACCGAAGGTGGACTGCCGAGGCGGCTGGGAAGAGACGTTTTCCGTCTGCTAAGGCATCACGCATGTCCCTCTACAGAACAGCATAATCGCATAGACATTTCAAGGGAGTGTTAACCGAGTCGAAATACTGTGGCGTTGGTTTTTTCGCTACCATGTAATGTGAGGAACTTGATGATCCTCTCGTCGCAGGTTCTCCTGGGCTGGCCTCCGACTTCCGAACTCCGCTTCGATATCCAGATCGGCCCCACTCCTTCCACGTCGCCGCCGGTAACCTCACACGGCACGGAGTGAGACCGTTCACAGGTGTCTGTATTCACCTTTCGCGTTGCTTTGAACATACGAATTTACATTCGATTGTCTTATACTTCTTCTCAATAGCCTATACAGCGGCCAACAGGTCGTCTCACCGTCATGCATGTACATCTCGCCTTAACTGCTCCGTACACAATGACGTATTCTTGACGCATCTAGACGCCTTAAGTCGACCTCTGCTGGGGCCAAAGCAGCGAAGCCGAGGAGAGTCTCCTTGACATACGAGGGTCCATAGAGGTATGCCTCAACCCCCCAGATGAATCGTCTACACACGAAGACGCTCAGCTCGGATCCAGTCGGAAGTGAAGCGAACCCTTCATTACGCCCAAGTCATTCGTGCCGATCGTGCACATGTCGTGCAAGATGGACAGCCGGTTCGGCTGACGTTGTTCATTTCCAACATCATCAGATTATGTCTCATTGTAGATGGAGTGCCGAGGGCATTTCCACCTCTTCGTTGGCAGCACATCTAGCAGATCAGAGTCTTAGTCTACTTGGAGAGGCTACCACCATTATCAATTACTGCTCCGACCACAGGACCTGTGCCATCTCTTCTTGTATACAGCCGCCTTTGTGTCTCGGGCATTCGCACTCAAGCCCACCAACGGAACATTCGATCAGTTGGACATGGACAGACGACTCCATCTCGAGATCAATGTACCCAGCTGAACTCCAACCTCACCTTGACCCCGTGCACCCCATCCATCTCCGCGCGAGGGAAGAACAAAGCTGATTGGCACATCTTTCAGCATATGCTCGTCCAGTTGGAGGCCTTCGAAGTGCTGTTTTGCCACCGCTGGTATTTCGTCCCCGCCGTCCGCCGCGATCGCCAAAAGTCCCTTGAGCAGAAACCCCGCAAAGGGGAAATCGTCCACGCGGTCCCGTATCAGCCGACACGTCCGCGCGAACAGCTCGTGGGTCTTTTGTTGCCCCAGGAGCCGGGCCAGCGTGATGGACACATTGAACAACGGGGTCAGGATCATGCTCGAGCATTCCCTAAGGGACAGCGCCCGCTCGTGTTCTTCGATTCCGGCGATGCTCCGCTCGCAGTACGCCAGGAGAAGATCGCTGACGAGCCCGTCGTCCGGAAGTTGCAGGTCATGCTGTAATGGTCGAAAAATAGCGAGGATAACTTGGTCTTCGTAGGCTCTTCCCGTGCGGTTAGCGTTTGACCAGAATAATCAGCTGATCAACGTGGCCAGGATGGTTTCTAACCTCAGGTAATATGCTGAAGGGGAGAACACCTCTGCCTCTTCGAATCCGTGTGGTATTGTGTCGCGCCATGTTCGTAACTCTGCGAAGAGGTCTATCCGTCGCCGTATGTCCTGCTCGTCGTCAAGACCACCCGTCTTCAAGCCGGCATTGTACTCCATCGCCTTGTTGGATATGATTGACAAATCGCATGTGGTGTTCAACAGCAGAAGCCCCCGGCGATCGTCTTGTAACGTGTCTAACGAGTCTTGGGGGACTTGATCGATGAAACTTCGTGGAATCAGGGGTGTCGGTATTAAGGACGGTCGAAGGTAGGAAAATGCAAAGATGCTGCGGCGTCGAATTCGTCAGTCGATGAAAAACGGTGCGGTGTCTCGCGACGTAGTCGTCATTGCCAACCTCTCGAAGCAGTACAGCCCCCACATCGCCCTCGATATGACCCGATCATGTCGCTTGTCCTCGCCGTCCGCCATTGGATTTTCGAGAATTTGTATCTCTTGCAGCATATCGATGGCCGCAAGTTGATACATTCTCGCAGCACGATCCATCCCCGTGGCTGCCGCCGAAAGATGCATGATAAACAACGCTTGCGCGGTCGTCAGCGATGGGCGTCCGCTTTCAAAATCTAACAGTCGCTTTGCTTCCTCGAAGAACAGAGATCGCATATCGCATCCGTTTACGTGTCCAAAGGCTTTTGCTCGTCTCGACGTGTGCTGGGAAGCAGGAGAAACCGTTAGCTAAAGACTACAATCCACGAAAAGGGGGTTTTCTGGCAGCAGGAATCATCCGCAACGCTTGCAACATACGCATCTCAGCGCACAAATCGCGTTTACGAGCACGGGAGAGCAGTATCTCGCCGTGCTCGGCATGCGGTCGCGCATGTCGTCGAGGAAAGCCTTGCGGTCCACGAACGCGAGGAAGAAGGACGCGTCCCACAGGAAGAAGCCAGTGATCAACTCGGAAACGACGCCATCGTTCGCCAGAGCGGTCCACGGCCGTGCAGGTACTTTGAGAAAGCTTGCAGGCATATCGTCAACTTCGGAATTGGAGGGGTTGGGGTCGCGTGGGCTGGCACCTAAACCCGTTTGTCGTCTCTGCAGCAGCAGGTCGGCGGTGCGCACAAAGTCAAGCACCTGGAGCGCGTCGTCGGACGCGCGTAGACGCTTGAGGATCTCGACGGCTTCTTCTTCCGGCCGCGTCTGCAGGAACTGCAGTAGCTCGTGCAAGTCTTCATTCTCGCGTTCGAGTTCCTCCTTGCGTTTGCGTATCTGGACGATGCGCGATGTGTCGGGCTCGGAATCCCATTCGCACTCGATATCGGTCTGCGAACAGCGGTGACATGATGGACGGTTTCCGGAACACTATTTTGTCGTCACGTTCGGTCAGCTTCGTGGTGATGGCGTCGTGGAAAAAAAAAATCAAAGTCGAATCCGGCATTTTTCTATTTTTCTTAGAAGGGAGATAAATGTCGATGCAAAGGAAGATGTGTCGTGTTGTTTTCCCCACCCGCGAGGAATTATCTCCTCGGCTGATGTGACCACGAGGACGCCTTATTGATATTTACAACAGCTGGATAAGAACTACCTTGACTTTTCGCTTCCGGCACTGCAAACATGCGGCTGTGACTTGATGGCGAGTTTGTCTCGCCAACCCGGAGTACGCGTTGGTTTGTTCTCCGCTAGAACTGGAGCTGACTGCCGGTAACAATCGTCTCAAGCCCGCCGCCGTCGATTGGGCATTGGCCTGACCCTCTGCATCGGGGTGCACGGGGCCGGGTATCGAGTCCATCCCAGGAATTCTGTGACGTGGATTACCTAGAGCCCTCGACGGGGGTTCTGAAGGCCGTCCGTCGTGGGCAGTTGTTCTGGTCGAGATGGAGTTGAGGTTCGGTCAACTGAATTATTAAAAAGGCAATGTGGACAGCGGTTGGCACCTGTTGGCTGGAAAACTTTGGGGTGAGGCTGCCTCGGAAACGTCTTGAATTTAGCTCATCCTAAATCACCCCCATTCCGTCCCTCGGGGATACATGTATCGGCGGCAATCCTCGACGGGAAGCCAACGCACGATACGGATAGGCTGACGGAAGTAGGGAAGCAAAGACCCGGGGACAATGACATGCGGTAACGGTTTGGCAACGACCTGCTGCCCGGATTCGACAACATGTTGGGCATCTTTCTGCTCAGACCGCAGAGAATGGCGTGGTCTGCAGAGTGACCCCAGGCCGCTGCAGTGGGCTGTCTCGTCCGGATAGATTGTCAACATCGGAGCCCCTCAAAATCTGGGAGCTGAACGGCCCTCAAACGCATACAATGACCAAAGAGAATGATGTCAAGCCCAATCCGCGCCTCCATCCTACGGGATGTTCACACGCAGTCCTCCGGAACGGACTCCGTCGTTCATTAACGGAGGCTTCCATCAGTCTCAGCAGCGGTGATTGGGCGCCATTGGTGATGGCCTTTGCCTTTTACCCTTGAAAAGTACCCCCAGATGGTGTGGCTCAAAGTAACTCTTGGGTCACACACAAGGCCGGCGTTCTATTCGACGGAGTAGCGCAAAATGGAAGGGCATCCATCATAGCATTGGCCCTGGACCCTGGTTCTGGACAGCTCTGGGCCCCCCGATCAGCTGGTTGCACACGTGTGACAGACCGGCATCAGATCCTTCTCTGACGCTCTGTATTATTGGGTCTTTGATGGTTTTAGTTGTTCTGGCAGATTGGATTTCCTTCAATCTTGACTGGAAGATGTATGACCTGCCAACTGCTCCCCAAGTACCGCCAGAGACCCAAGCATCTCAGAACCTGCCCTGCCGTACCTCCGCTGCACCGAACACGTCTCACGGCCAGCAGTTGCGCAATTGTTCCTGGTATCGGCTACATGCGTTCCGTCAAAGATGGTATCGCCCCCTACGTCAACAGCAGAAGAGCCCGGTTTGGGGGGATGGCTTTTCCTATTTCCATCCGTCTCTGACAACTGAAGTACGTCACCGGAGGGGCTCCGGTGTGAGCGCTGAAGCTCATTGGCGCGTCTGATGTTTGCCCTGAGTTAACTATGTCAGGGGACTAAGTGGTCGGCGGGAAAAGTAGCGCTGCCACTCTCATTGGATCACCAAGTCGTTCTCCCTTAATCCACATAATTGCCAGTAATGAAGGGAATGAGTGTTTTCTCTGTAGATCAAATGGGGGTCAAGTTGTTCGGACTCGAGTGGGCTTGATCTGCGGATGATGGATAGACGTACAAATGAATCGTCATAAAGACCCAAGGCATTGATAATGCATGTACCATCCGACGCCCAAGTCGAACCGTCTTCTTCATTGCTATTTGCAAGTCGCTAGCTGCTCAGAATTGGGGCCTAGGGGCCTCAGTAGTGCGCTGGCTGAACATTTTCTGAACACCAGAAGTACATGACCAGAAGCCAGCTATTCTGTATGTAGCCCTACAAGTGCCGCGATATCAGTGCTCTATTCATCTTACATTTGCTGTCTCTATCAGAAGATACTTTCTCATGGGCAGAAACACTTGCTAGGAGTAAGTACTGTGGCTTAATGCATCGCCCAAAAATACCTGCACCAACAGTTCGTACTCTGCAGCAACGTGTGCGGTTGTCAAAATGTTCCTCAGAAAACGAGTGTTTATGATTTATGTACATCAATTTAGCAAAATATACGCAACTCTCGAATAGAACCCCCCTCTCATGACAGACAAGCTGGTCATCAGCTGTGGCATCAATTGTATTCTTTTCCCCAATCGCAGCCCCTAAGGATCTCGCGCGAACAGAGACTTGTTCACATTTACAACTTGACCGTCGAGCCGATGGGTCCGAAGCGGATGTTGGAGTAAGTGACGGTGGCCTAACCATACGTGTTATTAGCATCAATTCGGTCAAATTCCTTATCAGGACTGCTGCAAAGCGGAGGGCAACTTACACTGCCGTACTGGGACTCGACCTCGGAGGGCACACCGGAGCTCGCGGGGCAGTCGCCGCGCGCCGCACCGGGCTGGCCGGCCTTCTCAGGGGGGTACGTGCTGTCAAGCCAGAGCATATTGGCGTAGTGGTCGTCCCAGATGGACATGACGAGCACCCACTTGCCGCTGAGGGCGGAGTTGAGCTGGTTGAAGCCGCCGACCTCGGTGAAGCGGTCGCGGTCGCCGAAGGCCTTGACCTGGGCCGAGCAGAAGGCCGGGGTCACGGCGTTGCCGGTGACGCCGCTGATGGCGGACTGCGGCATCTCGATCTTCTTGCCGTTCTGGACGAAGTACTGCGCCACCTTGTTGGCGGAGAACTGGGTGACGACGCTGGGCCACGGTTATGAGGTGTTCGTCAACGCACGAGCTGGGAGAGGCACTCACGTGAACTTGGACGAGGTGTTGACGGTCTTGCCCTTGCCGTAGAAGCCGGTCTGGCCCATGCGGTACGGGTTGAAGTCGCATCCGTTGGCGTCGCAGTCGCCGGCGAAGCGGTCCTCGGAGTAGGTACCGCCGCAGCCGGACTTCTCGCAGACGTGGTAGGCGTTGGTCTTGCATGCGTGGGGAGTGACGGCGAAAGAGTGAGAGTTAGACTCTGTGCTTGGTTAACATCAAAGTACTGGCAGTCAAGCATGCAGGGAACATACCCCAGACGTCCATCTCGGCGCAGCAGGCACCGTACGGACCGACACCAGCGTTGGCATCGTTGGAGGAAGGGACCCAACCCTCGATGTTGGCCTTGCCGCCGACGAACTTGAGGTCGCGAGCGCACTGCGCGTCGCAGTATCCAGTACCGTACTTGGCACCGGCCTTGTTGGAGGGGTACTTAGCCATGCCACCGTCCTCGTCCATCTGGACGAAGTAGAGGGCACCTAGACTCGCGTGTTAGATGAGGTCTTGCACATGAACCCTTGGGATCCTACCGTTCAGGCCACACTCGAGCTGGGCGAGGTCGACATCGAAGGCCAACTCGTTGCCAGTGAGGGTGAACATCTCGTACTTGGTGGCGCTGTTCATGAGGTACAGACGCGAGCCGATGTTCTTGCCGTACGCGTGCTGCGTGACGAACTTGAGGCTGAGGGCGTTGCCCGAGGTGGTGGCGCCGTAGGTGCCGGAGTAGTCGGCACCCTCGACGGCGCACTTGGTCGCGCAGTCGGTGGCGGTGCTGCACTTGTCGGTCCACTTGTTGCCGTCGTAGCAGTTGGCGCCGGAGCTGTCGTGGAGCCAGCGCCAGTTGGCGTCGACGACGACCTCACCGTTGACGTTGGAGCAGCTGGAGGCCGTGCACTTCTGCCATGTCAGCTTGGGGTGGGTTTCGGTCTGCTGGGTGCCGGCCTGCTGGGCGGTGACGGCGGTGATGGCCGCGAGGAGAACGGAGAGAGAACGCATCTTGAGGTGTTGTGCTTGGATGTCTGGCTGAGGAACAAGGTCGAGGGGGATGCTTCATGATGGCAGCCGTCTTTTGTTCCTTATATACCTTGCTTTCCGAGGTAGATCTTGGCACATTGTGAGCCAAGGAGGCCTAGATTCCGAAGATGGATGATCTTCACGGGCCACTGACAGATCTTCTTCGTGGAAGTGAGGGTATCACGAGGCATGGAGAATTCAGAGCAGTCGCTCGGAGGGCTACATCCGTCGGATAGAATCAGTTCAGATCCGACAAGTAGACACAACATTGATGTAACTTAGTTCCCAAGGGGAAAGGAGTCAGGCACCGAGGGTCCGAAACCCGGGATGGTCGGTCGAGGAACGAAAGGCGACTCGTCAATCCAATATTGACAATCTAATATCATTTGGCTCGCGCAGTCTAACAGGTGCGGGGGAGGCAAAGTGTGCCTCGAGACCCGTGAGGGACGATGTGGTATTGACTGACGATGAGGGATTGGACGGAATCATAGGCCGTCAGAGCTGGTGCGCCCTCCATCACGGCCAGGAGCCTAGCCATTTCTGTTCGCTCACATAGCTTGAAACTTGGGTCATTACTGAGTTCATTCGTTTCAACGTGCCGTTTCCTAGACATGTTGTATGGGTTCCGTAGAAAAAGGAATCGTTCGCTCGAAGACTTCACGACTGAAGTTAAAGATCAATGTTATTCCACTCGAACATCACTTCGGAGAGCCTCAAGAGCCAAGCTTTGATAGTAATGGAGAATTTGATGCCAATGTCGAACAAGCATCGGCTGCCAAGGGCCTGGGCATGTACGTTCGCTCATCCACGTAGAGCTGGGGCTAGAGCTGTCCACGTTGGCTTGGTAAGGGTCGACCAAGAATGAGACCAAGAAATGCCCGAATCGTTCTGGGAATCTCGGAGGGACCCTTGCGAAGAGTGTTCAGGGGTGATATTGAATCGCTTGATATTATGCTCGGTGCAAGGCTGGATCACCATACTACCTTCAATATTGCACAGAACGTCTCCCAAAGTTTTTGGTTGGCAACCGTATCTCTTCCGGATACGTCTCTAAGATCTTGACTCTAGATCTTTGAAACCCCATCGCGTAACTTCACCAGCCCAAAGGCGTGATAGATCGTACCTGCATGATGGCGATTTCCTCTGGTCTCGAGCTTTCGCAGTCTTCTTCGCCTTCAGTCAAGGCTCTCACTCGGTTGAGACTGGAATCGCCTGCGTCGGAGAGCCGAGCGGCAGGAATGCTGTCATGTGGCTCACGCCGTTATTAGGTGTGGTTGCGGATGGTACCCTGATCTGGGGTAATTCCCCTAGGAGGCCGGCAAATTGATTTAGTCTCGGCCGATCAGGAATGATTCCACCACACAAGGCCGGCAACGCCGTTTGCTCGACCAGAGGCAAGCCTACGCGAACCAGTCAGGTCGACGCCGCCGAGGTGGGGTAACCGGGGGCGGCTCGAGAATATATGAACCTGATCCAACCTCACTCTTGCCCATTGGCAGTCCGATATTGATTTCGCTCTGGTCGTCCAACTGTGAGGAGAGGAATGAACAGCCGGTTGCGACTTGCCAGTATCGGAATGGCTCCTCGTGGATGGACGGCAGACGTTGTCGGTGGATGCCCGACTGCAACGTGAAATGGGCTTTTGGGGCTGTTACCGGAATGTCAGATACCGTCTATCGTATCCTCTTCCTGAACCGAGTGGAAGGCATGTTCGGAATTCTGGTGAACCGAACTCATCGAGAACAACTCCGAGATCCACGTGAAGCCATCGACGCGATTTCAATTGATCATTTCGAGAAGCCTAATAAGGCGCTGCAATGAGAGTCTTCGGAGAGTTTGACGAATACGCGTCTAACTCGTTAGGTCGGTCGTCTCAATCGGGATTCATCAAGATGGCGTCCGTATATGAGAACACGATCCGGCATTGAGCCGAAAATGAGACCTTGCGACACGGCGATGAGGGCCGACAATATAATAGCCGAGAGTTACTTGCTAAGCGAGACCAAAATCGCAGGTCATGAGATACCTGTGATTTGTTTTCGTAGGCGCTGGATGTGACGGTAGAAATTGCCTCAATCGGAATTGCTGTCGTACAACGTCTCCTTCTGATGTGACCCAGTTAGACAAAAATGGTGCGCGTCAGGGGATAGGCCGTGTCCCTGCCTACCGTGACCGATGGATGCATGATGTCGCCGGGGCCGACCCGGGGAGTAAGGATTCCGGACCCCGTCAATCGGGCCCGGGCCCGGTGGATGGCGGGGATGAGTTGGGGCCGGGCGGAGATCACTTTGAATGAAAATGTTCTGCCCCGGGCTTCACGGCCAAGACATGAGCCGAGGTCGTTATCTAGCGTCGATGCGGGTCGGAGGATCAGACAGGGCATGATTGGTGCTGTTCCTGCAGCGGGCCCTTGGAGATGGATCTCAAGTCACACGAGCTGAAAGAAAGGAGATCACTGCGGAGGACACGACGCGTTGAATGTGTTGCTGCCTGTTGATTATTTGGACCTACGCCGAGAGTCGTGTGTCTACGGTCCGCTCAGCAACCGTCGAACGTCTAGCGAGGAATAGAAGACACAAGAGCGGCGAAGTATTCCCGCATTGGAGCCAAAGCTTCTTCACATACACATTTGGATATCGTCATGTCTGGCAGAGGGTTGGTTCTCATTACCGGCCTGAATGGTTTCATCGCTGGACGGACAACCGAAGCCCTTCTGCAAGCCGGACACTCGGTTCGTGGCACCGTTCGATCTAAGGCATCGGCTCAAGCAACCGTCGAAGCACTTGCCCAGTATGGCGATCGCCTCGAGGTCATCGAGGTTCCTGACATAGCCGTTGCGGGTGCGTTCGACAAGGCGGTCGAGGGTGTTGGCGGCATCATTCACTTGGCGCAGCCGGTGACTTTCAACTTTCCCGATCCAGGCGCCGTTCTGGAGTTAGTCAGAGGGGCTACGAGAGGGATTCTGGAGTCGGCAAGCAAGGTGTCAACCATCAAGAGCGTGGTGTTGTTGTCGTCTATTGTTGCTGTGGTCTCCCAGAAGGAGGGCCCATACATCTTCACCGAGGAAGATTGGAACGAAGGGGCAATAGAGGCGGCGGCGCATCTGGGCGAGAAGGCACCTGGGCTGCTCATTTACCAGGCGAGTAAGACAGCTGGCGAGAGGGCGTTCTGGAAGTTCCGAGATGAGAAAAAGCCTTCTTTCGCAATGGCGGCCGTCAACCCTGTGTGAGTCGGCAAGTTCTTTTGATACGATGACAGCCACTGACTTGACCGATGGGTAGCTTGGTGAGCGGGCCGCCTCTCACGGCGCCGGAGTCTGCGGATAAGATCCCGGGGTCCCTCAAGTACATCTGGAGCATCATGTCCGGCGGGGCACTCAGCGGACCATCGGGCGTCGTGAACTTCGCATGGTTTGTGGATGTCAGGGACGTCGCTAAGTTGGTCGCCTACATCGTGGACCATGCCGATGAGGCAGACGGACAGAGATACATCTCATCGACGGCGTGGGGCCCGTCTCAGGCCGCTGCGGATATTCTTCGCCCAGCATATCCGGATTTGCCCATCCAGGAGGGCCGGCCGGGAGAGGGGTATTTGCCAGGATTCAAGACGCCTGGGGAGAGGGACATCGACGGGTCCAAGGCACTCCGCGCGGTCGGTCAGGAGTTTGTTCCGTATGATAAGTCGGTGTTGGACACGGCGGAAGTATTCAAGACGCTGCTTCAGAAATAGGCTTCCACGATAAGCCTGGAGTTACGGATGAAACGCATGCACCACTCCAGGACTATTATTCCTGGTCAAATGGTCGGAAAGTGACTGCAAATGAAAGACAATGATAGAGGTAATGATGAAAGATGAAAAAATAAGGGCAGAGAAGCATGAAGAGATTTCATAAATGGATATGCATAAATAGAAGTATCAATAATGCACGACGTAGCATAACCATCCAGGTCGCAGGTGGATTACTCAGATCACATGACGGCAAAAACGATTGCACGTGACGGCAGCTGCTGGCTCACCGCCTGTAAAACTCGGCTCAAGTCCGGGCTTCATCCCTCGCTTCCACTTTTGGCTGCCACTTCGGTTGGTTGCTGGACTCGGACTCCGCCCATCCACGAAATATCCGCTCCGCTCTCCAGGCTCCGAGCAGCCGGAGCTTCTCCGATAATCAGCCAGTATCTAACTATCAAAGGGCCATCGTGGGCCTCCATTTCTCTTCGCCATGTCGTCGTCGACCGACCAGCAACAGACCGATTTGTCGTCGCAACAACCTCAAGCCGAGCCGCCTGTGTCGCCAACTTCTGCTGCCGCCGCCGCGCAACAAGCGACCGCTCACGCCTACGCCAGCAATGGCCTTCGAGCTCTCCAAGACGTCACCGATGCGGCTGCCGCCCTCCAGAATGTCCAACACCTGACCTCTGCCGTTGCGGCTGATGCTCAGCAACACGAACAGCAAGCAATCGACCAGCAGCTGTCCATGCCCGATGCCTCGGACCCAGCTCAGCATGATTCATTTCCGTCTCCGCCTCCTCCTCCGCAGAATCAGCAGCAGCAGCAACCACAGCCAGAGCCACCGCATACGCCGTCGCAACCACATCCTCCTCAGACCTCCGCCGCTCCAGCTCCAATCCCAGCCTCGGCTCCGGCTCCTCCTCCGGCCCCAGCCGTATCCGTTGCCGTCGATGGCTCTCTCGGTCATGTCCCACATGCCCCGGTCGGCGCCTTCCCTCCGGGATTCCCTTCGATGCCTCCTCTTCCCGGCTCGATACCACCTATATCTCGAGATCCCACGGTCAACCCGAAGCTGACGCGCCTCCGACGAGCTTGCGACATGTGCTCGCAACGCAAGGTCAAGTGCGACGAGGCAGGCCCCCCTTGTAGGCCATGCCGCGAGCTCAACGTCGACTGTACCTTCAATCGCGAGCTCAAACGACGAGGACCCCCGAATAAACATGCCGAGGCTGCCAGAGCCGCCCGAAGACAGAGAATAGAGCCCGGAATCTCCTTCCACGCCTACACTCCTACGACTCCAACACCGTCTCCTCATAATGCTGCGCAGGCCCTCGTGTCTATAGCAGAAGGTCCAGCTCGCCTCGACGCGGAAGCTATTGCGCCGATGCCCATCCTCGAGCTTCTGGTCGACGACTTCTTCACATACATACATCCGCTGGCGCCCTTTCCTCACGAGCCGACCTTCCGACACTCTTTCGCGAACCGAGAAGATCGCTCGAACCCAGAGTTCCTCGGCCTGTTGGCTTCCATGATTGGAGCTCTCGTCGCCTCCTTCCCGAGAAGCGCCAGACAACACCTCAAGACACAGCATAGCACGCATCTCTTTCCCCGAGCGATAGTCATGATTGAGAAGTGTCGAGATATTGCTCTGGACACAAGAGGCGCCCGGTGGTCTGTCAAGCAGCCCAAGACCTTGGACGACGCGGCCACCAGTTATTTTCTAGGGTTGGCCGCCGGCTACACATTCGAGGTTAATCGCTTCCGATACTTCACGTCAGAGTGCTTGGCCCTGATTCGAGAGCTCGGCTTCCACCGGCCGAAGCACCCCAACGAGCTTCCCACATTCGGAAACGACAACTGCTCGCCAGACCCTTTGCCGTTCCACCACATCAAGGACCAAATCGGCAAGCGAATCTTCTGGTGCTTGTTGTTGGGCGTCAGGTAAGATGCGAACAAACCACCGATAACTTCTATTGCTGACCTTGCTAGATCATTCTCGCAACTGGGCGCCTCTCATGCGGACTTGGTCATTGCCCCGCCCACACCAGGCCTCCCGTATCCTGCTCTGCCTGAGAACGTCGACGATCTGTACATCATGGCCAACGAGATTGTATTCCCTTCAGAGAGCTCCGTTACCCTCCTCACTGGCTACCGCTTTGCGATTGACATCTACACAACCATGAACGCCATTGTCAGTGTGGAACTTGTTTATGGGATGAGTACACTACCATGGCCTGATCAGAGATCGCTGTTGCGAGACGCTCTGGTTGCCGCCAAGGATATCATCGATCGCCTTCCTTCTGAACTCCAGCTCAGTGGATCCCACGAGCAGTCAAGTGGTTTTGGCGCGCTAGACGATGCTGACCTTCAATACGTGCCTCCGGCTCACCCCAACATCCAGCCCTCCAACGATGTTCGAAACGTCATTAAGAATCAGCCACAGCGACGTCGCCAGCTCCAGTATGAGATCCAGAAGGCCAACATTTACATTTCTCAACTGGCCACCAGATCATTCTACGTTGAGCTGTACTTCAACCTACGGGATGTCCACCTCAATGACCCAAATAAGGACGCCCCGGCAGGCGAGTCCGCCGAGGAGAAGGCTGCAAAGGAGGCAGAAGACTCAGAGGAAGCGCGAGTTTTTGAGCTCATGACAGCAGAGCGCGAGCTTATTGTGCAGAACCTGCTTCATGTTCTTGGCTCCATCTCTCAGCGTAACCTCGAGCCGAATGGCGGTTCCCTTATCAACAAGGTCCGGCAAGTTGCTTCGACACTGCTCAACGATGCCCCCGAGCGTAAAGGTCCAGTAGCGATGAAGTCCGAGGAAGCTCTGATGCGTCTGATTGACATCCTCCTCAAGCTGGAAGGCACAGGGCCTAGCGGCAACAACATGGCTGGGGAGAACATGACACCACAGGACGAGGAAGAGGAAATGCGAAACTGGGCTCATCTTCGTGACTACCAGCAGCGCTTTGCCGCTCACGGGGGTTTCGCAGGAAATCTTTGATGATTCTCGACCTCAGCTTGCCGCAGGCAAGTGGTCTGAAGTTTTAACCCGAGTTTTGGCGCTTCATTGCTCTGGCCAACATCGCATTCTGCAGACTTTTCGCAAACCATTGCTCTTGGGTCTGTCATTGCGCACGTTGAAGACGCTGTGTCTTCGCATTTGTTGTACTGTTATAGGGCGCCAGGGTAGGCTGCTCGCACTGCTATATGGTATAGGACCAGACAGCCCCCAACAACGGGGATAATCATGAACACTTAATTGTCTTCTTCCATCTTGTTGGTGATGCTTCGCAACCTTCTCGTCCTACGTCTGGGCATAGAGCCCTTCTTCCAGCGCCTTGATTTGCAACGCGAGCATGCGTGAGTATACCCGACACAGCGCGAGGTTGCCGCCCATGAACCAGAAACCAGGATGGCCACTGTTTCTCCATATCTGTCTTTGTCAGTAATAATATCTCGGCATGAAAGGTGGGAAACCCACGGAGTTGATCTCCCCCTGCTCGTCCAAACCCCATCCCTCCTTCACACGATCGGCAACCTTGTCGCCGAAGATGAGCCGCGTCGTCGACTTCATCCCGTCGTAGCCGGTAGCCAGAACGACGATATCCGCGTCCAACGTCGTGCCATCGGCCAAAGCTAGTCCGGTAGGAGTGAACTTCTCGATCCCTTCAGGACTATGATGTACCTTGACCTTGCCGTCCGCGATGAGCTTACTGCACCCGATATCGATGTAGTATCCGCCGCCACGACTGATATACTTGCGATAGATGCCGCTCCCATCGGCCCCGAAGTCGAGCATGAAGCCCGCCTTGGTCAGCCCGTCCAGAATCTCGCGGTCGGCCTCCGAAATCGCCTTCGTCCCGTGGACATTCAACGCGAACTGGACCGGCGTCGGCATGCTCTGGGACGCGATATCCAGGTCCTCCGTCGGCGGCCCGCCTTCTTCGTACCCCCCCTTGTGCATCACGAAGATCCCTTTATTGGCGGTGATGACGTACGTCCCGCCGCGCTGCACCATCGTCACCCTCTCGGCCCCGTTTTCGTAGAAGTTCTGACAGATGTCGTGGCTCGAGTTGCCGGAGCCTATCACGAGAACCTTCTTGCTTGAAACATTCGGTATTTCGGACGCATCCGTGTGCTGACTCCCGTGGTATACCGTCCCCCTGAAGTCCGCCTGGCCCGGGAAGGTCGGGGCGATGGGGTCGCCTGCCTGGCCTGTCGCGAGGATGATGTGGCGCGGGCGGAGGACGCGGGTGCTGCCGTCTGCCCTGCGGATCGTGGCGGTCCAGGTCTTTGTGGTTTCGTCGTAGTCTGCCCCGTCGATCGTGGTGTTTGTCCAGATGTTGAGTTCCATGATGGTCGCGTAGGATTCGAGCCAGTCTGCCAGCTTGTCTTTGGGCATGAACATGGGCCAGTCGGCGGGGAAGGGGATGAAGGGGAGGTGGCAGTATTGGATTGGATCGTGGGTCATAAGGGTCTGTATGAGAGTAAGGTTAGAAAAGGGGCGAACTAAATCACGCCCATCCCAAGGCAAGTCGACAATAACGTCATTAGTATCGTTGAGGTGTTGTTGTCGTTATTGCTATCATTGTTGGTGTCACTGTCGCCGTCGTTGTCGCTGTCGCTGTCGCTGTCGCTGTCGGTCGTCACTCTTGGAGTATTCGGCCCCTATCCAGCTGTATACTCGCGAGGTGTCGACTTTCCCAGGGATGGATGCGTGGAAAATCAGGTCAAGTATGCTCGATTTGAGCAAAAGGTGCTGGTCAAAAGATGCTCACCCGGTACCGTTTACGCCAGCTGTCTCCCACCCGTTCGTTGCGATCGATCATCAAAGTCGGAACACCAAGATGTCGCAGCCGAACGCCGATGTTGATTCCCGCATGGCCTTGTAGGAAGCATCTTAGTATACGCACAAGCCTCATCGGAGACTCTTCACTCACCAGCCCCAATCACCAGCGCAACTGGATCCTCATCGACAAACTCCTTCTGCCTGTCCCGTCTCTCCTTCCAATTCCCTCCTTTGGGGTCCACGTAACCCATCGGCCTGTTGATCCCCAGGCTCTCGTGCACATTCTTCAGGTCCCGGAGCTGGAAGTTGATCATGTAGGCCTTCCAAGAATCATCCTCCTCCAACGTCAACCTCACCATGCCCTTGCCTCGGCCGACATTGGTCTCGAAGTCGAGCATGCTGTCGACCCAGTGAACTCCGGGCGCGACCGTCCTGAATGCCGGCGTGAAGGTACCTTTCTCGATTGGCCGGACGTTTCGGAGACCTGTTTCCTTCAGGTTTTGCTGGAAGTATTCGTTCATCTTTTCAAACCCCTGGATGGTGCGGAAGTCCCAGGATAAGGTAAGGAAGTCTCGGATCCAGGCGTCTTTGCGGAACAGCTCAGGGAAGCCGGCGATGTTCCCGCTGGCCAATGCCTCGTTGAATGTGTCTGTCCATGCTGCCACGATAGCGCGAGCTTCCTCTGGACTCTGTGAGGGTGGTTCACGGAACGTGGGGAGCTGGATGGTATGTTTGGCGTCGTTCATTTTGCTGGTCTTGTTCGTCTGATTCGGGTGAGATCGAGATCGAGAAGAGGCTCTCTGCTCCTTTAAAGCTGCTCCGTACGACTACCGAGCTCGGGCAAACATATATGAAGCAGTAAGTGGACTTGCTACTTCTGTTTCTGTACTTCAGCCCTTCAATACGAAGGTCTACGACCGCCGTGGTTGGCTGGTGTGGTGCCACCGTCGATCATTTGTGCATGCTTGAGTTGGAGAAGCCAATCAGGCCGGGGAATCGGTCAGATTGTGACGGGAAATGCTACCCCTCCTCAACATTCTGGATCTCTTGGGACCAGAAGTACAAGATTGGCTGGTCGGCCGGTAGAGCCCCGTGCAGTTCGATGCAGGTCTTTGGCACAATGATGTGTCGTGAGGGGTTGACCTCGGGCGATGTTCACCCCGAATTCGGTATCACCGTCTTGAATTGACTTCCAGATAGAATTTTCAAAATAAGCAATACAAAGTATCCCTCCACAACTCAATCCTTGACACCCTCAATGAGATTCTTGATTCCTTCTCCATTTGCCGTCTTGTCCCAAGCTGCCGTGGCATTCTCAAAAGAAGTCACGCTAGACAGCAAAGCCTTCGTGTTGATGCGCCCCTGCGAAATGAGCGAAAGAGCCAACTCGTAGTCTCCAGACCCGTACCGAAAGCATCCTCGAACTTTCAGCTCCTTTTCAGATAACGCGAGCATGGGCACTTCCGGTCTTGCTTTCCCCAGTCCTGCCTGTACATAGCTGCCGCCGCGCTTGAGGAGGTAGATGCCTGTCTGAATGGACGACTGAGCACCGGAAGCCTCGATGACGGCATCAACCCCTTCTGTCAGACCGAATTTCTTCAGAATCTGGGCGGCGATGTCTTCGCTATCCGTCTTGGTGTCCGCAAGGAACGTCTCGCACTCCACGAACGACCTCGCAAACTCCAACTTCTTCTCCAGGATATCGACGAGAATCACTCTCCGCGCCCCAAACGCCTTCGCGACCGCGCCCGAAAGCAGTCCGATCGTCCCGGACCCCGTCACGACCACATCCTGCCCGAACGAGATGCCCGCCAGCCTGGCCGAGTGGACAGCCACCGCGGTCGGCTCGACCAGCACCGCTTCTTCGAGGCTGACCTCATCAGGGACTCTGTAAACAAAGTCCTCCGGCACGACGAAGTACTTGGCAAGAGCGCCGTGGTTGTCTGGCGGATCGGCGGCGAACTGCATGCGGGGACACAGGTTGTAGACGCCGTCTTTGCAGTTCTTGCAGCGGCGGCAGGGGAATCCGGGCTCGATGGCTACCCTGTCGCCGACTTTGACGGATGTTACGCCGGTGCCGATCGAGTCGATGATGCCTGCTGCCTCGTGGCCCATTACGAGGGGCTTTTCGTCGCTGACTTTGCGCATGAAGCCTCCTTCTTGCCAGAAGTGGACCTGAATCTTGGTAAGCTAATGCCAATATCTTGATACGGAAGGGGGAAGCCTACATCACTGCCGCAGACACCGACGTATTTGATTCGCACGATCACTTCGTGATCATCGCTTATCGTGGGAATGGGACGATCTTGCAGCTTGGCTGACTTCGGCCCGTAAAGAAGCCATGAGGGGTTCTGCATTTCTGCGGTGGCCATGGCGAGGGAGACTCTGTAAAATATCGTGAACTTGGACTTGGAATCTAGAATTATGTGATGAAAACTTCTGGCGAGGGTTTTTGATATGCAGAACGGAGAAGTTCCGTTGTTGACATCACCGCCCGAGTGCATCAAGACATCGGTCGACAGTCGTCCGAATGTGACCCCGCTCACATGAACGCCAGGTAGCTATCTAGGTGCGCCCTGCATAAGTACATGTTGAGTTTCCCGCCCGGAGGCTTGATGCGGCGCGTTATGAGTACACCTTATCTCTTTTCCCGATTAAAAGCCGGTGGCGACCGTACATCGTTTACAACCTTCGTATCGATGTAGTTCATCAAAGACCCATGTACGTAAATCTCAAGGTTGATGAGACATTTCCAGAGGTAACTTACACGTTCTACAGCTGCAGGTATTCAGTTCGGGAATGGGCAGTATACTTCTGAGCTTCTGACAGATTGCTCCAAGGCAAGATGAAATCTATACATCAGGTCACTCCGCGTAACTTCTGCTTTCTCTTACTAGTCTCGCATAATACTGTTCCATCCGGCAGATACCCAGAACACAGATATCGTGGCCAGCATTGCCGTAAGTGCAAACTATTCAACAAACAATACAAGTTAATTAACTAAAGTAATACTATTACTACTTCCTAATTAAGTAATCCCTCCTCCCTTAGAATTATTAAATACTTTAATATCTTATATATATATAGATCTAGCTAATAGGAGGCTATAGATTAGCCCCTACCCTATTTATTTAGGTATACCTAGCTACTAAAATATACTACTATTACTAACCTCACTATTATTATATATACTATTGAGGTTATTTAGACCACCCTCACTATACTAGATAAAGGCTTATTTTTCTAAAACATTAGTAATAGGTAGATATAATTATAGCAATTTAAATAGTATATTTAACGTTATAATTAAATATAAATTATAAAAGTTTTATATTATTATATATCTTACTTATTATTTACCCCTATTACCTTACTAAACTTTATAATATCTACTACTATTATTACCTCCTCTTCTACTACTAATATATATATAATTTTAGGCGCCCTATGCTAGTGGATCTCTATATAGATTGAGATAGCCCTTACTACTATTATCCCTCTAAATCCTATAATTAATAACCTACTTATTATTATTATTAATAGTAAGAGGTATATCCTTAAGTAGTACTTAATATAGTAGAGAGGCTAGAGTTAATTTAGCTAGATTTAAGAGTATAGCAACTTCCTTATTAAGGTTATTTAGGGCTAAGCTATAGCCTCCTATTAGAGTTGCTAATAATGTAATACTAGAGGGACCCCTAAGGTATTTAGCGCTACTACTACCTCTACCGCCCTAGAGCACTTAACGCAGTATATTATCCTAAGCTTCCTACTAATATAAAGTCCACTCTAATAAGGCTAAAGTAGCTATTACGTTTATAGGATCTCTACCCTCTTAGATAAGGATTCTAACGCTAACTCCTTAACAACCCTATTAGACCCTCCTCTATATAAGAGGGTATAGCTTAATAACAGCAATATCCCTAAGGGTAAGATCGCAACTCTATAGGATCTCTACATCGCCTCCATTATCTCTACTAACCTCCCTTTTGCCCACTTTAAGAACACCTTCCTCTAATAGATCCTATAATACCATAGTATAGAGGTCGCTAGAGAGGTCCCATAGAGTTATACGTCTATTTGGGACCATCTCCACAACTTCTAGCAGCATAGAGAGGCCCTTATAAAGTTAGAGCTCTACTTAGCAGCATCTAAAATATACCTTTTATTTAATCTATAGTTATCACCTAATATTTACACCTTTATAGGGGTTATATATCATTTTATTAATATTACTAGCACGTTATAGTCACGCCTCCTAGGCTTCTCTTAACACTATAGAGACTATAGTAGTAATACCCTCTTAGAGACCCTCCTCAATATTGTTAACCAATATAGGATCTAGGACTAGATTAGAGTAACTATCTCTAATAATATAACTAATAACAACACCTACCTCTAGGTCTTCTACTAGGATATATATCCCGTAATAATGGAGGAGGACGTGGAGGCCCGGCGTATGAGGTGCTACGGCTATATACTCAACCTTACAGCCCAGGCCTTTTTATTTGGCGCTAATAAGGAGACTCTTAAGGCTAAATCCAACTACTACTAGCTTATTAACCGTTATAATAATAATCTTAACCTCTAGCGGAGGCTTAGGCCTATTAGCTAGCTCTAGAACATCATTAAGTACGTCTAGGCCTCTCTATAACGGACTAAATAGTACTAGAAGGCTATAGCTAAGATTAATAGCAACTCTACCGACTTCTAGATCTTCTCCAAGTTGTCTTATAAGGCCCAGCTTATCCTAAACAACAATACTTACTAGAATAGTATATACCTCATAATTAAGAGGGCTATAAAGAAGAAGAATAAGATCTAGTCTTTTATACTATTAAATAATAATAATAATAACGTTAAAAAGCATATCCCAGAAGTGGATCTACTATCTTCCGATAACTAGAAGGTTCTTACCAAGATAGGTATAATCCTGGAGCCTTTTTATTGTTAGATGAAGAGGTGTGAGGGCTAGGGGGTTGGTAATGGGTATAGTTAACTTTAGGAGGTCACAATAGGCTTAGAATACCTCCTTTTATACCTTATTAACTAGAAGACCTACTATAACTCCACAATCTCTCCTAACAATCCTTTTAAGGAGTTATAGCTATTATAAACCCATTTAGGATAACCTTAACGTAGTTAGTATAACTAATAAGCCCTCCCTAATTATATACATAAAGACTAAGTATCTCTAGCCTCTTGGGCAGCCTTATAATTCAACTCTCTCAATAAGTAGTAGTAAACCTTCCTCTATAGCAGTATTAAGTAGTTATAATAAAAGCTCTTTTACTACTATAATAGGTTAGGGGACTCCCTACTACTTTCTAGTGTAATTATCCTCTATCCCACATTTAGGATCTCCTATTTATAAGACGTATAGAGTAGTGACCACCAAGAGGGATAAGTTGAGAAGGCTTAGAACACCCTTATAGAGTACTTTAATAAGTAGTATTATTAATATAGCGTAGAAGAGGGTATCCCTAGCCCCACTAGCCCTGCTATTAACCATAAGGCTCAGGATAATAATAATACTCACTTCTAGCAGTAGGTTAATAGCTAGCGCTAGTAGACCCCACCCCAGACGGATAAGCTCAATCTATACCTCTATCAACCTCTAGAGAAGACCTCTAATCCCATCCAGTAGTAGTTAGACCATTTAGAGACCTTCCCAGCGCTCTCCCAGCTTGCAATTGACGTCTTTGCCGTACTAGCAATAGCAGCCAACTACAAGAGGGCTTTTAGTACTATAAAGTTAACCCTTACGTTATAGAGGATGAGGATAAAGCTGGATACTATAGAGAGGCTCTAGCTATTAAAAAACTAGATAAAAAGGGGGGTTATACTACTAAATAATAGCTTTAGATTACTAGGTATATTATAAATAGCTTTATTATATAGGTTATATATTTTTATATAGTAACTTAAATTAACCTATTTATAAGTTACCTAAATAACTAAAAACTCTAAGAAAAATCTTATTAATAGCAATTTTGGGGGTCAAAATTGACTTAATTGCACTTACGGCAACGCTGATTGTGGCCCAGAATGAACTTGATCGGGAGTGCAATAGTCTAAGCAAGCGATCATAGATTATGTCCCAAGACATCCCCAACATCGGCTCGGTGAATGTTCAGGAATCCAGGATATTATAAACGTAAGTAGAGTAGGATTGCAACGCTATGAAATTCAAAATCCTCCCAAAATCTGACTGTTCTACCTACGCAGACTACGCAGACTCCGCGTACTGCCAGATGTACTTCTCAATGGTATCCAACGACTTCAAATCCTCGTTCTCCTTCTTGATCTCCATCACCCTCTTCTTGTACTTGTCGTTGGCCAACACCTCTGCAACACCCTCGGCGACCTGCTCCGCCGTTGGCTTTCCGGTCTTGAGGTTGTACGCCACACCCACATACTCGCCGCGCATCGCGATCTCAGGCTTGTCTTCGGTATCTCCACCGAGAACCATCGGCACACCGTTCACGATGCCGTGCAGGAAGCCACCGTATCCGGCATTCATAACCCAGACGTCGGCGTGCTTCAACAAGGCGTCGTAGGAAAGGAAGTCGGCGACCCTCGTGTTTGCGGGGATCTTGACGTCCTCGGGCAGTGTAGCGCCCTTGACACCGAGAATGGCGACCACAATAACGTCGTCACGGTCTGCCAGGCCTTGGATGGTGGGGATGACAAGGTCGTTGTAGTCTGTTGCGATGGTTCCTTGTGCGACGCCGATGACCTTCTTGTTTCCGGCCGTGACATCTGCCCACCATTCGGGGTACTTGTAGTTAGGGTCGACCGGCTTGGGTGGCAGGCAGCCGGCGTACTTGATGATTTCAGGGTGGTCGGACCTGGGGTATTCGAGGCTCTGGGAACACATTTGCAGGGTTACGTCGTAGCTGGTCTGCCATGTCTCGAACAAAGTGGGTGGGACCTCCTTAGTCGCTCCAAGGGATCGAAGCACATCGTTGTACTCTTGGGATGCCGGACCAAAGGGCCCGATGGGGCTGAAGAACATCTCGTTGAGGAGCTTGTTGCGTGCGCGGCCGGAGTAGGTCGAGTCCGGAGGAAGACCGGGGCCGAAAGGCGCGGTGTCGATGCTGGTGGCAACCACAGGAATGATGTTGATGTCGATGACGGGTGGCCTCGTGGTGAAGCCCTTCGGGAGGGGCGCTCCGTACATCATGGGAGTGAGACCCATGAACATGGTCTCGTGGACGATGATGATCTGCTGAGACGGCCGTCTCTCGCGGATCTTCTCGAGGGTGTCCATGAGCGTCTCGAACAAGCGGGGGACTGGCTTGATGAAGACGTTGCTCAAATCGAACATGAGACGGGGTACTCCCACTGGAATCTTATCGCGAACCGCGATCAACTCATCGTTTATCATGGAAGGGGTGGGGACGTGTTCGGCACCCAACCGCTTGACCTGGGCGTGGAACTCTTCTCCGGCGATGAAGGTGGCTTCGAAGCCTCTCTGAACCATCTCTGCTGCAATCAGGAGAAGGGGATAGGTGTGGCCAGTCGCTGCAGCGGCGGCGAAGAGGAGGTAGGGCCGCTTCTTGTTGCCATCGCTAACACCATCGTTGGCCACGTCTTGGATGGCGTTGACCAAGGAGTCTCCTGAGATTGTCATGGTCGAAGAGGATATAAGTCTGATATGTAAAGAGGGAGTATGGAAGCCGGATGAGGGGTGAAAATTGGGTCGAAGCAGATATCGTTCGAGGAGATGTCCAGCCTTTATATCGTAAAGGCCGACCTGGTGGAGCTCTGGTGCGAGAAAGAAACGTCCCGCTCCTCGGCGAGAATCTGTCCGGACCTGGGCCGTCAGAACCCAGAGCCACCGGCGTCACGCACCGCATGGCATTGTAGCTGGGCCGCGTTGTCATTTGAAATCTGACAGCAGATTCTAGCCAAGCAGAAAAAGAATGCCCATGGTAAGCTTGTTGACTGGAGAACTTGGACCACTCGCGGCTAAACCTCAAGCAGGGCCTGCCGTATTTTGCCCACCCAGAGAACTGTAAGGCGTCCATACAAATTGCTTTTCCACCCCCTAGAAACCATGAACGTCGAAGGATTCGCTGTTTACAGGTTTCTGTTATTTCGCGGTGAGTGATTTGGATGTTCATTGGTCTTGGAAACCGTCCTGTCTGAATCCGGTGATGACGACCCAGGCCGACGAACCGCAGGATCAGGGTCCTGCCAGGTTAGCCTCAGCCCGTAAGCGCGAGCCCCAAAAGAACGAACCGCTCTGGATTGATAGCAAATTGGGCTAGTACACTAGGTGCTCACGATGTTCGGGGATGTAAGGCAGCGAGATTACCTTCTTAGTTTCACGGCAAATACATCCCGGGCTGCGGATGATCTGCTCGGTTGCAACGTACGCTGATGAGACTGCGGTAAAAGATCGACAGTAGGACCCAAATCTCGGGAAGAGCTACTGAGATAGTCCGTATCCTGGCGCGAGTAGCTCGGAAAATGACGAGGTGGAATCCGCTAGGCCGTTAGCTGTACCTCAGATAATATCCCTGTGCAGTCGTGTCTACCGGTTTGTCGAAATGGTACCTGGCCACGTCTGGACAAGCTTCTCGTCAGAGACATGCCGCGCGGTTGTCCTAGGGGGTTGTGTACCCGTTGTATTATCAATGTGCATGTTTGAAGCCCTGCAAAAAGCAGCGAAAGGGAAGCCGGCTAAGGCTGCCGCCTCTTGCCATAACCAATTGGCTGGACATCTCGAATAATCAAACCTAAAGAGCGTGGATTGTATGCACGTAAGCTGACACCAAGGTGGGCATGCGCTGGCGGGTACTCATGTGAAAGTTCTTCGGCTGAAATGATCCTCCGTATCTTGACGATATCTCTCCGACCGCGTAAACGGCCGAATCTCACTGGCCCCCTTGAAGGCACAAAAGTAGTGTATTCGTAGAGAAGCAGATGATGACTGGACGCTTGTCAGCGGCAGAAGAAAGTTGTCATTAACCTAGAGCTGGGGGCAGAGCCGCCCAGACCCATGTAATATCGAGAGACCCATATCCAAGTACCGGACAGAATATGCGACAATTACGACGCGCAAAAGCTGATAGGACGGTTGATTGTTGAATTGTAGAGGACTGTAGGGTATGACAAGCGTAACGACCTGTACTGTTGCACCGTTCCACATGGGCATTTCACAAGCTCCCGCGCGGTTGCTCCGAGACAGCAGCGTCTTCACGATACAACACTGCTTATCAATCTGTGGAGTGCACAGTCATGAATTGAGCTTGGCATGTCTTGCGTGTTGCGCCATTCTTTCGCGTCTCGCTGAGCCGCGAAGGCGCGATAAACGTCGTGTCTCTCCTTAAAACTCGGCGTCGTTGATTTTGGGTCGTGATAGTCCGGCCGTCCTTAATGTCCGGAAGGCCGATGTTACAGCAAGATTTTACGTGCATCAGTGGCCGTGTTGATCGCCGTCACGCCGCAACTCCCTTGCCCTTTCGGGCTTCGCTCCGTCCAAAGAGTTCCCGTAACCACGCTCTCCTGTCGGACCCCTCCGACGGCCCTGAATGAAACGTCGAAAATCGCGATGATGTGGAAGAAGATGTCGATTTCGTCGAGCCGTAGACTTCGGTCGGCCGTCCTGCAGTGTAACCGTCAGCGCCCTTGATGCCGTGTCGGATTTAAGATGAACCTACTGATGTTCCCCGCGCCCCCGATCCCGTACCCCCTGAATTGACGATCCCTCACCGCCGTCTCCTTCACGTCATGCTCCTCCTCGGTTTCGCTATCCGCATCGTCCAAACTCCTCCTCCGTCTCACGGGCGGAACCGTGCTCCCTGCCACGCCTGACTCGAATCTTGGGGTCGCCGGGGTCGTCGTCGTCGTCCCGCTCGAGCGGACCGGGGATGGCAGCACCGAGGCGGCGGGCCGCAGATTCACGGTGGAAACGCTGCGGACGACCGCCAATCGGCCTTGGACTCGGACACGATGCTGGCGCTTCCGCGGAGCAGGAATGAGGTGGTTTGTCTCGGGATCGGGTTCGGCCGCGTCGTCTTGCGAGCGCCGGAGCTGCAGCTGATTCGCGAGCGAGATCATGGCGACGAGGTGTTCTCGAGTAAGGCACGGCGAGCGGGCGAAAATAGGCCGATGGTTCGCTGTGTCTCACTGTCCAGACGGGTCTCTCTCTCTTCGCGGCGAGCGGAAAGAATTGAAGACCGAAACTTGCACGAAGATATCATGTATGCCAAGCTATGAATGAGCGGACGCGACCGATGACAAATATCGTCGCAAAGAAAGATCGGCTTCACGAGGAATCATCACATCGAGTCGCAATGTTGAAGCGAAGAAAAAGGAGAAAACATCTGGACGTCACGCTAGATGCGTTAATCAGGGGCACATTTGTCTTAAGCCGTCCGGCCGTCAGCCATAATAACACCCCGAAGAAAGCTGCGCCGCGAACTTTAAGATAAGCCAGCGCGGCGCAATCAACCCCAAGCATCCGGCTCAGGAGGATTTCCTTCTGTCAAGCGTTCTGACAATCAAATCAGAAGCCCTGCGCCGTTGCCCGTGGCGGCCAAGCTTCCCCCTCATTAATGAGCCTTGCTTTTCGCGCGGTCAAGGGTGCCCTGGAAACGGTAGCTTTGGGGGTAACATCGCCGCGGAGCCAGCCCGGATTTGCGCCAGGCCTTCGCCTTTGCCTGTTTCTTCGCCGGCTTGCTCGGACATGAGCTCTTGAGGGCAACTAATTGCTTAAGTATTATTCTATGTGCCCGTTTGTGAGACTCCGATCGAGGAGAAAGGCCTAAAGTCTTTCCAACATTCATCTCATCATTTGAGCCGCCCTACACGTTCATCTGAAGTCTTCATGGCGGCGCAACGTCCCGGCCATCCTGCAGACGAACATCATTGAAACCTAAAGTTTGTCGCGCGCGGGTGGGATGGCAGGATGACAGGGGCGCGCGGCATGTTGCTGAAAGGGGCAGTCGACTAAGCAGCCACAGTGAGCTAGCCGTTGGCTTCAAGCGTGGACTTGGCTAGCTAGCGGCTTGTGGTGCAGGGATGACAATGTCGTCTGGAAGGAATTGACACCAAGGCGAAGGGCGAAAGGGTAGAGCCTTCTTTTCGTTGAAAGCTTGGAATTATTTTCAGGGCGGGCTGAATCAATCATTGCCCTCAGTGCTGCTGGTATGATCGGTGTCATCGTTGTTTATAATGGTGTCGTCCGTATCAATAGTATTGCTGGTACTGTTGGTATTACTGGTGTCTTTGGTAGCGTTAGTGTCGTCATCCTCACCGTCGTCGTCATCGTCGTCTTAGTATTCGGTCTATCAAGTTTTGTCTTATGCTTGAATGAGTGTTCGTTTCACGAGAGAGTCTTGAAATGTGTTGAACAAGTGAAGGTGTTATTGATATTATGATTACATGATTAAAAGTCTTGTATCCGTGAAAATAATGTCCTGCTAATCGGCGCAAGAGGAGCCGGCTTGTATCGGAACGAAGAACAGGGAGAGTAGTAGTGTTTCCCCTCGAACAATTTCAGTTTCCCCAACACCATTGAACAAAGGAAAATTACAAGGGAAAGATGGGTGTCGTGGAAGAGACACCTTATTTGGTGACGACGTTGACCGTGGCAACACCGAACAAGCTCAAGTTCAAGCATGAGACAATGCCCTGCCGTCCTAATGCTACGTTGAAGCACTTGGGGTCAATTCTGCTCGCCAAAGGTCCGAGGTCCGTGATGCAAGAAGCCAGGGCCGGAAGCGTGACTGGCAACTCCAAAGAAAGAAGGCCACCGCTGGGCTGTGCGCCGACTGCGATATTGGCACAGGACGTAGGCAAGTCAGTGCGGCATGAGCTTTGGATCTTGTTCAAGACGCAAGTGCCGTACGCCTGTCTTTGGCCAAGAAGGCCGTTGACAACATTGAGAAGGTCTGTGACGACATTTCCGAGGACACAGCCGAGGCTGTCCAAGGGGTTGGAGAGAAGGCCGGAGAGAGTACTGTCGACACCTTTGACGGCCAGAGCCACCTTACATAGGTTGATCTGCGCGTTCACGTCGGTGATATTGGCCGACGCTTCAACAAGAGCTCCGCAAGCCGGGGGGACCTGCGCACATGCTTGAGATGAGGGACACAAGGTCGCAGTATTGCTTCTGGCGCTGTTGATAGGGAACCCGACGCCCGTCGTAATGCAGTTGAGAATGTCCACAGGGCTGCCGCTAGAGACGCAAGAGAGTAGGTTGGATGTGCCGAAGATGCCCGAAACACCGAATATCCCAAGTTGGGCAATGCAGAGATTGACTTGCGCATTGATGCTCCCGGCCGCGGTTGTTTCGATCTGAGAACATGCCGATGGCAGCCTGTCGATGCAGCCACCGCCAGCAGCTCCGGTGATGGGATTGAGAGCGCTACCAACAAAACTGCTAAGCTGGTTCCTGATGCAGGCGGTGTAGGTTGTAGAAATGGTAGTCTGCAGACATGTGCTGTTGATGTTTGTAAGGCCAACGATGCTGCCTAGATCATTCGCACAGAGATTGAGCTGAGCTCGAGTCCGCAGGCTGGCATTAGCATCGAGGGTCGCACAAGCTGTAGGAACCACGAAGCTTGTGGCCGATGCTGTGTTGATACAACGACTGGTGGCGGCGGTCGGCGTAGGAATACAGCCCGAGGGAGAAGATGTCTCCGTCACAGCCCGCGTAACCAAGGCAATTTGGGTCTCCGCTAACACAGTAATCACGCTACCGGTGCCGCTCTGGGTAACGAAGCGAGTTCCAGAGATGGAAGTGCTGATTCCCGTAGGGATTGTTGTGTAACGTTGAGAGACGGGGACTGCCGTCGCTGCGATGACCGTCCTCGTGAGTCCGGTGCCGGGTTGGGTGCTAAGTGAAACCCCTGTGAAGGCAGCTCCCGTGATTGAAGACGTGATGGTGACATAGCTCGTGGTAGGCACAATGGCAGTCTCTGCTACGACTGTCCTAACAAGTCCAGATCCGTCCTGCGTGACGAGAGATGTTCCTGAGAACGTCCCGGCGATGCCTGAGGTTACCGTGACATAGGATGTCTGGGGTAAGGCAGTCTGGGCGAGGACGGTGACAATGGTTCCGCTGCCAGTGAGCGTCAAGTACGAGGTTCCAGTGAACACGCCTTGAACGGCTGTGAGGACAGTAGTTGTGATGGTGCTGGGCAAGGCTGTCTCTGCGAAGACGGTGATGAGCGTAGCCCCTGGAGCAGCAGATTGAGTAACCAATCTTGTGCTTTGGAAATTGCCTGCTACGCCCGTCGGTATCGTAATGAACGCAGTTGTGGGGATGGCAGTCTCTGCGAAGACGGTGATAAGTGTGGCCCCTGGAGCAGCAGACTGGGTAACCAGCGAAGTCCCTTGGAAGTTGCCTACCACACCCGTCGGTATGGTAACATACCCAGTCGTAGGGATGGCAGTCTCTGCGAAGACTGTGATAAGCGTGGCCCCTGGAGCAGCAGACTGGGTAACCAGTCTTGTGCTTTGGAAGTTGCCTGCCACACCCGTCGGGATAGTAATATATCCAGTCGTAGGGATAGCAGTTTGAGCAAAGACGGTGATAAGCGTGGCCCCTGGAGTAGCAGACTGGGTAACCAGCGAAGTCCCTTGGAAGTTGCCTGTCACACCCGTTGGTATGGTGACATACCCAGTCGTAGGGATGGCGGTCTGGGCGAGAACGGTCCTGGTGAGACCACTGCCCGAGAGAGTAACCAGCGAAGTGCCTTGGAAGTTGCCTGATACGCCCGTTGGGATGGTAACGAACTCAGTCGTGGGAATGGCAGTCTGAGCAAGAACGGTCCTGGTGAGGCCACTGCCAGGGAGAGTAACCAGCGAAGTCCCTTGGAAATTGCTTGCTACGCCCGTCGGGATAGTAACGAACTCCGTTGTGGGAATAGCAGTCTGGGCAAGAACGGTCCTAGTGAGGCCACTACCCGAGAGAGTAGTCAGCGAAGTGCCTTGGAAGTTGCCTGCTACGCCCGTCGGGATAGTGACAAACTCCGTCGTAGGGATAGCGGTCTGGGCAAGAACCGTCCTGATGAGGCCATCGCCAGGGAGAGTAACCAGCGAAGTGCCTTGGAAGTTTCCAGGCACTCCTGAAGGAATCGTGACGAAAGATGTTGTTTGAAGAGCCGTTTGTAAGACTACTGTTCCGAGAGTCTGGCCTGCAGTCGTTGGCAAGGTCTGAGTTATAGTTCCCGCAAAAGAAGAGCCAATAACGCCGCTCGTTACTGTGATGAACGAAATCGGGCGGATGGCTGTCTGCAAGAACACAGTTACCAGGCTCTGGCCCGGACCTGTGGTGGGAACCGTTGAAGTTGATGTACCCTCGAAGACGCCGGCTAAGCCCGTGATAATGGTGGTGTACGAGACAATCACCTGCGCGGGGATGGCGGTCTCCAAAACCACAGTCCTGACGTTGGTGCCTGTGCCATCAAGAGTGACGGTCCTTGTCCCAGAGAAGGCGGTGGATGGGATACCACTAGTCACTGTAGTGTAGGACAGAGGTAGAGCGGTCTGCAGCAGAATTGTACCAAGCACGCTGCCAACAGGAGGAATGGTGATAGTTGAAGTGCCAGCAAAGACCCCTGGAACCCCTGTGGTCACAATGGTGTACGGAATTGCTGTCTGGAGCAGCACGGTTCCGAGGGTTCCGCTGCCAGACATAGTTGTTGTTGAAGTACCAGCGAATACCCCAGGCAGGCCCGTCAGGATGGTCGTGTAGGATGTTGGAACCGGCAGGGCGGTCTCGAGAACGATAGTAGCCAACGTCCCGCTTCCAATAGTACGCGTCGAAGTGCCAGCGAACGATGCCCCCAGAATGCCTGACGTCAGAGTGACATACGACGTAGCCGAGGGCAAGATTGCCGTCTCCTCAAATACGGTGCCCAATGTTCCAGTAACTGGTGCTGTTGACGTTCGGGTACCCGAAAACAATGTATCACTGACACCGCGAACAATCGTTGTGTATCCAGTGACGACTGGAGCAATGGCTGTCTGGAGAAGAATGGTTTGGACGTTCGCTGCGCTGTCGATGGGCAAAGTCGAGGTGATGGTTCCGATGAAGGATCCCGGTACGCCGGTCACCAACGTCGTCAAGCGGATGCTTTGCGATACGGCATTTGAAGTAATGGCCGGAAGCGCGGTTTCAAGGAACACGGTTCCAGTTCGACCAGTTCCGATCGGTTGCACAGTAGACGTTCTCGTCCCAGTAAACACTTCCGAGACCCCTGAGACGATTGTGACAAAAACGACGCTGACGCTCTCAGCAGTCGGCAGTGCAGTCTGGAGCAGAACCGTGGCAATGCCATCTGCGCCTGCCGGTAAGGTGAGGGTTTGCGTGCCGAGGAAGGCACCGGGAGAACCTGTCAACAGAGTCGTGAAGCGTACACTTGGGCCTGTAGATACAGACGGAAGAGCGCTCTGGATGAGAATCGTTTCGATTCCATCTAGGCCAGCGGGAAGTGTCGAAGTTCTAAGCCCAGAGAACGCTTCCGAAACTCCAGTAAAAACTGTCGTCCGAATGACTGAGATGACACTTGGCAAAGCACTCTCAATGAGAACCGTCTGGATTCCATTTGAGCCGGGCGCAAGCGTTCTGGTTTGGACACCGGAGAATGTCGCTGAAGGGACGCCTGAGAAGATTGTTGTCAGGCCAGCAACGGCGGGCAGGAGGGCACTTTCAATAATGACTGTCTGGATCCCATCAAGGCCAGGTGCAAGCGTTCTAGTTTGGACACCAGAAAATGTTGCTGAAGGGACACCTGAGAAGATTGTCGTAAGGCCAGCAACGATGGGCTGAAGAGCACTCTCAACAATGACTGTCTGGAGCCCATCGAGACCAGGTGCCAGGGTCGTGGTTCGGACACCTGAGAACCCTGCCGAAGGCACGCCCGAGAAGATTGTCGTAAGGCCAGCAGCAGTCGGTCGAAGGGCACTCTCAACGATGACTGTCTGGAGCCCATCGAGACCAGGCGCGAGAGTGGTGGTTCGGACGCCGGAGAAAGTCGCTGACGGAACGCCTGAGAAAATTGTCGTGAGGCTAGCAGCAGTTGGCGCGGCCCCTAGAATGGCACTTTCGATGATGACGGTCTGAAGGCCATCCAGACCAGGCAGGAGCGTCGTGGTTCGAACACCGGAGAAGGTGGCCGAGGGGATGCCTGAGAAAATCGTTGTAAGACTAGCAGCGGTTGGCGCGGGTCCAAGAATAGCACTTTCGATGATCACTGTCTGGAGACCATCTTGACCGGGAGCAAGCGTTCTAGTCTGAACGCCAGAGAAGGTTGCTGACGGAACGCCCGAGAAAATTGTTGTGAGGCTAGCAGCTGTTGGAGCAGCTGTTGACGCAGCCGTCGGTAGAGCACTCTGGACGAGTACTGTCTCAATGCCATCAAGTCCAAGCGGCAAGGTCGTGGTTCGTAGTCCCAAAAACGTCCCAGGAAGACCAGTAAACAGGGTGGTTACTGCGGCTGGGCGAGTGGTTGGTAGGGAAGTCTGGATGAGTACTGTTTCGATACCATCGAGGCCGATAGGGAGCGTGGTGGTGAGAGGTCCCGATAGACCGGTGACTCCACTGAAAATGGTGGTTACTACGGTTGGGCGAGCCGTTGGTAGAGAAGTTTGGATGAGTACTGTCTCGATGCCATCGACGCCGACAGGGAGCGTGGTGGTAAGAGGTCCCGATAACCCTGTGACTCCACTGAAAATGGTGGTTACTGCGGCTGGACGAATGGCTGGTAGAGAAGTCTGGATGAGTACTGTCTCAATGCCATCGAGGCCGATAGGGAGCGTAGTGGTAAGAGATCCCGATAGACCGGTGACTCCGCTGAAAATGGTGGTAACAGCGCCACGGCTGGCAGTGGGTGACGCAGAGGCTGATTGGGTAATAGGCTCGTAGACGATCACAGTGTTGGGAATAGTTGGGTCGCCTTGGATGCTGACACCAATCGATGTTGTGAAACGAATTCTTCCGGTGTAGGGGGACGTGACCGTGACGGTGCTTCGCGTAGGTTCAGCTGTTGGCGGAGCAGTCAAGGACCCAGTGGCGGAAGGCAGAAGAACGATAACCGTGCCGGTGAGATCATTTCCGGTGGGTAAGATAGTAGACAATGCTGAACTGACACCATTGTAAGTTTGCGTGATTGTGTTGAAGAAGATACCAGGCGATTGAATGACCACAGTGGCAGGAAGTCCGCTTGCCGCTGGTGGGAGCGTGAAAGTTGACGGAGGGCCTGCGGAGAACACCGTCGTGAAAGCCAACGCGGGGTCGACCGCGAGGTTGGAAGATGCTGTGGGAACCACAACAACCGTGCCTAGTCGGCCCGATGAAGCCGGCGACAGAGTGAAAGTTGTCGGAGTTGAGCCCGCGGAGAACACCGTTGTGAAAGCCAACGCAGGGTCGATCGCGAGGTCGGAAGATGTTGTAGGAACAACGACTACCGTACCCGGTCGGCCCGATGAAGCCGGCGCGAGTGTGAAAGTCGTCGGAGTTGGGCCCGCGGAGAACACCGTCGTGTAGAGCAAGGCAGGGTCAATGCCAAGGTCTGATGAGGAGGGAACAACCACCAAAGTGCCCAACCCGCCGGAGATGGCCGGCAAAATCGTCAGGGTGGTTGGTACCGGCCCGGTTGAAAAGACCGTAGTGAAAGACAAGGCAGGATCAACAGCCAGATTAGAAGACGTTGTCGGACTGCCTGAAGAAACCGTAGGAATCACAACAATCGTGCCCAGATCTCCCGAATTTGCCGGAAGAATCGTCAAAGTGGTTGGTACAGGCCCTGTTGAAAACACTGTAGTGAACGATAGAGCTGGATCAACTGCCGCGCTGGAAGACGGAACGCTCGAAGACGACGTTGGGACGACCACGATAGTGCCCAAGTCACCCGAGATGGCGGGAAGAATGGTCAGAGTCGTGGGAATAGGTCCAGCTGATATGATCGTTGTAAACGACACAGCAGGATCGATGGCCGCATTGGAAGACGTCGTAGGAACCACAATAATGGTCCCTGTCTGCCCGAGAGAAGCGGGCAAGAGGGTGAAAGTTGTCGGAGTTGGACCAAAAGAGGTGAGTGTGACAAATTCACCGGGACCGGAGGGTGTCGGAGCCAGGGTGGCTGGCTCGAGGAAGATAACAGACACGATGCCGTCTAGTCCGGTGACTGTAGACGTGGCAGGCAACGAGCCTGTGCCCGGAGCCGTCGTAAACACCGTGGTTGGGACTCCTGTAATGGAGACCGAGGATGGCGAGGCACCAGCACTGGTGATTGTCGGGGTTTCGAAGATGACCGAGACAATGCCATCGGCGCCAGTGACCGTGGTTTCTGTAGGAAGCGAGCCAGTGCCCGGGATTGTGGTGAAAACGGTGCCTCCAATAGACGTTGCCGGGACTGTGGGAGTCGCGATAATAACAAGGCCAACATCATCCAAGCCGGTCGGCTGAATGATAGTTGTAGAAGGAACGAGGCCTGAAAATCCGCTGAACACTGTTGAGTAGACTCCTGGGACGTCAATAATGACAGTAGGAGCACCACTACCAACGGGCGACACCGTCTGGGTGCCCGCAGAAGGCGCACCAAAGCGAGTGCTCGTAACTTGGAAGAATTGTGCAGGGATTTGCACCAGGACTGTCGTGACATCGCCGATGTTGGCTGGGGTCTGGGTCTGAATCAACGTCGCAGCTCCGGGGTAGGAGGTTGTGATGGTTGTGATTCCGCCAACTGTCGGCGTTCCGGTCAACGGCATTTCAACCCTGACTGTCTGGATACCATCCGGTCCAATGGGCAAAGTTGAAGTGACAGGCGCACTAACTCCCCGGACGGAGCTTGTGACGAAGAAGAGCCTGCGAGGTAGACCGACGAGGACCGTAACGGGGTCTTGAGGTCGAGCCGGTGTAATAGTCGACGTGAAACCAACGGAACTTGCAGTATCGGTGAGCTCGGTGAGGAAAGTCGTGGCAGTTGTGTAAGTGATGCCGTTGGAGACCGAGACCGCCGGTGAGCTGATGGGCCCTGCCGACGTCGGAATCTGAAGCAAAACCGTCCCAGGCAGACCAGAAGCTGCTGGGGCCACAGTCTGAAGAAGAGACGTAAGTCCAGTATATTCCGTAGTCACCGTAACGTACGAGACGATATTCTCGGTCACTGAGGCTGGTGTAGTCACTGCGGAAGTGGGTACCAAAAGGATTGCTGTGGCCAGGCCATCAACGCCTGTGATGGATCCGAACTGGGTTTCCGTAGCAGTGCCATCGAAAGAACTCGTGATTGTCGTGTACTGTAGGCCGGGCAAAGCAGTAGCCGTCGGAGTTTCGACAGCAGAAATAGCATCCGAGGGAATCTGCACAAGCACCGTACCAAGCTGTCCAAGTGCAGTACCAGCCGGGGCCAGTGTTGAAGTCAACGTTAGGGACCCAGAGTACCTAGTAGTGAGCGTCGTGTACAGGGCAGAAAGAGGATCTGTGCCTGACGCAGTTCCCTCTGGCGAAGATACTGTCGGGACCTCTACAATGACACTCTGGATCGCAGACCCATCAATTGTAGCAACAGGGAGCGTGGTGGTCTGGGTCAACGAGCCACTGATGCCTCTTGTTACTGTGGTAAGGAAAACACCGGGAGCGGCAGTCTGAGATGCGTCGGTCTGGGCTGCGGTAGTCTGAGTGGGTATCAAGACAATGACGGAGCGGATGGTTGATCCGTCAACGACTGCAGCAGGCAAAGTGGTAGTTTGCGGGACGACGCCGCTAAACGGGCTAGTCAACGTGATCAGGATGGCATTGTCGATGATATCAGTAGACTCTGCAGTCTCGGTGGGCTGCGCAGATCCGGTAGGGACTTCAACCACGACTGTTTGAATGGCCGAACCATCAATGGTCGCGACTGGCAAGGTGGTAAATCGAGTCACCGACCCAGAGACGAAACTGGTGACCGATGTAAGGAAAACTCCAGGAGCCACGGTTGCGCTGGGAACTTGTACACCATCTGTCGACGTGGGCAGGATACCACTCTCAGTGGGTGAAACTTGTACACCACCCGTCGATGTGGGCAAAATACCACTCTCAGTGGGCGAGCCAAGAAGGTTCGGGAGCTGGATGACAACCGTGATCCGTATGCCGAGTCCGGACGGGTCTGTGATCGCTGGCAAAGTCGACGTAAGAGTTTCAATACCACCAGAATAGCTGGTGAAAATGGTCGTCGTTGAAGTTGGCAAGCCATCATTGGTAGGCAGAGAGGAGTCCGACTCGGGGACTTGGATGACAACTGTGCCTGTGGCGAGTCCAAGGGCGTCCGTGGCGGCAGGTTGTATCGTCGAAGTCAGGGTAACTGAGCCTGGATAGGTGCTGAAAATCGTTGTGTAGAACACACCGGGCGAAGCCGAGATGCCAGGAGAAACGGTAATGCTGGGCGTGGCAGTCGCATCACTTGCGCCAGCGCCAGTTGGCAAAGAGCTTCCAATGATCACAGTACCAAGGTTATCTCCCAAAATCGGATCCAGTGTCGTTGTGAACGGGTTCGATCCGTCGCTAATAGACGAGAAGATGGTGGTATAGGAAATGCTAGGGGCACTGGGAGCTGGAGAGCCTGTCGCATCAGTGATACTGGCAGTTGGTGCATCGGTAGCACTGAGATCAGTCGGAAGAGAGGATCCGATGATAACGGTGCCGAGGAAGTCTCCCAAGGCAGGATCCAGCGTAGATGTAAAGGGGGTTGACCCATCACTGATGGACGAGAAGATGGTGGTGTATGAAATGCTAGGAGAACCGAGAGTTGGAGAGCCAGTTGCATCGGTGACACTAGCAGTAGGTGCATCAGTTGAACTGAGATCAGTGGGAAGAGGGCCTCCAATAATGACGGTGCCGAGGAAGTCTCCCAACGCAGGATTCAGCGTTGATGTGAAGGGACTCGATCCTTCGCTGATGGACGAGAAAATTGTCGTGTATGAGACACTTGGAGCTCCAGCAGTTGGTGATGCGCCTGGATCTGTCGAAGTGATCTGGTCGGCAGGCAATAGGACCAGCACAGTCCGGATGGCGCTTGGATTGGCGGGGTCAGGGAGTGCGGTAGATGTCAACGCGACGGATCCGCCGGTGGACGTAATGGTCGTGAAGAGATCTCCCAACACGTCGGTATTTGAAGCAGCCTGGCTTGGAATTTGGACGATGACTGTGCCAACGTCCGCATTTGTGGGAAGCACCGTCGTAGTCTGAATGATGCTGCCGTCGTAAATGGAGGTTATAGTGGTGAAGACCGCAGTGACTTGAGTAACCTCGGCAGAAGAGGCAGCGGGCGAGCTGACAAGAGAAGCGGGTTCAATGATGATGATTGTGCCAAGCTCTCCTGGGTTCGCGGGGGCAATTGTCGAGGTTGCAAGACTACCGCCATCGGTTGTGCTGAAAATGGTGGTGTAGGAGGCAGTCGGGGAAGCAATGGGCTCAAAGAAAATAATCGTTCCAACCGAATCAGTACCAGAAGGAGCCAAAGTTGATACCGACAATTCGACACCTGAGTAGCTGCTTGTAATGGTAGTGTAGGAAGAGACTCCGGGGATCACGACGCTCGAAGTGGGAACAATGACCACGACAGTACGAACAGGATCCGTTCCAGCGGCTGGGAGCGTAAGCGTGGTGAGCTGAGGTACGTCGGAAGTACTGTAAACGGTCGTAAATGACGAGCCGTCTGACGAGGTGACAAGCAGAGCAGGATCGAACACAACAACGAGTCCTGGGTCGCCCGTAGCCGTAGGAAGGACTGTCGTTGTCGAAAGGACTGAGCCCGGGCTTGTCACTGTGCTGAGCGCGACCGTAGGCTCGCTCAAAGTGGGCGAGCCGTCTGACGAAGTGACAAGCAGGGCAGGATCGAATACAACAACGAGTCCCGGGTCGCCCGTGGCTGTAGGTAAGATCGTTGTTGTCAAAAGGACTGAGCCTGGGCTTGTCACGGTGCTGAGTGCGAACGTAGGCCCTGAAGTAGGCACGTTCGTAATCGTGTCAGGGCTGAGCGTAGGAGTGCTTCCGTCGGTCAAGGTGGGCAAGCCGTCTGACGAAGTGACAAGCAGAGCTGGATCGTAAACAATAACAAGTCCCGGGTCGCCCGTGGCCGTAGGGAGGACTGTCGTCGTCGAGAGGAATGAGCCTGGGCTTGTCACAGTGCTGAGCGCGAACGTAGGCGCCGATGTGAGCTCTGAAGTAGGGTCATTCGTGATGGTGTCAGAGCTAAGCGTAGGAGTGCTTCCGTCGGTAGCGGTAGGGACGAAGATAATGACTTGTCCGAGAATATCCGTATCAGTAGGCAAAATCGTTGATGTGAATGGCAAACTGCCGGAAAATCCGCTGGTGAATGTGAGGAACTGATCAGGATCAGCGCTCTGACCGACATCCAAGGACGTTGGCACAAAAGTAATCACGGTGCCAAGGTCCTGATCACCCGTAGGGAAGATCGTTGTCGCCGAAGGAATAGAACCAACGATGTTGCTGGTAATCGTGGCGAAAGAGATGCTCCTGGTAGAAGGTAAAGTAGCGCTTGGGGCGGAGATGTCGGTAGCCGTAGATTCGCCTGAGAGATCCGTGGGCAAATCCGTAGACAGATCGTCGGTGGGAAGTGCCGTTGACGCCGGAATCAACACCAAAGTATTCACAGGATTTCCACTAGCGTCCAAGATTATCGACGTGATTCTGCTTAGCCCATCGAACGTACTTGTTGATAGATCTGTTGCTGATGGATCGGTGATGCCCGGAATGGCGCTTGTGATTTGACTAGGGTTACCTGAAGCATCGATCGTCGTCGGTGCAGTTGCGGATCCGTCCGTTGGCAAATCAGTTGTCGACAAGTCGGCGGACGGCAAATCAGTGGATAGTATGTCGGTAGTTTGGACGTCAGTCGCCGACAAGTCGGACGACGGCAAGTCGGTCGTGAGGGCATCGGATGTTGACAACTCTGCCGATGGCAAGTCAGTCGTCGCTGAGCCTCCAGTGGGTAGGTCAGTGGTTGATAAATCCAAGTCAGTCGTGAGAGGATCGGATGGCAGTTCAGTCGATGGCAGGTCCGTGGTGAGAGCATCGGATGTCGGCAAGTCAGATGTCTGAGTATCTGCGGTAGGCAATTCAGTCGAAGGCAAGTCAATCGTCGCTGAGCCCCCGGTGGGTAGTTCAGTGGTTGACAAGTCACTTGCAGCCAAGTCCGTCGTGAGAGCATCGGATGTTGGCAACTCAGTCGATGGCAAGTCAGTCGTCGCTGAGCCACCGGTGGGCAATTCGGTGATTGATTCCGTCGGCAGTTCAGTCGATGGTAAGTCTGTCGTCGCTGAAACACCAGTTGGTAGTTCGGTTGTCGGTAGGTCACTTGCCGCCAAGTCAGTCGTTGGCAATGCCGTGTTGCTTGGGATGAAGATGGCAGTAAGGATTGGGTTGCCAGATGCATCAAATATCGTAGATGTCAACGATAGAGATCCAGAGTACAGACTCGTTGGAAGTACACCCTCGGGCAAGCCGGAGGAACTTGCAATGTCCGGTAAGTCAGTTGAACTCAAGGGGTCGTCGGGCAGTCCAGAAGAGCTTCCAATGTCCGGCGAGCCAGATAGGCTTGGTGTGGATATGGCCGTTTCGACCGGGTTGCCACTAGCATCGAGAATTGTAGAAGTAATGGTCAAAGATTCAGAGGGTACGGTGGTCGGCAGTCCACCCTCGGACAGGTCGGATGAGCTTGCAATGTCCGGTAAGTCGGTTGAACTCAAGGGATCAGGCACTCCAGAAGAGCTTCCAATGTCCGACAAGGCAGAAGAGCTTGGTACAAGGATGACGGTCTGGATTGGGTTGCCCCCGGCGTCAAAGATAGTGGACGTGGTGGGTAACGCTCCTCCGTAGGTACTTGTAGCTAGATCGGCCAAAGAGGAAGCTCCAGTCACCTCTGGGACGAAGATTGCGGTCTGAATTGGATTGCCAGACGCGTCCAGGATGGTGCTTGTGAAGGTGACTGAACCACCAGTGTACGTGCTCGTGATCAAATCGTCAACTGCGCCAGTTGTGGCGGCAGGGCTAGTCGGGCTTGGAACCAATACGATTGTAGGACCTGGCAGCCCTCCAACGCCTGGAAGTACTGTGGTCGAGGTAAACAAGCCACCGAAAGTGCTCGTATATATACCGGCTTCAAGGGCAGTAGGAGCAGTAGGAGCAACTGAAGGAAGACCATTGCTTGGGAAAAATATGACGGTTTCGTCAGGAAGACCCGGAGCACCTGGTACCGTGGATGTGAAGATAAGGCTTCCGTCATAGAAGCTAGTGACTGGACCTTGGCCTAGGGACGTCGGGGCTACGGTAGGAGCAGCTGAAGGGAGTCCATTGCTTGGGAAAAAGATAACGGTTTCGTCAGGAAGACCTGGAGCGCCGCCTGGTATCGTAGACGTGAAGATAAGGCTTCCGTCATAAAAGCTAGTGACTGGTCCCTGGCCTAGAGACGTCGGGGCTGCGGTCGGCGCAGGAGCATCGGAACTGGGGATGAAGACTATCGTGTCATCGGGAAGGCCACTAAGGCCAGGTACGGTGGATGTCAGCGTGACAGAGCCGTCGAAAAAGCTCGTGATGAGTTGGCCGACGGCCGTGGGGCTTGCTGTCGCTGGGGCTGAGTTGCTAGGGATGAAGATGGCTGTTTCGACCGGGTTTCCAGAAGCATCGAGGATAGTGCTTGTAAAGATTGCCGAACCATCATACAAACTCGTGACCAGACCTTGACCCAAAGCGGTAGGTGCCGAAGTGGGAACATCAGTTGGAATGAAGATGATGGTAGCTCCTGGCAAATCAGAGGCGAGAGGAGGGATAATCGAGGTGAAAGTAGACGATCCTCCACCATAGAGACTGGTGTAGATGCCTGGGGCGAGCCCGGTGCCGGAAGGAGCCGGAGCATCTGAGGCGCTCGGGGCGACACTTGGGACAAGAACGAGAGTCTCCGGTAAACCATTTGCCCCAGAGACGATGGTTGTGCTCGTAATTGAACCTCCGTAAGTGCTGGTCTGTAAAGCTGGTAATCCGATACCAATGCTGATGGCAGGATCGGGCGTGGTAGCTGTAGCAGTTCCGTCTGGCAAACCGGACACTCCGGTGCTTGACGGCAGGCCCCCGATGCCCTCGCTCACGCTAGGGTCGACTGAGGTGGGTTCAATGCTGGGCACAAGGACGAAAGTTTCATCCGGGAGACCAGAGACACCACTCCTGATTGACGTGCTCGTGAAAAGACCATCGTATGTGCTTGTCAAGATGGCAGGCAAGCCACTGGGGCCAGCAGATGCGCCCGCAGTAGGCTCAACGCTGGGCACCAGAATGATTGTTTCGTCTGGAAGACCTGCCACGCCGCTCCTGATTGACGTGCTCGTGAAAAGGCCATCGTACGTGCTTGTCAGGATTGCAGGCAAGCCGCTGGGGCCGGCAGATGCGCCCGCGGTAGGCTCAATGCTGGGCACCAGAATAATCGTTTCGTCTGGAAGACCTGCCACGCCGCTCCTGATTGACGTGCTCGTGAAAAGGCCATCGTACGTGCTTGTCAAAATCGCAGGCAATCCAGTCGGGCCGGCAGACGCGTCCGCAGTAGGAGTGATGCCCGGCGTGGTGCTCGGCAGCAGAACGATGACCGTCGCCGGGTCGTTGATGTTGGCCGGGAGAACGGTGGTCGTTGCGGGGACCTCTCCGGTGTACGTCGAGAATATGGTAGTGAAGGCATTGGTAGCAGAGACGCCGTCGGTGGCAGAGACGTCGGTGGCAGAGACGTCGGTAGCAGAGACAGCGTCGCTCGGGACGTAGACGATCAGAGTGCCGGGGTCGCCGGGGTTCAACGGAGAGACGATGGCAGTCGAAGGCGACGATCCGAGTGTCGATGTGACGGTGACAAGGCCAGGGCCGGTGGGAGCTGACGTGATTGAAGGCGACGGCGATGCGAGGACGTTGCTCGGGACAAAAACCACGATGGTGCTTGTGACGTCACCAGGAGAAGGAGGACGCGTCTCCACCGAGGTGACTAAGCCGCTGTAGGTGGAAGTCACGATTTCGAAGAAGGCGCCAGGCGCACCCGTGGAAACGGAAGGACCTGGGGCACCAACGGAAACGGAGGGAGCACCGGCAGAAACGGAAGGAGCACCGGCAGAAACGGAGGGAGCACCGGCGGATGCGGGATCGGTAATGGAAGGAGCGCTGCTCGGGACCAAAATGACCAGGGTACCTGAGTTGAGTCCGGAAGGCAAAATGGTCGAAGTGGAAGGCAGCAATCCCGAGAAAGTCGAGGTAAGAGTTGCGAACTCAAGTTCCGGCGATGTTGCGGGTGATCCAGTTGAGCTTGGGATCAGGACCACCACTGTGCCGCCGATGTTTGTTCCCGACGGAGAAATTGTGAACGTCGTTGGTGCCAATCCGCTGAAAATGCTGGTCAAAGTAGCGAACTCTATGCTTGGAGATCCGGCGGAAGACGCGCCCGGAGCACCCGGAGTGGGGACGGAGGTGGGTGGGACAACGTTCGGATCCGATACGCTCGGGGAAACACCGGGGGCCGAAACCGAGACGCCCGGAGCAGAGACGGATGGAGAAGGTACGACGACATTTGGATCCGATACGCTTGGAGAAGCTCCAACATTCGGGTCCGAAACACTTGGGGAAACACCAGGAGATGATACCGAGACACCAGGAACAGAGACTGAGGCATCTGATACGCTGGGAGAAACACCCGGAGCCGTAACGGAGGGATCCGATACGCTCGGAGAGACGCCGGGGGCCGAAACGGAGACGTCTGGCGCCGAGACGGAAGGAGATGACACCAAGACATCCGGCGCAGTGACGGAAGGAGAAGGTGCGCCGACATTCGGGTCCGAGATACTTGGAGAAGCACCAGGAGACGAAACCGAAACGCCCGGAGCCGAGACGGAGGGGTCTGATGCGCTGGGAGACACCCCAGGAGATGAGACCGAAACACCCGGAGCGGAAACGGAGGGATCCGATACGCTCGGAGAGACGCCGGGAGATGACGCCGAGACATCCGGCGCAGAAACGGAAGGAGAAGTCGGCGCATCTGTCAGGTTCGGTGTGTAGATAATCACCATACCAATAATTTCCGTCCCGCTTGTCATGGGGCTCGTCGTCGTCGACAGGCCAGTGAGGGAGTACCCCGTCGTTCTTGTCACGAACTTGGCAAAGCGAGGGACGTAAACAAGAACCGTCCCCACGGTCTGGGTTGCCGATGGGAAGATGGTCTGCGTCGACGTGCCAGTCGAGTCCCATGTTGTCGTCGTGGTAATGAATCCAACACCAGGGGTAGCCGTTGGGGACGGAGTAATTGCACCAGGGGCCGTGGGGGTCTGGATGACCACGAATCCAAAGGACTCTGTTCCTGTAGGGTCAATGGTAGTCGTCTGGGGAACGAGTCCTGAAAAGCCGCTGGTGACAGTAATGTAGGAGATTGGACCGGCCGACGGTGTCGCCGACGGGATCTGGATAATCACGGCACCAATATTGTTCGTTCCAGAGGGTTGCAGAGTTGTCGTGCTAGGAACCAAGCCCGAGTATTGGACCGTCGTGGTGATGTAAGACGCCGCTTCAGTAATAGGGGTCTGGATAATAACGGTACCAGGCTCTGATGGGTTCGCGGGGAGCAGAGTCGTGGTCACGATGCCAGAGCCAAGGTATCCGGTCGTCTGAGTGATGAACGAGGCAGGATCAGAGACAATGGGTTGCTCGACAATGACCGTCGCGATGCCATTGGGATCCGTGGCCGCCGGAGGGAGGGTGAAGGTGGTCGGGACCGATCCCGTGATCGGCACCGTCCGCGTGGTGAACGAAGTCGCCGAGACGGCGTTGCTCTGGCCGGACGAGAACGGGGTCTCGATGATGATTGTCCCGATAGATTGGCTGCCGCTAGGCAATACCGTGAGAGTGTTCGTCGTCGGGCCCGGGTAACCCACGGTGACGGTCTCGAAGAAGATAGGAGGCTGCGTCGGAGCTGAAGTCACGCCAGGGCCAGCGGTGGGCGTAAGAATGACCACAGTAGTGGGATCCCCGACGTTGGAAGGAGTCAATGTGAGACTGGAGGTAGCAGATCCAGCAAATCCACTGGTAATAGTGACTTCGGGGATGGGACCTCCTCCAGCGCCACCAGTAGGTTCAGCAGTAGGCGTGAGGACCACCAACGTGGTCGGGTCTCCCACGTTCGAAGGAGTCAACGTGAGTGTTGACGTGGCAGATCCAGCGAAACCACTGCTGATGATAACTGGTAGAATAGGACCGCCTCCGGCACCACCAGTAGGACCAGTGGTAGGTCCAGCGGTAGGCATGAGTACGACCAAGGTGGTCGGGTCGCCAACGTTGGAGGGACTCAATGTCAGAGTTGAAGTAGCGGATCCGGCAAAACCACTACTGATGATAACTGGCAAGATGGGACCGCCTCCAGCACCACTGCTAGGAGTAGGCGTGAGAACAATCAGGGTAGTCGGGTCACCAACATTAGAAGGGTTCAGCGTGAGGGTCGAAGTAGCGGGTCCGGCAAAGCCACTGCTGATGATGACTTCAGGAATGGGACCGCTTCCGGCACCACTAGTGGGAGTAGGCGTGAGGACAACCAGGGTAGTCGGGTCTCCAACATTAGATGGAGACAGCGTCAGAGTCGAAGTAGCAGATCCAGCGAAGCCACTTGTGACGATAACCGGCAAGATGGGACCGCCTCCAGCACCACCAGTAGGTGTCTGAGCGATACCAGTGGGTGTCTGAATAATGATGGAGCCTGGGTTTGTGCCTGAAGCAGGGATGGTAACGGTTGTAGGAATGGAACCAGAGTAACCAGTGGTCGTGACAACGAAGCCACTCGGGATCTCGGCGGGTTGAATAGTAGGGGTCTGAACGATGACCGTACCAGGAACACTGCCCGAAGCAGGGATGGTAATCGTCGTAGGAACAGAACCCGAGTATCCAGTAGTGGTGAGGACAAAGCCTGTCGGGACAACTGGCGGCTGAGTGGCCGGCTGGGTTGCAGCAGGAACTGTTGGGGTCTGGATGACGACAACGCCAACTGATTGAGTGCCGGTAGGCGGGAAGGTGGCCGTGCTTGTAACAAGTCCTGTGTATCCGATCGTGATTGTGTCAAATACTTGAGAAGCAATGTCAGGACCAGCTCCAGCACCAGGAGTGGAAACTCCAGGACCGCCAGGAGGAGAGGCGCCGACGACAAGAGTAGACGCAACAGGGTCAGCGGGGCTAGAAACACCAGCGCCGACGGTAGGGGTCTGGACCAGGACGGTGCCAGGAACACTACCAGAAGCTGGGATTGTGATAGTCGTGGGCAAAGAGCCAGAGAACCCGGTCGTTGTCAGAACGAAGCCGCTTGGCACCTCTGCAGGCTGAATCGTAGGAGTTTGGATCACCACTGTGCCAGGAACACTGCCTGATCCAGGGATCGTAAAGGAAGTGGGCACCAGGCCGGTGTAATCAGTAGTAATAGTCGTGAACACTTCAGGAAGAACTCCAGGATCGCCGCCGACGCCAGGAGTAGGGACGCCGGCTCCACCAGGAGTAGAGACACCAGGAGTAGGAACACCAACACCAGGAGCGGAAGCACCAGGGTCACCAGGACTGGGAACGCCGGCGCCAGGAGTAGGGACTCCAACGGTAGGAACACCAGCGCCGCCAGGCCCTTGTGTCGGGGTCTGTATCAGAACTGTGCCTACGGTATTGGTTCCCGTGGGAAGAATGGTCAAAGTCGTAGGGAGAGTCCCTGAAAACCCGGTGGCCAAGGTGACGAAAGATTGCGGCAGGTTTGCTCCAGGAGCGCCGACTGTGATATCGGGAGTAGGAACACCAGCTCCGCCAGGAGTAGTACCCGCGCCAGGAGTAGGAACTCCAGCGCCACCAGGCCCTTGTGTCGGTGTCTGGATAATGACTGTGCCTACAGAGTTGCCACTTCCGGTGGGAAGAATGGTCAGCGTCGCGGGAGCAGCTCCTCCGCTGGTCAAGGTGACGAAAGATTGCGGCAAGTTGACTCCAGGAGCACCGACGGTAGGTGTGGGCGCCGGAGTCTCGATAATCACCGTCCCGATGGTGTTCGGGGCTGTCGGGAAGATCGTAGACGTCGAAGGAGACAAGAGCCCAAGAACTGGGATCGTGATCGTGATGAAGACGTCGATGAGAGGTCCAGCAGGGTTCAAAGGGTTCACGAGAATGGGTGGGCTTGATGGTGATGGTGCAGGAGCCTGGGTTGCAGGAATCTGGGTCGCGCCTCCAGGGAAGATGGGAGTCTGAACCACCACGGTGCCGATAGTCTGCGATGGACCAGGCGGGAGGGTGATCGTGGAGGGAGTTGGCTCCAGGAAACCCTGCGTGATGGTTGTGAACTCATCAGCCAGGATGTCCGAGGGGGTGGACAGCAAGGGGTTGAAAGGAGTTTCGACAACAACGATTCCAGAACCACCCCCGGAAGGCTGCACGGTGATGGTAGTAGGGGCTGTGCCGGTAACTCCAATAGTGCTTGTTCCGATGATGTTCACTGCAGGCGTCTGGATCAACACAATGCCCAAGGAATTGCTTCCTGTCGGCAACAGAGTTGTCGTGGTTGGTGTCGGCCCGTTGTAGCTTTGGAACACGGTGGTGAAATCAATGACACCTGGAGCGCCAGCACCCGGTGCACCAACGCCAGGAGATCCAACGCTAGGAGATCCAGCAGTTGGAGCGGCAGTTGGAGCGGCAGTGGGTGTCTGGATGACCACGAAACCGGGGTTCGATCCGGACGGAAGGAAGACGACCGTGTTCGGGTCCGCTGCGCCTTGAGTCAAGGTGAGGAATGAGGCGAGATCGAGGCCACTGGGAAGGGCAACGGGACCGCCGATTGTGATACCCGGGAGGTTGATTGTCTGCCCAGTGATGGTGAATCCGGGGATAATGGGGCCGCGAGTCGGCTCCGGAACGCCCGGAGCAGGCGTGATTCCCGGTGCGGCGGGCGTGAACAATGCTGAAGGGACCTGAACCAACACGGTGCCGGTTGTATCGCTTCCACTAGGCAGAAGGACGTTGGTCTGGATTGCCGGGCCGTCGAACGGCGTGCTTAAAGTCACGAAAGGAACGCCGGCAGGGAGATCCAGTCCGGCACCGGTAGCAGCGGGCTCCGTGAACAATGCTGAAGGGACCTGAACCAACACCGTTCCCGTCGTATCGCTACCGCTGGGCAAAAGGACGTTGGTTTGGATTGCTGGTCCGTCGAAAGGCGTGGTCAAGGTCACGAAGGGGACACCGGCGGGGAGATCCAGTCCGGCGCCGGTGGCAGCAGGCGGCGTGAACAATGCCGAAGGGACCTGGACCAGGACGGTGCCGGTTGTGTCGCTACCGCTAGGCAGCAGAACGTTTGTCTGGATCGCTGGTCCGTCAAAAGGCGTAGTGAGAGTGACGAACGGGACACCGGCAGGGAGGTTAAGGCCAGCGGCTCCGTCAAGTCCGGCGCCAGTAGCAGCAGGCGGCGTGAATAATGCTGAAGGAACCTGAACCAAAACGGTGCCGGTTGTGTCGCTGCCGCTAGGCAACAGAACATTCGTCTGAATTGCTGGGCCGTCAAAAGGCGTTGTGAGCGTAACGAAGGGAACGCCATCGGGTAGGTCAAGCCCAAGTCCACCTGCACCAGCACCAGACCCATCATCAGTAGCAGCAGGCTGCGTGAACTGAGCGGATGGGACTTGAACCAGCACAGTACCAACCGTCTGAGTACCAGTAGGCAACAAGACGTTAGTTTGGATGGCAGGCCCGTCGAAGGGTGTGGTGAGAGTGACGAAGGGGATGCCAGCAGGCAGATTGAGGCCATCAGCACCAGCACCAGCACCAGATCCATCATCGGTGCCAGCGGGTTGCGTAAACTGAGCAGACGGAACTTGAACCAGCACAGTACCAACGGTATCAGAGCCTGTAGGCAATAAGACGTTGGTCTGAATGGCAGGGCCGTCAAACGGTGTGGTGACGGTGACGAAGGGGACGCCAGCGGGCAGGTTCAAGCCATCTGCTGGCGGGGTGAACTGAGCTGCAGGGACTTCCACGAGAACTGTTCCTGTAGGGTTAGTACCAGATGGGAGTAAAACGTTAGTCTGAGGGGTGATTCCTCCGAATGGGCTGGTGACCGTGACGAAAGGCACGCCAGCGGGCAAAATCAATGGAGAATCAGTGGGTGAAGCTGCGTTAGTAGGGTTAAGAATCACGACGGTGCCAGGTGCACCAGGGGTGTCAGGGGGGAAGGTGATGGTTGCCGGAGCAGAACCACCAAAGCCTGACTCAATAGTCGTGAAAATATCCGGGAAGAGGCTATCACCAGATCCACCAGCGCCTGGACGCTCGGCGGATCCGGGAGTAACCTCACCGGGCGCGGCACCAGCGGCCGGAGTGTTCTGGAGAACAATCACGGTCGCGGGATCGACAGCGTTGGCCGGAGGCACGGTGAGAGTGACGGGGCTCGGTCCGTTGATGACTCCAGAGAGCGTCGTGAGCTGAGCCGGGTCGGCAGCCAAAGTCGGCGCAGCAGCGCCGCTAGCCAGAGGTGTCAAAACCAAAATGGCGGCGGGAGCGGCGGTGCCACCAGCCACAACAGCTCCAGGTTGGAGGGTGACTGTCGTTGCCACAGAAACTGAGGCTCCTTGCGTGATCGTGGTCGGCTGCTGAACGACGCCCGGCGCAACAACGCCGGGGAAGGGGGTCAGGAGAACCCTCTCTCCAACCGACTGAGTTCCAATAGGCGGCAACGTAACAATAGTAGGTGCCGTCCCTGCGTAACCTTGCGTGAGGGCAGGAATGAGAGACTCAGCAAGTGGGTTTCCAATCGGGTTGGGAATCGGGTTGACCGAAGGTCCGGCAGTCGGTGCCGGCGCGTTCGGCTGCGCATTCGGCTGAGTGGGGACGTTCGGCTGGCCCGCAGGGTTGGACTGGCCGGTGATTGCGGGGCTAGCGGGGCCGCTCGCCGGAGGAGCAGCCGGAGCAGTCGGGTTCGCCGCAGCCGGGTTGGCCGCGGAGTTCCCGGCAGAAAAGCCGACAGGAAGCTGTTCGACGATGGTCGCAAGCGAGCCCGCACCACCAATTGTCAAAGTCTGAGGAGTCGTGCCGTTGAAAGCTCCACGAATCGTGACGATCGAGGCTGCTAGAGCGGCCGGTGCGTTGGTGGCCGGGTCATCGCCTCCCAAGCCGGCCGCCACGAGAACGGTCGCCGGTCCCGCAGCGGAAGAGCCACCTGCCAAAGGCAATGTGATTCTCGCGCCGATGCCGGGAATAGCGAGTGCATTTCTGGTGACGAACACACCAGGACTGGCAGCCAAGGGGGTTTGAACGATGACGGTGCCCAAAGTCGCGCTAGCCGAAGGCAGAACCGTCAGAGAAACGGGGATAGATCCAGAAACTCCTCCGGACGTAATCGTCGTGAAAGGCCCGGTGAAGGGAGTCTGAGCAGGCTGAATGACCACAGTACCCGTCTGATCGTTTCCTCGGGGAGGAACCGTGATTGTCCTCGCCTCGGAGCCCGTGTTGCCGCCGGCTGTGATGGTTCTGTACGGAGCGGCAGTTTGCTGAACAACGAGGAACGTATCACCCAGGCCTCCCAAATCGGAAGGAAAAGTGATCGCTGCCGCAGCTCCGTTGGCACCAGCGACAGTGGTTGTGCTGAAGGGGCCGGGATATTCACCAGTGTAGCCGCTCGTTGTTTGAACGACAACTGTCCCAGTGCTACCCTGAGGAGCCGGGATAGTGACTGTGGTGTCAACAGGTCCAGGAATCGACAGAGTTCGGAAAAGGCCTGGAGCTGCTGCGAGGGGGGTCTGGACGACGACTGCGCCAACGTTTCCTGTGCCGGTAGGCACAATGGTGAAGACATTGGTTCCTTCGACGCCCACACCTCCCACGGTGGTCGTGATCAACCTTTCCAGGAAATCGGCCTCTCCTCCGGGGGTCTGGATGATCTGCAAAGCAGCATCGCCGGCCGCACCGGTCTGAGCCGCAGCTCGCGTGCCACCAAGAGTGATGGCCGAGGGAGTGACTCCAGCGTTGCCAAGAACAGTGATGACATTGTCAGGACCGGTGACTGTTACTTCGTATCTGTCGAACGTCTGAGCGAAAACAGTGCCGTCGGTTCCCGAAGTCACGGTCAAGTTTCTTGGAACGCCGTCAGCACCGCCCACGGTGATGGTGGTGAATGGTCCGGCGAGCTGGGGAGAACCGCCCTGAGTGGGCAGAATCGTGATCGGGATCGAGGCCGGACTGGCCTGGTCGGGTCCTGGGGCATTCGTCTGAGGCGCCGGCAACAAGGAATCTCCAGCAATTGTCAGACCTTCGGTGGGGAGAAGGCTTGCTTCCTCTGGAGAGCCAACGATGCTTGTTGCAGGACCTGCGGCAGTAGGAGGCAGAGGAATGTCGGCTCCGGTCGTGGGATCAGTCTGGCCGAAGGGTGTGAAAACGAGGTAGGTCCCGAGGCCATCAGATCCCGATGGTAGCACGGTGATTGTGGTCGCAAGAGATCCGGACTGTCCACCTCGTGTGATCGTGACATAACCGTTGGGTGTAGACGAGAAATCGCGTTGATCAATGGTTCTACGGAAATTAGTACATGTAACGTTGACCCTTTTCGCGTTGTCCAAAGAGAGAACTCACCTGGTCACTTGAGATGTCAAAGTACCCAACTTGTCGATTTCGGTGATGAGAGTCAAAGGCGCGTTGGTGACGGTAAGAGTGAGGCCGTCATCGAGTACCAACACGGTGTTTGCAGGCAGGAACGCGCTGATGTAGATCGGGCGGCGGACGACGAACTGGACGGGCTGGACTTCGACGGACGTGATACCAGCGGTACACATAGGGTTGTCCGGAAATTGTGGTAGTCCAGATGCGAGCCAGTACTGACTGGCAGCAGCCAAAAGGCTGAATGCTGTGGAGGTCTTCATTATGTAGGATTACTACTAGAAGCAAAGGTTAGCATGCTGTTGTACTCATTTCCACCGTCGTTCCCGAATATTCCTCGGAGACAAGTAGAGCAACTTCCACTTACTATTAAGGGTGCGTGGTATCCAGCACGATAAGGTATAAGGGCCGCCCAAGACACCAGGTCTGGAAGCCGTGCGGCGGCAGGCTTCTCTCTGTTGGTTCGTGTCTTGACTATTGTTGATTAGGTCAATGAGATAGTATCGTATGTGAAGCTGTCGTTCATGGAAGTCTGGTCGCTATCGAGCAGACTGTGGCATCTCGTGATGAGAAGACAGACGGGAGGCGCGCCGTTGATTCCGACGCGGGATGGGGAATCTGTCGAACGACAAGAGGGTAAACGGCCGTGAAACAAGCAGAAAGGTATTAAGGTTCAGTGTTGAAGACTGCTCGATTGTTTTAATGAAAAGATAAGTCTCCGTTTCGTCCGTTGCCGTGAGACTGAGGCGTGCCTGGCGAGCGGAATGGGCTTGGTGAGTGAGGAATGTCACTCCTTTGCGGAAGGTCGAGGATCTGTCTTCAGCCCAAGTGCGTGCCAAGGGTTCACAATGTCTCTCAGTGACGGGAGAAGTTGATCTGATCTCAAAGATTTTCAAGTCAGAAAACGATGAAGAAGTGTAAAAAAAGAAATCCTGGGAGGCAAAAAGAGACGGCAAAGGAGGCGGGAGAGGAGAAAACCGTGGCGAGGTTGAGTCCCGGGCCGAAGTTTCCCTGACGAGGACACGGCAATTCGCGAGATGTCTGCTCGAAAACAGGGTTGGATGATCTGTTGCTGACTTCATGGTTGCCTCCACGGTGATGGTTCTGGCCATTTGATACTCTTTCCGGTCAAGAGACGCATAACTGACCGCTGGGCACTCTCAGTCGTCGGGCAGTCTAAGACAACTCCGTCGACTGAGAGATAGCTGGAACCAGATCGGGAAGCGCATTTCTGTGGAATTTTCGCCAGCAACGATGAGTAATTTGCGGTCTGCGAGGTGAACAATCACATTGTGTCGCTGGTAGCTTCGGTAGCGAACGGGCGTAAGGTATGCTGGACGATGTTAGGGCCAGACTGCTCAGATCTTTGGATCGCGCGCGCGCGCGGATGACGGTTGAGTCCGTTGGAGTGCCAACATCAGCACGTCGGAGATAACTCTGGAGGGTCTCTTCGCCCTGTTCGTCGAGCTAGATACGCTTTTCCGACATCAGTCTAGGGCTAACAGTTGGGCTTTCGGCCGCAAGCATTGAACGAGAAGCTCGACGCGTAAAGTTGATGGAAGTTGGTTCGAGGAGCTGAAGACAATCGTTCCAAATGCGTCAGAGCTTTACTCGGGAGGCGTTCATGTGAGGAGGCCGTTACTGGTTGGAGAGTGTGGCGCTCTCCCGTCATCCTCTCTCCGCAGCTCCAGACCCCAAGTCCCCAATCCGAGCTATCACCGCCACATCCCGAATGCAACAGCTTTTCGATACGAGGCTATGAGCTTCAAGCCTCGAGATTGGTCACATATTCTACCAAGAGTTTAGTGCTTCAACTAATGACGGGAATGGAGATATCGTCGACAGTTGGTGGAAGAAACCCCGGCGAGGCCGTCTAGGCCGTATGGTTGGTCGACATCTAAGACACACCCCTAGCAAGTCCAGGCCCTCAACCTCCCATCTCACCGTTCCCACGGCTCTCCAAACAGACTGACACCTTACTGCCTATTATTTCCGATCTGACTTGGTCGGATTCGGTTGGTCTGAATGAGAAGTACGGGCCGGGACAGTTGGATGCCCTTCCCCGATGACCGAGAGGCCTTTCCGCACCCGGACAAGGCGCTGGCCCAGCCGGAGAAAAGGACACCCCCTTGGGGCCTACGTGATCGTGATCGAAGACCCTTGGTCTGGGCTTGTTTGCTTTCGGAATCTGTGTTCACAAATCTCACTCAGACTGAACCCCTCCTTGCTTTGTGGTGACGGCGCTGTCCGGTCCGGAGCGAGCTCTGGGCGTCTACCCGACGTGATTTGTGGACATTTGAGTTGACGCCCTTGTGACATGACGTCCGGAGATGGACGTCACATTCGGGTAAGGCCTTGGCCGGCCGCTAAAAGAAGCATACGATATCAGCCCTGGTGGAAGTGATAATATGCTGATATAGAGTTTGCCTTCGTCTGCATTCCTTCGTAAGGCTTCGATTTCGATCTCCATCAACCTCTGCGACAGTTGGCTGCGACACACACATTTCACGATGGCTCCTCAAAATATGTTGACCACATTCCTCCTTGCCCTCGCTGCCGGCGCCTCTGCCGGCAGAGTCCAACACAGACAGGCGGACTGCTCTCGGACAGCAACACTAGACACTCTTACCGTTACCAGTGTTGAGCCGATTTCGATATATATCCTTCCGCAACAGATGGCCGCCGCCGCCCCCACAGGGACGAATGATGACAGTTTCACCGCGGTTTACACAACAGTCTTCCCAACCTTCTGCCCAGAATGCGCCCAGGGCCTGAGGCCGGAGACTTACACCATCACGCAGACCTGCTCCGGCTCCATCACCCAATGCCACGGATACGGCGATGAGCTCCCGCCTGGTTTCACCACCACACAGGCCGTCTGCACCGACTGCCCGACACCCATCACTGCGGTCCTTACCGTCCCTCAAGTGACTGATGTTGTGGTCACCGTCACCCTCGAGCAGGTCGTCACCGAGCCCGGCCTGACTACCACTCGCTATGTCACCAGGACATCCACTTGCAACAACGGGCCTTGTCTGCCGGACATCACGGCAGCGGCTCTTCCTGACGATGTTCTCACCGTCAACGGAGGCACCATTGTTCTCCCTGTCACGGTCACCCAGACTCGGGTCGACAAGGTGACTGCCACCGAGAAGCAGACTGAGACTGCCACGGCTACTGTTACCAACACGGCCGACATCAACGAGTTCGCTCCGGGCAACTTCAACAGTGGCGCCGGACACATGATCTCTTCCAACAAACCTTTGGCCTTCGCCTTCAGCGCTCTTGCGCTCATTTTCCTTGTCTCAGCATAGCTATAGCATAGTGGGGGATGGGCAGCATACATGTCATTGCTTGGATTTGATGGGGTTTGCATGAGCGGCAGCCGCGGGATTAATTTGGCCTTTACGACGGACATATGATACCATTCCTTTTATTAATAACACCTACCATAGACCTTTTAGGGTTATTCTTTTGTACATAACTTTTCTTATCTTCAAAAAGTACTTAATCTTAGTTATGAGTTCTATCAGCATCACACAAGGAACGGCGAAGGAGGCTTCCTGGCTTAATATCACAACCTATTCTCATTATTTGGATTGACCATTCTTGATCTGTGAAAATCTGTAATATAATTGGAAATACAGAGGCTTTCTTGCCATTGGCTTCGCCACTAGAAGTGGCGGGGTTTGATTAGATTCACACTCTGCGAGTAAAAGCATTATTTCTTCCCCCATGACTACGTTCTCTCTTCTAAATAACCTCGAGCACATCTCAGATTACACGAAATACCATCTGTAGGTGCCTCACGTCAGACTTTGGTGCAATTCAGTGATGCGTTGCGGTCTGGATGAAAGTCGGTAGAGCCTTCTCTCGCATGGCTTTTTGGCATCTACTTCCCCTGTTCAGGAACTGGTCGATGAAGTTGGAAATGAGCTGCAATCTCTGCTGATGTTCCTGAAGATCTTTGGACTACACAGCATAGCCTCGACATCTCTTCCTCGGGGCAAAGAAATTTCTGGAAGCTGAAGTCATCACGACGGAAGATGTTGAGACAAATTCATTCTTCGATTTCATTGTCTGGTGTCATGCGACATGTGGAAGGATCCCCATCATTCTTTCTAGTGCTGTCATCTGGACTCTGTCTATGTTTCTCGTCTAAACCTCTAGTCTTTGAATCGCCACCATCACTGTCGCTTGCAATTCCTCGTGTTCCGAAGCGAGGATCATCCTCCCCCGTGCCGTGTTGGCGGAATAATCGGCTCGCATGGCCTGAGTCCGTGATTTCGGTCCCCAAGCCACGGATGTCACTAGCTTCGTTTTCCCCAATCCAGTGACAAAGCCGACTACGCAACATCATCCAACCCAAGAACCGCTGCGCTAGGATCTGCGTTATTTCTCACCCGTTGCGTCTATGCCTCTGATGTAAACTTCGCCTCGAGACCCCCTCCGCTCGCTACCGATGGTATCCAACCGTCCACGCCCTAACGTCAACGCATGAATCGCGTGTTCGTGTCTTCATAGTGATGTGTTGTGCCATGTGCTGAATGCAATAGCCCCGGTGCCCGGCAGGCTGGCACATCACACAGCATGTTACTCAACAGGTAATAGTGTCGCACATCACGCCGGAGGCAGGCTCCGGATGACCTGCTCCAACCACCAGACGTGAATGCGAATGTCGTCAGTGAGCTCCGGGTGGAAGCTCGTGGCGAAGATGTTGCTCTGCCGGACGGCGACGATGTCACCAACCGAATCATCTGCCGTGCTCTGGCTCACGCCATTCGCCTTCGTCTTGCGCCCGGGTAGCACGGCGAGGACCTCGACTGCCGACTTGCTGTCCTTGGAGAGGATCTCCTCGACAATCGGTGCGCGGATGAAGACGCCGGGGAAAGGCGTCTCTGCCGTTTTCGAAACACCGTCGCCCCTCGACAGGAACGGCAGGTTGAGGTCAGCGACGAAGCTCTCGATCTGGCGGCCGAAATGGTTACGGTGAACCCGCACACCGAGGCCGCCGATGAGCTCCTGGCCACCCTTCTTGGTGGCGTTTGCCTCGTCGGCAAGCAGGATTGCGCCGGCGCATGTTCCCCAGACTGGTTTGCGGTTGATTCTGGGTAGGAATGAAAGTCAGCCACGGTTCACGTTCACGCCACAGACGAGAGTGATGAGAAAGTGGGATGAGTGAGAGAGGGAACTTCTCACTGGAATTCGCTCATGACATCATGTTGCTGCGACCATGCACACTTACTTGACAAATTCTCTTAATGGCTCCATCAGCCCGGACTGTGTGGCCACCAGCGCCATCGCAGTGCTCTCTCCGCCGGGAATGATGAGGGCATCGCAGCGGCGGAGCTCCTCCTCGGTGCGAACTTCTGTAGTTGCGATTTCGGGGATCGGGCTTGGCGCCGGGGCGGCTGCGAGAGAGGCGGCGGCCTTCCGGACGAGGTCGAGGTGCTCGTGGAAGCCGCCCTGGAGGGCTAATACGCCGATGGTGACAGTAGGCATTGTTTGCTGTTTTAATTGTCGATGACCAGTTGGGTGGTTCTCAAGAGAAATGAGATTCCTCAAGTTGAATGTGAGCGTCGCTGAGATTTGCTGACTTGGTGATTGAGTCATTCAAGTGGCTTTGGAGACAGACACCCAGACCACGTTACGAGCCGGATGATAGCAACGCCAGACTAGGAAAGAGACGATATTATGCGTGGATTGAAGCGGCCTTGGCGATAACGGTCGCTACTGCACCCTCGTTGCCCCCTTGCCAAATGAGTGAGCGGTTTAGACGGGTTCTGGGATTGTTGTCGGCGGCGATCGGGGCCGTTACGTACGGGCGATGGCGCCGCTGTGTTAATATGGAAGGTCACTAACGCGTAAAGGGCGTATTGACATAATGGTCTGCTAGTGTAATGCAGGCTAGAAAGTCTGATTAATAGTACTACACAGAGTGGATGGCGGAGATATGGAGTATGGAGTACGAAGTCCGTGGAATTACATGGAGAGGCGGCGATGACAGAATCGATAACCACCGCAGAGTCTCTGCAACTCAACCTATGTCTCCGTGATTTCGGATCACAATGACAAGATCTCGGCGCGGATAGGAGTTGAAAAAAAGAGATATTCCGCGCGGAAAGACAACATAGACACGGCGGTAGAAGCGGACGAGTTGCCGCTATGCATGTACATCCGACGACAGCCGCCCTCCGCTCTGTCCCCCGCCTGTCCCCAATTCTTCGCCGCCGGTCGGAGCTGTGAGCACTTGCTGGCCTCAAAGATGGCCGCAACGGTTGTTACTTTATCATGTTTCTGCTCAGAAAAGGTACCTTCGGATAGACGTCCGAATGATGAGAGTGAACTGCGGACCATCCATAATGCTCTGCTCCAGCTGTGGGCAAGGACCCTTTCTTACTCCTCATGTTCCCCCCCAGTCAGAGTCTCTCTCTCACACTCCGCCACCCGTTCAAACACCGGCGCCGCCCACCGCCCGCTCACGGTATCTTTCTATGACACTGCGATTCTCATGAGAAGGTTTCCCCTGTACCAAACCCCGGAGTAACCGTAAGTTGCCTTTCCGAGATCGGGGCTCAGTACGCCCTTTGCTCCCTTCCCACGCGCGCTCCTCATTGCTCCCCACGGCAAAGTATCCGAATCAGTCCTCGTCGGCTTGCCTAGGCAAAAAGTGATGTTGGCAGTACCTCTACGTGTTGCGCCAGGACGCGAGGATACCGCGGGAAAGACGGGATGACTCGGTATGGTTAGAAAAATTTTCTCGTCCAATAGTCACTTGTCATTGCTGGGCATCCCGTTCATCACCATATTGTTCGCCGCCACCATATACTTAATTATCCGTTCCCCCATTTCCATCGACGAAGGACCCTTTCCCCGGATTCTAGATTCCCGTCACCGATTTCACCGAACGAACCAAGATCCATTGCGGAGCGGAGCCTTTTCCTGACGTCGAGTTACTTATTCCAATCCTTCCTCATCTTCTGATTTGCTTGAGAAAATACCCCTCGTCCTTTGAGCCGCACTATTCCCGGTCTTTGTCGCTAGACCCTGTATTCGCCTCTCATCCTTCAAGAGTTCTTCACCAGTCTCATCAGTCTCATCAGTCAAGACCGCCAAAATGACCAACAGCGACGCTACCAAGACCAACGGCGATGCCAAGAACACCTTCGCCGTCAAGGCCGGCCTCGCCCAGATGCTCAAGGGCGGCGTCATCATGGACGTGACCAACGCAGAGCAGGCCCGCATCGCCGAGGAGGCCGGAGCCTGCGCCGTCATGGCCCTGGAGCGCGTCCCCGCAGACATCCGCAAGGACGGCGGCGTCGCCCGCATGTCCGACCCGGCCATGATCAGGGAGATCCAGAAGGCCGTCACCATCCCCGTCATGGCCAAGGCCCGTATCGGCCACTTCGTCGAGTGCCAGATCCTCGAGGCCCTCGACATCGACTACATCGACGAGAGCGAGGTCCTCACCCCCGCCGACAAGGAGTACCACGTCGAGAAGTCCGGCTTCAAGGCCCCCTTCGTCTGCGGCTGCCGCAACCTCGGCGAGGCCCTGCGCCGCATCGCCGAGGGCGCCGCCATGATCCGCACCAAGGGCGAGGCCGGCACCGGTGATGTCGTCGAGGCCGTCACCCACGTCAAGCAGGTGAAGAAGGACATCGCACAGGCCAAGGGCATCCTCGAGACCGAGGGCGTCATCGGCCTCCGCGCCTTTGCCAGGAAGCTCGAGGTCGACCCTGCGCTTCTCCAGCAGACTGCCGAGCTGGGCCGTCTGCCGGTTGTCAACTTCGCCGCCGGCGGTGTCGCCACCCCTGCTGACGCCGCGCTGATGATGCAGCTCGGCTGCGACGGTGTCTTTGTCGGCAGCGGCATCTTCAAGTCCGGCGACCCGGCCAAGCGCGCGAGGGCCATCGTCAGGGCGACGACACACTACAAGGACCCCAAGGTCCTTGCCGAGTGCAGCGAGGGCCTGGGCGAGGCCATGGTCGGCATCAACTGCGACAGCATGAAGCCCGAAGAGAAGATGGCCGGTCGCGGATGGTAAAAGGAGCCGGAGGGGAATGCATGTATCGATTGACCGTTGTTTGGGTGTTCATATGGGAGTCATGACTCTGCGACATGAAATGCAGAACTTTTTTTTGAGTATTCAACATGGGCATTATGGCCGCATCTCAGCCAGCGAAGCCGAGGTAGTCATCTTCAACGGAGCATATGGGAAAATTGGCATAATAAAATTCATTTGAGCTGAGTCTGAGGCTGAATCTTGCAAGTGCCGGTGTCTCGGGAGTGACTCGTTGTTGCCGTCGCCGCGGCCTTGGCCGAACAAGACACCCATGTTGTGAGCATGAGCACGAACCGTTTACCGCCCGTCAACACCACCCTCATGACTACGTTCAATTCTTTTGATTCTTACGATACTCTCGCATCGGCATGTCATTTGCAATTGAGCCGCAGATATTTTCTGCTCGGCCCCCGCTCAGCCGCTCGCTTCATAAGGGGACCACTCTCATGTGGACCTCGAAGATAGCGGCGGACATAGCTCAGTTGGGAGAGCGTCAGACTGAAGCGGGTTCTACACCCTAGAAACTTCATTCATTTCATCTGAAGGTCGTGTGTTCAATCCACACTGGCCGCATTCTTCTCTTTTTGTTAGTTGGTGATGTGAAAAGCTGGTGTTTTGCTTAAATTTTGATCTTGGAGTCGCTCACTCAACTCACTCTCACTCACTCACTCACCGACAATTGTGGCTGGTCGCGGCCTGCCCAACTCAATTTGCACATTCGCAATAGCGGATCAGTTTCTTGGGAAGGAAGGAGTCAGTCAAATTGCAGGATGTGTATTCACTTTCCAGTTAATACCGGACCGACGGGTTTCGTGAACTCCTTATGAGAAAAGCTCATGGATCTCGTCATTGTGAGTTTTTGGTTTTATAGGTCAACTGAATTTGCAACTACAACTTCTTCCGTCGCCCAATATCTCATTTTCAATAGGCCTTTGCGATGTAAGTTGGCGCTGAGGAGCACTCTCCACTCGTCCGGCTCATGTCGGTGTTTGGCGGCTACCCTCAGAAATAGGCGCGACCTGTCGTCTCGACCTACCACTCGCTCTGTGATTATATTATGGACTACTGTGGTAAAGTATAGTTAAGTCACAAACAAGACAGGAGCCTAGTTCCGGAGCTCATTCGTGGAGTTGGTGTGGGAGATCACAAGAGAGGAGTTCACCTTTCAACGGGCGGTCAGCGATTCGACGCCATGAGAACTACCTTGAGAAACCAAACGTGTACGCCTTCATAAATCTTTCCTTGATTTTCCTTGAAAGCTTTACGCCTAGCTATAGTCCTGAGTAGAGTCATTTCGGCAACCCCCGTGCGAGACGGGCTAGATGTTGTCATTTTCGAGGCAAGCAACTCGATATCAACCTTAATTCCAGACTTCAAAAGTCCTGCAGAACCAAAGAGCCACCACAAAATTAGCGCTGACCATGATATCAAGACGCCTTCAAGGCTGAGTTGATTAAATTAGAGTAGTCGGCAGTCGCAGGTGGTGGCTTCTCAAGGCCACAGGACGCCTTTCCCGCCAGCGCGGCTGTGGAATCGAACGAGCGAGGGCGTGCGCTGGAGTTAAGCGTTGTTTTCTCCGCACTTTTCTCAAGCCAATCAAGGAACCAGGCTTGAGGACCAAGAGTCTGAGTTGCGATGGGCTCATGGCTGAGCTGGTTGATGGTTTGGAGGAACTAATCTTAGCTCCCGCAGCCCGGACTTGTTCAATTCTCGTCGTTTCTTTGACGGCAAAGCCCGACTGCTCAGCCCTGGGAAAAGATAACTTCTCTAGCCAACTACTATGTGCCGACGGCTTGTAGCCACATACGTGAAAGGGCCAGGTCGCAAGGAACATCGAGATGCGCGGTAGTAAGGCTGGGATGGAGTCTTGTTTGCGCGGGGCTAGTTTTGGATGCCCGCATTCTATATTGTACAAGCCCTCGAGCTCGAGGACTTTCTATGAGAGCAGCGTGACAATCACATAGCTATTACAGTATGATGTACAGATATTCTAGTGATACAGCCAGCAGCCTGGTCTATGCGGTTTGCACGCTCTGTTCCTTCCTAAGAGAATGGCGAATACGACGCACAAAATTCCCGACTTTGGTCTTGATGTCCAGGTTGTAGCCCGGAATGGTGCCGACAGCCTTGGAGAAGACACCGAGCTGACGGTCCCGGAAGGAGTCTAGGGTCAGCTCCATGGTCTCGACAAGCTTCAGGGTGTCCCTGTCGAAGAAAAGGCCAGCGTTCTGCATCTCATCCAGCACGCCAAGAACCGCCTGTGTGTCCCCATGGCGATACCAGAAAATAGAGGCCAGCTCGTTGTAGAATGGTGTCGAGACGCCCAGGACGTAGGAGGCGAGACCTAGCTCCCGCACGCGGGGAAGCACGTTCAGGGCCATGGGAGAGGGCTGGACGAAGCTCCGGTCGAGGGCCTTCAGACTCTCGAGGAGATGCAGGGAGTAGACGGGGCCGTAGGTGTCCATGTCGAGGACCGGCTTCTTCTTTGTCTCCTCCGACTTTGCGATTCCCAGCTTCTTGACCATGGAGAAGACCTCCTGCTCGAGCACGCCCCATACCTCGATGTCGTTATTGCAGGAGTCCAGAAGCTGCCGCAGCTTTATGCTTTCCGCCAGACGCACTTCATCGCGCTTGTCCTGCACCTCGGGGTCCTGGTGGACTTTCTCCCCCCGCTTCAGAGTTTCGCGAGAGACCGGTTTCTCTGGTTGATCTTCGAAGACGTCCCCGGTCATCGCGCGCATACCAAGGGCGGCCTCGGCGGCCCGGCGCAGAGACTCGGGATATTTTGCCAGTATCGTATCGCGGTTCGAGGGTTTAGGGGCTTCGGAGAGACCGGTGGCGGCGGCGCTCGGCGGAGGTTTGAGGGGCGCCGGGCCGCGTTTCGCGATGTCGTTGAATATCCTGCGGAAGACATGTCTTTCGGAAGGAGTGATTGTAGATCGAGGGCCGCTACCGCCGCCATCTCTACCGCTCGGAATGTCGGCGCGTTCTTGTTGGATTGCACCCTCCCACTCGAAGGGGATGTCCTGTCCGCGGGGTCGTCGATGGAGCTGGCCTGCCGTGGTCGAAACAGAACGGAGAGCAACAGACGGCTTCAGGATGGTCCTCGTCTGGTAGAGGAATGGCGTTAATGTGCTGGACATGCTCATGGTGGGTAGTTTGTCGAATGGCGCAAAGTTCTCGACTTCGACATGAAGAGCTCACAAAATTTTGGTGATGGCTTCTGGAAATTTTCCATCGCTGCAGGGTCCCGGTCGCACTGGGAGCTCGGGCCACGCCGGGGACCTTGAATGGCTGACGTAATTGACTTTAAGTCCCTGCAGCAGCTAACGCGTTGCGACGCGCTTCAGGTCAATTAAAGAAAGAAAGACCCGACGCGCCGCTCCTTCCGGCTTCGTTTCCGTGAATCCCCTCTCTTTTACCAGGCAATCACAGCTGGAATTCCTCGTCATTTTCATCCCATCTGCTTGTCCTGATTCACCTTCGATTCTCCAGCTTCTTTGGACAGACGACTTGCTATAATATCCGAGCTACTCCCAGCAAGCGCCATCCCGGCCCCGCGAATCGACAGCGCATTTCACGATTGAATTGCACTGAAGCAAGGTCAATCGGACCTTTTGCCCCCCAACGCAAGCCCATTTCCAACTTCGATACCCTTCTTCAGGCCCTTAACTTCCGCGAGAAAGACAAAATGCCGAAGATGAAGGCGAAGACGGAAGAGAAGGTGCTCAGCGCCTTCGAGCGCCGACGACTCGAGAATATCGCAGCAAACCAGACCATCTTGAAGGATCTGGCGAATACATCCAACAAGATCATGCCCGACAAACCCAAACCGGCACCGAGGGCGTCCAGGTCCGCAACCGTTAAGAAGGAAGCGCCTGCCACGCCTGCGGGGCCGACCCGTCGAAGCGCGCGAGTCGCCGGTCTCGACGCAGATAACGAGACGCTCAAGCGCAAATACGAAGTCGAGCTGGAAGACCAGGCCGCGAAGGAGAAGGCAAAGAAGACACGGGTCAGCGGTGACCTGAAGTTGGGCGACATTGCCGTGGACGGAAAGAAGTGGAATCATGGCATGGAGAGCCTGGGTGCTCTGCTTCCGAGAGGCGCACAGCCCGGCGTACCGACCTTCACAGGCGACGACGTCGAGAATACTTCAGACAAGGACTTGAAGGAGTTGCGCCAGAGGATGAATGGTCTCGAGCTTTACGAGAAGTGGAGTCCCCACGGTAGGTTGCTCCTTCGTCTTACACAGGCGCTCCCGCTAACATCCTCCCAGATATCAAGATCTGCCCTCTTCGTATCTACAGTTCAGCTTTCCACCCTACGGAAGAGAAGCCTCTTATTTTTGCGGGCGACAAGGAAGGAGCTCTCGGCGTTTTTGATGCTTCTCAACCTGGCCCCAAGGTCGAAGACGACGAGGAGGCCGAAGACTCGTGGTTCGAGCCGGTCATTGGCGCCTACAAGTTGCACACGCGAACTATCACCTCAATCCTGGTCTCTCCCTTCGACCACCAGAAGGTATACACCTCATCCTATGATTCGACCATCCGCGTTCTTGATTTGCAAGGGGACATGTGTGTCCCAGTTTGGGAACCCCAAGACAAGGAAGACGACGTACCTTTGTCCGGTATCGATGTGCCGCTTGACGACAAAAACCTCATCTACTTCTCCACATTGCAGGGAGGTGTGGGGAGAGTCGACATTCGCGCACCGAAGGAGACAGAGATTTGGCCTCTTTGCGATAATAAGATTGGTGGTTTCTCTCTTTATCCTCGAGAACCTCACCTGGTGGCAACAGCCTCGCTTGATCGCACCGTCAAGATTTGGGACACTCGCAACATTAAGGGCAAGGGCGATATGAGATATCCAGAGATGATCTATGAGCACGACAGTAGGTTGTCAGTGTCTCACGCTGCATGGAGCTCGGCCGGTCACATCGCGACATCGTCGTACGATGATACTATCAAGATCTACAACTTCGCCGACAAGGACGAGTGGGACAAGACGGGCATGGAGCCGGCGCATATTGTCAAGCACAACAACCAGACGGGACGATGGGTAACCATTCTCAAGCCTCAGTGGCAGAAGCGACCAAAGGATGGGATCCAAAAGTTCACGATTGGCAATATGAACCGGTTCGTCGACGTCTACGCTGCTAATGGAGAGCAACTCGCCCAACTCGGAGGCGACGGTATCTCTGCAGTTCCTGCCGTTGCTCAATTCCACCCAACCATGGACTGGGTCGCAGGCGGCACTGCGAGTGGAAAGTTGTGTCTGTGGCAGTGAGCCATGCCGCAGTCTCTGGCTGCTTTCCATTCTTTCGGCATGGTAGCTTGGAACTCATGGTTTCTTGGCAAACGTGTTGTCTACAGTCGTTGGAACTCGTCGCTCGGAGGACACCTCGAGCTAAGGAATTGAGCGCACGCCCAGCCGTCGAACATCATCCGGTTTCGCTCGGTCAGAATTGTCTTTTAATATGCTACGGACATCCTTCTCCTTCGGTTAGGGATCATCTGTTGGAGTTTACGCGGCGTTGGAATTGCCAGGATGGGCTGTTGGACTCGGGACCAAGATACGGAAAGTAAAGGCTTGATCGACTATGGGAGAATGGCACTCGAGGAGAAGCAAGCTCAACGTCGTGGGTATCTGCCCACGGCTGCTAGCAACACGGGTGATCACGTTCGTCGACCAAAGAGCTATCCCAACATTGTATGGGGCCACATTGGAATGTAAGAACAGTTGGTAGAAAAGGTCACGGATCGATCGTGTAGAATAGTCACCATTTAGGTATTGGGGTGAGAAAAGCGCGGCCACGTAAATAGAAGAGAAGATTTTAGACTTGTCCAAACGATATCAGCCTTCAAATTGCATCTACGTGGATCGATTTTGTGATCTCGCATGTGGGAGGCGACGCCTCATTCTCACCGAGTGCCCCCGCGCCCACGCCTATATTTCATCGACACAATTTGCAGGGCTAATCATTTGCACGAAAATTGAGCCATATGAACAGCTACATGACTTGTTGAGTTGGCACGCAGGTTAAAAATGCCAATCAATGACTCTGTTTTCATGTGATTTGACTGAGTTTGCGCCCTCACGCCCCACCGATGCTTTTCTTGATGGACGTTGTGAACCTCGACATCGATCATGAGTATCAAAACTACGGATGGTAACGCTTAATTATAGTAAAACTTGGGTCTTTTAATAATCTTGTTCATTCTGGGAGATAAGTCGTGTGTTTCGTTGTATTTGGTGTTGTTTGACTACCATTCCACACATGTTCTTGTTTGACTCATTTAGCACGGCAATTAATTGCACGAAAATATTCAAACCTCAACCAAATCGCTTTCTTTCTACGTGAAAATACGCATATGAACTAAAATTTATACAATAAGACTACCACTCCATTTTGTACGAGTATAGACATGTTGTAGTGTGTCGAAGAGTCCTCGCCAGGTCAAGCTCACGCAACCCTGTAAGCATCGTAAATGACCTTCGCGCCCAACCTCGCACCACTCCCAACCCACATCGCGGTGTTGACAGTCTTGTTATACCTCTCATCCCCCGTCTCCATCTTCACATTCAGCCGGAAGCTGTACTCGTCGGGCTTAACATCGTTGGCGCGCGCGGGGTCGAACAACCTCTCCATAACCTCCCTCGGCCCCGTCCGCCAGCCGGTCGTCCTGACGGTGATGTACGCGGGCTCCGGGTCGTCCGTCTTGAGCAGGTACGAGGTCTCGACGGCGGTGCTCAGGTCCTCGGCGACGACGATCTGGCTGTCCTGGCCGCCGGGGACGACGGTGCCGGTGCCCCAGGTGGCGGAGAAGACGCCGCCGGAGAAGGAGATCCAGTTGCGCTTGCCGAAGGGGCCGACGCCGACGGGGATGAGGGGGTTGAGGTCGACGACGATGCGGAAGTCGAGGTCGAGCTTGGGGACCGGGAGGGGGAAGGCGGCGCGGGTGAGGTTCGCGGGGAGGGTGTCCTCCGGGAAGGGGGTCGGCTGGGTGCTGTTGGCCGCGGCGGCGGCGGCGGCGGTCAGCCCTGCGTATAGTGACCAGGCGAGCTGGAGCGGTCTGAGATACCTCATCTTGGGCTGGGTTGTTTGTGGGAATGGAGAGTGGGAGGATGTGAGGGAGATCCTTGGATGAAGTAAGTTCGATGGAGAGGCATTGAGATTCGGGGAGGGCACCAAACCTTGGTCTCCGGGCTGGAGGTTGGAGATGCAGAGTCTATATGAGGTAGAGGAAGCAAGATGATGTCAGTGACACTTGCGTGAGTTTATTGAGTATGGTTACTGGGGTCGTGAGGTTGGTTTGTCCCCCTCTTCGTGGTTCCATTGCCCCGCCCCCGCAGTCGGGTAGTATTCGGCGATGGCGCCGGCACTTCGGATCCGGATCTCGGGATTGGTGATCGGGGTGTCATTCGGGGTTAGCATCAGAGACTCAGAGTTGAAATCTTAGTGTCGGATCTGGGTGAGATTGTTGTGAGATGAGCGGTCACCTACTACAAGCCTTGATATCGCCCAGATATACTAGCCTCTAGCCTGGCTTTGTTCATATCACGTCGAACGCGACTTATACACCGCCATGCCATTTTCTGCCCTATTATTTTTGTTTTTGTCGGACTTGATCATTTGCGCGACACGCCGTCTGTAAAGTACCATCTGGAGTGAATCGTATTAGATCGTAGCTTGGAGGCACGTTTAAGACGACCTCGAATTTTGTGTTGGTGGCACTGAGATTCAATCACATGTAATCTCACCCATCTGCTCAGTTTAATCCAATCATATCACGGCTGTGAATGGTATCATGTACGTGACATGTTGCGACGCATGTCACCGGACCTCAGTCCTCTCACTGAAGACTGAACGACGGGACTCGTCGTTGCCCCGAGTGAGCGAGTCTTCGAAATTTTACTTATTTTTCTCGTTTGGTGTTGTTTTGCTCCCGTGGTAAGCTTGGCTCTCAACAAAAGAGGGGACTCGGGATGGGGCAGATCTGGGATTCCCCCGCGATGAATCTGAGAGCAGGCTGCCGAGTCACTCACTGGTGGACGGTTGTTTGCGGCCAGAACTGGGCTGATGTCATTTTTCGGTTTGTTGTGCCCCTCACGCCAAGAGGGATGTCCGAGGCCGATGTCCGTGAACCGGGCTGCATTTTCTAAAGTCGAAGCAGAATCTTGTTCAATGTTCCTGGTTCATGAGAACATATCAGGGAGACGGGAAAGACGCTGAAAAAAGATGAGGCACATGGCACTTGCATGTGTTTTGGTGGCATCTTGTGATGGGACCCGGATGGCGCATTTTCGGCGTCATGGGAGTGGCTTATCGATAAGCAGCTCTAATCTGCGACCAATGGGAAGAAGAGGGATCTCGGAGAGTGGAGGTTTCACAGGGGTCTTTGAGCCCCACGGCAGGCTCCTGCCACCTGCTGCCCAGTGCCAGCTGTGAGTGTCCCTGCCTCGTGGGGAGAGAGCAGAAAGTACTGTGCTTGAGATTTCCTTAGGCAAGAGGAAAGCAGGCAGAAGGCAGAAGGCAAGAAGCACAGGCAAGAAGAAGGCACTTCTATCGTCCTCCCTCTTGCCATCCAAAAAGAGGAATCCGAACGCGACCACCTGCACCTTTCCAGACCAAGTGGACCCTCGAAAAGCCAATGAGAGACAGCAGGGGTAAGCAGGGACCACTCGCCATCACAAGCTTCATGCAATCAGAGCTGAGGACGCATTCTGAGGAAAGAACGATGGGAAGTTATGTCTTCCATTTCGCTTGCTAAATACCTAGGAGATAGAAAAAATATACTCCTAATAAGGGCATATTTATCAACCACCATTTCCATCTTTTTTATATCTTGTATCCTGTTCCCCTTGCTATTTCTTCTTTTGGGCCACTTGGATTAGTGACTGGCCTAGCTTGGTACCTTTTTCTGTCCTAGTGAGCTGCTAAGAGCTGCACCTGCACTTGCATCTGCACCTGAGCCTTTCTGCTCCCGGTCAATCTTGTAGTCTCGGGGTCTACTTGGTGCCCTTCTCTTGTACGTATGTATTTACAAACGAACCAGAAGCAGCAGCGGGAAAGGAGCAGGCAGAAAACACTCTAAACACTCAGATGCAGTGGACCCTACCTTAGCGTGTCTGACTGTCACTCTTCTGACTGTAGGACCTGGACTGGACTGGCTGATGACTGCCACTGCACTTCTCACCTGCATCTTCCCAGTTCCCTCTATTCCCATTCGCCCCTTTGTCTGGCTGTTTTTCTGGGGTACCTGATTATCTTTCAATCATCCATCTGGTTACACTGCAGGCCTGGAGGTGTGTTCAGTCTGCTCACTCTGATTCACATCTTCACACACTCTCTCTGGGCAAGGTACTTATCTCTGTACCCATCATCCATGATCCCCAAGGCACTTTGTAGCCTGGACAACACTGCAACCCCCAAAGTCCGGCAGAGACGGATCGGATCCATCAACCATCAAAGTCCCCATCATCACTTACCAACCTATCTTTAACCTTCACTCCTACCTACCTACCTTAACTAATTGAATTGCCTTTGCTCCCGCCTATTGGGTACTCTTACCTAACCCTTTCGACTCGTCTGTTTACTGTATCAACACCTTTTGTCTCCGTTCTGTCACCACTTACTTTTCCACGATACCTCTCTCGCCTCATTTCCGACCTAAAGCGCTTACTCCCTACCCCCCTCCCGGTTGTTTGGCTTCGTCGTCTCATCCGCGACCCTCCCCGAGCTCGAACCTTATCGTCGCCGCCCGAATGTCCCCGCTGTAGCCCGCGACTCCCCTCTTTCCTCTGTGCGACGCCTCAGCTGCACCTTTTCCCGGTCGACAGCCTCTCCATCGACCGATCCACGAGGCGACACACAATCCTCGCGGCGACCTCGAGTCACCGACTTGCTCCCGACTACTCCAGGCACCCTCAAATACCGTCGCAATGCCGCCGCCGACTGCTCCTGCTGGTGCCGCGAGCATCAGCTTCGGCGATGACGATGTCAAGAAGCGCGTCGGAAAGAAGCTCCAGAAGAAGCGCCACGAGCCTAACACCCCGACCATGGAACTGCCCGAGCGCTTGAAGGAGGGCGACGACGCCGGTGAAGAGGATCTGGTTCCAACGCAAGGCCCGCCGATGTTCATGAATATGAACCAGTCCATCTTCGGCCTGATTGCCGCCGCCGGTTCCCGCGTCGACTTCCACGATCGCTTCGAGTCCAGCGACGAAGAGGACGGCGACGACGATGACGACGCCCGCGCCGAGGACGATAGACACCTGGGCCACGGCCTTTTTCTGCACCGCAAGCAGCGCCGCCGCAACGACGAGCCCGACGTCGCAAAGACGACCGTCCTGAAGAAGGACTCCTCCAGCAAATCCGAGAAGCACAAGCGCAAGATCTCCGGCCACAAGCTCCTCCGATCCCTCCCCGCGCTGCCCCGTCTACCGCGACACAAGTCCAAGAAGGAGCCTTCCAAGCTGGAACCTCCTTCCGAAGAAGCTAGCGACTCCGAGCACTTCCCGCCCCAGCCGGCCGATGATACAATAGACGATGACGAGGGTGGTCACCGGCTGGCTCCTGTCATGAGTCGCATGCTCGAGGCCAAGGCTGAGATGTCCATGCGACCCAGCTTCGATGTCGAGCGCCGTTCCACCGACCAGCTCACATACAGCGACTCTGTCGATAGCAGCGGCACTGCGCTGGCCCGGCGTCTCCAGGACATCTTCGAGTTCGACCACCCCGAAGCTGTTATCGAAGGTAAGTCCCCTACTCCGTCGCTGCTTGCGCATGGCGATCTAACTCGCGGCAGAATATCCTTGTTGGTTGCTCCAAAGCGTGCTCCTTCAGGGCTACATGTACATTACGGCGAAGCACATTTGCTTCTACGCTTACCTTCCCAAAAAGGCGGTTTGTATCCCCTCCCACCCGCGCCAAGGACAGAAAGCTAATATCCTACCAGCACGAGGTCGTCAAATCGGGCTATTTATCCAAGAGCGGCAAGCGCAACCCCAAGTACAACCGATACTGGTTCCGGTTGAAAGGAGACGTTTTGGCATACTACAAGGATCCCTCAAACCTCTACTTTCCTCACGGACAGATCGACCTTCGCTACGGCATCTCAGCTAGCGTGACGGACAAGAAGGACGGCCTGAACTTCACCGTCGTCACTCACCACAGAACATACTACTTCAGAGCAGACAGCGCGCCAAGCGCAAAGGAATGGGTCAAGAGCCTCCAAAGGGTCATCTTCCGCTCGCACAACGAGGGCGACAGCGTCAAGATTTCGCTCCCTATCGAGAATGTCATCGATATCGAGGATACCCAGATGCTCGAGTTCGCAGATACTTGCAAGATCCGCGTCATTGACAACGACGAGACATACGCCATCGACGAATACTTCTTCTCTTTCTTCAGCTTCGGCAAGGACGCTATCAGTGTTCTCAAGATCCTTATTGAAGATGCTTCTTCCAACGCGAAGGACGCCGCCCGGCTCAAGGCTGCCCAGGAGGAGGAAAAGCAACAGCCAGCGCCTTCTGCCAGGAGCTCCATGAGCGGAAGCAGGCGCGCTGCCGCACCGCTCAGGTTGAAGACCTCCAAGCTCCCGGAGGCCGTCAAGGCGACCCTTTCCCCTTTGTCTACTCACAGCCCGTCTGCTCTGAGCCCGCGTGCCAGTATAGATGCGGCGCGTGCCAGCTTCGACGCGTTCAAGGGTTTCCGTCGTAGGAGCTTGGATTTGTCGACTATCATTCGCGACTCCTCTCCTCGAAGGAGCTTCACCGGCAATCGTCGCTCGATGAGCCGGAACCGCCTGGACGAAAAACGCCCTGCGCCTCACAAGCAAGGCTCGACAGACTCCTACGTTCAATCGTCAATGGAGGACCCTAGTTTCTCGGGCATGGTTGCATCGTCAAACGAAGACCCCTCCGCGAGCCAAATTCTGCGAGGCAGCGACGTCTTCCAGAACCCAACTATGCGCAGATCTGCTTCTGCTTCCCGCACGGAGCTTGACAAGCAGCAGCGTCGCGATCCCAGGAGCCCACCCGCACTTGCTGCATACAGCGGGCAACATGCGGCCACTACCGGATCTATCAACGACGGCGACAAGCCGCCTGCTACCCCGACTTTGCAGAGCATCACAAAGATGGGCGCGTTCCCTCTGCAGCGCGTCGGAGCCTTTGCTGAGTATCTTAACAGCACGAGCAGTAAGTTGGGCTCGATGCTCGCCACCGAATCTATGGGCTACGTGGAGAAGGTTTCTGGAATGTGGCGTGGTGGCCGCAAGCACTACGACGCCCCCCCTGAGATCAAGACGGATGACGAGGATCTGTATGAGGATGCGGAGGGCAAAATCCAGACGTCTATGGACCGCTTCCGCGCCCACTTCGCTCTGCCTGAGACGGAGAAGCTCCAGGCAACCTACTTTGGCTACATCTTGCGCGTCTTGCCTCTCTACGGAAAGATTTATATTAGTGACAAGTCGTTCTGCTTCAGAAGCTTGCTGCCTGGCACCCGGACGAAGTTGATCCTGCCCCTGAAGGACATCGAGAACGTGGACAAGGAGAAGGGCTTCCGGTTTGGCTATTCTGGCTTGGTCGTCGTCATTCGTGGCCATGAAGAAGTCTTCTTCGAATTTGGCCAGGCTGAAATCAGAGATGACTGTGCTGTCACCTTGTTGCAAAGTCTGGAAACTACTCGCTACCTGAGAGAGACGGGAGACTTGGACATGGAAGAGAAGGAGGACGAAGAGAACGCCATGGCCGAGCGCGATGCTTTGAAGGAGGCTCGCCAAGTCGAAGAGTTCCACGACCACGAACTGCGCTTACCGAAGCAGAGCTCCAACGTCAGCGACGCCCCGACGATTCTCTTCGACGACCCCAAGGCCTCATTCCTCAACTTCAAGCCTTCTCACCCACTCAAGATCACTTGCTTGACAATAGGCTCTAGAGGCGACGTGCAGCCGTACATTGCTCTTTGCAAAGGTTTACTCGCGGAAGGACACAAACCTCGTATCGCAACACATGCCGAATTCCAGGGCTGGATCGAGGGTCACGGTATCGAGTTTGCCAAGGTCGAGGGAGACCCAGGTGAGCTTATGAGACTTTGCATCGAGAACGGAACTTTTACCTGGGCCTTCTTGAAAGAGGCAAACTCCATGTTCCGGGGCTGGCTGGACGAGTTGCTGGTATCGGCCTGGGAAGCGTGCCAGGGCTCCGACCTCCTCATCGAGAGCCCCAGCGCCATGGCGGGCATTCACATTGCTGAAAAGCTCTCCATTCCCTACTTCCGAGCTTTCACCATGCCGTGGACGCGCACCAGAGCCTACCCTCATGCGTTCGTTATGCCCGAATACAAGATGGGTGGTGCGTACAACTACATGACGTACGTCATGTTTGACAACATTTTCTGGAAGGCGACGGCCCATCAGGTCAACCGGTGGCGCAACAACACGTTGAAGTTGCCTAACACGAACTTGGAGAAGATGCAGCCTAACAAGGTGCCTTTCCTCTACAACTTCTCCGAATATGTCGTCGCGCCGCCTCTGGACTTTTCGGACTGGATCCGTGTCACGGGATACTGGTTCTTGGATGAGGGTTCTGACTGGCAGCCACCGCAAGAGCTCACCGACTTCATCGCCAAGGCCCGGGCGGATGAGAAGAAGCTCGTCTACGTTGGGTTCGGTTCCATAATTGTGAACGATACAGCCAAGATGACGCAAGAGGTAATCGATGCTGTTTTGAAGGCAGACGTGCGATGCATTCTGTCCAAGGGCTGGTCGGACCGCATCAAGCAAGCCGGTGACACTGGCCCTACGAAGGAAGAGCCCGTCATGCCGCCCGAGATCCATGTGATCAAGAGCGCGCCTCACGACTGGCTCTTCTCTCAGATTGACGCCGCTGCCCATCACGGCGGGTCTGGCACCACCGGCGCGAGCTTGCGAGCTGGTATTCCCACCATCATCCGCCCCTTCTTTGGCGACCAGTTCTTCTTCGGCAGCAGAGTCGAGGATATCGGTGTCGGCATCTGCTTGAAGAAGTGGGGCGCCATCTCTTTCGCGCGCGCGCTTTGGGAGGCAACGCATAACGACCGGATGATTGTCAAGGCCCGCGTGCTCGGCGAGCAGATTCGCAGCGTGAGTCAAGCCCGGTAACACATTTCATATTTCTCTATGCTAACTTGAAGTAGGAAAACGGCGTCGAGACTGCCATCCAGTGTATATACCGCGACATGGAGTACGCGAAGAGCCTCATCAAGCGCAAGGCGGTCAAGAATGGCCACGTCGAACCTGATGACGACGAAGAGTCGGCCGAAGAAAGCTGGACCTTCGTAGGGAAGGACGAACCGGACCCGGAGATGACGACGAAGAAGCTTTCGGATATGGGAGCGGTGTCTGGAGCGACGGACATGAAGCCGCTGGGCACTAGAGTTCTGCGGTCGCCTTCCTCGCTGCCGGTCGCCTAGGAGGTTGACCACAGCGCACTCACGGAGGCGATGCAGATAAGCGTTCCGGGATCCGCGCCCGAAAAGGAGGGTATGGATGATGGGGAATGGGAATACTTCAACGATTACTGGGTTGGACGAGATGAGCAAGAATAGGGGCGAGTCGGCGTTCAGGCCTAGACAATATGGGACATGACTGCTTTTCTGGTTTGGCGTCGGGGGGGGGGGGGGGGGGGAGGGGGTTGACGACCGGTTTTTATTGTTACGGCGTGATACAGAAACCGATG